CTGCAGGGTTAGGCTGGTAAAGGGGTCCAACCCGCCTAAAACCCGTTGGGTCGTCTAAAGTTTAATCAAATGCAGAATGACATAATGCGCGTAATCCAATACAAGTAATTAACGTAATCTACACCCTAATCGGTCACACACATTAGTCGGTCATTCAATTTCCCACCAAAATCCACGAAGTTTAAGACAAGATATCTCAACCAACTCTGGGTAATAATTCCAACGACTCCCGTGGATTTTGGTGGGAAATTGAATGACTGACTAGGGTGTGTGTCAGGGGCGAGGACGTACGAGGGAACGAGAGTGGAGATCCGACAATGATATTACTATCCAATGCATTATGAAGTACAAGACGAGAGACAAAGAGCGTGAAAGCAATGCAAACCTATCCTAGATACTTATAGCCGGCGGTAGCAGGCACACGAGGTTATTCGACAGCCACAGTGGGCCTGCCAAGACCGTTCGAGAAGCTTCCAGGTTGTGTCATGACATGTACCATATATCATGACAATAGTTATGTTGAAGAGTAAATGTAGCCGTGAAAGACACTGAAGACGATATGTGAAGGTAACTTGTCCTTTCCAGTGGAATACCGCGCGTTGCCTGGACAAGAATATTGTCGCGTGATCAGAAAGACAAATTTGAAACTCGCGGGGAAAATATGTGGCTGCGGTTGTGGCTTAGCAACAGTCAGATATGAATTGTCTCTGCCCATCATGGCCTAGCCTTTCTGATTGAAAGGCTTCACGAAGCTTTTGCTCATGAACTACTCTTGCTGCTCAACTTTTCCAGGTCCTCAATACACTCAGCAAACCACCCATCAATGCGCTCTGTAACCGTGGCAACTGCCTGCTTAAGCCTCTCGATGGCTAGGTCTTTCTCCGAGTTCCCGACGCCTTCTTTGGCATTAGAATTATTGCTTTTGTCTTGATCAGTCTTATCGGCCTTTTCCTCCAAACCAAGCCCTTCGATACCTTTTTCTAATTTCTTAACTTCCTCCTCAGTTTTCTCCCAAATTTCCTCGTTAGGGACCGCAAATCTGGGCGCGTCGTATTCTGTAGAGGTGGTTATGCGTTTACTCGCCGCGGCAGCGACGTCTTCCAAGGTTGCTAGATGATCTGGCTCCTTTCGTTCGTCGAATCCAAACAGTTCGACCCTTAGTCGATGCATGAGCCGAATGACTGGGAATGAAGTCTTTCCGAAGAGACGTGATCGTTTGCCGCCTATCCATGTCTTCCAGATCTCCACCACGATACCCATTTTTGTGAACCCTAATCCTACACCTTTTTCGGCTTCTGTGGGCCGGGATGCGCCAGCAGAAGCAATGCGTTTTAGTTCCTTCGCACCTTCAGTAGTCCGATTCAGCTCTCCAAAGAGCATAACCCAGAAGACACTCTCAATGTCATGCCATGGGTTATGCCTGGAGTGTTCCCCCATTAGAATGTTGATTGCTATGTAAAGGTAAGTGCCAGTACGCCAGGGAGCTCCGGAACGGGGGTCTCCATATACGCAAGCCATGTCGAGGTCAATCAGCCTTCCAGGTGGAGGGGCGCCCTCCCCGTTCAGCATATCTGGCGACGTCACCATGATATTCGCTGGAGAAATATCTCGGTGGATAATGGGCCGATCTCTGCAAAACATTTTTCGAATGGCACGTACAGCAGAACGTAGAGCCTTTATACGGTCAAGTTCGGTGTAACAACGACACCAACGAAGGGTAAGGATCTGTTACGAGGGGTGTAGAGAGAAGGATCATAAAACGTTGCGAGTGCACAAGGTAGGGTGTGGAATAGTAGTGTACTGAAACCTGTCTCTCTATTTAAGGGTTCGAAGGCTCTTCTTATACCTTCGATCCTCCCATCTTCCTGCCTCCTTTCGACGTCCAGCCCCCTTCCTGCCACCCTTACGATGGCTGGGAATTCGTGGCGTGATATCCGGGTGTTACATTCGGTGACACTTCGAGGATTGGGGTATTGATGTTGTGATAGTCCATGCGGTGTGGTATCCACAGAAACGCCACAGTACTCCTCTAGGTACCATCGCTGCCTTCTCGTGTACGAAGGCTTATCGGTTGACTTGGTAGCGGTTCCCTTCACTTCCGGCATGAACAAGCCTTTCTCAGCCTCTTTATTCTGGGTCTGGTTTGCCATGACGGAGGATGTACTGTGTGTCACCTCCATATACCGATAGTTCGGTCCCATTTTAAGATATTGTCTTGAATGTTTGGCCTCCGGTAGGACGTCAAACTCGGTTGTTAAAGGTCCGTCTTTCCACTCAAAAAGCTTTGGTAGTTCCTCAATATCGCTAAGTTCACTAAAGATATCGGCCTCACTCGTGCGCGCCTCGTAGACCCAGGCCATTTTCAGCGCTGCAAGACCGTCACCTTCTGTAGGTGAGTTCTCTGTATCCTTTTTAGCCTGTGGCTTTCTTGATTTTTTCTTTTTGGGCTTCGGTTTCTGCATTTTAACAGCCCATACCGTAGTGCCGCGTGTCGTGACCATGTCGACACCCACACGCACGAGTGGCGATGGTATCTTACATCCGGCAGGAGTGAAGCTGATGGCTCTTCGACCGATTGCAGAAGGTTCCTTTGCTAAGCCCTGGGCGTCGTCACTGGCCAGCATGAGCCAGTTGACGAAGCGCAGAAAATCCAACGTATTCTGCTCGATATTAAGCCCACTTTCGTAACACAGCACCTGCCCTCTGTTCAGCTGATAGAGACGCAATGTCCTGCCGGTGATATAGATGGAGTATATGAAGTGACGAAATGGGTCGTCTCGGAACACTTGGTTGCATCTCAAAAGAGAGAGTTGTATTTGGGATTGTGCATATGTTTGGCCGGCCGATTTCTTGAGTTCCCAGGTTGTCTTCATATCGCAAAACTTCACATTTTCCTCGTTGACATCGGTGGCAATACTAGCTAGGTCGGGTTTGAAAAGCTTCAGGCCTTCTGCGTACTCCTCATTACTAATCCCGGACTTGGGTACTCTGGTTCCGATATTAATGAAGACGTTCTGAGCCTGTCGTGTCTTTGCCGTCGATTGTGCTTGAAGGACCTCTTGAGCTTTCCGAAGCATGCGGAAAAATATATTCTGAGAAGTTATTCCCGAGCTCTTTGAGGCCATATCCGACCGCCATTTCTTCCATTCATTGGATGTCTTGAGTGCCTCCTCTGCCCTCTTAATTTGGGTTTCGGTGAACTTTGCGTTCTCGGACATCTTATTATAAAGCTTCTCAAAAATGGAGACCTTTGTGTCCTCCACGTGTGTCATGCAGCCAAGGTTAGAGATGAAAACGGGTAAGCGATGAGTTTGAGTATCGTTGTGGGGGACAGAATTTACTGCCTCCTTGGGGCGTCTCATTGGGGACACTGCTTTTGGTTGTTGTCTTCTTAGGCGTCTGGAAGATAGGCACGACGCGTGATTCTTTCTCTAGCGAGGTCATATTCTCGTCGAGTGGTAACCCTCTTCGATAGAGGCTCTCTGGAGAGGCTTTAAGGGAAGGTATGGCACGCGTTTGATGGCGTTTTGAATGAGGTATCGAGATCTCGATGCGAAGTTGGTCGGAGTTCTGTCTGGACACCATATTTAGCATTTGACTTTTGCAATTCGAAAGTTCGAGCATTACTTATAGCCGCAGTTGGGGGTGTGGTGTGCCTTTTGTATGGTGCCAGACTAGTGAGACATGTTATCGGCAGTGGCGCGTTTGATTGATGTCCAAAGTTGCCGTTGCCTAGGCAACAAATATCGTAATGGATTTTTATCACGGGACTAAATGCCAAGAATTACGTGCCAAGGGACTTCTGCGTCAGCTTGTTACTCTTTTCGGGAGTAGGAGTTTTCCCTGTCACGTGCACATCCCCACATCGTGTGTGATATGTGGCGACGCCAAGGCTTGTAAAGACCTTCGGAGGTGTTGTACGCTTCGTACACGCTTCGAAAGTATATAGTCTGACGGTCCCTTGGACCCCTTCGAAATAGAACAAGTCCTCCGTGAAATCACACACGATGCGGGGATGTGCACGTGACAGGGAGAACTCCCTATACGGTCAAAAACTCGAATTCGACACTACATTCCACGGTCTAGAGGGAGGAGTGCAGACGGGGCAGCCGGCGCGAGCATGACTACTAACGCGGCTGGCCCAACAACACCACCGCGGTTGCCTGCCACAGCACCATCTGCGCCTGCGCCCGCTCGACACACGAGCCGACAAAAGGCAAAGGCACCTCGCGTCAGAGCGGCCACCGAGAACGAGCTCGAGACCACCAATAACGCATGCGAAGAGGCGGAAAACACGGAGTACTAACCGGACACATATATTACGATGATATCAAGTGTACTAGGCCCGGTAGCGAGGAAGCTGGAAACACTAGGTGAACACGTGGAAGGGCTGAATAACAATATCGGGACGAATAACACCAAGACGCAGGCACTCGAGAAACAGATCATGTCATTCCTCACGACGGTCAAAAACAATGAAGCCTTAACCAGATGTTGAACAAAGGGCTATTGTGTACAGGCTCCACAGCTGAAACACTGGTGAGAGGTTTCCATAGACGACGACGTTACTAATGGTTGCTCTGAGTAACGACGTAGTATTCGCACGTCTATAAAAGAAGCCTCAATACCTCGACAAGTAGTGTAGCGGGGCGCTACGTGCATGGATTATGTAAGGGGCAAGCAAACATGGGTGGGTAGAAAGATGGCGAGAGCATTGAGCCTTTCTTGTAATTAGAGCTTGGTGTGTGGTTGCTCAACAGCTTTGGCGACGACATCCTCCCTGCATGACAGGCACTCAAGTGCTAAACCGTTCATCACCTATACAGTAGATAGAGAACAGAGCATTCAAGACATCTCGAGTTGCACCCAGTTTGACACCAGAACACTACTAGAGGCCAGCAAACGAAGCGAGACATGCACGGCGGAGTTAGGGACAAGAATAGTAAAAGCTGGAGTCTCAGAACAACACACTCCTCGAAGTCATCAAACATAATAAAACAATGGCAAAACTAGAGATGCAAAATAAAGTCCTCCTCGAGGCGGTTAAACAATACGAAGTCAGAGTGGCTAAATTGGAAGCGCAAAACAACTCCCTCCTTGAGACGGTGAAGAAATCAGCAACAGAACAGGCCAAAACCACGGAGAGTTGGGCGCACGTAGTGGCTAGAACTTCACCTCAGTCAGGAGCCACACTATCGCCCCCAACATCATACCCTTCTATCCCAAACTCATTAAATCCTCATGGCTCCATCTCGCAAACTTCGGAAACACTACAAACATCCATCGTCCTCGACCTATTAAACACCGCCGATCGAGTGGAAGACTTCACACAACTAAAAGAGAAGATCAATGAAGCTTTGAGGAAATATGGGCACACTAAGGATGCGCGGTGTGTGGGGGTACAAAGGCGAGTAGGGGGAGAATGTCAAGTCAAACTGTAACAACAGTACTAATAGAGGGTGTGAGGAGAGGGATCATAAATCGTTGCGAGCGTACAAGGTAGGGTGTGGAATGGTAATGTACTGAAACCTGTCTGTCTATCGAAGGCTCTTCTTATACCTTCGATCCGTTCATCTTCCTGCCTCCTTTCTAACGCCCAGCCCCCTTCCTGCCACCTTTGCAGTGGCTGGGAATTCGTGGCGTGATGAGTGTTACAAGGGGGGACACTCCCTATATAGGCTGGAAAAGGGGTTCTTGGCACTAGACACCAGCTGTCTGACAAATTCGAACACTAGAACAGGCCAATCGTATCATCAGCAAACGCCGTAGAGCGAAACGAAGTCGGGTTCAGGAAGGAGAAACACTAGATCTAGAGGCTACGAGAGAGCTGTTGGATTTAAAGGACATAGAGAAGCAATTAGCGCAGGAAAGTCGGACGAATGGTGGTTGTCGTAAGCGCACCGAAGTCCATTCACGGACATAATGGGCGCACATGCCAGGAGGACGAAGAAATGTTTGATGGAGTGGTGCACTCGCTTATATATCCAGATTAATTGAGCATGTGGAAAAGCTTAAAATAAAAGGGATCGGAAGAGATTATCCGAATTGCCACTGACTAATCGGAGAGTCTAAGCTTTGCTGACAGCGGAATATTTTCGGCTAAGGTGGGTCACGGACTCGGGGATCAGCTTTACCACACGTAGCGCGTCTCTCATGTAATTAGCTCGTGTTAAACTTCGTGGATTCAAAGAGTGCTCTGGCTCTCCTAATGAGTGTAGGATAGAGCCCATCTATATATCTATCTAACAAGTGTACGTCACCATTGCTGCCTGTTAATGGTGATACAGCCCATTGAGTGAGTGTTTGTAACACCCATCACGCCACGAATTCCCAGCCACTGCGAAGGTGGCAGGAAGGGGGCTGGGCGTTGGAAAGGAGGCAGGAAGATGAACGGATCGAAGGTATAAGAAGAGCCTTCGAACCCTTAGATAGACAGACAGGTTTCAGTACATTACCATTCCACACCCTACCTTGTACGCTCGCAACGATTTATGATCCCTCTCCCCACACCCTCTATCAGTACTGTTGTTACAGTGTTGCAAAGTATCCTAGTCTGTCATAAATGATTGGCTAGCATTTATTCAATATTGCTGTTCAACAGAGCTTCTCTGAGTGGTTCACAGGTTGGATCCGATAAAATACCACGACCCATCGGATTCAATGCATGGATCATCTCGGTGTCGAGGTTCGTCCGTTCACGCTCGGTTACGAAGCATGTCGAGTGTGATCAGTAGAGCTTCTCTAGGTGGTCCAGAGACTGGATCCGATAAAAGACGCCCGCCATCGAATCCAATCTATGGATCATCTCGACGTCGAGGCTCGCCCATTCACATTCGGTTACGAAGCATGTCGAGTGTGATTACTCTGGGTGGTCCACAGACTGGCGGTGATTCCGGAAAATTTAATCCGGTAACGGTAAACCGGAAAAAAGTTAATCCGACGGTGATGGCTCGGAAAATATTTGATCCGTTGTGGGTTTGAGTGGTCCACAGACTGGATTCGATGGGTGGATTACGTCGATATCGAGTAGAGTACTCCGTACCCCCGAGCACATAGTCCATAGACTGGATCCGATGGCGGTGCGGCAGGAGAGTTTCCACGTGATCACTTATCACGTGATAATGCCAAGATATATTCTCACGTGACAGTGCCAAGCGTACGCTCACGTGATAAGCCAGCGACAGTCTTGGCGTCGCCGCACAACGCCAAGCCGCAACCGAGCGATTCCAGGGAAATCTGCCGCCGAATTTGGCAGGTGGTGCCGCCGCTTTTGGAGTTCTTCTTCCCTAAATGCCAAGACCATCAACTCTATTGCCTCTCTCTACTGAAGGGCTACTTAAGCGTTCATTGTTGGCCAGAATAGGCAATGCTGGCTTGGCGTTGTTACCGTGACTGGCTTGGCATTATCACTTTATAGTGACACCTCAAACAACTCAACCCATTTCACCTACTTATGTTGACATTCATCTGAGTGTGCTTTGAGATAAATCAATCAATCAATCTTCTCTCCATACAGTTCATCATTCATAATCTCTCCTACCTCAGTGCACCCACCTCTCGCCTCAGTATACTCCCGATTCATCAACAACTTTCCCTGCCTGATTCTTCCACCAGCTTTTTCTACTCCTTCAACATTACGCCTTCCGGCCTTCGAACATCAACATGAACACAGTTTGCGGATTCAACGATGGGGCACCTACATGTACACCCATGTCAAGGTCATCCTCAAGCTCAACTACATCAAAAGAGACTACGGCAGTGGAGAGTTCAGCACCGAAGATATCGCCCTTAGAGGGATTAGAAGACGCTCGTATCTATACGTACAAAGGGATCCGAGATCTAAAAGAACGTGTCAACTCGCAGTCCGCTGCGTTGATGGACGGCCACACAAATCAGCAATACCTTGTTTTCAGGGGTGTCACAAAAGGCCATCTTGAAAAAATTGACCATCAGCGCGCCAGCATAGGGAAGCATACTCGGATGAGCCATTACGCGGATGACAATCTATTAGTTGTCAAGCTGATGCCCTCAGCGGCACATGAAGGCGCGCACCACACACTAGCCCGGAAACTTGATCTCGCACTTTCCAGAATGGGTCTCTCAGACGAGTGCTTATATCCTGTTGGCGGGACAACATACAAACTCCCTAATTCCTCTAAAGAAGGTGATATGGGATTCCGACCCCTCCCGACCCGGGAAAGGGAATCTGACTGGCCAACAATTGTTTTTGAGTCTGGACTCTCTGAAACGCTTACTCGTCTAAGACATGACGCAGAATGGTGGATTGTCAACTCTGGAGGAGATGTCAAGATTGTCATCATCATCTCAATAAAGCGAGCACAGAAGACGCTAATAGTCGAAAAGTGGTGCCCTTCTCCGCCTCCTACATACAGACCAGCTACCAGAAGCCACCCAAACCCCAACGCTCCAATTCCGACAAAAGTCCACGAGCTTACTATCACCCAAAATCCCACTCCACAACTAGGCCCTACTGCTCAGTCCAATACCATCGGTCTACCAATTGTTACCGTTCAGCCAGGCACTGTCTCAGCCTATGACGTTGCTGGAGCGCCTCTAATTCTCGAATTTGATAAAATCTTCCTTCGAGCCGCTGTACCGCCAGAAGGCGACGTCGTCTTTAATGTCGCAGATCTTACGGTCTGGGCGGATTACTTCTGGAAGGGCCTTAAGTAGAGAGATCGCAAGGGTTATGGCAGGATCAAGGGAATACATTGTGGGACTGACAACGGCTAACGGTGGGCTATGTGCTACGTTGTTAAACAGCATACAGGACAACGGAAGTGTCATCACTTTCCCAGGGTTTTTCTAAGGGCTTGTTCGGGGCAACTGAAGTACCATCCTTGCTGAAATTATGAGCTGTTACTCTTTTTATTCTACAGCTTGTTTAGCCAACTTGCTGAAATATATACACGTTTGGTTGCCCCTATTCTTCTCCTTTTCTTGCCCCTTTCTCCTGAATAACAGTGAACCCCTTTTCCGTAGAAAAAGGGGTACAGACAACTGTTCAGCACCATTAGATAGCAGTATCTTCAATACTTGCCGAGGGTTTATGTCAGGGTGGGGACGTACGAGGGAACGAGAGTGGAGGTCCGATAATGATATTACTATCCAATGCACTATAAATTACAAGACGAGAGACAAAGAACATGAAAGCAGTGCGATGCTATCCTAGATACTTATAGCCAGCGGTACTGTCAAACTGTGTGCAACTCGTGATGTATTGAATGCTCTGTTCTCTATCTACTTGTCGAGGTATTGAGGCTTCTTTTATAGACATGCGGATACTACGTCGTTACGCAAAGCAACCATCAGTAACGTCGTCGTCTATGAAAACCTCTCACCAGTGTTTCAGCTGTGGAGCCTATACACAATAGCCCTTTTGTTCAACACTTACCCTTCGTTGGCATCGTTGTGACATATCTTGCAGGTCTCGAAGGTCGGCTCGAAGATCTCGAGGCGACGATAACCTCAGTTCAATGTAGATTGGCTGGTAATCCGACTGTAACAGGACAGATCAGAACTTGAACGGGAGCGGAAATCCGCATTCGAGCAACATCCTGTTGAACTGTGAGACAATATGGGGCAACGATTTCAGCGTGGCAATGAATGTTTAGCTGGACAAGGGTTTCGTCTACGAGCTGAACACGGAGACATCGAAAGGTGGCGACAATCTTTGTCTATATAAACATGCGAGGCAGGACCTCAACTTGATAGAAAACAGAGCACTCCTTCAACTCAAGTTGTACCACAAGTTTGACATAATCCCATACTAGACTCCTCCATTTAGTTGATTTTCGACTTTGACTCGACTCTTGAGTCGTAGATTGTGCAAAGAAGAATGAATCTGTTTCGGAGGCCATGTTGTAAGGGAAATCATCGTACGAAAAGAAAAAGAAGATGATAAATTCAAAAGTCGGTCAAGGGATCGATTCTGGTCACGTGTAGATAAAAGAATCGATTCCGAAATCGATTCTAGTGATTCCTTATCGATAGAATCGAAATCGACCCTGCACTCGACATGCTTGGTAACCGAGCGTGAACGGACAAGCCTCGATGTCGAGATGACCCGTGGATTGGATCCGATGAGCCGTGGTATTTTATCGGATCCAATCCGAGAACCACCTAGACAAGCGTTGAACAAGTGGATAATAGTACTGAAGAAATGGTGACCTATCATTCACGACAAACCAGGATATTTTGAAATATTTGTTCACTGGGCAGTATCACCATCAACAGGCAACAATGATGACGTACGCTCGTTAGATAAATATATAGATGGGCTCTATCCTACACTCATTAGGAGAGCCAGAGCACTCTCTAAATTCAAGAAGTTTAACACCATCTCTTCGATATCGACATAATCCATGTATCGGATCTGATGAAAGATCAACGCCATTGGATCCAGTCTGTAGACCACCTAGACGGGTTATAATATTAAATCCAATCCATGAACCACCTCCATAAAACCTACCTTAATCTTCTTGTCCACTTTAATATAACTTCTCAGGTTGAAACACTAGTAGAGGCAAGATTTGTGTCAAACTGGGTGCAACTTGAAATGTCTTGAATGCTCTGAGCTCTTCCAAAGAGTGTGGGATAGAGCTCATCTATATATCTATCTACGCAGTGTCCGCTGGCGCTGTTGCCTGTTAATGGAGTTCAGGGTGGTAATTTCGATATCGTGTCGGCATGTGGCGACGTGTCGATAATGTCAGAAGATAGCTTTCCCAATCCGATATTTTACTGTTGGATGACGAGAGGTCTCCATAGGCGACGACGTTACAGATGGTTGCTCTGTGCAACGATGTAGCATTCGTGTGTCTATAAAACGAGCTTCAACACCTCGACAAGTAGATAGAGAACAGAGCGCTCTTTCATCTCAAGTTGCAAAAAAGTTTGACATTTACCTGTCGACGCCAAGAGTTCTCTACACTAGTCCCAAATAGTTGGTTGCGCACGCGAAGTATAGCTGGGTATGAAATGAACCGGTGGACAATGGAGGTAGCGCGTAGTAATAAGTTAGCCCCCTATGGGCTTAGCCCGCACAGGGTGTATGAAATTAATCAAATCACAATATGTGCCACTACCCCTGCAGAGGGGATAATATAGCACCATCACCGAATTGTGCTGCTTAGTCAGCGGAATGTTCTTACCAAAAATTTGCGTTTTTTGGACCTAAATATCTCAACCACGATGCAATGGAACCTTGTGGGACTCGGGATGTGGCTCTCTTTAGGTGTAATGAAGTGATACTTCGACAGCAATACAAAAAGTTGTGCAAAGAGCGTCCCAAAAATTCAATGCATTATCGTTGTGGGCGGGGGTAGCCGATTTTTAGGCAGGGGGGTGCCTAATGATGGGCTGTCCAGTATCTGGGATCTGGGCGGGTGGCCCGGTGGCTAAGACGTTAGCCATGCTTTCGTCTTGCTCTCCACTTCTTTACAGTAGTCACTCGGCAAGTCGGGATCTCCGCTTAGCCGCAACTCAAGAATGCGCACCTTGTGCATACTGTAAAGCATGCCAGCTAGCTTCGCATTCCTAGAAAACCTGCCTCAGTAACCTGAACATGGAAATTTCTCTCAGTAGCATTTCTTTCAAGGCCTTTTCGCTCATTATATATCTCATCTACCCCAAATTCATCCTCACTCCGTTACACGGGAGCCACGATTACCAGGTTGGGTCTTGAGAAGACATCATCAAGCAAGAGTAGCTTAAGGCCCGACCCCGGGATTCTCACGCTTAACATGGCATTCACGGGCACCAATGCCTTCGGCAATCTTGATTATACGGCACAGGTTGCCGGTACGTCGACGAACTCTCTTACTCAACACCGTGAACGGCGGGATGACGCAACCTCCACAAGTCCTCAGTCGTTGCCCGATCGCGTCTCCCGCGAAGATGGCAGCAGCCGCGCTCAAGACGTAATCGAGAATGCTGCGAGCGACACTGCTACCGCCACTCCTAACGAGGATAAAGGCGCCGATGCCACAAGGGACGATGACGCTAAGGATTTGGAGCGGAGGGATAGCCTAGTTCAGGAGCTGGCACGTACATACACCTCACTGTCACGAGCTTGACAAGGGACAGATTTCAACGGCAGTGTATTCGCAGCTCACGACCCCGATTCCCCCCTGAACCCCAACTGCTTCAAGTTCAACGCTCGCGCGTGGGCCAAGGCTCTCGTCAACTTGGTAGCAGCTGATGGGGTGTCTTTCCGAACCAGTGGCGTCTGCTTTCAGGATTTGAATGTCTTCGGTTACAGTGCCGGTACTGACTACCAGAAAGACGTGGCCAACGTGTGGTTGGAGGCTACCGGCTTGGTCCGCAGAGTTATCGGCTATGGGAGGCGTCGTATCGATATCCTTCGCAATTTTGACGGCGTTCTCCACAAGGGCGAGATGCTCGTGGTTCTCGGTCCTTCTGGTGCTGGCTGCACTACACTGCTGAAAACCATTGCTGGTGAGACGAACGGCTTATATGTTGACGATCGGTCTTACTTCAACTATCAGGGCCTAACCGCGCCATCGTGGCGAAGCTATCTACACCGCTGAGGTCGATGTCCATTTTCCCATGCTCACAGCTAGAGAGACGCTGACCTTTGCCTCTCGCGCGCGCGCTCCACGACATATACCCGGCGGCATCACCCACACTACGTTTTCGGACCACTTGAGAGACGTCGTGATGGCTATATTCGGGATTAGCTATACGAAAAACACGAGGGTCGGTAACGAGTACGTTCGAGGGGTGTCGGGCGGCGAAAGAAAACGCGTTACCATTACCGAGGCCGCTCTATCCGGTGCCCCCCTTCAATGCTGGGACAATTCCACTCGGGGCCTAGATAGCGCCAACGCCATCGAGTTCTGCAAAACACTGAGACTGCAGACCGAACTTTTCTAGAATACTTGCGTCGTCTCCATCTATTAGGCTCCACAGAGCGCGTACGATCTCTTCGACAAGGCTTTGGTCCTCTACGAGGGCCGGAAAATATTCTTTGGTCGAGCTCATGCCGCTCGTCAGTACTTTATCGACTTAGGGTTCGAGTGTCCTGCTCGTCAGACATCCCCGGATTTCTTGACCTCTATGACGAGTCCGCAGGAACGCATAATACGACCTGGGTTTGAAGACAGTGCACCTAGGACTCCGGATGAATTTGCTACGGCATGGAGAAATAGTGCTGCCCACAGGGCATTGCGGACTGAAATCGAAGAGTACAAAATTGCCCACCCTCTCAATGGATCTGATGCCGAGGCCTTTCAGCAGGCCAAGGGACAAAGGGCCAAGTCCCCCTACACACTATCGTATCCCCAGCAGATCGGCCTGTGTCTCTGGCGCGCATATCGACGTCTTATAGGCGACCCATCTCTCACGGTCGGTCAGTTGACTGCCAATATCATTATGGGGTTAATCGTCTCCTCTGTATACTATAACCTCCAACTCACTACAGGAAGCTTTTTCTAGCGTACTGCCCTCTTATTCTTTGCCATCCTAATGAACGCCTTCAGTTCTGCTTTGGAAATCCTTACCCTATATGCTCAGCGCGGAATTGTTGAGAAACATGATCGCTACGCTTTCTACCACCCGTCTGCCGAGGCGGTCGCCTCCAGTCTGATGGATATGCCCTACAAGGTTATAAATACCATTGTCTTCAACTCAATCATTTGTATGTGCCACTCACACCTGTGGAATGTTGCTGATCGGGTTGCAGACTTTATGACTAATCTTCGACGTGAGCCCGGAGCATTTTTCTTCTTCTTATTTACCACTTTCCTTGCCGTTATGGCGATGTCTGGCATCTTTCGATCGATCGATTCTGCGTCTCGCACCCTGTCGCAAGCTATGGTGCCGGCCGCGGTCCTCATCCTGGCTCTTGTCATGTTCACGGGGTTCGTCATTCCCATCGATTATATGTTAGGATGGTCCAGGTGGATCAACTATATCGACCCTATGGCATACGTCTTCGAATGTCTGATGATAAATGAGGTATCTTGCTTCCATTCCCTGTTTTACACTCTTCAACCGCCTGACTAACGGTGTACAGTTCGCCGGCAGAGAGTACCTTTGCACATCATACGTACCGGACCCCTCAGTTTCCGGGTACGAAAATGTTAAAAACAGCAACCGTATATGCTCTGCTGTTGGTGCTGTTGCTGGGCGTCAGATTGTTCAAGGAACGGATTACATTATATCTTCCTTCCAGTATTTGCCAAGCCACAAGTGGCGTAATATCGGGATTTTGTTTGGATTTATCATGTACTCTCCTCGGCCCTCCCTTCGCTTGCTGTGGTCGTTGACAAAGTCTAGCTTTTTCCACGCTCTTTACATGGGCTTCACCGAGTTTGTCACTGCGAAGAAATCCAAGGGTGAAGTCCTAGTTTTTCGTCGTGGCTACAAGCCTGCTCAGTTTAAGGAGAGAAAAGACGACTCCGAGGCCAATATTCCTCTTTCTGCCGCCGTTGCTACAAAAAATGCTACTGGGGGCGTGTCTGAAAAGGTCGTAGGTCTTATTCAAGAGCGGACCAGTGTGTTTCATTGGAGGTAAGTCTACCAAGAGCCCTCTCGTTGTTCGCGGCTCAAGATCGTTACTAAATTTGGGACTCCCCCAGCGATGTCTGCTACGACATCAAGATAAAAGGCGAGCCTCGCCGGATTCTGGATCATGTAGATGGCTGGGTGAAGCCTGGTTCTCTCACAGCCTTGATGGGTGTATCGGGCGCTGGAAAGACAACCCTCCTTGACTGCTTAGCCGATAGAACTTCAATGGTAAGCCTCGCGACTCATCATTTCAGCAGAACACTGGATACGTCCAACAACAAGATCTCCACCTCGAAACCACCACGGTCCGAGAAGCCCTCAACTTTAGTGCTCTCCTTCGACAGCCGAAACACCTGTCTCGAAAAGAGAAGCTTGCCTATGTCGACGAGGTAATTAAGCTCTTGGACATGGAAGAATACGCCGATGCCGTCGTAGGCGTGCTCGGCGAAGGGCTTAACGTCGAACAACGTAAGCGGTTAACAATTGGTGTTGAGCTTGCGACCAAGCCTCCACTATTACTTTTTGTCGATGAACCTACTTCTGGTCTAGACAGTCAGACTTCTTGGTCTATCCTCGACCTCCTGGAGAAGCTGACAAATAGCGGACAAGCTATTCTATGCACTATCCACCAACCTTCGGCTATCCTCTTCCAACGGTTTAATCGGCTGCTATTATTGGAAAAGGGTGGGAAGACTGTCTACTTTGGGGACATCGGCAACAGCTCCAAGACTATGATCTCTTATCTCGAACGTAACGGCGCTCCGCCTTGCCCTGCAAATGCTAACCCCGCCGAATGGATGCTGGAAGCTATCGGTGCGGCTCCAGGCTCCACCGCTGACGTGAATTGGCACCAGACCTGGCGTGAAAGTCCTGAGTTCGATGCTGTCCAGACCGAGCTAAAAAGGCTTCAGGCCGACACTAAAAGCACTATAGTCCAGACCGAAAACGAAGCGAATTCGGGAGAGTTCGCAGCTCCCTTCAGCTTGCAACTTGAACAGGTCCTATATCGGGTCTTCCAGCAGTACTGGCGAACTCCGTCCTATATTTATTCCAAGACCTCTCTTGTGACCTGCGTCTCAGCCTTCATCGGTCAGTTCTTATCTATCGGTGTGTTGTAGAGATTACATGCTGACCTGTCTAGGCTTTGCATTTTTCAAGGCCTCGAATACTGTACAGGGCTTGCAGAATCAGATGTTCGCCATTTTTAATCTCCTGACAATTTTCGGCCAAATGGTGCAACAGACCATGCCTTACTTTGTCGTCCAACGGGATCTTTACGAGGTCCGCGAGCGTCCGTCGAAGGTTTACTCGTGGAAAGTCTTCATGGTTTCCCAAATACTTGTCGAGATTCCCTGGAACACGCTTACGTCAGTCATAATGTACTTCTGCTTCTACTAGCCCATTGGCCTGTATAACAACGCGGAGCGAGAACACCAGGTCACGGAGCGCGGCGCCCTGTTCTTCCTTTTTCTCTGGGCTTTCATGATGTTTACATCTACGTTCACAGATTTTATCATCGCTGGTTTCCAGACCGCCGAGGCAGGTGCCAACATGGCCAATTTGTTGTTTATGATGTGCTTGATATTCTGCGGTGTTCTCGCCAGCCCTAATAGTCTCCCACAGTTCTGGATCTTCATGTACCGGGTTTCGCCATTCACCTACATGGTTCAAGGTCTGATGACAACAGCCGTCGCAAACACCAATGTTGTTTGTGCCGCCAACGAGTACCTGCATTTCGCGCCACCGGTCGGCCAGACGTGCGCCCGCTACATGAGCGACTATGTCGATACTGCAGGAGGATACCTGCAGAACCCTGACGCAACGGACACGTGCTCATTCTGTACCATAGGGAGCACCAATACTTACCTCGGAGACCTTTATGCTTACTACGGCCAGCGATGGAGGAACTTTGGCATCTTCATGTACCCTATCTTCAACATCTCTGGTGCGGTGCTTGTGTACTGGCTTGCTAGAGTGCCCAAGAAGAGCTGCGCCATCAGGAGAAGACATGAATCACTTATCAGAGAAGGTATTTGGGTGCTTGGGCGGTGGATTCTAGAGGGAGTCATCATCTGTCGCCTTTTTGTATTTATCAACATTTGAAGAGGGAATTGTCGAACTGGGGAACAACTTGAGACGTATTGAATGCTCTGTCTACCTCACAACTGGTCCTGCCAGGTTGCTGGTGTATATACGCGTTGAGTTAACCCCTTTTCTTCTCCTATTTCTCCCCTAAATCCTGCATAGAGTGATAACCCCTTTTCCTAATAGAGGGGCATTTGTTACTCTCCCACCGTTCAGTGAGACCTTGTTCGACATATACCTTCTTCCAAGCGCTTTCTCGTGATGCCTGTTCTGAAGGTCCGGAAATAATGACACTGAAACGCAGAAGCTGAGAGAAAGGGTGGGAATCGGAGCGCTAGGGGTCGAATGACATTTTTTGCAGATTTTAGGAGGAACTTCGTAAATGCTAAAGTTAATTGCGTAAGGACGGCTTTATCTAACGACTTAGCTATGAGTTCGACCTCACATAAAGTACGAGCCGGAATGGAAATGAGGATAAAACTAGAAGTATTTAAAGACTGACAAGCCTACTTCGATTGCTGAATCGCTCGAGGCGATAGGCGCAATATAAATCTACAGTGCGCTTGGAATGAAGCATTTTAACAGTATTAGACGAGTTCTCGGCTGCTTGTCGTGGGATGAGCATTATATGACAGTGCACGGCCGCGTAACCTTGTGTAGCTAGACCTCCGATATTGTCACCCGAAGGACTTCCCTTTCTTGGTTGCTTGCTGTAACTTCGACGAATTTGTGAATACATTTCCCTCGAGTCTAATCATCAAAAAAGATTGGATGCCATTAGCCATTAGATTAAATAAGAACTTGATTCGCATTGTATCCTAAAGAACTCTTTCGCAGAAGCCATACTCAGCAGGTTGAGCTTGCACACTTGATGCTCAATCGCAAGTCTATCGTTTTCTTGCCGCGATAGCTGCGCCTGCTTATATCCCACTGGCGCTGTTCGCCTTGATATTCCAGGATCTTATCCTGCGACAACACCATCAACGTTAACAAGAGAGATTGCTATGAGGAAGCCCTCTTGCTGTGCCTTCATCCACGATTCCTTGATTATACGCGCGTGTTGTTCTCTTCTCGGCACGAACAGGGCTTCGTAGGGTTTGATAAGCATACCCATCGACCGAAAGAAGGCTTTATCAGAAATATCCACCTCTTCCGGTTTCCCGTCTTCTCCAAGAGGTGGTAAGATCTGAAATGCCCACAAAATATTGCTTAGAGTGATATAAAGCGAATTTTCTGCCTGCAAGTCTCGTTACTGCTGTGAAACCCCGGAACCGGGACTATACTCACCACATGTCTCCCTAGACACATCCTACGCCCGTGGCCAAAAGAAAAAGTGTGTTCAGATTTGAACCATTCCTCGGCTCTGATGGATCGTCGGCGGCAACGGCCTTCAAGAACCGCTCTGGCCGAAACGTTTCTGGATGGTCATATAATGACTCGTCATTGTGGGGCACATACGGGGACATATTCAAAATCGTTCCTCTCCTAATAAATTAGTTCTTGTAAACGACATCCGAGGTGGTATAATGAGGAATCCCAATATAAGCTGGTGGACGGTGTCTCTGTAATTCCTTGATGAGAGCAAGGACAAGAGGCATCTTTCCTTGATCCTCGAAAGTTGGAAGACGGTCATCTGGGACAATCTCCGGAATGGCTTGGTAGACCCGGTCTCGCACACCCTTATATTTTACCAGGTATTTAAAGGCTATACGTAGAAAACCCGATGTTGTGTCTAATCCAGCTTCAATCAATCCTAATAAGTGTTGTCAGTTGATACCGATGGTTTCTTTGATACCCGTTAGTCACGTACTTCCACTTATGTATGCTGCCTGAAGATCGTCGATACCCTTGGAACTGTATTCAGATTCTGCGGACTTTGTGCCATGAAGCCGTCTAGGGCACGATTCTGTTTGATATCATCCTGGAGCTGATTCCAGAATCGACTCCCAACCCGTGCCTGTCGGTTCGCATACTTCAGTGCTCTAGGCCTCCACCATTGAAGTAAGATAGGTAGCTTTGCAAGAGTCGGAAACGCATCAGCAATGAAGCTACCTGGTGTGAGACAAAATCGCAAGCTCCTCCAAGACATGGTATATCTCCTGAACCCCTTCTTGCTCCTGCGATGTCCGTTGGTTAATGAGACTCCGAATGAAGCCGCAATACTTGCAAATGAAACCGCCCGCTTGCCGTACAACACTATTAGAAGAACTGAGGTAGCATAACGCCGAGCATGAGAGGAATTTCCGTTGGTCTTCATTATCTGTCAGTAAGTCATAAAGGAACTGTTTTGTTTCGAATTGCTGGACTGATTTGAAATTGGCGGCTGTTACGGCAAGGAGGCGGTGCACAATTGTACGAATAGTTCTCCACGTGGGAGTGTAACTCATGAGCAAGATTCTCATTCCTCCTGATACCAAGTTAGCGACCACTGGCTGAGGATGTGTTCCTGAGGTTGCGGCAGTCTGTTTATCCATAATTTCGTGAATCGCCCCAGGATTGTTGACAGATACTCAATCGTTGACGCCCAGTCTAATTCTGAACAATTCTCCATACTCTCTCGCCCATCGACGTAGTTGAAAATGGGGATTTTCCGCGCTAGGGAAGGTGTTCCCAGTGAGAGGCCAAGGTTTTGGGCCGGGCACAATTCGGAACCCAGGAGGGATTCGTCTACTGCCCTTTCCATCGTGCGGCAATCAGACCGAGTAGGGCACTTAATCTGAGGAAACTTTAGCCATCTGGACCTAAAAAAAATCCTGGCTGCGGTCTGGGACACGAAGACAACTACGGGCTTAAATGTTGGCAAAGATCTTGCCGTACCGAGATGAATCAACAAGTAGTCCAGGTCCTCAGCCGGAATTTTCAAGAACAATTTAATCCAAATTGGAACCCTTCAGGTAGATATGAATCTGGGTGTCATGCTTAGGCGCGTATGAGTGCTACGTCTTTGAGAAGCTAATCGGTCGTCATATTGTAATACATGAAGCTCTCGTTGCAGCTCAGCGAAGACCCTTTCGCTTCTCTATTAATTGTTGCTGATGAGGCATTGGTGGTGTCTATCTGTCAAACTTCGTGGATTGAAAGAGTGCTCTGGCTCTCCTAACGAGTGTAGGATAGAGCCTATCTATATATCTATCTAACGAGCGTACGTCACCATTGCTGCCTGTCAATGGTGATACAGCCTATTGAGCGAGTGTTGCAAAATGTCCTAGTCGGTTGTAAATGATTGGCTAGCATTTGTTTAATGCTATTGTCCAACATCTGGGTGGTTCATAGACTGGATCCGATGGGCGACGAGGGGGACTTCATCGAATCCAATCCATGAACCACATCGAGTAGAAGGCACCCCCCCGTGGGCATATAGTCCACGGATTGGTCTGGTATTTAATCTGATGATGGCAATCCGGAAAAAGGTTAATCCGTGAAAAGGGGAGATTTCATCGGATCCAATCCATGGACCATGTCGACGTCGAGGCTCGTCGTTCACGCTCGGTTACGAGGGATGTCGAGTGTGATTAGTAGAGTTATTTTAGGTGGTCCATAGACTGGATCCGATGGGCCCCGGGGGGCAAGGGGCATATGGTCCGCAGACTGGATCCGATGGCAAAGGCCCCGGAAAATGGTTAATCCGGTCCATGAACCCAAAGGGGACGAGACGAGCTAGGGTTTCGTGTGTCTATAAAAGGAGTCTCAGGACCCCGACAACTAGATAGAAAACAGAGCGCTCCTTCATCTCAAGTTGCACAAAAGTTTGACAGAAGCCTGGGTCCGTGTGACGGTGTTACACCGAACCTCATCAGTTAAAGATGGTAAACTACGTACATTGCTGCTGCGATTCGGTTTGCGGTAACGCCAGTCGAGCCGTCATGAGCTCCAGCTCCTCCCGACTGCAATCAAACGTCACATCTGCTGTTAATGCGGTGTCAGCCCTAAGGATATCGTCGGCAGGCTCCATTATTATTCAGTTCCGAATTTCCAAAACCTCGACGACGTCGGATGGAATGACATCAGGACAAGGTCTCAACCGGTCAGAATATGATATCGTCGTCCAGCAAGCTCATGATCTGCTGGTTGTCGTAATACCAGCCGCTCAGTCCGCAGTCTGGAGACATACCATTCGTGGAAGTCTCGTCTGCTGCGGCTCCTGGCCCAATCCCAAACGGGGTGAAGCCGAACTCGGTAGAGGAGCCTTGCAGAGGGTGGCTCATGGCAGGGTCCTCGACCGAGGGGAGCGTGTTCGAATCGATATAGATACGCGCCGTCTGGCAGAGGAGCTCGTACAGCCGACGTGGGTGAGTGGTGGACTCGGAAGAAGTCCCCTCGGGACGGAATGAAGCCGCGAAGCGGTCCAAGCGGGCGAGGTCCGTGACGTCCAGAAGCTGGACAGCGCGGGTAAAGAGGAAGCTGAACGGGATGAACGGGGCGTGCAGAATCGACCTGTAGGATGCAGCAGTGAGTCAGGTAACCCAGCGACACAGGGGATTAGCTGGCACACCGCTGGGAGAATTGGCACGCTCACCAGTTGAGGTATTTCGTGATCATAAATGGGTCGCTTTTGCAGCTACGCACTTGTTGCATGCATTGCTGGTGTATGTCTAGAGTCTCGCGAGCGACAGCAACGCAGTCGTCCGAAACGCCGCCAAGGGAACCTGGTGCGGGAGGAATCGCTCGGAGAATTAGCGCGAGGAGTGAAGATTGGCAAATCAGCTCGCATCGCAGGTACACTGCTCTCATCGGATCTGTCTCTCCCTCGCTCGGGTGATCGCTGGCATCCTACGAGAGCTGTCAGAGATTCGATGGCCATGGAGGCAATCAAGGCGATGACGGCATACGCAAACCTCGATATGTGTTTCATTGATTAGTGCTCGAAGCTCGTCAGCGAGTACCTCAGCCACCTGGCCCCGTTCATAATCTGGCCAAGACAGGCCCACTGGGCTGTAGAGTTGATCGTAGACTCTTCCCTGAATCTTCGCGATCTTGGTAGACCGCAGCTCATTGGGGTCATATGGCAGCGTGATGTCGGCATCGCGGATGGTGGACGGTCGGCCCAGTCGAAGCGAAAGGCCCCTGTCGATCCGATGAACGGCCCAAAACAGACGTTCCTGAGCGGCTCGTAGAGGCTGGGGAGTTTCGCTTCGACCGTGAAGGCGATGGTATCCCAGCGTCTGGCAGAGATTCGAGGCAGCTGCAATAAAAGTCCAAGCCCTGGTAGCTTTCGAGCTGTCCACTGCGTGGGTTGCCTGCCGTCAGCATTAGCGACGAGTTCCGTATCCTGATTCCGATGCGGAATACGGACCCCAAGCGTCAACGCAGCAATGACCTCCATGGATGCTGGCAAGAGGAGCGGGAATTGCGAAAGCCCTGCATGGAGATTCTCGTGGCAGAGTCGGCAGTAGCCTCGGTAGTCTTGAAGCCCAGATACGACGACGTGTTCGGCGAATATGTAGAACAAATATCCATTGGCGAGAACAAGGTCCACTTCGGTATAGTCATCGACCGCGAAATACACCTTTCTGCAGATGTCGGCGAATGTCTCAAGGGGTAGTATCCGAGAAAGCCAGGCGATTCTAGTGTTCGCCTCATGACCTGATGATCGTGTCAGTGGACTCGTGGCATTCGTTCGAGGTGAGTCGCCAACCCTTCGCCCATCGCAGTACCGCCACGACAGCCTCTAGAGGCGGCATAGAAGAGCCAGCCGGGTATCTCGTAACCTTCGATTGCGGAGAGGGCAAGTTGCGAACGGCAGCAGGGCCTTCAAGAGTTTGTACGAGGCTCCTCAACGACGAAAACAGGTTGTCCGCTTGAGGCTGGGCATCTCTTGAGCCCTCGGATTCCAAGGCAGCCTTGAGGAAGTCAATGATGTGCGGCGAATGGTCCCAGAGATGCTCGCTCCCAGATAACGAGATGGGTTGGTTCTTAGTCGGATCTTGCAATAACTCAGGTTGTCTTGGGTGCCGAATGGAGCCAGTTTCGAGCCCCTTTGTGTCTGGAGACACATTGAGCCCCTGGAGCAGATCCTTGATGCCGTCGACGCTCTTGGCAATGTCGTCGATTTTCTGCTCGCTGGATGAACATGACCATGTGAGCGCTCCATGGTAAGACGACCTCCGAGGATCCATGCAGGGGGAGCTCACTATCGGGCTGATATCAAGACCCTCTGCTTAGGACTTGTCGTATTGGTTGCGACCGCGCTGTGGGTGCAACTCAGTCTGGCGGAAACGCAATTCGAGCAAGGCGATCCTCTGTCGCAGCCGACCTGCCCAGCAACAGTCAATAAGCCCATTCCTTTCCGCGGTCGCACCTGCATGCGAGAATGAGGAGCCTGACCTTCCGAGCCCGACACTGATCGCACTGTTTCAACCATTAGCAACCCGGGATGATGGAGAGGGCCGCGATCGGGCTCACCGAGCGCCGGGCGACCGCCGGACGGCTATTGGATCGCTCATCTGTGGTATTTCCGCGGGATTCCATCTTTCGGACCATCTGCGCTCAAAGAATACTGGCCATGGTATGTCTACTGAAGAAAATATATGACGGTGTTGATGATGCTGGCGATGACAAATCCAGGTACCCACGCCACCATCGGAGTTGCGCGGGTTTCCGGCCCAGATCTGATTGGCGCTTGTATTCCAATCCTCCCTTCAACCATACTGCGCATCGCCCAAGCATAGTCTGCTTGGAGGCGTTGTCGATAAGAGAATGGTCGCTCGAGTGCGATGAATTCGGGATATAAGTAGCGGTGCGCGCTCCGGCGCAGGGGCTGAGACTATCTCCCTCTCTCGCTCGCTCTAAGCTTCCTCAAGCTAGCAAATTATGGTCAAGAACATCCTCGTCACCGGCGGAGCCGGCTACATGTATGAGGCTCATCTTCCCAATTGGCCTGAGCTGACCTGGCGACAGCGGAGGGTCCATCGTTGCGGAGCTCATGTCTCGTACGAGCGGCCTGATCAAGGCGACAATTATCGTCGCCGCAGTCCGATCGGAAGAGCAGGTCCAAAGCTTGTCGAAGGCGGGAGTCAGGACCGTCCGAGTCAATCTCACTGACGAGGCGGCCGTGAAGGAAACCATCCTTCGCAATGAGAGTACGTCGACATATCAAGACGACGAGGACAGGCAACTGATGATGTTGTAGTTGATCTTGTCGTTCATATCGCAAGCTCCAGCGATGCTCGAATCCCCTCTTACCTCATCCAAGCGCTTGGCCAGCGTTACAAGGCCAGTGGAGAGGCGACGTACTTCATCCATGTGAGTCTTGCAATGTCGTCAGTGGATATCGCGCTAAACTCAATCCAGTCGGGAGTCACCACGCTTTTTACCGCCGAGGCGGGCTGGCCGTATGGGGAGGTGAGAGATACTGATCCCGTGTTTGAGAAGGAGAAGGAGATGGGAGGATCTCATCCCGTTCGGGAGGTGGGTCACTCCACCTTGCTGCAACATCAGTCGTGGACATTTGACTTCTGACCTGCTGTCAAGACCGATATCGCTGTCGTTGAACAGGCCCAACTACACGGCGTTACAAGCTTCAATGTTGTGGTACCACAAGTCTGTGAGTACTCCTGCGACGGCACATCTCTCGACGCAGCCGTCTGGCAGGATCCAAACTGACCGTCCGACAGACGGGAGAGGCACTGGCGCGTGGAGGAAGCTGTCAGTGAGCATCCCAGCACACGTCAGGGCCAGCATCAAGCACAAGGCCGTCTACAAATTCGACAAGGAAGGCGTAAGTTGGCTCTTCCCGGCGCACTCAGACCCTACTGCTCCAAGGGACGGGTGATTCGGCCATACGCGACCATTAAATGGTGACATCCAGACTAATTGGCTGACAAGAAGCCAGATCCCGCCCGCGGTGCATATATCCGATTTAACAGCGCTTTACGCCCTCCTGGTGGATAAGATCCTGCAGAACGAGCCCATTCCGAGCGGCAAGGAAGGCTACTACTTCGCCACGGCCCATAGAGCCTCGTGGTGGGATGTTCTCCAGGGCCTCGCCAATGGTCTGTATGCGCGTGGCCTGGTGGGAGAGCCCGAACTCAGGATCTGGCCTAGCGACAGGACGGCAGCGGAGCGTCTCGAGTTTCCGGTTCCATACGTGCGGGCTATGTGCACCTCTAGGTAAGCATCTCTCGTCATCATCTGGAGTGCGAGTTGCTGATAAGGGGAGTAGCGGGGATATCGTCGCTGAGAATGCGTATCGACTCGGATGGCAGCCAAAGTGGGATGAAAAGAGATATTTGGAGAGCATGGACGATGAGATTCAAGCGGTGCAGGAATTGGACACGGTCAAACCCACCATCTTTGCCTCGCTAATCAATCCGTCCGACCAGTGAGCGGGCGGCTTGAGGTATCCAGGTCGCATGAAAGGCACTGATCCAGCTGTTGAGTATAGAGCTTGAATATGGCATTGAACATGACATTGATTCTTGCATGAATGGCCTTGGAAGCCACTCGATATGCTAGATTTCTCGTTCTCCACGAATTCTGTGCGGGGACACATTCCTGGGAGAGATTGTCGTGCCGGATGATTTCGATTGGATACCTGACACGCCACTGGTCAACCATATCCACGTCCTTTCTGTTCCAGCGTGTCGAGATAAAGCCCACCCATACACAACCCTCCATTCACCTTCATGTTCTTATGCGCGAACGAGGTTCCCTTGGCCCACCACCAGCGGCGGTGATGGTAAGGTGGTGGGTGTAAGACTGAGAGAAGATTAGAAAAAGGCCATGTGATATGTGGCGACGCCAAGGCTTGTAAAGACCTTGGGAAGTGTTGTACGCTTCGTACACGCTTCGAAAGTATATAGTCTGACGGTCCCTTGGACCCCTTCGAAATAGAACAAGTCCTCCGTAAAATCACAGCCACAAAGGTTGCGGTGCACGTGACTAGGCTAGTCCCAATGTGGACCGCCAACGGTGGGCCATTTAGAGCGACCAGATGATTTCGTGGCAGGTTGTGACAGTCTCCGTGCTGGAACAGGCAGGGAGGTCGTGGGAGAGCGTCTCGAGCACTCCTGGGGGGGGAGATTGTTGGTTGTTATCGCCTATTCAGAACATCTAGGCTCATGTTCTCCACCGAGAGAGATCATGGCAATCCTGGACCTCTTCGAGGCCGCTGATATCTATTTTGATGGCCAGTGCCGTTGGCGTCACGGGTTCCGCGGCGCTCAGTCAGGGATCTGGCGTCGCGCAATGCTCCAGTACTCATCCATCGGCAACTTGCCGACGTCACTGGCAGTGTCCGTCCGCGACCTGCAGATCCCGAGTCGCGACGCGAGGGAAGCACGCGGGACGGGGAGATGATGCGTATATAACACCGCTTTCGAATCCGTCGGCGACATTAAAGACGGAGAATAGCGCCCATTAATTGCAACAGTCGAGATGTCGGCGAAGAAAGGCACAATCCTCATCACCGGTGCGAATGGGGCCTAGGTTCGCATTGGTGACCCAAATCGTCTCCAGCTCCGAACTGGCAGCCAACTACCATGGCATCTACACCGTCCGCAAAGCTGCGACCGCAACAGCTCTCCAGCGTGCCCTGGCATCCGCCCCAACTGCTCATCCATATGATACACTGGATTCGGATTTCTCGAAGCTCTTGAATGTACGAAAAGTGGCTGCTTCAATCAACACGCGAGTGGCCGACGGCGAATTACCGCCGATCCGTGCATTGACCTTGAATGCGGGCTATCAGGAGCATAGGATGCTGTCGAACTGGGGAACAACTTGAAATGTATAGAATGCTCTGTCTACCTCACAACCGGTCCCGCCAGGTTGCTAGTATATATACACGTTAGTTTGACCCCTTTTCTTCTCCTATTTCTACCCCCAAGTCCTGCATAGGGGTGATAACTCCTTTTCAATAAAGGGGCACTTGCTACTATTCAGCCGTTCAATGAAACCTTGTTCGACAATTTATCTCTGCCCATCAGGGCCTAGCTTTTCAGATTGAAAACGTCACGAAGATTCGCTCATGGACTACTTAACTTTTTCCAGGTCATCAATACACTCAGCAAACCACCCATCAATGCGCTCTGAGATCGTGGCAACTGCCTCCTTAAGTCTCTCAATGGCTAGGTCTTTTTCCGACTTCTCGACGTCTTCTCTGTTAGCAGGATTATTGCTCTTGTCCTGACCGGTCTTGTCGATCTTTTCCTCCAGACTGAGCTCGCCAATGCCTGTTTCTACTTTCCGAACTTCCTCCTCAGCTTCCTCCCAAATATCTTCGTCAGGGACAGTAAACCTAGGCGCGTTGTAGTTAACAGAGATGCCTATAGTTCTCTTCCCCGCGGCAGCAACGTCTTCTAAGGTCGCTAGACGATCTGGCTCCTTTCGTTCGTCAAATCCAAACAGTTCGACCCTCAGCCGATGTATAAGCCGAATAACTGGAAATGAAGTCTTTCCGAAGAGACGTGATCGCTTACCGCCCATCCATGCATTCCAGGAAGTACCCACGATAAGGTTTTTTCTAGACGCTAATCCGACACCTTTTTCAGCTTCTGTGAGCTGGGATGCGCCAGCGGAAGCAATTCGTTTTAGTTCCTTCTCACCTTCAGTAGTCCGATTCAGTTCTCCAAAGAGCAAAACCCAGAAGACACTCTCAATGTCATGCCATGGGTTGTGCCGAGAGTGTTCCCCCATCAGAATATTGATTGCCATGTAAAGGTAAGTGCCTGTGCGCCAGGGAGCTCCGGAATGGGGGTCTCCATATACGCAAGCCATGTCGAGGTCAATCAGCCTTCCAGGTGGAGGGGCGCCCTCCCCGTTCAGCATATCTGGCGACGTCACCATGATATTCGCTGGAGAAATATCTCGGTGGATAATGGGCCGATCTCTGCAAAACATTTTTCGAATGGCACGTACAGCAGAACGTAGAGCCTTTATACGCTCAAGTTCAGTAACATCTCGAGGATTAGGGTATTGATGTTGTGAAAGGCCATGTGGTGTGGTATCCACAGAAACGCCACAGTACTCTTCTAGGTACCATCGCTGTCTTCTCGTATATGAAGGCTTATCGGCTGACTTGGCAGCGGTCTCGTTCACTTCCGGCATGAACAAGCCCTTCTCAGCCTCTTTATTCTGGGTCTGGTTTGCCATGACGGAGGACGTGGTGTGTGTCACCTCCATATATTGATAGTTCGGTCCCATTTTGAGATATTGTCTGGAATGTTTTGCCTCCGGTAGAACGTCAAACTCGGTTGTTAAAGGTCCGTCTTTCCACTCAAAAAGCTTTGGTAGTTCCTCGATATCGCTCAGTTCACCAAGGATATCGGCTTCACTCGTGCGCGCCTCGTAGACCCAGGCCATTTTCAGCGCTGCAACGCCGTCACCTTCTGGAGGTGAGTTCTCTGTATCCTTTTTAGCCTGTAACTTTCTTGATTTTTTCTTTTTTGGCTTCGGTTTCTGCATTTTAACAGGCCATACCGTAGTGCCGCGTGTCGTGACCATGTCGACACCCACACGCACGAGTGGCGATGGTATCTTACATCCGGCAGGAGTGAAGCTGATGGCTCTTCGACCGATTGCAGAAGGTTCCTTTGCTAAGCCCTGGGCGTCGTCACTGGCCAGCATGAGCCAGTTGACGAAGCGCAGAAAATCCAACGTATTCTGCTCGATATTAAGCCCACTTTCGTAACACAGCACCTGCCCTCTGTTCAGTTGATAGAGACGCAATGTCCCGCCGGCGACGTAGATGGAGTATATGAAGTGACGAAATGGGTCATCCCGGAACACTTGGTTGCATCTCAAAAGAGAGAGTTGTATTTGGGATTGTGCATATGTCTGATCGGCCGATTTCTTGAGTTCCCAGGTTGTCTTCATATCGCAAAACCTCACATTTTCCTCGTTGACATCGGTGGCAATACTAGCTAGGTCGGGTTTGAAAAGCTTCAGGCCTTCCGCGTACTCCTCATTACTAATCCCGGACTTGGGAACTTTTGTTCCGATATTAATGAAGACGTTCTGAACCTGTCGTGTCTTTGCCGTCGATTGTGCTTGAAGGACCTCTTGAGCTTTCCGAAGCATGCGGAAAAATATATTCTGAGAAATTATTCCCGAGCTCTTTGAGGCCATATCCGACCGCCATTTTTTCCATTCATTGGATGTCTTGAGTGCCTCCTCTGCCCTCTTAAAATGGGTTTCGGTGAACTTTGCGTTCTTGGACATCTTATTATGAAGCTTCTCAAAAATGGAGACCTTTGTCCTCCACGTGTGTCATGCAGCCAAGGTTAGATATGAAAACGGGTAAGCGTTGAATTTGAGTATCGTCGTGGGGCACAGAATTTACTGCCTTCTGGGGTGTCTCATTGGCGACACTGCTTTTGGTTGTTGTCTTCTTAGACGTCTGGGAGATAGGCATGACGGGTGATTCGTTCTCTGGCGAGGCTATATTCCCGTCGGGTGGTAACCCTCCTCTTCGATAGAGGCTCTCTGGAGAGGCTTCAAGGGAATGTATTACACGCGTTCGGCGGCGTTTTGAATGAGGTATCGAGATCTCGATGCGAAGTTGGTCGGAGTTCGGTCTGGGCGCCATATTTAGCATTTGACTTTTGCATTTCGAAAGTTCGAGCCTTGCCTATGGCCGCAGTTTGGGGTGTGGTGTATCGGCAGTGACGCGTTTGATTGATGTCTAAGTTGCCGTTGCCTAGGCAACAAAATACCGTAAAGGATTTTTGTCAAGGGACCAAATGCCAAGGATTACGTGCCAAGGGACTCCTACTTATTTTGTACACTCTTTTCGCAACATTGAATTGCAGAAATCTCAACAACGAGTGCTTTGGAAATACTGTGACTCTTAATATAGCTACTGTGTAGCCTTTAATATTGGATCGACCAAAATTTTCAAGTTTTCCTACGTCGTTGTAAGGTAAAGAAAGTGGTGGGAAAAAGTTGCGTTTCATGCGCTAGATGGTACGACGTACTTCTTTATTAAGGGTGGACCACTACGCCGGAATGGCACTTATTATATCGCCATTCTGCAAGCGTATATAAGCGATTTGAAAGCTGAAAAGACGTTATCTTATTAGCTGGATATCGAGACCGGCGCCATATACCACTCCTACCCGAACATATGGTCCGCGGATTGGATCCGATGGCGGCGGTATATCGTGGGATCCGATCCAAGGGCCACTTAGATATTGACGCCAGCAGTCCCACTCCTACCCAGCGTGTGAAGGTTCAGGGTCGAGGATCCAATCAATATATTCCAGCTAGCATCTAGATTCAAGTAGCACAAAGAGAGTCAAGAAAGCATGCTAGCAGGAAGTGCTAAAGAACGTGATTCTTAGCACGTGGTCCCGTGACACTCTCTGAGTGGTCCATGGACTGGATCCGATGAGGGATATCGTCCGTGATCAATATTGTGAGGGTTCAGGGGTCAAGGATACGATCAATGTATTCTCGAGTTCTAGGTATAAGACGTAGCAGAGTTAAGATAGAATGCTACGCAGGAAGTGCTGAAGAACCCCTGAATACGTAATCCTTAGCACGTGGTCCCGTGACAAATATCGTCTACATATGGTTCATGGACTGGATCCGATCAGGGGGTTTCTGGCAGACAAAGGTGGTACTCCTAGATGGTTCATAGACTGGATCCGATGGGGTTGGATGCGCCGTACGGAATTTTAGCCAATCAGAGCAAAGGATTTGGGAATTGTCGGATTATCGATTTTCCGGATGACGGGTGCTACGGGGGGTTGCGCTAATTATCGAAAACCACGCTAACCGTCGTCACCGCCACTGGATCCGATCCGTGAACCATCGATTCGCTCACATCAGCCAATCCCTCGATATCTATTTAGCTGGTTCACGGATCGGATCCCATGAAACACCCACCGCCATCGGATCCAATCCGTGGGCCATCTGGCCGAGTAGGACCGGGACAGTGGTCTCGTTCCTTGGGCAGCGTTGGCGCATCTTGCTACTTCAGCATAGCCTCTGTCACGGGACCACGTGCCAAGAAGCACGTGTTCAGGGGTTCTTCAGTCGGGATGATGAACCCGCGGCGACACGGGACCTTTTCGCTCGGTTTTTGTAGCGGCGGGAAAAGAATGTATGAGCTAACTAGCGCTATCTGCTGGAGTTGGCCGCTTTCCTTATCTATGCCCCGTAAACGAATATAGTCTAATATAAGTTGGAGGCCTTGGCAGAAATCCACATATTGTTCGATGTGACATGAAGGCTGAATTCAGACTAGTTATACCAAACCTTGAATATATAACCTTTGGCATGCCCACCAATTCCAGACCTGTCCAACATTTCCACGTTGACACATGACAAATTAAAGAGATATAGCAAGTATGGAGCGTTTACGCGAAAGGGAGGGTGGTGGGGGTAGATGGTGGATCCTATGAAATACCACCACCATCGGATCCAATCTGAGGATCATGTAGCCAGGTGTTCCCTTAGCATAGCCTTCCCAACTTGATCGGATCCAGTCCATGGCCCATCTGGAGATGGGCAGACGATATCGTCCCTCCGAGGCGCAAAAATATCCCGTTCATCTGCTCCTCCTCTAGTACGGATACCAATGTGTCATCCCCATTGCTCCTCTCAAAGGGAGGAAGGGGAGGTGTTTTACTCAGGACCCTCTGGTGCGTCGTGGTAAGGAGGGCCTCTTATCGCCGTTCGATTCACGCGGCGATGGTCACGACCTCTCTATAAGCTCGTCGTCCTCGTCTCACGGTCGGCGAGTATCGATCCACTAATGCCATTACTCCTGTTGAGGAAGCACAACCTCCTGCTGTTGGATAGATTGGTACAAGACATTCGTACAAAAACAAATTCAGATTACGTAACGACTGTTTTATCTGTGGAGCTTGATACCAAAGATTCGACATTTATGCTAAGCCTGGTGCTCTCAGACCACGCATCAGAGGATTTTCGGTTTTCCCTGGAAAAGCACGTTCATATACAGTCGACAGATATCAATATTCTCGAAACTCCAACAATACCGTCGCAGTCTCGATGGCAAAATGGATGAACGATGAGAGACAAAATCCTTGATATTCAACTGTCAATGCTGCATCCCAAGGTTCCCTCTCCCAAAACGATAGTTGAAGTCGACGTGGTATAGATCGACCTCAACAGTGGGGAGTGGATTCCGGAAAAGAACTTGGTTGACTTTTTCTCTCATTCCTTGCGGTGTTGCCTATTTAGCTTGGCATGTCACCTTCGCCGTGTCACTCCTTCAGTTTTTACTTAAATCAACTCGCATTCTCAACATTTCTACTCATTCCATCAGAATTAATCCATCACCTCTACTACCACCGTTACTTGCCACTTCTTCTCTCCACATTTCCCCTCTTCTCGTTACGTTTGGCCATTCCAGATAGCATCAATATGAGCACCCCTTCAGCACCGGACAGGGAGCACACCGAGTCAGGCTCTCAAGCCGCTCAAGAAAAGTCTCCTACTACAGAAAAGGGGCCAAAAAATATAGATATAGGAAATATGATGTTGCTGTTACAGTGGCTGATTATAAACTACCCGAAACAGTTCGAAGAGAAACTACAATATATGAAGACTGGCGAGTTGCGCAAATGGCTGCTGGAAAACAATCTGGAACGGTTCAATAAGCTACTCCCGAGTTGGGCTATGGAGGAGACAGCTGATGCTAACGCCAACAATCCCGCCTCCCGTACCCCCGCTCAGATAAGCGCTATCCTCCCTGCCCTGCGGAAAGATTGGAACAATTCCTATTTTCCGCACTCCTTAATGGCGTTACGAGACCTCATTCGGCAATATCAGCTACTCGATGTGAGCCAGTATTACGCGAAATCCTTGGTATTCGTCCAGAGCAGCGGCATGGGTAAATCAAGATTAGCGGATACTTTCGGTCAATCCTGTCCGATGATCAACTTCATTCTTCGTGAGTCTGGAGATTCTGGCTTCCCACCTCCTGATGGAGAGATACTGTCATTTCTACGCGACAAGCCCCCAGCCAACGTCCTCTGGCCTACCAGCTGGCAGGGGACATCTAGTGATTTTCTGGAGAGGAGAGTAGCCGTAGCGTGGAATTACACTCTCGCTACAGCATTGCTTCAAGCCAGTTTCGAGATATGTAAGTTATCGATGCTTTTCACCGAAACTCTCACTAATTTAATCTCATCAGTCCATATCTGGGTAAAGAACCAGCCCTTTACCACGATGACTCTAAAAGAGCTTGCAAGCGGCAGACATGCAGAGATGGCCACACTTGAACCAACTGTCGATGCTCAAGATGCTGGGAGCCAACGGTCCAAGATGCGTATCGAGTTTTGCGATTCGGTAGCCAAGAGAGCTCGGGTGATCGCTCAAGAGTTAATTTCCAGCCCGGATTGGATAGGGAAGTTCGATGATGATAGACCGTACAAGGTTCACCGTCAACTCGAAATGGCGCATAGTGAACATCGCCCTAATCCCTTGAACAGCCTTCTCAATGCTGCTGAAAACCTAATGAAAATTCTTCAACAATGTCGAGGCACCAGCAACACGAATCCACTTTTGGTGATCGTATTCGACGAGGCGTCAAGTTTCATGAGAAAGTATCGTTCTGACGAATCGCACACCGGACTCTATATGGCGCTCGATCGAGTCATTAGTTATCTGAAGAAGTTTCCTGCGTGGTTTTTCTTCCTCTCAACAGAATCTCTCATCGGACACCTAGTACCGTCGAGCAATACCATCCGAACTAGCAACTCCGTTCGGGACTCCTCCGCTCGTATCGACTCCACACAGACCCACACTGAACTGATGCGCTTTCCCCCATTTGTAAGTCTCCGGCTCGACGTCGAGGACAGACGAAGAATGCAGAATCCAATACTGAGGAAAGCGGAACTACTTAAGCCGTTAAAGGCATTTGCGACCCTAGAGCATATGGCCTTATTCGGCAGGCCTCTCTGGTACGCATATGCACGTACGAACGAAGACGTGGTCGAAGTGGCCAAATTGAAGCTCATTAGCGGCAAGCAGCGGGGACATTACATTCCCATCGATCCGAACCACGTATTTGCTGCACTGTCCTTCCGTCTCTCTTTAGATGTCTGCTCGCAGAACCCCTCTACCGTCTCCCTCACCGAGAGAGCTGTGAAGTCTTTCATGAGAGTGGTCATATCTATGGACCACGAGACTGGAGTGATGGAAACAACGACGCCATCAGAGCCCATCTTAGCTAGAGCAGCAATGGAGTATCTCTGCAGCGACCTTAACTGGTCGGATAGTATTCAAACACTTTGTTGGGGGCTCCTCGAGAAAGGTCTAATAGAAAAGGGGCGCAAAGGAGCACTCTATGCCCGATTAGTGCTGATCCTAGCTCACGACTGGGTTCGATGGGCTCACGGTCTTCGATTAAATCGTGTCCCGAAATTTGCGTCAACCTTTACGGTGTCCGACTTTCTCATGGCATTGTATGCTGGAGAATATCACGATTCAATTCGAAAGATACCGGAGCGGATATGTGAAGCCAGAATGAACTTCACTCATTTTGTACCAGCTTATACACAACTTCCCCCCGAGGTCATTCCTGAAATATGCCACGACCTGTTACGTCGAAGCGGGGCGATGCAGCTGTCTTGGGACCAGCAAATATACGATCTGTTGATTCCTGTGTACTATGGCACAGAGGACGAGAAGTTCGACCCATCGAATTGCGGAGTTATCGTAGTACAGGTGAAGAACCAGAATGATGCCACCACACCTCGAGAGATCTTCGAAGAGGACTTCATTAATGTTGGCCCGGAAACGTCGAACCTGGCCCAATTGGAGACGAGGACTCCTCAGCGCAAGTCGACGAAATTTCTGTTCAGTCAGATGGCGAACCCTATTCTGTTCCTCCTCTTCGATCTAGGCGTGGTCAAAGGCAGCCAGGCTTACGCTCCTCTTATTCAAGTGATGCACAGTGAAAGTGGACTGCAACCTGATTTGTGGGCGATTCATTCGCGAGGACACGGTCACACGGTCTTTGGCTGCTTACAGCACATGGATGCTGGAAGCTCGAGCGAGCGGCTTTTTGCTTCAGTACAAACAGGCAACACTCCGGCCGATCGACTCTCTCTGAGAAATAGGCCGTTCTATCAACCTTGGCGAAGCTTTAGATATGAGGGATTTGAGCAAGAGAGGGAAGCGAGTACGGAAGGGAGTGAGAGCGAGCAGGTCTTTGCTTCGGTGCAAAAGAGCGAAGCTCTGGCTGACCGACTCTCTCGAATAAATAGAACATTCTCTCGTCTCGAGGAAGAGTACAGATATGAAAGAATTAAGCGAGAAATGGAAACGAGTGCGGAAGGGAGCGAGACGAGTGTGCAGAAGCAGGGTGTGAATATGACTGAAAAAGAAGGCGAAGTGGTTAATATCGAAGCGCGGAAAGGGAAGGCAAGCAATACTCGATCGAAGGGAAAGGAAGTGGAAAGGCTCGAGGATAACCGGTTCGGTAAAAGAGCCTACAACTTTGCCAAAAACCATTTCCCGTTTCGGAGACGCTCGGAAAAAGAAGGTTGATGGTGTCACGGCTTCAACTGAGTTGTGTTCAAGGTTCGAATGGGCTATTTGTCTCTAGCTAGATAGAACGGGTCGGTGATTGGAGCAGGGTGGGAGTACTTTCCTTGTATTGTGGTGGGGTGCTACGTGCAAGGAGAAAACAGACATGGGTTGGCAAAAAGTCAGGGAATGCATAGAATCTTTCTTAGTTGGTTTCACAGAACAGAGAGGAATCAAGCAACCAGATCTTCGTGTGCGGTTGCTCAATGATCCTGATGCCGACATCTTCCCTGCATGACAGGCACTCATGTAGACCTTGACAAGGGCACGGTTGACCCGGCAGGTTATGGGTCAGGTTGGGCTTTGGGACGGGTTTTGAGCTATCACAGTATTCGACCCAAAACCCGTTAGGTCGCCCAGAGTTTAATTAAGTACGGAATGACATAATGTGCGTAACGTAGGTCATAAGCGAGTGCACTACTCGTTAAGTGGTGCACTCTCTTATGACCTACGCTAAATGAACGATCAAATTAGAATTCTTATTGTTACACGGAGACACGTCCAGATACGCGCTCAACTTGAATTCTTTGTGTAAGAGTGCAGTAATGCCGCTGTCACAAAATTTTCGGTGGTGGTGGTGATGGCGGCGATGTTTGGGTATGGTAGGCTAGTTCGTACACTTATCAGTACATCTGGCTCATATAGAAGTTTTATTCTATACACTCAGATCGCATTCACACAGCCAAATACAGCAAAGTCTCCAAGGTTCAACAGTTTCTGCTCTAAAAAGGCCGATTCTGATCTCGCGACGAACTCGACTATCGAGTAGCATGCGCCCCAATTTAGGAGTGTGCCATTAATTAAAATGAAGCTTAAGACACTTCCTAGTTCACTATTAGTGTAAAGGTGATGAACGGTTTAGCACTTGAGTGCCTGTCATGCAGGGAGGATGCCGTCGTCAAAGCTGTTGAGCAACCACACACAAAGCTCTGCAATACAAGAAAAGTTTAATGCTCTCGCCATCTTTCTACCCACCCATGTTTGCTTGCCCCTTACATAATCCATGCACGTAGCGCCCCGCTACACTAGAGTCGAAAGCTGACTCGATATTGAATTTGTTTAAGTTGACGCTGTTTTCCCCTACTCGCCTTTCGATCATCCCTGGGGTTTTCTCTTTCTCCGACTCGATGATGGAAAGGCATATTCACGACTGGGTAAATGGTAATTTCGCGCCAGAGTATTGCATTCCGTGGCAGACTCTAGGCTAAGAGACCTTAGGTAGAGCGTGCTGTCGTACCAAGCTTTACCGACCTCAAGGTGATATCGTACCGGTGGTGATAACTGCATGCAAATCAGTCCAAAGCATGCAGAACTTGACGCAGATGACCGGCAACGCCCCTTTTAGATTTAGTCGATAGGTGGAGAACAACTGTTGTTGGCCATAGGACCGGCGGTTGTACGCAACGATCAGACTGACCAGAGCAGATTGCGAGGACTAGGGCTAGGACTGTCTCTGGGAGCGTAGCGCAAGAATCCCCGTATCTCGAAATAGTTTTCGATAAGCTCAGAGACTCTTGCCTTCGTTCAAGCAACTGTGTCGGCTTCACATTTCATTGGGCTTCGTAGAGATGGAAGAAAAGCCCAATTGGTGGGTACTTCCTCCCGTCGCTGTTGGTTTGCACGCTTGTGTTAGTGAACTAAACAACAGACCAGCATTCTCACGAAGATGCCATTCAGGGGATGACGTACCTACGGCCTCTGCTAGCATCGAGATGGTTCATCGGCCTCTTAGCGCCCTTTGAATGCGATACGCGATAAGGGATATAAAACGGTGCACAGACGCCTGCGGTTAGTGAGGCCAGAACCATCAACTCGAGGAGGTCCGTCGGCCGGCTTAGGTGATGCATAGTGTGACCCAGTATCAGCGGCTTGGACAAGAAATTCATCCCTATGATCTTGGTGTTATTGCCCTCGAGGTTACACGCGCCCAAGAGCTGCTTGTAGATAATGACCATGGTTGACATTTGAGTCAAGGAAGACTGTCAGCGACCAAGACGAAAACTGTCAATACCAAGCCCGACTGGAAGCGAGGTAACATCCTCAAATATTTATCAACAGGTCCAAGGTCTCAAGGAAAACCGCTGAGCAAGAGACCCGAAGTGCCGCTCCGAAACACCGTAAAGACCAAGGCTTCGGGGCGGGCAGAGAACTTCGGTAGGAAACCTTGCGCGCCTAAAACTCCCCCGAGATTATGCCCGAGGGCAGTGTCCGATTAGCAGGAGTTCAGCTACGATGTTTATAGTTTTGCCTGGGTCGTTAGCAGCTTTAAGGAAATTAACGCCAATAAGCTGCTGCCGACTATACTCAGTATTTTCACGTGTCCTTTTCCTCCGTTGCGATAGCTTTGCAAATGGGGGAACCTGGGGATGTAACGACCTTTTGCTTTATAATGTGGCCTATTTCTGACTATAAACGGGGACCTTCACTACATGCCCATGCAATGATAGCGACTCCTGTGGCCGAGAGCACTTTGACCTCCCCAAGAGCTGTGGCCGATAAAGCATTTCCAACTATGGTGCCTTCTGGCCGTTTCACGCAGGTCCGCATCCACGATTCCTGTCTGAGAATATCATCAAGAGCAAATACGACCTAGGTCCGATACATTCTCCGAACGACATCTCCATCCTGCATGGTATGTCCCATCATGTAGAGTAAATGCCTTTCGGCCACCCATGGTCAGTTCCATCAAACACCGGTGTTGCGTCTTTTGGGGGCTAGAGAGTGTTCCTGTGGCCAAGACATCGCCGTAGCCAACTTGAATCCACCGACAGTCTAGTGCGCTACTAAGTAAGCAAAGACCAGTAAAGGCGGCTAGTATTACTCTCGCATAGTGTCGTGGAACTTCTATCAGCGTTTCAGTGGTGGAGCCTTGGTATGATAATTCCCTTGTTTGACGTTTGGTTGACCCCTTTTCCCACTAAAGGAGCCTGGCTACATGTTCAGCCGTTCAACACTGGCCTTTTGATCTCTGCTGTCTAGATGGGATGGAACGGAACATCTCTTTCTGACACTCGTAGCTTCAACGGCTCTAGCGCATCAAGGGTGACAACCCGCGGCGAAATACTGGCTGCGAAACCCTTGCCGCTGCAACCAATCTCCAGTTCATAATCCATTGCCTCAGTAGGCCCAAAGACAATACTCCCGCAACGGAAGGCTTCCCGCTTCACGAACTTCAGTCGCCTATGGCAGTTGGTCAGTGAGATTGCTCAAATTGGGACGAATCGGTTTGAATTCTCTCTCCCTTTGGCAACTGGTCCCGCCGGATTGTCAGTATATATACACGCTTTGTTGGCCCCTTTTCTACTCCTATTCCCCTATATCCTGCATAGGCGTGGTAACCTTTTTCCAAGTAAAGGGGTACTGCCCATTGTTCAACATCTCCATATCGCCCCTTTACAATCTATGCAGTATTTAATGGTAGTCTCGCTTCGATTTCTCCAGATGGCAACGCAATCATGTCAGCTATTGAAAAAAGCACGAAAAATTGATCGGAAACTGGATCACATATCCGTTGCAAGAGCTTTGAAATGGATGTACCGGCGTCCTCGATGACCATTTCATGCTGAATAACGAGCTAATTAATGATCTAGAGCTATTGATTTGGCACTGCCAATATCATGGGCCGCCTGACAGGGCCTTTTATCTCACCACTTCGGAGTTTGGGGGGAAAATTCTGGTTGGAACTTTTTCATGTAGGCAGTGTCATCCCGCTTTCGCAACCCACAGTCAAGATACTGCTGGTGAAGTCGTGCCAATTTCTCTCTGTCGAGTTCGACCCCTATCCCGGGCGTAGTGGGCACAACCACTCCACCGTCGACCCACTTCAGAGCTCCATCGACAATGACATCCTCATCGCGACGTTTCCACGGCCAATGGGTGTCGCAAGCGTAGTCAAGATTACGAGTGGCAGACGCCAGATGCGTCATGGCAGCGAGCGAGATACCTAAGTGGCTGTTCGAATGCATCGAAAGCCGCATGCCCCAGATCGCACAGATGGCCGCCAGTGTCTGAGACCTGCGCAGGCCGCCCCAGAAGTGATGATCGGATAGAATCACCTGGACAGCATTCTGCAATATGGCAGGAGGGAGGTGGTCGAAAGCGACCACGGCCATGTTCGTAGCTAGGGGCATCGGGGCATTCTTGGCCACAGCGGCCATGCCTTCGATTTCTGGGGCCGGATCCTCCAAGTACTCGACAATGCCTTCCAACTCCTTGGCAACCCATTTCGAGGTCTCAATGGTCCACGCAGCATTGGGATCAAGCCTCAGTGGCACACGAGGAAATGCGGCATGCAATGCTTTGATTGCTTCGACCTCCTGAGCGGGCGGGAAAACCCCACCCTTGAGCTTGATCGCCTTGAAGCCATATTCGTCGATGATCTTCTGCGCTTGTTTCACCACACCAGCTGGATCAAGTGCTGGGCCATATTCATCGTCTGCCTCACCTGGATGTCCTCCCCACTTGTAGAAGAGGTATGCTGAGTACTGGACATTGTCTCTCACACGGCCACCGAGCAAATCGCTCACGGGTACACCTGCCAGCTTGCCCTGTATATCGAGACATGCAACCTCAAAGGGGGAGAAGACTTTATCAGCAACAGATGCGGTGGTGACCATGCCGGCCATACCATCACCACCAGTACCGATGTCGCCTGCTAGAGAGTCGACACATATTTGGTATATGGAATTTGTATCGTACACTGAGAGGCCTTTGATTTGTTCGGCTGCTCTTCGCAGACGACCCAGGTGGGTTGAGTCTCCGTACGATTCGCCCAGCCCGTAAGTATCATCCGTGACGACCTCGATAATGCTGCGTAATGCAAATGGTTCATGCACACCCACACTATTCAACAGTGGCATATCATGGAATGCCACTGGCGTGATGATGATATCTGTGATATTGACACGTTGAGACATGAATTCTAATTCCAAGGTACAGGATTATGATCGTCCGGGTTTGACACCAGAGGTTGCAAGCTTCAGAGAACTGGAAATATTTTTAACGGGAATTGACTGATCTCTTTTTTTTTTCAACCGGGATTTGATACCGATTGAGACCGCGGCCACCGTGTTTTGCGTTTACCAAAATGACTGTTGCGTAGATATTGGAGTGGTTTCGTCCCCATCTGCACGAACACATTAAAGAAAAAAGTTATGGCACCACGTTCCACGTGAAAGCTATAGTCAAATCATATGACTTGAACGGATGTCAGCCGACTGGAACGGGATATGGATGACGCTGTGTTGGACGATTATCCGTAAAAGGTCAGTCTAGCCACACGGAAATGGATGATCCACCGCCCTTACCATCTTGCATTTCCGTGTTGCGAAGAATTTCCAATCAGGAAGATGAGAGACTAACTAAAATATTAATTGCAGAACTAGTTGGCAATCCTGTGCGGGGAAGTTCCGATGGTGTGTCTACCTTGCGTAGTGATATTTCCGAAAATGCGGGCGGGGAGCATATATGGTTCGGGACCCCTTTGGTCATCGAGGAGCTGTCACAAAGCAATACACCTTCTAAGCTAGTCGAAGGCACTATAACACTTAATTTCTCACCACCATGGCTCCCAGGAAGTCACTCGAGAAGGATGATGTCGATATCGTCGACCAGGAGGCTATTCACCTGGAGGGTGCATCTCAAGTCATTGAAATTGGAACCTTTCATGTCCTAGGCTTGAGTTCTCACGATGCTGAGTTCTTTTCCAACTACCCCGAGGAAAAGCGGAAGAAAGTCTTTCGCAATGTGAAAATCTTCGGTCCTTTCACAAAAATAACGGTGGCTAACGTTCTAGGAAGGTTGATGTTCGACTCGTCCCTATGTTGGCACTTCTGTACTTGATCTGCCACATCGACCGTGCCAACATTGGCAATGCGAAGATAGAGGGCATGGTCGATGACTTGGGCATGACGGGTGTGCAGTACAACACTGTCCTATCTATCTGTGAGTATTGTCCCGAGGCCTTCACTCAGTGCCTAGGCAGTGGACGTACTGACATACGGTATAACAGTCTTCATCCCTTATGTTCTGTTCGAAGTTCCCAGTAACATTCTGCTCAAGAAATTCAAACGCCCCTCGGTGTACCTTGGTATCCTCATCGTTAGCTGGGGTATTGTAATGACTTGCACGGGCTTGGTTCAGAACTTCGGTGGTCTGATGACTACCCGGGTCTTGCTCGGTATTTTCGAGTCAGTTCCAGATATGGGCCGGTTGGCTTACTGCGCTAATACCTTGGATGGTAGGGCTGGATTCTTCCCCGGCGCCATCTATCTATGCTCTTATTGGTACATGCCCAAGGACTTGGCGACTCGGATTTCCTACTTTTACTGCGCAAGCGCACTGTCTGGTGCTTTCTCGGGCCTGCTGGCTGCGGCTATTGCTCAAATGGACGGTATTGCTGGACTCGAAGGATGGCGATGGATCTTCCTCTTAGAAGGTCTTGCTACCGTAGCACTCGGCATTGCCTGTTTCTTCCTGCTCATCGACACTCCCGCTCTATCCACGCGCTGGCTGAGCCCTGAAGAAATCCGATACTTGGAGCTCTCCATGTTCATCAAGCAGGGAGGAAATTTCCACGAGGAATCCGGCGTCAAATGGAGGGACCTCAAGATGGTGCTCATGAACTGGAGGGTTTACGTCCAGGCTTATTTCTTGCTGTGCCAGTCGGCTCTTTCTTATGGTAGGACTACTCTTCGGTGAGGCATCATGAAGCGTGCAACTAACTCACATGTGCGACCAGGTACCAAGTTCACCCTTCCGACCATCACCAAAGCCATGGGTTTCAGCTCAACCAATGCCCAGCTTACTTCGGCTCCTCCATATGTTGCCGGTGCGATATCGGCTATCGTCTTTGCGCGACTCTCCGATCGTTTCTACTGGCGAATGCCTTTTGTGGCAATACCCATGATCATTGTAACAATTGGCTATGCTATTGTCATATCACTGCACGGAGCTCTCGAAACAAGGAAAGGAGTAGCTTACTTCTCGGTCGTTTTTGCTGTCATGGGTATTTATCCAATTCAAGCAGCGGCTGCCTCTTGGAACTCAAACAACATTGCACCTGCCTCCCGACGAGCTATTGGTATTGCGCTCATGAACTGCGTCGGCAATGTCGGCGGCATCGTGGGTAGCTTTATGTATATCGAAGCCGAGAAACCCAAATACTACACAGGGTTCGGTCTCAGTTTGGCATTTGGTGGAACCGGACTCATTGTTGCTCTTTTGCTTGAGTGGAGTTACATGGTGGCAAATGCAAAGAAGGCGAAGATTGCGGAGGAGGCGAGAGTCAAGTACACGGAGGAAGAATTGTTTGACATGGGAGACAAATCCCCGCTGTTCAAGCATGTCCTGTAAATGCCTTGGTTGAGGAAGAGCGAGCAACTTGAGAATGGATTTTCGACAATGTTTTTTCACAACGGTGATAACTTACTCGGAACGTATATGTAGTCGCATAGTCAAAATTTATTAGGGGACACCAATGAAGGTCTTCTCTGCGCTGCCCTCAGAATCGTCAGGCCCGCCGCAACAAAATGCTGTGACTCCCGTCGCTGTCCCCAGCTTAAGAAACTAATAAAGGACTTTGCTTTTGGGGAGAAGTAGTAGCTTCTGTACTGTGTGCATTCTAGGAACCGGACACCAGCAACCGATCAGCAAGCCGCCCAACGAAGCCAGTCAAATAAACATCATGACAACACCCAACCATCCACAAGTCATCGACGACAAAAGTCGCCTATCTCCATCTCATTTCATCTTGAAGCGGCTGAAGAAGTGTGATTTTACGGAGGACTTGTCCTATTTCGAAGGGACCGTCAGACTATATAGTTTCGAAGCGTGTACGAAGCGTACAATGCCTCCAAAAGCCTCGGCGTCGCCACGGATCACAAATGAAGTTTTCATCTTCGGCTAGAGACTTGCCTCAATACTCACCAAGCCTGCAGTTTGTGACTCAATGACCTTCTTTGCCGCGTCAGAGGGCTCTACGTATGGCCGTCTCGGCTTCAACTTCTCCAGAGCCCCTTCAATTCCCGCAGCCTTAGCGGTGTTAAGGGCCGCCGCATACTTCACGGACGCAATACCAGCCTTGCAAGACTGCTCCGCAAGGGCAGCCTTCTTATGTAAGTCCATTGCCTCTTGGAACTTCTCCTCCTTGTACAGGTTGTAGATCCGCACGATGGTTTTGGGAAACACATTCGCAAACCCAGCGATGGTTCCCATGGAGCCAGAAGCCAAGCCGCCGATCAGAAAATCCGCCTGTCCTCCAAACGTCGCGAACTGCTCCGACGGGAGCTCGGCCACAAGACGCGTGATCTTGGCCACGGCGCCGCAGGTCAGCTTCACGCCAACGATGTTGCTGTGGGCCTTAGCCAGAGAGGCGATGGTCGCCGAGTCTAGATCAATGCCATTGCAAACAGCTGGGAAATTGTAGAGAACGACGGGGAGCGGGCTCTCCTTGGCGACATCATTAAAGAAGCCATCGATCACGGCCGGTGTCGTCTGTTTACCAAAATACGCTGGGGGCAGAACCAAGGCATAGTCCGCGCCGGCATCAGCCGCGTCCGCTATGAATTCCAAGACTTGTTTCGTTGAGTGGCCGCCTACGCCGGCCATGATGGGGTATGATGGCCCGCATGCTTTCCGAGCGGTTTCCAGGAGTGTCTTCCGCTCCTCACGCGTCAGCAGAAAGGTCTCAGAATTAGTGCCGAGTACAACAAGCCCGGCCAGACCACATTTTGACAGGTAGGTGTAGAATTTCGCCTGGGATTCCATATCCAGGGTGTCAGTGCTGTGGTCGAAAAAGGTGATTGCTGGGACCCACACCCCGCTTGGCGGAACGTGGGGGGTGGACATGGTGGTTGCTCCTAGATCGAGGTTCAAAACGGATGGTCTTTCTTCGCGGAGAAGGGTATAGACTACAGGAGGCTCCTGGGAAAGGTCGGGATACTTAAAGGTCCCTGGATGGCGGTCAGGGGGGATCCGTCCATCTGCTCGGAGAAACCGTTCCTCAGTACGGTGCTACCGTTCATGCCCTCCGTTTTCAGCCATTCTTCCCGTTTCTAAATTCACTTCTCGTGCGAAGCTTATTTTTGTCAAATATCTTGAATATGACATCAGAGGTCGATATGATACATTGAACAAGTATATTTCTAACGACTATTGCGCAACGGCCAACGAGTTCAGCCCGTATTTATCTTTCCGTCCTGCCCGTCCCCGAAGCTAATTTCATGGCCTGTTTTTGCCAGCAACGGAAGACATTGAAAAATCGTTGGTCTCGGATATGCAGAGATGATTGCCGACGGATAAGAATGGCCAGTTCCGATTCCCTGCACAAACCATAACACAATGTCCATAAACATCACGACTTGAATGGAGGAACCGACGACTTCCCTGCACCTCCGACGTAGTTTGAGTGATCGAACCTCTGTCAAGAAGAATCCTAGGAATGCAGTCCATTCGTAACCTCGCGTCAAATTGTTTCCCTCTTTAAATCCGTGGCACGCATCTAGTGGCCGCTCTCTGCCACCAGCGATGTCAGTAAGTGCCTCGAATTTAATCAGTCCAGCGGCCTCCCTCCATCATTGTGTATAAATGAAAAATGAGGCGAATGACTAGTCGTTCCATCATTGTTCCTTTCTATGAGATGCTTCGACTTCGACAACTACCACGCTCCCTCATTTCATCCTGCCATCCTTTGTGCAGGTAGCTGCATCACATCACTTACTGGTGCTGCGAGAAAGCGAAGCTGAAAGTTGTTGGGCCTTTTGTGGAAGCAGGATGGCAGTGCGAAATCGAAGGCCAGCAGTCAACATTCCCCTGAGCACTATCGACGACACTGCCCGGCTCAGCATTGCGCGTGATGGTTAACGGTCCAGCCCATCACCTTCCTGCTGAACTCATGGACCTCCTTGTTGTACGCATCCCATTCTTCAAGGAATGCCGTAATCTTCTCTAGACTGATGCAGCCCATATGTTCGAACCATTTCCGGATCATGACACCCCTTGCCATGGAACAGTACCGGCCATCTTAAATTGGTGTCCTCAAACCCACGCGAGGGTAACTTGGCCAGTCTCGAAAGTTACGCCGCCGCTCTTCTTCTCCTGCCTATTTTTCCCTGTTGGCTTCCATCTTATCTAGGGCTTCTTGAACACTACTCGGCGATCTCCATCGGGAATGACGCTTCGTTCGGAAGGTAGCCCCCGCTGCGGCTTCGAGGCGGGAGTCAAGCGGCGAGCGGGATCGCCAGCGATCCTCTTTGCGATCAAAGCTAAACTTGGCTCCCTCGTTCTTCCTCTTTCTGGCGTCTTCGTGATGCCGTTTTGTGCTCATGCTGGTCATGTTAGTGCACCATCTTTCTCATCTAGGGGGTTGGCCTGCCTCCTCACGCACGGCTAATTCGTCGTAAGCCTCGTGTTACGGGAAAGAGGTCACAGCCAGCAGGTGATCCAGAGTTCTCTGTGACAGACACACAGAGCTGGGCGTGTGGCAGATACAAATTCATTGCGTAGGATCATAGGGAGCCTGCTGAAGCCTAGTGCCAAGAGTCCCTATGGCCCCCGACTCATTGTTCGACAAGAGCAAGTCCATCGCACATAGGGTGGTGGAAAGTTCATTCGCTGTCCCATTCGCTTAGCGGTCATTCACCAGCCGGAAATTTTCATCAAGATGTCCCCAAAGGCACCATGTATCATTGTAACCATGGCATCCAAGTTCGTGGTTAATGCAGCCTTTGAGACTCGTCTACTCTTTCGGACACCTCGACGGAGCGATGTTTACCCTCGGACCGTCCTCAAACTTGAATATCCTACATTGCAGACTCTCAGATCATACTCAGACTCGACCTCTACCCCTTCTCCAAAATCTGCTAGATCTCCTAAGGATTCTCAATCTTCTAGACCCGAGCATAAGCGAAAGAACTGGTACTCCCCTACTGATTGGGGCCATGTCTGGAACAATGTCCGGACAGGCGTTTTGGCTGGCGGCTTGATCACTGTTGGTCTTGTATGTGAAGGCTCCCTGGCATGTATTAAGACATACTGATTACCTGAAGACTCTCACCACATATGCCACTCAGCCAATCTGGGGAGATTGGTACCAGGAATTTCGGAGACGTGCGCACGAATCTGCACACGAATCTACAATCTATGATAAGCTCAAAATGGGACCGATATTTCAGAAGGCAATTGAATATACTATCCCACGCAAGGGCCTTATAGAGGAAATAAAAAATGTCGTCACACCAGGGGAAAGAAGTCGTCTTTATCCCCTTATTATCGGAGATTACGGAACCGGAAAGACAGACCTGATCGAGCTCGTCGTGAATGGCATGGACGAGCCTAAGGGTGTCGTATATGTCGATATGCCGATTCGATGCAGTTTTGAGGCCGATGTTGTCAGGGCGATGCAAACGTCTTTGGGGTGGGATCTAGATCGGTTGATCGATCCTAGCGAACGTAATTACTACGGTTCCTTTCAATGAGCATTGCCTGAGGCTAATTGATATGTAGCGGCATCATTAGGAGAAGTTTTGCGGGTTTTTTCTCGTCTCGCCATTAAGTACAAGCAGGAGTACGGGAAAATTCCCGTCTTGATAGTCGACAATGCGAACCGACTCACCCAGGAGTTGCCGATAAAGGAACAGCCGTCGTTGTGTTTGTGTTAAGTGACGGCCAAGTACTAGGTCGCATGATGAGTAAGTTAATCATGTTGGATGTCTAGAGACCTCTTTTTTTTTTTTTGGTTATATGCTGATCAAGTGCTATAGAGAGAAGTTCATGGTCGAGAAGAGGGAAAATCATCGAAATTAGTGATGTGAGCAAAGAGGACACTCTACAGTACCTCAAACTCCGGAATATCGATGGGGAGCAGGCAGCGAAAATTTATAACCTCGTCGGTGGCTACATGATACACCTCAAGTCTATCGCAGACAAACTTGAGAGAAACGGTGCATTTGAGGGTACCTGTACAACATGCAAAAAACAGAATTAATTTCTCACTGCCTTTTAGCTACGCGCCAGACGATGTTTTATGACGCCAGAGTACAACTCCTGTCCGCCGAAGTTCTTCCTAAATGTCGTTATCACAAGGAGGGAGCGATGATTTTACGTGAGCTTTTAAAGAAGGGATCCATCTCGTGGGACGCCTTCTATAATCTAGTAGGCATTAACACCGGGGATAAGTTATTGGAAGCAAACATATTTGCATTCCACTTGAATTCTCAAGAAATTACCTTTCGGTCAACGGTGATGAAACGGTTTTGCGAGGAAAATTCGGCTCTCTGGCAAGGAAATGAATAAACCAGACATCGTCAGAGGGGGCAAAATGCAGACACTGTTCATGGAACTTCAGTGTCATTCTTGGTTACAGCGCCACAAATCAATCCAACACCTGAGTTATGCTCGCCTTCGGCCGGTGTTTGTCAATGGTACGTTTGGCTTCCTTTGTCATCCTTCCAAACGATCAGTCTTGGGGTATTGCTTTGACCCGAGGCCGAAAATACTAGCAGGAATGTAAGAACTCATTACAGCTCTTCTCGGATTCGGATTTAGACAGACTGTGAGTGATTGGTTGATTGGTCGCTATGCTGTTCTTTATATTCTCGTAGTGGTACATCATCTGGTCGTTCGTAGTCTAGTCATTCGTAGTATTCCATGATCAGGACCCAAGAATAGCCGAGAGTAAGCGTAGCTAGGTCTTGTCAAACTTTTGTGCAACTTGAGATGAAGGAGCGCTCTGTTTTCTATCTACTTGTCGAGGTCCTGAGACTCCTTTTATAGACACACGAATGCTACATCGTTGCACAGAGCAACCATCTGTAACGTCGTCGCCTATGGAGACCTCTCGTCATCCAACAACTTTTTACCACCTTCGATCCGACGACTCGAAACGACGAATTCACCAGTCGTTCCTTGACCGATCATCCGATGTCCGAATTCTGCTCGGCACAGACGCCGTGGGTATTGGAATGGATTTTCCCGACGTCGAGGTCGTTGTGCAATTCGGCCTTCCAGACAATCTCGACGTACTGATGCAACGAATTGGGCGCGCCGGTCGCAACCCAGCTCTTGCTGCCCATTTTATCCGGATCGTTCCATCAGATGTTATAACACCCAAATATCACGCAACGAATCCCCAGCCACCGCAGAAGTGGCAGGAAGGCGGCAGGAAAGGGGCTGGGCGCCGAAAATGGGTAAAGAGGCGAACGGATCGAAAGGTATAAGAAGAGCCTTCGAATCCGTAGATAGACAGACAGGTTTCAGTACATTGCCATTCCATACCCTACCTTGTGTACTCGCAGCGATTTGTGATCCCTCTCCATATACCCCTCGTAACGAATCCTTACCCTTCGTTGATATCGTTGTTACATTTGACTTGGATCACTTCAAGAGGGCAAATACTGTTATGTCCCAAGACCGGGACCTAGATTATATATGGAGAACGAATCAGTTGTTATAGCAGATACCGATCTCATCGCCGATATCTAAGCCCCATGTATAGATATATCGCCGATGTCGTTGTCGGCTTTCCTAATGTTACGTGTGTCACACCTCGGTGTGGACGTCACGTGGATTGAGGTCAGGGACAGGTGTGGCAGGCAGCGGAGCAGAGATACTGTCAAACTGGGTGCAACTTGAGATGTCTTGAATGCTCTGTTCCCTATCTACTTGTCGAGGTATTGAGGCTTCTTTTATAGACGTGCGGATACTACGTCGTTACTCAGAGCAACCATCAGTAACGTCGTCGTCTATGGAAACCTCTCACCAGTGTTTTAGCTGTGAAGCCTATACACAATAGCCCTTTGTTCAACAGATACAGAGCGTGTCGATGTATCTAAAGGTAGGGGTGTGATAGTGAACGAAGTTGACTACATCGATCCTAGGGGGTGGTAAGGCCACAGCCATATAGACATCCAGCCCTTCCAAGAAGGGTATTAATCTATGACCTGCTGGCCTACTGACCTGCCAGCATGCTATAGATCAATAGGTCAAGTATTTCCTCTTCTGGGGTTCATGTGTCCATCGGCATACCTTCCTTGTTTGTCCTCGTCTGAGCCTCCTACGAGGCCTACTCGTGACACCTAATTGGGTATGCCCTCTGCGAGCACGCAGAGCGCAGGCTACGCGCCTGCGGGACGATGGATTCACACCTTCACGTGGTGTCCGGTGTTAAGCACTGAAAAAGTGTGAACTGAGATGAGTCCGCAGCTACAGCTTCAACTTCAACGGAACAACGCGTTGCGACGCGTATCAACAAAAAAAAGGGGGAGACATCGTTTAAAAACCACCCGACCCGACAGTATCCAGCTCGTACCTGGAACCGAAGCAAGTCCTATCAAGCTTGCAGATGTGGTATCGCCTACTGAAGGGACAGGACACCCCCAGCTTACAAGCGCTCTGGGATACGTGTCACACGCGACACGTACGAGGGTAGCCGGATCCCTAGAAGGTACGTACTTGCGGCCCTGTTAATTCTGATGTATTCTATCCTAGGCGACCCTCTGTGACGCGTACGACCTTGTTAAACTTCGAGAACAGGCCACCGTTCACGACAGAGAGGTTCACCTGCGAGGAACCCTGTTAAACTTCGAGAACAAGCCCCCCCTCGACCTCTTGACCCTATACCAAAGGCCCTGTTAAACTTCGAGAACAAGCCACCGGAGGTATCGAAGGGAGGAGGATAGTCTGCTGAAAGGAACAAGCCACCGCAAGGAAATACAAACGGAAAGGGGGACATAAGCTTGGTTAGTGAGGGATCGTAACGTGAGAAGAGTTGCTGGCTAGAACCTTCTCACGGTCCCCTTGCAAGACATGGACGACCTAGATGTGGGAGACCACGCTAGGTAACGCGAAACGAATCGTATACGAGCAGTATATGACTCGCGGGGCGTAGTGTGCATTGGTAGCCATGGCTGGGGAAACCCTACAAGACTATCTGCATAGCTCGAGAGGACAGAGGCGCATGTCGGTATACAAAGAGAACAGACACTGTCTACCCTGCTCGTACCAGGGTCCAGAGTTACTACGATGGATAGTTCGAAGATCGCATGCGAGGCGCTTACGGGTCGGAATGGGAGCGAAGTGGTATCGCCTAGTTGACCGCAACCCGATGCAAGATGGAGGGGACTGCAGACAGGTAGCCGCAACCCGACACCTGATGAAGGGGACTATCGATCGCAGCCGCAACCTGACACAGACAAAGGGGATCAACTACCTCACTCGTATTGAGGACCTGAGCTTCTATGATGGATAGTTTGGAGCAACGCATGCGAGACGCTTACGGGTCAGAGTAGTGACGAAGAGGTATCGCCTAGCAGTGAGGGCTGTTGATGTATGCTTAAGGAGTAAACAGGGAGTCACCTAGGCAGGGAGAGGTCTGGTCCGCCTCGACCTGTGGAAGCGTAGACCAGCGAGGAGCGTGGAAAACTAGGAGTATATCTAGATAGGTAGATACGCCGCAATACTATATGATTCCTTGGCACAGGCAAATGTCGACTAAACCACTATCTGGCCCGTATTAACGCCATCGAATCGGAGGCCTGCGCCTGTGGAAGAGAAGCCGAGTCGATTCGACACTTCCTCTTTCGGTGCCCTCGATGGGTGAGCATTCGAGAAGAGAAGAAACTAACAAGAAAACCACGATGGGGAGACCTTTCGTTCTGGTTAGGGGCGTGGTCCGACAGACGAGACAGTAACGGCGAATACGTAGATGGGAAGATGGGCAAGTGGAAACCGAACCTAAACGCTGTCAAAGACATACTAGAATTTGTCAAGGCTACCGAGAGGTTAGATTGGACACCAGAATCAAGGTAACAGAGGCGAGGAGACAAAACGGCTACTCGAAGGGGATGCGGAAGAGGAGGATAGTATTCAATATGGCGGTTCTGCTGACTAGCCGATATTATGACGGTCAACGCTCGAGAAAGCGCTCTCGATGATAACTGCCAGCTTTCGAAGATTAGTATCCTCTGAGACCGTATCACCGACAGCCGTGTCGAGAAGCTGAGAATTCGAAGGCCGAGACAAGAAAGGGATTGGAGGTCTAGGAACTGGGTGTGGAGACTATAGGATAGACGAGCACGTGATAGAGCTAGTTCCCAATAGGCCTAGCGGCCTACACGGGCGTAGGAATAATCAATCAATCAATCAATCAATCAATCAATCAATCAAACCTAATTGGGTATATCGTCGTCTACTTTATGGTCCATGGACTGGATCCGATGGAGGACATCGTACGGCACAGGACACCGTGATCAACACCGTCTATATACACTGGATCCGATTAGGGCGGTCTGGCAGACAAAAGGCGGCATTCTACCTATTCCTGGGTGGGCCGTGAATTGGATCCGATGGGGTCAGCCAATATGAGCACGTGATTGGGTGTCGGATTATAGATTTTCCGGGCTACGGCGGCATCCTACCCCTCCTGGATGGGTCGTGGACTGGATCCGATGGGGATTATAGATTTTCCGGACCCGAGGTGCTGCCAATCGCGTGAATCGTGGTAGTCCCGCATGTGTGCGCCGCCAAGAATTGCCATGACCAATGTGGCCGGCTCAATCACGTGATATATCGAGCGCAGCGATGCCCGGGGGTTTGGGGGCGGGCTCCCAACATCCAGACCAATAACGTTAGCCAATGGCTTAGCGCTGAAATGCACTTAGCACTCCGCTAGGTGGACTTAGGCCCTACAATCGACAGGGAAATTTTCGTTACACTGGCATCCCTGTAGGCCTGTTCTAACTACTTACCATTTTGTATGACCCCCTTTAGCATCAATAACGTCCTGACAGCGCCGTGGCCTTCGAGCTAAAGAGCCTCCGCAACTTGTAAATAAGTCATTCGACGAGCTGCTTTTGAGCTAGTCACAAATTCCTCCACTCGATCAGCCTCTTCTTTATTAAGACATGGAAGCCTTCCTGCATTTTTATGCCGTGGTGTACGGAGTAGCCTTATGCTTTTCACAGGTGTATTGTACGGCTCGCTTTGTGATCTGCAGGAAGTTCGCAATCTGTTGATAGGAGTGCCCAGTTCGCTGTAGAGTAAGGATCTCTTTGCGTTGATCCCGTGAAAGGCGCTTGCGAGGAGGTGTAGAGGGAGGCATTACTATCGGGTCCATTCTTCTACGTACTATGAAGAGCTCTAAATATAGTAGAAATGGTATACTACTGGTTTGTTTACAATACAAAAACCTAGATGTACGCTGTAAACAAAGCTAGGACTAGTGCGACAGGGATGCCAGTGTAACGAAAATTTCCCCAGTCGACTGTACAGTACGTCATTGCTGCCAAGGCACTAGGAGAGCAGGCTGTTATCTTGCTACTCCCATCCTCACTCCCTTGATCACCCTCAAGCGATCAAGTCGATATCAATAGACTAGTCAATCCAGTCAATTCCATCCTCAATGCCCTAGTATCGCGCTTGCGTGTCCACTGACTTGGTCAGTCTGATACCAATAGAGAGAGTGTCTTTGGTCAACATACACAGTTTCCTCTCGGACATCTCTACGTGGGCTTTCTGTGCATGATAGTAGCACTGGCTTGGTGGTTAGGGAAGATCAGGGTATCAGCAATGACGACGTTCTCCCTCCTTCCGGCGGCAAATACTATCACCTCAGCGATATCGTCAGGTGTTAATGGCTCACAGCCTCTGTAACACAGTTAGAAACTCTTTCAGACAAGAACAGCGAGGAGGCAGCCAAGCCAGAGTACTTACGCATAGACAGTATTAGCCTTCTCCTTATCACCATAAAATCTAACAAGCGAGAACTCCGTCTCGACCTGGCCGGGATCGACCCCAATAACTCGGATCCTCTTTGAAATTAGCTCCTTGCGCAAGGTCTCGGTAAAAGACCGGACGGCGGCCTTGGTCGCGCAGTAGATGCCTCCGCCAACATATGGTTCACGGCCCGCGATCGACCCGATGTTGATGATATCGCCCGCGCCATCGCCGTTGTTGCGCTTCAGCATGGAGGGCAGGATCGCTTGTGTCATGTTGATCAGCCCCATCACATTGGTTGCGAACATGATGTTCATGTCTTCTTCTGCAATCTCGGGCGCTTTGGCTACGCCTCTGACCAAACCGCTGGGTTTGTCGGGTTTGTTAGCTGCGTGTTTCCTGTTGTGTTGCCCGAGTTTCTGATCGAGGGCGTCCTGCTTGTGCCAGGCAAGATTTCAAGTCGGTTGGGCGGGCAGGAGAGAGACTCACGCATTATTAACCAACACATCGACATCCTTGAACTCGGCAAACGCACGCACCTCGTCTGCATTGCTGATGTCGAGCTGAATCGGTTGCACTTTGATGCCGTCGCCGACCTCCTTAGTGATGTCGGCCGCGATCTGTTTGAGGCTGTCGATGCGGCGCGCCGTCAGGATCAGCTTGAGATTCTTGGGGCATGTGCGTGCAAACTCGAAGGCTGTGGATCGCCCGATGCCTGACGAGGCGCCGGTTATGAGGATGGTCTTGCCTTCAAGACGCTTGAACATGGCCGATGCCATGGTGCGGGCTTGGAGATTGGATATTTGCGTAAAGAGGAGTGATCTGCCCACGGAGGAAGTGTCGTGGTGCTCATCGACGACGGCATCCCTAAATTGGCTTTCACAACGTCTATAAAGAGGTCCTCGGGAGTGCCACAAGTTGGTAAAATACAGAGTATTCAATACATCTCAAATTTTTAACCCGTTTGACAGATACGGGAGGATAAACGGAGCGGATAAGTTAGTTACCCCGGCTTATGCCGAGACCCGCTCTCCTGTGAACGATTCGTGGGAAGCAGCAGCGTATCCCGCCAAGCTTTCCCCGCCTTGCTTGCTCTCCGAAATGCAACCATTTTTTCTTGGCGTTTTTTAGGGCCAAGAAGAAAGGCATCCCCCAGAAAATGACTTACGTGGGTTACTTATATACCGAGGAAAACGCTAAGAAAAAATGGTTGCATCTGGATGGACACATGAGGGAACGGAGTTTTGTAAATTCTGAAGATCCTTACTGAGACAAGTCCTTTGGCTCTGACATCAGGCGAGCTTCGTACGGTAGCTCTGCCGGCTGTGGATGGGGAGACAAAAGACTCCCCCAGTTTGACGGCATTCTTGCACCCGCCGGATAGCACCAAGACAAAGCCGTTGCCGGGCGTGGCGTCTCTTTGTTCGCAAAATCGCTCCTAATTAGCTTTCGCATCTATCGATCAAATAGATGTACAAGGTCTGGAGGCGAAGGAAGTGCTGAGCTTAGTAAGTTTCGAGTTGAGGAAGCTTACAACGGAGATTGCAAGGGAAGGCTGCTGCAGAATCTCTTTGGAGCTTTTTGATAGCAGCGTTATCACTGCTACCGATTTTGTAAGTGATCCGGGCTTTTTCCGCTGTTTCGTTGCTACCTGTACCGGTGTCAAAGCTCAACGTTGGATTTTTGTTTGACAGCTCCTTACCCATCACCTGGTGGGTCTATCCCCTTGTGTCGGCTATACCGTTTCATTCTTGTAGCTACCCCCCTGGATGCCCAGCCCCTCTGGACCCAAGCCATCTTTTCCGATGAGGCCCACACTAGTTTTAGACGGCATCCCTTTCCATCATAGCGTCGGCTACGTTGCCGTTTCAACCCGCACAGGAATATTCCTCGGTCATCAGAGGCCGTTGTTGTTTCGGTGAAATGCCAGCGCTTGTTGTTTTCCGTGATCTTGCCATCGGCGCGACTCGCCTGTGCCAGTCAAAAGCGAGAAGAGATATCCCGAGGCCCATGGCCACCGATTGACGAAATCTGGCGAGTCCTGTCTCATCAGTCTAGTTCTCCGCTCCCCTTGAAGTGTTTGTTGTATGTTGACCGAACTCGTTTCCACACCTCAGCTAGAACATCTTCAAATAGCTCGTGACCTCTTGTTCTAACTGGAATTATGAACTCCAACACTTGGAAGCAAGCCACAGAAGCTTGCACTTACCACGGTCTCGAACATGACCAACCAGGCCAGGGAGTCTGTTGCTGCTGTCGGTAACGGCGTCTTTCATACCCTCTTGGATGCGGATGGCTTCTACCGTTCATCAGCGGTGGCCTATCTGGCATGGTCACCACTACCGTCATCCAGTCCGTGGACATGATCAAAGTCAAGCTGCAAAGTGTTGGTGAAGGTATGGCCTCAGGAACTAAGCTGACTGTCTTGTCCATTTCCTGAGACCTTCTTTCAGTTGCACTGGTATCTCGACCAGTCTTACCCGTCCAGCTCGCTAACACCACCACGAGAATAGGATTCTTTGACGCCTTTATGAATGGACAGACCACACGCTCCAAACACGAGGGCATTCATTGAGCGTGATGGTACCTGTCTTTTGGCTGGTGGCCTCGCAGCCTTATTGGCGATCCTGCCAGTCTGGCATTGATTCAAATGTAAGCTGATGGAGCGAAATTGGTCGAACAGCGCAAGGACTATCGATCGGTTGTGCATGTGTTAACAATAGTCTCCACAGGTGAAGGAGTCACCACATTGTGAGCCGAAACGATGGCGACATGCCTTCCGAGCTATGACGCTCAACTTCGGTCAGCTGGTGTTTTCCTTGGAAGCCAGGTATAACTAAACATAAAAACTAACTTGTTTGTTCAGAGTGAAACCTTTCTCTGCCCGTGCCCTCGTCAGATTCTTCACCTCGTTCTTGTCACTCTCGTTTGACTTTGTCAAGACCCATCTACAGAAGCAGCAAGAGGGGCCCGATGTACAAGGCCATGGCAGACTGCTTCTCTAGAGTCTTCAGACGGAGGATTTCGTGTTCTACCGTGGGTCCAGCACCTACCACATTCGAATTGCACCACGTGCATGAGTGACACTTACTTGGACTGGTGCCTTAGTGTACCAAGCACCCCTGAACTGTCTATATAGGGGCTCTCCCCCCTTTCCATAGCTACAATCTACACATAAGTTTCCCACCTTCTACCCGCACCGGCGCTTTGTTTGACATAGTGGCATGCTACCCTCGTTGTCGCGGACTATCTCGGCTAGCGAATTATGGCTATGTTTTATCATCTCTTTCTATCTCTTTGATGCTGGCTGTCGTGAGCTGTTATCCACAACAGACATCGCTAAAAGCATACATTTTATGTACAGATAAAAAAGAACCCGGTTCAGCGTTGTACAAGTAGTTTGCCCTTTTGGCGTAGCGCCTCCCGGCATGGAAAAATGACCCTAACCCCGCGGATAACCCCGCATTTCGGATGCATTTTCCACTTCTCATCCTCACTTTTCCGATCTTGCTTCTGACGTGAACACCGCCTTGTCTCCTCGAGTGGTAGACAGTGGATCTAAATGGCTCCGGGTCGTCAACAATTACCAGTGTCTACAGACGACAGCGGTCCGCCGGTGTTGAAGAAACGGAGACGAGAGAGCGACAGAGTGAGGGTCACTCGGGCATGCGATCGGTGCAAAAAGTGACGAAGCCTTTAGCACCTGCGCGGCCTCTGGATTAATGTGCTAACAAGTGGCGTTTCATTCAGGAGGAAGATCAAATGCAATGGCAGACAGCCGTGTGAGTTCTGCTCCCGGGCGAATGCCAGCTGCACATTTGATTCTGCCTATGCAAGAGGTCGGGTACCTTTCATTCCGCCAGCGTCCCATGTTGAGGCTGGAAACAACCCTATGCCAGCGGAGGAAGTAATGACTCCCAGTAAAAGCCCTTCAGTTTCAGGACAGCAGTATTCGGAAATACCGACTACGGAGGCAACACAGCATACGGCAGGGTTACAGAGCCACGATCTTTCATCAAACTATTTGGCACCCTCGGCCTTAGCATACGTGGCGACATCATCGCAAAATTCGCCAGAGCCGTCTCAAACTGATTTACAAGGACATTATATTGGGCCCGCATCCGGAGTCTCTTTTCTGCTCAGGATCCAGAAGCGCTTAGATCAGGCAATCTCGTTCTCTCACCCTAGCAGCATCTTTACTTTTGGCGATGCTCCTCTGCATCCTCCCGAATTCGACCCTTCCTTTTGCATGATGCTCCCCCGGGATGACGCTCAGCGGTTGGTAGACCGGTACTTCGATTTTGCGATGCCAACGTACCGCTTCCTTCACCGGCCCACGATTCAGGAATGGTTCGCGGAATTTTATGATACTCTCGGCACCATGCGCGATGCACATCGTGCTCCAGCTAAGATCGCTTTGCTCTTCATGGTATTTGCCCAGGCCAGGGTGTATATGCCTGACAATGACAGGCCGGGCCTGCCAGACCTGAGGTCAGTAAGTCGCTCGATAAAGGTTAGAGAGCTTGCTAAGACGAAGATTGTACAAGTGCCCGATACTTCCTAGCAGCCGAGCATCAACTCACCAAGGAGAGGGGCTCAATCCGCTTGACCAGCGTTCAAGCACGCTTGACTCAATGCTATTACCTTCTCACTCAATCTCGCATTAACCATTGCTGGAGTCTGTTTGGCACAGTGTCGCATTTGGCGCTGGCTATTGGTCTCAACAGGAACAGGCGCCATGATGTAACAAGCGGATTAAGCCAGGTCGAAGCCGAATGTCGCCGCCGAACCTTCTGGTGTGCCTACACACTAGATGCGTATCTCAGCATCACCTTGGGTAGACCACGGTCATTTCACGACGATGACATTGACGCGGAACTTCCGGCATGCGTCGATGATGACGAACTAATGACAGACCATATCATCACGCCTACTGTCAACAAGGGCCAATCAATCATGCTTGCTCCACTTGCACATATGAAGTAAGATGAACCCACTCGATCCACGGCCGATGGCTAACGAAACAGACTTGCTCGTATTATCAGCAAGATCCTGCGCGATCTTTACTCCATTAAGCCCATATCAGCCAATCGCCGGGCGGTTCTGACTGAGAGGTACTCGAAAGACTTGAGTGACTGGCGAGCCGAGTTGGCTCGGTTTCTAGACGCCGACTATTTCAGCACCTCCCTTCTCATTCCAATCTTTCAGCGGCAACGGAATGTTCTCAACCTCACCTACTGGCATGCTATTATCCTCACTCATCGGCCATTCGTACTAAGTAACTTTGCGCGGCTTTCACAGCAAAGGAGGAACGCAGCTCTTGAAGACCCACAGACCGAGAAAAGTGAGCAGCAATGCCTAATGGCGGCGATGAACACTGTAAATACGATTGATGACATCATACAAAACCGTCAAATGTTCCGTGCGTTCTGGGTTCGTTGTCAATGGGGCCATCGACGTCGGGAAAAGGGCTGACTGCCGACAGATCACGGCGTACTTCGCCTTCACCGCAAACATCGTGCTTTACATCTACGTGATCCAGAAACGAGCATCCCCACCAGAGGTCTATAGCAACTATTTTTCAGCCGCCACCCGATGCCAATCTCATATCTCGGGCATCGCCGAGAAAGGATCGCTGTCAGAGCGCTATTGCCTCGTTTTGGAGGAATTACGCGTCGAAGCCCTACGCCAGACGGGACGCATACACCCGTCCATAACGGGTCTGGGAGGGATGGACAGCCACTCACAAGAGAATGGTTACCAGACCACGTCAGCACCAATGGACGGCAATCCCAGTGCTGCCACCAATTACACGGATTTGATGGGGGAAGCTACGATTAACTTCAACGACATGACAGGCTCTGCGCTTTCTGATTACTCAGGCTGGGGCCAATTCGCTTCGATGGTCTCGTCGGGGCTGGGCAATCTCGATGCGTTCCTCAATGACGATCCATTCAAACTCTGAGTGCGAGCGTCGACATGCAAACTTCATTTATCTTGAAGATAGCCGAGATTAGCTCAACCAATCCTATCCCAAGACAGCTCGTCAACTTGTCTATGCGACCGGCCTGTTCGATCTTGTTCCTCGCTCGATGTGATGGCCAAACACGCCAACTAGGGATTGTTCTGACTTCGAATCCCTTGGGCCCGACGTTTGAAAATTGTGGAACTTTATTCGCTTCTCAGATTCCCGCGGAGAGCCATTTTGACTCGTTGATATTGCTTGCGGTAGAGTTTGTCTTTCAGATGTTTCCGGAGCGACCGTCTCTAAAGACAAACAGGGCATTGGCAAATGTCTTGGGGACGTTTGAGGTCGGCTCGTTTTCCCCGAAACAAAGATCACATCGCCGGAAAAGATGAAGGAGAGCTCCGTATAGCAAAATCGTATACTGTTCTGAAAACTTCGACGCGATGATCTGGAAGAATTTCGTGTCGAATCGAGTTGAGATCGTCGATTCGAAACTGCTGGAGGCACAAATGAACTAAACAATCGAAAGCCGATCGCAGATGACTTCCTCGGTCAAGTATTGGTTCAACCAGTCCAGACTTCAGTCGCGGCGACGAGTGACGTTAAAAAAAGGGGCGAAAAGGGCCTCCGCGCCGAAGGTACTACTTTTGAAGCGCACTCGCCCCGAACGAGACGAAGTCGGTGACACCGGGCAAGAAAACGAGACGGCTCTAGTCGATTAGAGGTTCCAGCCAGCGGTAACCATACCTCCAGAGAGAATGTTACTGAACCCGAGTCTGCACCAGATTCGACTTGTCGCAGATGAGTCGAGAGGTCGCTCACGACGTGTCCACCAGAGCATACCTTCTCGTGACTGGTCGTGTGAACTTCAGCAGAACTTGGGGCAGCGTAAGAACATTTCCATAATCTTTGTCTGCTTCTATGTCCGTCAATCCAGGTCGAGTGTGGGTGTGGACTCATTCGAACCCTGCGGCGAACTTGTTGACATTCCCCCACATAAAGCGGAAGTAGATGTTCGTCGAAAGTACCCAAACATAGTTTGGAGGCCGAGAAAGATGGGGCAGTAAGTATCAGTGGACTTGTCAACTGAAGTGATACTATAGGCTGCTGGAAAAGAGGCCAGGAAATCTAATGCTCTTCGCGGATCCCAAACGGTTTCGTGGAGGAGTCCCGTAAGCCGGAACGGCAACAACGTTTACTGGTCAAGGAGACCCGTCGAACAACAAAGCATTGCACAATATGACTCCACGAATATTCTAAATACCGTCCTTAATCTTCTAATTAAGCGCCCATTCTCCCAAGCCCGGTTCGATAAGGGAAAGTTTCTCCGCCAATCGATCGGATCTTTCGTGAGGCTATAAAATTGTACGAAGAGGAGACCTCCCCGTCAAAGATGAGATCGACCGGGAGTCAAACTGGTCATGTCACAAGCATCTCGAGCATCGCATTGTGTTAGAAAATTCTGGCCTGATTCAGGATCCTCTCCGTCATAGAGCCGTCGTAAGTAAGCTGGGAGGCAGTAGCGCCCGCCAAAGATATATTTGATCTGAGGGGGGTGGGCTTCGAAGGTGGAAGATTTAGAAGGACAAACATCTTTCGGACCACACATGAGAGAAATTTGACGACACTCCGACGCCGCAACTCGGAATTCTCCATGGCCTTCAAGCCATCGTCTATGAGTGCACACGCGGTTTGAATTGCAGCTCGGTGCCTTTGGTGGAAAAGTACAGCTGAGGATATCAAAAGTCCCGAAGATCGGACCGTTCAACCAATTCGAGAATGTGTTCTCAGAGCCAATGCAAGGATTCCGAAGGTAGGCAATAGGGATGCTTAAGCTGCGCTCTGTAGCTCGGTTTTCTTGACTCGATCTTCTACTTGAGGAGCCCCACGACTCGCTATGGTGTGTCGAATAGCTAGCAGGAAGATGCTGAAGGTAATAAGCCAGATAGATGCGTTCTCGTGCTGGGTGAAAATTTTTATCAAACCGCCGTGAGAGTTGAGTAGTACTGAGATGGTAGAAATTGGGCTGATATGTGAGGTGTGGAAAAGAAAATGTGGAGAGTAACGTAGTGGGTACCACCAAGTTGTAGCCGTTTCCGTTTAATGTCGTTATCGACCAATCTCTTCAGGTTGAGAGATAAATTAATGCTGCCAAGGCTTGCAAAAAGCCTTGGCCGGGCGTGGACGAACGTACACGCTTCGAAACTATATAATCCGACGGTCCCTTGGACCCTTTCGAAATCCTCCGTAAAACCACACATCGCCCCGCAACCCCCACTCTGCATAATCCTTGACTCAAACTTTTTCTATCTATCCACTACCCAAGTCAATCGATGACTCGCTGCGGAGTGTTTATATTTGGGGATATTGAAGAACAAAACGGCGGCAGTTTTGCGTATAGTCAAATTGCTTCTACGCTGAATTTTCAAACTGGTCATCTGTTCATGATATTTACTCACCTGGCTGTTCTTTAAATTTCTTCTTTCAAGCCAGATCTTTCGTTAGTGGGCTCGCGAACGATTGCTTGGGGGTAGAAGCAATACGTCCTGTATTCACTGAGGCGGCATCATGTTAACATTTCGCAACATGTACAGTCTCCCGTTCAGCCGCAAGAGAGATGACCAATCCAACACCGTCAAAGGACTGATTTTGAAGTTCAAGTGCCGCGGCTACACGAACGAGGAGTGCTCGGACTGCCTACGGCTACTGTACGGTGACTTCCGATATTGCGGAAGTCCCGAATCCGTGTCTAGCGCCCTGAAGGACCTTAGAAGGGATGACCTATTGAAAGATTATCATCGAGGCAATGAATGGGTCGAAGCTGGTGTTGATCAGTGGATCCGGTCGAAGGGAGTCATAAATTATATCAGAGAGGACTTGAAAAGATTGAAGGCGCTTCAACAGTCGAGCCGGCATTAAGATGAAGACTGCTCGAAACAATGGGCTATTCGTCTCTAACAGAGACCACACAAACCACCCCCGAAGAGTCACTACTTCCCAACGCCACTTCCTCCAGCCCTCCCTCCACGACAATAATGCCACCTTGACGGCTTGTTCCATTGAGATTCGAGAGCAGACAGATAAATCAGTCTCCGACATTGAGTGAACTGCGCCTCGATAGGAATCCAGCGGTTTAGCACTTGGGTGCCCATGACATGGGGAGGACGTCGGTGCCAGGATCGTTGAACAACCACACACGAAAAGCCGGTTCAACGGATTCCTTTGTATAGGCCGTGTGAGCCTCATCAAAAAAATGAAACGACCAGAATGAACTAAGTGGATTCAGAGACTCTCCTTTTTTCTTATGTCTGTTGTTGCAAGTTGCTTCTTTTCACTTTCTTGCCTGACTTTGTATCCCTCCTATGCATTGTTTTGGACCGTGTGGTCTGGCATGCCTCCTTACATAGACCATGTTCGTAGCAACGCGTTGCATTATCTTTGAGCAAAGCTCGGTTGAGAAGATCGTGGGTCGCTGCATCATCTGCTCCTGCTGTCAGCAGCTGGATGTCTCTGCCTTTTTTTGGACACCATATGTCGACCGTCTTGAGTTGCCAGACCAAAATGAATCCGTGGAGCTTTGACAGTGCCATAGTGAAATCTATGGATGAGACCCTGCAAATACGGCATTTGCCCCCATCACACCCCATCCGGAAGCTATCAAGACAACCACACCATTGTTATCCACGGGTATAGACTGGCCGTGCAGTCCACCGAAGACAGTGATATACGAATCCGCTGACAGCGCTTTGTCCTCCGCAAGGTCATGAGTTTTGAGCTCGCCTCAGAAGCTTCGACGTCCATCTGCAACATGGTTCGATCATCAACTCAAACCTGTCCTGCGCCCATGATCATGCGCAAAATCTAACGGAGAACCTGTGATTTTAGGGAAAACTTGTTTCTATTTTGAAGGGGGTCAGGGAACCGTCAGATTATATAGTTTCGAAGCACTCACAAAGCGTACAATACCTCCGAGTGTCTTTAACAAGCCTTAGCATCCCCACTTATCACATCGGCGGCTACTGAGCGAGAAGAAGAATAAAATCTATGCGCAAACCCATATTTGTTTCTTCCTCGGCTGACGGCGGGAGCAAAGCCGTTATAGTAGCCATGGCGCGTGACGACCAAACATGCGCATAGATATTGCATTCTCTACTGCTACGTAGCACCTAGCCAGCAACCCCTTGGCCCTCTCTTGCACTTGGACTTAGATTCTTTTTGGAAAGAGACGTTTTCCTTTTTAAAGCTTTACCCCATCCGGCCGGATGGCGTTGCCATAATCCCCCTGATTCGGCATCCGGACAACTGTATGGACGTGGAAAGCTTTTGGCTCCGTGATTGCCAGCCAAACGCCTCTGTGGTGATCAAGTTCGACGAAAACAACGGGGCTCTGGATCCGGTAGTAGAACACATCGCCCTCCTCGTAACCGCCAATCCAGCAGAAATACTTCTCTTGAAGGTGTTCAAAGATTTCGTCCAGTCTCTTCGACCGCGCCGGTTAAGGCAGCCATAGGTGGAAATTATCCAAAATCTGCCTCAATATCTCCTTCAGCTGAGAAGTCAGCTCGAAGTCGAGCAAAAGGCCCTCGTAAGGAATGATCCTATTGTCTTGGGATGCGCCGCCTAGATGTCGCTCATCAGCAGGGTGGATTCTGCCTGCAGGCATTTTCGGGTCTTCCAGATCTCTGTACACTTGCGCGATGTCCTTTTGCCGCTGACTAAGAGACCGCATCCATTGGAGCCCAAGCTGTTGCTCGGGCTGCATAATCATTGTCCCCTTGTACGGCCCGTCGTCGACGTAAGTTGGCTCCGCGCTGTAGAATGTTGGTGCAATCGCGATCTGTGTCTCATAGAGGAAAACACTTAGACAAAGGTGATGGCCGTAGAAAGTAAACCCCCAAGGTTCGATTGTGGACGGTGAACCAAACAACAAGAAGTTGTACGACAACTCATTCATAATGCCCGTAGCGTGGCAGATGTCCCCCAGAAATCCGTTTATTCTTCTCGAGTCTCGCGCTTTTATGTATCCTTCATGAGACATTGTCGCTTCGAGGACAGCGTCAATTCGATCCACCAGCTTCTTGTCGAGTCGTTCCAGTCTGAGGCCAAAGTCGTTCAAAAGCAGACCAAGCACGCCATTTTTTGTCTGGTATGTCGAACGTGACTTTCTGTTTTTCGTCCTGTGATATGTGGCGACGCCAAGACTTGTAATGACCTTGGGAGGCGTTGTGCGCTTCGTATACGCTTCGAAAGTATATAGTCTGACGGTCCCTTGGACCCCTTCGAAATAGGACAAGTCCTCCGTAAAATCACGGACATTCTGAACTTTGCTGACCTGTTTTGGTAGGCCTTGGCATGAGCCCCGGTTAGGCCCGGGTATTGCCTTCTTACGGCCGCGCTCATATGGGTTTTGGGTTAACGATCACTCAGCCCAACCCAGGCACAACACCCAATTAAAAAAGAAAGGAAAAAGCTGGGGTTTGGGCCGAGTCTACTCACTGGATTATCAAGATATAACGCTGCTGAATCACGCGGATCGACGGTCACCTCGAAATCGGAAGGGGACGACGAGTATGGCGGTGCTGGGAAAATGTAGAGACCACGACTTTTGTCCGCTTGACTAAGGTAAGACGACATTTTTCGTGCGCTGAGACGACGCAAAAGGGAGCAGGGTGGGGGGGGGAGAAAGGGTCAAAAACAGCAACATTAATAGCGTACACTGGAATGGGTAGAGGTCACATAGAAGGGAGATTGATTTTCATTTACATGGATGTCGAGATGTCCGGAGTGCGCACGCACCTCATTCGCGCACTATCGATGGCTAAGAAAGCGAAATAAATTATGATGTTCCTCTGTATGCCGCACGTATTGGACACGATACAGTTAGGAATGACCAGGTAAAGCAGACTCTGTAAGTTACCTTCATCCACCAAGAGTCGTCCTTGGTATTTCTGTGATCGCTTCGAGACATTCTTGTTCAAGTCAGAGTTGCCTTTCTGATGCAGATATTGACTTTTCGGGTGGAGGGGCAAAAATACCAGGTGTAGGAGCCCCTTTGTTTCCTAATAAGGACACATGAATATACAATATGTAATGTACACCACAATTATTGCTTGTCAAACCTTCATTAGCTAATCCGTCTTAAGCTAGTGGCAGCAATGGCCATTGCGGCCGTCAATTCGGCCCCATTGACTGATCTTCCTGCCACGAGATCAACGGTCGGTGAAGATTGGCGGCTGACTCTCCTCATCATGAGAATGCTTCGATTTCTTCCACCCCATTCGAACGCGGTCCCCCGATCCTGGCAGACCAGATATCCGGGCATCCGGATTATTCCCTCTGAAAGCCGCCTGGGAGATGTTGGTGTACGGCTCTTCGGTCTCGTTACGGAGCAGAGTACGCCGGGGCCTTTCTGGCGATGGTGGTGGTCGTCTCAACGAGGACCTAAGACTGGAGGGTTGTAGAGGAGTGGAGCTAGAAGCCTGGGATAGGCGGAACCGGAACTTCAGCGACGGTGGGCCGAGATCTCCCCTCCGCCACATGATGATGAACCCAATGCCGATAACGATAAGGCTGACGAGTTCTCCGGCAACTGCAAGCTCGTTAGCGAGGTATATTCCATGGTTGAGGTGCACGGCACATACACATGCGGCCTGTTATCCATGAGGACCGGTAGCTTATGTCCCCAGTGCTATCGCGTGGAAAGTCATCGATTGGAATGGCAAAGAGGCCGGTCATGAATGAAAGGGGGGTCTAGGAAACTCTTAGTGTTCCTCTCTCATCGAGGAGATAGGATTGAAACTTACAAAGATCACAGTGACGACAGTAAATAGCATGATATAGTTGTTTAGCCTCTGAGACTTCTTTGCTTCCTCTGAAGCAATTAGCGCCTCATTAAGAGAGCTCTGTGCCTGCTTTACCTGCACAAGGTAGTCGAGCTGGACGAAAGTCAGCCAAAGTTTCACGTCATTGCAAGAGTTCACCTACGTCGCCTAGAATCCTCTTTGCATCATCTTCCAGCCTGAGAGTCTTGTCAATGAAGGCGTCTATACGGCAATTCTGCATGAACCGCTGCTTGTACTGCGTGTCCTGTGGGGACTGTCCAGGTCGTATGATGTTCAGGAACTTTTCGACTACCTCTCGCTGGTTCCCAAACACCCGTCGGATCATGTGGAGCTCGTCAAGGATATCCTTGACCTGGTAGATAAAGAAGACTTCCTTGTTGATCGAAGTTGGATCTCCACGAGATTCTGGGTCATTCCTAGAAAGAGGATCCTCCTGAGAATCGTCTGCTTCGGTGTCAAGTCCTTGCTCAGCAGTAGAAGATTTGCTAGGAGACTCCTTGGAGGAATTGCGGAGTTCCTTAGAATGACGATTCGCCGTGTCTTTGAGTATGAATTCATAGAATTTTTTAAAGTATTTGGCTTCAGCATGAGACTGAATATTCAGTTAGCTGAGTGTGGTGAAGTTCTGTGTAAGAAAGTGTCGCACCAATTTTGCAATCGAACTCTCAAATATATCCAATATATGGTCGCCCACTCCCGCATATCGAAACTCATCTGGGTAAGTAGCACATTCGGACAAGATGTGTTCGATGAGGGCTTCCGGTCGGGCGATTGTGTCATTGCCGCTCTGACGAATTGTGTCTAGCAAAGTATCTTCTGTTCCAATGTGCCATCTCTCCGGTAGGGCCGTGATAACCGTACCTGAAGAAACAAGTTAGCTGCCGCATCAGACTTCGATTTCGGATCCTTATGCACAAACTTTCATCCAGTTTCCATAGCCATAGCTGGTGAACCATAAGGAGCTTTGCTAAACTCTCGCCCGCCACCATGGTACCTTTCTCCTTTCTACCTATCTTTTGGTGTTTCGGTTTCTTCTCTTCCGAGGTTGACCTCCTGCTTTCTGACAACCGAGACATGCTAGTCAAAAAAGTGGTGGCAACGCGCAACCGTTTGACCGATGAGCGCGGTCCACCTCCAGGACTTCGAGGTGACTGGACATCCACCTTGACATCGTGCTCTGAATTGACATCGTCATCTAACTTCTCCGTTGTCGATTTGGGGCTGGATAGGTCTGTCAAAAAGTTTTCTGTTAGTGGAGTTTTATGGCTGCCACTGCACTTCTCTCCTCCTCTCCCAACTTCCAGTGTAGACTCACTTGAGACATTGGCATCGTCACGGTTCTCCGGTGGTGGTTCTAATAGTATCTGGTTCCCTTCCGGCGGCTTCTGTCGATCGATGATGTCTTTGAACCATTTGTAGACCACCTGGTCCTTGTCTCGCGCTCTAAGATCTTCCGTGCTAAGGGTATCATAATATGACTGATCCAAAGTCTGAGGGACCTGAAGACCGCTAGATCCCTCATACTGCGGATAGTTGTCTTCCAAACTGGCCATTATCCGGAACTGTCTCTTTCCGTGGTGTTTCTGGTGACGACGCTCAAGATAATGCTCGGTCTCAAAATCGATAAACGGAACCTCACATGGTCAGCCTCAAGGGCGTCGCTACTCTGCGCCACACTTACCACAAGAGAAATCATTCTTTTGCTGTCTGCTCCCGGAGTCGGGTCACCTCCAATTGCAGTGTTGCCCCAAAGTTCCGGGGACGTCTGACCAGAAGTTCTGTCTATCTCGTCGTCGTCTTTGTCTTCTGGCTGATGCTCTAATTTGTCTTCGGCCTAACAGAACAGTTAGCTCGCCAACAGAAACAAAGCTTGGACTAGGTTGGTAGTGATAGCTAAACGCACGTGGGGATTTCGGATGCATCCATGGAGAGTTCCTCCTTTTCTTTCCCACATGTTCTCTTCAAGAAACCGCCACGCATGATATCTCCTGGCATTATCATTGTATTTACTCGTCAGGTGCCAGACCAAATCCTGTCGACATTAGTTCGGAAGGGAAAGATCCATGTCACCTTGAATATCTGTACCTTGACCCATGTCATCTGTCAAGCGGCTCAGAACTTTTTCCTAATAGCAAGGGTGGAAACATCCTCAACTTACGTTGTTAGCGGGAAAATTGATCCACTTCCAGATCTCTCCAGCATTTACGGGAAGCTGGAGGTTCCTGCCTTCCTCGGCATTTTGGACGATTTCGACGAATTTGGCCTCGAGCTTTTCTAGCGCCGTCTTTGGTGTCCCAGACTGGTCTCCAGAGTCAATCCCCAAGCCAACCTCTTCTTCCTCCAGGTTGTACACCACGTCAAACACCGACATCTTCGTCGACCAGGAGACCTTGTCTCGCCAATAGAACTTAATGTCCACAAAAAACTCCTTACATACATTCTCCTGCTCGGCCGTACAATATGAGCGGCTCTCGGGCACCTTGATCGAACGCCACTTCTCCCGGGGTCTATCGAAGAGTTTTGCCACAGGATTTCCGGGGGGCACGAGGCTCTGCGGTGTTTTGCCATCGACATTGACGCTGTTCGGATCTGCACCGTACTTGAACAACAGTTCCATGATCTTCTCGTTGGCCTTTTCCGATGCGTCATGTAGCGGTGAATCCCCTGTATTGGTCGTAATTAGAATATTGCCAATTCCAGAGTCCCCGGGTGTGTAAGACGTAAGAGGAGCAATCCCAAAAAGGCAAATGATTGGACCGCAAGCTTACCAAATTTATCTTTCCAGTTGACCTCGGCCCCGTGTTCGAGCAGAAAGTTAACCGTGTTCACATCCCTTGGGGTCGCGGGAGAATTGGCTCCCCAGACTGCCAGATGCAACGGTGATATGTGTTGGTCATCCGGGGCATCCAGGATCGCCCCACTTCGTAGCAGAATGCGAGCGAGATTGATATGCCCATTCTCCACTGCTTTGTGCAATGCTGTTCTGCCGAAATGGTCCCTAATCTCAATGTAACTGCGAGACTCGGGGTGTCGCAGGATCTCTACCACGACTTCTTCGTTGTTCATGACGGCGGCTTGGTGCAGGGCCGTTCGCTGCGACGGTCCGTGTCGAGTTTCCAGCTTGAGTCCATTGCGCTTGATGAGGTTAATAGCTGTTTCGGAATTGCCTTTGACAATAGCGTCAAATACGGCTAAAGCGTCTCCGGCCTTTTCGACGTTTTCGTCCGAATTAGCTCCTGTGTTCACATCCGCGCCAGTTGTCAGCGGTCTCTTCACGCCACGAAGCCCACCAGCAACGGCACCCTTCCCAAAATGCTCATCAATGTGGATTTTCCGGACTTTCTCCTCCCCTTTGCTCTTTTGTCCATTTTGGTTCTGATCTCTCCGCGTTTTCTGATCCCTCTGTGGCGCCACCTTTGGGTGGCTTGGGGAGGTATTCGGCTCTTTCCCAATCTCTTGCCTCGCTGGCTCGCGGATTTCATCTGATGGATCCATCGACTTGTCTCCATACGGTACCGGCTGTTGCGTTGAAGGATCTCCCCTTGCACTCATGGGATCAAAACTGCTTTTTGCGGATCTTGAGTCTGTTCGACACTGAGTGAGACGAAGTGCGACGCGGTCGTCGAGGAACAAGACAGACCAGCACCGCCAGAAAGCGATCAGAGAGGAGTAGGGGTATTCGAGGGAGGAAGAAGGACGATTTGTCACTACCTGTTGACCATTAAAACTGCGGTTATCAGCAGGACATTGTCATAAGGCTGGTCTGGTATATTGTAGAGCGGTTGCGCGCTACTGTGGCTTGCCCACGTGAGGGACTCGTACAGGGAGGGGATCTATTTCAACTCAGCTCAATCATATACGTAAAACAAAATGGGACATTGTCATGTCCTTTGTTGCTGAAGCAATCGACGGAGAGGATAAATTTTACTCTCACAGTTCAGAGAGCAAGCCAGGACCGGTCTAGCAATTGCATTGGCATAACAAGGCAAGTTGGCACTAACTGCCACAGTCACAATATCCATGATCAGCATTGACTGTCACCCTTTCCGGTCCAGCCATCTGCACCGTGAGATTTCATGAACGAGATGATAGCATTCAACCCAATATCATTAGATTCTTAAGATATCTTGTCGTTTAAGATGCATCCGTTGGCTTAGCCAATGCAAGCGGCAATTCCCGCGGCTGACGCTGTCGTGGCACAAGTTCTGGGCACCGAGGTCGTTTGGCCTTTCGCCTGGGAGGGCCCAAATGGTCGCTGGCCAGGCGCTACGCGCATGGTCGGCTATCACGTGCCCTGGTTACTAGCACTTTAGTCTTGACAGGATTTCTCTCAAGGACAAGGCTTGTTTGTCACGAACCTTACCATTGTCACCACCTCCCCATCGCCCCGAGTGCCAGCTAAACTTCGCCACTCGAGTCGCAACCCTGGTTGATAGCCATTTGTACTGCAGGTCAATCAATTCCAACGCGTTTGGCCTGATATTCTTTCGCGCATCAGGAAGCCCCGGGAATGTTGATTAGTTCCCCCAGCGTTTTGTAGGGAGGAGCCGGCTAGAGGCCGCCGGGAGTCACGAGTAGGGAATTCCTGGGTGGTCATCCGGCAACTGAGATACAGTACTTCACAAATCACCTGCACCAAAGTTAGCGAGAGGCTTATCTTGTGACCGCCACAACCGTCACTCTGGTTTCCAGCGCAAGCGAGTGTGTTGAGAGGTTACTACAAAGCTGTCGCTTCCAAGATATGGACATCAGCAAAAGGACTTGCTACTGACCTCTATCGGCGGGGGCTCTTCGGGGGTTGGAGTGGCCACGGTGAGTTTCAATGCGGGAGAAAGGGTCGTACTAGCTTATCAGGGCTTCTTTCCTTTAAGTACCTCCGTGCTCCTCCCAACGAGCAAAACACCCCGGGCCGCATGATGCCCTGAGCTAGTTTTCCGGCTAGCCAGAACCCCGCAATGTCGCACCCGGATTATTACCACGACACTGCTGTCCTACAGCGCCCACAACCACCGTCTCGGTTGTTCTTTATGGTAAGGCCCAATAAGTCAGTTGGGGCTCCAGATTTGCGCACCCCAAAAATGTTGGCTCAAAACAAGCGAAACAGTCAAGCACCGAACTGGATAGATGTGTGTGAGAGTGGTGCTGCGAGGAAATCTCTACTTTCATGCAGTGTATGTCGAAGGCAAGTCGTCGTCTTCCTAACACGCGAAGGACCACAAATGATTACCTAGGTACAGGAAGAAGACTAGATGGTAATCACCTGCGGCCCTGCTGCGAGTACCGATGGGCGGCAAGACAAGTTTCTCTGCTGATGCACTAGACGAAGTGACCGCACGCTCCCTGCGTCTATCCAGCCAGATGTCTTGAACCTGGGCCAAGAGCCGGTGCTAGATACGAACGTCGTGGTAGAAGCGAAAGGATTGCAGGCACTATTAAAATGGCACATGTGCATGGCATACTACCCTGCCCAGCCTAGACTGCCTGCGCGGCCGGATTTTACTTCATACCACCCCGGTGCGTATGTGCAGCAGGGAGCCGGACCATTCTCGGGGTAACCCCCAATCGAAGCGAGGAACACATTCGCACGGTAAGTTTAGTGAGCGCCTCTGCACATGTGCAATTGACCCATTTCGTAGCCCAGCTTTGACTCTAGAGCAGTGTGAGCCTAGAATTGAGCGACCACCAGTGAACGGCTGTTGTTTTGTGGGAAATGCCCGAGCTCATGGCACGGCTGCAGAATCAGAGTCGCCAAGGTTAGACGTTCGCAGCCTCCCAATATCCAATACCGGCTCGGGTCAATCTTCTAGAGGACTTGGTAGTATCCTTTGTCAATTGAGGCCCTTAATGTCACTATTTAAATGATCCGGTGCCTTCAAAAAGCTACTACGAGAAAGCCGCACTGGCCATCTAACATACACCATACCCGGAGGTCAAGGATCCAATCCGGCAATTCTTCGACCAGCTCTGTACCCAAATGTCATTCCAGGCCCAATACTCGAGCCACCACCTGGATAAGCTCCTTTGAAGACAGAATTTTGATCACAGCCCACCGCGTAGAGGCCGTCAATGATCTCACCGTCCCCATTGAGCACCTGGGCATCGGTGTTTGTGATCAACCCGTACACGGTGCTGACATTGCCAGGATAGAGTGGAATTGCATAAAATGGTGCAACGACGAACGCATGTATGGCCCCGAGATATAGAAGCCTAATGACCGCATCGGGATAAGTTCGCGATTGTAAGCCTTCATTTGGTTTACCTCGGAACTGATGCACTAGCACAGATATGTTCGGGCTTTCGCTAGGCCGCGATTAGACCCCAACAGAACAGGCCGCGGTCACGCCGATGGAGGCATACACTACTACGCGGACGAACGCACATTAGCGGTAGAAAGTACACTGTTGAGCCAGAACGAGCAAGGGCGCCTAACAACATCTCACAGGGGCGTCGTGGGCGAGATCGTGACAGTCGGGCGCCATAGTACCCATTAATCTCGACAATGTGAAACTTCGGTACTGGCTATACATTCCCTGAGATGACCGCGTGCTCCTCGCAACCCTCGAGCCAGCAACAATCAACCACACTCTACTTGTTCGCTTTTGTCGCCGCCTCAGCCTCCTCCACCCACTCTACTGCTTTCTTCGCAAACAGCGTGTCTAGATAAAATCGTGCCGAGATCTTGCCGTCGCGGATCTCAAACAACCAATGATAGTTGTTCTTGTACGAATGGCCATTCACGACCATATCAGAACTGGCCTCTAGTGCGAGTCGGTTCTCGTCCGCCGTAATCCCCTCGGCCTTGAGTTTAGTAGCTGTGACACGTGTCTCCTTGTAAACCCAGTCGCAGAAGCCTTTCTTGTTGAGCGTACCAGCGAGAAGAGGAAACATATCTTTCCGTGCCATAGTGGTGAATGTCGCGTCGTCGTGGAATAGATTGAAGAACGGCTCCACGTCACCACCTACGTCGATCGACCATGTCTCAACGGTTTTGTAGGCCAGTTGGCGGTTAGCTTCGACGTTTCCCATGTTAGCCGGCAAGGATGGGAGGAAAAGGTAGATACAAGGCGGCGACCTTTGCACAGAGGGGAATGCTTCTCGGTCCAATACCCAGGCGAGAGATTGTTAGACTCCATGATGTTCTCGGGAATGGCGGGCAGCTAAATATGTCGGACAGACTCCAACGACTGCCCAGCCAGCGTCAATGTCGGGACGGAGCACGGGTCTGGGGTTTGCAGTCCATAGACGAAGGAACTTGCATGGTACCACGAGAATGCACAATTCGTAGAGGTGGCGCGGAGAAAGCGCTTTCCCCGTTTTCTGTATTTTTGTATACGCTAGAAATCCGCCTCAATTTTCACACAGGAATAGCAAACAAATAATGAGACTTGCACATTTCAGGTCGGTGGGCCATGGTAATGACGCGACCCCATTGGGGCAACTATCCGAACCGATTTGGTTAGTACGGCGGTCGGACCGGGGTCCGTATATCCATGTTATCGTTTGGGGGAATTCGGCTCATGCTCCACTGTACTAATCAAAGTGTTTTTCTGGCCGCGTCAGAAGGGTCCGAGCTCTAATACGTGTAATGGGCCTTTCTTAACGTTCGTCAGATCAAAAGTTTTACTAGTAAAATTCTCTACACTTTCAGAGAACCATACTTCACCGTAACTGTCATTCAAGTCATTTAAACGTATTTCAAAAATTACTCATACTGATTATATGTCATTACATAATGAACGCGAAGGACAGGGGTCTTCGCGTACTGGAGCTCAGACCCTTCTGGCGCCGCCAGAAGGGTCTGAGATGCCGAGACAATTTGTTTATGGAAATCCGATGTTGACGCGGTGAACAATGACGAGAGCGATCTGTTTATTGGGCCGTAAAGGTTCGATGGCAACATTGAAACGCGCATTGCCTTATCCCGTTATTCGGCGGGCAATTTTCTGACCATCTTATTAGTATACCCTCGCATTCTCAGCGCGCTTTTCTAAGGGTAGCTTTTCCCGACGGCCCGTCAGCAGCCTTCGGCACTGCCTGCCTATCGTGTGGATCCGTGCATAAGCAAGGTTCAGACCTCTCCGCCTCTTGTTGGTTCCAACCTTGCCGCCCCATTTCCTCATGCGGAAGGTATAGTACAGCACAGGGATCATGAAGAGATCGAATGCTATATAAGCCCAGACAAGACCAAAGTTGCGCCAGCGGAGCGACCACGAGATGCCACGGGGACTCAAGTACTGGTCCGCAAGGGATAGCGCGCAGTACTCGCATTTGCTCGTCGCTGTTGGGTTGTACAACGTGCCAGGCGCCGATTGTAGGTACGGAGCGAGATATTGACCGCAGGTCATGTTCGGTGGCGGATTGAAGATGCTCAATTCGTTCTCGGCGCACACGACCTTGCGATTGTGTAGCGCTGTGCCTACAATGCCGTCGATAATGTAGGTGAATGGGCTTACGCGGTACATAAAGAGCCAGAAGCCCGGCAGTGCGTCCGGGAGTTGGAGCACGCTGAAAGGAGTAACTTAGCGGGATGCAATTTAAAGGGACTGCCTGGAAGCATTACTCACCCATTGAATATCATGCACATAGCAAACATAAGTGTAGAAATGATGCCAGCGGTCTCTGCATCAGGCAGAGCGGCGATCACCATTTGGGAAAATGTGCTTGCATACACGAAGAACTGGATACAGAATAGCAAGATAAGGCCTTGTCGCTCGGAAGATTGGACGCTGGAGGTGGTCTTAGCGAAACACATTCAGAAATCAAAGGACTCAGAATACTCACCCAAAGACTGAATAAAAGTAGGAAGCATACACCATGATGCCAAGTAGGATTTCGTAAGGGATCTCCACAAAAATGTTGGCTAGGAGAAACGCGATGTATGAGTAGGCTTTGGACGGGCGTTCGCGGACCTCGTACAGCGACCTCTGAATAACGAATCGAGGAATGATCTGCTGAATCAAAGCCGTGAATATAGCCGTGAGCATGAAGACGCTGAATAACACATCCTGTAATCCTTGTTGAGAGCTGTTCGACTGCCAGAATGAGAATCCAATAAACCTATCACCCAGGTCAGCGGAATCTATCCCTGGAAGAGTTGTTCAATCAGCACTGACAGAGCTGACGCGACACCGAGACCAAACTTGTGCCAAATATATCCGGGAGTTCTCCAATACTGTTGAAAAGCTCGGATCGTCGTGTAATAAATCTGAGTGTAGAGTGGCATGGCAAACTGACCATGGTCTTTGGGGGCGTTATCCTCCGCGCGGATTTCGCTTGTTTCCCGATTGATTCGTTCCAACTCTACGAGCATATTCTCGTTCTCCTCACTTGATTTCCAGATCTCGACCCAATCATGATTTGGTTGGGTACTCGTTTCAGGGTTGACCACTTCCAGGATGTACTCTGCCACATTCTCTGACTCAGTACAGTGCCTGGCTCCGTGCCTTTCGAAATAACTGATGAGAGTCTGTGAGTTGGGTCCGATGTCGCCGAAGTAAACAGTCCGACCTCCATTGGTGAGGAAAAGGAGTCGATCGAATTCCTGAAAGAGGATCGCACTGGGCTGGTGAATAGTCGACAGGACGGCCTGCCCATGGTCGGCAAGCTTTCGGAGGAAGCTAAGGATAGACCAGGAGCTTTGCGAGTCGAGCCCACTGGTAGGCTCGTCCAGGAAGAACAGGAGAGAGGGCTTCGCGGCGAGCTCCACTCCTATTGTAAGGAGTTTCCGTTGCTCAACATTAAGGCCTTCTCCCGGCACGCCGACGACAGCCTCGGCGAAGTCTTCCATGTTAAGCATCTTTTATACCAATCAGCGAGCTTTTTGGGGGGGGGGAATGTGATGTACGAACTTTGACTACTTCCTCCACGTAATCGTATTTCTCCTTCTTTGAGACAGATTTCGGCTGACGGAGCATGGCGCTAAAACGCAATGCTTCACGAACAGTCGACGTCTCCAGATGAAGATCTTGCTGCTGAACATAACCTGTCACCTTGTTTTAGTTCGCGAGCGTGTCAAAACAGAAGGGCGCCCCTTTCCAGCAATTCATACCTGTTTTCCTTGGGAAACTGGTGTCCAATGGCTTCCCGTTCGCCAATATGTCGCCGGTAATAACTCCGATCGAGGTGCGTTGGGCTAATACGTCCAGCAACGTCGTCTTTCCGGCGCCCGACACACCCATAAGCGCGGTCAGCGTTCCAGGCTTGACCCAACCCGACACTTGGTCAAGCAATCTGCGAGTGCCATCCCTGACTGGAATATCGTAGTTAACATCGCGCCAAGTAAACATGACTTTCTGTGACGGGATTGCCTGGATATCTTCATCTTGACTCTCACGCCTTTCGGCTATTGCGACAGGAGCTTCAGGAGACGCTTGGTTCGCATGTCTCAAGCCATCCTCGACGTATCGCGGCACATGCCCGCGTCGGAAGAGCAAGACTTCTCCCTTGCTTTCGGACTTTGAGTTGATTTCCGTAATTCCCAAGTATGTCATCATGAAGAAGGCCAAGAAGGCAATCACTATACCAAGATTCCGCCAAATGTGGCTGTAATTATATCGGTAGGACGTTTCGAGATATGCATCGCCAGATACAGTAGACTGACCGACAATCGACCCCGGAACCGAGCAAATAAATGTGTCCCCGAGTCTGTTCGGATATGCAGGAACGTAGCTATGAGCGTAATTAGGAGAGAACATCACACGATGACCAAGAAAGATAACGGTCTTACCTGCCACACGGAAATTGTCTTCCGTGGAATTCGTTAACAAGAAGTGCCTCAAATGAAAATGCAATGGGATTGCACCATGAAAGCCATTTGAACCAGGGGTGCATGTTGGGTCGAGGTATTGTGAACCCAGTGTAGATCACTATTGCCAGGACAAACACTGCAGCGATTGCCAGTGCCTGAGAGATTGTTTTAGTTGCAGCACCAATCGTTCTGAATAGCCCAGTCATGGCCAGTCTTGTCAGAAAAGCGAAAAGAAAGAATATGAAGAATTGTGCAGCCTCCCTCCTAAGGCCGGCCAGAAAATATAAAATGACATTGAAGATCACGGCGGTGGATAGTTGAACTGGTAGATCCGCTATCACCGTCGCTAGTGCCTCCGCAAATGGGTGATAGAACCTATTGCAAAGTCAGCATGAACCAACCGTATCATCTCCGGGACGAGACCCAGAGTTGCAACATGCTTTCAGGATTGACCGTAAACCTGGGACACACTTACGCGTAAGAGACTTGCTTCTCGACGATAGGTCTTTGGTCGTATAGTCGATTGATCTCGGTGACGGCCACAAGAGCATTGAGTAAAATTGCAAAGAAAATAGTCGAACCCTTTGCGAAGAAGCTGTTAGTGTCGTTTATCGTTCCGTAGAAAACGGAGCCGATAATAAGGGACATGCTGCCTTGTCCAATGATCAGGGTGAATCGGCTCACTCTCTCATTCCACAGCCGCTGAAAGCCTCGCCTAGAACAAATCTGAATTTGCATCCAGGGCGAGACAGTGTACGGGGAATTTGGAGGAACGTGATGTGCCTGTACAGCCCGGCGTGCTAATTTGAACTCATTCGCAGCAGCAAAGTCAGATACTTCCTCCTCATGGGCCCTGATCTCTTGCTGGAGGGACTGGTAAAGCTTAGATTTTCGCCAGTATTCTTCAAATTCGGGAGCAGTTCGAGGGACCTTCTTCTCGTATCCTGGCCGCGGTTTCCTTTCTCGTACATTTGTGACCGAGGTCAAAAAGTCAGGGGTCGTCTGGCGAGGTGGACAAAGCCAACCCATATCTGCAAAGTAATCTTTCGCAAACTTAGTTGAGCCAAGGTAGATCTCTCTCCCCTCGTAGAGAACCACGACCTTATCAAAAACGTCGTACATGGCCTGGGATGCTTGATAAGCCGCAACGGCCTGAGCAGATCCGCTCAAATCGGCACTCAATCTGAGAGTCCGAACGAATGAGAGGGCAGATGAAGCGTCCAGACCTCGTGTACCGTTGTCCCAAAAACCGATGGGCGAGAATGATAGCAACATCTCCGCAATGCTGACTCGCTTTCGAAAGCGTCAGTAAGCATCTTGTTAACGAAATCAGGCGGGCCCACCTTTCTTTCTCCTCCAGATGCACCTCGTACATACGCACTTCCTACTCTGGTATTTTGAACATGGCTCAATCCGCAAACTGCCATGGCGACGGCCGTCATTCTCTGAACGTTTTCGTTTCGTGATTCTCCGAAGATTCGGTTCGCTGGAGTCCGCATGGCGGCGGCAAATTCGAGAGTCTGTCTGACCGTCAAATGTGGGAAATGTCTGTCAACTTCTGCATTGTAAACGATCTCGCCCCTAAAGTTCTTGATCATCTCGTGCTGAGGTATTCCTATCCCAAATGTCAGACCGGTACGGCACACCGATGAGAGTAGGTGAGTCATACCGCTGTAATGTATTACCGAGTCATTCCCGATATTCAAGCCATGGAGCTCTCCTGCCAACGTCTTTAAGAGCGTCGAGCACCCGCTTCCAGGACGTCCAAGAACCAATAGCATCTCTCCAGGTTTCACAAGACCTTCAAAACCAGAAAGGATCTTTCTCTGAGGCTTCTTTGCGAGGCGGATCCACTCGCGTAAGCGTATCGGAGCAAGAAGAAAAGATGCCACTGTCGGCTGTAGATTTATGGCGATTCCAGAGCCTGACACGTTTAGATTCTTGAAGGTAATTGAGGCACGGCGCAACTTGATATTTGCGCCCTCTGCCGCACGCAGGACCATCTTGACCCATTTGTATACGTCGAAGGCAGGTCCAGAAGGATCCAGAGCCGGATCATAACCTTCTACGCCCTTGTCCAGCATCACCCATCAGTTGCAATGGACTGAGAAGCAGTAGAGACCTGCACTGATTCGTAGGGGATCTTACCTTTAATTCGCTTGCAACGCGTGTAAGCTCGGCACGGTCAACTGCCATGATCGGTTCGTATTCACTGTCATTGGACATCGATATGGCAGGCCCGAGCTCTTCGTTCGTGTGTAATTGGCTATCGACATTCGAGCCTACAGGATCTCCTTGGGACCTTGAGCTGGTAACATTGCTTTTGTCGTCTTCAGTGTCTCTCTGTCCTTGAGCACTCGATGCCATGTGGACTGCGATAACGATTAATTTTTTTGTACTGGCAAAGAAGCAGCCAACATAATCGTGATAGAAAGTGTCAAGGGCGGCACAGTCCCTCAGTGATTGCATAAATAGGGTCGGGGATAAGTGCCTCAGATCCAAATCTCTTATGCATGATTTACCGGAATTTTCAGTCTTCTGACAATGGAGGCTAGAATTTTGAGGTTTGATGTTGATGCATCGTATGATCTGGTCGGGGTTTATGGGCGCATGTTTTCCGATACTCGGAGAAGGGCTATTGGGCGACTCGTATTTCGTATAGTGATGGCGATTCCAGATCCGAACTTCCCGACAGCCGTTGATGTATTAACGTGATCATGAGAATGGACCTAATCATGTGTTCGGGGTGGATAATATACTATCGGAATCGATCATAATATTAGACGTGCATGCAAATCTTTGGATTCATGTTGACAAGGCAGAGGCAGACTCGCAGCTACCTCGAAAGACAAAATGGAAGCGGTCATAAAGCCCCCAAGTCTCTCAAGAAAGCAAATCAAATAATAATAAAATCTGTTGCTTTTAGGACATTTCGAGCTTGGGTGGCATACTTTAACCTCCTGGCAGAGGATGGGCTTCGGCAAGATGTAGAAGAGCAGCTTAGGGTGAGGAACACGGAACTTGAGGAAGAGGCACGAGTGGGTCAGATGCAAAAAATCAAAGCAAAAGCACGAGTGGAAGGCCACGGGGTTTGATGGACAAGCTGAAATCCGTAATTGACTCGGGATGGTTTTTGATGCATTTATTTTGTCTAACCTATTCGTGGTTGACAAGTCTTGAGCGACCCTTGGAGACTTATGAGTGCATTCACTTATAGATTCGGATTTTTTTTTTTTTTTTTTCAGCGCCGAATTGCTGGTAAATTGCCTACGACACAGCACAAGACGGTATATATCTTCTTCGAGCTTGTATGCTGGCATCGAAAATTGCTGATCCGCCCTAGCCGCCGAGAAGTTTGAAACTCGATAAGGAGGGTGACAAACAGTCAATCATGGGGCCAGTCATTGGTCGCTGTATTTAACCGCTTCAAGGGACTTTGCGGCTACAGAGAAGACTCGACAAAGTCCGACACGGAATCTGAAGCATATCATAGGAGAGCTCGAATAGTAAGGCTCTTCGATGCAGCAGCCCGACACTCACCTGCCACGTTAACATCTCCTCCGCCACGATAACAAGCCTACCTACCAACCATCAAGGGCGGCCACTAAAAGGAAATGATTTAGTTGACCTAACCCAACCTCTTATTCTTTACCTTCACCCGAAACAAATACCGTATAAGAACATGCGAAGGATCATAAACAACATACTCATTGAATCCCAGACTCCCCCCTGAATAGGTATTACTGTACGGAACTGTCGTGTCGGGCTGCGAAATCACGCACGAATTAGTCACAAATTGCCTCAAAAGCAAAAAGGGAAGAAAGAGAAAGATTCTTCAATCTTCATACCATCAAAACGATCCCCCCGCCCGTGCAGGGTAGCCCCCTCATTTCCCACCTTACCGCCTTCCATTTCACGGGTCCAACCCTCCCGAGCCCCTCAATACATCTGTGCTGCCCGCCCGACTTCTTGATGACATCGTGACCGTTGTTGATGCTCTTCTGGCTCCGGATCCGCGACGCCCCGACGTCGGCTTCGCACAGGAGCAACACCGCTTCTCCGTTCCACAATTGGTGTTTGCAGAAGCCCGCCGACTTGCTCGACGCGTCGGCGAGGTAGATACCATTGCCGAACATGGTCCCCGTCCAGCTAGCCCCTTGCCTGCGGATCTGAAGTCCCAGATCGAGGATACCCAACAGCGAGTCGAGCGGTGTGCCGTGCCACAGAAGGAGCCTCTTCTCGCCACAGATGTCGTGACCCCGCTTGGCCTCGATCCAGTCGTGGTACGGGTTCGGCAAATTAGCCTTCACGAAGACCCCGTAGATCGCCTGCAGCTCCAGGGTCAGATAATGCATGTGATGGCAGGAATTCTCGAGGTAGTTCTTGAGTTCCAGGAACTCGAGCGTCGACGTATCCGTCAGGCGGCGGAAGCCGTGCCGCAGAGAGCTGTAGGCATGGTACAGCGGCTGGGCGAGGGTTTTATACGCGTTGAGCTGGAGGAGCCCTTGGTGGTGGATCTTGGTCAGCATGCTAGCTATTTCCTGCCACGGCCAGAGCGAGTGCAGGAATTTGAGCTCGAGGAAGATGGCGAGATAGCTTGATATCACGGGGGGCCGATCGTATTCTGCGCAGAAGGGGATCTGGCTGCGGTACCGCGACGACGCTCTGAGGATGGCCTTCCAGCGGACGGGGCGTCCTGACTCAAGGTATTTCCAGATATGCTCAAGAGTCTTCAACGCCGAAAAGATGGTCCAGGGACTGAGCTGCTCGTACGGAGCGCTATATGCTGACCAGGATCTCGAGGTGCCGGGGTTCTCGCTTCCGTTGCGTTTCCGCACGGGACCACCGTAGAGCATGTCCTCCATCAGATCCCTCACTTCCTCCTTGACCTTGGCGTCGACCACGGCGTAGTTAGGGAGCTCCTTGGGGCGTGTGACAGTCCCGCGGTAGTCTAGCTCGACGAACATAAAGTACCAGTCTGAAGATAGGGGGGGTTCGTATCTTTGGTTCCACACCCGGGCCGTCATGTCGTGGAATACCTTGCGGAATCTGGCTGCGACAGGCCTTAGATTGGTTGACTCCATTTCCTGCCGGCCTGCGCCTTGGAGTCCGACGCGACCTTCTCGGGTCAAGAGAGCGTACGTTTTGCGCTCTGGGTTGAATACGATCTATTTAAGAGTATCTTGTTAGTGGTCTAACTTTTGTCGATATATATATGTATGTGGTATGCATGTTTACGAACTTGATGCCTCCGGAAGGTGTTCACGTTCTTCATGATGTCGACCCGGAGGAGGTAAGCATCATAAATCGACGCCGTAACCCTATGTATCACGACAGCAGCATCGGGGTCTGCTCTCAGGTCAACAGGAACACATAAGCTCGCCATATCCTCAGTCTGGCTCCGAAAGTAGCCATGGTGCGAAGTGTGCCTTGCCCTCGCAGCAGCCCGGCGCCCCTTCGCGACATGAAAATCCTCAAACTTCTTCCGAATATCCTGATGTCTCAAGTTCTCGCGCGCCACAACGTCATGACCCAGATCCCAGTCGGAGGATATCCGTTGAAGAGGAGGAGCGATTGAACGAGGTATCGTCGGAGTCGGTGCCGTTGAGGGAATACTTTGGCGTGCTGGCGGAGGAGAGGTCTGCACGTCGGAAGGATTGGGCGGACATGAGGTGCCAAAAGCTTCAGAGAAGGTATCAGATGCAGCTTTGGCTCCCCTAGAGAGTTTTGCCGGGTTGATAGTCCCTGGCGGATCTGGGCGCCACCGGGTGTCCATCCCTAGACGTACAGATCCATGAAATCTTGCGGCTACATTAAGTCCCTGATGAGGCTGTGAAAAGATGTCTTGAAGACTAGCCCAATCTATGAATAATCGTGGCTGTTTTATAGGCGCCGTCCTTGGCGCCTTGGCCGGAGTCACGAGGCCTAGGATCGCCGAGACACAAGCAAGTCACACGTTGTCAAATTTAGTAGGCCAACTTCAAGATTTCATTGGGGGCCTCTATGCAGATCAGCCACTAACTATTTCATAGAGCCCTCATTTTTGTCTCCAGCCTTACTTCCGGAGCTCCAGAATGCGGTACCTCAACTACTCCATCATTCATCATTTTCACCTGTCTACTCGGTCTCCGAAGCCATAGAAAGGAAGCCCAACATCTTCGAGATCTGGAAGGGCATTCTTATGTCTACCGATGATCCAATGTTGATCCTCCCCTCTTGGTGGAATGACACAGGTTTAAAGTATTCAATCTCTTGTTCTACAGGTTTGGCGGGTAGTTAGGCCCCATCTGCCACCACTCATTTCTATGCTGGTCCCATTGACTTTGGGGGGAATGTCTCGAGATAGTGACCACCCACAGCAAACTACGTACAACAGCGACCAATTGAAACTAGTTGCGCGAGCGTTGTCCGCACGACGGACTCCACCAACAACAGGAATCTAACGCCATAAAATAGGAGAAATGTTGACAAGACTCTCAAGAGGCGCACGAAGGCGAGGAGCGCATCCTGAAGACGCTCGCCGACAAAGAAAGTGGCCATCCAAGCCGCAGCAACAAGAGGGGATCAAAAAGGTCAAACAGGACTCTGCGACACCAGGAAAGTCTATACAAATCGCGAATCGAGCAACAATGAGGAAAAGAATTCGCAAACGCCAAAGATATGTGAATGCCTCAATTTTAATGTTTGGTACCTCGATTTGTGCGATCTTACCAGGGTTTGGGTGGGGTTTCAGGTACCTTCCCGTCGTGCGGACATCGCTCGCACAACTAGGCTCAAATGGTGCTTAGTAAGGTCGCTGTCGTACGCGATTCGCTATGGGTGATCGCTCTCCTGAGAGGTTCCCGACTTGGTTCCAAAGACATTCACCTCTCGACCGTTCATTGAATAGGCTGCAAGAGCATTATGATACCGTCCACACCCTGAAAGCACGACCATTCGGAACCTGACCATCTTGAGTATCTCTTGCCCGCCTCGGCCCTCCCCACCCTTTTGAATTTCAATCACCATCTCAACAGCACTCCGTCCCTGTTTGGAAGACGGTCTAAATGGTGCAGATACAAACTAACGGGAATACATTATGGCTGAATAACAATGCTAAGGATATTGTGACTACCTCCCGCTCAAGGCGGACGTGCCTTTATTCCGGAAGTTGCTCATAATATATATCATGCTTTAACGTTCATCTGAATGTCTCCCGACGATAACCCCAAACTGCTTCGAGATCCTTGATACGCCATCGTGATCCCCAGCCCGTCCGTGTCTCGATTGAATCAATCAACTCAACAATGATCGACTGCTCTTCTTGATGCGTGAACATTTTTCCCGCCACGTACAGGGGCTGAATGGCGTTGTTGATACAGCCACCGTGCGGGTTCGTCAGGGAAATGCCGACTACCCTCCGAGCATGCCAGAAGGCCGAATAAGCCGGGTCGGTGTGGTGCCAGATATTGTCGCTTTCAGCGTTTCTCAACTCGAGCATCAAGATGCACGCGGTGTGGTAGAGTTGGTTGCTCGAGATGGCGGCCCAATGGGCGAAAAAGATCCGCGGGAAAGGGTTGGTGTCGCTGCTTTTGGTTGATTTGACGGGTTTCATCTCGATGGGTCGTCGGGCGGACCATCCTTGTAATTCATCCCAGAGCTGACGCCATTCGGACTTGAAGGTCTCGCCTTCACACCCGTTGTCTTTTCCAAGCTCTAGATACCCCGTGCGGCGTGAGAGCAAGTCGCAGACCTTGGCGCACAAGTAGACGGCGTAGTTGGCGTACATATCGGGGACTTGGGTGCCCCTTCTTAGAAACTCCTCGGCGATGGCGGCGTTTTTGGCAGTCCCAGACTTGAGGAGTTCGGCCCCATCGTCGAGAAGCACCCATTCGTGGATGGGTAGGACGGTGCTTTCGGCCCCGCCGGCGATGATAGCGCCGCATAGGTCCATCCGCGCGTAGCACCAGAACACCGCCTGGAGCAGACCGCCAGAAAACCCGTGGATGTGCGACGAGGCAAACAGCGCGGCACAGCCCTCGACATGTCGTCGCCAGTCACGCGGGCTCACACTCATCATCTCGAGCACGCAGAGCAGACACGCCGTCACCACGACGTTGGTTTCCTTGGTATTGTTGAGCGACGAGGTCAACGACGAGATCGCCTGCGAGTAAAGTTCCAGACTGTCACGCGAACCTTCAATGTCCCCTTGTCGTTCGGCCGTGCGGGCAGCCACCGCCAGCAGGGCATGAAACACCGCCGCAGATCGCTGCGACAAGATGGGCACCTGTAGACCGAAATGTCGTTCTTGATCAAACATGTCCAGCCATGGCGCACAATCCGTGATCCAGACATGAAGATACTTGATTTTTCGGGCTAAGGATATCTGGTCGTGACTATCTCGGACGTGCTCATGGAGAAGTTGATAACCCGGTTTGCGTTGGTCTGCGTCGGATGATGATTCTTGTTGGTTGCTGGATGGTGTAAGGCTGTTTTCTCGTGTGTTGTCTTGGCTGCTCACTCCTACAAACAACCACGAGCGCAGCTCGGTCTGGAGTTGTTGAAATCGAGGATTCGCCGCGTACTCGTCGAAGATGCTCTCGTTAGAGACTGCGTCCGGCGACACAAACTGTACGGTCGTCGGTTCTACATCCATGGTGCGTCTAGATCAACGAGATATACGAGATCGGGTTCATCTAAGCCCGTATTGGCCTCTTCCCTTCAGGTAGCGGCGAATGATGGAAGATCCTCGTCCATAATTTTAGGTATTCGAATAATACTGCGCCTTTGCTTGTTCCAGGCGCAGGGAGCGGACGGAGAAAAAGTTGTATGAGTTGAGAAAAGATGTTTCCAGGACAGATAGCCCCGCTTAGCACTAAAGGTCACGAAGAAAAATTGCAACCGCCAAGGCGCTCACAGTTGTTAGTTGGTTTGTCCGGGGTAAAGGATTCACGTACGGGGCATATGGGTGGGGCGAACTCAAAGTTTCTAGGCTCCTGTTTTAGGCTTGGCCTCCGCCCATAAGGGCCCACTGGCCGGGAACCAGGTTAAGCTTGGGCGGCATGTCTATGCTGAAGCCCACTAGTTGTACATAGTAGGTCGAATACGAAGCGGCGAAGATAATACCCGTAAACATCGTCATACAAAGAGGAGTAATGGCGACAATACTGTCGTCTTGCGTAGGTTTGACTTTTGGAAGCGCTCTAGGTACGTCACCCCTTCGGCCTCCCAGGGCATGCTTAATATTGGTGAGACGCTTTGCATCTTCTGCTTATAACCTCAGCGCCGAAGGCTTCTGAGAGCGTCCCCTACTCACCAGCCATCATGGGAACTCCGTCATTAATAGCGCAAACGAAGCAGCGATGACAGCAAAGCTGTATTGGCTACAGAAAGACCACGCGTTATGCCCACCGATTCATATAGGTTCCAGTGCTGTTCACCATCCACGCATCGGCGAAGGGTCCGAGCGTATAACCCCAGGTGACTAAAGTTGATCATGTGTCCACGAAGAGCAAGAGATACAATCCCGGCAGTGATGAGCTTTCTTTCCGTTAGTTCCACTACAAGGACGTGACAGTTTCCCAGTAGAATGTTGACAAAGAAGCCGCCACCGTTGAATCTGGAGACCCAGACAAGGCAAGGCTTGGGAGGTGTGTCAGAGCCAAGTTACTGCCGCCCGGAAAAATATACAATGGACAGGTTTACCAGTCAGCCAGCAAAGCAAGGGTCTGAAGTCCGCCTCTGACTACATATAAGAGGCTTGCCGTCCCCCGAAGGGATCTGAAAAAGGGGAAGAAAAGCGTCGAGTGCTGATTTGCAAGTGTCGCACACTATCTCAGGAAATCCTGCTGCGTCACGAAACATCCGTGGTATGATGAGTAGTTTCGAGGTTGTTGATTTCGTCTTGCAATGGGATTCCGGTCGATTGAGATGCTCTCCGCAGGATATTGACCACCACAGCCAACTGCGAAGCATGGCTCAATCTCTTAGCGGCGTAGAGGACGGCCGCCACGACAAAGGGGTCTAGAATCTCAGCCTCCATAAAAGCTGCAACTATCCCAACCACTCGCTGTGCGTGCCAAACCGCCGAGTTGGATGACCCTATCTCAGCGACGGGTCTGGTGAGGCGAGGTTTATTATGTAGCAAGTAGAGAGCCGTGAGGTGATGGACCAAAGTGGCCACCAGAGCACAAGTATTGCTAAAGATGACAATAGGAAAGGGAGCCCCTGGTCCTTTGGCTGGAGATGTTTCGAAATTTTCCATTTCAAGAATTTGTTGCATCTCTTCGTTTCGCGCAGCATACCAGAGTTGATTATCACTCCAACACGATTGCCATGCAGCAGTAAACGGCAGCCGCCGGGTGTTGCGAGCTTTATTCAATTCGTTACTTGAAACCGTCAGAGCACGCGCAAGATTGGAAAAGCTTTGCCGAAGCTGTTGCTTGTGGGTCAGGAGTTGACCTGGTAAAACCGGAGTGGCTCCCTGAAAAATAAAGGAGAGATCAACTGGTTCGGACAGAGGTGATCCTGCCAGGTGAGCCGCGAGAGTTAAGCGGGCCATGACATGCCAGTGGCCTTCGAGAAGACGACTGTATGTGAGGCTGGGGTTTCGCTGCAAAGTTGCGAGTCTAACCTGCCAGTATCGTGGAGGCGTTAGGATGATATCTCGTACAGCGAGGAGGATTGTGGCAGTCGATCTATCCTCTTCATCAGCAAGAAGCATTGTCTGCTTGGCATGTGATGCATAGTCATTGATTGTCGTTCCATTTCCCGCACGATATGACAGACTGGACAGCGCTAGGATACTTTGATACAGCGTCGGGACATGCTCGGCTCTGTGAAGTGCTCGAACACTAAAATACGAGTCACCGACTCCAAGGTCTAGTCGAGGCGCAATCTGATACCGGTAGTAAGTCAAGAGATCGATTTCTTCCTGCTCGAGTGGTCGGTGAGAAAGCTCATCGATGACAGGATCAGTTGGGCCGATCGTTCTTTGCCGTCTCGGGTTTGGTGTATGGGCCAGAATGTTTCGAAAAGATGGAGGAGACAATGTCGTTGATGCCGATCCAGTCGTATCGAAAGAGCTGATAAACTGAGATGAGGATGATGGAGAGAAAGGGGGGATTTGCATCCGATGTAAGGACGTCGCTGGCAGGTGGTCCGTCGTCGGGATTGCGGTCGCGCTCGGGGAAGAACGCACTTCACCCTGGAGGGGTGAGAATTGGGCTTGACGATCTTCGCTTACATATTGCCTCGGCTGATCAGACCGGGAGAGAAGCGTTCTGGTCCGGGGAGGCTCAGATGTTGCCGACTGGGGACCATGGATTGTCCGGACAAATTGGACAGTGGAATAATCGGCCGGCTCTGCTGGTTGCCTCGATCGACTTGACCGAGCTGACTTTGATCCCACAAATGTGATATTGAGTCCATATCGACATGACAGGTTCTTGCGTTTGCAGTTCTCGCACACCGGTTTTCCTTCGTCGCCTTTCGGAAGCTATCAGCTTGTTCACCGTAACAAAGACTCGCACAACAACGCACATTTTCGCCGCCTTCCTCGGCAAGTTAGGCAACCCGTCCGTACACGCCGTCGAGTCGAGATGGGCTCTGGGGTATCTGGCATCAGCAATAGTCGTTCATGAGGGTGTATGCGGGTCGTGTGGCATGGTGTTGCGAAAGGAGAAAGCGGTGCCTCCTTTGAATCGAAAAGAGATTTAAGTTCGGTCACGGAGTGGGCGAATTTGGTTTTGCGCGGGACCATTCAATTGACTTTGACCTAGGCAAATGGGAAAAGGGGAATTATCCTCGACGCGGAAATTCCAAGCGCAAGAGTCGCCTGCATTAGTGGAAGTAACCCTGGTTCCAATCCCAGTTCTCTCCACGACCTTTTCTCCCTCCGTCTGGGAGAGAAAAAGGGAAAAAAGATTGAAAGCCCCAAGAGGTACCAGCGGAACCATGCTTTGGAGCCTCGGGAGGAACTGACACATGGCTTCCATTATTACAATAAACAACCCGATCGTTACTAATCGAAGACGCATGTTTTCCCTTATCTTTTTGGCCCCGCTCAATCTATTCTCTCCTTTCCATGAACTCGTGATTTTGTCATCCCATTTTTCTTCCACGCGCTGATCACTTCTTACATCTCAAACCCGATATTTGACCATAATTCTTTCAGAGCAGATTGTCTGACAACCTAACATAAAGATAGTGCGCTGGCTTCGAGTCACCCGTGTAACAGTGTACCACACACAGTATACACACAAACATGGCGCCTACGGTGACCTCAACGAACATACAAGTCAACGGCGATACGCCGATACCCAAACAAGGCCCTGTCATTGTTACCCGGCTGGAAGCTGAAAACAATCATCCCGATTATGCTACCGCAGAGCTATTGGAATCTAAATTGAATTATTACTCAAACCCCTCGCTTTTCGTCACCCCAGATCACGTTGTTGAGATGCGTGAGACGGCGATACCAAGGCTGACAGTGAGTCAAGTACTGATTCATGTCCGCACCACTGGCATTTGCGGGTCCGATCTTCATCTGTGGCATCGAGGGGCGATCGGCCCCTTGACGGTTGAGCACTCTCACGTGCTAGGCCACGAGTCCTCTGGTGTTGTGCTGGCCACCGGGTCAGCCGTCACACATTTGAAGCCGGGAGATAGAGTGGCCATCGAGCCCCAAGTCCCTTGTCATACCTGCTTCCTGTGTACGTCTGGCAAGTACAATCTGTGCGAGTCCGTGGCGTTTTCAGGGGTATGTCATGCTGGAACGATCCGACGATTCATGACGCACGAAGCACGGTATTGCCACAAGATGCCCGATACTATGACTTTTGCCCAAGGAGCCCTTCTCGAACCTCTCTCCGTGATCCTGCATGCGATCCGGCAGTGCAAGGGGTCGATTTCGTTAGGCAAACCGGTATTAATCTGTGGGGCCGGACCCATCGGCCTGATCGCTTTGGCCGCTGCAAAAGCTTCCGGGGCATGGCCTCTTGTTATCACCGACCTTGAGGAATCACGATTGAAATTTGCCCGAAGTTTCGTGCCAGGAGCTCAGACTTACCTGGTTCCACCGTCCGAGACGCCGTTGGATACGTCGGAAAAGATCAGGCTGCTCTTCGGATGCAAAGGGAATCGCAACGTCGACAAAGGAGTTCCGGATGAGAATGAGTACAACGCACCCACGACCGTGCTCGAATGTACGGGGACTGAGTCCAGTGTTATCACTGCCGCATACAGCTGTCGGAGGTCTGGAGTTGTCATGGTCGTAGGTGTTGGAGGGAGCATCATGAACAATATACCCTTTATGCATCTGAGTCTGGCCGAGATCGAGCTGAAGTTCATCAACCGATATTCGGATACTTGGCCAGCCGGCATCAATGTCTTGGCCAATGGACAGGTATTGAATCTTGATTCTCTCGTCACACATACCTTCCCACTGGAGCGGGCTGTCGAAGCCATGGCATTGAGCGTGGACCGGACGAAAGGTAGCATCAAGGTACAAATAGTTGATGATCGAGAGATCAAGCTCTGACGACGTTTGTTCGCGAACGAAGTTTTGGCCAAACCAGAGCATACTAATTCGCGCTGATAGATAGATAGACTAGACAAGACACTGGCGAGATCAATAACACTTCTCATCATATCCACTGCTTCACTTGAGCGGGCACTTTCAAGGGGCATACAATAAGTTCGGAGTTCTATTTGTTCTATATGACAATCCCTAAACATCCCATGGCTGCGTTAGCTCCAAAAGAATGTAATACGATCATTCCACCTCTAGCATAACAGAAGTTCTACGCAAAAATACGTAGAGGCTTGTGCAGATAGAATCCCGGATCATTGAACCTCAATCCTTTGTCGAGCGCGCTGATGGCCTCGATCTCCTCTTCGGCCAAGTAAAAGCTGCCAGACCCGACCTCCAGATTCTGCCGCAAGCGGTCGACATGATTCGACTTGGGGATGACAGCAATGTTGCGCTGTGTCGCCCATCGAAGCAACACCTGGGCGGGCGTCTTGTTGACTCTGCTGGCGGTCTTCTTGACGATGTCGACGTCAAAGAGCAGCGGGACCTCCTGAGTTCTGGCACGGAACTCGGCTGTCATCTCGAGGAAACTCTGCGGTCCAAAGGACGAGTAGGCCGTGATGACGATGTTCTCCTCTTGAGCGAGCTTGACGAGTTCCGGCTGCACGAGGTAAGGATGGTGCTCGATTTGGAGTGAAGAGATCGGATATCGGGCATATCTCTGGATGTCGTAAAGGGTCTGGGCCTGGGCATTGGAAATGCCGATCGATGTGATGATGCCGGAGTCGACCACTTCCTCCAATGCCTGCCAGGTTTCTTGAAGAGGCACGCGGTCGGTTTCGATCTCTTTGTGCTCGGGGTCCATCCACCATGCCTGGAGTCATATTGATTCGTAAACAATCTAATGGATTTAAATGCCAAGTCCTTGGTAGATCTCACCGGATATCGCAGTTTCTCGGGCTCAATATATTTCAACGCCACGGGGAAATGAATGAGATACAAGTCAATGTACCCCAAACCCCAAGCATCATTCTGTGCTTGGGCCATGGCCAGCGCGTGCTCCCTGCGGTGGTAATTGTTCCACAGCTTGGTCGTGACGAAGATGTCCTCTCGCTTGACAAGGCCCTCAGAGATAGCCTTTCTAATGCCCTCGCCGGCCTCCTTCTCATTTTGATAGTCGTAAGCACCATCGAAGAGACGGTAGCCTTCTTTGATGGCCTGACAAAGATCTCAATTTCACTGATCATTTCGGCTCTGTCGGAGCAATTCCAACTTACATTGTAGACAATATCGGCGGCTTTCTCAGCAGGGACCTTCCACAATCCAAAGCCTACCAGAGGCATCTTTTGTCCGGAGGCCAAGGTCACGGTGTCAGACATGGCGACAACTATCTTACTTCAGTTCGATTCGAAGTTCTGAGAACAAGGTCGACGACACGGACGGTATGGCAATGGCCTTAGATGACAATAAAAGAGCTCCTCACTGTGAGAGTCAGTGGCAACGCGCCATGTTCGTTTGGCATTTCAGGCAAAATATTGGGATTAGACTTGCATAGGTGATGCAAACGCATAACCTAGTGCTAAAATTCCCCCTTGTTGCCATTTAGCGGGGGGTATGGAAAATTCCGTGCCCAGTGGAGGCCCTTCGAAAAAGGAAACCGATCGACGAATATTAAAGGAATCTCTTGCCCCTAAGGCGAGGAGGGATGTTTGAGCCCCGCGCGTGCGCCGGAACGGCCAAATGGGGCGGTAATTGAAGTTGTTGGTGTGGCAAATTTGGAGCAATGGTGCCGCCCTAAAGGGCTCGCCAATGCTGTAATGATCTCTGCACGCGGGGCTACGTGTAGAATTGTAAGCCGGCCTTTTTTGTTCTCGAATACAAATTCTTCAATTAGACCTTGTCAACAAAAAAGTTCCACAACGACGTCGCTGACCGGATTACTAGTTAGGCTCCATCACGATAGCGAAAGTTAAACAAACGTCTGCGAATGCTCCTGACCGTTGATGGGAGAAACATGCCCGGCTGGTGGGAAAGGGAACGGTGGATCTCGATCTCTTACAGTCACACCACTGCAGCATAGATGACCTACGTCATGTGGAAAGGAATGGCAAATGCAGATATTTTGGGATACCACCGCTGCCGGCAAAGCAGCGGATATTCTCATAGATACATTTCTTTCGCTTATACCACCCGAACAAAGTCCATGATGGCAGCTGAAGTTAATCAACGCTAAGCTCAAGCCTAGTCCCCTGTGTTCTTCAAGCGCGGCAGAAATAGTATCAAGTCCTTTTCCTCGTTCTCCGACCAGCTTCTTGGCAGGGACCTGTACGAACAACGCTAGCGTGCCAGAGTCTTTGACTTGCAATATGAAAATGTAGCGCCATGCAGCACCATGCCTTTCTCCGAAGCCTTCCCAGTCATGTTAACAGCACTTTTCTCTGGCGGAGGCAATTGAACTTTGACTTATCGTCAACATGACAGCACTCGATTTTAGGCACCAGCCAAAATAACCACGAGAGCATGGTTGGTCTTGCCACTTGTCCTTGATCAGCTCCATTGCATATATGTGCCGCGAAGCTATCTTGATACTGATCTCGCCATCTCCGAACGGTTGCGTGATTGCTGTTGTAAATTTGGCCGTTCTTCCTTTACTCTCTCCCGAGCGCCACCGCAATGCTTCGCTACCCCGTCCGGATTTACGGGCGTACAGCGGGTCTTCCCAATGCACCGGGCAGGATGCTCTGGAGATTCTAAGACATTCTGTATCAGATACAGAAATGTCGGCGTGTTCCCTCCCATGATAAAAGCGGGGGTCGGGTCCGTCCGCCTTACCTAGGGCCCCAATTCGGATATGCTCTTTCAGCCACTCTTTTCTAGTTTGCAAGAGCCAAGAGCCCTCCGACACCAAATTCATTAAGCAGCTCGCCGGAGATGCCCGGCCAAGTTGCGCTCTGATATTCGTTCCAGCCATGCACTGAACAGATATAGAAAATGTCGGAGAAAGTAAATCCGCACTGGGACATTGGTTGTTGGGGGGCACACGTGAGCGTTAAGACTGCCAACCACTTGACCATATCCTCGGATGCATCACCCTTCGCATCTAGGTCGAAGTAACCGCCGGTGTTCGAACTCATTAGAGTAGAGTAAATAACAAACCAGAGACTCTACGTCGCAGAGTTCGTTCGATATGTCTGAAGTGACAAGTACTCGTGGCCTGGACTTGCAGATTCGAAGTCTGCTTTGATCAGCCATCGTGTGGTATGGCCTTTGTCAATGACCTCGTGTGAATCTGTTTTTTCTGTGTACGGCTCAACTCCAGCTCAGCCTCATCTTGAGCCGCACAGGCTGCGCTCGCTGTGCCCAGGCTGATCGCTGTCTGCTCTCCTTCTCATCGCCGAGACTGAGCTCTATTTTTAGTCCCCTACTCTCACTAGACTTGGCAGCTTTACACAGCGTCGACGAAAGCCTGGTTTTGCGCACCCCAAGTTTCAAAAAAACTAGGCTCCTTACAGAGAAGGCATGTATAATATTTTACAGAGCACTCGACGCCTTTATGCAAGGCGTATAGATATCCTTTGTTATTTCCACCTTATTCAACCTGTGAACCAATAGGAATGCGTCGGTTTTTGACAGCGTTGTCCACTGCTGATGTCTAGTTGGCGCCTATTTGTAAACGCTTTTTCCTGCTGTTTCCTTCGTGACAATTGAGGCCCTTTGAACCAAATCCCCGCTCTTGGTGGCACCGACAAAGGTCTAGACTACCGCTTAACCGACAGGAAGATCCTTCGGCATTCGTTATTAGTAACGCTGCAATCATCTTCCATAAGGCTTGCAGATGTATTCCGACGCCCGGCTTGGGTGTGATGACGCGCCTTGTTGAAGTTGAACACACTGAGGCGTCCCTCTCAATGATGCTACTCTTACGCATCCTTGAAAACTAGTCGCAGATCTACTGTATAAGGGATCTCAACACAAGCAGCTACATAGCCGAAAGTAGAAAATTAGAGGACAGCAGGCAGACTTCGAAATCAGGCTGAATCATCAAGGGGGGGAAAGGAGTTTATCCAACGACATTTTGTAGTGGACAATAAGGATTATGTTGGTCTTGGATCCCCAGGTGCTCAGGCAGGTATCATCCTTACTCTTCTTGCAGGATCTGCTTATCCGTGGTATCTGCGTCAACGAGAAAGGAACAAGTTCGTGATTTCTGATCGCGCTTGGGTCCGTGGACTGATATACAGAATCAATGCTTATTATCTGAATTGGGATACAAAGGTAATTGTACAGATAGAGTTGCAATGACGGTACGGTGGTTTCTTTTATCCTACCACTAATTATCCAAAGGGGAGAAAGGGGTGGATTATTCTCACGAATCTCCACTTCCAGTCTTTTATTGTAGAACAAGTTGAGGCGTGTATATTGGTTCGGTTTACCTCTTGCGTCCGTAATTCTCGAAGTTTCGTTGTTCTGGGATGCAAATTTGGCAAATCATTCGGATCGGTTGAAGTTCAACATCTAATCAGGTGAAGAATTTAACAGGATCTTCCACAACATTCGAAGGAGGTGGAATCGCACAAAGATGCTCAAGCAAGCCGAGCGCAGGATAGCACAGCCAAGGTATGGCTGCCCCGTAAGGGGGTTCCTGCGTAGCACGAACACCGCCTGTTGCTCCAGGCACTTTCTGTTGTACTACGGTGTACCCCTACAAATTATCACCCAGGATTATCGAAAAGCTCGCGAGTTACATGTGTCCATTCAACACCCGTTTGGAGGAGTCAATGGACTACTAATAAGAGAGGTTGAGCCGAAGAACATCGACCCGATCAATGACGCCGTCGTGACCAGAGCAACGACCGTGTCGAAGCATGGTTTCTGTTGGTGCAAAGAACGCTGATTAAGGCGCAATATCAACAGACAAGCTGGAACTCACGGCTAGGACGAAAATTTGTGGTGAGACATTCTGGATGCGCCGAGTAAAAGGGACCGAATTTGGTCTCTTCCGGCAAGTCCACCGGGAGGAAAGGATCTCCTGCTCATGCTTGGGACGAAATACATAGGTAAATTGGGCGTTCCTAGCTCCCTCTGTGTAATAGTGTATTGAGTCAGTCGGAGCCCCTGTAACTTTCACAATAAAGAGGCCAACCAACCCTTTTCACCTTGGGCGCATTTTGGCGAATTGTACCTGTGTATATAAAATGAAAAGTAGCTGCTACACCTTTGATGTCATGCTCAAACAGAGAAACCATTTGTTACCAGCTACTTGGAGAATGGTCAAAGAAAGGAGAAGCTCAGTTAGGTAATTCTCCAAAACTGGCCTTGGGACGCACTACCAGCTGAGCGATCGATCTCCAAGCCGGAAAGCATGTATACGCGCTAATGACACACTTTAACGAAACCTGCAAGATACTTTTGCTCCCGAATGATCTTCCGAAGCAAGCAGATGTTCTCGACGAAGCGAAAATTGTCTGGGAAGGGAAATACTATAAAATCAATTCATCAAAAAGGCAGACTACCTTACTCAAATTCAAATGCACCCTACAATCAATCTATTTCACTCCTCCTTTCTCACATAAGTTAATTCGACGAAATCGTGCTTCAGATTCGGGTCCGTCCTCAAATCGTTAAGATAGCCCAAGATCCTACGGACCATGGACGGCTGCTCGAAACCAAAGAACTCATACGCTTTGGGTCCCGGCAAAGATTTCCCGAAACGTTTCGTGCTCATGCACACTGCCGCGTTGGCGTAGCGTTCCCATCCATTGGCCGCGTAGGCCTCAATCACTACCACAGGCGTGTCGCTTTGCCTCCGCAGGACTCGCCGCTTGTAGTCATGTGGTTGGGCGTCGAAGAAGCGCTGGCATGGGAACGAGACGGTGCGGACTTTGAGGCCGTGTTTGCTTCGTAGCTCGGCCGCCACGCTGACTGCAAAATTGAGCTCGGCGCCCGCGCCGATTAAGGTCAGCTCCGCAGTGGTGTCGTCTGCGACCTCCTCAAGCACGTAGGCGCCCTTGAACACTTCTGACCGCCGTGTGAGTCCCGTGAGTTGTGGTAGGGCGTGACGAGATGTCGAGATGATGGAAGGTGTGTGACGGGCTTTGATCGCTTCAGCCCAAGCTCCTGCAGTCTCTTCGCTGTCGCCGGGGCGAATGTACAGCAAGTTGGGCATGGTTCGGAAAAGTGCGGCAAGTTCGATCGGTTGATGTGTTGGGCCATCTTCACCCATGCCGATTGAGTCGTGGGTAGCTGCATGGATCACCTGGAGATGCTGAAGTGCGCCCATCCGAACGGCTGGTGCTGCATACAGGTAGAACATGAAGAAACTAACCCGGGCGTTAGAACGTCTCGTACAGATGACAGCAATCGAGATCTTTTCTTACCTGGAAGTTACTGGGATGAACATGCCTGGATGATAGGCGGCCAATCCGTTCGATATAGCTGCCATGACATGTTCTCTCACACCATAGTGGATGTATCGTCCAGAATAACTTCCCGTGCCCAAATGTGGTGGTTCGAAATCCTCCTTTGTCCTCCATGCCATGTTCACCGAGGGCGACAAATCGGCCGTGCCCACCATGAACTGGTCACACTTCTCCGCAATTGGATTGAACACCAGGCCAGACGAGGCGCGACTCGCGGTCTCCTTCGAAGGAAACTCTTTGGGTATCAACGATTCCCAATCTGCCGGTAGGTCTCCTTTCAGGCGAGCAGTGTATGCTCCTGCAAGTTGAGGGTGGGCGGCGTGGTATTTGGCGAACAGCTTGTTCCACTCTGAAACAAATGCTTCGCCCTTGGATGGGAGCTCTTGGAAGAAGTCTCGTACCGCCTGGGGGATAACAAAGTGTTGCTCTGGATCGAAACCGTAGGCTTTCTTTATGGCAGAAACGTTTTCCGCGCCCAAGGCCGCACCGTGCGCCACAGCATCGCCTGCCACTGCGCTATCAACCCCGATGACAGTTCGAACGTTCACAAAAGTGGGAAGAGAAGAGCTTCTCGAGGCTTCAAGAGCTTTGGCAATTCCTTCAACATCAAAACAGCCATCCTTAATGTCGATCACATTCCAACCGCAGGCCCTCATCTTTGCATTGACATCTTCGGTGTTGGCCAAGCTTACGAGGCCGTCGCAGGTAATTTGGTTGTTATCGTATATCACGGTCAAGTTGTTCAAACGCATATGTCCAGCGAAAGAAATGGCTTCTAGACCTACTCCTTCTTGAAGACAGGCGTCTCCGACCATGCACCAGATGTGGTCAGAGACGATATCAAAGCCAGGTTTATTAAATTTCGACGCAAGATGCTTGGACGCCATAGCGAGCCCAACGGCGTTGGAAATTCCTTGGCCCAAGGGTCCTGAGCTTGGTTAATTTGGTTCGAATGCAGAAGGGAGAAAAATAAAAAGCAACAGAACAAACAAAATAAACGGTAATCCCACCTGTGGTGACTTCAATCCCCTCATGTTCAATTTCCGGGTGTCCAGGACACAGTGTATCAACGCGAGACGAATGGTATGTTTTGAGTTGGTCGAAAGTCATCGCTTTATATCCGGTAAGATGCAGAAAAATATATTGGAAAAGGCAGGCATGTCCATTAGATAGGATGAACCTGTCACGATTGATGAAGTCTGGAGTATGAGGTGCATATCGCATGACATATTTCCATAATGCAACCCCGATGGCTCCCATTCCCATGGCACCACTTTGAACATCCTGTCAACGAACCGCGTTGGAATTCATATTGAGGTACTTACCCAGGGTGGCCACCTTTGAACTGTTGGCATAGGTCTGCAACTAAGATTCTGAACGTCCTGAGCACGAGATTTTGCTCCCCTGGCAATTTTTTCGACAGGATATTTTGTGTCTTTCCCTGTTTTGGGGTGCCATTGATCAGTTTGCCCTTGCTGTCTTGAGATTCCACTAGGTATTCGTCCACCGGCTCTGCTATTAGAACCATAGTTGGGAGTGTAAATTGGAAAATGTGGAATAGACGAAAACCTTCTCCCCACGCAACAAGAAAGACACGTCTACATTAATATTTTGGAGATGGAGTCAACTGTGTAGATATGCACGCAAGGCTGTCCCAAAACCTTCTGGAAGACTTAAATCAAACCTAGGCACATGTTGCTATCGACGATGGCCAGATCAGCGCCAGGAAGTCGATATGCTCCTCGGAATGACCAGGCACGTGCATCTCCAATCTCCAGTTTTAGCTGCATCTAGAAAATGGAGGCTCGAATCGCCCTAACAGGAATAGTTTTCTTATAAAATTGGGACCCAAGCTGACAGTGGAGAACCAACCCCTTAAGCGACAGGATGAAGGGACCGCCTTCTGGAACGCGCTTTCTGTAGCTGTCTAAACCAACGTGATGGAGAACTCGCCACATAAACATTAGTAGACTAGCATGTGGTTGTCACACCCAAGAAATACTGGTAAACGGCGTGGAATGTGACCAAGGAAGTTCTTTCGGCATTAGTCCAATGTACTGAACAATCGCACTTTTCGCAACGATATGAAAGTGATCTACCGATTCGACGACTCAGGAAGCATAAGTGGTCCTACTGGTCAACATTGTTTTCTTACAGTACTACATGAATCAAGCTCATCTTATCCACCAGAATACAACAATGGTAACGCCTCGGGAGAGCGACCATCCACAGTGACTTGCGTACCACAACGGCCTAACTACACATCAATTGGGCTTACAGTAGTTGTTCGAGAGTTGTTCGCATGATGAAGGTACATGAAAATAGCTCATTTCCCTAGGGCTTTGGGATACCTTTCCATCCCTTTTGCCTTCTCCCGCGAAGTTGGCTCTTTTTGGATGCTCTTTGGAGAAGTCGTTGGACCCTTTTGCACTCGTCTTTCCGCGCCTTTCTGCATTCAATTTTGGTGTTGTGGCGTGTGAGACCCTCTCTGTACCTCGATTTCTGCGTTTTACCAGTGTTTCGAGGCAGTTTTCAGGTATCTTTCCATCATGCGGACAAGCTCGCATAACTGCTGTAGGCTCAATTGGTGTCTAGTTAGATCACTGTAATACGCGAGTCGCTGTGGGTGGTCGCCCTCGCGAGACATTCCCATGACAACCTCTCTGTAGCCGTATTGGACACGTCGAATATCGGCTGTCGCTTGACTTGGTTGGCTCGGCCTATTACTTAGCCCTTTTTATTTATCGGTGAGACATTATGTTCATGGTTTTGGCATAAGCCAAGACCCGAAACGGGTGTATTCTCACGCAAGACAGGGGTATTCGAAATTACAGCAAGTTGCTGGAAGAAGAAGCCGCGCTCCAAGCCCTAGAAAAAAGGGGACTGGCGTCAACGGAGCTTGTTCACCATCTGCTGCCATAAGAATCTATGTCAGTCCATGTCGCGTACAAATGGGTGGCACATGACCTTGGAAAGGCATCCCCTAAGCAAAGTCTTTCAGAATGTTCTGCGTAACAGCCCGAGACCCAGCTTTCCCTAAAAGTTCGAGTACGACAACGCCTTTGACTAAACAATTCGGGAATCTCAGAGGCCGGAGGCTCACGTCCAGGAGCCCTTTATATCGAATGACTGTAGGCGAGTGACGAGGAGAGGACACTATGAAGTCATCAGATTGTGGAGCCTAGGGCGTGATCAAAGACGGCTCATCGACAAAGGAGATGATATTCCCAGTAAGGGGATCGCGAGGGCCCTGAACATACCAACGACGGCTGTCACTTGTGCCGCCGTCTCTTATACACCTGAAATGCTGGTGACCGAATCCCAGCGTCCGTGGTTCTTGAGAAACTGAAGTGTGGCTGTTATCGATTATCGAGAGCAAACCATCTTGTAGGAACCAATATCAACAGCGAGGCAGGAAGTGTCAAGGGCAAATCGTTGGCTAGGGTCAACACGCCACTGAGCGAAAAGCCTGCACAGTGGACACAACTCTGTATCTCAAAAGTTGCAAACTTGCCATGTAGGCTACCGTTGTCCCCATGTTAATCGTCCAAAGGAGCTTCTTTCATCTGGATGGATCAACGGGGCTCCTTTCACCAGCTCTATTGTAAAGGCGACGAACGGTTCAGCACTTGAGTGCCTATCCGGCAGGGAGGATGTCGGTGTCAGGATCGTTGAGAAACACCACACAGTGGGCTCGCTGAATTCCTCCAGGTAGACCACATAAATTTCGTAAGGAAGACAGAACGACTAGAAGGTATTCAAGAGCTCGTTGTTAACTCGTGCCTCTGTTTTCTTTTGTGGTATCCTGTTGTTCTGCTTTCTTGCCTGCCTGCACACTTATGTTTGTTTTGGATCCTGTAATATGATGTGCCTCATTACATGATTTATGGACGTAGCAACCCGCTACAATATATCAACCAATGCCAATGTCAACAGCTACAGCACGAATTTATGGTCGTGCTCAGTGGCCCCGAATCAATTACGTGGGCCCACCTAAGGTCGGAGCGAAGGGTCTGGTTCTATTGCCCATGCAACATACAATATATTCTCGGCTTGCCATAGTCTAGAAATTGTCATTGATTAAAGCATGATCAACCTCTCAAGCTGCATCATTGGTGGTCACGTTGAATAAGCCTCCCAATTTTACGGTTGGTCTTCGAGGAGAGCCATAGGAGTCTGCTGCTTGGCCAAGGCTAGTTGCTTCAGGCCTTGTCGAAAGCCCCATCTGCACAGGTCGGCAAACAGGGAAACAAAACAAAACATGGCAGTCCGAGGAGAAAGGTAGATGGGAAACATTTTTTCATTGCTGCAAACTCAATGCGACACAGACTGTGTTGACGTAGATGTTGCACCCTACTTTTTCCGAACGGACGCTACATCAGTATTCCAGAAATGCATCGACAAGCAGCACGACGCCCGCTCATGCCTGTCCGTGATTAGAGTTCGAATCCAGTTCGCAGATGATTTGAGAGGGGCAGGAATTTCAGATCTTACTCTACAAGTGCACAAAGCTATAGTTAAAGATCGCATACTTCACCTCTTGGTAATACAATATTCAAGGAATTGGGAAGTAGGAAATCATAAAGTAGTATTATTACTTTTTCATTGTTCCTGTTTTGGCCTTCATCCTGTGTAATATGTGTTGCTTTACCCCATGCTAGGCTAGTAGCCGGCTTAGGGCCGGCATCATAATCGGCTCCTAACTGGCTCCTGATAGGATTGGTAACGTTTCTCCTAGGTTTTGGATTATTATTCTATCAGCCACTTTCTCGAACCAAGCTAGAAGCAAAGAAAGCACTTAGACTCATCGGTCTACTTCTCTTTTCATTCCTAGCCAGCTCGGCATCGGCGCCGCCTTTCCATCTCCTCGTAGCATTAGCCGGAAATGGTCGTATTGTTGCTTGTCGACATCACAACGCGCAAATAACGGCGAACCGGGAGTTGGGGGCTTTTATGGTTGGTGACTTGAAGGATGAGGTGGTATTAGTACGATCCCTCCGCGTCCGGCACTGAGACGCGGGCCATGTCGCCTCTGACAAATGGGCGGAATCCCGCGTCGGTGGCTTCGGTCACGCTCAATGTGGACGTCCTACTACCCTGCCCTTCGAGGGCCAGCCCGACTCCCTGGGGCGGCTGTGGGAACGTCGGGATGTTGGACTCGCGGTACTGAAACCACTCAAAGTCGCACAACCTGGGAGCCCGGCGTGACTATCATGCGGATTGGAGCTGGGCCGGCGGTGCCGTTGATGCGAGGGACGGGTGGGTGTACTCCGTCCGCGAAGCTCGGGCTCAGTGTCCACTGCATGCGTGTGGCTATGTCGTTCTGGAAGTGGTCACGCCAGCGAGCGACGGTGGCCTTGTTGCTCGTCTCATTTTTGCCCTCCTGCACGTAGTAGAAAGTATCCTCCGTATCGGCCCAGCGTACGCCGCCGATGTTGATAGGACCATAGCGGCCACCCCAGCTGCCGTAACCGGGATGGTCACGATCGCCCAACCCGTTCTGAATCAGGCACAGGAAGGAGGGCGTGTCACTTTCGGCGCCCACATTTCGACTCGGGTACACGGCGCCCAGCGGGCCTACCTGGATGTTTTGGCCGATCCACGGCTGGCTGACCTTTTGGACCATGTCTGGCAAGCCTGTCCACATTCCTTGCCAGGTTGCCAAGTCGTAGTTGCCGAAGGTGTGAATTGAGGCAATCCAGAAGATATCCGGCCAGCCGTTGCGGATCCATTCACCCGTGTCGTCCTAGTCGGAGATAGAGTATACACGCAGACGAGATCGCAAGGTTGCGAACTCGGGCTCGGAGAGCTGGGTCTGCATGTGTTGTAGCGACTGAGCGAGTGTATTGGAGCCGCCCTAGATTAGGACCCATAGTGGGTCTTCCGATTCCTGAAGGCGCTCGATGAGCAATGAAGCGCCATCACTTAGTGGTTGTTCCAAGGCTGCCTTACCATAGACCTGCCACAACATTAGCCGCATTATACACTCGCCGGGTTTCATGACTTACAGTTGGACCCGACGTAATCAGCGACGTCATGATGTCGGCCGGAGCATATTGGTTCTGCGGGTGCACGTGCTGGTTGAGGTTGTTTACAACCGTCCTGTATGCGTTGACAATGTGCTGAACGGCCTCCGGATGGGTTGAGTTCCTTAACCAGGTTGAGGTCGTCGTGCATAGAGCGCGCGTGTTGAACTGATTCGAGTACAAGAGATAGCGCACGACAGACTCCTGGTCATCGGGCTCGTTGAGAATGTCGGTACACACAAATACTCGTGGTTTCTGGTTGTTTGGAATGTAATAGAGCTGACTCAAGTCATTCTCTCCAGCAGAATTGGACGTGCTTTGAGGTTGCGCTGCAGCCCAAGCGGCCGGCAAGGCCATCAAGCTCAAGACGAAGGATATGCGCATTGTAGCCAAGTAGTTTCCAACGTACACTTCTAAGAGCCGTGAACGAAGGGCAGGATTTACAAACTTCTACTGGGTACAGAAGTGGTAGCTGCTTGATTCAAGTACCTTTGCTCCCTCTCTCAGCCGACCGTTGGATTAGCTTTCAATAGAACGCAGATCCTTAGCAGTTACATTAATGCCGCGGGGAGGAGGTAGGTAAGAACAATTCAATACCGAGAGTGGTTGGTGAGCCGCATATCGTGACGTAGACGGTAACAACGAATGCATACAAGATCGTCATCCTAAGTCTTTGTGTGCTTAACGAGGCCAACATCTCCAGCGGGGATTTCAGAAACCCCCATGGGGGCAGACTGCATATAGTCGGGGCAGAGAGTTGACTAAGCACCAATTGAGCCTAAGTTAGTTGTGCGAGGCTTGTTCGGAGGCGGCTGGCCAGACGTCACCGGCGCAGTGGCTACAGGAGCAACAGCAACAAGAAGGAAGGAGGGGGATTTCAAAAAGGCTCTACTGCACAACACCAGGAAAGTCTACGCAAAGTGCGAATCGATCGACAATGGGGTAAAGAGCTCGCAAATGGCAAGGTACGTAATGCCTCAATTTTGATGTGTTCGTACCTCGATTTGTGTGTGCTTTACTAGGACTTTTAGGTACCTCCCTCCATCCGTAGCGCCACCCCTCACGCTATAGTGGTAAATGGCGGATCCGTTATACTGTGGATCCACATCAGCATACCATCATTCTCAGAGAGGCAGGTGACTGGTCCCACTTCTGCCAAAAGCGGCAGGCGTAGCCGCAACAGCGCGAAAAAATACTCGGAAATTTTATATCGAGCGGTGTCTCAGAATACCCGGTTGGGTCAACCACTGTTGCTCGGTGAAAATTCGAGGAGCTCAAATAGCCTCATTGAGATTAGCCCCCCCTATCGGATCGCCCGCTAGCCAAACACTCCGGGATCACCTCTCCGTAGACAGAGGTGCCGGCACAGACGGTCCTTGCAAGCGTTATTTGTGCGGGGGGAATAGGGAATTACGACACGGCGTGTCAACATTCACTAACCGCAATAAGTTATTGGAGGCCTTGCTTGTTCCACCGCTTCATCGTGCTCCACGGCATAATCCCAATGCCACAAAGAAATTATAGACAAAACTAGACCGCGTGTTCTGGGGCGGACGAGATGGACCCCTATAAGAATGGCGTCAGCCTTGAAGAACGAGCGTGCATCTGACCTAGCTCAACGGTTGGGCTACCTTGACCATTGATGATATATCTTTGTCTCCTACCATATTCCTGTCTCCCAAACTTTGTTGTCCACGAATTCCTTCCTAATCAACATTTGGACTTTCGAGTCAGTTGGCACGCGATGGGTCGGCGTCGAAGGGTCGCGGGTTTGGGTTCACATCCGGCAGAACTAACCGCTGCAGACGTGCGAACACAAGCAGCCTATAAGAACAGATGGACAACGGCCATCCACAACCCCGGACTACTCTTCATTGCCTTCTTTGCCTCGTAAGTGTCCCATGTAGGCCCGGTTTGGTTCCATCCAGCTTCGGCTGACCTTTATAACAACAGATTTGGCGGCTTCGAATATGGCTACCAGCAGGGCGTCCTCGGTCAATCCTTTGTGATGACTCGCTATATGGATAACTTCCCTTCAGTGGTGGCATCGGCGAGTGCGAAAGGCTGGCTCACCTCGGTTCTACAACTAGGGGGGATCCTGGGCTCACTGACAGCCGGAATCTTTGGCGAGGTCTTTTCCCGGAAATACACCATGTTTTCAGCGTGCTGCTGGGTTGTCCTTGGTTCGTACTTGTACTGCGGTGCATCCTATCATCGACCCCAGCTGTTGTATGCCGGACGGTTTTTCACTGGCCTTGGTGTTGGCACGTTCAGCGGTGTAGGGTAAGTACATATCCCATGGCTCCCCGTTCAGCACCTTAAATAGGGGCGAGGACAAAGACCCAGAGCTTTGCTGACCTCACTTCCTCATCCTTCAGCCCTCTTTACAATGCCGAGATTTCCCCGCCCGAGATGCGCGGCTTCATTGTCTCTTTCTACCAATTCGCCACAATCCTAGGTATTATGCTGTCGTTCTGGATCGGCTACGGGAGTAACTACATTGGCGGCATCGGCGACACTCAGTCGAACCTGGCCTGGAGGCTCCCTTCCATTATTCAAGGCATCCCAGCGGCCATCCTTGCTCTTGGAATCTGGTGGCTGCCCTTCTCGCCCCGTTGGTTGATCAAAAAAGGCCGTGATGAGAAGGCCATCTGGACATTGGGCAAGCTGCGCCAGTTGCCAACTGAACACGAACTGATCCAGATCGAGTACAAGGAGATCAAAGCCGAGTGCCTGTTCGAGCAGCGCGCTTTCGCGAAGAACTTTCCTCTACTAGCAGCCAAGGAAGAGGCTAACGTCTGGATCAGTGAAGTGGCCCAGTACTGGAACATCATCCGCACCAAGGACCACTTCAAGCGTGTCGCCACCGCCTGGCTGGTCATGTTCTTCCAGCAGTGGTCCGGCATCGACGCCATCATCTACTATGCCTCCAATGTCTTCATCAGTTTGGGCTTGACGGGCGGCACTCAGGCCCTCCTCGCGACCGGTGTCACGGGCGTCGTCTTTTTCGTCTGTACACTGCCAGCCATGGCCGTGATCGACAAATTTGGCCGCAAACCTATGCTTATCTGGGGCAGCGTGGTCATGTGGATATCCATGGTCATCCCAGGAATCATCGTTGCAAAGTTCCAGCACGATTGGGCGGCCCATACTGCTGGCGCCTGGACTGCTGTTACCTTTATCTGGATCTACGTCGGCGCGTTCGGCGCAACCTGGGGCCCCGTCTCGTGGACTCTTGTCGCCGAAATCTTCCCTCTCTCGATTCGATCCAAGGGCGCCTCCATCGGCGCCTCGAGTAATTGGGTGGGCTGCTCCTACAGGCTTAAAACTGTCCAACATAACAAATAGCTGACAAACTACTCTAGGTTAACAACTTTGCAGTCGCCTTCTACGTCCCGCCCATGTTCGAGACTTGGGAATGGGGCACGTACATCTTTTTTGCGGTATTTCTCGCTGGCGGCATCGTATGGGTATGGTATTGCTTACCGGAGACCAAGGGTGCGACTCTTGAGGAGATGGACCGCGTTTTCAACAGTCACACCGGCGCAGAGGATGCCGCTATGCTTGCCGAAGCCCGCCGTGACGTTGGAATCGACTCGAACCTCGATCTAACCGCTATTCGCCGCACCAGCGCCGCCAAAGAAGAGAGCCACGAGGTGAAGACTGAGGTTGAAACAGCTTAAGTGATAGCACATAGGATTAGTAGTGTGTCAATTTTGTGCTCTATATCTGGAGCCTCAAGTCTCATACAACAAGAGAGTAGGAAAGAAGAGGAAACAATATGGAAATTGCAGTGGTGGGAGTAGAATGTGAAATACCAGTGATTGCCCTTGTTCATTTACTTAGCTTCCGTTTTCGTTTTTTATTATGTCTATTCCGTTCCCAACATACCGATGTGGTATATGAGATCGTCCACCCCCGCTCCTAGTCCGACAAGTCTTTAGGTATCTGCTGGCTAGATCACCTATTGTGCCTTCACTAGCCCTGAATCTATAAATTCTGTTGCCAGTATCTTAGCCATCCACGTTCTGCACACCTTCCCGTAGACTGTGTAGGCGACCAACAAATTATGCCACATAGTCCTAGCCATTCTTAGACAGTGTTCGGCAAGTGCGTAGGTAGACCTCGTACACGTCCTGACCGTACTCAACTTCTAATGATTTTAGATCTTCGAAAAGGGAACATATGTCATAAATCTTGTCTCACCGGTCTTGACAGTCCGACCTTGCAAGCACTCTCGAGGCTGGAATCGACAAGTGGTCGAATTCCCAACGTCTTGTGGTAAGATACGTGCCGCCGCCTGCGGGTAAGGAAATAGTTATAGGCGTGACCATTGTGACCGGCTGATCCACTAAGCTGGTTTGCAGATCTTCCATATAAGCGCGCAGGCTCACTGCGGGAAGAAAGGGACGGTGGAGGAATCCTTACAAACAAGTCCATCATTCTGTTGTTCATGTTGCTACGTCCCTCGAAGCCTGGATGATGGTAGTCATGACTGTGATGGACGCTAGTTCGAGTCAGCACAGCTTCGATGCTACTTCTTGCCGTATGGCAGATATTGTGGACGAAGCGACTATGACGAATGGGACGAGTCGACAGCCCTGGTGCGTCCTGATCCCGGTGAAGACGCTACTCTAGCAAATCGATGACAGGCTTCAACGTCTCCAGCCGGATGACGAACGTCAAGAGTTCTACAAGAACAGTGCATTGCATCGTAAAGTGGTCAAACAGCACAATTTTATTCTTGCTCAGGATGAGTTCTTGCATGATCCAGAGTGGACTCTAACAAGGGGGCTGACACATTTTCTCCACAACAGTGAGAGCTGGAGCAATCGTGCTGTAGTATGACTTATGCAAAATTGAACCCGACTCGAATGACTAGGCTAACTGCACTGAACGGTGCTATATCTGTACTTGGACGTTGTACTAAGGCTATGCACAATGAGATATCGTCGGATAAGCATGCCCGAGTCTGCTCGCGTCAGTTTGCCGGCCCTGTCCAAATAGAGATGCAAGGTTTGTCTTACCGACTTGGATGCATTGGCCTGTCATTGATCCGCTCTTCGCCGCTGCGATGAATGCATCCGCACAATCTTCGAGGACGGTCAACACCAAGTTAGCATAGGAATATTACCGCTGTGGATTCCAAATTCCGGCTCACCACTTGTTTTAAGATTGCTCTTTCTGCCAATGCGTCTCGCTGCTCTGGTGTAAATTTCAATCCCCATAGGGCGTATCAGTCAAGACTTCCGCGAAGTCCCATCTCAGACACTGTACCCATTCTGTGAGAAGTAATCCAGGCAATATGGCGTTCACTCTGATCTTCGGCCCCTGTGTTACTGCCAGTGCCTTCATCAAATGCAGTCCTGTCCAGCGTCAGCTATGCGCAGTTTGGACTTAAGCGAAGTCATCACCGGCCGCCTTCGTCACCGAATAAGGCATAGAGCTTCCGGATGGAGAAATGGCCTGGACATGAGTTAAAGGCTGGCAGCAAGCGGTGGAACAGGTCCTTTGCCCACTGCGATGGACGAAGTTACGAGGAACACCCCGCCATCAGGATTGGCGTTGAATGTAGAGGCCGCTTCGCGCAAAAGATAGAGGTTGCTCTTGACATTGACCGCCCAACACTACCATCGTCAAGATGAGTCCTGCAATATCATAAAGACGAAACGGGACAACCGACTTTATCCCAGTCTTCCTCCGTCATGGCGTATAAATTTCCAAACTCTGTGAACTTGGTCCATCCTGCATTGGAGATGATGATATCAAGTCCTCCAAACGCTCCAATGGTGTCTCTTACCATCCTGGTACAGTCCTCTTGGACACCAGCATCCTGTGTGCATTAAGTTAGCCACCACGCAAGGATCGGATCCCCTCCAAAAGAAAAGGGGAGCATGCATACACCTTGAATGATGAATGTCTTGACCTTATATTCCTCCTCAATCAATGCTGCGATCTCTTCGGCTCGCCCAATGTTTGATACATAGTTGATCGCCACGTTGCAATCCTCTGCCGCTAGCTTCTGAACAATTAGAGCGCCCAAACCCCTGAACGAAGAAATGCATAGTGTCAGCGTGGCGCATCTCCGTGAGAGAAATGTGGTTCGTCTATGCCCGACGGCATCTTACCGTGAACCCCCGGTCACCAGGACATTTCTTCCTCTAAGATTGTACGGCATCGTGTAAGGTTGCAGTCTATCAAAAGTATTAGGGCGCCTTAGTAGAAAATTGTCAGCCCTTCCCGTGGATCATATGTGTCATTTCTGCTGAACTACCGTGTTTCCCTCCGGCTCCTCTCTTCGTCCTCATCTGTGGGTGTTTTATGTATCCCTTTGACTAAACAAATAATCCAATCCTTGTTGTGGTAGGTCTTCTATGTTCACTCCAGGTCCCTCCACGTCACATCGTACAAGCCTCTCGGTACGGGGGAGGGGTTCGTACAATGAACTGCCGAAATTTGTAGCATTCCCGTCAACTATCCGTGTGGGATACGGGGCCCGGGATCTTTCATGCACTTTAAGACAATACTCAATCCATCTTCTAATCGCACCGTACCATGTCTCTTCCTAGCTCAATTCTGACGTGCGAAGCTTGTGGAAGATTTGCAACGCTTTCCCTTGAACATCAGATATCGGCCAAACGGAAGAGGCACACAGCACCCTGGAACCTTCTTGAATCAAGCGAGAAACTCCATCCGATCCCATGATGCTGCCCACGCCTGCCAGGCAGGGACGCATTCCTGTGCCATCTTGCAACCAGGATTCCTCAATTTGCCTCCCGAGACGTTGGTCTAGACGGATCGTTGGAACGGCATTGGCTTCAGAAGGAAGATTAGAGCATAGTCTGGCATTGTCACCATAGATCCACAAGGTCAAGCAAGCTATCAACAATGCACGGCCTTCATAATACCCATGCATGTTTGACTGCCGAATGCAAGCAAAAAGTCGGCCTGCATGTAGCGCCACCTGACGAGCTTCTCTGTCATGCTGTTGGAACCAACTTCTAAGACGATGCCGGCAATGAGCTATATCGACGCTAGTGACACGATAGCCCAAGTAACAAAAGAGCTCACCCAGGGGGATGCCAAGGACAATGCCGATGGCGTGATAGTGATGTAATGTCACAGACTTCAATGAAGACGGTAGTAACAAGTCCTCGTTCTCGGAACACAGTATTTGTAGATATTCCAGAGCTTTCTGGGCGACTGGGGGAGTGTTGGCGGTCGAAAATGAATTAGAACCATGCTGCTGAAGGTCCTGCGTGGCCCCGAGGTATATATCGTATCCTTCACGGGAATTGCGCCAAACGTCGAGAGCGTTGCGGAAGACACCCAGGACTAGCAGGAGAATGGCAAAATCGCCAAACCCGTGCCGACGGGTCCTGGTCTTGTAGAGGTTATTTAACTCTCTTCGGATATTGCCTGGTGGTGCCACGCCTGCATCAGAACTCTTCAGTAAACGATGACCGAAAGCATTGTCGAGATCTTTGCGGCTAGGCTCACCATACTGCTGCGAATATTCACGCCACAGGGCCGCTGTGGGAGCGTGCCATATATTTTCGGCACTAGGCAAGCGCACCCGGAGTAGATTTGTGGGAATCAGCGGAGGCTGGTCAAGAAACAACATATATTGGCTGTCAACCAGCTGATATCCAGTCGTAGTTAGCGAAATACGTCCGAGGTACCAGTTCAATGGAATGATATGTTGGACTCACCCAAAGTGTGTAAGCCAGTCGACGCATGCTTTCCTTTCGTACCCACAGTTCCCAAGCCTGCTGCGTCTTATTTTGCATTTCCGATGCACTCACTAGACGTTCGGCCTCGTAAAAGCAATTTATCTTTCGACATATCACCTCGAGCGTACTTCGCATGGCTTGAGCCGACTCCACGAGTCTCATGTCTTTCGAGAATTGCATGCCTATTTGGTTAAGCACTCCGGCTTGGGCGAACCAGGGTTCGCACGTGGCCCCATAGTCCTTCTCGATCTACGTAGCTAGTCAAATGACAACTCCTAGAAAAGCCCGAGGTGTTGCAAACCGCGTTGAGCGATGATATGCACTTACCGTTGCATAAAACGCTCTGCGAACAAACTCTTGCAGAAGATCCACACAGTCCACCGCCTCAGGCACTCGTGAGAAGCGACATCCAGTTGCTATGACAGCGAGGACTAGCAGCCATGGTTCATAAGTAGGGTCAAAACTCGGCTGGTGAATAAAAAAACACCGAACTGAGCAACGATTTGGCTATAAGTCGATCGCGGTAAAGACTGAACGTGGGCCAAATTTTCCGGTTCCCACATCGCGTCGTCACTCTCAGAGAGCACAGAGGAAAAGGCACCCATGAGGGGAGGATACTGCGACTTTTCTGCTCGGGCACTTGAAAGCCGAGAGCCTCGACTTGTGGCGTGACTTTGTCGGTCGCCAACCACATCATGGAGCTGTCGTCGATTGTTGAATGTTTTTCGCACAAAAGCATCAAATTGCATGCCTTGTCCCTCCTGTGGATCTGGACTCGGTCTAGTACCCAGGAAGCTCGGGAGTGGCGCATCTGATGGGTTATCATCTGAATCATCGTTTGGGTGCGACATATCCATCTCTTCCAGCTGAGCTTGGTCTGGCGACAGGGGAAACCCGAAGTCGGAGAATGGACCCTGAAACAGTGAAGCGGAGTCCTCATTGTCGTCCCAAAACGGCGCGTCCTGTGCCGCTGTGCTCAAGGAAAACAGTTCGGACGACTGCAATTCAAAAGGAGCACGGCCTATAATAGATCCGTCGAAGTGCACATCATCATGTTGCGTGGTGGCCGAAAATGCAGAGAGATACGTGTCACATGGCGGGTTTGCTGTCATGGACATTGGCTCAGGAATGTTTATCGATGCTACAGCGTCTCGTTGAGATGTAGCTCCTTCACCTAACGACTTGTCGGGAGACATGAGAGATTTGTCGTTCCCATCGACACCGCTCTGCGCCCATAGTGATCGTGGTTCCGCCAGGTTGGACCAGTCAGATCTACTGGCGATCGGCTCGGAAACTTGTGGTTGAGGTTCTTGCGGCTAATAAGAATCAGACAGTTACTCCGGGCCATGAATTATCCCAGTTGTCCACTCACCTTTGAGGCTTGAGCAGCTCCATACATGCATGTATAGTTCCTTGAAAGGCATCTGTTGCATGGAAGATGGCCGTCGCATTTAATCTTGCTTTCTGAACATCGTCGACAAGCGTGCTTCACTCTGCCTCCATTATTTGTGAAAATGGGGTTACCGTTCTGCCTTTTATCGTGCACGCTGAGATGACGTTGCAGGGTATCTCTAATGATGAACAAAGGGATCCGTGAGTAAGTGGAGGAAGCAGTTGACCACGAAATTCTCACCTTCGTGAAAATGCGCGATCGCACTTAGGACAGCTGAACGGACGTTGGCCCAGGTGGAGCAGCTTGTGCCTGGAGAGGTGTTCGGTCCGCTGAAAGGTAGCACTACAAACATCGCAAGCATGAATAGTCATGGCGCTGATTACAGGACCTGCCGCAGGAACGAGAAGTAGAGACTGTATGTTTTGGATCAATTTGTAGAGACGATATTTGGAAAAGGAGACGAGCAACGGATCCGGGGAAGGCGACTTAATAGGCGCTCGTGAGATGCGGGGGGGAATGCGGGGAGTAGCTATACCGTAACTGTATGGTAGCCGATCCCCCCAAATAAAGGGCAGGTTCCTAGGCAATACAGTTGCTTCGGATATTATGACGAAGCTCGAGGTTCTTATCGAGTTGCTCGTGATTTCAGTCCTGGAAAAGACTCTGTTCAATCACTTCTCTTATTAAATTGAAGCTTTAGGAGGCCTCTAGAGCGCTCATTGAAAGGCTCCGACGCAACTAGAGAAGCGGTAAAACTATATAATTATCATGCTGGGGTCCAATGTGAATATTATTGACGCCTCCAAACCGCTGTTGAGTTCTAAAGGCACAGAATTCCTCCATCAGCTTTCACTCCTATGATCGAGAAAGGGAACTCGAGTGCTTACCGATCAGCAGCTTCGTTAGCTCCGAACCAAGCGACGCCTTCAGGGTCTTTGGCTGTCACTTCGAAGATGAGCGTTTCGCCTTTCTCGACGACCAGATCAGTCGGCCAGAGTTCGAAATCTAGCTGATAGATTTCTCCATTCTTGACGTCCTTCTTGTCACCTCTCTTGTGGCTGAGCACGGGGAATGAGAGCGCGCCTTCAGCCAGCTCAGGATATGGTTTAGGGTTCAGGGTGCGGTGTGAAGCACGAATCCATCCGAATGTGACAGGAGTAGGCGTGCCGATGCTGCTGGCAAACCATTGCTCCTTGCCGCTCTTGTCAAGCTTGCGAAGAGCAACGTAGACATCAATATCAGCCTCGGCCTTGCCTTGATGGCCAGATAAACTAATCGATAGTCGCGTGCTCGGATGACCGCAGATCTCGTACTCCTCGTTCGCTGGCACAGTCGCAAACTTGAACCCATCGCCACTGCAAAGCTTGATCAGTCCGGAGTACATCTGTGGAGAAGTTGAAAACCCTTACGTCAGGCCTTGATATGATAGTGTGCCCTCAGACGAAGGTTTGCATGTGCCGAGAGACTGATCAGCGTGCAAGTAGAATTTCTCGTATCTCGTCTGGGCAGGAGGCCATTCCCGCTCATCACGCCAGGGGAACACTTCGGACTCATTGAGCGTCCCCATTGGCGCCATACCTCTGCGCACACTGAATCGTACTGGTGGTTGTTTGCCACTCTTCCAACCATCATAGTCATCACCCTTGAGAAAACAATCGAAGAAAGATAACTGCATGTCAATATATGGCGAAGTATAGAATGGGGTATCTACCACTTGTCATTAGCCTGGAGCGAAAATGCCAGAGCCCAGACAACAGGGTCTGCTCTGAGACCATTACAATTTTCGACGACGGGAAAAAATTACTTACCATGACGACCAGTATGAATTCGTAGGAACTTGAGTTTGGACCCTGCGCGCAAGTAACTGATCACATTACCCCGAAGGTGGAGGTTGAGGCCGCCCTGATCTGAAGATTAGCGGAACTGCAGGCGTGGAAATTGAGGAGGAACATGTACCCAATTTCCAGCGCTGAGGAGCGGCACCTCAATTTTGGAGTAATCCTCATGGACCATGCGGCCTTGGTAATATTCATCATCCATAAACTCATTCGCGGAATCGGAAACAATCGCCAGGACGTCTTCACGGTTCTCACGGAGTTGTTCCTCCGTCAATTCACCTTCTGGCGCTGTCGGACCAAACGTGTTTTGCTCCCTGTTTCGGCTACCATACTGAATAGGGATGACCTGCGCCGGATACCAAGTGCGGAAGAACTAATATATGGTTAAATACAGGGAGAAAGCAATTTTGACAAATCGCCTCGTACACTGGAAGCAATGCCGCCGCGTCTCGTGGTTTCGCGATAGAATTCTCCAAATCCTTCCCATGGACAGATGGCAGCCAGACCGCGAGGTCGACGTGCTGCCGTTGGCCACTGCATCACAAGCCATATAAGCTCCCTGCATGAACAAAAGACTAAGCCTGGGGCCACTGACCTGATTGGAACCAAGGTAAGAGATGCCTGAGAGACCAACCTTTCCAGTAGACCATGGCTGGTCGGCAGCCCATTCGACCACCTGGGCATGATCTCGAAAAGATACCTTAGCCACAAATCCAATTTGTCAAAGTTGGAGAGGCCCTACCGTCAAAATGCTCTGAATTCCAGATCTCGAGATAGCCTGGCGATTGGCCAGTGCCGCGATGGTCCCAAATGACCACAACATAACCCCTGGGGCACCAGTACGACGGAGAGGGAGCCTCGAAGGCAATGTGCTCACAAACATGCTCCCCTGTGACTGTGATCGAGCCGTGTTCATACACCTTTGCACGATGATAGTTTCTGTGGAGGGACAAGCTCTCAGCTTGGAGCAGGGCGTCCCATGGATCAGCTTGACTCACACGTCCTTGCCATATGGCGTAGAGGTCAGGAGAACTGGCCATTTTGGGCCCCCAGTAACTGGCAAAAAGACGTTCAGACGGATCCTGGCGCCATCAGCAAGCACAACCTCCTCGTTGATACGAGCAACGTAACGGCCATCGCTCTTGTCGATGGTCAAAATAGAACCAAGCGGTTTCAAAGGCGGAATATAAACCATTTTGAGCAATTCCCAGGCTTCTATTGGCGCGAAACAATTCAGTGTCTTATTCCTGGCCTGTCATACACTCCCATAGAGATGTGCCTCCCTTATATGACCACAAATGTTGCACATGTTGGTGGGAGCTCAGCTAGGTATCGTGGAGCCGATGTCTCGGTCATCTTACGTTGATGGTATGTGTCAGCGTGCACTAACCTCCCCCGCAAAAAACCCGAAAGAAGGTCCACCCCCACCTCCGCTACCATTCCGAAATTCGTCAGGAGGCCGGAAAAAGGACGAAATGGTTGGCTGTCGATCACCTCAAACCGAGTCTGGCTTCCCCATTCTACGGGCTGATCAAGGTTCCGAGGGGGTTTCAGACGCATTTGGCGGCTGACAGGAATTCACGAAGAAAGGATCTTCAGAAGAGCATTCCGAACCCTTTGCTCAAAGTCCAGTTGATCAAACATTCGTTCTCACTCTATATAGACTCAGTGGCCGCAATCCATCGCCGCATTCAACAGGGAGTCAAGCTTGATTCTGCTCATTAAGCCAAAGCAAGCAGGATCTACAGAGGAATGATGTCTCACCTTCGTAAGTGATTACCTCTGGGTGTTCTAGGGCCCAGCCCCATGAGATTATATCCGTGTGGGCCAAGTTTGTCGATACGCATACTGACCATGATCGTATGCAACTTCCATACTAGTAGCCATAGCGGGGATCCAGAGGAATACTGCACCGTTGAGTTCTATACGTTTGTCAGGTTTCATTCGACTTACAAGGCGGCAGGAATGAAGAGGTAATTGTCACGACCAGCCCTTAGGCATGCGTCCAGAAATCGCCACCCTCGGCTGCCGGACCATCAGTGTCGAATCAAGTTCTTTCGTGAGTCGTAAGACTGGCAGGCTCTTCCTATTGCAAAACACCACATTTTGCGCTCTTCGTCGCTCATTCACGTTTCCGGGTGGGCTCTGTCTGATATCCTGCCGAACAGAGTTTCTGGTGCTAATGGGGCTTCGAGCTCAGCAATGAATGTCGGCGGTGAGACTGATGAATCACCCAATTCATACATTGAGGGTGGAGACGACACCGACGTTGTTCTTGTCACGCTTGTCGGGGTCGCCGTTCCGCTGGACCTTTCAATTCCATTTCCTCTTCCGATGAGACAGATTCTGTCGAACTCCTGAATGACCTGGACAATGTCGATACGTGCCCCATTCGCATGGATGAAATATTTATCTTGAACTCTGTGCGCTGATGCAACAGTTTTCTTGGTGTTGGAATGAACGACAGCTCGAATAGACTTGTAGATACCTTGACTGGTGTATCCCAAAAGCCCTACACATGCTACGATATTGTGTTAGCAGGATCCTTTTTTTGGTGGGCGTCTAAAAGTCCGCATACTCACCGGCACCGGGTTTTGTCAGCGTTTGCAAAGCACCTTTGCCAATTCCTTTCCCAAATCCGAATACTCCTTCATTGACCAATCCTTTAGCTGGTTGCACCACGATATCTGAGAGACCTTCCGCCATCTGATGGACAAAAGTAGTCCCGGCCACGGTCAAGCCACTTTTCCAATCCGTGATAGGGACATGGTCAGGGACTTTTTCGCCGTACAATTTGGGCGTATTTCTCAAGCCTTCGGTGACGGCCACGGGTATATCGACAGTTAGACCCTTGACAAAGGCCACGGGGAGGTCAGAAAGGGCCTTTGCAGACGCACCAACCATTCTTACTACGTCTCTGCGGGAAGTTTCTGGCTTGGTGTAGCTAGACGTGTCAGAGCCATCCGGTTGGGCTAAATGACGAGCCAATTCACGTTGTCTTTGCTTGTGAATTGCACGGGGATTTCTCCAGAAGCCACTCAGAGCAGCCAAAATATCATATGACACCTCAAGTTGGACGGAAGCAGCACTGGTGACGAAGTTCCAACGACGATTCTCAATGAATATAGGTTTGGGTCTGTACAATCGCAGGTCATTTGGTTTAATTTTGCCAGATTGAAGCAGAATTTCGGTAGCGGCTCCGGACAACTTGATGGATGTCTTCGGCTTCGTGCATTCCCAAGCGGCCGGGAGGCTGTTGATTAGATCGCAATGCATATCCTGAAGCGGTAAGTGACGGTGGAATGATTCGACGGCAGCCTTGACACCAGATTCCGCTCTCATCTTCTCGGACACCCGTCTTGCCGCATGGGCAGCTTGGTCGCTCAAGCAGTACCGGATAGCTTGGCTCAGATTCTGGCTGTTCAAATTCTTGGAAGGAATGGGTGTTGGGCCAGCCCTTGCCACCGCTACCATGTGGCCCCAAAAGAGTTGACTGAAGCGAATGAGATTTAGCATACTGGATGGCTCTCGAACAGACGTGAAGGACTCACTCTCCAAAAAAAGGGATGATGGCCGTGGGACGTCCGTTCAACAGACCACAAGCTGTAGTCCCAGCACCGCCATGATGAACCACAGCGGACACTCGTTGGAAGAGCCATTCTGCCAGTATTCATCAATACCTGCCGCAAACTTTGAAAAGCGATATCGCCATACCGTGAGGGCATTCACCCAAAAAGAAAATCTTTTCATTCACGAACATGCTGTCAAGATTACTCCAACCTTTTGAGATAATGGCACGGACGCCGCAAGCCTCAACAGCATCCAACACGGTGCGGACAAGTATCTCCGGCTCATCAATAACAATACTGCCAAAGCCAACATAGATCGGGGGCCGGCCGGCTCGAAGAAAGGCGTCAAGTTCGGCCGGCGGAGTGTAGGGTGGCGGATTTCGGAACAAAAACCCACAAACATCTATTCGGAGTTTTTGTCAGATTTGATCATTCCCACACAGAACATGGACCGACCAATATGTGCACCCCAATCTCGAGGCTTGGGCACGAGCGCAGGTGACCAACAATAGGTATGAGGAATTTTCAATGTTTCCATCAGAAATGGAGCTTCCGATATTGGCACGTCCTCCAAGTCGATCGAATTTCGCCAGCTCTGAACAACATCCCCGATCCTAAAGAGGCGTGTCAGATAGACAGACACAGACACACACAGAGAGATGTGTGTGAAGAGTAGAGGTATCCAGCTCACCCATTCCAAGTCAAGAGTTGGACCACGCCATAAGAGATGTAATTGCCCAGTTTTGGATCGGTGTTGCTATTGTTCACATTGGCCAATGGATGAGGAAATGCTCGAGTCGGGGTCCAAGGCATGGTAAACATGATGTGCAATGGGATTCCCAGGGCTTGCGCACAGTGTACATGGGCAAAACTAGGGGGATTGGCAATTATGGCGTTCGCAACGAATGGATTTTCGGTTTCTGGATCTGGAGAAATGCAAGAAGACCAACATCCGTCGAGAATTTCTCGGATCATCTCGCGTTTCCGACCAATTTCGCCTTCGCGTAGTGTCTTCATTCGAGGAATCAACCCCGGATTTTTTACCATGTACTGCACAGCATCATGTCAGACAAGAAGGATCCTCCCTTCGGCAAAAACATGGTTTGTCTTACAGCCATCAATTCAGCCGGGTCCCCTCCGATGGGGAAGAATTCCAGCCCTGCGCCTTGAACGATCTCTTTGAAGACATTGTGAGTCGCCAGTCGCACGCGGTGGCCATGACGCTGCAATTCTGACCCTAGAGCGACAAAGGGCTGAACATCGCCACGACTACCGACGACTTGAAGAACAATACTCAAAGGTAGTTTCCAGGTATCAATTTCGGAGATGGTCGAATAAGCTGGTGGGGGTTCACTGGTGGGGGGCTCCTCATCCTCCGAGGCTTCAATGAGTTTAGCAAAGACCTGCGCAAATTTAGACCCAAGATCGACTGAAATGCGGCCGTCCTCGAGAATGTTGGCTGTGTCTTGCAATAATATGTCTGGAACTGGAGAATCGGATTCGCTCGAAAGGGGTTCTGCAGTGCTCTGAGACGCGGGCGGGGAAAGTCGTGGTAGGGAACGAGAACCATTCGGACGAACGTGGCCTTTTCCCTTTTCCATGTTTGAAGATCAGCTCTGGTGGAATTGAGAAAGAAATGCAAATTTGGCATGCCTTATAGGTAGGGCTTGTTCGGATCACACGACGGCCGCTAGAATGAAGTCAGAATCCGAATGCCACGCCAGCCACGATGTGGACCGCAACACTAAAGTAAAAAGCCCCCAACGCGCAAAGATGTACCAAATGCAGAATTGCCAGGGCAAATGCGGAAGACCTCTTTGCCCCCTTTTCCCCTTTCTAACTCTGTTTAGTGATATCGGCAGTCTGGAATGCAAACCCGTTTGGCACCATGCCCCAAAAGAAGCTTAATCGAATCCCACACGAGCCTCGGAAACCTTTTTTGCGCCAGACCGAATAAAAATTTGAGACATGGGAAAGTCAGCAAGGCAGACTTCTGGGCTCCAGAGAAGAGATCACAGTATATATCGATGGCCTTAGGACAAAACTCAGGTGCGTGATTTTATTAGCTGAGCTCAAAATTGCCACGTCTTCCAATCAGGTAAGAGTAACGATGGGACTCAGACCCATTGCTTCAACCGCTTCCATTCCACTGAACATCGTTCTGCGTTACGATGCCCAGCATTCTTGACCTCACCCAATCTCACACTGCCTGATCTTTTGCTCACTCGCAATCTCGTCCTTCTGGCCGGAGAAGAATCGACCTCGATTCATTTTTATCGGCCTTCAGGTTCTAAACTCCTTGACACTCGCGTACTCACCCCTGTCTTCAGTACCGCCCCCATCATTTTGTCCGCATTTCCCAAATCATCACCATGGACTTTCTCGGGGCGCACCAACCCAATGCACAATATTCTTGAATATGTCCTTGGCGCCAAACCCACGTCCTGCTCGTGTCAAATCGCAACCACATTGCTTCATTGTTGCTCATGTTCTTCGTGAACTCGGGTGCTCCGAACCCAACCTCCCCCCCCAAAACAAAAAATGCATTGTAAACTAGCCTCTGAACTGCTCGAGGGACTTTGTCGAGGTTGATAGAGACGAAAGACATTTCCGGGGACCGAACCAGGAGTCAACTCTTCGGACCTAATTGAAATAAACGTTCATATTTCCCCAGTGTGGGTACTGTACCTATCCAAAGCGAGGGTACGAGCCTCCACCAGGTCCCTAGACAGAATGTATTGGCTGAGACCATTGCCAGATGAATACGCTACAATCACCGGAGTCCTGGCCTTCTGCCAATATGGCACAACATAGTCAGCGCCGTGGCATCATAGCGAGTATGCGTACGTTCTTGCATTGTAGCTGGTGAGAAAAGATGGCTCATTTATTCCACCTAGACAACCCCATGAACCCTCACCGCTTGGACAAAGAAAGATGGGAGGGGTTTTCTGAGGTTGAAGCGTTTTATTGACTGGCCCTGAAACGAGAAGTTCAAAGTCGCCTGAACGGTGCTTTCGTGGAAACTTGCGCGCGTGACACGCCGAGGGAGCGGATGGAAATTGGAATTCCTCAGACCATTGAAGGCTGAAAAATTGATTTGAATGGCTTCAATCACGTTGGAGAAGAGGCTTTGAATGCTGGAATGAGGAATGAAAGAAGGCTCTGTGTTCGTCAAGCTGTTCTTACCGTAGAGTAATGTCGCATATATATATGTGTAACATATGCACCATGACTGTTTCCGTATCTGAATACCTTCATGAATGACGAGAAAATGGCTGAAATGGACTACGTGACTCCGTCAATGTGAACAGAATGAAAATGGCCACGGCTTGCCAAGGGGATCTATTCAAATTGTCGTCTCCGAAGTGCAAGGCGGTAGCGAGCCTTGAGTCTCAAATAAAGTCTACCTGACGAGAAGCCCTACCGCGGGTGACGCATTTCTCGTCATCAAAAGTGGGAAAGAGTGTTTTTCCCTAATCAATATTTAGGTCAAGCAAACCTCCAAATAAACTGTCTGCGTCAATGCATGAGTTATTCAGCCAAGAGATGTAGATGTAAATAGAACAGGCATGGACGATACGTCTGAGAAGCACAATAATAAAGTCCAAAAGTGCAACATTGCCGTTGTATCCGACTCCTATCTTATTTCCCTCATCCCAAGTGTTGCTCAGCAATCTGCCATGTCGTTCGTGTTCAAGAAACATTCCAAGTCGCTACTTCGCTTTCAGCATGGCTCTGGCGAAGATGATTTCCATCAGGCTGAAGATTCTCGAGCTTATGGCAGCTGGATTTTGCAAAAGCGATGTCGTCCTTTGGGGGATTTTTTTTTTTTTGGTTTTGATATGCATCTTTGACCTCCTGTTGCGCACTCATCAGTTCCAATCCTTTTCGAATGTGTGGATATTTTGTCCAGATATCCACCCAGATATCCGGCCGATCGTACCCAAAGATAATAATGGGAGTCGGGCCATCGAAAGGGCCCCAGGGAGAATACCACCCCAAGTCCCCCCAAGTTGACCCCCCGGAACATCATAGCATTAGTATACCATGCTGGTACATCGATCAAGAGCGTTTTCGTTTCTTGGGGACATTGTAGCATCTATAAGCCTCGTGGATTAGTATTCACAGAAAGCTGTAACCATTAGAAGCATTCATATCACACAATCCAGATCCTGTCCCGAAGATCCTTTTTTGGTCCAAGGATGTTGTGCTCATCATATTTTCGCTTCAAGTAGTTTCACGATGACGTCCACCCTCCCATACGGCCACATCGGTATCAGGGGAGTGGGAGTTTCTTCCACCACCGGCACTCAACACATCGGGATGAAGCTTGACGAAGTCCTCTCCTTTCACACCTCTGTGCAGGTTGTCTCCAAACTCCCCAAATCTTGACTGTGAATGGAACTTCGAGGTTCTCCGTTATCGCGATCTTGTGCGGACATCGGGGCTCAAGTGGTTTCATGACTGCGAATAATGGGATCGGGAACAATAATTAGAAAGTGGTCGATAGAATCGATTGAAGGGAACGGAAATGCTTCTGGGAACGATATCCCAGCACTATCTAATGGAAGCAAAAAAGTGCCCGGATCCCGGATAGCTAAAAGGCGGAATCACATTAGGTATGCCACCTGCATTGATGTTGATAGCATTGCGGACAATGCGATGTTGTGGAGCAATGAGGGCATCGCCGCAAGCACAGATGCTTGCTCATTTTCAGAAGATAATAGAGGAGCTTAAAGCTGAGCCAGAATCAATTGGTGACCAGAAAAGAATGAAAATTCTCCATTTGCTAATTAATCGGCACAAGGCAGACATCAATCCAGAGCCGTGGCCAAGGCGTTGGTGACACCTCTCAAAAAAAAGTTTCGAAACATTTTGCAATGCAGCAAAGAAAGTCGATTATGGCAACCTCGAGAACTCCTAACACCACAGAACAAGATGCATACTCAGATATTGCCAGTGGTGACTCTTTGAGCGACCATGACTTTCCTCACCCTCCGCCGAAGCGCAGGCGCATCTTGCAGAAGAGTGATAAAGTATTGTCTCAGACTCGGATTCATCCATCATCGCTTTCCAGAGTGAAAATAGGCGCACCTCCTATCGCAGATGGCACAAAATCGATCGATCAACCCCCAATTCCTACTACATCTGATACTTTTCAGTCGTTGAACGTGTCACCATGGCTGGTGCGCTCTCTTGCTGCAATGGCGATTCAAAATCCCACCGAAATTCAAAAAGCTTGCATACCTGAAATACTAAAGGGAAGAGATTGCATAGGAGGGTCAAGAACAGGTACTGGAAAAACCGTGGCCTTCGCAGTTCCAATATTACAAAAATGGGCAGAGGATCCTTTTGGAATTTATGCGGTGGTTCTAACACCAACTCGAGAACTCGCTCTGCAAATCTACGAACAATTCCAGGCCCTCGGTACACCACAAAACCTGAAAACGGTTCTCATAACAGGAGGCAGCGACATGAGGCCACAGGCAGTGGCCCTTGCGAAACGGCCTCACATTGTTGTTGCGACTCCTGGCCGGCTTGCCGATCACATCCTCAGCTCTGGTAAAGAAACCACCATCGGTCTGTCGCGAACCAAAGTGGTGGTACTGGACGAGGCTGATCGCCTCCTTGCTCCCGGTCCAGGCTCAATGCTCTCTGACCTCAACACCTGTCTCTCAGCCCTTCCTCCATCTTCTGCTCGGTCGACGCTTCTCTTCACTGCCACCATCACGCCAGAAGTTCGCGCGCTGAAGGAATCACGTCCTCAAGATCGTCCGCCAATCTTCGTTTCCGAAATCACTGACGATTCTGACTCCTCCGTTGCACCTAGTCTCATCCCATCAACGCTGATTCAGACCTATCTCCAGGTTCCCATGACCCACAAAGACGCTTTCCTGCATGTCCTCCTTCAGGTGCCCTCCTTCACCAAATCTCCTGAACCGAGCATAATGGTCTTTGTGAATCGTACGACGACGGCAGACATCTTACACCGCACACTCCTGCAACTCTCCCATCCTGTGACCGCGTTACACTCAGAACTCCCGCAAAGCCAGAGGAATAGAAACCTTTCCGACTTCCGAGCTCGAAAGGCTCGAATTCTCATTGCAACAGACGTCGCGTCTCGAGGTCTCGATATTCATGAGGTGAATTTTGTGATCAATTATGATATACCTCGAAATCCGACCGATTATGTCCACCGGGTAGGTCGTACAGCAAGAGCGGGGAAAAAAGGAACCGGCATCACTTTTGTCGGCCAGCGGGACGTGGCTCTTATCCTGGCCATTGAAGAATATGTGGGGAGCAAGATGTCGGAATGGACTGAAGAAGGAGTCAACGTGGAGACCAGAGTTGTCAAAGGCAGAACACTAAAGGATGTGGCAGAGGCGAAAATGGAGGCTCTCAGAGATATTGAGGGTGGTAAGGATGTCAACGGCTGGAGAAGGAAGATCAAAAAGGATAAGAAACGTGCAAGAAATGAATGAAGAATGTCTCGTCTTTTCCGCCTCCTCCCACCCTCCCAAAACGGGAATCAATACAGGAACATATGAACAAACTATTAGATAAGTTTCTGCAAATGGTAATGCGGACTATATTTACAAGCCGGTTTGGTTCGACGTTTTGACGTTTTGATCCTTTTGGTTCAGTTGAATCGATACCAAATTGATCCCCTGTAGACGTCTTGATTTTGTATATTTGTACAAAGTCGTTCTTCGTCCACGTGTGATAAATTTCCTCCCATAGGAAACGAAATTGCGAATCTTGTCCGTCGTCAGCACAGATTCCCATCACATCCCTGCTCACTTGATGGTTCTGCGACATCAATCTTCTTCCCCCTCCCTCTCCAGAGGCAATCCCGTCTCTCTATCTCTACCTCATCCAATCGATATCCAACTCGGCTTTGTACTCTCCCTCGTCATCGATGCTGCTGAGAACGTTATCCTCACCAGTCCAAGTTGTCATCGTACCCTGGCGCATGCTGGATAAACTCCCTGGCTTTTCATTCCCGTTGACACTTCCATCCCTCTCTCTATGTCCGAAGTCTTTTGATTGATGCTCCTTCCACCATTTTGTGCTCTCTTCTATAATCTTCTCCTCCCAACCATTGATTGGTCCGATCACCTCAACATCCTTCTGGCCTGCCTTCAACACATCTCGACAGGGAAGGGACATGGTCATGTTCTCATCGTTATTTCCTCCGGTGAGATCCTTCAACTTTGTTTCGCTCGCCGCGTAGACAACACGTCCAATATTGCTCCAGTATAAAGTACCCGTGCACATTGCGCAGGGTTCCCATGTTGAGACCAATGTACACGCCACGAGATATTTCTGTGAAAAGTGGATGCTGGCCAAACGGGCCAATTCGGTTTCGGCATGTTGGACATGGGAAATAGAGACATGTGTCAAAAGAATGGTAGTATTGTCTGGTGCCAAGAGAAGAGCTGCGAAGGGGCGTTTTTCGTGAAATGAGGTCGCAGTAATCTGTAAATCGAGACAGTCTTTCATGGCTGCATCGATTTGTGCTTTGGTTAAGGGTGTCCGAGTCAATGGGGAATTCGGGCGGGCCGGGGCAGTAGATGGGGCCGCGGGAGCAGATTGATTGGAGGGTGAGTGTATAGATGATGTAGGAGTAAAGGGGGCATTGCTCGTAGAACTTGGAGTAGCATTTCGAATGACGTTTGTGTGTGTAGACGATGAGGTAGAGGGTACGATTGTCGGGATAGGAACGGCGGCGGGCTTTCGATGGATAGAGCTCGGGGAGGGCGTTTTGACGGCAGAGTTCGAAGTAGATTTGAGGTAGGACTGGTAGCTCATCTTGGAACGTCCGCGTTTGTCTCGAAAAGGTAGATGGAAATGCTCGTAGTGGGTTCGAAGGGTTCGAAGAAGGCGAAAATCAAGGCAGAAACGTTGAACACAGCCTCAGCGACAAGCAAAAGAGCTGAAAAAGCCAAATCACTCAAGAGAAGCATCCACTCTTTGAGAATAGGTTATGATATTAGATGCAAAGTGCAGGTTTGTTAAAGCTGTATAAAGATGGGATGCAACCGCAGACAAGCACGGTTCTGTAATTAGGCAGGAAACCTTCCAACCAACCCTCCAGCCACATTCTGCGACCATGTGCGGAGAAAGCCAGCCGAAAACTGAAACCGCCAGGTCAGGAACCGACTGTCACTGATTGGTTCGAGAAGAAGGAGGGACTTTGCCAATACCTCAAGGCAGACCCTTTTTTTCCCTGGTACTTTGCTGCCAAGATTTCGAAAGTTTTCAACACTCACATCTAATCAGCGACGGCTCATGGCAGAGGAAACATTGTCAATATTCCAGAGTTGATGAATCGTATATGCGAACTCCCAAATCCAGTTTCACCGTGGTCCCTTCGTAATCTTCGACTCAGAATACCATGATCTTGATACTCTCTTCAACAGCGTACCTCCGACGAATCCCATCCAAATTGAGTAGTGCCATCAGCGGTCGAAACAGCTCATCCATTTCAAATATTGTCCTTTTCTTTTCATCTCGATATGATCCATCCACAACAATTCGCCGAAGCCCGTCCAGCTGAATCGCGCCAGCCTCGATCAAATCTTGTAGTCTTACCGGAGTCGATATCGCAATTCCGACTTTTGTCTTCTTCATATATTCCACATTATCTTGCAGCTTCATGTGTTTTGCAATCAGTTTGGCGACCTGACATTCTTTCGTGTGAAAAGTACGCAGTGCTCGTGTGAGGTCCGCAGTTCGTATTCCCGATGAGGTGATCACTAGAGTATGCGGCTTTGTTTCCTCTTCGCAGGTGGAAAGTTCAGATTTGCCATTCTGTGAGAACGTTTCCAGAAACTCCGGCAAGTTCGTGGTGACGTGGGCTTTGTCAAAATTGGTGGAATCAAGAATCGCTTTTGTAGGCAGGTATTGGTCTTCGATTGCGATGGCACCGCCGTCTGGAAAGCATCTTCGAAGGGATTTTGCGAAATGATCGGTCAATAATAGAGGATCCATCAATGCGATCGATTCGTCTACTTCTGCCGGTCTCTGTCGGGCTACAACATCACTTTTTGGCTGTTTATTGTGCTTGGGGCGCTTTGGGGATTTGCTCTTGTCGGAGACTTCAGCATCGTTAAGCTTGCGCTTAATGCTAAGACTTTTGCCGCTGCCATGTTTCGTTTTCGACATTGTAGCAATCGCACAAATGTAGTAGAGTCTCCAAAGTTTGACTGCGCAGATTCAATACAAAAGAAAGAAAATCGCAAATGAAAGTGGATCGAGATGCAAGGCGGCTCTACAACTAATCACTCGGGCCCTGGTGCAGATCTCTCGGCACTGTGGACATTTCGTCAGCCCTCGCCAAGTTCTCCGAAAGGTTGCTGCAACTCGCGACTCCTCACTGCTCCAATGTGAGCTACAAAAGAGGTCCTCTTTGCAGATTCTCTCATGTAGTATGCTACTCCACGATCTCGTCGTCTGCTTCGAACTCTGTCCATTAGAACTCTGCCATTTACAGCATCCACTCGCAACTCGATGTACACCGCATCTGACTTACACAACAGATTGAAATTTGATGTCTCGGAAATAGTCGTTGTTGACCCAATAAATAAATTCAGTGTGATTGACAGTTTTACCTATGTTTATGTCGACACTCAACCGGGTCTCTGCGCTGATCAAGATGACTCTCTCCCCCCCACCCTCCCCCCTAGTTGAACATCGAGGATTGACTACCACACCGAAGAATATTGATATATCAGGCTGCGCCTTCAAAATTTTGCAATTTCTGCTGATAAACTTTCAATATCTGTTCTTCGGAATTGCCAGACTCTACGTCCCCATCTAGCAGTATCCAGAATGAGATCCAGCATCCTTCAAACCCTCTCACTTTTTCTCATAGCAGCCCTTGCCAACATGAACAACACCGAGTTGTTTCATGGACATCAAGCCGAAACATGTCCACTAGGATACATATTTTGCGACTTCTTCGGTGGAGTGAGCTGTGTTGACCCCGATGCCGGGGAGATCTGTTGCGCCGATGGGAGCGGTATGATTTCCTTTCTCGATCGGTATGATTGAATTGCAATGGCTGAATGCTGTTTCCCAGGAGTCTGTATTGACGGTTATCAATGTGGTACCGGAGTTGCTGCGGATCGATGCTGTCAGCCAGTATGTTCGATGCTTTCTCAGAAGTATCATCATGAAGAGACCCTTGGGTTTTGGCCTTGTGGACTGACGCAGAACATCTCACATCGCACAGGGAATGACTCCGGAACAATGCGCTGACGCACCTCTCGTTGGTTCAGCAACCACTGCCGCTACAATCCCAATTCCTACCTCTCAACCCAATAGTACCAATTCAGCGGGATACCTACTCCCTCGTCTTGGCATGAATGTGTTGGTCGGAATAACTGCGGTCTTGTCATTTGTGGATGTTGGTGTTTGAGAACCATGAAACATTCAACCATTGAGGGATGACAAGTTCATGTACATAGCAGCGTAAGGAACCAAGTCAAGCAAGAGCCACCACGTCGGAGTGGAGGGATGTTTGTGTGTGGGTGTGATCAGGGAAAAAAAAAGAAAGAAAGTGACATTACAAACCCAAGAGCCTCTATATCACAGCTCCCAAAAGCTCGGAAATTTTTTTTTTTTTTAATTATTCTGACCACGCCCAATTTTGCATCTGGAAGTCTGCGTGAACGGTCGATTCGGTGGCCTCCGTCGAATGTTGAATGGTGGCTTGCCGACTGGGGTCGGACCCAAATTTCCAAATACGGTCTTTCCTTCGAATACGGATACGGAGATCACTTCTGTGGGCGCCATGAACAGCCAATGGAATAGAGAGAAATGGCCTCTGCATATTGTGTTCGTCTTGACAACAAATATCTCGGTGTTCTCACTTATGTCGATGGTCGATCCTGGCACAACTGTCTCCCGATTTCAAACACGTTTTGAACGTGAGAGCATACTACTTGCACCCGAATTATTTCGACACATTCACTTCATAAATGGGACATAGGCGACTGATCACGAAGAGTCTTCCTACAACCCCCCTGGTTTCTCTCGTCGTAAGGTTGAGCAGAATTGAGGACAACTCTGATCCTTGTGGCAAGGTCACAATTGAAATCCAATCATAGCGAGACACTTCCTGCATTATGTTCTTTGTTTGGTTTGGCTTTGCTTGGCAGCATCGGCGCCAAGCGACAGAGCTGGTACCCGGTATTCAATGTCCTCCACCTCTTTCCTAGCACTTATCTAGGTATCTATGACTTAGTCCGCCAAGTCGCCCACAATTATAGAGAAACCTGGGGGGTTCGATGCGCGATTCTTCTAAGCCCCCCCAAAATGCGTGAAGAGTCTGACACGAATCTGGATTCCGTGAAATCAAAGAAATCTGCCAAGCATGCTGCTCGTCGAGCCTGTGAAAGCTGCCGTGCGCTCAAAATCCGTTGTCAACCGGCTCCAGAGGGCAGCACGGCTGCTTTGCAGGGCCAATGCCAACACTGTGTTGATATTTCACGGGTCTGCGTCTTCAAAGAACCCAGCCGGACCAGGGCCAAGAGGACAGATGTAAGGGTGAGAGAGCTCGAGAGAGAAGTCAGGGCCTTGAGTGACCTCTTGAGAACCGATGAGTTGCCGAAACTGCCACGGGACCATGGAGTCAAAACTGCAGACCATGTGGAGCCGAGGAGTATCCTGAACAAAGCTGAAGCGGAATCGGCGAAAAATCAGAAGAAGAGGAAGATGGTTGATGAGCAGCTGGATGCCAACTTGCATCAACCGGAACGCCAAAACTGGGGAACGGCCTCACCTGCGCTTTGCCCTTCAAGTTCCAGAGATGTTATCGATATTGGCATTTAACAATGGGTGAGGCTACCAACCTGTTTGGCATATATGTCAATGAGATGCTTCCCCATCGCCCCTTTGTCGTGTTTCCCAAAGAAACGACGCCAGCCTCCCTTCGCTTCCAGAAGCCCATATTGTTTCTTGCTGTCCTCGCTGCAGCTGCAGGCGCGTTCGACGAACAGCTCGACATGACACTTCATCAGCAGGTCCAGTAAGCCTGTGCTGAGCACATCATCATACGAGCCGAGCGGTCTCTTGAGTTGATTCAGGCAATTCTTGTGAACACGAATTGGTTTTACTGCCCGGATTCCTTCGAGGAACTGAATTTTTATCAATACCTTCACATGGCGGTCACAATGACCGTGGAGCTTGGCTTAGATGGAAAATACGCAACACGGAACGGGCCCCGATCAAGAGAAAACGTGAGAAGCGAAAATGTCGAGGAGCAACCCCTTGATAGACATGCTAATTGCGGCGAGAGCGAGGAAAGTGTTGAGAACATCGAAAGCCGGAGGGCCTTATTGGCATGTTACATATGCAGTGCTAGGTGAGTGGCTCTTGCCGCAATAGTACAGATTCCTGCTGACGGTCTTGAAGTGTGTCTATCGCTTTCCATCGACCTAAACCGTATCATTTTACTCCCTACATGGCAGAAAGCATCGATATACTTGAATCCTCTCACTATGCGGCACCGACCGATAAATGTCTTGCCGCATGGGCCAAGTTACAAAGTGTCATGGATCTATCTGCCAACTCCCTGCGTTTGAATGACCAAGCTGATGTTGATGCTCATACTGAAGACCAAATACAATTAAATCTCAAGAACTGCTCCAAGCAACTTCATGATTGGGAGAAAAGCTTGTCTCCCGCAATAATGAATGGTATCAGACTCACTTTCTGTTAAAGGGATGATCGGGGCGTCTAACAAAGTGTACAGAATGCTTATATATAAATTATCGGTTTTTGGTTTGCCTCCTTCACGAGAGTGGCTTGTACGCGGATTACGATCCCAGAGACTTCAAACCACCATATTGGATAAGCAAACTCAGAACCAAGCGACCGGAAAAGGCTACTGGGCGCACCACTTTCACCCCGAATCATATATCCTCAGTCATGGCGTGCCTATCTTCGGCTCACTCTCTTCTCGACACATTTTTGTCCATGTCTGTCCGCAGTCTCCAGTTTAGTCCTGCCATTGTCATTGTTCGAGCAGTTTATGCAATTTTTCTGTTGTTCAAGATCTTTTTTTCGGCTTCAGCAATCGACGGCAATCTGAATCAAATTTTGGACCCTACGGCGATTAAATTGTCGTTCTATCTGCAGCAATTGAGACTCAAACTTGTCGAGGTCGCATCCCTGGGCTGCAGATTAGCGGCGAAGTTCTCTAGTGTCACAACCAAGCTACAAGAATGGCTCCGCGTTGAACATCCTTGGGATGTCCACGATGCCAAGATGCCACAGGATCTAGAACTCATCCAGTCGTTCAGATTTATCTCCCTTGGGACGGAAAGCCGAACGCCTCCTTCTGATCGTGAGAAGCCTGGCCTCCCACAGATCGCGTCGTTTACGAACCATGAACCACTAGCAGGTAATTCGGACCCCTTCGAACTCAAATATCCCGAAGTCGGCCGTTCTTCCATGCTGAATTCTGGTAACTTGATGCCCTTGGAACCCTCCGCAAATTCTGCCCACAATGACGATAGCTCTGCAGCAATACCTTCTGGGGACACAATCCTAACATCGGAACCACCACCGACAGACTCCGGACTCCCAGACTGGTCGGGACAGTCTCCTACCGATTCTGTACCAAGGCTTAGCCTGATCTTGGCTGATGAATTCCTTGATCCCAATTTCGATCTCAATCTGGATCTCGGTTACAATATGGACAATGGTGGCGGCGGAGATCTAGCGACAGACGTCCCACTTTCAGCGGACTTGCCGTATCCACCTTCACTGAATCACACAGATCATCAGGTTGATGGCGTCGACGAGCTGCAGTTTCCTCCAGACACCGGACATCGGCGCGGAAATGCTGAAAGGGTGTAATGAGGCCTTGAAGTTAGCTCAGGAGCATCTGGGTAACATGGGCTTGAGGGTTCTGAACTGTGCAAATTTAAATGTCTGTTACCCCCATATATCTTCCACAATAACGAAGATTACGAAGGCTGTTAAGGAAAAAGAAAATATATGAACTTCCACAGGATCCCACGCTGATCACCACCCCTCACGGGTCTCGCTCTCCTCCCTCCATTGCCGAGCGAGCAGCCAATTGTTCAGGTTAGCCGTTCCGTCCTCCATCTCCCTTTCGTTTTGGCTCGCAGAGTTTGTGCCACCTTCCTTCTCTCCCCCTCTGCCTCGAGTCCGGTGCGGACCTGCTCATGCGTCTGGTCCAGTTTCTTGCGCCGCTCGATGAACAACACCGCGACCAGACCCGCGGCGGCAAGGCACACGACTTCGATCCACATCGGTTTCAGAGATTCGTAGAATGCTCGTCCTACCACTTGCCGTTGCGAATCCGTTAGTTTGGCTAGTAGGAATACGTTTGCCGACGCATTGCCGCCGGTGAACTGAGCTGCGAGCTGGTCACCTAGCGCGGCTCGAAGAGTCGACTGTTGACTCGTCATCTTGTTGGCGAACGCGGCGGAGCCGATCACGACACCAATTGCACGGGCAAGACTACGTGTAAAATCCGAATGTTGCGGTGGCGGTAGCGTTGTCTTGCCTTGGTACCAGGTTTTGAAGCACGATCAACGGTGCTTGAAAGTTGGGACCGGCGCCGACTCCAGCTATGATCTGGTAGATGATGATCTTCGCCCAAGCTCGCGAGGAAGGGAGTTCGTACAGAAGGCCTTGGCCGAGGACAGAGACAGTGGCCCCAAAAATGATGCAATCGAAATAGCGGCCGGTTTTTTTGATATAGATTCCGGTGGCGACGGAGCTGAGTGAGAGGGACAGCGCATATAGCAGCAGCCAAACCCCCGAAAGGAGAGGGCTTGCGTTTAGCACGGCTTGAAAGTACAGTGGAAGGAAGAAACAAGTCTGCATGAAGACGGCGCCGTGGCTGAAGTCGAGTGAGAACACCGCCAGCTGCCGGCCTCCGGTCAACAGATGCTTTGGGATGATCGGGTAAAGTGCCACTCGCCACTCGATGCCTAGGAAAAGGAAAAAAGGTGACGACACCGAAAATGATCAGACAAACAACCGTCGCCGACTTCCACGGATGTGTGACGCCGCCCATTTGCAAGCCCAGCAGGAACATGATGGTGCCACCGGTTATGCTGAGACTTCCAAGCCAGTCGATCGCTTTGAGAGCTGGAATGACTCGTGGCTTTTCATGGCGCAGTCTAAGGGTGAAGAGGATAATAAAGAACGCCGTGCCGGAGATTGGAACTGCAGTGAGGTAGAGAACGATTAGTTTGTCGAGACACAGAAGGGGGAATAGGTAGACGAAACAAACGGGAGACATTACGATTGATATAGAAACACCATCTCCAGGATGCCTCATCGGCCAAGGCTCCTCCAATTACAGGCCCATACTATGCCCACGATCCCATAGTAGACTCCGCGCTCCCTGAAAGATGATCAGATTGGAACGACGACCCCGGACAATCCCCGGCAGTGCTCACCTTGGAGAAAAGAGATCTCCAATTACGATATTGATCAGGGTCAACAGGCCGGCCGCTCCGACACCCTGGACAGCACGTCCCGCAATCAACATGGCCACGTTCTTGGACGCGCCGCCCAGCGCGCTGCCGAGCAGAAATACTGCAGCGGCGGAGAGTAGAAGCGGTCGTCGACCGAATATGTCACTCACTTTTCCCCACGTAGGGCCCGAGGCTCCACTTCCAAGGAGAAAGGCTGACCCGACCCAAACGTACCCGGTGCTTGAATGGAAGTGGGAGGATATAGTGGGCAAAGGAGTCGTGATTATGGTTATGTCCAGCGCAGCGAGAAGGACTGAAATCTGTCGTCAAACTCATCAGGCCATGTCCACATGATTTGAAAGAAGTTGGTGAGGTGAGTTCACATACGCACAGTGCGACCATGAGAAGGGTCGTTTGCAAGGTGCTCCTTCTTGTCTCAGATGTATTGGCTGGACTATGCTGCTCGGCCAGGCCATCTGGCTGCGCCGCCTTTCCGTCAATAGATGGCATTTCTTGTCTCTCGACATCAGCCGTGGGAAGAGCAGTGCTTGATCCGCGACGCTCCGTTTGCTCTGCATGGGCGCTCTGTTCCGATGTAGGATTTGCATAGTTGCCGTTCCGCTCAGCACAGTAACCTGCAGCGAGAAAGGACTCTTGCCTCGGAACCATGGATGATCCAGGTGGCATTTTAGCTGAACTCATTCGATTGCCTCTTTAATATAGCCCTATAGCCGGCCAGGTGTTTGATTGCCTTGAGAGGAATTGAAGACGAATGGTCCACGTTCTCGGAGCTTGCAAACTCCGGCAGATATCCAAATATTTAGCCTCGTGCCGTCCTCCATGAACGGTTCCTTGGGCTTCAAGTGTGTGAACTTGTTTCCAACAACCGAGCACTCTCCGCCGCCTGGATGGTGGTCCCTCATCTTGTGTGTGTTTTGTCGTCTTTCGACTAGTAACTTCACCTTTGTCCCACCGCCTTCGGAGTGTTATGACAACATTGCCGTGTCGAAGACGTCCTCTAAGCCCAATCGACCTTTCGCCATCGAGTTCGGGTAAAGTCCTGCTAAGAGTAGAGGGAGGCGTGTTGGTAAACTGGCCGGTACAACCATAAGAGCTCAGGGTTGATAGGAAGCAGACCGGTAACACCGCACGAGCACGAAAAATAACGTACCGTAACTACCAGGGAGAAGGAGAACACGTCGCGAGAGAGGTACGGGTTATCTTATGTCCAGGAAGACGAACCCGTCCTTCACCAGTCGCTCGACAGTTATCGTTGTAGCGTAAGAGCATCGCAGGCGAGAGGGAGTTACAAGTGCGTAGGTAATCTTGCATCAGTCACGGTGCGGCAGCCCCAACCCCACGCTCTAGTTTCTCGCGGGGTTCACCGCAAAGAAAATACACTTGACTGCCCAAATAAATATTTTCCTTTGGCGAAAACCGAGGTCCAAATCGGCTGCTTGTCTTGACGAAAATGTTCAGGACTTTTTTTTTTTTTTTTTTTTTTTTCAGTTCAGATATTTATACAGAGACGGCCCTATGATTTCGATCGGCCGGATCTGACATCTAGGATGACCAAGCAAACATATTCACAGGAGATCGGTGTCCGATAATACCCTGCGACCATCAACAAAAGTCACACGACGCCATCGATCGAACTTTCGCATGGAACTCTTTACAGCCTCATACCATCATCTTCCACTACTTCGACGTCAACAAGGATGTCGACGGAGGCCGAGATCCAGGACACCTCTGCAATCGTGGATGGTGATGCTCCTGCTCGTCCACCACGTGCTCCTCCGATTCCTGCATCGGTCAAGATCAATGTGGAGGGAGCATTCATTGTCGATGACGAGGTGAACGACCGAAATGGTGTGGAAAATGAATACGTTCATTGGGAACGGAAGGATATCAGGCTGCCGCATCACACGGATGTGGTCAGCCATGTCGCCGTTGATGTATGGCGCCCGTGAAGTTTCCTCTCTCTCTCTCTCTCTGTGTGTGTGTGTGTGTGTGTTGCTCTATATCCTGACTCGAATTCTAGATTGGGGGCTCCCTCGCAAAGCTCGTATATTTCTCGCGCGAACCTGGTTCTACTCATGGTGGTGGTCGATTGAACTTTGTCAATTTCGAAACCGACCGCATTGATATGTGCATTGATTTCATTCAAGAACTCAAACAAACGCAGTCCAAATTAAACGGATCGACACCCCAGCAATTAATTGTCATGGCAACAGGAGGAGGCGCATACAAATTCTACAATCGAATGAAAGAGGTGCTTCATGTCGATGTTGTTCAAGAGGACGAAATGGAATGTCTCATCATAGGTGAAGGCTTGAAACAATTCTCTTGAGCGCGCCACTGACGATAGGATACCCTAGGACTGGACTTCTTCATCACGGAGATCCCGCGTGAAGTCTTTACATACAGTGAAGAAGAGCCAATGCAATTTGCCGAAGCCCGCGCCGACATATATCCCTATCTTCTTGTCAATATCGGATCAGGTGTCTCGATGGTGAAAGTGTCAGGCCCTCGAGAATTCCAGCGGGTGGGCGGCACATCACTAGGAGGTGGAACGTTCTGGGGCCTACTTTCCCTGCTCACTGGAGCTCGCACGTTTGACGAGATGCTCAGGTTGGCCGAAAAGGGCGACAATAGTGGTGTTGACATGCTCGTTGGTGACATATATGGCGGCGGATACAGCAAAATCGGGCTGAAGAGCACCACCATTGCCAGCACTTTTGGAAAAGTTTTCCGGATGAAGAGATTGGCTGAAAGACATGCTGAAGATGGAGAAGGTCTGTCCAATGGCGACCCGCATGGTGAAAATGAAGACCGCCTTGGAGGATTCAAGATGGAAGACATGGCCCGAAGTCTGTTGTATGCAATATCCAACAACATTGGACAAATTGCCTATCTTCAATCTGAAAAACACAACCTCCAACATATTTATTTTGGTGGATCCTTCATCCGAGGTCATACACAAACGATGAACACGCTTTCATATGCCATCAAGTTTTGGTCCAAAGGCGAAAAGCAGGCATATTTTCTCCGTCACGAGGGATACCTCGGCGCTGTCGGAGCATTTCTCAAACGACAACCCAAAAATTGGGGAAGACGCAACAGTCTTGAAGATGTCAAACTCGGCAAGGCGCTGTCAAGAGACTAGGCCGGTGAACTTCGATGTTCTAGAACACGTCACTCGGCAACGTGCATGGGTCATTCGGAAACCTTCCTTCAACTTACCAACAGGGACCTGCGGTTCGGCGTCACGGGCTGGATTTTCTTTCAACATCACAACTGGACAGAATGCCTGGACTTGGATATATTAAGAACTTTTCGACGATCCGTCCAGGTCTTCGACAGCCATGACGGGAGTATTGGGGCACAATAGGCACCGGGGCACGACCGGCCGGTTTCGAGCCGAATCTTGAGCTTTGGTCGCAGACTTGAGCCCGGAAATTGCATGACAAATTCTGCTGGGAAATCTGGGACACACTCATGTACAGTAAACATGGGGATATGTCAGATTGCATGGACATATCGACATACTGTGGCTTGTTTTCTGGTCGGGTATACCTCCATAATTTCGGTGCTCAGAAATAATAGAATCGGCTTACCTTCATCCTCCAGAAGCATTGATAACGGCGGGCGATTCGCCAATAATAATCCACCCGATTGTTTCACCTCGCCTCGAGCCTGGCAATGCTTCATTCTACCAATGACACGCAAATCTCTTTTACTTTCTGGGTCACGCAAATGGAGCATATGACAAGGCCATATTGAGCTGGCGGTATGTTATCGCACCACAGCTTCACGAGCCGTGCCGACGAATCATAACGGCACATGTTGAAGTTCGACCTGAGATCTCGCTCCTCGAAAAGCCCCGGCGGTTGGCTAACATGGGAAAGCCTGGTTTGTGCGTGACGTCAGCTGATCGGTTGCACCCCTCGACCCCAATCCCTTGTCCCTTGATATCGGGCTTGTCAACATTGCAACCGTCACCACCCCTCGGTCCCGGCTTTCGTTCTCTCTTAGGCCTCCCTTGGACATCTTGACACTCGTTTCCATTGACCGTGGTACCTCTTTTCATCGTCCTTCAGTGACAACGTCGCCTTTCATCTGAGCGCTATCGCATTTGGCCCCAGCCAACTTGAGAAGTCTGACACCAAATCTAAAAGCGGGTTGTCCTCCGAAGGGGGCGCCTTGCGGATGGCTTCGGCAGCGCAACAACAGCAAACCAAGTAAATAAATACCACAACCACCCATTATTTCTCTCGCTCGAACGGCGCATTGAGGTCAAGAGATATTTCAAGGGCCACTGGAGCCTCCAAATGGTATGCGCTCCTTCATTCATGCCACTGGCAACAACTGTTAATACTTGTTGGTTAGGCCCCTCTCGCATCTCTCGCTTCTACTCTCCTCCCCGCAACGCCTGTTCTAGCTCCCCGCCAGGCTACGACGACCATTGTTACCAGCTCGCCTCCATCATGCTCAGGACAATACTCTGAAGGGACATTGGCCGGTGCGATCCTCGGAACTTTCTTTGGGACCCTCTTACTAGTCTATCTCTGGGGCGCCATTCGAAACAATCCATACCGAGTGGGACGTGAAGAGGTGGTGGTAGAACGAAAAGTTCGAAGCAGCGGCAGCAGACGAAGACGCCGTAGTCGGAGTGGTAGCTTGTCGAGTGTACGGCGCCCTAGTCGAGTGTACTCGACCGGCTAAAAGAAATCGGAAGGGCTATGGGAGCAGTGTGTATATGAGATGAAAGGGAGCTGTATCAAAATTGACTGACGACGATTGGGGGGCGCGCGGTTTTCTGTGTTATGAAATGTTACACTCGTCTTTCTTGGGCCGGTCTCGAGAAGTTACGACAATGACAACTGAGGAAGAGATGGATGGCATGTTTTTGGTTCATTGTGGAATTTTGTTACGATTTCAAAGAACTCGGCCTCGAGGATTGTTCATAGACACTTTTGCGTTGGAAGCTATGGCAAATTTCTCGTAGGTGGTTGCGACGATCTTTTAGGGCATCATTGGACTAAAGTCAGCGATTACAGGATCGGACAATGGGACTGTATGCATGGAAAGTGATATCGAATATGACAGCACTGTTTCCATCCCCAATTCAATCTCGAACACTTTCAAGGCTCTGAGTGAGCGAGTATTTGTTATGCCTGGTGCCTTTTGTTTACTCCGCCTTCTAAACTGAAAGCGGACCCTTGCCCTTGTTCCTTGCCCAGGGGTGGACCCCATTTCCGCAGCGGCTTACAAACTGCCGCTTCTCCGAACCAGATCCCGTCATGAGCCATTCGAGATCCAGTATATCTCAACCTTCTTTTTCATTATCCAACCATCCCTTCGTCCTCGTAGAATTATCTTTTCAATTTCACGTGCATCCAACGGTGCTTGATCGTACCGGCCGAATCGACCGACAAAAACACTACTGCAAAGCAAGACCCGTTCTCCTCAAATCTCACCCCTCTCTCCGAGCACGCGCTCCTCCCAACATTATGTCTGTCAAAGCAGTCATCCCATTTCTGGTGGGAATGATGTTGCTGACTGGCTGTGCCAACACGATCCTCACCAAGTACCAGGACCAGCAATGTGTCCAAAACTGTGAAGACAAGAATCCTCAACACCACAAGACGTTCGAGCAGCCTGTCATTCAAACGTAATGTCATCCATACTCCTGATACTTAGTTCTTCCTGATAACCGATCTGCACAGTGTACAAATGTTCATCGGAGAGATGGGCTGCTGGCTCGTGGTCTTGGGCTTCTACCTTTATCGCTACTTTTCCCTGCGTACGAAAACAACACCGCTCTTGTATCAACCCGTGGCCGCGGAAGAGGAGGACGATGATACTGCCCGCCCAACGTCGCAGGATGCCGTCGGTCCTGCCTTGAAACCTCTTGTTCCCAACGCAGACGAACGAACTCCGCTCATGGGATGGAAGGTGGTTTTGCTGGGACTTCCGGCATGCTGTGATATCACAGGAACAACCCTGATGAATGTGGGATTGCTATTTGTGGCGGCATCCATATACCAGATGACCAGAGGAGCGTTGGTCCTGTTTGTCGGCCTGTTCAGCGTCTTGTTCCTCAAAAGGAGACTTTTCCTATATCATTGGCTTTCGCTCGTGATTGTGGTGTTAGGTGTTGGGCTGGTCGGCCTTGCCGGCGCCATCTACTCGGACGATAAGAGCTCTCAATCCTCCAAGGTCGTCACCACCGAACTATTGCATGATGCACTAATGAGTGTCCGAGATCTGGCCACTCAGGCTGTTGATCCCACCGTCCTGCGTACTATCCTCGGTATTTTTCTCATTGCCTTTGCACAAATCTTCACGGCCACGCAGTTTTGTCTCGAGGAATGGATCTTGGAACATTATGCACTAGAACCCCTCAAAGTCGTCGCGTGGGAAGGCCTATTTGGGTTTTGGGTCACCATTATCGCCCAAGTAATCTTGCACTTTACTGTTGGCGTTTCAAAGAGTGGCACAAATGGGTATTTTGATGCCTCGGAAGGCTATCGTCAAGTCTTTACGAACCGGGCAATCGGACTTTCCAGTCTTGCCATCATGGTCTCCATCGGTGGATTCAATTTCTTCGGCCTTTCGGTAACAAGAAGCATCTCAGCGACATCGAGGTCCATCATCGATACCTGTCGAACCCTGTTCATCTGGATCGTCTCGTTGGGGCTTGGTTGGGAATCATTCAAATGGCTCCAGGTCGTGGGCTTTGCTTTGGTAAGTTTCAAAGTGATTTTTTTAAAACACAAACGCTCACGTCACGGACAGCTGGTGTATGGAACGTTCATGTTCAACGACCTCGTAAGACCTCCGATCAAAGCTCTTCTTCCCCGAAGTCAGGAGGCAGAACAGCGGGAGGAGCTTTTACGAGAAGAGCCCATTGAACATATATAGTACGTATACTCGGAACTGATGGAAGGCGTCTGGGACTTGATTCCGAATATATGGGTTGACCTTTTACACCTACACTTCACTTTCACTCCAGATCACTCCACGGGCGCCACTGCAGCCGAAGATCTTCGAGGAGTCCCTATCTGAATGGGTGGTGGGTTGCAGACTTGAGACTCCGTCATCGTCGAATCCTGGCCTGATTCTCCTGAAACGAACCCAAATGACTTTCACTGTCGACCGTTCGTGGAATCTCAACCCACGTAAGCGTTAACACTCCCGGCAAGGCTCGAATACGCAATGTCCGAGGGAATGAAGCTTCTTCCGTCGCAAGCAACACTTTGACATGGAATACTCCTTTCTAAGATGGTAATTTCGAGGTGGCAGTTCTTGGCTTCAAAAAATGCCACACAAAGACTTAGTTTTGCGTTCCCATCACGTAAGGCATGGCAATCGATGGAGTGGCCGATTCCAAGTTCTTGAGCTTCAACAGCTGCTCCAAGCAAGACTTGATGATATCACATCCCAACCCAGCATGGCGTTACTCGAGACCGCAGCTGTTGGGACTGACACTGACGGATGCGTCTGGGGTGGAGCGTGAAGCAGGAGGGAACCGGTCAAGGTCTCATAGCGGCCACCGCTATATTGGAACAAATCATTCTGGAGCGAGCACGAGCCTCGGGTGAGACTAAAGTGGTATAAGGAAATACGTCGGCAGGATTCTGCCAGGGAATTTTTTCCGATGATATATCAAGCATTAATTTATACCGGCGAGGAGCCGGAATTCGCCCGGCATAACTGATCAACCACTTTTCACTGATAATCCTACACAGATATTGTCTTCGAAGCGAGTCAAAAAAAAAAAAAAAAATTCTAGACTTTTGAAGCGAAAGGATTTTTCATAGCGCAACAATTCGGCTGCGCAGCTCGCATCTACGACTCTCAAGCTTGATAGCCACGAAGGCTGGCCACGCAGCTTCCTCGACCCACGGGTGACAAGTGCTATCGAGAAGACGTTGTATGATCGGCAGATCGAGATACATTGTCGGTTGCACGAGGCGACCGCAGGACAAAGTTTGTCACATGGTACATACGGCTACGTTATTTTCCAATCCGCCCATGTTCTTTGCACGATGTTCCAAACCCCTCGCGTTTCAATGGAACTATGGTGGAAGAATGTCCCTCGCTCCAGATTATACATTGGCTGAAAAATATACATTCGGACCCCCATCTATCACACACCACGCCTGGTAAACTGAATAACCGGTATCTCAGGGTCTCGGCCTCGATAGCGCACTCGCTTGATCTAGCCTGTTCTTCGTCTGGCCATCCCTTATCCGGATGGCATGATTGTGCTATAGACGCAATGAAAGACTCCGAAGATCCTGCTCGTATCATCTTCAGTTCAACAAGTCGGCCGGCATCGCTGGTTTATCAACCAATTCTGACGCCAACACCACCATCGACGCAACATGGCATGACGGGCAGCCGATCACCGGGCCTTATCCGCAAAGCCATGGGTCTTCTGGAACGAGCAACACCGTCCATTCGATTTTGCCTGCCAGAGAAAGCCGTCATTCAGCCGTTCGAGGTTGTCACGCTTCGCAGATTTTTGGTCAGAGACCTAGGTATCAGGGTTATACCCTCAGCCTTCGAGGTAAGTGTGATACTCTCTAAAGTGTCGCGCTGTGGGCCAAAGGAGAACTCTGTTGACGCCAGAACTGCAGGCTTATCTTCAGGCTGCGGATCCTTTTGGGTTTGAGGACATCCCGAGAACAATGTTTGACGAGTGCCAACCAGGCGTGACACAAGAGCTCGAGAACAGGTGGAAACAAATAGAATACACATACTCGGAGGCTGTACGCTGTCAGAACTACCATAAGGATGAGAACGCACGGACCGAGGTTGTTCGTTTAGTCTTCCAACAATGTGTAAGTGCACTGTCCCATGTCTAGCACCGAGGTCTAAATTCACGTCTAACTCTTCATTCAGCAGGCAATCTCAATCGATTGACTCCCGCTTTCTGCCTCCCCTGCCATAGACCGCCGTTCCATTTGCCAAGAAGGTTGACACAGCCCTTGCGTTTAAACCATATCATGAGCGAGTTAGAAAAAGCTTGAAAGATGTTCAGGACAAGCGACCGGGTATGAGCTTAAGCCAGATGTCAGATGCATACACCAGCGGGGTTGTGCTTCCTTGCGGGATCGAAATTAGAGGATCAAGTGGGAGCTACGACGAGGCGATCGTGCAGCTTGGGATCTGGTATTCCGCTGGGCTACAAAAGAGACAAGAAATGAGCGTAACGAATGCATCCCCATCTCAGAAACCTTTACTGGGTTGGACGGTCATCGGACACGAATGGAGGCCCCACATTTCATGGAGAGACGACATAACTGGCGATGTGGTCGGTTATCCCTAATCCTCATGCGTGGTGCGCTTGCTGATTGTATGTACAGCTTGTGCTTGGTCCCTGGACGTTGTTAACTGCTAGCACTTTCAGTTATCGCGACCTTTTCTTGCTGATCCACATTGTCAGTAAAGTGCATATGTGGCTGTGTGACGAATACTGGCCACGGTATGAAGAGTCGATACTGCGGGGCCTCTGTTGATGATGAACACTAACTTGGAGCACATTGGGGCATATCCAAGCTTGATAAGTTATGTACACAGCCAGATGGATGAGCCTCACGATTTGCGTTCTATAAATCGTGAGACCTGACAATGACGGCCCTCGAGCACCCTGAGTTACCCCCAGACGGGTCATGGAACTCCTACTCAGACCTTTGAAAGTAGGACGAGTCAGACAGCACGCTCATTTGAGTGGAGATGGCTTGATCACTCATAGCTTTGCGCCGACTCCCTCAATCTCTCTCGAGCTTCGCGCAAGCTGTTGAGGTTCCCAGTATACATGGAATAAAACCATCTTGTCGAGCCTCGACAAGTATTGTGGAACACACTATGTTGGTTCGCAACTGAAGCATGTGATTGGTTGTAGTGTTTGAGCAACAAGCATCCATCCAATATAGGCGTATGATTCAATAGGACTCGTGGAGAGAAACCAACAGAATTATTTCCCGTATTTTTCACGCCTCAATGATCAACAAATGCCGATAGAACGATACTAGGCTCATGCGACAGCCTCACACGTAAGCTTGCACTGCATTCCTGAAAGACGACTGAAATGCTAGGGATTGGTCTTTCCCCGATGCAACATCAATTCGATTGAACAATCATGCATGGAGAAAGAGGGCGAGTGCCATCCATACCAGCATAGGTGTTGTATTTGGTCAAAAATTGAGGGGTTCGTGGAATGATGACATCTGCCGTTCTTTGAAAGTTGTTGGTTCGAGGTAGTTGAGGCATGTCCGCGACCAGGGGGATGAATGAAGTGTAACTAACGTCATCGTAATGACAACCTGACATCTAAGCCTGTCTGATTTAAGACCCATGCATTGCTCACTTTCCAATCCTTCCTGGGATCGTCCAGCTCGATTTTGAATTTCAAGAACAAAGCTGGAATGAGTTTGTGTAGCTCCAGCATGGCGATATTCTTGCCCAGGCATGATCTCTTGCCCGCACCAAACGCTAGGAGACTGTGCTCCATGCTCTTAGTCTGCCTCTCCTGCTCCGTTAGCCAACGACTCGGGTTCCATTCCTCTGCGTCAGCACCGAAAACACGAGGGCATCGATGGAAAACCCATGGATTGATTCCCACCACAGTCCCATGTGGAAGATAAGTCTGGCTGCCATCGTCGTGCCGCAAATTCAAGCCCTCCTTCGGAACAATTCGTTCGAGTGGCAATGACAGGGCGGGATTCACCCTTAATCCCTCCTTCACCACGGCACAGAGATATGGTAAATTCTGTTGAGTTTCGCTCCAGGTCGGAGATGGACGAGAGATTTGGCCATGTTCCACTGCAGAGTCCAGTTCGTTCATCAGCGTAGAGAGCGAAACAGGGTTTTTGAAAAGGTGGTAAAGTATCGCCCGGAGAGTCGAGGCAATCGTGTCGCTACCAGCATTGATGTTCATCTAGAGGAACCATACCGGGTCAGCTGATAGGTCAAGACCAAAAGACGAACGCGCATTGTGTTTGGAACACTCACGAATAGATAAGACAAGATCTGCCCATCTGTCAGCGCATCATCTCCTCCGGCCTCTTCTTTTCGGACCTTTAAAAACCTGCTCAGGAAATCCGGCCGATTCAAGCTCTGCTCCTTCTCCTCTTCCATTCCACCCTGCTCCAGATCCCTCAATCTTTCCTTCAGCAGACCTTGTGCAAATTGCAAAATCGGCGAACTGACGCTTTTCCGGAAATATTGTACATACAAAGGATTCTTCCCAAGGACCACCTCGTCCAACCAGGGCATCTGGCCAAGGACACTGAAGTAGGAGAAGTTCGCTCCGATCGCATCGATTATGCCATCCACGTCGACACCCGACTCTATGAAGCCTAGACGTCGGCTAAAAGTGAGTTCGCCGATTACGTCAAAGGCAAAGAATTGAAGATAGCGGCCGAGATCCAGAACTTGACTTTGCGAATGGCGGGCTGCGTATCGTTCCTCCAATGTGTGCAAGAAGACATCCGTGGTGCGATCGACGAGCTCTTCGTATTCGACCAGCGTGCTGAGAGAGTACGCATGTGCAATCAGCCGCTTCGATTTGGCATGCTCGGTCTCGTCGGTCATTGCCACGAGGCTCGCCGCTCGTCGCCCATTGACGATGTTCTGGAAACAGCTGTAGAAGTCTGATTTGACCAGCCCTTTCCCAATGCCGTAAATCTGAGGAATGTAGCTTGGCGAACCGGTAACGGAGACGCAATTCGGACCCAGACGGACAAGATTTCCGTATCGCTTGTGGAGCTCAAGATGCTTTTCATGGGGATTCCGATGATAAACGAGGAGGAGCCGGTATAGATTTGTAAGGCGAGCGGCTGGGGGACCACGAATTGACTGCAGAGAGAGGTAGTTTCTCAAGAGAGAAAGGATGAAGACAGTAGGAAGGACGCATATTAGAATAGGAAGCAGCATGACTGAAATGAGGTGACGCCAATACAATCCCTGGTGGACGTGCAAACCTGTTTATGCTGAACTCAAAGAAATGTTTACCGCTTGCCCAAAAGCTGGTCATTGATATAACCTTTGTAACATGATGACAGTAATTAGAGGATTATAAAGTTGTCACTGTGTGCGATCCTCGGTCCATTCCCCTCGGCGTTCTTCCGCCTACGGGTTGGGCCAAAAATTAATGAGAAGGGGAGTGGGTTTGGAGGATCTGAACGAGACCAGATTCGAGGAATCGGCTGGTCGCTCGTGGGCAGCGGAAGTTTTCCGTTCCCCAGGCAAAGGTCAAGGGCAAGGTAAAAAGAAATGGACGAGGCAGGCGGAGAATATGGGAGCAAAAATATCTCTACGCCACTACAACAACGCATTTTCATTCCCCACGGCCTGGGGTACCGAGAGGCAACCGCCGAATAAAGGCCGATGTCCCAGATCCATTTGTTCTCGAGCGGGAAAGGGTGGCCCGGTATATGCTTCTCCATGCTTCCCGTTCATGTGTGAGCATACAAGTTCTTCTGGTTTCAAGGCGTCCAAGTCACAGGCTCAGCATGGCTGTCAAATACCCAGCGTTCGTGTCCGGTATCTCCCCTCCTCTTCCTCCACCTCTAGGTCACATTAGACACACATCTATGCATGCGGAATTTTATGGTTCGGTCCAGTCGACTTGTTCCGTTAGTGGTGCACCCCCATCTTTAGCGTACGAGATCTTCAAGCGAAGGCGGAGTTTCGCGGGCAGTGCCTTGGTCCAATATGTCAGTTTGTCGAAACCGGGTCTGAAATTGGAACGAAACTTACTCCTGTCGCCGCAATGATTTTCATGCCTTGGGTGGCTTCCTCACCACCATCAAGGGTGCTCTTATTGATACCCTGGAGGGTCAACTTTTGATTCTTGGGAACAGCCGCCTGTAATCCCACCCCAGTCATTTGCTCGAATGCCGAGTTGTTCTTAAAACGAGCGAGGGCCTGGATTGCAGAACCACTCCTGGAAACTTGGATTGCAACTGACAAACCGTTTTTGTCGTATGCGGGATGGGCCTGAGGGCCACTGGGAGCAGGGCTGGCAGCCTTGATAGTTTGATTGCCAAACAAGTCCATGATTGAATCGGTATTGGACGGTAGGGTTGCGCTCCTGGTCGGGGGTGGAGGGCTTGAAACCGAATTTCCGTCCCCGAGTATGTCGGCGAGCAGATCGGCAGTCTGTCGTTGACCATTCAGGGTCGCACTGGCATCGACAGCGGGAACGTCCGATCCACCCATAAGATCGAGCAGCATATCTGATTCAGTTGTCTTGGCCACCTTCGTATTGGACTTGGTCTTCAGAGTCTTCCTCTTGTCCTTGGCTGGGGTGGTGGCCTGACCGAGTACTCGTTGCTCCTCCTTGATTTCGGGCGGCGGCATCTTTTCGAGGACGCCCCTTCGAATGGCGTCGTAGCCAAACATATTGCTGTATTCCACAGCCCTTTGTTGGATCTCGACACTCAGGTCAGAGGTTCTCGAATGCATCAGTCGGCGGATCCGTTCAATTTGCGACTGGTCCGACATTCTCGTGGTGAGTTTCATGGCCGATGTGATGATAAACTCGGTAACAACTTGATTGGCATAAGTGGAGTTGAGGATGGTGGTATACAAGTCAACGATGTCGCTCTCTTTGACTTCTTTGACCAGTTCTTCCTCTTCGTACGATCCACCACGAAGTAATGCGTCGCCATACTCGCCAATGACCCAGACACCGGCCAAAGTCAAAGCTTCCTGGGTGATGTCAGCTTTCAAGGCGGCGTATAATTTTTGAACCGAATATGTTTGTTGATCGGGGGAAGTGGCAATGAGACGAACAAAGGATGACAAGATCTGCTCCTTGACGTAGTTGCCGGCCAATTTGACGACTCTCAACATGGTGTCAATGTGCCACCGTTTATTCGGGGCAAAACGATCTGCCGCGATGCCGATCTGTGTGGTCATGACCGATTTGAACTCGGTGTCGGCGACCTCCAAGAATGCCAATAATTCTCGGATCAGAACGCGGACATTGTCTTCGCGGATCAGAGTGAAACTGAGGTCCAGAGCTCTCCGTCGAATCGAAATATCGGGGTCTCTCAAGCACTCCAAAATGGTGTTTCGATGTCGTTGAACAGCATTAGGCTCGATTGCCACGACTTTGATCAACGTGTTGAGCGCCACATATCGGATGTTGTTATCCTTGTTGGCCAGGAATTTCCCGAGGATGTTGACACCCAATACCCGAAGACCTGAGTCGGCCTCGATGTCGAGAATTGTGAGGACAGTCTCGTAAAGGATGGAATTCCCAACATTCTTGGTCGATTCGGTGTTCGTGGCGACTTGTGCCAAAATGTCGTTCATTTGTTCGCTGGTCGTGGCATCTCCCCTTCCAAGGACTCGGAACAACCGCAGAATTTTGACTTGTAGGAAAGGGTCCGTGATGCCTGAAACATCATGTTCTGGCGTATACCCGGAGCTGGTCAGGCTCTTTAATGTCCGCACGAGCTGGGGAACGACTGGCCGGAACATCTCTACCACGCCCTCTTCGCCACCCTCTGCTTCGTCCGCCTCGCACATGCTGGTGATCAATGTCAGTCCGCAAAGGAGGACTCCGTGGTTTCTGTCCTGCAGCAATAATTTGGCCTTTTCCAAGAAATGTTCCTGCAAATCGGGCACTTTTCGACAGATTCGCATGGCGCACAGTGCGGCTTTTCGGCGAATATAGGGGTTGGCGGTAGAGATGAGAGTTTCAATTTCGGGAAAGAGGTCTCGGGACATTTCGACGGAGGCAATATTACCTAGGGTGCAGAGGGCAAGCCCGACCACATATTGGTTCGAATGATTGAGATCACTGTTTCAAGTTAGCAATGACGCCCATTCATTGGATCGTCATACTTCTTCAGTGAGTTGGTGACCAGTGTGAGCACTTCTTGGTTCTCGTCCAACAAGAGCATCGTCCCCAGATAGCCCAGCCGCTTGTCCGCAAACCGCGGAGAGGCCAACAGTTTCAGACATTCAATCTGACCAAAATGCGTCCGTTCGCCGAGTGTAAAGAGGTAGAGAAGTTTCGCAACATTGTTTCTCCTGCTTCCAATTAGACCCTCGCACACTGGTGACGGTGGGTTGGGGACAATGACCGTATATTTGAATCACCGCTCTCTTCCCGGAAACTGGCTCGGATCGCCGCACTCTCCTTCTGGACGACGGCTCGTTCGTCTGCGATCGTTTTAGAGGCTCTCACGTTGCGAATGAATTGCTTGACTGTCCATGAGTTAGTGAACCGATTCAGAGGATCTTGGTCGTAGGGGCTCACGAGAAGTCATGGTGCTGCGCTGACCCGGAGGGGGGTCATATACGTGGGTCAGTCTTTCATAGAAGAGGGTCGGCGTTAGTTCCACTTGGCTTGAATCCCGACAGGGGCCATTAAAGGCCCAGTTTGAAAATCTTCGGGGAAGTTGTTGCAAGTGAGGATCAGAGTGCACGATTGTGAAGGCACCACATTCGAGAAGTTGTTCTCTTAGGCGTCGGTCCAATCGGAAGGAGGTTGTTGGCCAAGGCCCGAAAATTCCCCGTTTGGGAATTCGGTGACGCCGCCCTATGTTCACCCCCTGGATGGGACAAAATAGGGGAGCCGTAGCCTCGTCTCGGCAGACTGAACTTTTCAATTGAATTAGTATGCCAATATTCTCATAAAATTCTATATTCTTATGCGAGTCGACATTGCGATAGAATGGGTGAAGTATCATCGTGACTCCCAGTATCACATCTGGTATTGTCGTGCTTCGTATGCTTCAATTCCACTCATCCGAAATAATGTGCTGTGCCAGCTGCAAGTTCTCGGAATAGTCGATGTTCACATCAACGAGTGACACTCCCTTGTGAGCCAAAGCCTGATTCATCACGCTTTCCACCTCCGAGGAATCACGAATCCTGAAACCTCGAGCACCAAAACTCTCCGCAAACTTGACAAAGTCAACTCCTCCCAGCTTCACACCGCTACTTCGTCCGTACTTCATCACCTCTTGAAATTCGACCATGTTGTAAGCTTGGTCATTCCAGATGAAATGGGTGATATTGCACCCTTGCAGGACCGCGGTCGACATCTCTTGCGATGAGAACATGAAACCGCCATCGCCACTCAGTGAGACCACTTTCTCGGAACAAGGTGGGGACTGAACGAGTGATGCCGCAATAGCCCATGGCAGGCCCACGCCCAGTGTCTGCTGTCCGTCCGAGCAAAGAAGCCGACGCGGTTCATAGGCAAAGAAGAACCGCATCATGTAAATGTAAACAGTGCCAACATCGACGCAAACTGTCGTGTCTTTTGCGACCATGCTCTGGAGGGCCGCGATGAAGTGCAGAGGATGGACGAGGCCCGAATCTCGTTTCACCTCTGGCTGCTCTCGCCACAAAGCGTACTCCTCGGACAGCCCCCGACAGAGCTCCGAGATGGAAGATTCGGAGATCTTTTTCAAGTGCTGCGCGAGATACAGCACGTTCTCGTAGATAGAACCGAGGAGTTCCGTCACCGGGTGATAAAATGCGCCGTAGTCAGAGGCGGTGAAGTCAATGTGAACAACCTTTGCCGTACCACGTGGATTCCATGCGTTGGCATCATACTCGACGGGGTCATATCCCACCGCGAGAACGAGGTCGGACTTGGCCAGTAGTTTGTCACCAACCTGATTTCGGAACAGGCCCACGCGGCCGTAGAAAAGGTGGACGAGTTCCTTGGGCACCGCACCCGCCGCTTGAAAAGTCTCGACAGTAGGAAGGGGGAATTTGGACAGCAGCTGGCGAACAGCGTCAACAACTCTGGGACTGCTGGCTCTCATGCCTAGGAAGAGCACGGGAAGTTTTGCATTTTGGATCATCTGCACGACTTCGTCAAGACGCTGCGGCGGAGCCGGACCATAGTAGGGAGGGAGGAAGGCGTGGGACGGAAACGAGGGGATCTTGGATTTGCCTTTAGAGACGTCGATGGGGATGTTGATGACCGCGGGGCCTTTGGGAGAGGTCGAAGCAGATCGGAATGCGTTCAAAATGACCTCGGCGGCTTGATCTTCGACATCAATCGCAACGGCAGTCTTCGATGTGGGTCCGAGGATATCGAGAGCCCTCATGGATTGATGTGTATGTTTTCTCGCCATGAGCCGACTCACCGAGCCTACGAGGGCAACGATAGGGTCACCCTCAGTGGTTGCGGTCAGCAATCCGGTCGCCAGGTTACTTGCTCCCGGACCAGATGTTGCTATGCAGACTCCGGCAAGGCCAGTGATACGGCCAACAGCAGCAGCCATCATGGCAGCGTTCTGCTCATGACGAGCGACGACGAGCTTAATCTCAGGATGGTCTTGAAGTGTGTCAAATATTGCATCGATCTTAGCCCCAGGGACCCCAAAGACAAGGCGGACACCGGCATTGTAGAGGCTGTTGACGATGATTTTGGCAACTGTGTCTTCCGCCATTCTGGAGAGTGCAGGATAATAGTCGAACCGTGGACTCCCCAAAGAGCTAGAGGTCGAGGAGCATTTTCATCGTGAACATATAATCCATCTCGATGATGGCTTTCAAAATCCGGAAAGCATTAATCCTGGCTTACATAATCCGATTCCACGCTCTCCAACCATTATTGGACAGCCTAGCCCAATCTGACGTCATTTGCAGTGGGAGAGGAGAGTCTAATATCTCAACTGTTGGACAACATGAGGGAGGAGATTGATTGATTAAATCTATCCGAGCGAAGTGCAGAGCAACAGCCTCAAAAGGCCCCGGCGCGACATTGCGCTAGACCTAACTGGGAAGGCGCAACATCAACCGGGTCTCATGTTAGGAAAAGATATATCCATCCCTTCCTCTCCTTCGTTGTCATTGTTTCTCTCTTCCCGTCTTGCTCCAGCCTTGCCCCCAAATGCCGGTCAATGTAATTTATCAATACTCGCTGGTTAATGCCCTGATGAGCGGCGTGTCCGACTCCGGCATCACAGCAGCGCAGCTCATCGAGAAAGGGAATCAAGGTCTTGGAACTTTCGTCCGCATGGATGGCGAGCTGCTCCTGCTCGACGGCAAAGTCTACCAGCTCCAAGCAGAGGGCCAAATACGCGTCGCCGACCCGATGGACCAGATTCCCTACGCCGTCAGCACATACTTTGAGCCTCAGCACACCCTCAACGCGACGTTGGAGAACAAAGACGCGATCGATACAGTGCTAGAGCGGTATAACGATCATGCGAGCAATCTCTTCATGTCATACAGAATTGAGGGGCTGTTTCGACGCTTGAAATGCCGCACGGTCAAGGGACAGGAGTACGAGAACCAGCCGCTGTCTGAGCTGGGAAAGAAGCAATTCGTCGCCGACTATGTGGATATCGAAGGCACCATTATTGGCTTTCGCTCACCACAGGCCTGGCAGGGTTTCTTCGTTGCTGGCGAGCACATGCATTTCATTAACAAGGACAAAACAGCCGGTGGACACGTTCTTGAGCTCGAGTCTAGAGAGGTCCGGATTGGCATCGCGACCGTGAATAATATCCACATTGAACTGCCCACGACCGACAAATTCAACACCGCCGTCATGTCAACTGATGACGTCGGATTAAAGTCTGTCGAAGGGTGAAATTGTATTGACTACGCACCACCGCTGCCGGACGCGTCCTGCCAATCGATGATCTTGGAATGGGTGATTGGAGTAGCCCGTGGATATCTTTAGGCTACCAATGATACTCCAAAGAGAGGCATGCTTTAGCCAACTTAGGTATTACTGTCCGGGGGGCCAGTTCTTAGTTAAGCTGCTGGTGCCCGCCAAGTTCCACCGGTAAAGACTATTTGAACTCCCCGATTGTGGCTAGAGAGAGAAACTTTTCCTGCCAACGCGGTATCATCAGATAAGTTGCCTTCTAGCAAAAGACTGGTAGACCTCTGGATCAGCAAGATCCTCTTTGCTATAGAAGAGTACTCAAGCCATGCGCAAAAATTCCCATGGAGGTTGTGCAACTTGCAAGACGAGGAAGGTGGGTTTGCCCGAGTGGCTGGCTTTGTTATCAGCGCTCAGACATTGTCAGGTCAAATGTGATGAGACCAAACCTGCATGCTCACGATGTACTTCTCTCATGACCATTGTTCATCTTGATGGCTCTTCTAATTAAACGCAGGCACTCATCGGGGTTGGATATGCCCAGGCTACCACCGCCCGCTGCGATGGTCTTTGAAATACGAAAAAACCCGTCAACATCAAGTGAGCAGCAATTTCGAGAGTCCCACCACTGATGTTGTTAGACGCTCCAAAAATCCCTTCTCCGTACAATCTTGGGGTTTAGAAGACGCTTCAGGTACGGCCGGAACCGAGGAAGGATCGTCCTGTCTACAACAACTGATCATTTTGATGCAGACGGCTATCGAAACCCGCCAAAATCACCAACTTCATCCAATGACTCGGACCAGCAATCCGAACACTCTTTTCCACCCACGATCTTTGAAGATTGCACTGTCCTCCTTGATTGCTCCTTCGATACAATTGCTAGAATATTATCCATCTATCATGGCTCATTCAACCCTTTCCGTTCTTCAAATCTGTCCACTTGGCGACGATCTCCGCTTCTCCTCGCCCTTCTCAAGTTCCTGTCCGGGACTTATCAAATGAATCTGACCAACAAACCTTCTCTCTGCGTGGTTGTCAACCAGGCACGCGGAAACACTTTAGGGCAGTTGTTGTTCGACGTCTCGACCATCAACCAGTCCCTTCCTGCCAAAAAAGTTGCAGTCCTCCTCGCGATGGTCATGTTTGGTCTCAGCAGCAGCTGGTACGACATGAAAGACCTAGGACTCGCCCACTATAACGCTGCTGCTACACTTCTTCAAGAAGTCCACTTCGAACACACGGAGATACCGTCACAAAATTATCGATTCTTTCAGGAGTCCATGATATATTGGTGGATGATGCTATCATTCGCATGTGATCCTTCAACACAGGAGATCAAAACTCCACCGACTCTCATTGGGCAATGCGATAGGGCCCGCCGTATTCCTCATCCGCTAACGGGGATTTCGCCTCGTTCTCAGCTGCTTTTCGGCAAGGTTGGCTATTTAGTGTTTTCACAGCGCAGAAAAGCCCTTCAACATTCGTTGACGGCCACAGGAGACATCCTCGAATCACTCTCCCAAATCGAGAAGGCTCGCAAACTTGAATGTCAATTACTGTCATTGGAAATCCCTGCGCCCAGCTGCATCATGGATCCGAAGGACCCGGACACTCCAATCAAAGATTTGGTGACTATTGCGGATGCATATCGCATGTGCGGCCTTTTGTTACTTTATCATGCCTTTCCGGATCTCTTGGATGTGAGACTCAAATCCGATCAATCAGGCGAAACAGATCGGAAATACCAAAGCTCCGTCGCCAGACAACAATGGCTCGCTTCATTTGCGATTTCAATTCTGCAAATGCTCCAAGAGAACAACGAAACTTCCGGCACCCGAACCATCGAGGCTATTTTGCTCCTCATTATATCCGGAGAGCTCTCGCAAGGGGGGTTTTGTTCCTCTCAAAACGAGGGGGACATATTGTCTCGTTCGACCTCTTCTGTAAACCTGAACACAGGCCAATCATGGGAAACTTGCCCATCCGAAACGTTGGTGGAAGCCAGGTCAGTTGTCATAAATCGGTTTGAACGCATTCAAGCCATCCTTCCATTCAAGACGATTGATCGTATGAAGTCGATGGTTCTTCAAATATGGGCGGCTATGGACCAAGATTTGCATACATTTTGGGTTGATATAATGATTCGGAAAGGATGGCAGTTTTTGATGGTGTGAAGCGAAAGATATTTTTGGTTGCAGAGAAGGCTTTTTAACAACGAACTGAGGCTGGATTCGTATTTCGCACTAGACATCCCAATATCTCAGTGTGACCAATTTCAGGGTGCTCGATCGAAACAGCTGCTTGCCGTGAAATATACGCGACCCAGCCCCCCTCTGTGTCAAAGGTTGGACAGATCTCCCTGAATCAACTACCAATGTTGAACATGTGTTAGGCACGGCACTGTTTCAAGATGCCATTCCAGCAGAAATAGCTCATCTGAAGGGATCTGGACACGACACGGACACTGTTCTGACTCCAACCACCCAGCAGTCCAAACGATCTACTCAACTGGCCATTGGGACAGCGAGATTTTAGTTTTGGTCTTGTTCCGCTACCTTACAAAATATCTGTGTTGGTGAGTACATTGCCTGTTGAACTGCAACCTGAAGCTTCGGCGCTGAACTTCACCCCAGCATTGGTGTGACGAAGGCAACTCAGAATCCGACGGAAGAAGATAATAGAAAAGAGGCCAGATGCGGTTATAGGTATCCTGAAATCTGAACCTAGCTGTAGGGAGGAAGAAGCTTTGAATAGAATATCAAAAGATAGTAAGAGTGTGCTAGATGTTCTTTTGGGTGGGAGTGAGGTTCAAGCACTTGTCCACGTGACCGTCGTTAAAGCAGCAATTTCAAGGTTCAACAACAAATCTTCATCTCCAGATCATCCTCTTTCCCAAACTGACGACTCCGGCCTCAGTTCGCAAAGATGAAAAGTTTTTGAACAATAAATCCAAAAAGGCAGCATTGCCGCAGAAAGCCAGTCAGAATAATACATGTCCGTTGACCAACACCTGGTGGCCGGAAATTTTTGGTATCACTTTCAGCACTTCTTGCTTGATTATCAAGGTCTATCTCTCTGGCTACTTTAGCGGGGATCCGCTGCGTCGGCTACCAAGTGGTTTGACACTGAAGGCCACACTTGCTATTCTCATGGTGGCTCCGAAGTCCATCTTTAGCTTGTGCGGTGGCGGGAACAATAAGCCCAATGTAAATGACGTTGGCTTAAGTCAGGTCAAAGCCGACGAAAATGCCTTGGACATATGCAGAAGCCAGATGAAGCCAGTCGTGGTCACCTGGGGACCAGTTGTCGTGCAACGGCGTTTCTATGCTACATGGGAGTCTTCGTTATTATTTTTGACTTGGCCTACCAGCCTTCTGTCCAGAAAGTTATCAGCTATCCTGTCCAATTGACTCACGGTACATCCGAGGAAGCGCGTTCTCGGTGTCCATTCAAATGGATTTGAAGTCTTCCTGAAGGGGTTCACTGTTGCTGTGTACAGCGGCTCCTTTCTCCATCTTGCCCTACTGAGAATTGCACCTGGGATCCTTGCGAAGACACTCAATTCGAATTACAGGATTGCGATTTCCCTTCTCAGCAAATTGCCGACCGGGTCAAAATATGACACGGGAGTGTGAATTTCCTTTCCACAAGGGAAGGGTGCGTCGATGAACGAATCTGGCGCTTTTCTGTTCGCATTGGACTGCACCCCAGTATGGTCGCTGTCTGTCGGAAACCCCATCAAGACCGAATACTACAGCATTGCGGACTGTTTCAAAACAGAGCATCATTTCCTCGGGGGGGACCAATCCGTGTCTTGCATTGGGATATGCCGGTGGAATAGAAGTGTTCAATGCAAAATTGCGCAGAATATTTCACAGACAACTTTACCACTCATACTGCCGAACGGCCAGCTGTGTCTTAGCCCCTTGGAGCAGGAGATATAGTGTCTCCGTCAGCAATGGACAGACTATGGTTTGATGTTTACCGCTCCACTAGCAGGTGACGGTTGCAGTCTTTGCTGGCGACTAAAGCCAACGAATTCCGAGGATTTACATTTTGATCATCTGGGATTTAACTCCGGACAGAGAGAACCGGGCATGATGTTCTCATTCTCCAAGTTTGTTCTGGGTTCAGGAGATACCCTCTGTCTTCCAATACTCACCCGTTCTTACCTGAGACTTGGATCCGGGCAGGGCTGGCTTATCATTTGGAGAAAATTTCATCCTTGACGACATGATCCGTACACGGGAGGTCTGAGTGAGGTAGTGCCAGATATCGCGGATTCCTTAACATATGGCAATCTACACACGGACACCTCCCCCAAACAATCGGGCACCTTGAATCAGTTCCTGGTATTGTTTTCACGGAGGAAACATTTGTGGTCGTTCGCTAGACCTGGTTGTCTCTCCCAATCGCCCTGAATACCCTAGACGTCATCTTTCCCATCATGACCGCAATCTACACGAACCGACATCAAGTCCCCACCGTGGAAGTCATCGGCATTTGCCATGCAGTATCATGGCTTCGAAGAAGATGACTTCATCCTCCTTGACCAACCTTACGAGACAGCTAGTGACGTGGAAAACACCGCCCTAGAGGAGTTATCGTCAAACTCGGTCCCTCAGATGGCGGACAAGCGCGCATGCTTCTGGCCTGGAAATTCGATTATCTAAGTTCAATATCTTGAAGGCAACGTCCTTAGGAAGCGGGCGCGCCATTCACCGTCTCAATGCAGGGTCAGGGAAAGATCATGCCATAGACATTGGTCAAGAAAGGAGGCTTGGGACACAAAAGGTCACACCCCGTGAAACGACAAATGGGCATCATTGCGGAGGTTAGAAAAAGAAAGCGAAATAATACTTGTACATCCTGCACAGGAAGCGAGTGGCCGTATCTGTCATCACGATCGTGGCACCTTAACCAGCAAGTGCCAGGGAAACCTATTAATATTGAACAGAGTCAAGCCCACTTGGACGATTGGGGATTAAATTTGCGAACATCCCTGTCGGGGACTGAGTCCACGCGGAGTAACAGGGCCCAAATTCGAGTCAAATGCCAGCACATTTGCCCATTTATCACCAACGCCGCCGATAGCGAATTGTTGCTTGAATTGGAAATACACTCATGCTGATTGCACGCGGGGTCGAATGAGCATACTTTAAGACAGGATCAACTACTGACCTTTACTGCCGCTTCGTTTCGCGCTTCTGAAGGGTTATTCTTTGATCGATCAACCGGCCCGCTCGTCATCACACTCCTCAAGCAGGACATCCTTCTCGAAATCACCATGACCGGGACAGGCTCCAATAGAGTGAACGGCACCGGTTCTTATGGAGCAGCAAGCAACACTCTCCCCGCATCATGGTATCGCGCAGAGAGCATGTATGAACTTGAAAAGCGAGCCATCTTTTCCAAAAGGTGGATGTGCGTCTCTCATGAAGTGCGCTTCAAGGACATCGGGGACTTTGTGAATTTCAGTGTTGCAGGTTATGCATTCTTCGTGATCCGCGATCGAAAACAGGACTTGAAGGCCTTCTTGAATGTTTGTCGCCACCGAGCATATCCAGTGGTGGAGAGAGACTCCGGCAATGCCAGCATCTTGGCCTGCAAGTATCACGGTCAGGACGATTGATCGATGGCGGTCAGCCTACCTCCCTACTAACATGGGTTCAGGATGGTCTTATGGTTTATCTGGGAATCTCGCAAAGGCACCGCGATTTGAAACGGTTGACGATTTCGACAAATCAAAATATTCACTCTATGGAGTTCATCTCCGAATCGACAAACTTGGCTTCGTCTGGGTCAATCTTGACGCGGCGAATCCACCGACGATCTCGTGGGAAGAGCATTTCGAGGGCGTGGACACCCAGGCGAAGCTGGGAAATTTCACCATGGATGAATACGCCTTTGACCACTGCTGGGAGATGGAAGGCTCTTACAATTGGAAGAGCATCGTCGACAACTACAACGAGGTCTTTCCCTCTGGTCTCGGCCCCACATGATGTCTGCTGACGTCCGGCCAGTGCTACCATTGCACGACCGCACATCCAGGCATCGTGTCAACCACGAAGCTGGATACGTACGATGTCGTCTGCCAAAAGGGATGGATCGAACATCACGCCGAGCCTCTAGAACAGGTGGACGCAAAATACGGCGTCATCCCCACGTATCTGTTTCCCAATGCCGCCATCCTGATCTCGTATCTCCCCGAATCTTTCTGTGGTCTTGAGAACAATCTGACAAAATACAGTGACCAGTACACGTACCTGACACGATTCGTTCCGACCTCGCCAACGACCCTGAAGATGCAATACGAGGTGTATCGTCACAAGTCAATCTCAGACGAAGAGTTCAAAGTCCTCGACGCCTTCTTCAAGAATATCGAGAGGGAAGACAAAGGGCTCTGCGATGAGGTTCAGCGCAACCTCAATGTGGATGGGTACGTCAGTGGACCGCTCCACCCTCACAACGAGAAAGGAGTCATATATTTCAAGGGTCTCGTTAAAGACGCCATTGAAAAGCATCTCGTGGAGGAGCAGAAACTCGGCCGGAAGATTATTCCGAGTCTCAGGCGGCCGGATTCGAAGGAGACCGAAGCAGAAGAGGCTTTCTGTGGTCTTGTGTGTAATGGGGGAGGGGGTCCCCAGGCGAGTACAGAGTGGTGAGAGCCTAAGCGGCCTCCGAGGAAGAGCGATGGCCGAATGGGTCAGATGATGGATTAGCGGATGGAAATCCGGATACAGATCAAGGTCAACGTCGTAGAATCAGTCCATTGTTACTGATGCCGCGATGGCAAAAGCGATCATTGCGAGTACCAAAGGCCCGAAGCCAGTGTTGGTAGCAGTATAAGGCCCCTTGTTGATTCCCGCTTGTGACGAAAATCCTAAAATATGATTGACCCGCCAAGGCCGACGTTGTGTACTGCCGAGGATCACGGCCCAGGGCACTTTTGCGCCAAGTGGGCTCTTTCAAGTAATGCTGACGCCCGCTTCTCACGCATTCGGATCCAGGAGAGCAGCGAGGCCGATTCTGCCTCGCATAACGCTCTCGCCACATCTCTGCGACCAGCTCTGCTACGGATTCGACGGGAGTTTGCAATTATGGACGCCTTCCCATCCATAGTCATAATGCCCATGGTCTGTTCTTCATCATAATATCTTCTCACCCTCTTTTATTTCTTGTTTCGTTCTCACCATGGCCGCTGCTCGTGCCAACAGCCACGAGCGAAATCTTCTTCGGCCCAGACCTACGAGAGCATTGCCCGAGGCCTTGCGCGCCGCCGGTCAGGGTATCAATGGCTTTGCTGACACCCCGTCTGGCATGTCGAGGTACATCATTCTCTCCCGTCATTCTGAGATGACTGACATTTTGCATGCAGTGGCCGTTCCACCCCCGTGCCTCATGATGCCCCTCCTTCAGTTCATTCCATTTCCACGGCACGGAAACATGCTCGCGCCCAGGCGAAACGTCGCCTCTTCTACACGATCAATTACATGCCCCGAGTGTCTCATTTTGACTCCCGAAGCGATTACCGCGACTTTCGAGGCTTCTTCGTCCTTTTCTGGATCAGCCTGACCATCATGGTCATCACAACCGGCCTACGCAACATCAAGGAGACGGGTCATCCTTTGAGAGCCCAGGTTTATGCCCTGCTGTCTAGGAATGTGGTTTCTCTGGCAGTGAGTGACGCTGCCATGGTTGCGAGCACCGCGGTGAGCTTGCCCATTCAGAAGTTGGTCCGGGGCCAAACGGGTCGACTCCGATGGAGAAGAGGCGGAATCTGGATACAGAGTATCTTTCAAGCCCTGTGGCTCATTCTGTGGGTCGAGTTGCCTTTCTTCTTGCAATGGACCTGGACTGCGCAGGTGTTTTTCGCTCTCCACACCCTGACGTTCCTCATGAAAATGCACTCGTACGCCTTCTACAACGGCCATTTGAGTGAGACGGAAAGGCGGCTGCGGGAGTTGGACAAACCCGAGACGGCCGACCTGGCCAAAGCCGTCAAGTATCCCAGCTCTCCGTCCCGTTTGCAAGAAGTTCACCACGACAGCTCGCCTGACGACGATGAATCATTGGAGGAGCTCGCACAGCTTCGACAAGATCTAGCCACCGAATTGACCTCTCCACTGGGGCAAGTCACCTTTCCCCAGAACCTCACTCTGTACAATTATGTCGACTACGTCCTTTGTCCCACTCTCTGCTACGAACTCGAATATCCCCGAACCCCGGGCATTCGGTGGCTCGAGCTGTTTTACAAAACCCTGGCCGTCTTCGGCTGCATCTTCCTCATGATCACCATCAGCGAGGAGTTTATTACACCTGTGCTGGCTGACTCTGCTGTCCGCCTGCGGCACGTCTCCACTTTATCGGACAAGGCGCTGATCCTGGCAGAAACCACGAGCATGATGCTGTTCCCTTTCATGATCACCTTTCTCCTTGTCTTCCTAGTTATCTGGGAATACATCCTGGGCGCATTTGCCGAGATCACCTGCTTCGCAGACCGGCACTTCTATTCGGACTGGTGGAATAGTAGTGACTGGCTTGAGTTCTCTCGCGAATGGAACATCCCCGTGTATCATTTCCTGCGAAGACACGTGTTTTTCTCATCCAAGACATACTTTTCCACCCCGATGGCCATGACCATCACCTTCCTTGTCAGCGCGCTCGGCCACGAGTTGATTATGGGCTGCATCACGAAGAAACTCCGGGGTTACGGCTTCGTCGCCATGATGCTACAGCTTCCCATCGTCGCGCTACAGCGGAGCAAATTTATTCGTGGCCGGTGGGTCTTCAACAATGCTGCGTTTTGGAGCAGTATGATTCTAGGGCTGAGCACTATGTGCAGCCTTTATGTTCTGGTGTAAAGCAAGAATTAATACCACCGTCCACCCGATTCTGCCTCCGCGTTTCGATTCAACCAACCAGATCTCCAGAAAGGAGTTGTACAACAATACATACGCCCCAGACAGAAAACAAAAATTGCAGAACATTTTACGGTCTATGGCACAACCCTGGCCAATTCAAAACATCCGGTCTGGCATGCGAAACCTTCCAACCTTCCCACAATTTCTCTTCCAGATCAATCACTTTTCACCAAATACCATTTTGTCCACCTTGTCGATGCCCTGCCCTGATCATGCCAGCCCATTCCTACGACCTTGTACCAACAGCACTTATTAAACCAATCGTTTTCGGCATCCTTGCAGCCTTAAAAGCTCGTGCTCGCTCGCCTACGACTATTCATCAAACTCTCTCTATATATCTCGAATGGATTTAATCTCATGTTAAATTGGACCTGGAGTCGAACTCCGTCCCGAAATGCAGAGAGGAAAAAAGACAGATCTCACTGGAAACGTAGTGTATGATATGCGATGATTTGATATGTTGAATTTGAGATGTCCCCATCAAACACCTACCGTCCAGGAGAATGACGCTGGAACTAGCGAAGGCTATATAGGTACATAGATATTCCGGATCAATATCAAATATCAGAATCAAAAAAAAAAAAAAAAAGGCGCTCAAACACAGATGGACTGTGTCGACCACCCATGTGACAGCAAAGGGGCTCAGCCTTGCGAGAAAAGTAAAATTGGTTCGAGCTGTCGTTTCCACAAAAAGGGGAGGAACCAACCATGAAACAACGACAACGACTCCTCCCAATGGCCCCGCTATGTGTCATGAAACCAAAATATCTCGAAATGTCACGGTTTGGCCACGTCGACCTCGGCTATGATCTGGTTCACACAATGCCAATTCCTTCCAGGATTCAACTCTCGTTAAAACGCCGACAATTTGATGATGGTGCTCGCTGAAAGGACACTGTTCATGACTGCATTTTCCATGTTGTTGATGGGGTCGGAAAAGCGGCAGTCCGCGCTTTGAAATATACTGAGAGGAGGAGAGGGACCATATAAAGTCATCACATCACCACACATCCACCACTCCTGGCTCGGCGACGACCACCTCTGGGAGTTCGTCCTGCAGCAAATTCTAGACCGCTCCCATCTTCATCTCCAGTTCCGGTGTCATGGGCGACGCCGTCTTCGTCGTCTCGGACTCTGTTTTCCGCTTCACGAGCCCGTCGTCTTCTCCTTCTCGAGCTCCAACCATGGCCGATCACGCCGACCTCTTCACTGGCCACCATCCATTCCGCCCACTTGCTCTCCAGCCGGGCTGCCGCACCCCATCGGCCAGTCGTACATCGCTTGTAATGCTCCTCTACTGTTTGTTGCCAACCATAGAAAGCTTTGAGATGAATGACTTGGGTGGGATAAAGCAAGGTCTGGATTTCAATGACCTTTTTGGTCTCAACATTCTCTCCATTTTCACCCTCGATGTTTTGTGTTTGCACAACGGATTTCTTGCGACCTTGCATCACACGGCCATTTCCTTGCAGGATCTCTCTGACACCGGCCCAAGTGACATTGGCACAATCGAAAGCCACCAGTTCGAGGCCCTTCTTAGGGCGTTGGGATTTCTTGGTGGTGCTGCCACGTTTGCGAACCTGTTCGGAGGCTTCCATCAACACCAAATCGGAGATCCTGGTGTTGTCTAGACACAAGGACTTGATTTCGGGACAGGCCTTGAGGAGAGGCAATACTCCGATGTCACCCATCTGTTCACAGTAAGAGATGCTCAAGTGTTCGAGTGATTTGGCCGCTTGGGACTTGGACAAATTGATGAGGGTAGCGTTGGTGAGAAGCTCCACTTCTTCCACCTCCAAATGCGTCAACCGCTTTGTGCTTTGCAAGAGATCTTCCAAGGCGTCGTCCGTCAAGGCGGTGTTCTGACACAGTCGGAAGCCTTCGAGGTATGGGACGTTGTATGCCAGCGATTTTACACCCCGGTCGGTCAGGCTTCGGCATCTTGAAATATCCAAATGTCGAAGTCGTCGTGGGGGTACCACCGCGCGATCGGTCAAGACATCTCGCTCGGGTTCAATACCATGAACCATGATCTGTAAAGCGTCGTCGGTCAAGCTGTCACAATGTTGGAGAATCAAACGTTCCAGAGCGTTTCGTTGGAACAGTTCGAGCATGAAATCGTTGTCATCCAACCCCCTCACCTCAGAAGCTCTTAGGTCGGTCAGATTGGGACAAGACTGAATAACCTTCTTCAGACCTTTGGTATCTATTTGAGAACACCAATCGATATTGAGCAACTCGAGTTGTGGGCAATGGCAGGCAATGATTTTCATGGTGGCATTGTTGATGTTTTGCATGCTTGGCATATTGATGTGTAGTAGTCGGGGATTCCGCAGGAGGAAGAAATGAATGGAAGAGCGTTCAATCTGGCAGCCCTCGATACTGAAGTTCTCAAGATTCCTACACTCTTGATTCGTCATCCTGGTTCCGAGACTCAACCATTGGTCTCGCAATTGAACGCATCCTCTCAAGTTGAGATTCTTGACAAACGCACCGGCTTTCAGCATGATCTTGATCAACGCATCCGAGGTGATTTGCTGGTAATAGGTCTGGCAATCGAGGCTTGTCCACAATTGTCCGTCAAAACACATTTCATGCCATTCTTTGCTCACGGCGGATACCCTGATGATCTCCTTGGGAGACAAAAAGCGGAGGATATGGACTCGCAATTCATGCGGCAGATCTTTCCAGAAATTGAAATTCGGCCGTCGAGGGAACGGCCTCTCGGAGATCTCAGGAAGAGGAGCAGACAGAGGTTTGGATGCTCGAACATCGACCGGAACCGAGACCGTGGTGATTTCGGTGGGATCCAAAGGCCGGAGTCGGGCATTGGTTTCGAAGTAGGATTGCTGGCTGCAGGGCGAGCCGGGGGTGGTGGGTGCGGTGGAGAAGCCGTTGGACAGTGGCGACGTAGAGGAATTCGGAGGTGATAGGGAGTAACTCGACACTGGAGAATTCAATGAGACGCAGGAGATGGAGGCTTTCTGGCCAGACTTATAGACCTTCTCGCTCGAACGAGTTCGGCCCAGCTTGGCCAAGGAGGGAGACGAGGACATGCGTTGCAGGCCCTGGAGGAGTCGATGGCGGCCTTTGAGTTTTACAGGTTGGTCAAAGGCGGTCGCGGCTTCGAACATGGGGCTTGATGGGGTCATTGGCCTGGGAGAGTCGATCGGTCGAATCTGAGAAGCGATTGAAGAGTTGGTGATAGTAGTGGTCACGGCGGCGGGAGTCGAAGCCGGTTCCATGGTGTCGGCGTCGTCAGTCCAACTCCTGGTGTACAATTTAGGCTCCCTCTCTTGCGCAGTTGGTAGAGGAAATGTGACCGGACAAGTGGTGCAGCTACCGGCATACAGGTGAGTAAGAGGAATCCCCTCACCTCCGCTCCTCGGCAAAGGGGATCGATCGTGGACTGAGAGCGATGATTGTAGATGAGCGTGAGTGAGGAAAAAGAGAGGAGTAAAGAGAAGAAGCGATACTGGCAGTGAACCGAAGACCAGCAGCAACACCGACAATGAGGTCAGGCGACGAGGGGGGTGGTTTGGTTGGAGGAGCGGACGAAAGCAGGACGGGAACCAGGTCATAAATTGCACTCCTGCTCCGGCGGCGGTGGTGAGTTGGTGGTGGTATCGACAAAGGCCGAGACAAGACAAGCGCCACGACCAAGCCCAGAAACAGGAAAAGAGCCTGGTGGACGGCCAACGGGACGCGCAAATGATAGAACAAATAACGGGGCAGGAATCTCGCTAGTGGTATCTCGAGGGTGGTGGAGGCCGGACGGATGACAAGGTCATGCATACCTGTATGTATAGGTATGGGTGAAGAATGGCCGCCAGAGCCCAAAATGGGGGTGTGATACAGGGGTTGGTAATACCGCAGCTACGGAGAGCGGGTGCACCTCGAATCCAATTGTTAGAAGAAGCCAGAAAAGGTACTCTCTCAGCCCCTCAACAACCTAGTGGCGGTCTGTATCGATACCAGATAAGATAGAGAGTGCCCCCTCTTCTCCGCCTAACGAAGCCTAATTGAGCCCGTCCAGCCCACCCAGCCTAGCCCGATCACGCTCATGGACCACTCGCCCAACAGCAGTCAGCAGACATAAATGTACGCACGAGTGATAACAGCATGATACTAACACCATTGTTCTATGAGAAATAAGAGTCAAGCCATACTGGCATCCGGTATCTGCTGGTATCTGCTATTTGCCATTCGGCCGCAGAATCTCACCCTCCTGCCCGTCTTTCCTTTTCCCTTTCCCGTTTCCTTCTCAAGGTGGCATCGCGTGCTCGGATCACCTCCAGCTCTTGGTAGTTTGGCCATCCAGGGGCTCATTCCCCTCTGTTGCCATTGGATTGGTGTCGTATTGCAGCATGCATCCGAGCCATGCAACTCTGCTCTTGGGCACAGGGGGCTTTAATGCCCCTCCGGTTCTCCACCGAAATGACCACAACTGGCCCGAGTCGAGGGAGGCTGTGGGTTCGCGGCGTTTGCCCAGAGCCTAGAAAAATCGCCCTTGTCCGGCGAACAAGAAAAGTCCTCGTCTTAGACTCTGAGTTTACTTAGCTAGGGGTGTGTCCTGGGCCCAGGTCCAGGCCCGCTACCACATGCAAGATACCGAATCCTGTGCCTTAGCGGCTGACATGACACCTTCTATCACAACTCTCGAAAGATGCAGATGCCGCGTGTTGTGGAAGCAGGGTCCGGGGCTCCTGAAGACTAAAAATTGTAGGAATTTATGCAGGTGGGGATCGTCTTGCAGCTTCTACTGTATTTCCAGCTCTCCCATGCAAGTTCCGAGCCTCACGAGATCCAAGCTCAAGCACTCCATATCGAGGAATCTTCCGCTAGTGACCTGTCATGGCCTCGGTTAAAGCGAGACCACAATAGCCCTTGCCATCTTGCCATAGAAACAAGCCCCTCATCCGGTTCTTTCTCCGAACTCAGACCCAGCCAAAAAAGTCCGGAACAACACAACCGACTCCGTTTCTAGACGAAAACCGAACCACTTGATCGTTTGTTCACAATATTCCCCACCCAAATCCAGACTTGCTCGCTCGATGGGGGTCAGCAACTCAGTGTTCCACTGCCCCCGGCTTTTGCCATTCGGCTATGTGCCTCGACTGGTGACCTCAAGAGAAGTTCTCTGCCCTCTTCTACTTTGGCTCGGACGAAACGCACGAAGGCTACAAATTTATTGAAATATGATTGACTAGATTGTCATAGTTCTACTTTAACTGTCCCAAATGCGGGGCAAGGTAATAAAGATCCAGGTCGAAATTGTGGATTTTGATTCTAATCCCGTCTAACTTTTAACTTCCATTTTTGCGGAGGCACATCCTCCTGGCTCCTCCGCAGACGGAAGGGGTACTCAGAGTCCTCCACGCAGTTCACGATGGAAGAGAGAATCGTCGGGCTTCTCGTCCACCTCGCGTATGCAATTCACAGTCGAGATTCCCGAGCATCATTGGTAAACCCTCGTCTCCACCTTGACCCGGAGCGTTTCCCAACGTGCACATCTCGCACCGTATCCATGATCTCTGCTCCCATCTGCGGGCTTCTGTCAGCCCGAACTCTCCTTGCACATTCAGTCCGCAAATGAGCCACATATCAATCCCATTTTGTCCGGTTCGGTGACGTAAAAGTTCTTTTGTTCGTCCAAAATCGTCTCGTTCATTCGTTTATTCGAAGTCAATTCGAAATCATTTCGTCAAAGAAAGTATGACCCGGCCCAAACGGCTGACCGGGTGGTCTCAATATTCCTCCTCAAGCCAGGGGTCCGCTCGCACTTCCTCGATGGTAATTCGCTTCTCAACGTCTCGTTCTAGCATCTTTCGAATGAGCTGCAGACATTCTTCCGAGAAAGGCAAAAATGGAACTCGTAATGGGTGGTCGAGAATTTCATCTCGAAGAGGTCAGTCTAGCAACAAACACCCTCGCCGGACAGAATCGTACCTAAATTATAAAATGGATCTGAACATATTCGTAAGTTCAAACACATTAACCAGGAGGGGGAACCAAACTCACTTTCTTTGTATGCAATGGTATACAACAATATTCCCAACGCCCATACATCCTGTTCCTTCCCTCCATATGCTTTACCCTGCAAGACTTCGGGGGCAGCGTAGTCTGTCCACGTTAGCCGCTTGGTTAACGGGCCGTCTCAGATACTCACCTATGGTGCCCACAAACACATCGAATGGGCCGTTCTTGATGTATGCAGCACTGCCAAAGTCAATCAGCTTGATTCGCCCTTCGCCATCCAACACGACATTTTCATCTTTGATGTCTCGATGCACCACAAAGGCCTTGGTGTGAAGGTGGTGAATGGCATCCACCACTTGACGGAAGATATTCTGGCTCTCCACCTCGGTCATATTCGTTCTCAACTCGATATAATCGAACAGATCCATGCCTGGAACCCCATGCGGGAGCATTTCGATATAGTAATTCACGTCGTCCTCGAAGAAATCAACCATCTCCACAATGTTGGGATGCCGAAGTTCGTCTCGGCGAAGATAGTCGAGGACGTGGATTTCCAACGGCACGGTACCCAACCGCCGATCTCTGGTCCACGTATCCACAAGGATTCGTTTCTTGGTCACATACTTCAGCACCATCTTTTGCGACTGGCCTTTCTTGTATCGAACCAGCTTCACCTGACCATACGCACCAGATCCCATCTCTTCCAAAATGTTGAAATCGTCAATGGTCTTCTTGTCGTGAGGTACGTATGGGGTATGCGGCGGGGGGTGTTCCAATGGCTCATCCATGGCGATTGATCCCGTCTCATCTGACGGATCTGCGTGAAGCGACACTTGTGAGCTGTCAGCAGACTTGCCAGAGACATCCGACGCGGTCGGCGGTGGAGATGGAAGCGTCGGAGGCGGGTCGGGCTGAGAGGGGAGCGATAAAGAGCGTGAAGGCACAGTGTCATCGGGGTCACCCGACCCCGTCGAGTGAATATTGCGAGAATAGATGATCCAAAGTGCGTAAACCAGCTCGGCGACGGCCACACCTGATTCGGCGCGAGATTCGTCCTTCTCTTCGATGACGGCTTCATCTGACATGGGAAACACAGTTTCACTACGGACAACCCTCATCTGGATATCGACCATAATGTCCGATCCATCTCGGTGTGTGGCTAGAAGACCACACGGTCGCAAGAATATATTGGCTGGGTTTTCTCTCCCCTCCCGAAGCGCGAGGAGGGCACGGGCTCGGCGGAAACTGTGCTCGGGAATAACGATGCCATCAACGAGGTCAACCTCGTCATCGTCCCTGAAAATATTCAGGATGTCCTCAAAGCTGGGGATCAGATTGGAGATTGGCAATCCTTCCGGTTGCTCGTAGCCGAACAGCGCGGCCGAGAATATGGTGTTGGAGCTGCTGATTTTAAGTGTGTCGGGGTCCAACACCATGACACCGGCTATGTGAGGGAGGCTCGAGACTCGAAGTTGATTTTCTGTCGGTGATTTCTCTACAGTGACCGGGACGTTGACATATTCCGCTGTTTGAGCGGTGAAATATCCTAAATGATGCTTGTCATAGGAGTCAAAAGCATCCAAGGGAAACTTGGGGAGAAGAGACTTGAGAGGGGTACCGTCAAGGATGGGCTGGCCCCAGATGGCAAGCACATCGCCGTGGGCGTCCGTCACCCTGCCCCGAACGTCAATGTCGAGATAGGCGACGTCCTCGGTGATCTCTTCGACCACCCAGATCAGACCCCCACGCTTCTCCATCACCCAGAAGCTCGCTGCGCCTTTGGTGCCATCTCGTCTCTGGATAGGCACGATGTCCCCGCAGAGCAGGACGCCTCTCGACTTGTTTGAAGGGTGATGGCTGAATTTGGGCTGGCTGGAACCGCCAGAGCCGTCATCCGTCTTTGCTCTTTCTGAAGACTTGTTAGCTCGAGAGGGAGCTTTACTAAGCAGCCGAGCTGTAATACCGCTTCCAGATCCAATCAACGACAAGCCCCTCCCGGTTCCACTTGACGATGGTGGGGGAGATTTCTCTTCCATGGGCTCTTCATGCCGGGCAAGCCTTTTTTCCAGCCAATGTCTCCTTTCCTCCTGAATGATGCCGAGAATGCTCAGCGACCTTACTTCGGCACGGGTAACGCCAAAAATGAGACAGGCCAGATCATTTGCGGCCAAAATGGTCCAAGGAGCGTCTGCTTCAGTGCGAAAGACCGCTTGGTGAGTGGGTGACCATTTGCTGCTGTGGCTGTGGACCGACGGCGCATTCGCCGCTGCCGATGGAGTCGTCACTTTCCGCATCGAGGGAGCTGCGACAGTGTTGTGGGCAAAAGAATCGTCCTCGGTGGAATATGGTCGTGCAAGAGCCTCGATGAGTCTCCGTTGTAAAGACACGGAGTGTACATCCGTGTAGGTCCTCCTCAAGCTGGTCTGGCGGGGCGCGTCCGTGGAATCGGCTCTGGTTGGAGATAACCGCATCTCCAGGTCCGGTTCCCGCAGCGGCTCGTCGTCTTCTTCCAGAGAGTATTTGCGCCCAGCATACATGTTTTCCACCTTGGTCTTCGCGGCTTCCCTTTGAGCTTGGTCCAGCTCTTGGCTGAAGCTCTTTTCGAAAATGTTGCGTCCATCGTGGTGAGCGGGGCCGGTCAGCGGTCCTGCTCCGATGCCTCTCGACGTGCTATCGGTGGTGTCGATCGGGATAATGTTCGCCTTCTTGAGCAGTTCCATCATCCCCTGTATTTCCACATTGCCGCTGACGCGTGCCTGGGCGTCAGCGAGAGCGGGGTTGGCAGCCCATGAAGAACGATCCCGGACAAAATCCACCGACTTTTGCAGTATATTCTGTCTGCTGTGCAAAAACTCTTCTGATTGTCGGGCAAACGAAAAGGAATGGAGGGATTCGGAGGAAAACCGATGGAGGTCTTCCAGAGCTGGAGATGTGGGACCACTGATCAAATGGCTTGTTGACACCGACCTGGACGACAATCCGGATATTGGGGCGGTTTTGGAGTGATGGAGAGGAGGAGGCTCAAATTCTCCATCTTCCAAAACCAGTGTGGGCGTCCGCAAAGCCGGTGCCTGTCGTCTTATCCTTCGAAGACCTGATCTGCCCAGTCCATAGTCGTGTTCGACGCGAGCAGCCCTGGCGGTGGTCAAAATTCAATCCTGTTCCCGAAAAGTTTTGTAGAAAACACACCTCTTGAGAGTATTTATTTCCTGGGCTGTGCCCGCGTCAAAGGAGAATCGACCTCTCTGGGCAAACGCAGACGCATCGTATCTAGCGGGTGGCAAGTTCCCGGTGCTCTTATTCTTGGGAATACGTAACGATTGTTCCCCCAACATTCCTGTTCCTGGGACATTGGAAAGAGGGGACAATGGCGGGGTGGTGTCGTCTTTGCAAATATGTCAGCGTCTAAATTGGACATGCCAGATGTGAACATTCCAGAGAGCTCGGCCATGCCGCTGAGGATCCAGCCTTGCCAAAGAAAAAGGGCTTGCATACCGAAGATATCATGTCCATCTTGTGTCATGCTGAAAACCAACTCGGTGCTGCTTCGTGTGGCCGCCTGACCGGGCAGGTCCAGTGCACAAGTCACGATCTTCCAACAAACAAATACATCGTTCAGCTGGTGGGAACGGGACAGAGGACGAGATGCGAGACGGCAGACGCGAGACAAGGTTAGGGAGATGGAGATTTTTCTGCTGGTCAGGCTCGAGACGATATTGTAGGATCAATGAACAACAACTTTTTTCACCTAAGCAGCAAAAAAGGCAATGCAGGCGAAGTTGGCAACGGGCATATCGGTTCGGGCTGAGGCGAAGCAGAGCGTCGTGGCGACCAAAAAGCATGCAGGAAGGTTTGTCGATCAACAACTCATTGGCCAATTAAAGATATCTGGATGTGTGAGTGGAGGGGAGAGGTTCGCTCGGTCGGATCAGAGCCCAAGCCGTAGGCCAACTCCGGCAAACGTTTCACTCCAACCTCTTAACCACTGCAAACCAGTTCGCATTTGTGGAGAGCGACCAAATAGGAGTGAGTATCAATAGTGAAGAGTAGCTCGGGATGTACGGAGTAGATACTAGACTGGGGTGCAGTTCTCGAGAACGTTTTCGCAGAGACGAGATCTGGCCCCAGCTCATCGCCGTTGGTGAACAACAAAGATGCATACCATCCCTATCCCTCAACAAAATGTGTGAAATACGAACCTGGCTTCCTGTGCGATGCTCTCTTTCTCGCTCTCGCAGAAGAGGTATCAACGTGCGACAGTCCTCATAGCTCTACCTTTTATCCCAACGTCAGTATCTTTGAGCGTGACCATGAGTGTGGCAGGACAAGCTCGGGCTTTGAGAAGAGTTATGCGCGGGTGATCGATGTATTTCTGCATGGAGCTAATAGAGCAAGAGCTCGAGTGAGGGAAATATCTGCCGATTCCACCCCATTTGCTCTGCGTACTCCAATTTATATCCCGTGGCCGGTGGACACCTTCGAATCATCATTTTATTTATGTCTAACCCCTAGACGCAAAATTATTAATTGACAGCAGGGAAACAGGGATCTCAGATCATTTCTCAATGCCTAGATAGAGAGTCATTGGTCCGTTGACAGCCATCAGACCAAAATGTACCAGGTCCAGTTGATGAAATCCGACCGAGTACTCTGCCTTTCAGCCTCGCGAACCGCCATGAATCTTAGTCATGGTGAATCCATCGTCCTCACTCCCAGAGTCTCTGCGTTCTGGCCGTGTCCTTGCTTCTGCGGACGATTGCTTGGGCCTGCTTTTTGACTCACTGTCCCTACTTTGCTCTGGTAATGCCGCCACCAGACTGGCGAAGCTCGACCGGGGCCTGTTCTCCCCGAGCATAAAGGAAAACGACGAATCCATCAATGACGGTCGGTTTGCATGTTTTATGCCATCCAGAGCCTCCTTCCGCTCTACCACAGGGGTGGTGTCTGCTCCAACTCCCTCTTTGTGTTCCGCATCTCTTGGGTTGTCTCTGGATTGCACATGTAATTCGTAGAACGAAAACGGGTTGGATCTCTCCACTGGTGACTTTGGTGGTGGTTCAGTCGTCTTGTGATTTTGTATGACCTCCTCCTTGGGAATGGGGATCTCTGGATTGGACAGGTAGACCGAGACGAATTGGATCTGGGCCAGAGAAATGTTGAAACTGTGCTCCGCCTCCCCTGCAGTGTCTAGATTGGCTAGCTTTACGGATCTCAGGGATTGAAGGGCATCGTCAAGCATCTTGGCCAGTGCCATGTTACGCTCCTGCAACTCTTGAAGTTTGCGCTGAGGATCTTCCCTTTGGTTGTGATCATTCACGTTGATTGGACTGGTGTCGATGCTCGAATGTCGGGAATGCGATGTCTGATAGTGGTTCATGTTACGTCGAACTTCACCCATTGCACTTCGCACTGCTTTTGATACGTTCCAGCCCTCGGTGCGTCTTTGCAGACCTCCTGTGACGTCTTGGAACAGCCCTTCAAGCTGTCTCTGAGGAGAGCCAAACCGTCCAGGAGACGCATCCGGAGAGTTTCGATGCTGAGGCGTTCTGGTTGCTCGGACGGCCGATGGACTGCGACTGCTCAGTACATCGCTCTGCTTCGGGCGCCGTCCAGTATATTGTTGGATTAATGCTGCACCGGCATCACTATTTCGGATTTTGTCAAGGAAGATGGCGTCCTTGACCAGAGATCGAGGTTCGTTCGTAGAACTAGGCAGGCGGTAATGGGTCAAGGCAGTAATGGCTGTCGTATAGTCTGCTTCCACCAGCGACCAACGGATCCTCAAAAGCATGGCTATACAAGTCAGATCAACGATGTCTGACTTTAGGTTCTCGGCAAAGAGAAGATCCCATATTCGCAACACGTCTTTAAATTCGAATTCACGCCCAAAAAGAAGTCGAATCCAACGGCTAAATGCGGTTAGCAATCCTTTACCAGTCGCCAAATCTCCAGGAGAACTCACATGGAATATATCTGAGGGAGGATTCCAACGACGTTCAAGTGCAAGGCCAACTCCGGGTCAATAGCAGCCAGGATGTCGTCGTGCAGTCTCTTGCTCCGTGCAACGATGGGCGAAGAATCCTTACTTTCCCCGATTTCATAAAATCCTTTCGCAGTCTGCATCAGGGCGCAGAAAAGATTGAATGCGTCATGCTCCACGAACTTGCTGTCCAAGACGTCTATCATGAAAGCGGTGCCCTCGGCTTGTTTGTCAACGTCGGGGACTGCGGTGGGGTCCACGGCGTCTTGTTGAATAATCCAAAGTATTGGAGCTAACAGTTCATGCATCCCCTGCCGATATCCAATATCCGGGTTCAACTTCGCATAGATGAAAAGGATGTCCAATAGTTTCTTTTGTGTAGACGGCTCTCGGAAGAAGTAGTTGTCTTGCATGCACCGCATCACATCCTGGAAAATCTCTTCCCTGCTCAGTTCATCCCGTCGAAGAGTGGACCAGGGAGACTTTGCTTCGTCAGAGGTCAGACTCTCGAAGTGAATTGAAGATCAGTCGCGACGTACATTTTCATCATCTGCCAAGGGATCTGCCGAGGAATGGAGATCATTTGGGTGCTCAATGAAGCGTAGGAAGTGGTCACGGAGGGAGGCATATGCTGATCGGGATTCTGTCAACTTTTTGGACCACGATCCTTGGCTTAAAGGACCGTAGAGGAGGAACGCCTGGTGCGGTTGGCACAGAAGGAAGTGAGAAGATTGAATTGATTGCAAACCTTCCAGCATACGGATCTCAATCCATCTTCACAGGGGTCAAAGCCTTCATCGTCTCGCAAGGCCTGTCGCAAATCGACTCCAATCGAAGTGCTGAACAGTGACGTCCATCGTCGCCTAGACTGGTAAGTTGTATAACACTATGCAGTCGGACATCTTACTGTATGTCTTCAAAGGTACGCATTACCATTGGTCTACTCAGAAAAAAATACGAGGCGTTAGATAAGTAAAAAAGGAAGTTTGCTGAAAGGGTCAGTTGTGACCTGAAGTCAGATTTAGCAACAACGGCCTAGCACACCGCCATCGCCCCGAATGTCTGCCCACTTCTCTGTAGCCAACCGTTGATTTCAACCGTCCCATCACTAAGAGTGACGACATCCGCCCCAATGACCTTGATGCGCACTCGCTGCACCTTGCCTTATCACTCCTGGGAGAGTCGACAAGGGGACAAGAGGCTCGAATCCCCCTAGCTGCCTCGATTTGACCCCCCACTTAATCCTCTTCTCTCTATGTATGTTTGCGTGTCTCTACGGCTGCCCTCCTGTGACCCATTAGCGGTGACGTATTCTCTGGCACCCTCTTCTCGGCCCCGCTGTCACTCTTTACTGGGCTGCGAACCCAGGCTCCAGCCAAGCGGTACAAGAGAGAGTCATATGGAGCTGTTGACAGTAGCGTTTGCCGAGACTGTCGTCTTGAGATAGACCGTGGTAGTTTGGCCACTTACGAATTCGACCTCTGACCGATCGTCGTAACCAGTCTTCACGAGGAAATAGTCAATTAATTCGACAATGGCTCTTGCCATAATATTAACTTCTGAGCCTGTATCCGGGGATGCCATCACAAGCACCTCGTTAAGAAATACTCTGAATTGTAGCATGTTGCTTTTCACTAACCCAATGCTCATGCGGTGAGGAATTTTGACACTGATGCCCGTCGCAAACATTGCAATGGCGTAGAAAAGAAGACGATCTCCGATGTTCTAGCCGCCTTGTTCGCCTACTACATGATACTGAAAGACGAACACAAAAAAGTGCGAACGAGAACCCCCCCCCCTTGCGGATCCGATATCTCACGATTCTCCCTTTGAGTGGCGCAAGCGTAGATATGAGCAACGCATTTATGTGTGACCCTGTATCCAGAATTGCACGCACTGCAACACCATCAAGCTCAATTTGGATATCCAAAAGTTGTCCTTGTTGGATTTTTGGGATCTTCACAGCATGATCACTTGGAATCTCGTATCACCTGGGCCTTCAGGACCGATAAGTCGGCAATCTCCTACGAACCTGTGTTGTCGGGTGTCATTCTGCCTCAATGGAGGGCTAGAGACATTGAGATGATTCATCAGGGTCGTAAGTGGCTCCATTGACCCAATTGTTGCGGCTCAGCGCGGAAATCTTCTGCGAATTCATCATGTATTTCAAGCTTGCCCAGCTTCAGGGTGGTGAGGCTGTCCCCATCATCAACAATCCACTGAGGCTACTCACCATCTTGAATGATATTGACTTGCACCGCATCATCGTCTCCCGACCGTCCCTGCGGGTTTCGTTGCTGAGACTCATGCGGGACTGGAATTGCGGTTGAAGCGGCAAGCGCTGCACGAGTATCTGGGCCCGCAAACTTCAGTATCTCAGCAAAATATTTTGCATGAAGAGTGCTCGGTACATGCTTCAGCTTCTGTGACGGTTGGGTGGGCTTACAAGCACCTATTCAATCACAGGTATTCATCTTTGAATTCCACGCCCAGACACTGCATACAAACGTGCGCTCCTCCAAACCTCTTCGGGCCCTTTAACCCCTGCGCAACCGCATCTTCCGCCAGATTGTAGTCACAGCACATAAGGCCTGCGTTGATCTTACGCTGTTTTACCAGCGCTTCATGTCGAAGAGCTGCAAGGCGCTGAGTCCAACAATGATCATTATGGAAGGGTTTCTCGTAAGCTAGTGTCGATGTCCGGGAAGATTCGGAGTTGGTCTCGCAGTCAAGTAGCTCCGGGGTTGCTGTTGGTGGACTCGTTTGGGTAAAGTAAGCATCTCGCAGTTCGTGTGAGGTCATTTCCAGATCTTCCGAATCCACCCTCACCACTCTAGGTTCTCCGCGATTGAAAAAGTTTTGTAAAAGGGGAAATACCGCCGAAGCGAGGCGGCTTAAAATGAAGCTTGGGTGTATATCGGCTGGCAGTCGAACCTTCGTGTTATGGTACTCAAAACCCAGGTTGGCAGTTGAGGTGAGGGAGTGTAACACCCATGAACCGTATTTCTTGGTGAAGACGAACCCTTTCGCATCGAACACAATGTGAATGTCTGCTCGTAGGGCCAACATGTTGGCGGGATTGTTTACGGGCTTAGCGCCGACCATCCATAAGATAGGGTTGTATTGATCCATCTCTTGCTCTCGAAACCACTCGTCTTCCCCTTCAGGGACAATATGCGCACCTTCCACCCCATCCTGGCTCGAACTGACGCAGCAGCCACCGTCACGAGCTCTAACCATTTGAGAAACACTCGACCTCTGAAATATCGGGCTGGTTTGTTGCATGGGCGATATGTTGCGAGGCTGCCATTCTGCAGGTAGATTGTTGTGTGGAAAGACCCAGTGTCGAAAAGTTGGGACGACTGGATATTTATATGGAATTTGATGCTCGTTCGGGATCACGCCATCTGGCCAAGGAACATGAAAGAAGTATTCCCCGGCAGGAAGTAGATCATCACTTTCTAGATATAGCGGATCCCCATCTCGAGTCTTTGACAGCCAGCCATCGAAGCGATTGTCTGTAACAATCCCGCATATCAGCGCAATAGTTCCGTGATGAAGGCCAGGGCAGCTTTCGCTGCCGTCGAATGCCGGAATATCAAGAAGACGACTAGATTTGTATGCAGGGTGACGGATGATGATCTGAGGAGGACTCGGACTCGAAAAGCGCGTTGCCGTGACGGGCGGCGGAGGAGATTCACGAAGATCAATCACAGCTCCAGAGTTTGCCATTAGACCACCGACACCACCCGAATTATGAGGCAACACGCCATATAAACAGTTGTCTCTCGGAGGACGCGGGTTGTTGACGTTTAACCGTATGTTTTCGTGTTCGCGAGCAACCTCTTTCCAAGGCATCTTGGCAGCTCTGTGGATATGATTTTGGCCAAGACGCCAAGGAGAGTGCCTACAAAACGGCCACAATTGTTCGCGGATTAGGCTAGTCTTCAACGCACTTTCTCACGCCGCGATCATCGAATCAAAATCGACTTGGCGGAATAAAAGGTATCCGCGAAAAAGTGTGTTGAAGACTAGCCTAATCTATGAACAATCGTGGCTGTTTTACAGGAGTCGTCCTTGGCGTCTTGGCTAGAATCACATATCTAACAGCATGCCACTCACCAGCTTTCTCGCAACGGATGCCAGCCCCATCCATTACCCCATATTCGATCCATGCGTAATGATTTGTGTCGAAAATGTCCGCCGACCTGTATGCTGCCTTTACCGCAGAAAAGGACGACGCGGCCACGACTGAAAAAGTGATCACTAGCACAAACGCGGTTGCCAATGCTTCAGCAAGCGGTGTCACCTTTCAGCCATCTGTACAGGCTTGGAGTACTCCTCAACGAAAGTTCCAGGTGGATAAGGAATCACCGCCCTGGAAACTAGATCCGGAGGACAAGGACGTTCTCTTTGACGCAGAGGAGGCCGACCTCGAGGATGACTTTGGGGACTTTGAAACGGTAGGCAGCGGAAGTAAGATTAACAGCGAAGTCAACGTATTTCCAGAAGAGCATCGCAATAGAGTCGCCGAACAGGTCGGTCCATCAGTTTCTACGTCTCCCGTGCGAGACCTCCTAGGGCTCGACAATAATATTCCACCGCCAGCGGGATCGAGAACAGATCTGTATCAGAGCAATAATGAGCGGCCTATTCCGACCATGAACATTACCAAGCAGGAGAAACCAGAGGCATCGTGGGATGAGGATTGGGGAGATTTTGAACAGACGCACACCGAAGAGCCCTATCAATCAGATCTTCTCAACCTTCAACTAAATAACAAACCACGCGTTGGTGTAGAGACGATGGAGAACGAGCCAGACGATGACTGGGAGCCGTTTGAAGACGGCATGCCTGAGCCAAATCCGCATGATACTGGTCTAAAGGCTTCTACAAACGCATGGAAAGAGTGTCAGAGAGGTGTCTCCACAAGAGCCCCTGCAACAGCGGTCTTCGAGAGGCCGATGAACATCCCGCCGCCATCCTCGCTGTTGCAATTGCTATCCTCGGTCTTTGAAGCACTGCACAGAAGCAATGCTGAGAAGACCAAACCAAAGTCGGAATTGGCTGATACTATCCTAGTTGTGTATCGTACAGCTAGTCGGATCGTGGCAGGGAGAAGTATGCGGTGGAAACGAGATACAATTCTGGCCCAGAGCGTCAGAATAGGGCAGGCAGGGAAGAGGGGAGGGATGAAATTGGCATCAGTCAATAAGAGCGAGAATGCAAGAGAGGAAAGAGACTCTGAAGAGATGATTCATGATTGGTCAAAACATGTCTACGAATTCAACAACATCCTAGCACAGGCAGAATTTCCCCCACACCGGATGAAAATTTCTACGTCACCCTCTCTGAAGATATTGAAACAATCAAGCACCATTGATTCGTCCAAGCAATGTGCCGTCTGTGGATTGAAAAGAAATGAAAGGTTGGTCGACGTCGACATCGATGCTGAAGATCTGTTTGGTGAATTCTGGACCGAGCATTGGGGCCACAATGATTGCCACAACTTCTGGTATTCGTTCAAAGGCTTGCTCGGTCAACGTTGAAGCTCGCCATGTCGTTTCCTTGGAGGTCGAGCAACCTTGGACGAAGCATGCCTTCAGGCGAGAGTCACAATCCTGTCATCGGCGCTGAATGGTGGAGGTCGGCTCCCTCAATTATCGGCAGCATTTGACAGAGAACCATAGGCCCCGATTTTCTACGCCAGACTCTAGTTTCCCATTCGAAAGTTTGTCCTTGTACCAAACATCTGTCACACTTTGAAGCGCCTCACAGCCATTACACTCATACCTACAACGAACGCGGCTTCGAGAAGAAAGAGAAAGCTCGATATCTGCGTTGCCATCGAAACAGATACGAGGCCCATTGGCGGTTTCATGATAGTCAAAGTCTAGGGTACGGCTGTAGTGGAGGCAGTGATGACGGAAATAAAGACCGATTGACATTCAGGCCTCGAGATTGGACATCAGGACCAGGTATGTCGCCCATTCGATAGAACGCTTTGGATCGTCCGGCCGCTGAAAAAGGGGAATTCGCCTTGCCATCGTCTTTGATGAGAAGCGAGAATCTATTACCTGTCAAATTTTTGGACGGTTTTCAAGGAAAGGAGTGATCAGGAGAGGGATGTGATATGGTTTTGGGGCCCTCTTGACACGCTTTGCTGGCATCAGAGGTGGCCGATGCTCTCTCTTGTTAGGAAGGGACTTGAGGTGTTTGAGGTCAGAACCAAATGCTCTTCATCGGAGTGGCACAACAGTCTGGTGTATTGAGACATGGTTGGCTGGTATCGGAAGTTTGGGGAGCAATCAAGGCGAAGTGGTTCAAGATTGGAGGAATTTGGCAGTGCTCCTGCCTGACAATCTGGACACGTACAAAGAGTATAGGAGAATGACGAAACAGAGCCCAGGAAGAGAAGAATGAAAGAACATGGGTGAGTCTGGGGCTTGGAAATGCGTAATTAGGTGGGCAAGGACTTCTTTTGAGAGAAGCCATTTTATTAGGACGTTCATCAAAGAATGCAGCACAGAATAGGTGCTATGCTTTGATTTTGTCTGAATCTCACATCAGGGTCTTGACATGGGCATAACTACACATTTTTGTTATAGGATGTCAGTATTTCACAAATTGACCACCAAAACGTGAAGCTGAGAACTGAGCAAACCTGAATGCCCCTCATTTGCACGTTATTAGCCGGAGTTGATCCGATATCGATAAACAGCAAATGCCAGAACCACGGCCAGTGCTTGCCTTAGGGTGCACAACCAGGTTTGCAGACAGAACCAGCAGCATTTGCCTCCGTCTCGATGGCAAACGTCGAAAATCTTCCTCTTTGGGTCGTCTAAGATCACAAAGGACTCAAAACGTCGAAGTCCTATTTATTCCTGCAATTAATGCCGGAAGTTGCCAACAGATTTTGAGTGGGGCGGATGGAGAGTAACAGTCAGGATCAGGATCTCAGTTCCGAATGGCGCTCCAAGCCTCACACCTCAACTTGCATCCCGTTGCGTTACTAACTAATCAAATTGACTTCGGACTGCAGCTCAGAGAAATAGGCCCAACATTTTTGGCTGCTCAAATTCAGTTCTGGTATATATCCCTACAATCAAGGGCCTCGAACGAAGCTACGACGTGGGCGATCCTTGCAGACGGAGTCTCCGCCGTTGGCCTCTCACGCCGCACAACGAATCCAAATCCCCGACTCGGAGGCTGTCACGAGTCCCTGGCACATTACCGATCCACCTCAAGCAAACACTCTCTGAACCAACACTCTCCACTGGACCCTTCTTTCCTTCACCGTCCGATCCGAAGCCTCAGCATCTCATTCCGCAGCGCAACGAGCTGGCGAAGACGTCCATTAAAGAGTCCATTCAGCGTAAGAGCAGGGCACTGATAACCTACATTGCAGACGAAGATCGATCCGTCAAGAAAGAAGACTGCTAGCTCCAGGCGGAGGTACGGGTATCAGCCTTCTTGCTTCATCATTGCCGTACCTGAACGGCTCAACCGGCGGGATGGGTCTTGCATATAACGTTTACCTAAACTCTGCTAAGATATTTGGCTGCAAGGTACAAACTTCAACGTGTCCACCAGGGCAGTCATCGTACTAACCGAACACATCCAGAACTGTAAAACCCACCTGGCTGACTTCGACGACATTATCTCTCGCAACTTTCGAGGCCAACACGGAAAAGCCTTTTTATTTTCCACCGTTGTCAATGTCAAGCAAGCAGAAGCTATGGAGAGAAATATGACCACCGGGAGGCACATTGTACGAGATATCAAATGCAAGCAGTGCGACGAGACGGTGGGCTGGAAATATGACAAAGCCTATGAGACCAGCGAAAAATACAAGGAGGGCAAATTTATATTGGAATCGGAGCTGCTCTGCACAGTCACCTGAAGTCGGGAGCACTGTTGCTAAAGACCGAGCCAGTGATGCAGGCGCTTTGGGTCACATTAGTATTCTGCGGCAGGCATTCATACGGATTGAACGAATTAGGCATTGGTTGGGTGTTTGTTGGCACACAATATCTGGTAGACAGTGAAAGGCACAACACTCGGTTGTCTTTGGTAGAGTCCAAAGCCGATGTCTCTCCGCAACTCCCCAGCTACCGGCGGCATTGTTCGCCTCATCTTCATTCCTGCATTTCCTGGTAATTTAATAAGCATGCGAACTAGTTTTGAATCTGGGCGAAATCTTCCGTGGGAGTCGATTCCCGTCCGAGAATCTATCCTGCAGGCCGCCTGAGTGGTGGACAAGTCGTCACTATCACTCCACTCTAGCCTGGGCGAAAATATCTGTTTACTCCCCGCGATCCGGCCTCGGAAGTTGATGAAGCGCTCTCCTTACGGATTTTGGCCAGCCTTGATGATTTTCGGGGAAAGCATCGCATCGTTTAACTCGCTGTTCTTCATTCTACATAAAATCTTCCGGTGGAATCACGAGCTATAAAGAGCGCCCTCAGCACGACCCAGTCGCGCAGCCTCTTCTTCAACGGTCGCTCGATTCCTTCCGCTATATAGTGGTAACAGCATTAGAAAGAGCGGCACACCATGGCTGCGAAAGACATAATGAAGGCAGTTGTCTTCAAAGGCAAACTCCATGTCGAAGTGGAAGAAAGGCCCATTCCCAAGATTCAGGATCCGAAAGACATTATTGTAAAAGTGAGATATACTGCACTTTGTGGAAGGTTTGCGCACATTTTCAGTCGGGCACCTCTCTCACTGACTTCTGGAAGTGAATTGCATGTGTTCCGCGGCCACCAGCCTTCCGGGACCGGTTTCATTATGGGCCACGAGTTCACTGGCGAGGTTGTCGAGACCGGTGCGGACGTGAAATCTGTAAATAAGGGGGACAAGATAGTTACGCCATTCACCGTCAGCTGCGGGGAATGCTTTTATTGCAAGAGAGGGTTCTCGTCCCGTTGTGAGAAATGCCAACTGTTTGGAACGGTGGCCCTGGACGGTGGGCAAGCCGAGTACTGTCGAATTCCGCTCGCAGACAGCACCGTCGTCAAGGCGCCGCCTCAGATTGACGAAAACAAACTTGTTTTGATGGCCGATATTTTCCCCACCGGATATTTCGCAACAGCGAATGCGTTTCGCGGGTTCGATGATGAAACGATATCGCAGAGTATCGTGCTTTTGGTGGGCTGCGGCCCGGTCGGGCTCTGTGCACTGGTTAATGCCCTCGAGTATAAGCCGAAGGCCATACTTGCTATTGACGGCGTGGAGGCCCGATTAGAACAGGCCAAAGCGCTTGGGGCTGAACCGTGGAATTACCAAAAGGACATGCCAGGCCTCAGAAAACGCGTATTGGAACTCTCGGACGGGAGAGGAGCGGACACAGTGATTGAGCTTGTCGGACACAGCGATGCTCTGAAGATGGGATTCGACCTCCTGAGGCCATGGGGAAACATTTCCAGCATCGGGGTCCACAACGGTGAGATTCCGTGGACAGGGAACCAAGCGTACGGGAAGAATTTGAGAATTCAAATGGGCAGGTGTCCTGTTCGAAGTAGGCCACCGTCATTGGTGAAACGAAATATTTGACTGACTTCACCCATAGGCCTCTTCGAGAAATCCTTGGAGATGCTCGCGAAGACACAGCACAAATTGGGGTGAGTACCCCGTGAGTGGAATCAATGGGGACCTACTAACTTGACATTTAGTTTCATGGCGGATAACATTAAACCCCTGTCAGAAGCTGTAAAATGGTACGATGAGTTCGACAACATGAGGGTGCAGAAGGTCGTATTCGAGGCGGATACATGAGCAGATAGAACGCCGGGTGGTATGAAGCATGGTCTTTGATGATATCGGTCAGCTGTGTACTATGCCAATCCTAAAATCCTTTTCTCGCCTTCTATTCAATCTTTTAGACCCTTACAGGTCCCATGAGGAAAACACCGGTGTACACTCAACATCGCATATTAGCCATGCGAGTCTGAGACAGCGGGTCGCGTGCTGGATTCGTGTGCATGGGATTCCTCGCAGATTGGAGTAGGAGGCCGACTCGAAATACTGAGATGCAGAAGTGTGTGAAAAGCGGGCAGTCCCCAAAGGTCGACCGAAAACCGTCGGTCGGAGGTTGAGGATTAGGAGTGAAGCTGTCGCCATAACGGCAGCGGTCGTTGCCAGAGCTGGGGGAAGGTCTTTTTTCCCTCTCAAGAAAATGTCCGATAATTTAGGTACCTTGTCCGAAGGTGAGCAAAGCTCCCCCCGTTCAGCAGCCAGTAGGAATTCAAGAACTCGAAGGGCTGGCCAGCTGCTGGTGGAGACACGCTAAGTGGCTCAAGCTGGCGATCCACCACTGCTGAAGGTGATCTCTGAGTTGTGCACTGCTCTGCGGTGCACTTTGGAGCACTCACCTTAGCACTTCGTGCCAGGAGCTAAAAAATCCCCCTACCAGCATTTCAAATTTCGTTTGTTTCCAAAACGACGTCAAATCCTACAACACTCAACAAACCTCATCACTTTTACCTCTCTACTCGTCACATTCCCTTCTCTACCTCACTCTACTCTACCTAACCCTATCCTATCCCACCCCATCCTACTCCTGCTCTCCCACTCAGCCGCGACCTCCGTGCCTATAGCGGACTTTCTCTCTGCCACGCATTTCACCTCGACCACCCCCAGACCAGATCAGATTGCCTGACCACTCCGCTCCCGCACATTGACCTCTCTCCCCCGCGGACCCCGCCCTTCTCTACAACTCACTTCGACTCGAGTCCTGTTGTCCTCGGTCCTACTCCATCCTCTCGCAATGGCTTCTGCTGAGTCTCCAGTCGCTGCGAATCACATTGACGATGCTGCTCTGGCCGAGTCCATGAACCAGCTCAATGTTGGCGATAGAGAGAATGAACCGCCCAAGACCGAGGAAGAATACGCGCAATCGCAATTGACACTCAGGGCCATTGTCTCGACCAAAGAAGCGGGTGTCATCATTGGCAAAGCGGGGAAGAATGTTGCCGATCTACGAGAAGAAACCGGTGTCAAGGCAGGAGTTAGCAAGGTGGTACCAGGTGTCCACGATCGTGTCTTGACCGTCACAGGCCCTCTTTCGGGAATAGCAAAGGCATATGCTCTGGTGGCCAAGGGCCTCCTTGAGGGCGCACCCCAGATGGGCATGGGAGGAGTCGTCCAAAATATTGGCACTCATCGTAAGTTTTGTTCCAGTCTTTCATTCCGGGAGTCGCTGATCCATGTTAGCCATCCGTCTCCTGATCTCCCATAACCAGATGGGCACCATAATCGGCCGGGCAGGATTGAAGATCAAGCACATCCAGGACGTATCTGGTGTTCGCATGGTTGCGCAGAAAGAAATGTTGCCCCAGTCCACCGAGCGCATTGTTGAGGTACAAGGCACACCGGAGGGTATTGACAAAGCTATCTGGGAAATTGGAAAGTGCCTGGTCGACGACTGGCAGCGTGGTACTGGGACAGTCCTGTACAATCCCGCTGTTCGAGTCCAGGTCGGGTCTGGGCCCCTACCTCCTGCTGTGGGCGGTGGAATGACGAGTGGCAATTATGGCGGCGGTCGGTCATACAACCGCACTGGCAACGGCGCCGACTTCAGCGAATCGCGAAGCTACAACCGCAGCAACGATGTACCACGCGGCGGTGGTGTCCCTATGGTGACCGAGGACGGAGAGGAAGTCCAGACCCAGAATATCAGCATCCCGGCCGATATGGTCGGCTGCATCATCGGACGTGGTGGTTCCAAGATTAGCGAAATCCGAAAGAGCTCAGGGGCCAGAATTTCAATTGCAAAGGCGCCGCACGACGACACCGGTGAGAGAATGTTCACCATCATGGGAAGTGCCAGCGCCAACGAGAAAGCCTTGTATCTTCTGTATGAAAATTTGGAGGCCGAAAAGGGACGCAGACAACAGGTCTCGTCGGAGTGAGCCTGCCGTTCCTGCGACGAACTCTTGACCATCAGCTTCTATCACCGCTTTCTCCACTTCCGCCACTGCTTTCCGACACGCTCCTTCGACCCTTCTTTGTTTCTTGACACAACAACTCCCCAAACGACTGAAACTCTCGTGAAAAGTATACGGCGTTGTTTATTTCTCTTTGGCGTCTGATAGATGGTGTCTTGCGCAAAGCGACCTACCTGATGAAGCTATGATACCAACCTCTCGCCCGGACCGCGAGTTGACGAATGATGACACGAGCTTGTATGCAACGACCTCGATCCTTCTCTAATGCACTCTTACCAAACACATCCGGACCAATTTCTCCCTCTCACACCCAACACACACACACACACTCACAAACCCGTGGCCCCGGGCCACACGGCAAGACACCAATTACCCACCTCACTCCGTTTGAGCCGAAAACATCGTCTCATACTCCCAAGGCTGGATTCCGTGAAAGGACACTGGGTCGGAAGATGGGCGACACATGCGAATGCCTCGGCTTATCTATGGGCTCCAATGTCTGGCAAGGTTGTTGGCGGGATGCGGAATGTAAGAAGTTGACCGGCCGAAGAGAGCACACCAGACCAGAGGGCAAGCGGACCTCTCCTAGTCAAATGAAACTCATTCGAACTCAACAATGTTTTTAAGTGTACAATGTATGCAAGATGCAAGTCCTGACCCCGTAGTGAACTAAAAGCCCCCCCGGGTTGGCTGCGTATGGTTGTTTGACCCCCGACCGTAAATTTCTGGGTCGGCCACCGCATGTTGGCTGCCTCTGACAGGTGGAGCAGCGACAAGTCAGCGTCAATTGGGCGGTATGTGAAGGGCGGAAAACCGCGCAGCTCTCGAGGCCCTATCACACCTTCCCGTCATAGGCTTGCTGAGACCCAACACCTGTCACTTGGGTGCCGTCGACGGCCCCCAACCTCCGCCTCAGGCCCCTCTGGATCGCCTATATACTCTGGCCTGATTAGTAGTAATGTCTGGAGGGGGGGGGAAGACTCTGTGCGGCCAATCTTGCGACGGGATTTGCATTCTATAGGGCTGGTGTGAATTGTGGTTTGCCAGGATCTCCTTACCAAGCGTGCCACATGTACTGCATTCGAAATTGGGAACCGTGAACTCCAACTGCAACTGTAACAGAGCCGATGTCAGATGGAACTCGGATACCCAAACGAGGACAGCTGAAAACCCATCGACAACATATTGACCACCAGCTGTCATCCTGCCTGATCTTTTGCGCTCTGATCTCCTGACTTGGTCCCGTGAAATTTGACAAAGAACAAACGTGGTGGCCGTCGAGGTGGCCCGGCTGAACTCTTGCTGGCGTTTCAGGTTGCCGCCCGTTGCAGATCATCCTCGTTCCGCTAAACGCCTTGACGTCGCCCCTCGTGGTCCGTCAGCAAAAACCTTCACGCGCCCTCTCAACATTTCCTTTTGCAGCCTTGTCCGGGAGCGAAAAGCACAGCGTCACAGCGAAAGAAGGCTGTCAGCAAGATCTTGTTTGCATCTTGACGTGTACTGCACTCCGTGTAACCACCTTTTCTGCATTCATTTTCCCTCCCGCACCCAATTCGACGCCCCAAATTGGCGGCCCTCGGATTTCAAAGGCGCTTGCCATCTCGATTGATAATCTCGACCTTTTCATCCTCTTGGAGCCTACGCCTGCGTCCTCCTCCTGACGTTTGTGAGCCTGTGAAACCTACTCTCCAAACATGTCGTCCCCGGTACCGCTTCTGCGGCCGCCTGTTCCTGGTGCTCGAAGCCAGAGCGGCAGCCGAACACCTCGCCTGACGCTCGGAATCCCTCCATCACCAAATGCTCGACCGGTCGCCGCGGAAGCAGAACCAGCGGCTGAGATCCCACGCTTCAGTTTGGCTGCTAAGGGCCCGCCGAAGTTATCTCTGGCCACCCCACTGGGAAGCCAGGGCTCAGTATCAGAAGGAGGAACAAGTCTGAAACCGCAGATACAACCATTGAACATATCTGCCGTCACTGGAAATGACGGCGCTGGCAGACCCAGAGGAGATAGTTTCCACGCTGCCAGCGTGCCCGGATCTGCATCTTCCTCGACGTACTCAGCACTGTCCTTTGCAATGCATGGAAGACAGGCTGGCACACCAGATCCATCCTCGGCCATCAGTTCAATCTATTCGGAAGCGAGCATAGGCGGGGCGGCCATGGAGCGGGAGTCAAGCATGGGTGGATTGTCCATCGATTTTGAAAAACTCAGCATTGAGAAAGGACGGCCACTCGATGTCGAAGATTTAGATGATGAAGGTTGGGGAGCAGCAAGTGAGCAGAAAAAGATCATCGAACTTGGCTCGTTAGGTGAGGGGGCCGGTGGTGCTGTAACCAGATGTATGCTCCAAGGGGGGAAGACGATTTTTGCTCTCAAGGTATGTCTATTGGTCCATGTGATGGTGCTTTCTTGCTAAATTCAGGATAGATTATCACGACCAGCCCCGACCCAGACGTCAAAAAGCAAATCCTCCGGGAGTTGAAATTCAATAAAAACTGCACCTCCGAATACATTTGCCAGTATTACGGTGCCTTCATGGACAAGTCCTCAAGTACGATATCAATAGCCATGGAATTTTGCGAAGGTGGAAGCTTGGACAGTGTTTATCGCGAGGTGAAGAAACTTGGTGGCCGAACTGGCGAGAAGGTCTTGGGGAAGATTGCCGAAGGCGTTCTACACGGTCTCACTTATCTTAACAGTCGAAAGATTATCCACCGAGGTAAGAATGCCGACGTTCCCTGTCGACTTGCGCTCATCATTCCCAGACATTAAACCCTCTAACATTCTGCTCTGCCGCAACGGCCAGGTGAAGCTGTGCGATTTTGGCGTCAGCGGAGAATTCGGTACCAAGGGTGATGCCAACACTTTCATTGGCACCTCATACTACATGGCTCCAGAACGAATACAAGGACAGTCCTACACCATCACCTCGGACGTCTGGTCACTCGGCGTGACGTTGCTCGAAGTAGCTCAACACCGATTCCCATTCCCTGCCGATGGGACCGAAATGCAGCCTCGCGCCGGTCTGATTGACCTTCTAACCTATATCGTAGCGCAACCGATCCCGAAGTTGAAGGACGAACCCGAAAACGGTATCAAATGGAGCGACATGTTCAAATACTTTATTGAGTGCTGTCTGGAGAAAGAACCTCCGAGAAGAGCTACTCCTTGGCGGATGCTAGAACATCCGTGGATGGTGGAGATGAAAGCCAAGAAGGTCAGCATGTCGACGTTCCTCAAGCAAGTCTGGGACTGGAAGGATTGATGACTTTCGATTTTTGTGGAGCTGGATACTGACACTCCATGACTGATGGATTGCGGGGACGATCCTTAAAGTAACGGCAGTGAACCATGGAAAACGTGTCAGCTCTGACCATCTCTGGAGCCGAGGATCCGACCGAGGTTGTAGTGCCCTAAATTTTTTTTTTTTTCTTTTACATGCCCTCGAAGGTGTAGTGGGTATACGCCGGTTGGAGTTAATGAATATAGATAGAATCCGTCAAAGTCAAGAGTTTGCTAGGCAGAGTCCAATGGGCTGAGACTCGAAGAAGACGACAACGACGACGACAATGATGACCAAAAACATGAGACAGATTGATTCAAGGGCAATGTTGTGGATAGGAATACAGGTACCGACCGATCTGTGCAATGCTTCAATTGGAACTGTCTTCGTCTTGCTTGACTTCAAGCTTTCTGGCTTCAAGATGTCAATTTAGACGCCAACCACTTTTCGTCACATGGGCCCGTGTCGAGGACGCTCGCAACCTCCTACGGATATATATTTTCACAGCCTCGTCTCAACGACATTCCTGCCCGTCCACCAATTGTCAAAGGCCTCTTGCGCGTCTCTCAAAGCATCAAATCTTAGCAAGTCTTCTTGGTACTGAGAATCGATCCATTGCCACCTTGCTCGTCCATCTAACCAGTCAAAGTCCTTCAGGATCAAATCGCGTTCTTCTTGTTCCGCTCCATCATGCATGTGGAAAAATGTTCTGTTGGCTATCGCCCCGAGCACATTGGTTGTGGTGCGTGACTTGCGCAGCTTCTCATAGAGTTCCAGAGCCGATATGACCGGGTCTTTCATTTCGGATGACACAGGATCATCGGACAATTTCCGCACCGTCTTTCCTAATAAAAGCCCGAGAACTGCACCATCTTCTACCGCCATTGCGGCTCCCTGTGCTTGATATGGCAGAGTGGGATGGCATGCATCGCCCAACAATGCAACATGGTCCTGATCACACAACTCAGTCTGCCTCCCTCCATTTCGGTCGAGTTTTCAAATGTGGCTGTCTAGAACTCACCCGTGTCCATTTCTCCAACTCTTGATGATGGCAGAGTTTCCACTTTAGAACCGAAGAAACGCAGGATATGAGTTTCACAAGGCTAAGAATGTTGAGCAGATTGGACTCTAGCGCCTTGACTTCCAACTTACATTTCATCCCAGGCATCAAATGTGGCCCTCATCTCATCAAGATCACCCTTGATGGTCTTCACTCCAGATGGGAGGTTATCCGGTCGCAGAAGAACTAGATTGAACTCCTCTCCACTGCGAACAGGATAGAAAACAGAATGTTTATCTGGTCCCATCCAGAGCGTGACACAGTGTCTCAAGCACAGCTCCTCGACCCGCGGGTCTTTCAGTTCCAGCAGTTGCTTGCGCGAGAAAGTCGCTCGGTAGGCTAAATCTCCTGTCTCAACTGGCGGAGAAGGCCTTCCGAGGATGGCGTCTCGTGTCATAGACCAGAGTCCTGTGCCACTTGACTCAGCATAGAAACAGGATCATGGATGTAATGCACTTACCGTCAGCGCCTACAATCACATTCCCACCGACAATCTCGCCATCAGATAAAGTTACTTCTGTCCGCTCGAAGCTCACAGCGGTCACATTCGCGTCGAGTCGGATCTCTACTCCCAACCGTCGGGCCTCTCTGAGCAATATTGAATGGTAGTCTTCCCGATGGAGAACACTGGTCTTGATCAGCACATCTCCCAATTTGGCGCATGTCATTATTTTCGACCGTACAACCAAGGCGCTCCCATTCGATCGATAAAGTCCTGGCCGACCGATCTTGAAGCCAAAAGCTTTCCATTCTCATATCTTCGCATGTCAATCCATTCTAGTTTAGTTGCCGGCTTTTCGAATAATGGAAGGATGCCATAGCTCTGGAGGACGTGGGCTGCGTTGGGAGGAATCTGGATGCCAGCCCCCACCTTGTTGCAATTCAGTCAACCTCGTCTGATTCTTTGGATTTCTCCCTCGGTAAAGTCCACATACGGAGGCAATGGCGGGCGCTTTTTCCAAAATGATCACATCAAGCCCTTGATGTAGACAAGCAATGGCGCAAGACAATCCTCCGAGCCCGCAGCCCACAATAACGACTTTGAAAGTAGTTCGGTCCTCCATCTTCATCGAGTATTGTGCAAGATCATGATGAGCCCCTTTTACGACTTCTCAGGCCGCCTCTATATATCGGCCAGATTTCTAAACACAGGGAAAGCCTCCATCTATAACCCCCATGTCTTTGTGTCGGTCTCGCATGACGGCATTGTGTAATGCGGAGGCAAATACGAAGTACCGAAGGCGCCGCGTCCAACTCCAACTCCGGGGGTGGGTTTGTTTCCCCAAGCCCACCTTTGCTTGGGAGATGAAAAACCCGTTAGCCTTCGAAAATCATCTCATACATTTCCGCTGTTCTCGCTTATATTATTTACAAAACTGACTGTGTCTTGCCTGGAACCACAATTCCCGATGAAACTCATTTGCCCAGTTTGAAGGCAGTGATTTGCTCGGTATGGGGTTTGGAATGGTGCGATCAGCGGCATCACATGAATGGGGCTGGAAAAGCCTCAACTGCAAGTCGTAAGGACAGTCCGATCTAAAAAGGAATCATGGACGCCGTCCATCAATTCTTGGCGAGGGTTTTGCAGCCTTACTGAATGGCCTGAGACTGGTAACGGTTTCTCATGGGTGTCATCAAGTTGACCAAGACGAGAATGATAAAGTTTGGTGAGGAGATAGGATGCGAGGTTGTGGGTTGGTACAGGATGTTCGGGAGCACGTCAGCGAATACTTCGGTTGGGAAAACGGTAGCCTGGAATCCTAGAACTGGTAACAGGTACTCAACTTGAGAATTCCGCCACCACAGGACGTACGGTATGTCTTTCGGATATCCGATAAAAGTCTGTCTGAGTTCTCGACTCCGTTCCCATCCCGGGTAAATGAGGCTAAGGCTCTTCTTGTTGCTTATAGAACGCTTGGAGAGAGTGCCAACGCGACCTTCAGCAGCCTAGGTTGAAAAGCAGCTGCAGGGCATTCTTGTCCGGTCGCAACGGCCTCGCCCTTGCAACCGCAGCTCATACCGCAGATGACGTCCATCAACAATCACGACGAGCTTCGCACGCGCTTTGTAATAAGGGAGCCTAAAGAAGCGGCGATCCCAGAGGCTGATATGTAGGTGCCATCCGGATGAGTGAACTCTCGACGGTTTGTCCGCAAGGACCTCGCACGATTCCTCCCCCATTGAACGTTGACGCAAAGTGTAGTAACGATCCGGGGGACACCAAACTCTTCAGGAGTTATTCTGACGAGTTTGTGCACATGGATGCTGCCGATAACCTGAAAAGGCGCACCACGTCGAGACATAGGCCCGATAACGTTTGGGGTCTGTGCAAGACGAAATCTGTTGCCCAATATCGCTCCGAACTCGCAAGGCGGCATGACAGCCATGAATTGCGGCACAGCCCGTTCAAGAACTCGGATCTTACGTATCCCTTTCTTATCGTCGAATCAAAGCGGGAGGGTGAAGGTCCGGGGTTCGAATATGCGGAAGCCCAATCTGCGTTTCCTATTCGGATTTGTTTGAGGCTCCAGGAACAACTGAAGCAAGTGAGTGGACAACATCTTGTTCCTCTGGTGTGGTTCCTCGCCTATCAAGGAGATGAATGGCGCACCGTAGCATGCGTTGTGTACGAAGGCAAATACGTAAGTGCCGCCCTTCCAGGTTTGTGATCTCTCGCCGCTGAACTCGCAAGCAAATATATGACCGGTGGATGGGACGGATAGTATCCAAGCAGGGGGCACTACAGCTGTTGCTCATCATTGACTACATTACAGAGTGGGCACGGGAAACGTATCGCTTCGACATTCTTTGCTGCCTCGCTGGGGGGAAAGATCGTGTACTGGGACCCGACAACATGTCAGACACCTATGCCAGCCGGATCTCCACCCAATCCGTGCTAGACAGCAGTCCGCTTGTTGAGCGCAAGGGGCTGGCTGTGGCAAGCAGAGCTCAGTCCCACGACGTCCTCGGACGAGGTTCATGACTTCCTCCGGTGGGCACAAGGATCTGGCAGCCACAAACCTGGATCCCAGGTTCATACCATTCGACACACTGACATGGTGTTGTTTACGTTCGTGCATCTGACTATTCCGGAGGACAGAGACACTCTGGAGAACCTTCTTTCGCATTTGGCGAGAAGATGTAAATTGCCAGCCCCGGAAATCGCATACTCGATCCTGTCGAAGTTGCGAGACCAAGAGGAAGGCGTGTTAGCCACTACTCAACCGCGTATTGATCAGCTCGAGTCGGATTGGCTTAGACTGGGCCCCACAAAGATTGCCATAACAGAGACCGGCGTTCGCGCGTTGTTCAGCGTGCGAACTTTCATAAATTTGCGGTATTGGCAAATCGAGCGTGAATTGCTATGCATCAACTGTAAGCGGGAGGCTGCTCAGAGCTTGGCTTCGATTGCTGGTCTACGCGCTGAAGAATTGCAGGCATCGACAGATTGGGCGGCCGAGACGGGTCAATTTCCGTCTATTGCATTCATCGATTTACGTTCTATAATAGGCAGGTCTTTGGCAACAGCGGCGATCAGTTGTCGCGCCGTATATTTGATGCATGCTCCACAGGGATTTCCTTACCAATGGGTGGAGCATAGCGATGTCGACAAGCTCACTAAAGACTGTTTTGTGTGGTGCTTTGACCCTCAATATCGTGGGATTATGCGAACCTTGTTGGACAGAGGTTCGAGCGGGCCGATGGGGGTTTTGGGAAAGCCCATAGCGTCCGAGCATCTCAAGCGCTTCCTTCGACCTATGGTGCAGGCAGGCAGCGCCGTTCTACTCAACAAGACCGAGTGCCGCAGCCGGAGCTATCCCGGACCGACTTGGTGCTTGATGATCCTCAAGCAGGTTGATTTCAATGACACTCGAGCCATTCGAGAGATTCTTGCAGAGGTCACGACCAAGAGAGAGTTCTACAAAATCAATCCCGGAACGCCGATCGAAAACCCGGAGGAACTTCGCCACCTATGTTTCAATATGGATTCAGATAATCCCGATATCGACGAATGGTTGCAAGAGCTCAACACTTAGACCGCTCCCTTGATAGGGCCAAGGGTGAGAGGCATCATCTTCCTCATCCTCCCATCGAAAAAGTTTCCTAAACGACTCAAAGAATCCCGATAACGTGAAAAACGATGAAGAATTCGCGAAGGAAACAGAAAAGCAGTTGATAAAGACCTCGAAAATACGTCACTTCCATGGAAACGGTCTCTCAGGTCGCTCATATACTCCGTAGACTTTGCTTGGCCAAAGTCGGAACGATCCATTCGACTCTTTTGCGGTCAAGCGTCTCCCACCATACATCCATAAGATATTGGATCTGGGTGAGCCTCGACTTTATGTTGTGGTACATTGTGGTCAAAGGTTGGGCTTGGGTTCAGCTCTTCCATCACATCATGCAGACACTAACTTTCCCTACGGCTGCGGATATCCAATGGCCGAGTCTTAAACCAGCATTACTTCCTCAACCAGCCCATCCGATGAAAGTGGAGTGGATGGGCACCATCATGGAGTCGCCCATTCTCCTCCACACTCTGGTGTATACCGTGTTCACATCGCCACAGCTGATCCGTCCACCTACGAAGCTAGAAAGGCTCTAAGTCTGAAACATCACCGTGGGAGCATCAAGCTCTTGCAACGAGAGATATGTAAACTGGCTGGCCGAAAGCCATCCGTTGCCCTCCTCAGTCATATCCCTGGCTGCCCATGGTGAACCATATCAACACAAATCTATCCCACAGCGCTGGCCCGAATCTCCTCTTGCCAAAAAACGGCACTTGCGTGTCTATGGGTTGATACAGCTGATCAGCGGAAAGCGCTTTGGGCACCGAGTCTTGCCTCCCTTGTCCGAGCCCGAAACGCTGTCTAGCATGAACGTGTATCATTGCCGCATTAGGACATTTCTTCGACAGTCCACCAAAACTGGTTTGTGGGCGAAGCTGAACGGGCCTCGCTCCATCGATACCAGAGCTGGACATCGCTCAAGCAAACATTGGAAACGCACGTATGTTGGAATTACCCACGTGAGGAAACCGGGCGATTATTTTGGAGTGAGGCGCAAATCAACGCCGATACCCCTTGCGAATACTTGGACAGCTGAGGTGGCGCGTTAACCGATGATGTTTATGGGTGCTTCTCGTTGACGAGGAGCAGCAGCCAGAGCACGTGGCTGGAGTGGGGTTGTCTGATATTGCAGAGGAGAAAACAGACTCCCTTTAGTGTATGCGAATCGTCAAGGAGTAAGGAATTAATGCGATGGACGGATGAGAAAAGGAAGTTTCATCGGCTGGGGTCCTTCGTGGTGGAAGATGAGACGTGGTTGGAGGGTGGCGAGGAGATGAGGGTGTCGTTAGATGGAGAAATTGAGATACTATAGAGGTGAATGAAAGGGCAGAATTGGAGCTGTGGTGGTTGAGACAAACTGTGCCGGTTGCTGATATCGAAATGACGTAAGTACCGGTACCTGGACTAGTACTATATCGTGCTAGTAGCCGGATGTACTCCATACTCACTCTCCCTCTGACGCCTCTCATCGCAGTGTGTTCGCCCACGTTTTCCTGGCACCAATAAACGGCCTGCGCTTCGTCCACCGCCATCAACACTCCATCTCTTTTTCCTTCTAGCACCGAGTCTTATTCTCACTATTCTTCTGGCTTGCCCGCAACGTGTAGCATGAATGTGCCATCATACCGTTGCAGCTACAAGCTACAGCTATAGCTCATGCTGACCATCTCCGCAATGCCTCCTCCGTCATGCCATTCTCAAAATCAGCCTTTGCCGGCCTGCTCACGGACTTCTTGACGTCTTTCAACATTCTCATCGGTCAAATCTACCAGAACACCATGTATGTCCGACTTCGAGACGCTCTCTTCTTTGGCTCGCTTTCCCACGGACTGGTAGTTGCCCAGTGTTCCTTGCCCGCGACTGTCTCCGTTGATCTCTCCTGGCATCCTCCCAATGCCACCAACATCAACTCCTTGGGCGCCGTCATCAATGGGACCGGTGTCAATGGCTTCATCTACAACTCCTCCGTCACCCCTGCCACCTCGGCTTACAGCACCTACAATTGGTGCAACATGCCTCATGTTCGACGACAGGAGTATCGTGTTCCTCCAAGCGAATACAAGCTGGAATATGTTGAGCTGGTGCGTATTCATTCGGGACCCCTGATATCTTGCTCACTTCGACGAGATCCATCGCCACCATAAGCGAACTCCTTATGCCGCCAATACGTTTCCTCGTGAGACATACGCCTGGTACTGCGACGACGAAGCCTTGTTCTACTACGGCACACCTCGACCAGATGGCGCTTCCGCTCAGATCAATTGGCAAGTCTACACGTCTGACTCAAATCCGCTGGCCCCTGAAGGCTTCAATGGGACCTGCCAATTTCCGCAGATCAGTGGGCAAGGACTGAATGACTCTCGTCAGCACGGCAAGGACTTGTTTGCCGTCTACCATGACCTCTTGGATTTCCTGCCCGACCAATACAACACCCGGCAGATCGCCTACCGTGTTACCAACAACGTCATCACGTCTCAAGTCGCTGGTCAGATCGTTGAGGGCCAGTGGCCCCAACAATTCCGCAACAAACCCATTGGTGTCGCCATCCAACCCGACTCCATCGATTCCCTCGAGCCGGCCTATGAATGCGACGCCGCCGACGACCTGTACTCCAGCTACGGCGTTGGCGGCGACGCGGCCAACTGGACTCTGCACCTGACCGAGTCCGCCTCGCTGTTTGCCAAACTCGATTCCGTGTCCGGAATCAATACTTCCGACCCAGACTGGCACGACTGGTTTGATCACTATTTCGACAATCTGTCTGCGCGACTATGCCATCAGAAACCACTCCCCTGCGAAGCTGGGAACTCATCTAACTGCATTACGGAAGCGGATGCGGACGCCGTCTTCCGCCGCGGCCAGTACGAATATAGCTTCATCTATCGTGATTCGCCTGCCTCCCTCCCTGCCAGCACGGCAAGCTTCGGCATCTGGATGGCCGAACTGGCAGACAATCTGCGCCAGGTCATGAACGGAACGTCTTCAGTGATCTACCGGCACAATGTCGCGCACGACGGGTCCGTGTCGCGCCTACTTTCGATCCTGCAAGTCGATGTCATGGTCTGGCCTGGTATGGGTTCCGAGGTGATCTTTGAGCTCTACAGTCGCGACGGCTGCTACTTTGTGCGGGTCCTCTTCGGTGGTCAGGTCATGAATAGCTCGAATCCGAGTCTCGGGCGCATGGATATGATCCCAGTCCAAGGCCTTTTGAACTACATTGATGGCCTCGTAGGTGTCAAAGCGGCCAAGGTCCCGGAATTGTGTTCCGGTTGAGGAATAATAGATGAGTATATATGTACCGAGGTGGGTAGACAATACTATTAATTTTTCCTTTAGTCTTCTCCGTACTGGAACATGAATCATTTCAATCCGTTTGGCTACCCTATATGGGGGACGTTTGATAGCACAAGGATACCTTCCGAAGTTTCCTCGGTACATTGGGCGAGGCTTCCTCCCCCCTCTCCGCCCAGTTATTCAGTCTCGTGCAATTAAACCTTCTTGTATTCTACAACATGCGTCTCCTTTTCTCTATGGATATATTGACTAGCTTCCCCCCATTGTCTCTGCGATTATATCCCCAAAGACGGGCTTCGATAGAGGCCGCGGTGAATTCGCTTAAGAGCTGTGCGTGCTTCCTCGTAATGACCCTTCATGACAAGCCACCGGGATGAGAGGGGAGACCTTGAAGACCGAAGAGAACTCTCTACGAAGTATGGCCGTGGACGAAATAGAATCCAAGACCGCTTGGAAAGACACCGTCAACGTCTGCGTGATTATATCGGGAAGGAAACAGAGACACTTACATCCCTTCAGTGACCATGTAACCTAGTGATACGTTCATGGCATGGATCACGCCAATACGACCTCTTATATGCAGCGGAGCGATCTCGCTAGCATAGACAGGGCACAGAGCACAGACGACACCACAAACAAGACCGCCGATGACTCTGCTGATCACAAATATGGGGAAGTTGACTGCTGCTATTTGCCAGACAAACTGCGACCACATTCACAATGCAAGCAAGCCAGATTGTTCTGATCCGTCCGATCTTATCTAAAGCTGCCGACGACGCACGCTGCGTAGTATGCTGAGTTGAAGGATCCAATGGTATTGGCATTAAACTTGAAGTATGTGAGGAAGCTTTCATATGCCAGGAAGAGGTAGTGATTCCTAGAGAAAGATCAGATTGCAACGTGACCAAACTCTCTTTCTCGCCATTTGATACCTGCCAGAATCGTAGCCATAGAAGGATGAGCCAAACATAATGTACGCCAGGCAGAATAGTGGGTACTTGCTGAGGCCCAACATTGTGTGAAAGGTGCATTGTAGATCGATATACATATTCAGCTGCTCGGTTCCGGGGTCGCGACAACCTCCAATGGGTGAATCAAATTCTAGGGTTGCGGAAATTGAGTTCAGGCCCAATACAAGATCCGTGGTCAAGCTGGGCGACTCAGAAAATGGTGACTTGATCAAGTGTTGATTAGTTTAATGACCTGGCTCTATTGCTAGGAGGTTCCAGAACCCCGAGCCTCAGAAGAGATACTGACTTTTCTCCATATGTGTCGCCTTCTGATCCCATGTTTCGATCAGCGACATCGGGGCAAAAAGCGAATCTGTGAACCTTATGGTTGTCCAAAAATTCCCCACCGGCTGTGTTTGGCGTCGAATATCCCACTGAACCATGACAATCAACATCTCCTGTCCGTCGCGAGGGCGAAGATCACCTCCATTGTATCCGAACAAGCCCTTCTTACGCGGGCTGGACATTGAGACTAGATATTAGTGCACTCGGTAGTGGCCCTGTTGTGTACAGCCGCCGTATCTAGAAATCGAGGTCTAGTGGTGCTGTGAGAGGTAGAAAACAAATGACTGAGCAATTCGCGAGTAAAGCAAAACGGGGTCAATCACCAGTGGACAGCCAGAGTCCAGAACCTCCCTAGGGGCCTGATCACTTATTTCGGCATCCCAATTACCTTGTTACTTTTGTAGCCGGACCGAGGAAAATGTGTGGGGTTCCCCAGATTTGTTTGTAGATACGGGTCACTCCTGGAGATTGATTTTGATACATTATTGGTCATTCGCTGTTGTCTTGCGTCTCTTGGCCTTGGAAATCGGGAATTGTTTATAAAATCATGCGTCACGCTCATCATATACCAATGGAGATGACTGGCTCAAATGATTCGATCGAATTATTTTGAAAATCGGAATCCGAGCTCTATCTGCAGTGCATCCAAGGTCGATGTTTCCCAACTATCAGGACGTTCCGGTGGGATGGTCTGGTGATAAGGCTTCCCTGCCCTGCACAGCAAATCCACCAGCCCTGCACCACTGACGAAAACATATACCTTCGCGTATCGACTTTGGAAGACTAGATTGAAAGTCGTGCCTCGAGGTATGTAAATTATCTCTCCAGCGGTCAGATACGCGACCTGGTCCCTGTTGAGAGAGAGCGAGATGGCGCCATCGGCGACCTGAAAAGCATGGTGAACGGTCTGGAACTGTAAATTCCGAGACAAGGCACCATCACCATGCCAGGATGATCCTTCAACGCTTGCAATGGAGAACCGAGCGGCCGATTCGGCCGTGGTGACAAGAGGACAGCAGACAATGCCTCCAAGCAGATACTTAGGGCCGGTTCCAGAGCGAAGATAATATGGTTTCAAAGCCCCCGGGAGAGAATTGTCCTTGCCGTCCACCCATGGCTGAGGATCGACTTGTGGATGATCTGGAACAGGAGTCATGTCAAACTTCTCCGCTGCAGCCTTCAATTTGGGAATGAAAACTTCCAATGGGTTCCGTTCGTCCTTCACGGGAAATAGAGGCCCATTGTAGGGTTCGCCGATGAACCGGAAGAACTCCTCCCAGCCACCGGGGACGATGAGCCCGACGAATTCTGAATAGTCGCCTAATATTTGATACTGATGAACGGTGTTGGGAGGGACGCTCGCAAGATCTCCAGGACCAAGAGTTCTGCCTTGATCGTCGGCCCACACATTGATACTTCCTTTCAAACAGAGAAAGATGTCGTGTGCTTCCCGGTGAAAATGGAAGCCGATGGGATCGCTTGCCATCCCGCCCGTGCCAACAATAGCAAAAGCATTGTCGGTTTCCTTTCCTGTCACAAGGAGACGCATGGCCGACTTGGAACATGGGATGTAGATGATTTCACCGCAGAGGGACCGGAGAACGTACGGTCGGCCTGGGTGACCAGGTGGTTGCTCGGCGGCTTCGACAGGTTTTTGTGCCATGTTACTTGTAGTATCCGAGCCGTCAATGGCAATGAGGTGTAAATGCGAACGTGAATACGGAGCACTCAGACTTTTGCCGTAGGAAATCCACAAGAGCGGTGCAACGGCGAGAGGGGGGGCCCTAAGGAAATATACTTGCTCGGCTCCACTGTTGGAGCAGCTCCGTACGGAGAGGAATCCCGCATCCACATCCCGACGGAAATATATTTATCGGCAGCCCGGTGTGTTGGACCTTTTGTTTCAGAAATCCGTCTCCAGGATCAGTAAAGGTGGACCAGTCGACTCTTATTCTTCCTGGCTAACCACCTTCCGCTGGCCACAATCGAATCCACATATGCATGACCCACGAGATGGTACACGTCTACGCCGTCCTGCTCCGATAGCTTTGTCGACTTGTGGAGGATCGCTTGCAATGTACAGCCCTCGAGATGCCACACAGTATCACCGATGGCGGCATCTCGATGCGCCCACCCTAAAAGCCCTTGGTCGCCGATACCGATCAGTCGAAGGCGCTCGTCGATGATCGAGTTCATCGACTTTAGAATGGATTCTAAAGGGTGATCGCGTCTTCGGTTAACTGTGTTGCCATCGCTCAGGGAAAAATATTCTCGCCATTCCGGTCGGATGGTGAACTTGTCTAGCCCCCGCACTATCTTAACAGGAATTCCCTGAGCTTCGGCAGATGGCGACAACTTAACGCCAAAGACCTCGAAAAATCTTTTATTGAGGCGGAGCCACTCTTGGACCGCCATGCATCGCATATGAGCAAAGACCTTTTCAGGCAGTGTGTAGAGGAGTGTGAAAAAGTCTGATCCCGACATATGTGCAAACGCTTCGTTATGACAGATCAGCAGCAGTCGACGAAACACTTTGCCGACATCAGGAACAGTGTTCGTTGATAGCGAATCTTCATTGTGAAACCGGCATGTGTCACCGTCCTCGCCCAGCGTGCAGCCCAGGGCTGAAATGGCACCAATGCACGTCCCCTTCAAAGTAAGCCTGTCACCAGAGATACGAAAGGTGTCGGGAATGACTTCATTCATTCTAGCCGACGCTCCAAACGCTCGCCGCTTCTCCCAACCGAGATTGACATCCCTCCCGCAAACATAAGGGACCAGGTTTCTGTCAAATGGGTGCACCTCGAAGTGGAAGTAATCCGGGCACCATGATGGCAACGTTCTTTGGGAAAGACTTGTGCTTCGGAGAAAGATGATGTCGGCTGAAGTATACCAGTTCATATAGTTGGCCGTCATCTCCAAGCACAGCTGGTTTTCGGACACCCCTCTTGAGTAATTGGGCTCTTGAATAAAGTCGGCCCAGTCAGATGCCAAACCGAGCAGACCATAGACCTTGTCTCTCAAAAAGCTGGTTTCCGAGGCACTGGTCATGGCCAAAATGTCCACCAGTCTCGGCTTCTGTTGCGCCCGGCAAGCCGCGCGCACATCTAATACTCTCTGGGCCAGGCCATGCAGATGATCACGTTCCTCGATCCAGTGGGCATTCTCCCTGACTAAGGTTTCCAGTGTTCGGAGTTCAAACACGTATGATCCCCAAAATACACGTGCCTGTCTGGCTGCGGCGACTTCTTGTATGATCCAGACACGGCTCCAGTACGGCTGTGACAAGAGGCGCTCGAGAGCGTCCAAATTCTCCGGCAAGGAATGGGTCAAACCTTGATGCTTATCGGAGGGCTTTTCAAATTCCTCTGTCATCCGAATGAGCGTCTCGATATCATGTCGGGGACCTGTATCAGGTCCTAACCAGATGGCGACCGTGTGTGCCATCCGATAAATCGCAAACATCCTAGTGACCTCCTTACTCTTTTCGGTGGCACTATTTTGGTTGATGCATATCGCGTCCACCCAAAGCGTGAAAACGTGATTCTCTTTCATCTTCTGGAGGGCATCGGCAAGATTGTGCGAAACAGGACAAGCATGGTTATTTACTAATATCATGGGGGTGTTGGTGCTCTCAGCCTTTCCCCAAGAATATGACAGGGCCGCATATTCCGGTCGTTGGCTTAGCTTTGCATGAAATAGTTCCAATCTCAGAGTGTCGTCACAGTGGTCCACATCATGCACAAATCTAAGCAGCCTGATCTGACCTTCCTCCAAAGGATCATAGAATAGGTCTGTACGCATGCCTTGAGTGGAATAATCTGTTGCAAGTCCATTGTGACGCTGCGTGGCCGATTCCTGACAAACATGCTTCTCTGACACCATGCGGGAAAGCCAGCCGCGAATGTCAGCCCAAAGAACACGGTTGAGATACACGGCAGCCAGAGCGAGGCAAACCACAATGACAACGTATCGAAACGGATTTGGAAGCCAATAGTTCCGACACGTTTCAAAAGAGATGATGCTGGAGAGGGTGCTCGCTAGCAAGAAGGCCATTTTTTCTGTTCGTGGAACATCTTGTCGATTCCAACATCTCCGCAAGAGTGTACATTGTATCGTTGATGATATCACGATGGAGACCACCACGGCATGAGCAGCCATTAACTCGCCGACGCCGATGAGACCAGGTAGAAAAGCGTCAGTCGCAAATGAGGGTACAAATCAGAGGATGCTGCCATGAACCAGGTTGACAAGTCGTGTGGCTTTTCTGTCCGCAGCAGAAATTTATTTGTAGGTTGAACAAGTTGCGCCTAAGCACGCCTTGATCTGCCGTATTCCCCCAACCTTACTCAGCCTCGCTAGCGGGCAAGCCTTGCTGCACATGTTGGTGTCGAATAAGAGATTCGGCCTGCTGCAGGACTACCAATGAATGGATGACAAATAGCTGGAAATGATCACTACTACCCCAAATGAAGAGCTAGGCGAATGGAGGATACCCGTCAGTTTTGCAGCAAGAATACCTTTCTCTAAAAGGACAGGGTGCGTCTACCCATGCATAATCTCTCAACTTTTGAATACTCTAACCAAGAGACGCTTATGCACCGCCGATATCTTTGCTGGTGACTAGAGACATGAAGCTTCTCGGCGTACTCAAGGAGATTGAGGAATGGTTGTTGCCTGCCGAAGACTCGGCCAGAGCTCTTGTTCGATTGATGAGGAAATCGAGCCCGGGGATATTGGTTTCGTCGAACTTCTACCGAGAAAGGTAAGTAATGAAATTTCAAGATAGCCAGGTAACTTACGTAGCGTTGGCTAATATCGTTTTTTCTCCGCATCACCGCGAGTGGAACTGTTGAATTGTTGATGACGAATTTAATGGATCCGCGATCTACCATCATTTCTGGAGGCACTTCAAATCCAGTGACCATCGGTCTTCTTCCGTTGAGGTAAGTTCACAGCTGGAATCTCAACCTCCCAACCATTCCTCGTATGACATTCATATCTTCCACCAGACTTGTCCTCAGTCCTTCGGCTCCCGAATCATCCAGATACTCTGAAGCCATTGTTCACGTGGAACGTTAAATATGTCCCAGGACTTAGATTCCTTCATGCCAGACGAATGGCGCCGCGTCAAGCTTCTCAGACAATACTCAAGACTACGACTAAGGATTCCATCGGAGACGAACAAATGAGACCTGTACGAATTGCTACTGAATGACCACATCAGACATAGTGGGTCCTTTATCGACGGTGTGGAGTCATCTCGCCTCTTGGCTGATATGCTCCAAAGCCCGAATGAAGTATGGCAGAAACCTCTTCGGATCCTCGCTCATGGGAAAATGTCCCAGGCCTTTCATTTCCTCAAATACAGCACCATTGATCTTTGCAGCAGTGGCTCGGCTCATGTCAGGCGTGCAACTATAGTCATACTCCCCAGTAAGCATGTAAACAGGACATCTCTTGGTATCAATCTTTCCCATTCGGTCCCTCCCATCCCAGCCTTCGAAGTAAAACTTCAGATCCCCCGGAAATATTTGGCTCGCTTGAGACGAATATATCCACCAGTTCAAGCGCTTGTACATCGCCGGGGAGGTCGGTGACATCATTCCACACACTCGCTCGGGATTGAGAATGGCTTCGTCACCGACGAGAGAGTAGATTGTTTGAGCTTGCTGCTTCGGGAGGTAGTCACATCCTTCGCAGGGAATGACGCCCCTGATGTCCAGCTCTTGTGCTCGAAGGGCGACCGCGAGACACACCTGTCCTCCCATGCTGGCGCCCGAGACTATGACACGACTCAACCTCAGCTTGGAAATCATTTGTCCGATGGCCGAGACGTAGATTTCTTCGGAATGGGAATAGGAAAGAGGATACTGCTGAGTTCCGGGAAACGATCGGCCGTGACCAGGAAGGTCGAAGGCGTACATAGTGCATTTGGTTTGGAGCTGCTTGTTTTGCATGAGAGAGTGAAATTGTCTGGAATCGGCGCCGGCTGTGTGAAGGAAAAGGACCGGTTGGCCTCCATGGCCCGAGGTCTCATAAAAGACCTTGCATTTCCCTAGCTGTGGGAGAGTGATCCAGGTATAATGACCGATGATAGAGTCATCGTCCAGCTCATCATCGGCCAAATACCCGGTCTGGCTGGTTGAGGGAGAGAGGAGGCTAATGGCTGCTCGAACGCGATCTAAAACGAGTCTCCAGACTGGAGCATGAGCAGTGAAAGCGGAGACATCGCCGCAGACTTCGACCCCCGATGGTTGGCCAAGCACACGGAGCATCCCCCAGTAGGACTGGAAAGGTCGCTTGGGGACGGCGGCAAAGAATTGTTGCCAATGATGTGTCCCGGCATTGAGAACGAATTGAGGCTTCATCGAGGATGGCGGTTCGAAGAACACGTTGGTCGCTCCTCTATCAAGGACAAAGACCATCCCGGTCCCAGACTCCGTCGATCTTATTCCGAAGCAAAGGCCAACGTTGACAGCCATTGCGCGGTATTCGGCATCCTCGTCGATTGCTTTTCCAATGCGGGACAGTGTCAACTCGTCCAGGCTCAAGAATGCCACGTCTGCCGCATCCATGGTCTGAGCTGTCAACTAGAACGCGACGAAGTCAATGTCAGAGAAGAACAGTTATAACAGTTGTCCATCTCGGCAATCCGTGACCATCTCCGCATCGCCATAAACATAGAGGGACGGATCAAGAGCGAGGCGGCAGCAGAGACAGATTGGAGAAGATTTTCACCCCCGCTTCTTCTCGGGATGGCAAGACCAACACGATTGAACGAACATTCACGGTCAGAGGTTTCCTCGTTAACGGGGATGTGGCAAGATCAAACACGGGTGTCCAAATCAATGATGCTCGTGAAGTGAACATTTTTATCCGAGGTATCATTGGTGCTCCATACGACAACCTGGTAAGATCTCAGAAGGAACAATTCCACCTTTCTCAGCGCGACCAAACAAGACAACCAGACCAGTCGATTTCAATCATGTGTTGTCATCTAGGCTAATCCGGAGAAGTCACCCACGGGAACAATGCGTTTTGATTTCCCCAGCTAGTCATCATCCTCGAAACCCATGTTTTTGCAATTTAGACGAAGAGGAAAGTAAGACACTTCGACTGGACCAGCCTTGCAGGGGAAAAAAAAAAAAAAAAAAAAAATCAAAACAATTAATTACGGAGTAATGCTGCAGAATTGGCCGTGGGTCAACGAAGCGAAATGAGGTCATGACTAGTTCAAGAAGAAAAAAATGAAAAAATTCAACGATGGCAGAAGCACGCGACCTAGACCTGGGCGATTAACATTGGCCTTCTTACGAGATCTGCAGACACCCAGACAAAGCAAACAGATGAGTTGATGCTGGAGCATGATCACGTCAACCCACCAAGAGCCTTTGTCTCAAACGAAGATGGCCTTGGCTCGGAAGGAGTCGGTCAACGACGTAGATAGCAGTGACCTGTTGTCTCGGATATGGTATTTTTCTTGCTTCCCCCACTCCGGACCAGACGCGAGGGACGTCTTTTTGCTTTTTGATGCAACTCCGGCGATCGCTTGACTTGTAAGCGACGGCTTGGTAGTAAATGAGAAGAGACTGTATTCGTCGGGGACAGACGCGGCTCTGCGGACATTCTCTCAAGGGGAGCAGCAGGGGATAGATTTTCCGAGATGGAATTGCGTGCAGCCGCCCGCGCAGTTGGGCACAGCTGGCCAGAGAGTTCCTCGTACAGAGGAAACGTTTGAGCCGTTAGGTTTCGGGTGGACGTGTGGTGGAGATTTCTCAGAATGGTAGAAATTCTGAATGGAAATTTGACGGGGTGTCAAAATGAACAAATTTCGAGAGTGGAGGAAAGAAGAAGTGAGCAAGAGAAGAAGATGGAGAAGACGGAGAGGCAGCTCAATGCTCATTTGACCAGTGATCGGTACCTTCATCTCCGTGCCAAAGCTTATTAATGCAGGAACCCATCCGGTGCGAATTTAGTGAGATGGTCAGGTCAGGAACATATCTGTCAGTCAGAAAAAGAAAGGCAGATTTTGACCCTGTTGAGAGCGCCGATACAACGAATACGACGGTCTGACGGTTACTTCTGCCATTCGCATGTCAGCAATTCGCCGGGGGGGGACGCTTTTAACGTAGCCGACGTCTGCCCTAAGCCAGGCTAACTTGGGCTAACTAGAAAAGACCGAAGCTAACCAACGCTAACAAGTGGTCGAGGGCTGGATATGAATTCCATACCAATAAATCACATCCACCTCCTGGCACTTGTGGCGTTCAACGGTGGACCCCAGTCTCCCGTTTCGCCCTTTCCTTTGCCTTCTGGTCTGCGCTGCGCTCTCTCTCTCAGCTCTCCAGCTCTCATGCTTCTCTTCTCGTTCTTTTCCTCGTCATTGCCAATTGTGTGCTCCTGTCGATGTTTTTGTTGGTTTTGTCGTCTTTCTAATAATGTCGCGTGTCTACCGCTACACTCGCTACCACTAATACATTTCCTTCGCGAATCGAGCTACGATCCGTTCCCCGTCCCCGAGACACGCGGAAGTGGGAATAATACTCATTCTTTGCCCGGGGTTGGAAACAAGGAGGAGCCCCCCTTCGCTTTCATTCACAACACCACATCGAGCCTCGATCCCAATTGCGATTTGACCCTAATACTCCCCCACGACATTCGCTCATTTAAGCTGCTGAAAAAATCTACGAACCATACCTGCGACAAGATCGTTTTTCTCATCATGCAATAATCTTCGCGAGGTACATCACCCTCCTTTTCTCCTAGTCTCCATGTGTCACATTGACTGACACTGCTACCTCTCTTTGTCAGACTCTGTTCATTCTCAATTTCTCTCGCTGAGCTTCTTGCCGGCTTTCGCTCGTTCCCTACTCTCGTTCAATCCTAGACTGCTCAATATTGCAGTCTGCCCACGGCACCGTTCGTTTGCCTACAACGCACCACAACAATAACCCGACTATTTCAAAACCGTGCTTTCAAACCCCCCGATTGCTTATGCCAATTGCATTGGACGTGCACATATTTGTTTCCGAGACGAGATGGAAAGACCTTCGAAACGAATGAAAACAGCCAAACCCGGAATACGAAATCCTCGTGACACGGGGTCCAGAATGACCGAAGGACTCTTCACTTCAGAACTCGGTATACGAGGCGACCCAGACAATGACATTCAGCCAACTCGGACCATCAGTCTGTCCGACTTTCAGAGACGAAACATTTTCGGCGAATATCAGCGGGTCCGACGACCGGTGTTGCCCCGACGAAATGCTGGAATATACCTTCTTCCCCGAGATCCAGATGCGACCATCACGGCCAGTGTCATCGAGATCAATGTGAACGACGGGACGTCCACGTCGAAGGTCACGGAGGTACCTGCTGCGACCTCTGGAACCGTCGTTTCTTTGTCCGATATGGGATCGTTGACCGTACCAGGAATCACGGACACCACTAGCGGAGCGGATGGAAGCACGACCAGTTCGTCTCCAGAGATAATGACTCCTCCACCGACCCCGTCGCCATCCGTTGATTCGACAATTACTCCTACCGCAGATCCAAGTCCAGCTGGCTCCATCCTCTCGGAGGCCTTCAACAGCACCGCGACCCTGCCGGACATGACACTCACCGAGGGGCATACGGTCACAGTCACCGCCACATCCACCTTTGAAATATCCTTGATTAATGGCACGGTCGTCGCCATCGGAACTTCATCCAAGGACGCCACCGCCAGAACGGCCAGCACCAGGAGCGCCGCGACCACCCGGAGTCATCATTCTGACACCTTTACTTTTGGCCAAGCCACGGCGACTTCATCCCTCCTGACCGAGGGTTCTGCTGCATCTGGTTATACCGGAGCTTCTGCATCTGGCGTGATTCCGGGCATTGCGGTGACAGGCGCCGCCGGATCCCCCACAGCCTCTTCGGGGTCTGCAGCTACCTCTGATTCCGACTCGGGCTCGGGAGGCGGAGATGGAGGCGGAAGTGGACCGGGATTGACGCCCACACAGCAACAAGTGGTCGGAGGCGTGGTCGGAGGCGTGGCGGGTGTCGCGTTGATGCTGGCAATTATACTGGTGGTTCTTCGATGGTATCGCCGTCGGCTCAAAGAACGTGGTCAACTTCCTGAACAAATTGCCGCCAGGGAGCTTGCTAGTGGGAGTGGTCCAGGAGCCTCTCAGGCCATGTCTCAACGGTCTTCAACTACTCCCTTGGCGGCCGCGGTCGCTTCTAGCCTCAAACGCCTCAGGCCGCAGAGCAATCAGACTCTAGCCACCAACACCACGGGCTTGACCGATCCCAGTGTCAAAGAAGCAGAACGAGGCTTTCAACGCATCGCCGGCCGAAAGATTGCTCCAGTACTGAGCAATGGAGGGGACCCGTATGGCGGAAATTATGGGGCATTTGAGAAGGAATCTTTGGCCGGCCCTTCAGATCCATCAAGCAACCAGGAGAGAGGTCTTTCAGGGGCTTCATTCTATCGGGACAGTCAGGGCTTCTATGGCGGGAAGGGAAATCAGTCACCGACACTCCCGCCTTCTCCAACCACCGCCACGACCGGGACGAGAACTGGAGACATGACCACCACTGCAGGGACGACATCCAGTGCCAGAGACTTCGTTGAGCCAATTACCCCCATGGCCCGGAATAGCAGCCAGATTTCCTTGACCATGCCTAGCCGTCCCGAAGGTTACGCCGTGATGCGACCCAGTCCAGCTCGAACGCCGGTCACATTAAGTCCTGCTGCAAGTTCGATTCGATTGCCTATCCAACAGCCTCCAACCATGGATGAGAACGCCCCTCCACTACCGACGGCTGGTCTTCCAGTCCCAGGATTGAGGGATGGGGTCGGAAGAAGCCTCGCAAGTCAGGATGGCAGCCGTGTGAGTCGGAGTAGCGGCCTCAGTACGGGCAGGTTTATGGAGAATATGTGAATGCATTCAGGTCTAGCTCGGCAAGCTTGCCCTGCTAAGTCTTCCATGCCTGGAACTGTTTTTTTAAATAGCGAGGAGTTTGGCGTTATTGCTCGATATCAACGTCACCGTTGCGAAATGTGACTCGAGCTTCGAGCTGGGTATGGTTTGTCCAGGACATCTGTCGTCACGATACCCGTCATCTATGCCGAATCTGCCCCTTGGTATATTTATTGCTAGCTCAACAGGGATGCCTGCTAAGATGAACCGTGCGAGAGCTCCGGCTCCGAAATTGATATACTTTTCAGTATCCTACTCGAAGTTTGCTTTCTGTTTCTTGCAAGGCCTTGTCTCCTTACGCTAGCTCAGGCTGCATCTGTGGATGTGGTCACCTCACGCCAACATTGAAAGTAGGGAATGGCTTGTTCGTCAATATGCTTTCTCGGCCAACCTTCAGCTCGACCACACACTCTCTGCTTCATCTTATTCCAATTAACTCATTAGCTGTCCAGGACCGTGCTGGATGCTTCTCAGCCGGCTACCAGCTCGGAGATCAAGTCTCGTTTCATTGACCGACAGTTGCCTTACAGCCTAGGGGAGCTCCGTGGATCCTTCTTCGGAGCCTGTCGAATCCAATTCGTTCGGGGAGAAGCATCTCGAGGCAACAGCTTATTCTCTCAAATATGGAGGCAGTGACCATAACAGCGGCCTCAGAGACATACTAGAACCTTGCCGTAAAGTTGCTGTGGCCTTGGACCTTATCAGTATGAAGATCAGGGGCGGAGAGGTGACATCTCGTTGTCTCTCAAATTTACTTGAAGGCGGATACTGCGGCCGCAGGCTTCTATCATGATGTGATTAACTCATTTCTGCACCGTACAGAGCCGAACGCCAGATGGGTCACACCTCAAGAGAATTGGTCGCGAAATTATCTGTTCTCACAACATAAATTTATATATATTGGCAGCCTCCTCAATTCATGGGGCTTATGGCAGATATTTACAATATCATTAAGTGGTCACATGTCCACATTATCATGATGGTAACGCTTGCAATATCGTCTCCTTTTTATTTTCATCTTCGTCCACATTTGGAAGGTCACGGTCAGTTTTAATATTGGTAAGGACTTTTCACCTCCGGCTCATAAACGTAGAGTGTCGAATTATGCTGATCGGGCAAGAAATACAGACGCATCGTCTCGTCGACGAGCGCGACATCGAACGGATTCTGAGTAATGGGCGTCCCCAGATCACTTTCCATGGTCAATGGAACCTCGGACAATGGGATCATCGTGTCAACATCGACAAGTGCCAACCCGCCCACGGTGACATTGTTGGAGAACGTCGCAACGCCGCAGCACATCATCACGGGACGGTGCGCGTACACTTTCGAGTGCCCTAGGAACTTGCAGTCCTGATAGTCGACGTAGAAGCTCGGGTTGCGGACGACGGCGACCGGCTTGGAGAATTCTGGGTACGGGTTCGGGGCATGGCTCAAGTCCCAGATCGATGCGTTGCGAGCACCCCAGTTGAGAGTGTTGAGTTGCTGGCGCTTCTTGTCGTGCACGATGCCGCCGAGGTGGTCGGCGTAGTGGATGACTTTCTCATGATTGAGGGTCAAGGGATCGACCGAGACAATTGTCGCAGTCGTGTTGGGCCGATACTGCGCAAGCGTCGCCCAGATGACTTCGCCGTCATATTCGATGCCGCCAATGTGGTACTCGATATCACCTGGTGGCGTCAGGGTTGCGTCGGCCACACGTTTCCCTTCCCCGTCGTAGATGAGCAGGTGAGCATAGCCGGCGCCAGGCGAGCGATCCGTGCCGTTGATGATGACATTCTTCCCGTACGAGACAGTCTTTTCGGTCCAGTCGCCGCGGCCCAGGATATATCTTTCCTCGCCGATGTTGATCATGCCTTCGGGCTCGCCGGTGTCGCCTTCAAACGGGATCTTCTTGACGAGGTTCCACACCGTCGTGCGGCCGAGGCGGTTGAAATGCTCGATGATGGCTTCAAAGTCCGCCGCTGCCCCAGGCTCGGGTAGTGGTGTGGGCACAAAGGGCACACCGGCCTGATAGACGGTGATGTTTGTAGCCAAGGCTGTCGTGAGTAAACAACTGGCTGATAACAGCGAAATGTTTGGGAGATTGGTGAACAGCATTTTGATATCCTCAAACGCTGCCTTGTAGTAACAGTGCCTTGCGAACTCTAGGAGCCTGGTGGTAATATCAGGACGTCACACGCTGGGAAGAAGAGAGTTTATATGTGCCTGGCTTACCTACCTTGCGGCCCGGGTGCTCCAATGTGCCATCACTAATTGCGAAGGATGATCCCGTAAGGATTTTCTTTTTCGGTTACAATATAGCGTGCAGGCTAATTACCCGCTGAGAGCTCGAGCTCTTCAAAGGGCCAGCTACCGATTGTCACGTGTGAGATATCAAAACTCAGATTGGCCATTCACGACATGGTGAGGCGGGGAGACAGCTGGGAGGTTGGAGATGGCCGCAAGCATGAATGAGTGCAATATGTAAGCAATTCCTCTTCGGTGCCTGAAGATCAGAGGCTCCCTTCCAGGCCAGTCAATCTCAAGAGAGATACCCAATCTACAAATCCTACGAGAGCCGACGCCACGTGGAGGGCCATGCGAGGAACCAAAAGCATAGCAACGTTGGATCCGGAGATGGCCTACGGTCTTTGTCCCATCAAAGTCCTTCCTACAAATGCATAAATCCATAACATCATGTCCATATCTCGTTCGATCGCCATTCATACCCGCCCTCCGAACAACGCCACCCGAATCCAGACAGTGATATCCAAATATACATATCAAATGCTGTCAAGCAAAGTAAGACACCCAAGCGTAAGAGAAGTGGGGCCAGGGTCTGCTCAGGAAGCTACTGGGACTGGCACTCTCGATTTGGCCGCGTCAAGGACAGCCTGAAGCAGAGCGATTCGATCTGAGGGGAGCGATTTAATAACCTCGATCAATGTCGACACGGTCTCGTCAACGGAAGCAGGATTGCCGGCCGGTTTGGTAGATGGTGCGTGTCCCGGCTCAGGCTCTCGAGTCATTGCGAACGCCGGTATCCGTGGTGATGTGATGGCCCCGTCCCGGGCCGGCTCTTTTACGACCGCGTCTTCAGTCTTGCAGACCGCATCCAGAAGCATCTGCGAGGTCACGACCTTGCCATCTTTCTCCATCTTTAGGATAATATTTCTCCATTTGTTCTTCAGCTGGCCATTCTCGTCATACGGTTCGGTGACCGTGATCCATTCTGCAAAGTTGTCCATGCTTGCAGCTGCAGTCTCGACGTCGATCTCAAACCACTCTTGATGTTGCTTGCCACAGAGCGGATTATGTTTGCACCTTTTTTCTCGGCGCCAGTACTGATGGAGTTCGAGATGGACCAGCATTTCCACGCGAGGTACGTGAGGGACTTGTCTGATTAGACGTTTCAGGATCGGAGTGTAGTTGCATGATCGTTCCCATCTTTTCAAACGCTCTTCCACCTTTCTCGAATATCCGATCTTGACCATGCCTGGACTTGAGTCTCTCAAGAAGAGATACAAGTCTCCCAGTTGATGGTCCCTTTTGCGTGAGAGGTCTCGGAGAAGGACTGACACGAGCGTTGTCGGGCTCTTTGTGATCGGTTCGAATTCCGGACTGGGGTCACGAGGCTCCGGACTCGATACTCCCAGGCCTGAAGGAGTCCGTGAGTCGTTGGATCTCAGATTGTACCTTGGATGGGCTGTCGAAGAGGAGACGGGAGAACCCGGCCGCTTGACAATTGCTGGTGATGGCTTGACCAGAAGTTCTTCTGCCTCTTGCTTCACTTCGGTAGATGATGTGTGCTCTACCTCGCTCTGCCATTTTTGACAAATTTCTTGTTCGAGCTGGGAGCTCTGGATCTTCTCACGGTGTCTTTGCTGGCAGAAACACACCACTACCAATTGCTTGATAAGAGAAGCACGTTCAATAGCAGATGAGCATTTTAGGATCCTTCCGTGAAGAGACGAAGCGGCCTGCCGATCCCTTTTATTGATTCGATTTGTGCAGCACCGACCTTTGTCAACGAGGGGAAAGATGCAAGTGAAGGTCTCCCCCGAAGGGTCAAAGTCGCTGAGGGAGGGGAAGGCTTTCGGTGGAGGAAGCGGGGCCATCACTTGAGATAGTCTCCTTCAAGAGCCGATTGGAAGGTGGAATAGAGTGTTGGATCAATAAGATAAGAGTCTTGTCGCTTCGTAGACTGCTTCTGTCCCCTCGCGGCAAAGATACGCTATATACTGAATCGCTGGTTAGTATGATGACCGAAGAAATGACTCCAATCCTGAGAGATTTCTGAGGGATTGAAGAAGCACACTGGAGCCTGGCATGCCCCGGCATAAGAATGCTGCGCCTTTTGGGGGCCGACTTTGACGTGCATAGAGTGTCAGATGATCCAACGCCATTGGTCAGCGGAGCGCCGACCGGGGGGTGACCAGGGGACTGGGTAAGGCTGAGCTTCAGCACAAGCCATTAGGGCCATTGGGTTGAGAGAAACGTGTCTCTTGGTTCCAAGCTGAGCCCTCAAGATATGAGTTAGTATGCTGTCGTCGAATAATCCATTCTAGATGAAGACGACCGTGCTCTGGGGTCTTGACCCGGAGGGCCGTGTTTGTAGCATTCGAGCACTTCGCCTTCGGCAACAAAGAACCATCTCGAAAATCATTATCGATGCCATCGATGCCGAGTGAAGATAAGTCGGATGGGTGCAACGAAATTACCAGAACTTGGTCGAGCGGCTTGGAAGCCAAAAGCAGATCTGAAGTGGATGATTTAGACTGTATCTTATTTGAATTGGGTATCTCGAAACTGTTCAGACCATCCGCCGAAGAAGGTCACGTACTGTACATTGTAAAATCCGTACCGAGGTGTGAACCTGCGAGTCTTTTCTTTGTATGCGGGCCCCATAACCAGCCGAAACGCCCGTCAAATCGTACACTGCGACTGATCCATTCCGATGTGAATATCGTGAGAAAAAGGCGCCATCTCCTTTTGACGTCTTGAGAAAGAAAATTGCTTTTATCGGGCCGATGCCACCCCATGTCATTAAAATGGCGTAAAATTGCAAAATCGTTTCCGTCAGAATCGAAATCCACGTTCAATCGTAAAATAAACCGCATCTCAGGGTCTTAGATCATCACCTCGTCATCATTATGCGTATTATGGCGAATTTGGTGACCGCGGCACCATGATCATCTCACGACTCCCTGGCCTTTGAAGTCGATCGATTCCAAGATGTTCTTTCCCATCGCGGCCTACAAAAACGCCAAAGGCGTATCTCGTACCTGGCGCTGGGTCAAGACGATGCGCCACCCGTCGCGAACGGCGGCCTGACTGGACCGTTTCATCCATGCCAGCATCACCTGTGGGTGTGGTTGGTGTCGCAGTGGAACCCGTCAGTCTGGCGATGAGGTCTGCTTTCGTCCTGACGTTCTGGAGGATCCCGTCGCCGAGCAAGGGGCTGGCGTACAGCCAACTCATTAACCCGGCAATTGTGTTGATGTTGTGTGGTAGATACCTTTTTCTCGTCGGCCAGATTATCATATATGACAATGCATAGATGGTGGCAAGGACACATAGCGCAATGTACCCGGGCATACTGGCCACCATTCGAACTTGGTCGTCGGCCTCAAAAAACTGTGCGGTGAAAACTCCGCCGGCAAGGACAGGAATCGATAGGGACAGAAGGGAGATGAAGCTGATGTAGCCAACCTTGTAATCGTGGTTGAGGAAGGAACTGACGATGACGTGGACCGGTCCCAAGGCCGGGTATGATAGTAGAAGTGAATGGTGGGCATCGGCGCCAGCCGGTCGCGAGAGATTGCAGAACGGTTGAACAGCACGAAAGTACATGTCAATCGGCTGCCACGCAAGGAAGAGGACCATACCGAGAAATGCGGGAAGAAAGCTGTACAAGAAGTTGGCGGGGGAGAAGCCGCTTGAATCGGTAATCGAGGGAAGTAGAGGATCAAAGCCATCCTGGACAGCATTGTTTACAAAACTGACCACCAAAAACGCAATGATGAGAAGGATGGCTGCGATGATCCATGCCAAAACGGCAGAGTCGCGTAGGAACCAGGTCGTCCACCGATACCGCACGAACGGGGAGTGAATATTGCGAGCGAATGCAGAACCGTACGAGTGGCGTTGTTGCGCTTCGACATCCACCGCGTCATTAGGAGGATGGAGGAGGCCATCAGACGGTTTCTCCGGTTGCGGTGGCGGGAATGAAAGGCGTTTGACCGGTGCGTATTCCTCGCCCACAGCATGAAAGACATCAGGTCTTTCAGAGGTGGTCCAGAATCCCAGGCGCAATTGACTCTTGGGTGGAATTTGCCTGTTGGGCTCAGGAGAAACTTCAGTCTGCTCGAAATCAGCGCCCACATTGGAGCGTCGGAAGAGACAGATCAAGTCAGCTAATGAACAGGGATCCCAGAGAAGGCTGGAGTGGCGCCGGCGAAAACGGACCATGCAATGCATGATCCCCGAACAGAGGAGAATGTACAGCGCCACCAGTGTCCAGCCCACCCCCCTCACCGTCGTCCAGCGGAATCGTGCAGGCCCATCGTCGGTGATCCACTGGGTCTGAAAGACACAGCTGAGCAGTGGCACGGTAAAGCCGGTCAACCAAAAGATCAAAAACGTCACACCCAGCAGTCGCTCGCGAGTGCGGAAGAAGGTCAGGTCTGGGAGAAGATAGTTTGATGGCAAGATGCGCATTTCTTGGAGGACCCATTGATTGCGATGCGCCGGCGCCATGCAGAAATAAGGCAAACATCGGTACACCGCTGCTTCGATGACGAAGAGCCATAAGATAAGGATGATTCCGAGCAATTGCGGGAGGTACTGGAAGACAAAATAACGTGGCGTGGCGTCTCCGTCATAGTCGTAAAGTCCGTGATTCCCAGAGACGAAGATCAGGTTGAAGATTAAGGCGGCAATCATTAAAAGGCACAAGGATAAGTATAGAAGAAGAACGGGAAGGCGTAAGGGTAATGGTACAAAGCCAAGTTGCGAGCGCAAATCTTTGGACAGGTCCACGGGGATCATGAACTCCTGGGGAACCGGTTTTCGCTGGGTTTGAGATGGTGGTCGTGGCGATGATGCCGGTTGTTGAGGTGGAGTCGGCGGCGGAGATGGCGTCGACGCGTTGGCATCTTCTGCAGGCTCGGGCTCTGCTGGCGGAAGAATGGGGGATCCAGCTCTGTCGGGGGTTGCGGTACTATGTCTGCCACGTCCCGTGACATCCTCATCTCTTGTCAATTGCTCAATGGCAAATCGAATGTATGGGGTGTCGTCAACTCCAGGTGTAGGAGGGCTCATCTCGTCGAAATTCGAGAGCATTCGCACCGTGCTGGGCCCGCCATCTTGATCATGCCGAATGTGGAGAGGTGCCGGCTGCATTACGCCGGGCCTCGCCGGTAGTGTCATCTCGGAATCAACGGGGTTCCGTCGTACGATCGGCGTTGATATTCGAGAGGGGGGTGTTTCATAGCTTGCTCTCGTCGCGTTCGATTTCTGGCTGACGGCGTCGGACGCATAATCAGAGAAGTATTCGTTCGAGGCAGAGGAGGATTTCAGAGATTCCGATCGAAGGTACTGAGGAGTTGTTGACTTGACTGTTTGGATGTGAGTGTCTTGGTCCAAGTTCATTACTTTAGAAGATGTTCATCAATGCACGAAGTCAAAACGAATGCTAAAAGACGCACGTTGACGAATGTGGAAGAAAACAAGGAGAAGTGATTAAAGCTGCATCGGGAGAAAAGATATGGTGGAAATGGTGGCGAGGCTGGGACGGTTATGGTTGTGGTTGGGAGCGGGTGGAAATGAGTGAGCCTTTCCCAGCCACCCGAAGCACCCGGAGACACATCATGACAGCAAGGCCAGCAGGAAGCAGAAACTGGGGTTGGATGCGAGATGCATTAAAGTCAGCGAATTGAAGTGCTATGGATAGACCGGTGGGAGAAGATACATCGACGCAGTGGGCTCAAAACCAGGTTTTCGCGGCCCCATGCAGCTGCCAAGCCTGCTACTCGTTCTCAGCCTCGTATTCCCAATTTGGATTAGTCCAGCCTCGTGATACTCGAACTCCACTACGCAGATGCGCTCCTCCGGCATTATCGTCATGTTCACTGGACACCAAGTCGTCAATGGTAGGTATGCCGCAATTGCGACTCTGTCACTTGCGTGCGGTGTTTCACTTCTCAGATGATCAACTTCCCACATCGACTGACTTGGACAAGTTTGCACAAATACCCACACACCATCCTTCCACACAGAATGCCGGACGTGCTGACGGTCCTCCCCGTGCTCTGGTCTGTGGCGCTCTCGTTGGCGGCGCCCATCAAGATCGATGATATTGTCGTCGATCTACAAGACCGGGTCTTCGGCTTCCTTGACTAGATGTGCGTATCCGGAGGTTGTCTTTTTGGAAAAGCAACCCTCATCCGAGACCGTCGCAGCTCACCGTTTCCAAGATCGTCCATCCCTGCGCAACCCTCCACTGTCCATATGATACAGAACCACTCTACTCAATCCTAAACGATGTCTGCTACTGTGGCGCAATCGAGGATCGGTACAATCACGAAGACACTGCTGGGACTGTGCTTGACCATGAAAATTCATTTCCACTTCAGCAATGTGAGCCATCAACCGGCCTGACAACCATTGCACCAATGTTGCTCAGTGCGTCACCAGCATGGCAACCTTCAAATACGGCCACCGTCAGTACTGTTATCCCATACTTCCGAGGTGTTGTTTTTCGAGTCTTTATGCAGCTCAACGGACCGGTCACGGACACTCTTGTTGTCAATGCAAGTACAGCACTTCCCTGCAGCGCTCTTGGTCCAGGAAACACTCAGTCAAATCTTGCCCTAGTGCCAAAACTAGTGCAACAAAGTCAGGGACAGCTTCAGGCCAAAGTTGCCGACCGTCCGTGCATCGCTGCCAACGTGTACAATCCAAATGTTATCACCTATTGGATACAGAGGATCAGGGATGGGTCAATTTATTCATTGGTTGGAAGCAACAGAATGATTGATATGGACAAGATGCACACCCGTCCGAGGATGGCTTTGACCCCGGTCACTCTACCGGCCAGCACAATGCGCAGTACTGAAAACGTGATCGAATCCATCTTGCCAGAATATCGTCACATTTTCAACCATCCCTGTGGCACAGGTTGTCCCTTCTCCCATATGTATGAGGTCAGCGGAAGAGATGGTTCCTATGGCTGCCCGAGGCTGTTTCAAGAGGCATTGAGGAGCATAACGTGCATACTGCCACCATGACGGTGATGGCTTGTGCAGCCATGAGTTGTTACAACGGTGACAAGCGCCCCCCAGCAAGCTTCAGTCCTTTAAGTGACGACCGCATGGATCGTGCACTACGTAACGAATGTACTCGAGAGGAAGGGCAAGAGCTCCAATACTAGTTTCCGACTGGAAACAAGCCGAAAATTGCGACGAGAGTAAAAGTGTAACTGAAAACAAAATGATTGGCATTCCAAAGTATCCTGGAGGCCGACTGAACTGACTAATGAGTAGCTTGGCCCTTCGCCCTCCTTTGCGCCCTCGCTTGCTATGATCACAACTAACACACGATAATCTTCGAAAAGGAGAATCTTTTTGCTCCCGCCACCATCCATAACCCTCGTTCCTTTCCCGTCACAAGCTTTTAATCAAATAAGATTCCGTCCAGAACTGAAGCGCCGATCGAAGCGATATGTCCACGATGGTTTCGATGTTCAAGCAATGAAGGCGGCTTGAAGCTCATTTAAGGGGGATTTTGTAGTGTGCGAGGCTGAATTGACGATCAAGTCCATGCAGAAGCGGGAAAAAGGACGATTATAGGGGTGGTTCCGAATGCCTTTTCCCCGGGAGATGGTGAGGTTTCGAGTGCCGTCTCGTCATGTGCAAAGGCATTGTTGGTATTTTTGTACACTGAATTAGAGTTATTCCGTGGTGGATGAATTTGGTAATCCCCGAAGGGAATACTGCGGCTTTGCGAGAGAAAAAAGAAAGTTTTTATTTTTTCCGTCCCTCCAAGGATTCCGAGCGAAAGCAGCACGGAAATCGTAGGGAGAAACAAACTTTTCAGTGGTACGATGAGGCTGCAGCAAAGGATTTTGTACACCGGATTGGCCGGGCCTGTTTCACCACCGACATCAAAGAAGACAATTATCTCCTTCCAGATGTGTTGCCGGAACCACTGCCTGTCCCGCTTGGTCCTTCACCGGGTAATACGCCTGTGCCACTAACGTAGCTCGTACGACTGGGACTGGTACGAGCGGTTTGCTCTTCGATGATATCGCTCAATCTTGTTGGATGGCGGTGACGTGTCTGAAGGGTTTCCCAGCCTGCCGTTGCTTGAGTCACTACCGGTGGTGGTTCATATCCTTGCCCCTCGTAACCAGGGGATGACGGATCGATAATTCGGCCTTGTGGAATGGATGGAAGGGCGCCGGATGTCGTCCGCGGAATACTGGAAGCTGTGGCGGAGGTAGTGGGAATTGATTGCTGAGATTGAGGCTGTCGATACTGTGCGGCGTACATCCGTTCCCTCTCGGCATCGGCAGCATGATCGTCACCGTCTTCAGAGATGTCCTCCTGCTCTCCAACGTCATCATCACTCATCTGCTCAGCAGCCTCCGGGGCAATCGGTTGGCGATAAGGAATTCTTCGGCCTTGGGCGTCACGTGTATAGCTGCCATCTGGATTGATGTGATATTCCTCCTCCGAGGCGGCCGAGGCAGTAGATGGGATGTAAGAGCGGTCTGTGCCTCCAGTTCCGGAGCGGACTGGAGTTGGCACAGCACCAGACATTGGAGCATTGGTGGTGGCAGCCGGGTAGTAACGAGGGTCGGTGGGTGCTCTGCCAGGAGACGGACCACCGCTTGTTGCAGCACGTGCGGCAGCGGCAGCGGCAGCGCTGGTTTGGAGTTGTGTTGGGCGCGGCGGGGTTGTGTAGAATTGAGTGTCTGGCTCACGCCGAACTTGGGCTTGTGGGCGCGATGTCTCGGTAAATGGATCTGCCACAGTTGGTGAACTGCCCGTGTCAGGTCGGTATGTGAACTGTCGGCTCTCTTCACCAGGGGAGTCCAGAGATGTGGTTGTGGTTTGGCTTCGGGATGGAGGTCTCTGGGCAGCCTGCATCTGTTGCTGGCCAGACATCGCAGTTGGCCCGACGCCCGCAATCGGTCCATCTCGAGTCTGTGGGCGCTGAGCGGCGCTCACTTGTCGACTGGGAAGACCTTGCATGGGTACAACTTGGACGCCGCCGATAACTGTGGGTTCTCCACTCCGCAGAGCAATCGTCCTCTCTCTTTCTTCCTGTTCTCGTCTCCCCAACTCTTCCCAAGCACGTCGAGCTTCTTCTTTGCTGATCTGGAGTTCTCGCCGCATCTCTTTCACTAGCTCCTCAGCCCGGTTCTTTTCGGCACGGACCGCTTCGATAGAGGTGGAGCTGAGTGTCTGAGCTTCTCTCTCCACCCGAAGTTGACGTTCGAGCTCTGCCAATCGTTCTTGTGCTTGTTCCTGCTCGTGCCGAGTCTCAAAGAACCAGCGCTGAAATTTTCGCTCCGAGGAAGCTCGAAGACGTTGCAGTTCCACCACGGCGTGAAATAAGTTTGCACCGGCGGCCGACAAATCCTCGATCTGTCGAGCCATCTGTCGATCGATTGGCTTTCCGGCTAACTCATCCGAGTTATTTTCCAAACGATGAATGAAGGAGGACACGATGCCTTCCCAATGCGCGGACAGATCTTCCCATCTCTCAAAAGCATTTGGAAATCGACTTCGGCCTCGGGTTCCTGAAGCTTGTCCACGCTGAGGCTCGACTTGAGCACCAACCGGGGGGACCGACTGCGAGGGAATTTGGGGTTGTTGGGCGGCCGGTGGGACCTGCTCGGAGGGCGCCGTGGGCTTAGCGGTGGCAGGAATGTTCAGTTGCTCGTATGCTTCCGTACGATTTCGCTGAATCGTTGCGGGGGGCCCTCTTCCCCCTGGTGGAACCGGTCTGGATGTCCCACCCGTTCGTGACGGACCGGCCTGTGTCGGAGGTATGTTTTCTTGTCTTCGAGTTGAGGGACCAGGCGCTTGAGCCGATGGTCCGCTTATGTTGTAGGTTTGGGTCGGTTGAGGGCCGGTCCTACCGGTTACTCTTCGTGAAGGGTCATCCCCAACGCCAACAACGCCTTGTTCCTCTGTCAACATCCTTCTCTCCTCCTCTTGACGCTGTCTGGCCGCCGCTTCCTCAGCTCGACGAGCTTCCCGTAGCCGTCGTTCGCGCATGACATCGGTGGGGGTGCGATATCGAGGTGGTTCGGCCGGGGTCGGCCCAGGGCCGGCAGCCGCAGCTGTACGAGATGTTCCTCCATTTTGAGTCCGGCCAGAGACAGCGGCGGTACCGGGCACGGTGGCCCTTACCAGATCTGACATTCGAGCCTCTTCTTCAAGCAGATCTCGTGTCAGCGGCTTCGCATCAGCACCACTTCCTCTTCTAATTGCTTCTAGAGCAAAAAGGATGGCGTCGTGAGTGTGTCTGGAGATGTGTGTTGTCCTCCGTGGCCAGTAAGACTCGTCTTGTACGAGGCGTTGGAAGTACCGTGGAGAAGTCGACCCAGACTCGTCAAAGCGGATTGGAGGTGTCCCGGATTGAGATGGTGGTCTTCTCGCTCGTAGAGGGGATCTTGTTCCTACAGCTCGCCCACGCGGTCTTTCTTGTAACCTCGGAGTCCTTCGGAGAGACCGAGCACTACTGGAGGTGGAGGATGGAGGACGTTTTGATGAGAGAGTTGTAGGACTTGGTTGCTGGCGTCGGGGTGACGATTCTCGTTGAGGGTCGTAATACTCGTAACGGTCGTCAAAGTGAGGTTGCTCCGATTGAGACACCTCGACTGCCGTACGTTGTCCTGGCAGAGGATCTTGGGACAACGTGGAAGATGCGCACTGAGCGCGAGGTGGTGGGTATTCAGGCCAACACTGGGAGCCGGCAGCAAGTACAAGAGACCTCGAGTAGGAGCAAGGTGTCGGAGTCACTGAGCAGTATCATGGACTCGGTGAGGGAAAAAAGTGGTGAGTGTCGTAGTTGTGTGGCTGGTCCAATGCGCTCGGTTGGGCAAAATCACGGAGGTTGGGTTCGGCTTGTTGAGTGTCCACGCCCCAGTCTCAGGAGATAGATTATATTATGGTTGTGACGATACATCAAATCTTGTGCCGATATGCTAACGCTCTATTTATTTTTGGAGGGATCGCGGTGTTGGGGAATTAGACCAGTTCGTCGCCAGGTGCGCAATGTGGTTGTGCGCGAACTCGACGTGGAACGGCGCAGACAGTCGCATGGGCGCTCCGACCTTTGCACGAGCCACTTGCTGCACGTTTGATAGTGTCAAAGCTGTAGACGGTATGGGAGAATTCGTACGAGGGATTTTAAGGGCATTTGAGAGGCAAAGGCTTTGGATCGAGCGCATTTGCGAGGAGAGGACGCGGACAGCACGAGGCAGCCTCGGCCGGGTCTGACGATTGCTACCGACAGTTGAAGGCCAAATGGAGACGGAAACACGGCGAGACGATTGAAGGCTGGCCTGGAGTAGACTTCAGACGATTTGCCATAGTCCAAGTTGCAGCCCTCAAGAGACTCGACACTGGCGCATTTTGGTGAATCAGGGACAGATTTGTGTGGGATCCGACGATATTGGGGGAGGCTGGCACTGGCAAACCGCTGTAGCGCAGACTTGCTTGGCCCGGCGACGATGATGAGTTGGCACGCCCATCCGCCTCATCCTTGGAACACACCCCTGCATCACCAACATTTTGATCCAGCGATCCCGGCCTCCGTCGATCTCCCAAACTTCTCGATGCCATCAAACAGGATGAGAAGCGAAATGAAGAGATGGAGGAACACGAATCGATATTTCCGTCTCGCCCCCCCCACACCATCAATCATCCAGGAACAGGAACGGGCCATCTGACTTTGGGGCTGGAGTCACTGCTTGGAAGGCGCTCTTTGGCCATCGGATTGGTTCGAAACTCGGCTCTCCTCACGAATCAGCATTTCAAAAAGCCATTGACACACCAAACTCTTGGTTCAACTTCCCTGCTCACGAGGGCGCACACTCCTGCGTCACCGTTGAGAACCGCAGGCCTCGTTTCGACTCACGTCCTACTACCTCTGCCCCGGTCATATGTTTGCCACTGAGGCTGAGCGCCCACAATTGATCCGATCTATCCTCCCGTCTAGCCGGACAGGGGTGACCATGGAGGTTCCTGGGCCCGACGACGAGGCTCAGATTGGTGCCATCTGCTGCATTGGTGTCCTCGGTTAATCCCCAAGCACTTTCCAGGGTCCGATTCTTGGAATTGACTTCATATCTTTCCTTACCCTCCTGTCTGCAGCTGTCACTCTGTCAATTTTGAATCCATCTTTGACCTCTGGCCAGTGAATAATGTGGGCTGTGTCGGGAATCCCCTTTTTCAGGCTCGGAAAGGAAGAGGGGTTCAGAACTGGTTGTCTATGGGCTTCGGGAACCGAACGCTGAATCTCTTGAAACACATTCTCACCCGATGTTTGCTGTTACGAAACAGACGAGTGACGTGCTGAAGAGAATGTTTCCGTGACGGTGGGTATTTGACAGGGCAAGGAAGAGCGACAATTCTTTATTTTGTTGCATCACTCTTGGATGGCTCTCGTATGTCGAGGTCGTGAGTTGCCATGCAACCGAATGGGAATGTGAGTCAGGGATAACCCCAGCAGTCCGGAACGGTATGTGGACCTGTCCTGTCAACCCTTGAACTCACAGAAATGCGATTTGCATCCCCGTCCGGCGAACCTGCAAGCCTTCGAATTGAGGGCGCAGAGATTGACGGTCTTGGTCACCAGCGATCCGTTTGATGCTGGGAGCTTTTCCCTCGATTCCCAAGCTGATGCCGATCTGAGCAAACCCATTCTCTCTCGATGCAGATGTGAGATGGAAGCCTTGATGACAGCAAACTCGTACATTTTCTGGTCCGTTTGCAATTGCCCCAGGCCGCCCGATCGTCGTTGGGACTTGGCTCAGGGAGGTCTGTGCAATTTTCTGAGGCCTGGGTATGGCCATTGCTCTCACAACTCGGGCGCAAAAAGCTCTCCTCCATGCAACATCATCCCTGTCTTTTCGAACAAACTCATTCGTCAATCCTGGTTACTTCCACCGCCACCGCATCAGATCACGACTTGCTTACGGATCACACCCGGGGATGGATGGATCAGAACAGCCACTATCCATTCACAGCGCCACGGAATCAATTTTCCAAACGTCTATATGTCTTGCAGTTTTACATATATCAAAGGAAGCCGTCTTCCACTATAATTTCCACCTACTTCATTATTCAAGTGAAAATTGAGACCTCGGAGGTTAAGCCATCCACCCGACGCCACTCTAGCAGTGGCTGTTTGCTTCAACGACCACCGAATTGTTTACGTCTCGCTGCGTTTGAAAGCCGGGACTCCTACCCACATGCCTGACCCGTACCACTATATCCCGCAAAGAATTCCGGAAGATGCCACCTGCATGGAAAAAAAAGGATCTCGATAGACCTCCAGAGCCTCCCTTATCCAAGAAGACGGCCCCCAACCACATTTCTATTTCTTCAGAAATTTATAACTTTTCGAATCCGATATCTTATGAGCCGCTTCTCTCCCGTCCAGTCCCATCCCCATCTCCATCTTGGAACGAAATGTCAGAAGCGCTGTGGCCATCCAGACCAAACCAACTATTCTCCGTCACTCACAAGCACGGGAATAATACCGAATCCTTTCCATCAGGAAACACACATCGTGACTCCGTTACCACTTTGGTTGAATTCGGCGACTGGGTATCTAGACAATCACACCACCGGCCCCCCAGTCTCCTTCCGCCGGCTCCCCATCTCTTCCCAAGTACCTTTCACAGGGAGACCGGCAGCGTGGAGTGTCGACTCTCTTCAATAGCCCCGTCCGGTACAGATCAGGACAGCGGAAGGCTCTCAGGGACTCAATACAATTGGAAAGGAAGCGCCACTCCTGTTGAATTAAACAAGTTGTGTGTCCAGCTAGAGGAAGACTCTTTCGCATCTCCATCAAGTCGACCAGCTCCGTTATTGACTGATCCACATTCACGCTACTCAACATCTCCATCAGACATAGGGGCGGACTGTCCGACCACCACAATAACCGTGTCTATGATCTGTTCACCCTCGGTGCCCGTTCCTGATATCAACGAGAAATCCGCCCCGAGACCCGAGAGAATGATACCGAGCTTCAGCTCCCCGTTTCCCACCCCCCTTCTCTATCAAGGAGACTTTTCAGTCCCAGCAGAGCAGACCATCCCCCCAGCATATCTACCATCTCGACCTGTTCCAACTCCGACTCCGAACGTGTACACCACCAAATTACCGGTCTCCGGTTCCAAGGAGAACAGCCCGGAGGAAGTCTCATACATTGACTGGGACGATGACGAAGACGGTCACCCCAAAGGTGAATCACGCTTGACGAGGATGAAGAAAAGCTTCAACGACCTTCGCGCAGCCGAACGATTCATCTCCGAAGCTGCTGCACGAAGAAAAGCTCAGCTGACGAAGGAGGGGCAGAGTGGTACCAGACTCACTGACAGAGCCATCCCTCTCGGCACCCACGACGACAGACTTGTCTCTCGTCAGAGGGAGATGTGCGGGGACTTGAAATCTGCCGGACACCAAACTGTCCTTGCCCTGGCACCGACGCAGCCCTCAACTCCCATCTCATCCCGATCCAAGCAAGGGAGCGTTCGTATCCAAGTCCCGACACCAGCTAAGCTGAGAAAGCGGCCCAGCGCATGGTCCATCTCCAATCCAAATCCTCATTCGCATTCAATCCCTCAACCCTCAAGCCCAGCCAACCGGCACACGAGTCGCACAATCAGCTCCGAGTCGGGAGGTGGTTCGGCAGTGACATCAATATCCAACAACCAAGGGGCCAAGACAAATATTAGCACGCCCACAACACCAACACCATCCTCTGCAGGGTCTGGAACCGGGCAGAGAAAACGAAGTGAGAAGATAAAAGCAAGAATGAACCTTGTGACCAAGTGGGTTCGACGAATCCTCTGGAGCAAGAAGAAGGAAGACGAATAGTGGATGACTATAGGGACGACAATGATGATAAAGTTGGTGAAAAATGTTTTCGTTTTCGAGATATGCTTCGAAGTCATGTCTTCTCCGGAAACTCGTTGTGTCCGTCTGCTGTTTGTTGTTTACATTACATCTTCCGGTCCCCATGGTCTGTGAATTGTGCGCATCTGAGTTCTACGATTTTTACAGTCTCTCGGGTCTTTTTCTACAGACTTCTCTACACCGACGTAACTTTATAGTCGAGGAATGAAAGTCCAATATGAGGAGGGGGGAGAGAGATGGATTGAGCACCGGGCCGGGCAGTGAATGAGGCTACCGGGAGGGATTATGAGCTTGGTTATGTGACCACGGCCGTGACGATGATTATAATGATGGCACCGGAGGCAATGCGTGATGACCAGACCGGTTATGAAGAAGGAATCGAAGGCGGAGCCTTACGGGTGGAGGGAATATAGCGAAAGCAAGAGATTTTATTTATTTTTTGCTGAAGTTACTTGCTACGATGCTAGTATGCCATGCTGCGATGGGAGAATGATCAAATTGATCTGATTTACAAGCCTCTCTCACCGTACGCTTGGCTCATCCCAGCGAAAGTATGCGACTTCTTTACTGTATATGGTTCTCTACTCCCCCTTCCTCCCCGTGCTTAGTCTCTGATTTGTTGTTGCTCGAGACCCGGACATCAGGCTCTAGACACGTGGGTATGAGGGTTTGAACTCGAGATGGCTCCTGCGGTCCAATGCCTTGCGTGTCCAAGTCCAAGCAACGCGGGACGTTAGATATGGGGATATGTCACCCCCGGAATGGAAACCAGTTGTATCCTCTGCTCCCTTCTCTTCCGCTGAAGCTGGCGGATGGTCACAACGGATGTGAATGTGACTTGTGGGCACGTGGTTTATTTTGATGGCACCGACTTGAAACTCTGTTTGAGTCAAGGCTGGTCAAGGGAGATGAAAATGTAATGGTGAGAAAAGAGTTCATATCCAGCTGGATTAGATTCATGGAAAGAAAGCTGAAGACGGTGACGAAGACAACTGCCGTCTCGAAGCGGCCAACCAATCCAGGCGAAGCCTTGGGCTTGACAGGAAGCCATCATCGGCCCAAGCGCCGTTCGAAGGCGCAACGAGTGGCCGTCGTGCTTCCATGCGTCGTCATTTTCTCCCAGCAGATGATCCCATCCAGGCGAACGAAGAGACTAAAGAGAGAAGATATGTTGCAGGATCTTCTGGAAGGAGGCTGGGAATGACTCAATCGTCAAGACAGGCGTTCATTTCCGTCGGACATGAGTTATCGGCCCATCAAAGGGACACGGGCCACAAGCCGGAGTCAAGGGAACGCTTTGAACCAGCAAATCCCATCTTGACAGGTCCGTGTGATGGCTATCATTAGGCAGTAGTTAGGTCAGCTAAGATGGATGATGGGGAATGAAGAGAACTTTTCGAAGACTTGTGTGACAGTTCGTAGTGCGATATTTGGGAGCGAAATTGATTGTTTTGAATCCACTCGATAGTCTGATCTCGCTGAGATGTGCACAAAGGGAACCATTTTCTTCCCCAGTGTCAGCATCCGGGGGGGTGGGGACTTCTCAAACCATTGACAGATCTATCCCGAAGCTAGGTCTTCGGTTCGCCTGCTAAGCGGCACCGGCATGGAAACTTTTTTTTCACTCAAGAGATGAAACCTTCCCAGAAAGGTAAGCTAAACCTGTGGCTGGGAATATAGCTACCGAACTTCGGTAACTTCACACTCCTAATCATAGTCATCGAGGATCCCCTTTCTCTCGAGCGGAAGACTGACACCGTTGAGTGAGGAGAGATGAAACAGAGGACTGGAATGGAATTTATTTCAGGATCAAGAAGTGATTGTCACTTGGATCAGGTTGCCCGCCATGACCATCCGCCAATTTGTGACGGAGCCCCAATTAGATTCAGACAGGAGCTGCTGAACTTCGTTGAAAGCCTGGAGATGATGGCCTACGTGCCTCTTGTTTCAGTGGCGAATCCTACCGAGAGAGATCGAAAATCCATCTGGTGAGATATCATCAAACCAAGAATTGGGAAAGAACCGAATATTTGGGCGCCCGGCGCATCGCCATGACCAAGCAGATCAGACTGATAGACTGTAGAGTCTAGAGAAGGAATGTGTTGTTCTATCTAAGAGACGAAAAGAAGGAAGGGCGCAAGTTGCCAAGGCAACGCATCACGTGACTGGCCAACACAGACATGGGCAAACATGTCGTATTTCACGCCCTCACTTATTTGGGAAACGGCTGTGCATATGGTCAGCCACACTCCGTGGTCTTAGTGAGACTTTGAATACGAGTCAGATCAGCTGAAAGCAGTTGTCCTGGGTCGAGACATCTCAGCTGGAAAACGGCGACAATTGTGGTGGTTCAGCCCCTTGAGGATTTCGATGGAACAGCAACATCTCTTTCAAGAAAGATGGCTGCTGGATCATTCAAATTTTCTCAGAGACCGATCCAAATTTGGTTCAAGAATAGGGCGGGCATGACAAAGGCATGTATAGATAAATATACTTTATTGATAAATAACCTCAAATCAAACGTAGTGCTAGTCAATGCTATGCCGTGCCAACCCCTAACCTTTCTTTGCGCTGTGTCACCGGCAACTCATCCGTGCGACATGACATCCAAAGTCCGAAACCAATCCAAGGTAAATTTTGACGCCTCGCTGTGACTTTCAAAATGCAAACGATATGGCAGTTATTCCTTGGGGTGGTTTACTGGCTCGGAAGGGTGACAGAACCACCGATGTCCTTCAGCCAGGAGATGCTGTTGAATTCACTGTAGATGGTCTTGATCTGCCATGTGTCTTTTTGACCTTGGGCATTGGATGCCGTGAGGATGGTGATACCCTTGACTGGCTCAGGTTGAAGGCCTCCAAGCCAGCGGAAAGCCACGGTGTCACAGTTGACAGCCTCGATGGCGAGCACTTGGAATGGGACGGGAGGTTGAGCACCCTGACCAGCCATGAAAGCAGCCTTGCTAGGGAAGGTGACGGATCCCACGGGGGCGCCGATGAGAGAGTTAATGCTGTCCGAGTAGTCGGTCAAGTCATCGGCCAGCAGCTTTTCGGCATCGGCATCAGTGTAGGCGGAGATGAGTCCTCCGAAGCCGTTGACGAGATATTGGGCAGATTCGGTGGTCAAACATTTGCCGGGGTCCTTGTTGCCCCAAACGTTACCCCATGGTGCGGCATGGACAGAGGAGAGGAGGGTCGCGGCAGCGGCGATGGTAGCGAAGGAGCGCATTTTGAATTTTAAGAAAAGGTTTTGAAAGGAATGCAGATATGTTTGTTTGGCAACGAGTGTTGTAATGGCTTGTTGTTTAGAGAGTGTTGGATTTTTGTGACTGTCTGAGAAAGTGACTTGACCCCCCGGGGGGGGAAAGGGAAATATATGTAAAAGAGATCCCAAACTCTGGAGAAGCATTGACCAACTTGATCCAGGCAAGACCTGAACCGAAAGCCAGTTCCTCTTCGTAAGTAGCTAAAAAGAGCTCCTCGTATTTGGATCCCGCATCGCCCATGACCGGCTTTGTCGACAAGGTGTGGCCAAATATGGCATGGATCCGTGGGAAGGAGAATTTTATCCGTCCGGCCGTAATGCTAATTTGGATTGACAGCGAACCCCAGCCACATGATGCTCGTTCGGGACGTGTGCCCCAGTCGGACGTTTGAAAAAGGATTGCCGAAGACGACATGCGCTGACGTGCCGATAAAACGGCCAACGATTTTGTCCATAGATTAGGCCAGTCCTCCACACACTTTCTCACTCTGGCCTGTCGCTTATCTCAGCCCACCGATCGTGGAGGCTAATCGAGGAGGACCATAAACCAAAGTCGGCCTAGGATTTGGGGTATATTTTTGTGCCGGTCATTTCGTATTTGCCCTTGAAAGCAAGCTTCTCAGCCTTCCTCGTAGAACTTGTCTCCACCACCTGTCTTGGCTGGCTTTTCCCGGTGTAAACCTGGCAGAAATTTGCCAACGAAAACCCGTTCGCAGGGATTGAATTCTGGTTGGCGTGCTATCGTGTTCTAGGCCCTTCGTTCCATTGATTGGGGAAGGGTCACCGAACGATCACTGAATCCTTTCCCAATTTGATGGAGAAATTCTTTTCCTCAACTGTTGCTAAGTGGGCGCCTGAAGGAACACAGGATCAGTCTTGTCATCGAGTGGTCCGAACGTTGTCAATTCTGGACATCGTATCTGCTGGCCGATGACTTCCTGTCAACTGTCAATAATCATCGACCGACGAGCTTCGGACAGGTCCTCTATTGACCGGCACGGATCTCTCCAAGAGTTGGTTTGAACTATGTGGCCCCAGCCACGTACCCACGAATTAACGTCACTGAACACTGCCTCTGGACGAAGTGCTCTCGTCGGAGATCGTGACGATTCCATGCCGATCCAAATCCATTTCACTTTCGATTCGTGTCGTCCCGTAAGGCACTGGGTTTTGAGTTCCTGTCTTTAGGGACCGCTTTGCTTTGATCATTTGCATCACCATGAGATTGAGAACACATTGAATACCCAGTTGCTCTCCCCGTTTAACAATGTATCCGTTGATATAATCAATCTCCGGTACCTTACCGTTTCGAATATCTTCTCGCATGCTACTGGAATTTTTAGCAGTCAGACGGGAGACACCCAAAAATAGTTCCTCGAGGCGTTTGGCAGAGAAGCGCAGTCGGACATTAGGAATCCCTTCAAGTTCCGGAAGGCTCCGAATCACCAGAGATATCTCCGCCAGCAATAATTTCTGCACGACCGAGAGATGAAAGTTATTTAACATTGCCCCATTGGGGACGTCATATAATGCGGTGAGGGGATTCAACACGGCATTAGTGGACAACTTCTCCAGCTGTAACTGAAACAGGTCCAGGTAAGGGAAAGCCGCACAAGCCAGGACGGGTGACCGTGTCAGGGTGCGGAGGAGGAATCGTGAGGAGAGGCTGGCGAAAAGGTCTTTGTCGGTCGGATAGTACTTTCTGCGTTCGTCTTCGGGAAGGTCTGAAATGTTTTGCGGGGAGAATCCGTCTGGAAGAGGGTGGCGGTTAGGATCTCGATATATGCCCAATGCCACGGTTCCAAAACCAGCGTGGACAATGGCGCAAGGACCCTCGGCGTATACGCCGTGGGACACAATTCCCAGAAGATAGGTCGGTCGGGTTTCTGGATCAGTGAAGACTTCTCGATTGAGTTCCTCTATCTGTCCCAGGCCGTTTTGCATGAAACAGATTGTCGTCTCCGCGTTGACCCGGTGCTTGACCGAGCGCAGGGCTTTCACCGTAAATGGACCTTTGACCGCGACGATTAACGAGTGGATGTAGAGCTCTCCCGAAGGCATCTTCTCCTGCTCCTCCACCGGATTGGTCTGCTCCTTCATCCAGGGTCGGTCAGGTATGAATTGCCATTTGGCGTCCGCATCCGGAGTGTCATTTTTCTCAATCAGATCAACATCGTATCCGGTCTGCTCATCATTGATCCCGTTCTCTTTATTGATCAAGCTGATCGCCCGGCCAGCCCTTTTGAATTCTTCGTACTGTTCATGCTTGTGTACCATCAGTGTTATCGGAGGCGGATTCGGCAAGCATCGCAAAGAATGCGCCACCAACATCCCGATGCTTCCTAAGCCGAGGATGTGGACGCGCCGAGTGAGAAGGCGTTCGGTGTCAGGATCAGAGAACTCAGTATCTTCCAAAGGTCTCGATGCGAACGATGGTGCATCATGGGGAGTCTCTTCCTTCTGGCGGAAACCGCTCCACCACGATTGAGATTGTGCCATTGTTTGAAACCCGAGTCGACAATGGCGATGAAGAGGGAGGAATTTCTGGGGAGGCAGAGAGCCAGGTCTCACGAATGTTGGCCATTTGCCCGCAGCTCGGGAGAGCGGGCGAAGATATAGTCGTTGCGACAGTTTGAGGGTCGATGAGAGTCGGCTTTCTCGCTGGTTCCAAGGGACGGGGTACCATCCGAAGTTCGAATAATATTCTTATCCGGGTTGAAAGTGATCTGTGGAGGTTGTGAATCTCAATGGTCTTGCCGGACTCGAGAAATGGTCGCCTTATCAAGACGGGGATTAACGGGAAGACGCAGTTTGAAGAAAGTCATTGAATCAGCCTGGCGACTACGTCTTAGCAGTCCAATTTCCTTTCCTATTCTAGCGGGTGAGCTTGCCGCTCTAACTCACCCCTGGCTTACCCTCTAGCGCATCCTTGGCTCACCCTGCCTGCCGCGCGGGCCGACAGATGCAGCAAACTGCAGGGGTTGGATTGGCCGATACGATGAATACGTTGGCAGGACTTCTGTGGCCCCTTTGCGCACCTCGGGCCACATCAGATGCCCTCTCATTTCATTCGAGCCTGCATCGGCGTCCACTGATAACTATTCCTGGACTCTGTGAAACGAAAGAGAGCAGGTTGTCTTGACCGAGTGCTTAATGGAAAGTACGCAATGCGCAGGAACAGTCTTGTCACCTTTAGCTCAAACATTCATCGCTTTCGTCCTCGAAGATAGCCTTGCGCGGGCTAGCCCAAGTATTAGGTCTGTTGTCTCACTCCTGAGAACTTGTCGGGAAAAGATCTCTCGCGACGTCGCTCGGTATCTCGAGTCCATGCAGGCAGGAGTGTCTAAGGCCAAGTACCCTGGTCCTGAGTCGGACAAGCTGTACGGCGCATCGTACATCCGTGGGAAGTCTCAGCATGCGACAAATGCAAAGATGAGGATGATCCTTGTTGCCCCGATTGTGACCAGCTGAAATGCAACGACATCGTTCGAAGAAGAGATCTGTCGTGCGAACTTTGCGCACAGAGCGTCAGTGATCGTGTTCAAGCCGGTCAAGCCTGTGGTGAAGGAGATACCGATGACCACCATAGCGAGGTTGTTACGCAACCACAAGTGGCTCTTCAGAGCCTGCCACCCCGTCAGGGATTGCATTCACACCATCCTCTGGTTCACTTTGGCCGAATTGGCTCAGCGAATAAAGTGATGAATCAGGAGAAGATCGCGATGCTCTCGCCCGAACTGAAGGTCTCGTTGCCTTGGAGATGGACTATGCGGACAGCCACAAGAATAAAGAATGGCAGGAGTACGCTTCGATGACGGCAGCCGCATGTATGCGTTCGATACTGGATGAATGGGCCGTTGACGATGTACGTGATTTCAAAGATACTATTTCGTGCTACACTATCTGAGCTCAGTTTCCGAACCCTGACCTGACGCTGCCATTGTTTAGTACATAGCCTGCCATATATAGAAGACCCCGACGAGCGAAGCGTGTTCACACCCCACATCCCTGCGACCCTCGCTCAAGACGGGCGACATGTACAGTGGGACATGCCAGAAGCCTGGAACAACGGTTAACCCTACCTGCCCCGAGGTCATGGCAGCTATCGCATTCGCCGACAAAACTGTTGAGCCCTTGGCAGGACGTCTGCGACTTTTTCGCTTGAAGGAGTCGGACCAGGTCGTCCATGATTATCATGCCAACCTCTTCACGGAAACGACCGTCACGTGATGTCGAGGTGTGAACATGTCCAACTGGTGCAACTCGAGATGTATTGAATGCTCTGTTCTCTATCTACTTGTCGAGGTATTGAGGCTTCTTTTATAGACGTGCGAATACTACGTCGTTACACAGAGCAACCATCAGTAACGTCGTCTATGGAAACCTCTCACCAGTGTTTCAGCTGTGGACCCTATACACAATAGCCCTTTGTTCAACAGAACAACACGAAAGGCGTCATGAAGCGGTTGATGCTTCTGGAGCGGAACGCGTCCAGCGTGGTTTCAAGAAATCCAGAGGACAAATTTCCAAGCTAGCAGGCCACTCTGAAGCAGGACCTTCAAACACTCCTCGACGAAGGATAGAGCAGAGACCTTTCCCTGGAGCAGTTCAAGTAATGCCGCCAGCGCCATTTCGAACAGGATCGCATCCGCAGGTTCCGATTACACCTCCACAATCCTCGACGGATACTATAACTAAAGATAATGGTGACCCCATATTGAAAGAGGAAGTACAAAATCAGCAGCAGGTTACGGCAATGTAAGAGCACGCCCAAAAGGGAAAACAAAGAGAAAGCGACGAGCCCGAACTCATCATTCAATTGAAAGAGGCGAGAGATATAACCGTAAACTTTGAGAATGAAATCAAAAAGAGGGACGAGAGGATCGCAGAATTAGAACGGCAAGTTCGAATCGCCCAGACCAAACGTATTTCTGCGGTTAGCCAGGCACAGGCTGCGTCATTTGATGAGGAATATGAGAGGCTACGAAAACTCTGCCATGAACGGGAGGAAGAGAAGCAGGAATTGCAAGAACAGCTCAAAAAGAGTGGAGCTGATGTCAAGAGGCTAGAGTTGGAACTTCAAGATAGTCAGCTAGAAGACCAAAGTCTGAAGAGACGATTACGGATGACGAGAAACAGAGCGGGAAGTCCACCATGTGCAGCTAGTCGGGCCGTCCCGGATGACTAACGAACAGAACGCGCCAACTGCGGACCCAGCGCAGGTAAATGACCCACGGCTTCCCTCTCCAAACATGATACGGTATTTGGCTTGCGCAGGAAAACAGCCATTCCGCCATGTTACAAAGACTGCGACCTGATTGAAATACTGGACCAGGCTTGGGCTTATGCCGCAGAGAGTTTAATTATTCGGTATTGTAATGTACAGCTTTAGGATGGCCTTCGCGCTACAACGACATTCCTTGGCCAGAAGTGCACCCGTCATATTTGAAAACGTCTGTTCTCAGCAATGAGCGTTGCTTCTCAAACCGACTACATAAACCAGATTGAGTCCGTGAGAGTTTGTCACCGCAAAGGTGTTCCCGGACACAGCGTCCGCTTAATTCCTGCTCAGGGAGAAATGGTGCACATCAGCTCAACGCTCGCTCGACACATCATCGAGCCCTGTGCACCTGTCAGGCTTAGAGAAAGGCTCGAATCCGTGGCTCTGCATCCCGTGAAGCAGTCTACCATCCAGGAGAGAGCATGATTCCAATCCTCATCAACCTTTGGCGTAAGACACACACAGTGCATTTAGTCTTTCATGAAACGGGTACGGAATTCTCATGGATACTTATCAATGCTGATCAGAAAAGGCCACAGCTCTGAACCATTCACGTCGTGTAGAAGAGCTCCAGAGAAGCCAACTTCCAATATTTGTCTAGAGCACCATGTAATATATTGCTCTTGTCTCCTTGCGCGGGCTACTGCCAGTGATTTCGAGATGATCATGTTCGTGACTTGATTCCTGCTTCGGTCCAGGGCAGACCCGGAACGCATCCGCGACTCGTGAACTTTGCCGACGTTACGCTTCGCCGGCGGACATGGAATGGCGGTGACAATGCGAATATGGAGTTCGGAAAAGCCATACCAACGCCTTTCCTCAATCAGTACGGATAGCCTACGTGATTAGTCAGATTGATCAACCCACCCCAATTTCTGTGCCCCCAAGGGTCACTGATATATAGGTAGCAAGCCGTGGACCGTTTTACCGCCAAAATGTGGTCTTCCGAGTATCAGGCTTCTTTGACATGCCCCTAAACGGATCCCTCATCCAAAATGGACAATCAAAACAATTCGACGTTGTTATTCCTGGTTTCAACTCCGCAGCCTCTGGATCAACGATCTCGTGAATTACTCGCGTCAGAGGGAAAGTCTCATGCAGCGAAAATATCACATCCAGTGAACAGATCCAGGGGCAAGGTAGAAGCCAATGCAGCGGCCGGGACAGAGTCAAGAGAAATACACTTATCCCCCCCACCTCCTCCTCCTCCTCCTCAACGTCCAGAACAAGTAGCTTGTTTCGATTGCAGCTTGCGAAGTCCAACCCATTGCCTACTTCTCCCACGGTCAGAGGTTACAGATCCTTCGGAGGACCTGTGGCCATCCAATGCCAGAAGCACTCGTTCCGGGTCGAGCAGGCCTCCAAGAACCCAGCCTCATCTAGGTTCAAGAAACGTCCGCCTCCAGACACAGAGGCGTCGTCACAATCAAGAGAATGCTACCAAGCCATGTCTGCCGGTCCTCCGCCTAGATCCTCTTTACTGGCTGCCGTACGAGAAAGATCAAAGCACATATGAGGCCGTGGACTATTGTGAGCCCTTTCTGCTTTACCGCCACTACCTGTGACCCCTCTGGCTACTGACGGTCTTCATATCCTTGTCGTAGTTACCAATATTGTTGTTCCAGCCCAGGAGCCAATCTACGAGATCCTCAACGTCACCAGCAGTTACATTTCTTTCTCCTTCGCTTGCCTGACCAACGGCGAATCGTCCTACCATGCGGCTACTGCCGATATGCTAGTCACCTCTGAGCAGCTGCGAAATCCAGGTTGTAAGCCTTCCCTATCGGTTCTGTTCCATCAAGCTCGAGCGATCGAGTGGCTTCGGCGTGAGATCTCCAATCTCAAACAGCCCACCAACGCCGTGTTGGGAACCATCTTGTTCCTCATCGTCCTCGATGTACGTGTCAGATATGATCTCGAGAACAGCAGAAAGCAGCTATTAAATTCCCACTAGATTACAACCGGCGGGTCTTCATATGTCAACCTCCACGGAGACATTCTCGCTCGCCTCGTCGCGCTGCGAGGGGGACTAGATGCTCTTGGTCATGAAGGCTTTGACAAGGCTGCTTTCATGCAGTCAGTCCATCTTTCCCCGAGTCTTGAGAAGCACTGACCATCTAACACATTTTCACTCTGATAGATTCGACTACATCTGGTCCCTCGCCAAAGGATCTTCCCTCCTCGCCCCCCCAACACAATACGCTCCGATATTTCCATCCCACCCATTTTCTCAATGGCTCGTGGAAACCATCACCTTACTGCCCACTGGCTTCCAAAATCTGGTCCGGCAGTGCCTCCTCCCCTTTGACACCATCGAGCTGCTCTCCCGCGTCGGCGATGCTGGCCGCCGCAGCAAGGGCAGCAGCATATACGTTCCTCTCGAGCCGGACAAAAATCCTTTCCACTCCCAGCGACGGAAATACAATTCATTCAGCGACGCTGTCCCTTGCCTCCTCGCCCCGGAGGAAGTTGTCCCGCCACTGCTTAAAAACCTCTCACTTGCCTTGATCCTCTGGTGCAACAAGGCATACTATGACAACCGCGCTTCGAGTATGATCTCCGTCGGTTCTCGGCGTGTCTTGACGACGCGCCTTCTCGAACTACCTCCTCCGGCTACGGCTTCAAAGCCCCGACTCTCAGAAGCCACTTCCTCAGACGAGAAGGATTGCACCGTCTGGGTCTGGTTAATGGCACTAGACTCATGGCGTTTGGATGACGGCCACAGCCTGCACTATGTCGGGCGCGAGCTGCTCGCCCAGCTCAAGCAGCAATTCCCACGCGAGACGGCCGACTTGGACGTCCTGGACTCGATCCTCGTCAAGTTCTTCTGGACGGACGACTTGAGGGCTGGGGTCAGGACATACTGGGATCAATCATCGAATGTGCTTCCTTGTGGAAGTGCGGATGCAGCGAATGCAGCGAGTGGAGGGTAAAGATGGTCGAGTGTCAACTGATAACTGAACACGCCGACTGTCAAGACTTAGACCCGGACCAGGCTGAAGAAAGATCGACGGACGAAAAGGGGGTGCCACGGGATGTGGGGAACGGCAATGGCTTGGCGGCGGTGCAAAGTGAAGGTGATCGGAAGTTCATCGACGGCTTCCTGAAGAGGAAATCAAGCGAATAGACTTCATTCTACGGGACTTGAGCTGTTAAATGTGTTTCACGTGATTTCTCCCATCATAAACTTTCGATCGCGTAGACATATTGTATGGAGCAGGTCTCCCACAACCATTCACCCGCAACTTTCTGGAGATGCTGACTTGGGACATTTGCGAAAAACTTTGTACAGTAGTTAAAATGTACATTGCAGCCCACTATTAGCTGATCTATGTCTACCGATCCGGAGGTACCACAGAGTTTGGAGAACCAGTCCATGTCAAGGACTGTCCATCCCATCGCCAATTCGGTATAATGTGCTTTGGGTGACATGTCACTAGTGTCGTGCTTCTTGTAACTCCAGTCCGTGAAAGCGAGCGGAAGAAAGTCAAGAAATTCATGGCGCAGTTGGTGGAGGGTGTCCGATACTTATTTTTTGCTGGCATTGAATTGTGGAAGTGGGGTAAGAGGATCTTCTTCTGGAAGCGTGCAAGGAAGCCAAGGATTGCAGCATCCAAGCGGAAACGTGCCTTTCAAAGTCTGTCTGCATCCAGCTGTACAGATTATCAACAGCAATTTATTTAAAAAAAAAAAAAAAAAAAAAAAGGTTTTTGCTTTGGGAAATGCGGAGCGTCTCGATACTATTTTCGGCGGCTGTCGGCGCCGCTTTCGGCCTCCCTTTCGGCCTCCCCAACCCCAAGGAGAGTATTTACATTATCGCATTATTGAGATATCGTCCCATCATAGCATCTCATCTACTCTCGACATTTCTCTCCCCATTCTTCCTTTTCAAAGATTATAGCACCCTTTCTTCAGCAACATGAACGAATCCCCAACCGGACCTCCGTCTCCGCGAACAAATTCCCACTTCAGTGCGGTGGCATTCAGGACTGTCAATTTGCTGAATCCGTAATGTTCCTGGTCCAGTACCGCAGTAATATTCAAAATGGTCTCATCTGAGCTCAAGAAGCTATGAGACTCAATGTTACCGGCCATACCATTAATGATGTGGGTCATGGATTTGCCGGGGTTAGTGAAATAAGTGTTGTTGTCGACGACAGATGCGGAGTCGATGGTACCGTTGGTGCCGAGAGGCCAGAGACGTTCGTACCAGTGGATGTGTCTAAAGGGAGAGGGACAGTTAGAGAGGAGGAAACGGTAGGCAGCGAGGAGCAAGGCGGAACTTTACCCTGACAAGTACATATCAACCTCATTTTCGAGCAAGAGAGCCTCGAAAGCGTTGCGGACATTCATCTGATACGACGAAGTCTCGGAGCTGTACATAGGCCGATGGCTCATGGTAATGACCCAAGGAGTCTTTTCTCGGTCAACGCGGGCAAGATCTTTGGCAAGCCATTGATACTGCTGGTAAGCTTTGTTATCGCTATAGCTGCCATCAACGGCACCGAATGGTCCGCTGTCGGTGATGAAGGTTTGAGACGCCGTGGGGTGCGTCTCGTTGCCTTCGATATCACGTGCAAATGGCCATTCGGGGCTGTTGGGGAAGTCGGTCTCTCCATCGATGGCGACGAAATGAACCATGCCGTAGTCGAATGAATACCAGAAATTACCAACACCACCTGTCTCGGATCCTGGCATATAGAAACGGTGTTGATAGGTGGTGAAGTTTCTGTCCCACGTTAGCCCATTAGCCGACATGAAAGAGGGCACCCCACTAACCTCTGTGAGGGTGGACAACTGTAGTACGTGAGATTCGTCGTGGGGGATGTGGCGTTGGCTTTGTCGTCATCCAGGTAGGCAGTGAGGACATTCCCCGGCCCATCAAATTCGGCGCAGGTGGCTTCATGGTTTCCAGGGAGGACCATGTAAGGCACCTTGGTCGTGACTTTCCCGATCCATTGCTGCCAAAGATCCCAGTTGGACTCGTAAAGAACGCTCATGTCACCCCCCAAAGGACTACCTTGATTCGGGATTTCGCCTGGTGGCAAAGGAGTATTGTACTGCACAGGGAAATCTCCAGGAGGAAGTTCCGTAGAAGTACCATTGTAGCAGACAGGCCAGTCGCTTTCACAGGGAAGAATACCGGAGTACCAATCGTCAGCGTAACTCAAATCTCCTCCGTGCCAGGCAAAAGCGATTCCCTCGTTTACTGCCTGGATCAGGTGCTTGAAAGTGCCGGCAGCGTTAGTATAGCCCATGTCGTTCAAAACTGCCATGGAAAATTCAGCTGGGTCACCAGCGGCAAGGGCTGTGGAGAAATTTAGGACTTGAGAAGCCGTGGTGCCATTAGCCGCCGGAATCTTGTAGTAATACGTCGTCCCGGGTTTCAGATTCTCGATCTGGACATCGTGAAAGAATTGGCTGCATTGGGTGAAGGCTACCAAAGAACAGGGAGGTGTCCGGTCATATCTAGGTCCGAATCAGTCTCTTCGATCAATTGGGGACGTATACCTACGTGCGACTCTGTCCGATGGCCGTATTGTTCAGGTTCCCAGGACTGGTTCCCCATTCGACGGATGGAGCTCTCCCCAGACCGAAGGGCGTCTGATAATGGATGTTGATACCATTGGGCAAATAAGACAGTTGGATGACATTGATGTTGTTGGTTGCGTTCTTTTGGGCGGGCGCCACAGCTGGAGGTTCCACAAGACGAGGGAAACCTTTGCCGTTGCCATTGATAGTCGGATCAACCCAGTCACCGACGGGAACGGCGGGGCCAGTGTATGGATAAGTGGTGTCGACCGTTGGTGCAGCCTTGGTGCTGGCGGTCCAAAGACTGCAGAGAAGCACCGCCAACGTGTTGGGTTTGGCTTTCATCTTCAAGTGAACAAGGAGATAGAGAAGCTCAACCAAGCTTTACCAAGCTTTGAAAAGGACGCAGTGGTTCCTTATATCTCGCCACATCCCTGGTACCTCGCATCGAGCTGGTTTCTTGCTTCTTCTCTGTCCAGGACCGATTCTAGGGCAGAGAATGGCCATTGGCCAATGAATTTGCACGTGGTATCGAGTTCGACGGGAGCTCGGCAGCGACACGATAAGAATGTATCCAGGTGCGTGCCACGTACGCGAATACTCACTGGTGCTCCATTCCACTTCGGGAAGCTCCCACAAGGATCGCTGGGGCTGGTAGAGAGCCACAGTAACATTTGTGGCTCTCACGGGCCGTCTTGAATCACTGAGACGGATTAGCTTGGTAGCTGGTCGTGCAAGAGTTGAACCTTGAGCAAACCATCATTACGGGTGGATTGCCTGGTAACCTCCAAGAGGGCATTGTCTTGCTTTTTGGACTAGATCGATGCCCCGAAGGATTCTGCGAGAGAGCAGAAAGGAGCGTGACCGTGGTGGTTCAAAAGCGCCGAGGGCTGGGCTGGGCCGGGAAGAGGCAGGTTAGGCGGGCTTTTCACGTGCGGAGGATCAAGACCCGTGAGAAAAAGAGAATGAGGGCGACAGATATTCAACCCATGTTCTGCTCGTGCAACCATTGACACTCTTTCCCTTGCATGCAATTTTCGTCCATCAATTCGACCAGAGGGTCCTCCCCTGCTCCACTGCAATGGACACCAAATCCTTGGTCTCGATTGTCGAGCAGCTAGAAGAGAACATCGAGGACCTCGAAGACCATATCGAACCACTCTTCGCAGATGCGATTGCTACCACCAGCAGCAAGTTGCCCTTGCTTGAGCGGGCCAAACTCAACGTCCTGCTGGTCTACTCCATCGAATCCTTGTTGTTCTGTGAGTGAGGTCTCCTCGTCACTCTCAGGGTATCATCAAGTAATCTTTCACAGCATACCTGAGACTGCACGGAGTCCAAGCAAAAGAACACCCAGTATTCACAGAGTTGACCCGAGTCAAGCAATATTTCGCCAAAATCGACAAGGTCAAACCCTCCGAGCCAGGTCAGCCCAAAGCGCCGCCTTCGTTTACCTTAAGCAAAGAGGCTACAGGAAGATTCATAAAACATGCGTTGGTATGTTTGGTCGGGTACAGAGTACAATGAGACGGTCACTAATGTTCTGAAGGCTGGAAACGATAAATTTGACCTCGAACGAGCAGAGCGGGAAGCTCGAGAGAGATTCCTTGCAAATAGGAAGTTAAAAGATCTGGAGTCGAGCTTGAGAGAGAAGGCTGCTGCCAAGTCAAAAGAGGAAGAGCACAAAGAGACCGTTGCAAATGATGCACTGAAGCAAGCGGCTTTACTGGCCTCGATCACACGACCAGAACCAGAATCAGAATCATCGGACGGTTCCTCTTCGTCAGTTAGCGAATCTGAAGACGAGGGCGAGGTGAAGATTCCAGATGATCCTACACCAGCTTGCGCACTGGTCGACACCAATCCATCCCCGGCGCCAGCACCGGCTCCTGCGCAGACGAACGCTTCTAACAAATCAACGAAGGCACAAAAGCATCCACAACAGCCACAACAAGGCCAAAAACGAAAAGGAAAGCAGCAAAATCAAGGCCCCCTATCCAAGAAACAAAGGCGGGGGAAGAACCTCAAGAATAAGTCAAAAAAGAAGAAGGCGGCAGCGGCGGCTCCTGCCACTGCTGGCTAATGCGACCTGCTTGAGATCCAAATCTGTATACTACGGGGAACACGGCTTCAAGCTCTCCAGACCGACTCGGAGTTTTTACTTTCGAAAAGCTGCTTGCTGCGGAGGAATGGCTCGCTAACAAGGGTGGTGATAAGACAGCAACGTGTCTTATTTTATGGCGTTGAATGCTCAGTTCCTTGGGGATGCTGATGTCCGAAACGTGTTACAGCACCAGCAAGCGCACAGGACATCGAACTGACGCCAAGTCGATGCTCATTCCGAAGAATAACTTCGTCGGAATCCATATCCCGTGTTATGCTGAGGCTGCATGGCCGAGACGCTCGTATTCGTCGGACATCCGACAGTTACGAATCGCAGCCCAAATCAGTCATCAACGAGGCTTACTCCACGCGCTTACCCGAGACTACTCTCCTCAATTCAGACTTTCAAGGTCGAGGCATTGCAGTCAGAAAGATGCTGCGCCAGTCTTGGGACTTCCATGGGTGCACTGACTTGCTAATTGAAGAGCGGTCTGCACAGGCAGACCCCTACGGCGCTGATTATCTTTAAGTGCACAAGAGAATTTGTTTGCGATCGATCAGCCGTCAGCCATTCTATCCCGCCTCACGGGCCTGCCAAATCTTTCTGTCTTCACAGCAGGTCATGCTCTACCACAGCATCACTGAGACTTCTCTCTAATGGCCAAATGCGTAGCTCCAAGGTCTTTGCCCAGTACACGGCGGAAGGACCCAGAGGGAGATATCTAGATTTTGTGGGCGGAACCGTAGTCGACAAAGTCGGAGAGGATGGTGTCCTCGTGGACCGGGACTTTGGTAGGAGCGGGATGATGAAATGGAGAGGGTATGTCTCAAATCTGCCGGGCCCTTCGATGCGAAAGTTGTATCGACTCCTCAAGTCATCTATATTTATTTTCTGGATTTTCCATCTTGAAATTGTCTTCGACGTGGTCAATGGAATATGGCGGACCTCCATTGGCGACTTCTTTGTAGTCATGTGGAGTTTCTCTAAATCCAATAGCATTTTGACATTTTCTTGCTAAGCATTAGGCCATACTGCTGTCATGGTACCACTCTTTCAGGAAGAAGGTAGTGATCAAGAGCTTCAATTTGAAACGGAAACATTCAAACTGTCCATATCAAGTCTGGTGGCGTATATGGGGCCTCTGTTCCGCCATGGTACTACGGAAAGTTATTTGCTCCAAAAACGCAACCCCGTGACTCCGCCACCATTCTCCTGAGTGCCTCCTAGTCCATACAGCTTTGTTTGCTCGCCAGGCGACGGTTAACTTCCTATGTTGTTTTCTTCAATGGAACGAACATACGTGTCTAGGTCACGGTCGTTGGCCACCATCCCCGCAGCGAACAGATAGCCCAGTGCGATGACCTTCACTATCACAATTGCTCATTCCACCGCTCGATCCTAAAGGGCTGCGCTAGCCCTTGATGATGCCCTACGGTCAGCGAGCAGGATCATTACCCTACGGCAGTCCGTTCGACACCACGGTCCGTTGAGAGCCTGTCCAAATAAGCTCCAGCCACCAAGATGGCAGAGTAGCTCGTGCTTGACTCTCTGCTTGAGTTTGACTTCGGGAGTTCTCAGATCACCATGTTCCATAAACACGGAACGATGACGGTAGAAGAGCTGAGTATATTTTCGTCAAGGTCCCAGGCTCGTCCTATTTCAACTTGATGAGAGTCTATGTGCGAGATTCCCACTTCGTCATTCGGGCAGAGCGAAGATGTCCAAGAGCATGATACACGTTTGAAATGGCCCGGTTCGGCAACCTCGACCGCGGTCAGGTACTTACCAGAACCGTCCAAATATCCAAGAGGAACTCTGCGACGTGATACTTCTTTTTCGAGATACAACATTCTTTTTTTTTGGGTCAGGGAAAGACCCGGGCGCTGAGGTCGCCCAGACCAGCGCCATGAAGTAGTAGCACAGGCAACCGAATTTTCTCCTTTATCTTTTATCAACGTTCACAGGCCGCATATCGCCCAATACTTCCGCCTTCGCCGTAACGAGAATACTAACCCGACCTCCCACGTCATATATTCTACCGTTTACGGTGTAATATCCACAGGTCACCATCAAAATGCTCAGTTTTGCGATCCGCATCCTTGCTGTTGCAACTTGCATATTTGGAATCATTCTGTGCAGTCGTATCAGCGAAGAAATCTTCGGAGACCAGATGCATGACGCCGTTATGAATACCGACAAGTTGAAGGCACCTCGCCTAAAGGCCTCACAGGAGGAATGCAAGGCTGATATCTCCCCGAGCCGAAGGGTATGAGCTTTGGTTTGGATGGTGGAAACCGCCCGCAAGGCAGCCTCCGATGAGGAAGCGTCAAACCGTAGTAGTACTCAGGTTCGAGCAACGACGCAGACGACGCGCTTTCACTCTCGCATGTGTCTAAGGTACCTGGTCACCAAATCAACAAATAGACGTCCCTTTACGACGGAGTGAAAGCAACTAGTCGGCATCTGGATGCCGACGCTTCGGAAGCAACATCCTCATGCGAGAGCACAGGCCGGCAGCGTGATGCTACATCCGAATTCCAAGGCAAGCTCTTTGCGCATAAGGACAAATCACCAAAGCGATGCAACATATCTCGTATCATGGTGCTGGAGACCAACTAACGTATTGGGGCATCCATCTCCCTTGCAGAGGTCCACCGACGACCAACCGCATTTGTATAGAGGAAGATGGATGTAGATGGCAGTCATAGGAAGCACTCATGGACCAAAAATGCCGTGAATCTAGTCACTTACTGTTATGACGTTCATCGCCAGAAGCATTGCATTCCGTTCAATCATATCTCATGCCAGAATTTTCCTTGCATCGCTTTGGTTTTCTTTCATTCTTACTTGTTGACACTTCGGGATAAAATGCTTTCAACCATTTTCTCTCCAGATAAATTGATTACGTCGTCGGCCTTGGAACAGGATGATATAAATTCGACACATACAATTTTGGCTCGAAAACGTAATACTGAAAACATGACAAGGCAGAAGAGGGAGGCAAGGTCGAGAAATGCAGAACAAATAGACGTAAAGTGACCTTACTCATTCCTAGCCAGATTTCTCAATTTTCCAACTGTTCAGAAATACCTTTTTGGTACACCAAAGCAATTCGAAGGGTATATAAAGATAGATTCCCTGGACTCCCGCTTGCAAAGACCTCCAAACACTCAATCTCAACTCCAAGCAAGAGAACAATATAGCAAAATAATAACCAAGGACCGAAAACACCGTTTTCCTCCATCAGACACAACGTTTCCTCTTTTGGATATTTCAGTCGTCCCATCTCCCATCGTTCACAAAGACAGGCATCCATTCCTGTCCAGGATATGCCGTGGCACTCATGGGAATCTCCTCTTCGGACTCGTACCCTTCGGCGCGGGAGCCAGGGAGTTCGGCGATGAAACCGGAGTTCTTATCCCGGGCATTCCTCTTTGCGTCATTGCTGCTGTTGTCATGAGTGTCTTCAAGGACATTCATGTTCCGGTCTAGTCCTCCACCGAGGAGAGTCCCCGACATTGGGCCCACGGTACCCGTGCCCATAGACTCGACGCTGACGGGCGTCTCGCTGCGCCCACTGGCGTTGGCGCCCTCAATTCGCTCTCGCAGTTTTTTCTTTCGATCGTCCTCCTCGTCTAGCCCCGGAATGCCAATTGCGTATGGTCGTTCCTGATCGTCCTCTCCACGGGGAATGCCACCTACGGGACTGATTTTCTTGGAACTGAATGTGCCGAGTTTGCTCACCGGTCCACCTGCTCCGGGTGCGGATACTTGGGCAGGATTTTGCCCTTCTTGTTGGCGTTGTGCATTGAGGTCCTCAGAAGAGCTTCTTCGACCGAGTCTTGGTGATCGCGACCGTTTGTGTAGGTCGATCACGTGTGCTCGAGGGTCTTGCTGTGTAGGTGTTGGCTGGCGCCTGGCTGGGGTCACACTTGCAGCAGAAGAGGCTCCTCTGTCGGGTACGGGGCTTGGGCTAGGATTGTAGGATCCTGCTGCGGCGCCGGAGGCGAAAGAGGTATCGTGGGGAGGGTAAATCAGTGCGGAGGCTGTGGCAGGCATGCCATAAAGATTGCCGTTGCTACCACTTGTATCAATGCGAAGATCAGACGGCCGGCGTTGTTCAGTGTTGAGATATGGATATGTGTTAGATGGGTAAAGCCGTGGCGCTTGGGGAGGTTGGGCCTGAGATGACATCGAGGAATAAGGGTAGTCGACCGGCTGGGATTGATGTTGGTATGGTGATGCCACTCTTGGATAATCTGAAGCGTGCTGATGAGTTGAATACTGAGCATACGCACTCTGCGTAGACCGCGGCTCTCTTGAGTCTTGATGGACGTAACCGCGTGGTCCGCTGGGGAATTGGCCATACAAATTCTGGTTTGAATAGCTCTGTGGGGACATCACACTTTGGGAAGGATGCTGTAGTTCGACTTGGCGACTTGTTGTGGTCAAAGGATTCTGTGTAGATGGCATCGGAGTAGTTGAGGCTCTGGAAATGCTGCTACTTTTGAAAAGTCGGTTACCAATCCCGGAGAATCTTTTCTTCTTCTTCCTCCCATCTGGGGGCAGCTGAGCCGATTCTGGAGTGGGGGTCATGAGAACATCTCTCGATTGTCGTCTCGCAGAATGAGATGGAATGTTTGAGGGTGGAAGTTGGCCCACCCGGTCTTGACCCCGATACTGGCCGCTTTGTTGTGACGAAATACTGTCATGCTGGCTGTTTCGTCGAAACATGCTGGCGCGTTTTTCTTTTTGTTGGCCGCCCTGCTCTCCAAGAGGTGTCTCTGCTCGGTTTTGATTCTGCAATTTTGAACGCGACTTTGAAGTACCACCAAAAAGCCCTCCCCACGTACTCTTCTTGGAAGCCTTGGAGTCGCCTGTAGCAGGCGCGGCAGTCGTCGGTTGGGGTGCGGGTGAAGGTGGCAGCCCCATAGGTTGAAGGTCCACTTCAGGTTTCAAGTCATATTGATAAAGCGTATCAGGATCGGGCACGTGTCCCATGTGGCTGCGGTAATCTGGATGGCCCTGGTAAGTGGATTCTCTGACAGGATACGATGCCCTGGCAGACTGCTGTGCAGGTCGAGCCAGGTGAGGCGGCAGAACAGGATATTGCTGGGATCTCAGAGCGCTCGGTAATGGTTGTCCACTGGCTTGCACCTGAGTTTGACTTCGTCCAACTTTCGGGGTGGATATTTGCTTTGGGGATCTATACTCTTGAACATATGGCCCTGGTATGCGATAGTCCTCCTCCCGTTCCTCCTCCTCTGTTGGTTGCGTTTGCTGCAAACTGGTGTGCTGCTGCTGCTGTTCTTTCAGCTGGCGTAAACGATCCAATTCCTCCCGAGGTCTTCTTGCACTGGGCAGTGGACTTCCCGAAGAATATTGTTGAGTTCTATTCATTGGCGGCTGCTCAGGTTCGGGAGTTCTGAAAGGTGGATGGTCTCTAACATTTGAATCCACTCCTGAAGGTCTAGAGTATGGACTTGATTGCTGTTGACCAAACGAGTTCGACGGGCCGGTAACTTCATCGACACTGACTTGTGATATTTCCTGACTGAGCCTTTGGTTGCTGAGCTTCTGGTTCACCGGGCTCATCGAACTGGTCGGAAATATACTGAGATCGGAGACCTGTAGCTGCTGGGACTGATGAATTTCGCCCACACCTTCTAAGCCGGCAAAGGAGAACGGACGTGTCTGGGTTTGGCTTTGTCCCTCGTACCCATACTCAGGCTGTGGCCACTGGGTCTCGCCAGGAGCAGCTGCTTCAACTGTCTCAACCTTAGGCTTCACATCTTGTCGCATCGCATAAGGCTCATCTATGCCTGGCGGGAGAATTTCTTTACGATGAGGCTCCATTGTTTCGTCTGCAGCGTCCAAGTTTGGTTGCTCGGAGATTCGCGCCTTGATATCGGAAGGACTTGATATTGCAGGTGGTGGGGGAGGAGGAGTATGTATATCAGCTTGTTCGTGCACATTCGCTTCTGGTCTCCTGGACTCTTCATCTGTAGGGGATACGCTTCGTCTGAGCTGTAGGCTGGGAGCACCCGGCCCCGGGCTAGGACTCGCACTTGACACATCCGACACAAGTGATCTACGGTTGTTTCGTGGCACATTCAGACTTCGATCGTTGGAGTGAACATCAGACTTTGACCCGTCAAGGTGCCTTCCTAGTAGGCCTGGAGCAGTGAGAACATTCATAGCAGGGTCGTCGTGGTCATCAGGAGCCCGGCGAGATTGAGAGACTGTGTCTTCTCGTGCTGTGATTTGCTCTAGATTTCCCCGGTGAGGTGATTCAACGGGAGAGCATTCTGCGGTAGGTCTGGTCACCTGGCTGATAGACCGGCTCGGAATTCGAGCACCGTCGTGATGTTCACTCTCAAGAGCAGAGATTGTCGGGCTCGCTGGGGCAGAAAGAGGCAATACGGCAACCGAAGATCCGACAGGGCCCGTCGGAATCTCCTCAACGTGCCTAGCTTGTGACTTGTCTGTTTCTTGACCGACCGAAACAGTCGATGAAGCGGCACCTTGAGGTTGAATGGTCCGTTGCAGATCGCTATCCTGAGACCTTTGGAGATCTGGCTTTGAAAACCAATCGGAAGGGGAGATAGGAGAGGTGGTGAGTGGAATTGGCGGTAAGCCTTCAAGGAATGTGGAATCGCGAGGCTGGGACTGAGAAGGGATGTTTTCGGGTTCGGTCGTGGACGGGCCAGTCGACTTTCGTCGATTGGTAAGTAAACCCTAGAGCAAGACGTCAACTCAGAACCCGATCGCAGGAATCGACAAAGTGAAGATGGTGATTTTCAATTCATTACTATTTGATGAAGAAAAAGATGATGATGATGAACGAGAGAAGATGCCGTCGGGGATGTCGTAACAGGTACTGGAAGCCCTCGAAAACCGAATTCGCCGTGGTGGTGCCCTTTGCTTGCTAATTGCCGCAGAGAAAACTACTATCAAAAAAAAAAAAAAAAAAAAAAAAGGGAAGATCAATGAGCTACCTTTTCACCAGAGCTCGCGTTACGCATTTTCTCCTTTCCTTTGGCAAAAAAGCCTTTCGCTGCACTTCCTGCTTTCCCACCAAATCTTCCAGCCGCTGCCATCAACCTCTTTCCATCCTCTTGCATGTGTCGGGCTGGGGTTGACTCGGTCAAAAGCCTTCTAGGTGATGGCTTGTGAGGAATCACATTTTCAGTCGTATCCTGGGAGATGCGCCCATTCATGGCAAATAGCTCAGAGTGCTCGGAAGTTTTCATGGACAATAACAAACCTTCCAGTTGTCCATCGGGCATCGCATATAAGCGCCTGCTCTCGTCGAAGGCCATGAGCCGTTCTTGAGGAGTCTTGAGATTCATGATCGCACGGAAAGATGCCGCCTCCATGGTAGATTGTCGGACAGGAGGTGTTGCATGTGATTCCGTGACGGCAATATTGGAGACCTCCGAAGGTAAGGCTGATTGCGCTGGCATGGCGGCTTCTCGATCCAAACCTCGACCCAAGTCAGGGCCCTGCCCTGCGGTCTCCATGGCACTCGTCATTGGCTGGATCCGAGCTCTGATAGTATCAGGGGAACCCGTAGAAGGGGAGGTCTGTTGTTTTGGTGTGGACACGGAGGTGGGTGCGGGGGGAGGTTGTTCGCTACCTGTTTCCCAAGAAAATCGGTGTTGGAGGAGAGGTTTTCCGACATTTGAAGCGGCCTCGTCAATAGGTGGCGGTGCTTGTTCGTCAGTGGCCAAATTTGAGTTAATATTGGGCACGGAACTGTCTTTTGGTTGAGGTATGGGGGTCTTCTCAGATGTGGTTCTCATAAAATCAACCTCAGTATCAGCAAGATCTCGATTCTGTGTTGATTGGGATGAGTTTGCATGCATATTGTGATCGCCCGTTTCACCGGTGAATCCTGACGATTTCGGAGTCAGACTCTTGACAATCTCAAGTCGCAACCGCTCGTTGTCACCGTCGGCTGGTGATTCCTGGGGTATGGAAAGGCCAGGAATCGATGTACGACCCACTGAGGTGTCCAACGCTTTGCTGGTTCGCAAAGGTGCAGGTACATAGTCAAGAGTTGACCGGGAAATATCATCCTCATTGGGAGCTGCATTCGACAATGGGGTAGAAGCTGATACAGATGAAGGGTGACCCAAAGATGGCTGTGCGGATGGTTGAGAAGGGGCGGAAGGTGTATCAGAAATCCCAGGTTTCTCCTCATGGCTTTGCTCAATGGGTGGAGCGTGTGTGAGAACGGGATTCGGATGATCCCTCCTAGAGGCGCTGGAAGTATCCCTTTCATTCTCACTTGAGTCTTCCGATGGATCTTGAGATTGTTGCCTCTCCTGGGCGAGCCGCTGACCAGTAGATGCCCCGGCAAGGGTACTGCCTGCTGTGGCAGCGGCCGCAAAAGCTTTCCGTGTGACACCGTGGCCTTGAGAAATCGAGCTGGAGGCGGAATTCGCAGCAGGCACACTCTCGGTGCTATCTAGCATTCCGGGTCTAGAAGATTGCGGAGGCCGCAAAACCTCCCCATGCCGTTGTGAAGGCGTGCTTGAGTCTGGCGCCTGTACAGCTGGAGTCGACGAGAACGATTGCAAGCCCCCTGGGACTGATGGGTGGAAGCTCTCCAGTTTCGACTGAGGTGCTGGTCGACTTTCACCGCTGCTCGGTGATGTGATATGGACATTGGGATTGTTAGGACTAGATCTCCCCGATTGAGATTCCAGTCTCCCGGCAAGGTCCCGCCGAGTCCCCTTTGAAGGGCTTTCTGACCGGTGGATTGATGAAGGAATATGAGGTGTAGATGGGTCACTTTTTTGGAAACCAGCCTGATCGTTATGTTTGGCCGTGTGCGTTTGCCGCTCTTTCCATTCTTCAGAAGTTGTCTGTTCGGTTGGTGGCATGGACGAATCAGAGGTAGCCGCCTCGGTGGTCGGCACCGTAGGCAACGGCTTGTCTTTAGTTATCCTTCCACGAGGTTCTTCCCCTCCGGCTGCTTCGCCTTCGCCCTCGTCAACCAAAGATCCATGTTGTGGCTGTGGACGCACAGAGGGTTCAACGCTAAGAGGTTTTTTGGCAGGCATATTGTCTCGACTCGGAGGAGTGACATCTCGACGATATCCCGTTCGAATTGGAGCGGGCGGGGAGATATCGCCAACCTCCTGTACTTGCGCCTCTTTAACCGTCAGCGTTCCGGTCGATGTCGGTCGGGATTCTGTTTGTGAGGACTCCTCAGGGATTATTGCGTAGGTCGACTGGGATGCAAATGCTGCTGGAGCTGAATCTTGTTTACGGCCGATAATGGGACTGATATCTGAGGTCGAGGCACTGTTGGACCTGTCAACCGTGCCAGACGTCGAGGTAGGTGAGAACGGTTGTTGATGTTCACTTTCGTCAAAAGCTTGTTGAACAACGGACCGATACCCCAGGGAAGGCTGATGCTGTAAGCTCGGGAGAATAGGCTCTTCACGTCGTTCATCATTCGCCGAGTCGGCTTTGGGAGGTCGAGTCGGTCGTCGAGGAAGCGACTCGGTCTCGTCGGGCACATTTTCAGACATAAGTTCACCCGTTCCCCCCAAATCGATGCCAAATCCTGACATTCTCGGTAACTCCAAACCGGGCCGAACAGAGGGTAGTGATCCCCCCTCAGGAATACTTTCATTCAGTGATGCATTGCGCGAGACTGTCGAAGCAGACACCGGGTCTGGACGATCGGTATACACTGACGAAGCTGTTGTCGGATGCCTTGAGACACCGGCGGGACCGTCAGCCGCCAGATTGTCCTCCGCTGGCTGGGTACCACCAGAGGTCTGGAGCATATTTTCAAGGCCGTACTCACTTTTCCGTTCCGGGACGGTATCTAGAGTTGGTTTCAGGCGCCGCGTCGAATCCGAGTCCTCAGAAGGCTGTGGAATCGAATTTGTGACGTCTTTTGGATCGGAAGACGTGGAACGAGCACCAACGGAGCTCTCCCTAGCTCGAGATGTGCCAGAATCAATGCTCGGCCGAGACGACTCTTGTGATTTGCGGACTTTTTCCATTTCCTCATCCATACGCTTGTAGATGTCTGATGGCCGAATGAATGCTGGTATGGGCCGGTCTTCACTGCTTTCGCTAGCAACTGGTGCTTGTGGAGGAGCGATTGGCTCATGGCCTCGCGAGAAATCTGCCGGCGGAAGCGGTTGACTTAGACTTTGTTTACGCGGAGGAAATTGTCTGGCTGATGCATTTGATCCTCGACTATCTGGTCTCATCGGACTCTCGTGTCGCTGATACATGTCCCCTTGTGTTGGTCGGTTGCTTGAACCGGACCTTCTCTGCTGAGGAAATGAGCCCGGCGCAGAGAAAGGCACATCACTAGAAGGCGGATATTGTCTACCTCTTGAACCTGGTCGGAACGCGCCCGGTGGCGTCGGACCCTGGGGTTGTGTATTCACACGGAGCGATGGTTGTTCTCGATAACTTGAGGCAGGGGGATCGTAGTCATGCTGAGGTTCAGGAAAGGGCGATGGTTGGGTCGTTGGGTATGCTGAATCGAAGCCAGGAGACGGCGAGAAATGTCTTCTTTCGTCACCGCGATCAAAAGAAGGTCTGCCACCGCTGCGAGAGGGAGACGGATCGGTCACACTTGGATTCGAAGGATACACGTTGGATTGAGGCCCCCAGCCAGGATGTCTCGCATTGCCTGCCGACACCGGTACTGGCTCGTCGTATTCATCGTCATCTCCCCAATCGCCCCCATCATAGCTGACGTTTTTAGCATCTTTCCATTTTCTTGTCACCTTTCTGTTGACGTTTGTCTTGAGGTTAGACCAAGGACCAGGCGCCGCCATCTGAAGACGGCTGTAGGACTCAATTGACTTGGACACACGAAGATCTGCAATTGACTCGACTTAACAAACGAGGAAGTAGTTCGCCAATGGCAGCAGGCGGCACATCGTGCAGGATGTTCGTCTGCAGCGGAGAGTGTCGTGGGCAGAGCGAGGGCAAATTGAAACGGGGCTGGGGCGGGTGTTGGCTGGGTCTGAGTTGCTGAGCTGGGTGACTCTGTAGGTAACCGAAAGCGAAAAATAGCAGATACAAAGAGAATAAGCTATTCAAAACATGCATTCAGAGGAAAGGAAGAAGAGGGGAAACATGGGAAACTTCCAGCCGCGTGTACATACGCACCGCAACGGCTGCCCATCCGAGTCCGACAAGACACCTTTCACAAAGTCTCGTTTCATGGTGCGTTCTTTTCCGGCTGCACTGGAAGACCTAAGACGTAGAGTTTCCATTTTGTTTTCTTTCTTTGTACATAATCAACTTCAATTTCTACCATCTGATTCATTGAAACCACGAACCTTGTATTTGCATCCAGTCTCTCACACGCCTTCTTCTCGTTCCCATCTTTTCCAACGCGTAATAATGATCGATCAGCGGACCTAATCCGCTGCAATCCCCAATCTCTTTTCAGCGACAACCACCTTGATTTGACAAGCATTCCTCGATTGTAGACTACCATGGTCTCCACCAGTATTCAAGACCGGACGACCGAGTTCCGCACTATCCTCGCTCAGGCTCAGAAGCGGCAGATTGCCACAAAAGGAGGCCCTCAGCGACAGTCCCTGTTGAGTGAGGCACAAAGGAGAGAAGCAAACGGCGGCGCCAATGGGTCCTCGAGAGGCGCAAGATCTGAATTTGCTCGAAATGCCGCGCAGATTGGTCGTGGTATCACTGCCACGATGGGAAAATTGGAGAGATTAGCACAGCGTACGTGACCAGAATCGGCGGCAGCTGCTGGGAAAGGTATCTGACGTTCAGCAGTCGCCAAAAGAAAAGCTATATTTGATGACCGACCGGTAGAAATCTCTGAGCTCACATATGTGATCAAACAAGATCTGGCCGGGCTCAACTCTCAGATCTCGGCGCTCCAACAACTGACACAATCCCAACATCCAACTGCATCCCAGCCCCGGTCAGCCGACCAAGAAGGACAACACAACAAGAACGTCGTGTTAATGCTACAGAATAAAGTCACCGATGTTGCCGCGAATTTCAAAGACGTGCTGGAGATACGGACGAAGAATATTCAAGCGTCGAGGTCCAGGACGGAAAATTTCGTGTCATCTGTCTCCGCGCGTTCACAATCGCATTTAGATGATTCACGATCAGAATCTCCGTTATACCAAAATGTCTCGAGCCGGCAGAGAACACCACAGGACTCGACAAATGACCTCCTGACGCTGGAGCCTTCAAACAAGTCTACTTTGATGCGGAATGCCCCCCAATCCGAGCAGCAACTCCTACTCATGGAAGAGGCCCATCAAGCCAACACATATATTCAAGAAAGGGGTCAAGCCATTGAAGCCATTGAAAGAACGATAAATGAATTGGGAGGTATTTTCGGACAGCTTGCATCTATGGTGTCAGAACAAGGAGAAATGCTACAGCGAATAGATGCAAATACTGAAGATGTGGTGGATAACGTCCAAGGCGCCCAGCGAGAGTTGTTAAAATATTGGAATCGTGTTCAAGGCAATCGGTGGCTGGTCGCCAAAATGTTTGGCGTGCTGATGGTAAGCGAACAGGTCTTGAGAATCAAGATGTGCTTGATGGCTAATATTTCTTTCCAGATATTTTTCCTCTTGTGGGTTCTAATATCCGGCTGAACGATAGAAGATCTCTGGCATACGACATCAAATAATTCTTTTCACTTGAGTCCTGTGACAACTGCTAGATACAAAGGTTTCCAAGTCCACGGTCTGTATGAAGCAATGCACGAGGGACCGGTCTGAGAATTGTCAAAGTCCAAACACCGCACTTGTCCGACAACCAATATACTCCCTGCGCCAGCCACGGAACGGAACGGGCATAGCGACATCCTGATCGAGCACCAGGATATTGCTCTCCACCCCCCCCATCGTCTGGAAAAACCCGACATTTATGAAGACTGACGATCTTCCGAAGCAAATATGCACAAGGACGGCCAAGGATGCCTTCGCAGGCAGTGATTGTCAGATTCAGGGTTCCTGGAAGGGTGGATTACCCGGAATCAACCAACATGAGAAATTATGGGATTGAAGACATGGCGCAAGTGGGACATAGAACCTGTCTCGTTTCTGTGAGCGAATTGGATTTTCATAGTTTGGAGAGGAAACCGCCTTGAATACTGCTGGCAGATGGAATATGGCTGAAGTCGCCAGCATATGACACCAAGGCAGGAGAAGTTGCTCACTGGCCTTCGAAATTGCTTGTATAATATGAAATGCCTTCTAATCCATCCTTGACACGTGAGTGTTTCTTGATCAATTCCGCGCCATTGAAGCTGGTCTTTGGGTCGATCCTATAGCCCGGGGAATAGCGGTTCCAGGTTCCGTTGCTGGTCAATCAAGCACACTGCCATTGGCAGGGAGCAAGAAACAATGGCATAACAATAGTGATATTGTTACTAAAGTGTCTTCATATTACTGTTCATGGGTATCGCTCATGCTTGACCAACTTTTCCTGGCCCCAAAAGTGCTTATGTACATTGACGTGTATAGTATTCTGTTTGCTAGCACGGTGATGTCCTCACCGGGAGGTCTGAGGCCGGTCTCGTCTGGGATGAATAAGTGGTGGATACTGTGAGCGCGCCCATAAGGAAGAGGCCATTCGAGGTGAATCTGTGCGAATGACACTGCCGATGCCCATGAAAACACTATGATCAGATCAGAACCCGTCACTGTTTACCCAATTGGAATATCACGTACCTGAATGTGGCTCCTGACCCAAGCATGTACTTCCCAAGGGTTCGCATCACACCAGCTTGACCTGCGCCATACTGGAAGATCGTGACCGCTCCTGAACTCGATGTCAGTTCGCCTTATTTAAATTGCATAAGTCGTGACAGACCGTAGATAAATCCCATGATGCCACCGACAGCTCCCGTATGTGTCAGCTTCGTCTAAATATTCTTTTTGGTCTTCACTTACTTCCGCCCATAAGCATTCCCATTTTCACTGTAAATGGTTAGTTCAACAGTTGCAGCGCAAATTGATGGAACAGTATACATTTGTCAACCCAGGAGGGGCCGCGCCGCTGCGCGGAAGTCGGTATTGGAGGCATTTTTGCAGATGTATTCGAACCAAAGACGCCCACAGAGTGCTTGGGGTTGAAGTTCCGCGCCTGAAAACTTGCAGATGTCGATGAGGGACTCTCAACGGCACAAGACTGCGTCCAATGAGTCGAAGGCTTTCGACTTGCATGTGGAAAAGGAAGGTCAGACGATGAACAGGCCACACAGAATCTCTAGAAATAGCCGCGGACAGTGAGTCCTGTCAGACGGGGACTCCCCTCGATATGCCGCTCGCTTGGCAGACCGGCACGCTAACCCATTTGCGTCGGGCCTTGTTGCTTCAGCGTCAAATTGAACAGCCCTGAACAACGAGTTGCACCCTCGCAGACATCGTGGAGAGACTTTGTCGACACCAAACCGCCATCAGATCCAGCTGCCCTTCTTCCTTAATCCTCTCATGACTGATCGACTTTGATTTCGACCCTCTCGCGACTGTGGTTGCCCATAGGTCAGCCCGGAGAACCTCTGGTCAGAAGCCCCCCGCTGCCTCGATCTTTGCACGCGAGCAGCCGATTTCTGGAAAAATTCATCCAAGTCGACCTCTGTATGTCTTCAATCGAATCAGCAGTTCCCCTGCCCTTCCTAGCAGCCGTTTCATCCATCGCGCCGGCAGCAAATGTCACTAACGCAATCTCTTTCCCAGATCGGCCCCAAACTTCGAGTCCTCGAATCCGACACATGACACTCTATCAACCAGTGATTGTCTGCTTTTGCTCCTCCCGACTCTTGCATTTCCCCTTCGCTGTTGAACCGGAGTTGTTGAGCCAACCGACAAGACCAGCTGAGCGGCCCACATTTCTCTCCCTCGCGTGAACATTTCCCGATGACGACCGCCGTGGCATCACCTCCGAATTTTCAAAACATCTCTCGACTCAATTGGAATGGTATTGGTGGTGCCGGTGGCGGGTTTTCGGCCATGAGCACTGACGAAGTGTCTCGGATGTTCATGCCTCAGCGCAAGACCGTGCAGAGGAGTAATTCATCTTCATCCCTTTCATCCACCGGCTCTTCCAGTTCTACAGTGACTCTTACGCAAAATGATGTCTCCGGAGATTCAACACATGGAGCAAAGAAGAAAGCAAGAGGAGGATTCTGGCCGGTATCGAAATCTGAATCTACTTCGAGCGTGTCCAATGCACGAGCAAACGGGTCCCTTCAAACCGCCATCGGAAATTCTCTGGTGGGGAAGAGTCAAGTACAGCCAGCTTTACCGAACCAAAGCCCTACCAGTCAAACAAATGGAACACGGGTGGTGAATGGACAATCCACAGCCGAGCCTGCGGCGATATTGGCGTTGTTGCCAATGAATGGTACTTTCGAACGGAAACAGATCAATCTCCCTTTCTACCCAGAAGTCCTTCGCATTGGGCGACAGACAAATGCGAAGACGGTCCCCACTCCGGTGAATGGATATTTCGATTCCAAAGTCTTGTCTCGCCAACATGCAGAAGTGTGGGCGGATCGAAATGGGAAAGTCTGGATCAGAGATGTAAAGTCGTCCAACGGAACATTCGTGAACGGACAACGTCTCTCCCCGGAAAACAGAGAATCCGAACCTCATGAGCTTCGTCAACATGATACCCTGGAATTGGGGATTGATATTGTGAGCGAAGATCAGAAAACTATCGTTCATCACAAAGTGTCCGCCAAAGTTGAATATGTTGGACTTCCTGGGACCACCAACAATGTACTGGATCTCAGCTTCGGCGATCTCGACCCGTCCCTCGGTGGAGGATTGCTACCGTCGCCTGTGAGCTCACCCATGCTACATTCACGCAGTCGCCCTGGAGGGCCTGCTACAAATGGGCGACTTTCAACACCTTCCAGTGTTTCTGGGGGTCCGATGAATTCGGTGGCTCAACAGCGGCAGATGAACTTTTGGGGCGCTCCATTAAACGTTGAACAGCTTGTCAAGTCGCTATCGGTAAGTGATTCTCCAGCTTCACGAAATGAGGAACTAACGAATTGTAGACTGAAATGCGGGCTGCACGGCAGCAGGCCGAGGAACTTGAGCAAGCGGGAACGTTTCTCAATGCCATTTTGACGTCCGGGGGTGAACCTCCTAAAGCACAGCCGCAAGCGCGAGAGCACGTTCCTCAGAAACAATCGAATGGACGTCCCAAAGGGACCAAGATAGAACATATAACACGTTTCGCCGATCCGCCAGCACCACCACCGCAACAACCTTTACCTGAGAAGCCCGACACTTCCAAAGCAAGTCCAGTCACCACCGCGTCGTTCGCCAATCTTCTGAAGCGAAATGACACAGCTAAACACCCTAACAATTCGTCCCACTCCCCAACAAATCCTCAAAACAGTCAAATGCTGTCGTTGATCGAAGCACTATCGATCGCTAAGAAAGAGCTTGATTCTCAGGGAGCGAGAGTCAAGCAGCTAGAAGATATGCTGAAACAGGAGCGAACGGCCCGGGAGGACGCAGAAGAACGAGCTCGCAAGCTAGAGCAGCACGCTACAACACGGCCGGTCTCCAGGGTAGAAGAACAATCAGAACCCGATGCCGACTCGGACCTGGACCGGAAAACAACTGAGGAGTCTCTCGATCGCGATGGGGACGGCGAAGCTGAAGAGAGGACCAAACATCTTCAACAAAAATATGATCAAATGCTGGGAGAGATGCAAAGACTGAGATCAGACGTGGACAAATATCAGCGACGCGCAGAAACAGCCGAAACAGATGCCGCTAATGCGAGACAGAGCCTTGCAGAGATGATTAATAAACTGAGGGAAGAGAACGAGAAAGTCGAACCATCTCCAGACCATTCCAACGAAAGACGCTCACCTCCGGAAGTAGATGATGACGGCGAGGCGATTGCGACTCACGAAGACCAAACCAGTTCGAAGTCTGTGGCGAAACGACCGCCACATGCTAATGGACACATCCGGGCACCTAAGCTGCCTGAGCAACTGGAGAGGGCTATGACAACTGTTCTGCAGGACAGAAGTGCCAATGGAGATGCCCTAGCTCAGTCGGCACCGTATGTGTCAATGCTGGGAGTGGTACTAATAGGAGTTGGCTTAATGGCCTATCTCAATTCATGGCAGAAGTCCGAGAGATGACCTGCCAACAAGTCGACCAGATTTCTTTCATTGAACATAATCTTTGGGCAGCTAATTTCCATACGACGTTACAACAAGCACTTGTCACTCGTTTGACTCTATAGCGTCGCACATGGGCATGGCGTTGGAAAACGGGACAGGACGTCATGGCCAGGAACATTGAGGTCGGTGGGGCTTTTTTGGTGCATAAACATGGTTACTATTGGGCTGAGAGGTTGCCAGGCGCAGATGGGAGTCAAAAGAGACCTTCCACGCCAGTATTGGGGACCCGCCGAACAAGAAACTGGGAGACTGCCACCTGAGACAAAGATCACGATCGGGAAGATCTCGGATGGGGCGTTTGTATATACGTCGAGATAGGATTGTCACTGCGTGAGACCAGACACGGTCTGCCATGGAATGATGATACGAGACGAAATGACAAACCCATAGTCATAGCGGTATCTTTCTCCGTTCGCCCTAAAAGTTCAATGCCCTCCGCTTCGGTAAACGAGGCGTCCGGATCTGACTCCCGGTCGGCCTCCGGAAATCCTCGCTACGAGTAATTTATTCAAATGCTCACTACCAACCGCCAATAGAACCCGTTCCCTGATGATGTGGAAATGACGCAAAGGATTTTGTTAATCCCCGTCGCCCGTATTCAGACTCGGGGAGGGCACCTGGAGATTCAATAGGTGCAATGGTGGCTAGGGTTAATATGTTCCCCCAACGCGCCTTCGGCCGTCAGACATGGCGTCTCCCCAGCACCGTAAATATCTCTTCGGGCGGTAGGCTGTTGTTTCAGAGGCTAACTCATGAGACCGATGTCTTTGCGTGCTTCCCTTTTGCCCAAGTGGCAGCGATCGCTTGGAACGGTCTACCGATCAACAAAGTCCCTTCAACATGGACTCGTGCCATTGACGAGTTCACCGACACGCCAGTATGCGACGCTCATGGCAGACGGGCAGGGCCTGAGAGACGACAAGAGGGAGAAAGTGGTCATCTTGGGTAGTGGTTGGGCAGGTCTGTCACTCCTCAGATCTCTGTTGAGAACATTCCTCTGACATAGCTAGTTAGGCTACGTTCTCTCCCGTCGCCTTGACACCCAAAAATACCGAGTCGTCGTCATCTCTCCTCGATCCTACTTCGTCTTTACTCCCCTTCTCAACGATACGACAGTCGGGACACTGGAATTTCGAAATGTCTTGGAGTCCGTCAGAAAAAGAAACAGTAAGGTGGAGTTTGTACAAGGATGGGCAGACGATGTCAATTTCGCCGACAAGCTTGTCCTGGTGGAACCCTCTGTATTGGATCCTGACGTTGGGCATGCCTTAACGGGGCCTCGAAAACCAAATGAACAACAAACAACTAATGGCTACTCAAAGGACCTGCAGCCGAGCGGCACGGGAACAACTAGCGGCTACACAAAGCACCTGCAGATGGGTGGCACAGGAAAAGATCAGGTCCCTACATTTCCCATTCACTACGACAAGTTGATAATTGCGGTGGGCACATACAGTCAGACATTCAACACCAAGGGCGTGAGAGAGAACGCCATGTTTCTGAAAGATGTCCGGGATGCTGTGGCCATAAGACGAAGGATCTTAGAGCTGTTCGAACTTGCCCTGTTGCCCATTATCCCAGAAGAAACGAAGAAATACCTCCTACACTTTGCCATCGTCGGTGGGGGGCCGACGGGCATGGAATTCGCGGCCTGTCTGTCCGACCTTATCAGGGACGATATTTCGCGAATTTATCCTCAACTACTCAAATACATTCGAATCAGTCTCTATGACGTGGCGCCCAAAGTGTTACCTATGTTCGACGCTACCCTGGCCGACTATGCGGTGAAGCATTACAAACGACAGAACATCGAAATCAAGACCTCACATCAGGTCGAAGAGCTCAGAAAAGGATTTCCAAATGACCCGGAGGCGGTGAAGAACCAGGATAAGCAGGTCAAAGGTCGAGTCTACACGATCAGGACCAAGCAAGAAGGCGATGTCGGAATAGGCATGTGCGTGTGGAGCACTGGAGCGATGAAAAATCCCTTCGTATCCAAGGCCCTGAATCATGTCCGTCGCTTCCCAACGCACTCGGCCCATATCACGCAGGGCGAAGTAACAGACCCGATGCAGAGGCAGTGGATTATCCAGCGAGATCCCAAGACGGGTGTAATTCTCGTGGACGACCATTTCCGAGTCAATCTCACCACTCAGGCGGAGGATGGCGGAGAGGACAACGTGCCCAAGGCGTACATGAAGGATGTCTTTGCACTGGGCGACACGACAAAACTCATGTCCGGAAGCCTTCCCGCCACGGCACAAGTGGCCAACCAACAAGCCAACTGGCTCGGAAAGACGCTCAATCGGCATCCTGACCCCGAATCCTATGGTCAAGTACCGGGCTTCACGTTCAAAAATCTCGGGGCCCTCACGTACCTGGGTGGTGCAAAGGCCGTGTTGCAAGGCGCTTCTTCCAATGGAGGAGTTTCCAGGGGGCTCAAAGGTTGGATTGCATATCTCGTTTGGCGTGGCGCGTATCTCACTATGACGTTGAGTTGGAGGAACAAGTTCCTAGTACCGGTGCAGTGGTTGACGGTGAAGATCTTTGGACGAGATATGTCAAGGTTCTAATATGCTTAAAGGTGGTATGGAGCACCCCTCGAAGATTATATAAAAATGTTCGTCGGGAGACAAGATATGGAAAAGAAAAGTAACTGGAACTTGGGTCTTCTGCAGCACACATGCAGCGGCGGGAATAGTAATCAGTAACAAGCTCTTGAAAATCGGGAATTGGGTCATATTCTCTTTAGTCTCAATGAATTGTCTGTTCCTCCGGTTCTGCTCTTATATGTTTCTCTGACAGTCCTCGACATTGACTTCATCCCCGTGGTCCGTGGTAAGTCGGTTTGCGGGAACGAAGCCCCCAGTCACAGGCTTATGGCATATCTGAGCAAGGCTTGCTCCCCTTGTCTGGAGACATCAGACAAATCCATTCTGAATGGCGGACATACCTATGTAGCAACGCCACGGATGCAGTAGGGCGTCGGTCTTCAAATTGAGTACTCCAGATGAAATGGTTGAGATGACATTGACTGGCCAAGCGACGTCTTTGCCGACACGGACGGATGAATGGAATTGTTATACTAGTGGTATCTTACATTCAAGCATTAAATCTTCGCTGCTGACTCTGTATTATTCGGCGAGTCCCGGAGAATTGATTGACCTTCCGCTGCATGGGGGTGGAGGTTCTGCGGGTCCTCTGGACTTTGGGCTGCTGGTAGATCCACTCGTGCTCACATGGATCGACATCCACACGCAGAGGTCGGGAATGATGTTGAGCTCACAGTGTCATCAGATATGGCAGGTGTATATAAAATGTCTCGACATCTACGTAGGTAAATCTGCTTCTTACAAGAGTGTTCGCACCTCACTTCCCCTTCCTCATTCATCTCCATTATTATAAGTCTCCATCCCATCTATTTCTCTCACGGGCTGTGCTATCATACCACGTAGTCAACTATTCTCTCTCTATATTATATATCACGTCTTCAACTTTCCATCTCCAATCCCCATCTCTGGATCCATCCAACGCCATACTCGACCGTCAAAATGTCATCAACTCCGGAAAAAGCCGCCCCAGCCGTTGCCCACGCCCTCGCTTACGCGAACCTCATGTCCGTCTTCTCAAATCGCGATCCCATTTCGCGTCTTGAAGCAATAAAATCCACTTACCACAACGACGTAGTCTTTCTAGAACCTAACGAAATCATTCAACAAGAAAGTCGACGAACTACTAGGTGAAAGGGTAGGTTGGGCGTTCACGCCTATTAGTCCCGTGCGAAGTAACCATGAATTGGTCTATTTGGCGTGGGGGTTTGGGCCGGAAAAGGAGCCGGGGGAAGTGGATGTCAAGGTCAAAGGGTGTGATGTGATTATTGTGCGGGGGGAGAAGTTTTGGGTGTTGATTGATGGGGTTACTGACGCTAAGGTGTGACTGGAAACTCAAGTATTAATTCCTTCGTGGATGGATTGCAGTATGATGTATTGCGGTCACCATACGTGCCACGAGGCTGGGGAACTAAGGAGGGAATACCCGCAGGCCGACATGGACTTCTTCAAGTCTCCGCCACTCAGTCATTATCAGTCATGGATTTCCTCTTCCATCATCTTCATTTATATTTATTGAATATGTGGATGATTGAGGTTGGGAAGGAGCCAGATCACATTTGCCCATTTTTATCACCATGTACAACGAGCAAATCCATGCTCGTCGTGGGCATATCATTAGTAATACAATTGTCCATTCCTAGCCTCCTTCGTGTCTGTGAACAAGCCTATGCCCAAGATATTTGACGCCACTTCACCGTACTTGACCTTCTTTGCCCCCAGGAACTTGACCAACTCTTCAGCTGATAGATTAGACCCATACTGTGGCAGTCGGCCATGATGATCTCGGACGTCGAGAACACTGTACGACTGTGCCGCCCCGGTCCCCGTGTCGATCATTGCCGAGTTGTGCAGTGCCTTGCCAATCTCCAACGGCGACAGGCTCACTTTCCTGCCGAGTCGCCAGAAGCCCCAGTACAACGGTAATGTTGCCAAAATAGCGAGGGTCATCAATCCAACTGCGACACCCAGGATGACCTTGTTGGTTTTGTAGATTGTGTGATATATCCCGTATTGGCCGAGCTGGGTGACCCTTTGTGAAGGAACCGTGGTACTTTTGGCATCTGTTTCTGTGGCCGAACCATCGGGCCAGAAATAGTCTGGTATTTGATGTTCCGTGATCGCTACAGAGCTCCGGAACATGATATCACGAATGTCGGATAAAAGCTCGTCCATCGGAGATGCGTACGTGTTGTTCAGGTAGGCGTCGTTGGTCGTGCCCTCGACAAATTGTGCATACGGGGCAGCGAATGCGCCTTGAACGGACACATCAGCGCCAGAGTTCGTGATGTCTTCTTTCAGGATGATACTCGAGTCGAAAAGTCTAGCGAAAGCCAGCGCAATGCCGCCCAGAGTGCTATGCACGCCTGGTGTAAGCAGAGAAAAGTCCGCTATCGCATTGTCGTAATCCGGTATTGGCAGTGTCTTGAGCAATTTGTCCACTCGAAGTGAACTTTGATCGACATCGGTAGAGTTTGCGGTCCAATTCACCGTGGATGTTGGAGGCTGAAGGGTCACGGTTCGTTGCGTGACATTGACAGGATATTCTACCGAGGCTGGCTCGAGGGTGCAGTGCCGGTTTGAGACAACAAGCCCATTACTACCCTTCTTGTCTTGCCAGAGAACGTCGAGGGTGATCGACCAGTCTGTTGATCCAAGTTCAACCCGAAATACCGTGTTTTCCGGCTGCAGCACTGTTCCATTCGCGGCCGTTGAGAGGGGAGTTTGCAGGCCACTGCGACTTGCGGTGCAAGTGTACAGGAATCCAACTCCCATCAGAGTTGTGGCACAGGATACATTCGAGGTCGAGGCGCAACCGTCCAGATCGAAATGTATCGGGGATTGACTGGTGTAGTTTCTAAGAATCTCAGTAAAGTTGGGAGTGTAGTACACGGTCCCAAACACATCGTGCCCGGTTGCGGCGACGACCCCTGAGAAACCTGCCGGCAAGCGTTCGGCGACAGAGGCGGTCATGTTGGCAGCATATGAAGAGAAAGTGGTCTTCGAAGTACTCGCTGTCTGAAGGAGAGCCTCCAGGCCTGAGAAGGCTGTAAATGCGATGCTGGCGACACAAATCCAGCCCCATATCCTCATTCTTACGAGGATGGCAAAGATGGACTGGCCAACCTCCCAGCGGAAATGAAGGTTTTTGAGGGTCTGCCCTTGCAGAGCATCCACCCACCAGTATATGGCGACTGCTTCCCCGAACATAATGGCAAATGCATTACTTGCAATGAAGTTGAACAGAGCAATGTATGTGCTCACGCTGACCCGCCACCTATGCCGATCGCCAGCAATGTTCACGGTCGTGGCATCCCACGAATCAACATCTTTGCCATCAGACACAAGCAAAATGATGATGATGCCCACGATGGTCCCGACGATAAGGCATAGACAGAAGAAGCTTAGGAATGGAAATCGAGCCAAAAACCCCACGCGCCATCGCGTTCCTCCCAGCTCATTATCAGCGGGCTCTGCGATCTGAATATGACCGTAGGAAGAGGTCGACGTTTGTGATGCAACCTCATGCCATCGAGGTCTCCGCCCTGGGCAGGGAGGTCAATTCAATTTCCATGGATAGGGTTAATAGCTTTCAGCAATCTGAATACTTACCCAGGAGTCCATTTAGCGTCTGGAAGGGAACACTCTCCTCAGCGGCTTCAACGTGCAAAGCTTCCTTGTTGCTACGGCCACGTAAGGCTTTGAATCGAAAGACATTCATAACTGTGATTAGTAGACTGCAAAAAGAAGAATGCGGTGCGTCATGGAGTCTCTTCACTGAAAATCTCCTTGCCACAGAGTGCTCATCAGGCTGGGTGCGCATAGAAGAGAATGTCAACGTTAAATATGCGGCTTCGGACGGTTGCCGCCAGTGAGTAGGATACTACATAAGGCTGATGGACTAGGTGGACCCAGTAGCCCCTAGCCTCATTAATGGTATGCATGACTAACGGGACCCTTACCAGACATAACCCCCCCGGTCATACTCTACCACTGAGCATCTATAGCGAAAGACATACGTGGCTGAATGAAGGAGGGGAGAAAAAAAGGTAGTCGCTAAATGGAGCGACGTGCTTGGGATGTGCAGATGCTTATATGACTTAAGATCATCTGCTGGGGCTAGACCAGTCAGCCTCAGGCGAGCTATGTCTTAAAAGTGGCCATCGCAGAAGGGAGACGCGAGTGAAAGTATGAGATCCAATACAGCTTCTCTCTTTCTTTCAGGCTTTTCCAGTTTCCTCCTGAGCTCCTGTTCAAGCAAGATTGTACATCCTATTTTTCTCACTCAGCAAGTGGTCGGCGTTTCGGCGTCCATGGCAAGAGTGCGGGAACGTAGCGCGGCGGAAAGCCGGTAAATGCTCATGATGATGCATTAGGTAGAAAACAAGACCATACTCGTCTCCCCCATCTTCAGGAGCGGTGCTGTGTTGTCTATCACCACTTTCTTTATTAGGCTAGCTGACGGATTGTCCGCGTATTCTCAGACCCCCACAAGCTCTCACTTAGGGAAATGCTCTATTGGAAAATGAGTTAGCTCTGGGGCACGTACCATGTAGATCATGCATGTCGCTGACTTTTGGGCATTGGCCATCGAAGACAGGCCTCGGCTGCTAAGCGAATTGAGACCGCGGGACGGAGCTACAGTCTGCCTAGATCGACTAGAGCACACCCGAGAGCTCCATTTCTTTCTTGGTCCCCGGCCAGAAGCACCGCAATATCATTCGAAATCCCAGGACACAGAGATGACGGAAGAACCTGGTCGAGCCAGGCGACCATTGCGCAGTCGAGCGCGTCTCGTTTGCGAGCTGTGTCACGCTCGTAAGGTGAGTGAAACTCTAACCACATGTGCCGCCAAAATACGAGAAACTAGACGCACCACGGAGGGAATGCCACCGGATATCTGTATGCGTGGAAGTGACTGATTCAGCCTCACAGGTAAAGTGTGACCTTCAAGATCAACCCAGAGGAACGTGCAGCAACTGTCACCGGTCTCATCAGACATGCCGGTAAGGATGACCGGGAAAAAGGCCGCCCGTTCCATCCTACGACACTCTAACGCTGTCCTCATAGACCTCGGTCAGGGCGTCCAGCCCTTCCAGCAAAGACATTTCGCCCGTCCAGTCGAACGCAGTCCTTTTCACACACCAGTCATTGGAGCCACACTCCGGCAGCAGGGACCCTCGTCTCAACCAGTCCGACAGCAGTGGTGGTCGAGGCACAAACAGAGGGTATCATCCAGACACCCGAAAATCCTGCTTACCTGAGGGACTCGATAATGCCATGCCCTTCTCCACCACTGTCCGTTCTCGTCCAGGAAGGCACGGTCTCGAATCGAGTCTATGCCGAATTTCTGCGAGTCAGCGAGGCTCTAATACCACCGCCAAAGCTCATGGCCGAAGCGCTCGAGGACAACTATTTCGAGCATCTCTACCACCGCTGTGCCGTCATAGATCGACGTGATCTCTCAGGCAAGAATCCTTCGTTGCTGTTGTCTCAGGCCACTTGTCTTGCAGGATCTCTCGTCCGTCAAGTCAGCCCCCAATTTCTGACGACCTGCGAGCATCTCTACCTCAAGGTAAAAACGTTGCTGGAGACGAACCACGAAAAGGATGTCCTTACTGTTCTCAAGGCTATCTGCCTTGCTTCCTGTTGGAACCTCAGCCCTATGGTGTTGGTTCGCCTCGACTGCTCCTACCATTGGGTGAGCATCGCGGTTCGACTTTTACTTCAACTAGGCCTTCATCGCGAATCTACATATAACACCATCAATGGACCAGGAGTCCTTCGCCGCGTGGCCTGGTATATTTTTGTAAGTGCTCACTGACATCGTCCGACTTCTTGAAATTGATTAGCCATCCCAAAAAAGATCCAGGACAAGTTGTACGCCGTTTGCGTCGGACTTCCGGCCATGATTAAACCCAGCGAGTTCAAGATTCGACAGCTAGAGCAGGGAGACTTTGAATTTGTCAATGACAAATCAGAACTCTTCATACAATATGTCAACTTGAACGCCATGATTGGAAGCATGGTTGAAGTTTATCGCCGAAAGGGTGAAGATACTGCTGCTGAGGTACTTCCCCACCGTCTCTTCTCTTTAAACCAATTTTCCTCTGTCGCCAGCCTTCCATCGATGTTTGAAGGCGATTGATATAGCATTCCAGAATACCAGCGACAAGCGTTGAGCAGACCGAAGCTAATCCACTGTCCGCACAGGCAGCGTACAGTATATTACATTCGATGAAGATGTGGATTCATCAACTACCAGAATACCTCCGTCTGTACCAAGACAGTGATAGAAGACAGTATCGGCGGAATGTATACGAGATACATATCAACTACTTTGTCGCTGTTATCTTGTTCTTCCATCTATGTGGCCACGCCTTCCGAACGACAATTACAAACCCGACAACTCTCATCGCCTCTTCGTGCATCGCACGACTTTACGAAGAAATCTACTACCGAGAAGATATTCGATTCCTGCTCCCCATGAACCATTGGTTTATCCTGGTAGGATGCTTGCCCCAAATTCACGCCCTGTCCGGAAGATCAAACAATGCCGACGATGCGACTTGTGGAGAAGAGTTCAACATTCTTCGAACCGCTCTTCAGACCATGGGTAATAAATGGCCTCAAGCAAACAACTTTGTGACGGCCGTTGACAAACTGCAAAAGAAGAGGAGTGGTGCTCACCCCAGCAAGGAATACAGACCGACGTCGCCGGAAAGACCTAATCCTACAGCGGCCGACGACGGTAATGACGACACATTCCCTAATGCAAGCGACGGAACTGTCCTCCTAAGGGGGTCAATACGAGATCTGTTTCCTTTCCCTGAATCGATGTGCCCGAGGATGGCTATTCTCGACTCCATTGATCCCAACCATGGCACCTTGGGTTCGGCAAATATAGAACCACTGTCATGGGACGAGGATTATCAGTTCAACTGGATCTTTGACACCATCAGCTCAGATCATCTCAGTGATGCATATGACGGACTGCTGGGCCAGAGTCTTCTTGGCGGGCCAGGTCTATCTTTCTGAACACAATGATACGAAATGCAATACGTGTTAGGTTAATCCGTGTCTTTCGCTCACTTCGGCAAATCATTCTCATACGAACGCAACACTGAGCCTGAAGATTCAAATTTGAGATTATCGACTTTAAATACGACATGGGATACACACTGGAGTCAATGCTCCGCAGCTCACCTCTCCCTCAAACCCGCGGTGCTGACCAACACACCTGCTTCAACCTATTCGGTTATATGCCAAGCAATCGCCTTGGCTTGCTTAGAGCGTGTACCTGAAGCCTGGCAATTCTTCCAGAACAGTACGTCCTGCTGCAGCCTTTTTGTTGGAGGCATACAAGCTCAGCATCATTACTACGGCGCAGATGATGGAGATGACGTTGGCACTTCAACACTGTTAGCTTCGAACAATCCCAAAGGAATGGTCCTGAAGAGGCCCTGGAATATGGTGGAGAGGAAAATATACTCACACAATGGAAGCTTCTATTCCAGGCAGATATGTAGGGGCATCTTGGGAGCGGAAGACCAAGGACCCAATGACACCGCCAGTGCCGCCACCCATGATGAGCAAGGCGCTACAGAATGCCCGTTTCCAATTCCCACGAACGTTGTTGGCCTGCCAGGCCAAAGTTGCGGGGACATTGCCGTTGACTCCGGACGCAACGAGGAAAATGCCAAAGTACTGAACTCCAGGAGCCTTGACCCAGCCGAGGAGACACAAACCACAAATCGACTGGAGGCAGTTCCAGATGATGATGGGTCCTCGAATATGGTACTTGTCTCCAAGCCAGGCTTCGACATACATGAAGATACCGGCGAAGACATAAGGTGGAGTCGATAATGCTTGCGCGGCCGTGACGTCGTATCCGAGTTTGAGACGAAGAATGATGGGAAGAAAGAATGACAGGGAATATGCAACAGCGGTTCCACACCTGCGCGTGCGGTGTCAGCCAGAGGTCGAGGGCGACGATTTCTTCCCGAGAAACCCACATGTATATGATGGCGTATTGCCAGACTCTCCAGTCCTTGCCAGGACGAATGAATTGGCGAAGGTTGAACTTATGATCGGCGTTGGCATCGGCGCGATCGCGATTAATTCGACGAATGATGTAGTCTTCCTCTTTCTTGGTCAAGAATTTCCAGCATTTGTGAGCGTCGAGTGGGTAGTCCACGAGCAAGAACCAGTTGATAAAGGCCACGGCGATGGTGAGGAGACCTTCCATGATGAAGATCCACCTCCAAGCGGCCAAGCCTGAGAGACCTCCCATTTGCATGAAGCCACATGCTAGGACAGGCGCGATGGCTGATCCCACGCTGCTTATAAGGTAGAAGGATGAGAAGCGCTTGTGCACGTCAAATCTTGTGTACCAGCACGATAAGAGCAGAATACAAGCTGGCAACAAGCCTGCCTCGAGGATGCCGATTAATATGCGCAGGATAATCAACACCCACCAATCGTGGACAAAACCGAAACACTGGCAGGAATCAGCATACAAAATGAGAAGGCAGAACTACATTTAAGGTGAGCAAAATGTATTCTTACCATCATCACTCCCCCCCAGCAGAACGTGATAAGGGTGATAAAATCTCGGGGTCCCACTTTTCGGATGACAACAGCTGCGGGCAACTGAGAGAGGACAAACGGAATGAAGAATACCAGTAATATAAGGGACTGGAGATGTATCAGAACTGGTAAAGTGATAGTCAGGAACAGGAGATGGGTTTACATATCGAGGGCCGTGCTCAAGGCCGAGGTCGACGGTCATGCTTCAGGGTCAGTATCAGTTAGCCACGGATCCCTCTGCAGAACGAGGAATCAAGGGTCCATTTGGTACCAGTGGGAAGAAACGATTTTGGCAACAACTTACCCTGCAATAGCAGCTGAACCGAGATTTGTCCTGTCCATGAGAGCAATGGCCATTGCCAGTCCCAGACCGACAACGAGACGCCGGTCGACTTTGTGGATGATCCTTCTCTGCTCCGCACGGGTATATTCCTCGTCGTAATATGGATCAGTCGACTTGGTCTCTTTGCCCTGCTCTGAAAAGGACGAGTCGATTTTTTCGACGCACTCGACGGCATCTGGGACCTTGGGCTGCATTGCCGCGGTTGTCATTTTGAGTGATGGTGGTCTCGCTCTTTGTCTGTGATATGGACCGGTGAGGATTGCTGAGAACTGTGTTGGAAGGGAAAAGGGGAACAAGGGATGAAGGGATACAGACGCTGAGGGTGCTGAAAAGAAGAATCGGTCGTTTAATAAGTTTTCGCTTCCTTCAAGGTGGTTGAGGACGGAGATGGGCTGGGATCAACCACCGGATGCTCCGCACGGGTTCTATTTGCTCGGTCTTTTGCCCCGGTACTGCGTTCTTTGCCGCTTTGGGTGATTCAGTTGTCGGTGAGCACGTCGCTAATTCGATGGTACAACATGTCTTTTCGCCAGAACGTGGTCCACACAGTCCAGAACGTGAACCTCTCCGGATCCTATCTTCTCCCCCAGTTTCAATGATGCCTCAGTGAGGGCATCCCAGTCCAGTAGAGTGATTTCCAAAGCCGTTCCTATAGCAAGGAAGCGGAGAGGGTCCGTCCGGGGTCGATGTGGATTGAGGGGAATGCTAATCAGAAAAAGTTCATGCATGGCATGGAGTCCGGAGTATTATCAGCTTCGGCGAGAGAGCCAAGCAGCTCGGTATCTATTCGGTATGTTCGGTAAGTTCACCGACCTACCGAGTAGGATAATGCGTATCTCCTGCACTTCTTTTCTCAATCTTTCCAGGAGAGTCTAGAAGCAGGGAATCTACGGTGTCCACGTGGGACTTCTGAGGTCTGGGTGATGAAGAGGCGAAAGACTTCGCTATGCGAACCGGGGTAGTGATTTCCGTGGCAAAGGCATCAAGAGAGTCCCACTATCATTCGAGGTAAACGGCAAAACAGTTCGACGACAGATCATGTTTCTGAAGAATTGATTTTCTAGCTGACAGAAGAGTGTTTCGTTGCTGCCGTAGGCCAAAGAGAGAACGCAATCGTCAGCCCCTGTCTCATCAAGACGATTTTAACGTGCCGCGAAATGCCTCATTGAAGCAATCGTAGGATCTCAACATCAAAGAAGTCGTATATCATATCCATTGATTCTAGTGCATTTGTTAAAGGTAACGCACTCCTGCTATGCGCTCCTGAGGTGTTCACAAGGCTGAAGTGCCAAGGAGGGAACTCGGCTAAATTGCCTCTTCTCCCACTATCACTATTTTTGTCCATCGCGGCTCCTGTTTCATCCACGCAACTATCCATGCTCAGGTACTCTCTGAAGCGATTATTTCTCCATCCCAGGTCCTAGGGACGAATACTCACAGTTTCGGCAGATATCGAGCTTTGTGGAGTGTGCAGCAATCTGCCGAAAAGCTCAGTCATGCATCGACCAGAGCGCTCATAGTCAAACAACGGGTCTTCGGCATCCCAGGGGTGGCAAAGTCTGTATTTAACTCCAGATCTAAGAGGCTACACTGGTTTCATGGCACCCAAAAACCGACTCCCGAGAGCCCGAGAGCGGACAGATGCCCTTGGTGTATAGATCTACTGTTTCGCCCTCTGCGCTTTCAGGACAATCTACTTGCGACTACCTCCCGGATTGATCGACCGGTCTGTTTTTCATGACTTTCATTGCGGTTGGATCACTCGGCACACTGGATCCGAGAGATCAATCTTGAAGAAAATGACGTGGAGAAACATAAATATTAGACGAGAGTTGCTGCATGTATTGTCGGTCTATCTCTCGGCTGAAGGTCCCATCTATACGAAGTGGCTGGTTAATCGATGCTCTTGATATTCAACTCTGATCACTTCGCCAAAGCGAGTACCTAACGTTCAGATATGGTAAGCTGCCTTTTCCACGTCTTTGGCCTCGCTACTAGACCTTCAACATTCATTGCCTGGCTGACTTCGCAAAGGATGCCACGACTTTTGCCCTGGTCTATGGCTATCCCTTGGTGGCCTATGAGAAGTTGGCCACGGCCATAACAAGCGTTGCTGGCATCAATAACTTCCGACACTACCGAACTTTGAAAATGCCCGAGCATCGAATGGTGGTGCGAACAAATTGTGACACACTGTATTCCACATGCATTCTGGACCTGAGCCACAACGATGTTATTTTGACGATACCGGAGCTTGATCCAAATCAGTTCGCCTTATTCTCGTTCTACGATCCGTACGGGGACAATATCGCCAATCTTCGAGGGGGCGGCTTCAACAACCCAGGACAATACCGTATTCGACTGCGTCCAACTTCTACCGATCAATATGGTATCGACCACAATGATGTAGAAGAACCATATCAAGCATACATTAATCTTCCAACCATCCATGGAGTCCTTTCCATCCGGTGGGGTGTTAAGGCCTTTGATGTCGAGACGGTACAAAGGTGTCAAGACATGGTACAGCTCGAGATGGTCAGCCACTCTGACGGAGCTACGCATGCACCAACTGTTCAGCAGGTCCTTGAGACCGTAGGAGCTTCGACCGGCAGTACTGCGTATCCAACAACACCCGAGTGGATCCTCGAACTCCTAGCAAAGTTCGCACCTTTTAATGGACCAGAGCTCGTCTCTGAAAAGGGTCGCGTCGGGTATATGTTGTCGGAGGCAGGAATTTCGAACGGCACTTATAATACACCTCAGTCTACCGTGGACCTTGCCGGAGCATACAAAGCCGCCCTGGATTGTATCGCCAAATCTTACGCTGCGCCTGGAGTCGTCCAAACATTGAATAATGGTTGGACCAGAACTGCGAGCCAATATTCCGGTGACTACGGCACCAACTACGGCATTCGCGCGATCATCGCGGAGACCGGATACTTGATGCTGAAGTCACCACTTGCGTTTTATCCGTCTTGGGGAGATCCAGCTGATGGAATGACGGATTCTCTAAGCGGGTATACATTGCCTCTAGGCCCTCGTGAAGCATACATCTACGACTTTGTTGGCGGCAAGCCCCCCATCGTCGCACCAGGGTTCTGGAGCTTGACATGCTACGATGAGATGGGATACTTGATCTTCAACCAAGAGAACGTTTATTGTCTGGGAAATCAACACAAGCTGACATATCCTGACGGAACTCTGGTTTACGGCGGAGAAGACAAGGCTGACACGGAGCCCCGGTCATTCCAACTTCTCATTCAGCCAGTCGATGTTCCGCCACCTGCAAAGTGGAAGAGTAACTGGATACCAGCTCCTCGTGGCGGAGGTCGGATATCACCGATGCTTCGCTTCTTTAACGCTTCTGAGGAACTAGAGAAAGGCCATTATACTTACCCGATCGTCAGGAAACAGGCTGCGATTCCAGCCGACTAAGACGAGTGCTTCCCAACCGTTATTCAATTAAATGTTGTGATCGAGTGCCAGCATTGTATATAAGACGCTGGGGAAGTTTTGCACGCCACTAGGAAACGTTGGGACATTCTTTACATCTAGATGGTCGAGAAATGTGAATTATGGAGAGCCCTCAAGATTTATTGTCTGCTCAAGTCCTTATCGTCAGCCTTCTTTGACCAACGATGTGTCCTAATTACTCCCCATCATCCAGACGCGTGGACCGCATCGACTGACTCTGGGACGAGCTTGGAGTACGATTTGTATTTGATAAGATTCTCCATACTTGGCTGGCGCAAGCTCCTTCACCATACAGGATCAATCTGCTCTTCTTCCCGCTGCATGTCCCTCTGCACGCCTTAGCAAGTTCAATGATGGGTCAAAAGCATCTTTCGATGTAGTGTTCTGGTGATAGCGCTCTTTGCGTGACGTAGGAAGCATGTGGAACGTGGAGCTCGTGGAGGAACGATTGGATCGTCAGGAGAATTGCAGGAGGGGATGGCATAGTAATGAGAGGAACATTTGGAGAAGCAAAGGATAAAAGAAGAGCAAGGATGATATCTCCAGGCGTTGAGCACAGAACAAGAACGAGCTAGACGCCCTGATTCTTGACTTGCGAGGGAGATGTAGCAGAGCAACGTGGAGGATAAATAGAGAAGGAGTATTTATGCTCGTGCTTAAACTCCGACTGTGCACGAGCCTGACTGGTGCGTCAAATGCGTAAACGGGAAGATGATTTGTCGCAAAGCGAGCGCCGGGAACATCAACTTCCAGTTCCCATCGCATTGCGACTCGCCAGTTGCCTCATACCAGAAGTCGGAAGGACAGAGTTTGAGCGTGAGGTCACTTCTCTCGGGTTCAGCGGAATCTCCGAATCCAGTTCCAACTCTGCACTGATAAGTTCGAATGTCTAATAATCTGCGAGCTACTGATGCAACCAAGCAACACAATTCTTGACCCATCAAATACCTCTCCCACTGCCACCATCTCAGTTCGTCATCTTGCAGCTAGCCTCAACTGCTAGTCCGAGTACGACTTTGCCAAACCTGTGTGTAGGTCCAGGCTTACCTCCCGTTTGGGACCTCCATCTCATCCGTCCCCTTGCGCCCTCAAGTTACATTTTCCACGGGACGCGTCAATCGCCCACAATGTTGCAGCAAATCTCATAGCTATCTCGTCCGCAAATGACGGCGCCATTATTCCTCGACCCGCACCACTTTCGCCATGAGCTCTCTTCTCAATCCGATTCACAGTGCGAGCCAAAAATGCCGGCCCAAGCATCAAGTCCTGGTCCTGAAATGCTATCCCAAATACCAGAAAACCGTGCAGGAGGTCAAGCCAAACCCCTCCGAGTTGAGTTATCTGCTGTATTACGCCAGCACACGACGCCACAAGCTACAGAAAGTTGGCGCATTTCTCGAAAAGAAGAATGCCGGTGATATCTGGAAAGGACGACTCGGGTACGAACAATGTCTGACACTTTAGGATATTTTGGCTAACTCGCCGCTCAGAAACGTCCAGGTCACCCTTCAGATCCTCACTGCCATTATCGAAAAGGACCCCCATGATCTCTCCCTTTACTCGCGATCTGTCCTGACAATCCTCTGCTCGGTCTTACGCTCCAAAGATGTAAACATGGTGGAAGAGTCGATTCCGACATTTGAAGCATACTGTAAATACGTGGACGCCGCATCACTTACGACGGACCAGCAACGTGCCGAACAATACTTGTCCATCGTACAGCACTACGCCGGGTTCGCCGCCAAGAAAAAGCCCGCCGACAAGAAGAATGGTGATTCCATCCCACTTTCACTCCGATGGCGGACCATCGGTCTGCGTGCCATCCGAGCAGCGGTAGCCTCCGAGGCCCTGGCAACAAATTCTGGCCCACAGCTTAACATTGTCATGCCCGTGATCTTTGAAAACTTGTCATTGGAAGAGGAGAATGTCTTGGCCACCTTGCAGCAGCGAGCAAAATCCAGCGAGAAAATGGACGACGAGATTGCCCGGAGGCGGCGAGTGAGCATAGCAACCGTCACCACAATCGACACCACGGAAGGCGACCCGGCGACGGCAGTTGAGACTACTGCCGGGGCGGACAGAGTGGCGGAAGAGGAGGTGAGGACTCTGGCTTTGAGGTGCTTGAAGCAGATCTTTTCTGTCGGTATCGGGAGCACCAGAGGTCAGACTCGATTGGCCACGGCCTTGACCCTCAAGTTTATTGCCTCGAAGAGTCCGCCTCCGATCACGGCCGAAACGGCGCGGCAAGGAAATTGGGCCACGTCGTTGTTTGAAGCGATTGCTCGATGGACCCCCGTACAAGATCGATTTCTCATCGTGGTTACGGCCATGGAAACCCTCGTACGAAGCCCTATTGTCGAAGGCGTCCTCGAGAAGCAACTGGTTCTCACTACAATGATCGACTGGCTTCTCAGTTCCTCGGTCAACTTGATTGGATTAAGTGTGATGGATGTTCTCCTTGGCTTCATCCAGCATATGTTATTGTTATTGCAGCTTGGCGGACCTAATGCTCGCATCGTTTCACCACATCAGAAGAATACCCTCGGGATATATCGAGAAGCAAAAGAAGCTTTTGACCCGACATCCGTCTTGACCTCAGATGAGAAAGACCGGGCGCCTTCGAAGGTCGAATTGACTGCGTCGCCCGTGAGACAAGAATTATTGATGAGTCTGGAAAAATGTATCGCCTCGCTTTCCAACCACATCTACTACACGGATCAAATCAGCGACATGCTCACAGCTATCCTGGCACGCTTGAAACCATCTCCCCAGTCAGACGTCCCCACATCGGCGGCTGCTATCAACGACCCAGCCGCCGCAACGAAAGCAATCGCCGAGTCGGCAAGCATCCATGAGGACCCCAATACGTCTGCATTCTTCTCTTTTAATACTGCCAGAATTACGGCAGTACAAGTCATCAAGGAAATTTTGATTCGTGCCAATAGCAGACGGAGCGCTACAGGTGCCCCGATCGAAGCACGTGCGCGGGTTGGTGTGCAGGTATGGGAAGGCACGCAATGGCTTCTCAAGGATGAAGAAAGAGAAGTGAGATTCGCATACGTCGATGCACTCATCACCTGGCTCCAGCTGGAGACCAATAAAATGGACACGCTCCTTCCCAGTGATGGGAATCGAAAACATTCGACGGGGAAAAAGAATACAGCCCCAACGGGTGAGGCTAGCGTCGCTAAAAGGGCCGTCTCAAATGCATCTCGAAAAGAATCCAAGCCTGCCAGGTCAAACTTTTTGGCCCTGCTACATCTCGCCATCTACGATAGTATCTTGGACGATGCCGAAAATGAGTCGAACATTCTCCTAGCGTACCTGCTGTTGACCCAGTTGGTCGATCGTCTAGGCGTCAATGCGATTCGGAGTGGGTTGCCCATGATGCTCCGACTTCAAGAAACGGCTTTGAATGGCGAGGTTGTCTCAGCTCTAGGAAGAGTCAATGTTGCCAGTGTAGTTCACGCTTACTTGTGGACCATGGCTGAAAAGTTCGATTTCGAAACCAGTACGGTCGGCCATGAGATCAATGCCGAAATATCCCGACGGAAACGACTTGGAGTCTGGTGTGACCAGGTCAAGTTTCCCGCCTTATCTGTTGGAGACATTCAAAAAATACCTGCCATCAACGAAAAACCTCCTGAATATCCTGACGAAGCCGCCGAAACTATCAAACCGTTTTTATCGGTGTCGGAATTTGTTGATGAGATCGCCACGGCTTATGACACCTCACTCCTGACTCCGTCCACTTCAGCTCCTTCTTCACCGGGTCGAGTTTTCTCGGTGCCGACGCTGGGGTTTGGTTACGGGTATGGAGTTGCTCCAGTGTCGAGACACGCCAGAGAAGATCAGCTCCCGCAAAAAGTGAAAGACGAAATGAGTGCTGGCTGGAGCAGGGAAGCATGCATCGCTGCTGTTGAGAAAGAAAGTGCAGCTTCCATGACCGGCTCACGAACGGGTGCCTCGTCGGCCCTCAAGCACCACCTCAGCGTTAACGGTGTTCGCAAACAGGATTCCGTTAGTGGCCGAGAATCTCCCATCACAGCCAACGGCAATACGACTCCCACTTTTGGACTTCTCGCTGGATTGGGGAGTCTGACCAAAGTCAGGGGATCAAGTGCGAACGGATCTCCTGCCAGGGTTCCCACCACGTCCAGCCGAGATTCGACTATGAGAGTGACTGATCTCAAACGAGCGCTTTCAGGCCATGCCGCAAGTGGCCGACGACCAAGTCCCTTGCGAAGACCTGTAGCAGGATCAAGAAGAAGTATAGGAAGTAGTGAGACTAGTAGCATGATCAGCTGGGATGATACGGACGATCGCAATCCTTCATTTCTTGATGTTCGGTCAACTGGAGTTCCGAATGACTCAGTCAACCATGTCGCGGACAATACCTCTCGACCTCAAGGCACGGAGGCAACCGAACGGGCTTCTCAAGACTCAGGCGCGGCCCCGGCAGTCACCGCTGATCCACGTATCGATGCGGATGTGCCCCCTGTACCGAAAATCCCGTCCACCCTCAATCTTCCTGGGACGTGGCCCCGAGATGCTTCCCCTCCTCGACCTGCAGAGCCCACGCTGAAGAAGACTCCTTCTCCTTCTTTAGAAGGTGGCAATACTCCTCACGCAAAGCGGATTACAAGTACTCCATATTCACCGTCCACACGAGAAAGGCAGGGCGTTCGAAAGAGCTCACGACCGACGAGCAGGAAAGGTCCAGTTTCCTCTTCACCAAATGAAAAGTTGGATTTGGACTCATTACTGGCCGGGATACCTTCTAGTGACATGACTGAAGAGGTGGACAAAGAGAATCGAGGCAGTCGCTTGATTCGGCCTCCCTATTAATATGCCAGGATGAAATAGAGCCTGACATAGATATTGTGGATTGGCATTTCACCTCTTCACTTCCTGGTCGGTTGTATACGATGGATAGGGTGGGAAGTCCTACCTTGGGAGCGTGTGTACAGTTGTTTTGACACACGTTGGGTTTTTGATCTTTCGGTGAGCGACGACGGCCATGCGGGTTGTTTCAAATGAGCGTTTCTGCATGGCGCCCCGGCAACTTCATCTGCATGGACACTATAGATTTTCTGTACAGCAATGCATGCGACCTGTGGATTTCACGCTTGTGTTCATAGTGTAGATTCAAAAATACCCCAGATTATTGGGGCCTATCCCTTGCAATTTGCAGATGAAAATAAGAATGAGGCCAAGAATTGGAGGTACAAGTTGACTTCAATTTCAACTTCCATCTTTTTTCATTTCATGTTTCAACCCGTCTTGCACAAATGACTCTAGTTCTTCCCGCACAGTCTACCTCCTGCAAAGACCATGATCCGGTCGTCATGGTCAGTATGACTCACCCAATCAGAGCATCGACACTACTGGACCTTGAAGGCGGAAAATTTGGGCGACCACCATCAAATTCAACATCATCACAGGTAAGACGAACCGGGATCTTGATTAAAGGTCTGGATCCGCGGTTTGAAGCGATCTGGAGAGGTCGAAGGTTGGTTGGAATCGGCACAGCAGATGCAGGGGAAGAGGAAATCGGTTCGGAAAAGGTAAATGAAAAGCTACTCTCTTTAATAAATGGCGTTAATGTCCCTGGATGGACGGCAGAACATTTTGCGGAACAGCCAGAGTTAGGACCAGAAGAGCTAATATCTTCCTCTCAACATCCAGGCCTCTCTGCCTTTGCATATTATCGCGACAGCATTGCTGCAAAATCCACTCAGGCTTCAACCACCGGTGCACGCAACCGTTCACATAGTGGCACCTCACACTTATCAAACGATTCCTATTTTGCATGCCCTTCTCGCAAACACGGTTCCTGACTCACAAGTGGCGATAGAACTCCTCAAACACGTCCGCCTCTTGCAATATTTCGATCTCTCTGGGCTATCAGAAAGTGTGGCTGAAGTCAGCGAATGGATACACCGACGAGCCGAAAAGGGGCCAGATTGGGAGTTGCCTGTACCGAGCGTAGGCGATCGCGACAATCTCAGAGACATTGTATTGATCCAGGGAGTGGGACAGACAGTGTCCGCAACACATCGACGAAGTGGGTTCGTACAAGCCAATGCACTGCTGGCAACGCTGACGCGGAGTATTTCACAACTTTCAAGAATGTCTGGAGACGTGTTGGTTCTCTTGGATGCCCCGATCGAGGTTGGCACGGCAAGGGATGGAAATTCCCATCAGAAACCCTCTAAATTCAAGACGTATGCCGTCGGACTGGTGCTTGAATCCGCATTTTCGAATCATTCTGGCGAGTCTTTGTGGTTGGCGTGTGGGAATGAAGGATTATCCCGGACGTTAGAAGCGTCGTTCGACTGCTTGGTTGCGGTTCACGATGGATGGGGAAGAGCAAACGATACGAGTAGAGGACAAGAAGAACAACAGAATCATGTCGTGGAAGTTGTCAAGGACAGAGTGGGTGACATGACGGGTCTGTGGGCTGTATGGGCCCCCGATGGTCATGCCTGATCGTTTTGAGGAGGCACGAGGAAGACAACATGTTCAAACAAGCGAGCTATTCGGTTCAATAAATCGAAGAGGGCTCACTTGCTTCAACGACTTGACCCACATGAAGAAACAGCTCTTCCACTCTCACATCGAGGCTATGCCTATCAAAGATCATCGCTTGATCCTCCGATCTCAATACCCAAGACCAACATACTTTGCAGTCTTATCTTCCACAACATCACTGCACTGTCATCATGGACATACAAGTCAGTCATTGTCTTCTTTATTTCTTGGCCGCAATCAACACATGACTTTCCGGTCCCTGGAGACACAGGATTGAGCTATGGCTCTTTCAAGGTCATCGGCATTTCCCGCCGAATTCAGGGTTGAAATTTAAGCTCTCCCATATTTAAGGGGAGAAAGTTCATCAAGGAAATCAACTAATATTGAACTTTCACCCCTGGAGCTAGAAATCGACTCACTTCTTCCGTACTGAGTTTGATATTCAGGAAGACGATCTGGCAACATTGGAATGTTCGAAAACCTGTCGAGGCGTGCATGTCAAGCTGGCCTCTAGTCCATGTGTGGTGTTCGTGGCCCAAGGTGCTTGGGGAATTGGACAATTGGTGACACTTCGGGCTTGTTGCAGGTGTCACCAAGTATCAATCAATGCAGTCGTGGGTCTTGGTAGAAATAATGATAGATAAATTCATTCAGTCAAGTGTCTGGAAGAGTGCTGGGTGGGTAGGAGTGAAATCCCCATTCTGCATATCAGCCGCCCGACTTAATATACGTTGAAGTATTCGATGCGCACTGCAGTTCATGAAATCAATTCCTTCCACTGCAGCTTTGAACAATTCATGTTTGTAACCTCCGGCGACGTTGAATGGCAGAGGAAATAATCGCGCCTTCGCTCTCGGCGGCGCCAAATGGCGCACCCTCTCCTGAAGAGAGCAAAGACCTACCTCAACCTCAAGGCTCCACAGCACCAGCACAACCTCCGCCTACTCTTGTTGACAATGCAATGGATACCAATACTTCACCCACCATAGTGACTACCGTCCCTGCACCTGTAGTGTCCACAACCGGTCCTGTACCTCTCGACTCCCCTCTCCGTACTGTCCCCATCCACCCTTCGCTCCCATCTGTCAAAGTCCCCACTACATCCAAGACCACTGAACCCAACACGAATCCTGTCACCTTACAACCCTTCACCGAGGCCGAACTAGCGAAGTACGGCTTTGAGAAGTTACGCGCACAGATCGTTGGAGCGGCGGGGAAAGATTCCAGCAGAAATCGTGAGAGATTATTGGGCGAGAAAGAAAAACATGAAATCGAGCGGATGCGTGAAGAGACAGCGATGGTTTTGAAAGCGAAAATGGAGGAACGAGAGACGAGAATTCGAGAAGTTGAGCGGGAAAAGGAGGAAAAGGAGAAGATCCGCGAAGTGGAGAGGAAAGTGTTTAGGAAGAAGTTGGGCGCGAAGGATGTATGAAGACCAGAGGAGAAGACAAGGGTATATGTGTGCCTCCGAGTACTCGAGTCCCCCCCGGATAATCCAGTTTTGTGGCCCTGTGAGAGAAATGGATTACTTGCAGGGGGGCTGTGGCTCTGGGACGGCGAAGAGCTGTGATCATCGAGTCGACTCCAGTATGGATTAAGCGGGTGATCTTCTATATCACGATCTATACCTGTCCTACCGAAAGCATCTCTGCGAATATGGATATCAGAAAGAGACCCATGGATCCAACGCCTGTACACCTCAGTGGACATGGTTCAAACCTGGCCAGCCAAATGAACGCAACAGCACACCATCTTCAAAACCAACTTTGGGTATAGCCAGATTTCCCAAGAACAATCAGTAAACTTCCACCGGCCCACAAGTCAAAAAGCCTCACTTTCTCAGAACTAGCCTCCGGGACCGCATCACCTCTTCCTGGCCACCCTCAACGACACAGTGCCAACTTCAATTCCACCACTTCATCACAGTCATGCTGCTAACTCCAATCATTCCACGTATTGTATGGGCCCATACAATACTTTTCACCAGGCGTGCACTTAACACCCAGACAGTTACCCTCGGTGACCTCTTTGGCGTCAAATAGTGGTGAGCGCGACGACCTCCCCGTTGTAAAGGGGGGGCTCGACGGCAATATTGCCCTGGTACTCGGCATAGCCATCTGCGTCCCCTATAATTCCCTTATCCGAGTCCTCCAACCACTCCGGCTCGCCGGCGTTGATCATGTTGAAGTCGTACCAGGTACACTTATCCTCAGGGGTCCGGGTGTATCCTCAGCTATACGGGGGACGAAGTTGTCGCGGTTTTCTGGCCAGATTTTCCAGCTGATGCCCATATCCGGGTCCATGGCTGAAGTCGTGCGAAATTGTTTCTCCAGCATCAAGCACGCTGAACTGCTCCTCTGGCTTTTGATCCACTTCACCGGGACGCGGATCGTGGATAATGTTAATGTTCACTGCAAAATGGCAGACGTCCCCCTTCAAAGGTGTTACCGTCCGTGGACTGTGTCTCACCATTTGATTTCGAGGCTGAGACGGATTCGGAGGACAAAGGATTTGCGGACAAAGTCAACGCGGGACAAGTTCAGTTTTTGCTGCTGCACTCCAGATGCGCACTGGTGCAGTGAATTCCAGCTAGTCGGCTTTGGAACGGGCGCGAACAAGGTCCTGACAGGAGTTTTCGAACCCCAACTCCTCAGGTTTTGAGGGTGGTTTTTATCCAGAGTACGTCGATGTTGCCGAGACGGTGGTGGACTCCGGGAAGGCAGGGGCGGTCGAGGTCCCTGAGGAAGTGCTCATACCCATTTCTGAAGTTAAGGTAGGCAATGTGGAGCAGGGATACGGTACTAGGCCCATGACAAGGGCGATTATGGAGCGCCACTGGGGATAGGCGCCATCGTAACACATGGTGAACCGAAGTGCTGATTGATAGAGTCAGCTTATGTTTGGCATGATGAGATTGAGAACGCTGAATGGAAAGGGAAGAGAAGAGATCCTGTTTCTGTTCAAAGGACATGATGAAGAGGAAAGAGGGATGGAGCTTATTTGATATTCAGACATATATACCTTCTCATCAAACCTTGATCCACGTATCTTCAAAAATTGAGCTCGAGTTCCTTTTCATTCTCCGTTGCACTGCACTTCATCTGTCCGAACTTCTACAACAAACCTCTCACCCTATCCTTCATTTCGGTCGCTGATTGATCCTCCTTTTAAGGATGTGGAACGGAATTCCGTTCGGGCACAGCGAATTCCCACATACGTGTGCACGTGCAAATCAGCGAAGCTGATCGCATCAAGATTCGATTCGTACCTAGCCAACACATGCTGTAGAGGAGGCGAGCATGGAGCCGATGCAAAAGGCAAATATTATCAACCGGAAACCCAATAGGACGTAAAGGACACGACTGATGAATGACGTTTCCCAGCGGTAAAATTTCTTCAAGTTGTGTTTGGAACTATTTCTTGGGTTGATAGAGGGAGAGCCCCTTTTCCCCCACAGCCTTGCTCATACTGCGGACAAGTGTGCAGAGAAGTCAGGAAGCAGAGTGTCTCTCGGGCGCAGATAGTTTGGAGTACGAATCTGGCAGTGAACTTCTTGAAGCATTTGAGTTCCCTGTTTCCTGCCTAACTACGGCTTCCATTTCTTTTATCCCATCTTCAACGTGGCAAGAATGGTTACTACTCGATCCCATTCCTAACCTGGACTTCGCTTTTAGCAGAAACCGCTTACCTTCAACACCTTTAAACCAGTCCAGCCAGCACGCCAGCCAGCACTTCTAGGAAGGGTCTAGGTGTGGCGTGCGCTGAGGAAGCAAAGGGAGAGTTGGAGCAGAAAACTGTGAGCCCACGAGCAGGATCCAGCGACAACAGAAGAGCTGCACTGCACGGATGTCCTGGTGTATCTGACTCCGTGGCGGGAGAGGAGTTTTTTCCTTGATGTCAGAGTTCGTTGTAAGGTTGATCTCGCCCGCCGGTGTTCAGATGCGTTTGAGAACATGGAAAATGAGGATGACGGCGGATTGTCTTTCCTAGCGGCTCAAGCGATGTAAACATTGCCATCAGCCGGTGGAGGCGTTAAATCCCCCGCTGGCAACCTGCCCTCCCTCTCAGCTCTACTCGTAGTTCCTACCCACCAAGGCCCTGACATACCAAACAAACATATACATCGTAAATATGTCGTAGCTACCATCCCTCAGAAATCACCAACATATCAACTGTCACCCAGTTGGTTCATTGAGGTACCATGAGGAATAAGATTGCCTGATTCGGCACGAACGGGGGCTTCATATCGGACAGTGCTGTTGCCGTTTCTGATTTCTCGCCGAGGGATGGATATGACGGCTGGGTTGTGAAGCTCCATCCTCGAAGTACTCGGAGCGGTGTCGACTGATGGTGAGGCCATTGAAGAAGCCCTTCTACTCCCACCTCCGAGTCGGATAGACGTAGGGCGCCGATATACTTCCAAAAGTTCTGTTGTCCTTTCACCACGTTGTTCCCCCATAGTTATGCGAGCCTCTCTGGCTTCGCTTAAAACCCGGATCGCCCTGTTCTGGGCATCTCTTGATTGACGGACTCTATTGCGCGCTCGTTTTTGCTCCATCCCATTGAAACCTTTGGTTGTTGCACAAGTGAAAACCAGGTACCTTCCACTGCTTCGTAATGCTAGATCCCTAGATTCGGTTGCCTCGGTAGGACGAGAGATAGTAAATCCTGAAGTAGGGCTTACTATTAAAACATTCCCACCACCCTCGGGGATACCGTGGATTTTCAGATTTTCACCGTTGACTACTATCCTTTGCGGAGTACCACCGTTGGGGATGTCCACTGATGTATTTAGAGCTGTAAATCCAAGTGTGTCGTCGCATTCTGCCATGACGTGAGTTGGGGTGTGACATTCGATGCACCTTTCATTGACAACGGCGTAAACCGCAGTCTTGTCGGAGTCTCGCAGTATTTTCGACCAGTCATTCCGCCTTTGGTCGAGCTCAATGGTAAGCTCTTCGTCGTTGTGAAGAAAAGCAGCTTTGAAGACGCCGTCTTTCAAACCGGTCCGGCTCAAAGCCTCCAATGCGCAACAGACAAGATCTGCCATTTCCGGTTGTTTGTTGGGAAATGGTTTCCAGACATTGACAATGTCTCTTGGGTCGTCACTTTCGAGCGCGCGCAAGAAGGGTTCACCCCAAGTCGTCGTGTCCCATTGAGGAATCTAGCGATCCAGCATTGGGCGAACAGCTTTCAGTAAAAGAAGGTTTTTCAGGCTTATACGCCGTGCGTTTCCCGTGCAGTGACTTATCTCAACTGCCAGAGGATGGTTCAGGATCCTGGGATTTGCCCTTCTGGGTTCACTTTTCCATTTCCCTAATATGTGCTGTTTCAAGCTGGTCTCTGGGATCTTCTTCTGTGTCCCCTGCATACCCACTCCGACAATCTTGGACAGTGAGAAACTTGCGCCCCTGGAGTCCCACTCCCATGAGGAATGTGAAGTACCCAAGTAATTCATACCACTGCCGAAATCGCTCTCAAAATCATCAAGAGTATATTGACAAGATTGATTCTCTCTAAACCGCATTCCTATCAAAAGAAGGTCGTTTTTCGCGAGGGAGATGCTCTTGTTCTCTGACAAAAGGTTCGAATGACGCTGTCGAAAAGAGTCCCAGCTGTTCCAATGACATAGAATTACAGATGGTTTAATTTCAACAGGAAATATGACTCCTTTCATCCGTGGCATCTTCGGTGGGTGTCACGTGACACGCTAGTCCTAGTTGGGACTAGCCCACTAGAGCTCTCGTTTACTTCTTCCACTCCTGCAATAGACCATAACAACGAGTACTTCAGTCAACCTTTGCCATTGCGGTATTCCCTTGCTCCTTTCCTTCCCCCTCTTGTCTCAGATATGACACTAGTGGTGTTGCTTTTGCAATATATTCTATCTGTATTGTACCAGCCTAAACCGACTTACCTATGTAAGTACTGTTGATGATCGGTGTGGCACAATCCGCAGCCAAAGGCGCTCGTGATTCTGTGGTCCTCCCCAGACTCGCGTGAGCTGAAGTGAACAAAAAAGGGAAGGAGGGTCACCTTCGCCCTGATCGGGGTTGAGCGGAGGGCGAGTTCTCAATACTGTACCTTGACGACACTGGCGATGGCAAAGCCTGCCCTGTGCCTGTTTTTGCTCAACTTCGGCCTAGGCCTGACCAAAGCGGCGCCTCAGAGGATATGGGGCCATGTTTTGGAAACACAAAAAGCGGCCACCAAAATGCACTTATTTATGATGAACTGTGATTCTTGAGCGCTATGGAGCCGGGACTGCTGGATCGAATAGGTTGACTCATTTAGACCCCCTCATATAAAAGGACATAGTATGGTACCCAAACTCGCGTCAAAACATTTCAAGTGCAGCTAACGAGTCCACTGAGAACAATCTTGAATGAAAAATAAACTCATGATACCCGCCAGTTTTACCCCATAACACTTCCTAGCTATCAAGTGGAAAGAAAAAAAAGACTCTGTTTCATACATTTTCATGCCATGTTCTATTCAGCGACTGGGGTTGTTGCTCAGAAATACAACAAGAATCGCGGTGTACCTGTTGTCAATGCTTAGCCTGTTTCCATTCCTCTCACACACCACAAATCGAAATCGCACGTACCCTGCTATTACCGCAAGACTCGCGTTCTCGATGTTGTTGGACAAGACCGAGGCTATCACCGAGGTGATAAAAAATGCGGTCGTAATGACGAGGAGCTTGATCGTCACATTCGTCAAATAGGACAAGATGAAAAGAGGTACCATCACCATGATACAGAAGGCAAGATTGATGATAATTTTCTCTGCCATACGGACCTTGTTCTCCGAATATAGATGGAATTCAAGTTTTTCTTCCCTAGATCGAGCCTAGAATGAATCAAGATGTCCTGGTCAGTGTTATCTTGTAGGTGGGCGCCGAAGCCTTGTTGAATGGGAGAGGCGTATTTAGGAGCGCTGACCGTTTCGAAAAGTCTCTGTAAATGCTTGTTTCTATCAATGAAGCGGTGCATCCAGTATTTCTGGGTGCAGCCTAGTGAAACAAGATCATTCCAACCATCTCCCTTCTTTATCTCATCTCGAAATTCGCTACATTTCATGGTTTTATACTCCTCGACTAATCGCTTCGGGGTATTGCCCATCTTCATGAGAAGGTCCTGCCGCAGCAACGCTTCATCTAAGGTAAGGACATTAGTCACGCATCTTGACACGTTTTGGGTCGGGGGGAAATAGTGCTTCTTGCCTGGGAACACGGCAGACCGGATGAAAGAAGTCGGAAGCACGTACCGTATTTTTTCAGACGAAACTCCAGCGTGGGTAGAATTTCCGCCAGTCTCGTGTAGTTCGACGTCGCGTCAACCCCCTTGGTGAATTTCATCTTTGATATATCTTCGTCGATATTGGCTAGCCGCCGTTGCTGAAAAAGGAGGCTGTATAGGTGCAGCCTTTTGAACTTGCGGAATACGACGTGATCCGTGTCCATGTCCATGAACTCGATGATCGGTGGGAAGTTTGTAGCCCAGAGCGCGCCCATGTCGGCTACTTCTGTACTGGCGCTGTGTCTGTGGCTGATCGACAGACCGACGTTTAAAGTTTCAATCTCCGACGAGAACGAAAAAGTGTGGTAGCTGACAATATTCCTCAACGAAGGGCCAGGTGCAGCCAAATTTGTAACACAAAATATTGCGAGAAAAATGGGCAGACGTCCGTTTCCCGCGTACGGGTGATCAAGTTTCGGACGCGAACTCCTTAAGGTCAGCCTTGTTGCCTGGCGCTTAGTATGGTGCCATGATTGGTCTCGGAGTTCGGGGAGACGGTCGTGACCATGGCCCTGTTTTGTCTTTCCTCCAAATTCCAAGGGAGATTTGACCACGAGTGGGCGCTGGGTGGGCGAAGCAGAGCTGGCGAAGCAGAGCTTCGCTGGAGAGTCCCTGGTGAATGGTAAAACTCGTTGTTCCGAACATTAGTTTCTGTCCTCCGGGTACTCTGGTGGTGTGGGGCTAAAACCAGACTTGGACGACGCTCAACAGCGTCATTCTGCTTATGCAGAAAGATTCAGGTTGGCATAGATTAGGGAAGGGAAGAGAACAGATATGGGCTGAGCTTCTCAAAAGCAGTCAGCCCGAGCTGTGGCGGTGCAGCCCCGGACCTGAACCGCGACTGAGTCAAAAGCTGAGTGCCGTCCATATTTCTCCCTCCACAGCATGAAGTGATGAAGCTAAAGCAGAAGCGTCCGTCGCAGGTGGTCAGGTCCAGGCGGGCACCACCATAATATAATATAATGATATTCCAACTCCGTAGAACGCCCTTCCATATTCCAGCCTAATATACAGATCAAATAGGGAAAGCCGGCGAGAGCGGCCAGATTCGCAGGTCAATGCGGCTGAGTAACAGGATGCGCAGACAAGTCCGACTCTGTGCGCTCCCAAGACGCCTCACACATCCTATGATCTCCTGACTTCCCTTGTAATTCAACCTTTGAGAGACCATGAGCCTGGGATACCAATCATGAACCTGGGGTTTGACGGCTGGTTCGTCTGTCAGGCTTTTATGTATGCGTATCTCGCACCAGGTTGAATGAGAGCTGGGCGATTCTGGAATCCTAAAACTTGAAACCTCATCTCTCTCCATGCAGACCATGTGTCAAAGCCCAAACCCTTTGCACCTGGGAGGACCATGACCATGCTGTCACCAATGTGTACGAGGTTCATTTTCGACGAATATTTTGCGCCGGTGTGAAATGTAACCATCCCATCCCCATGAACTGTAATTTGTTGCTCATAACGTTGGTGCTTATATGTTCCTGTCAGGTCTACCGCTGGCTGTGGTGAAATCTGGCTCAGTCCTTCAGGGCTTTCAATCTGCCGAAGGGTTTGGCGGCATACGTGGCCCTCTTCGATGGCTTTCTGAACAATGTTAACGGGATTTGACAGATGTAGTGCCTCTTGCAGGATAAAGTTGGAGATATGAAGAGTCGTGTCGATGGGCCCTGTCGAGTTCCCAAGAACAATGAGGGAGATCCTTCGCTTGGGCATCAAAGTCACATTGCAGCCAAAGCCATCAATGTACCCAGCTTTTCTGAAGGCCACACGCATCGCTTTATCTTTGGTTTTGGGCTTTCCCAGGTGATAGTGTGGATATCCATCGGGATAGAGATGTCGATTTGGAGACTCACTATACATATCTCGACCCAGCTCGGTGAAATATCCGTAAGGGGCCATCGGCCGCCCCTTGAAGAACATTTCAAGATCGGCTTCATCGAGACCCAACTGACTCTGTCCGTCGAGTGCAAGGAGGATCTCTCGGTTAAATTTGGCAAGGTCTCTTAGTGAGCTTCGAAGCCCCATCGAAGCGTATTGGGCAATATTGTCAAGGTGGTTGAAGTGGTCCACAGCAGATCTCGTGCCATCAGAAGAGATTCGGGCACCCTCGACGAGTACCCTTTCGCCTGCTAGCCCCCTTAGGGTGTTCTCGTGAAAGGTTGTCTCTTCTAGCCCCAGTTTGTCGATAACAACTTCCTTGACCAGCAGCCACAAAGGCTTCCCTGTTATAAGTTCGAGAATGATACCGAGGAATATGTAATTCGCATTGCTGTACTCGCATCGGTACTCCGTTTGATCCTCGTACTTATCGTGGGTAATCTCAGCTGCGACTTTGAGAAACTCTTCTTGAGATGAGAGTGATGTTCCGTCAGGGGCAATCAGATACTCGTTCATTGGTGCAAAACCATTCACATGAATTAAAAGCTCATGGATCGAGGGATTGTCTCTCAACCATATTTCTTGAAGTCCCTCTTCCCTAGACTTCTCATTGTACAGTACGCATGCCCTCGTGTCCGAGGTCACGTTGTGTTTCTGGCAAAACGTATTGTCCTTCAGTAACATAATCCATGTCAAAGTAATGAAATCTTTTCCGAAGGACCCCACAGCGTAGATGAATCCGCTAGCCTTGCTGTCTTCAATCCGCACCCGAACTTGTTCGTTCTCTGGTTCTGGTATTATCTCGCTTAGAGAGATCGAGGAAGAGGGGTCGGATTCGTGTCGCTCCTGTGCATCGGGCTCGGAGGTACGCGAGAAGAGATTCAGAACCTGGACTTGTTGATCCTGTGATTCCAAGGACAAGTCCTCGAAGTGGATGGCGATACGGTCCTGGTTTGCTGCATTCAGCACGAGAGCGATTTGTTTGATAATTGTCTCGGACGAGAGCCTGAATCGAGGCTGCGAAGATGCTTTACTCCCCATTAGTCGTCTTTGCTGCGCACGATAGTATCAGAAGTCCCAAAGAATCCTGCCCGTTCTTTCTTTCCAAGTATCTTCGCATGGCGGCACGGGAAGGCAGAGCACCAGTGACAAACAGGAGAGGCTCCATGCCGAGCAACGGCTTCAGGGGGCCCTTAGCCTCATCTTGCCAGTCCAGCGTGACTGGCAGCATCGAGAATACACAGATACACACCTTAAGCTCTCACCTCTGGAGCAACACATATAAATCTTTTGGTCTGGAAGACACCATGGCACCAGAGAAGTATTCATGTCCTAGAGCGAGCACGGAGCATTTGTGACGCAAGCTCCCGGCGGAGAGAAAAGAGCAACCCTTCTTTCTGCGCCCCACAAGGAGCAGATCCAAAATGTTGAGAGCGTGAGAGCGTATGTTCCTGTACTTACCTGGGAAGAATTTGTTCGCAAGACATTCAAGAATACTAAAGGCGCCAGAGATTAGAGCCGGAAACGAAGTCGACAATACTGGAAGAATTCACAACGACCATAACCCAATAGATCGGAACAAGTCACTCGCTGAACCGTATCGTCCGTCGAAAGCCTCTCCGTATTTCTCGAGACATCGGCCAGACAGAAGAGGCGTGTAGCTCATCGGGCCAGGGTCGACGAACATTTTTACCTGGGACTAGACTCGCAAATATGTGCACACACCCACAATCGCAGCGAGAACATTGTATGGGCGGATACATCCACAGGAAGAGCATGAAGCCATGTGGGAGCATGGCATCTCGATTGCTCTTTGTTCCGTCCTTGCTATCCATACACTATATCGTGCTCCTCGCTGAAGAGGTGGCCAGAGGGCATCCTGGGTTTTAGGAGAGGGAACAAGAGAATGACATGAAGCAGTTCCGAGCAGTACAGATATTATGAATCGCCCCAACGCAGCAATAATCGAAAGGTAGCTGTTGATGTGGATGGCCCGGCCTGGTTTTCAGCCTTGCTCTTCGATTTGGATTCGATTCCATGCGGGAAGTTCCTCTCGGGAGGAGCAGCGGTGAGAGAGGACTAGACGAAAGTCGACAGATACCGCCTAGATGATTCGTGATCAGAAAGCGAAACATGCTGAGAGAATCGTCAGTGGATGAAGCGGCGACAAGTAACTAATCGACATGATGAAGAGCTTACCCCTCAACATGAGATCTGTGAAACGACGCCAGATCTTGCTCGGTAACTTGGAACCGGCGCCGTGGTTGGCCTCATTCACTTTCAAGTTCACAATCGCTAACCTAGTGTGCAAGGGATGAATGAGCGAGAAGCCTTCCCTCGGTAGAGAAATTGGGGTCTGCGTTTCTGCTTCTGCATGTGGACCAGCAGACACGTCGACAAACCCCTGAGGCACGGAGGCATGATGTCAATGCGTCAACCAGCCGCCAGGCGTCAAAACGAAAGCCTTCATGGCAGGGGTCAGACGCAGCTACAAGGTAGCATGCATCCGGGGATGCGGACTGCGCGATGTAGGTCGACAAGACGAAGAACAAAGGACAATTACAAGCCACGCCAACGTCTGCGCTCTTCATAAATACCTGATGGAAATCGCTCCCATATGTGCTCGGGGGCAGAAAAGATCCTACGCCCCAAGAGGTTGCGGACTGGGATCCGGACATCACAAACGCAAAATCTGACAGATCGTTCAACTCTCAACTTTGCACTTGTCGCCATGTCCTCAGGATCATCCGGTGGCCGAAGAAAACCTAGCGAGATTGACACTCAGGCAGTGCCAGACCTAGGATATGGAATGTATCAAAACCGAAAGCAACCTCGAGGAAGTGGAGGAAAAGAAACAAAGCCTTCTGCTGCGCCCAGAGGCCAAGCGACCAACAAACCCAGCTCACATTCCAAACGAAAGTCGGAGAAGAAGGCGAAAGATGTGAGCAATGACCTCCTTCCCAGTCCCCCTTTTTGGTGCTGGTTAACAATTACGTACTGTGCAGTCGAAATGTCAGATCCTATAAGTAGCAGAGGAGCTCGTCCATGCTGGGAGAAGGGCAATTTGTGAGACTGGGGTCCATGTGACAATCTCATTTGCATCCAGCGAGCTACTGGGGGACTACCTAGATAGCTCGACACCCCACAATGGTACTTCGTCCTTTGTGCAACAATACTCGAGCTATTCAGGTGTTTTCAACCAGGGTGCCTACATATCTACGTGTTGGTGGGGCATTGGCCGAGCCCTTCAGGCATGCAGAGCATAGCACTGGCCTACAAGCCACTGCTAGACATGCCAATCGCTTGCGGTAGTCAGAATGTGATGGGGGGGCTCTTGCTCTGGCCTAAAATGCCCGTTCCCTAAAAGATACAAAGCACTTGTCCGTACGGGGACTTTACGCAAATCCAGTCATGCGATGCATTGCAATGCAATGAAATTGCTTTTTCATCTAAGATGAACGTGGAGGTTTACATGGAGGTGAACATGAGGCTGCATAGCTGGCATCACAAAAGCCCTGCTTGGTGCCCTCGGGTGGAAGATTGTTAGAGAACTCAATCTACCCGCACTAGGGGAGCCGAAGGGGGGATCCGACCCGCGCGGCTCATGGGTAGCAGTCTGCTAACTAGCTGCTTAGTGCACTTGGACTGAGAATGGAGGCCTCCCTGACCCTAGTTTCACGCAGGCGGGGACAACTAACATTGCCGCAGGTGTTACCACCAGCCCGGTAGATGCTACGTACCATGCTCCAGAAGAATCTTTACAGCACTATCGCCATTCTTCGTCTGGTTCCTCATTGGTCTAGCTTTTATTGATGCAAGCATTCGATACAAGAAATATGAAGCGACGCGTCCAGGACCATGATCGCTCCGGAGTGATCATGTCCGTGAATGATTGATACTGCCCAGCGAAAGCTTTTGCTTTCTTTGGCATGCATGGGCCGGCAGAGAATTAGGGAGCTTCTTTTATCACGTGATACTACATCTAAATCACGTGACTAAATCGGCCTTGGCCGTATCATCCCTTGACCTTATTCAATACAGAGCGGGAGCGGGTATATGTACTAGAGTGAGACTATCACTGAGAACGCAGATCCTGCAATACAAAGTTGACTACAAAACTATTTCAGCCGGTAACGAGCGTATCTATATTGTGTTGATATGCTCTCTGGTCAGTAGTCTACAAGGCCATCCTCGGCTTACCTGCCTCCTGGCCGTTTCCGCATTATATTTCCTTGGCCTAGGGCAGCATCACCCTGTTCCCGATCGGCGAGAGCATAACTTAGCAATTCCCCACCACTGATCGTGCCGCTTTAAACCAAGACCTCCTCAACTCTTAACCTCTCACTCCCCCTTCTTTCTTCATCCTTTTGTGTCTTCTCCGTGCCTTTTCGTGAAGTTCCGGTGCTTCGCCGTGCAAAGCAGAGATCCCGATAATATCTAAATATTCACAGCCAGGGAACATCGAAGATGTCTCCGACACACCACTCATTACTAGTTGAGCCAGTAGTATACGAACTTATTGCGAACGTTGGTATCGGTGACAATAGTATTCCGTCCTCAAACTTTTTCTAATATCGTTCAATTACTGCAGATATGATTTACACTGCGTTTTGTGGGCCAGAAACCAGAGATTCGGGAAGGCTACTTCAGCAGAAAAGCCCTCTCGGCCAGCCTCATTGGGCCCCGTTGCCGCATCAAATATGCATGTTACGTGGGCCAGACCAGAATGGACAGACCGGAGAGTATTGAGCATCCAACCGGTGAGGCTGATTTGCTGGCATCCTTCCCTCTACCTGGGCGAATAAATGCCCACTTCCTGGATTGACGCCTTGTTGCTTTGCTTCGCCTCACTTTTCTGTTCTGTATTTTTTGTCTTCTTAAATAAGGCAGAGCAGAAACTTCGCCCTTTGCATTCAAAAAGATGTACTAGGCATTGTTTTGCTTGTACTCGTCAACGGCAATCTTCTACTGTCCCAGTATCTTTTACGATTGATTGCCTTCAATCCTGCAAACTCTAGAAAGAATGGATTCGAAAACCATCATGGATCACAGCGGCAGCAGAGTCGGTGATAGAGCCGAGATTCGTAGCAGGAAACATGCCCGCAGCCCCAGCCTCTCGAACGTTGAGGACAAGGACGAATCCACTCGGCCAACGAAATCTCGATGCGGAGACGTTAAAGGAGGGAGAATGCTAGTCCTCCATGAAGTAATTTGCTCTCGCAGGCAAGAGAATAATGAAAGCGATCATTCGACCCATGAAAGCGGCATCGTCTATGCGGACGTTCCTCAATTATTCGCGGGCGACATTGGAACCGCTGTTTTGAGAGGAACCAATCGCATCTACGACAAATTAACCCTTCTAAAGCACATCGACCTTCGAAATGAACTTTTGCAATACCAGCTGACCGCCTTCTGGAGAAACAGAATGATGTGAGCATAGAGATTGGACAGCGCTTCGCGTAAGATTGGTGTTGGATACAGCTGCGCGAAGAGCTCAACGCGAGGTAGAGCCTGGCCAATTAAACCTAGTTGCTTTGCAATACGGGAAAAGTAATTTTCATGCTCAAGAACGCTCTACAAGCGACAGCTGTTAGTCACGGGAGCAAAGCATACGATCCACGATGTGAAGATAGCCTCCACCAGACCTACCATGAGCACAAATTTCATCGCACCCCAAGCAAGAGCCGCATATTCTGGGTGCGCCTGAGAAATAGTGTCCAAAACAGGGCTGTAATGTATAATTCGGGCCGGTAGTTCTAATATCCATTTTTGCACCTTGAAACGCCGACACTTGGCTTCCTCATACCGCGTCCGAGCCAGCTCTGCGATGCTCCTTACGTCGTGAATTGAGGCCCGCTTTGCAATCCATTCTCTCTTTGCTTCATCGTGAGTCAAATCGCGGGAGAAGAGCGCTACCGCATTCTCGAAGGCTTGTTGTAAGATATTCTCGGATCGGCAATGCCTTATGACACGTCAATATGGTTCTATCGTTGACATCTGTTAAATACAGACTCATTGGGGTCCGCAGTAAACCATTCAGCCGGGGTCTCCGACACTTCTCTCGTTGACATATCGTTAGCGAGGCTAGCTTTTGTTTAAGGCTCGATTCTGTGGGTTACGACCCGGAAGTAATTGGTATGAAGTCCCTGTGCGAATTCGACGTCGCTCTCAGCGTCCATCCCTCGAAGCAAACGCATCCGAATTGAGTTGCAACGTGTGTTAAGATGGTAGCAGGAGCTGCAGAGAGCCAAGGCAAGATGAACTGGCATACTACTGCCATCAGGCAACGAGTCACGCGTAGTCCTCGGGGCTAAAGTTCCGTGTTCTAAAAACTGAATAGGGTGTCTTCCCTTTTAAAGCATTCATGTCCGAGCAGCAATATCTGGAGACAAATGTTTGGGAGAGATCGACACAGGCGGGACTGTTTTTCAGTGCAAACCGTCAAAAAGCACCCACTGGGATAAGAAGAGGCAAAGTCATACCCACTCCTAGGACCCAGAGGATGATCGTCTAGACCAAGATTTTGCTCAGCTTGGCGTGCTAGTCTTTGACATCAAGCGACTTTCTCAATCCTTTGTCCGTAGTTGGATTTCTTAGGACCGTTTTTTGCGTCGCGAATCAATCCTCAAGGCATTCAATGACGCCATACATCACGAACAGGTATTCCGGTGGCAAGACACAAGTAAATAGCCGGGTTGGGGCCACGACATCACATCTTTATCCAAGCATTAAGCTCGAGTGACAAGGAAAGAAGATGTGGTTAGGAGCAGTTTGAGACATTCTATGAAGCAGCTAAATGAAGATGGTGAACAATCCAGATCAGGAGCGTGGATCGCCGATCAAAGTCTCAAAACAATGCCACTTAGCCATCTAGGAGGTCTTCATAGCTTACAGCTCGGTGGAGCCAAAATGATCAAAAGCAACGGAGAAGAACAGCTTCCAACATATCATAGTGTCTTTGAAAATAGGTGGGCGAGCTTGAGGGAATAACAAACGTTGAAGCCGGTGGGGACATAGGGGAAGCAAACCAACCAAGTCATCGGGTGACGCCTGGCCGTTATGCGGATTGATCCGAGACAACGTCAAAGAGGATCAAAAGGAAATCAAGTTAGAACTAAATTGTTGAGGTTTGATATATGTACTGAGAAATAGTAAAATACGACAGCTTTCCAACAGGATCCCATCCTCCGCAAACTGGCCTTAAATTTCAAGTTTCCAACAAAAGCTGGGCCTAACTAGTAGGATGAAGCGTATCCAACATGGCTTGTAGATTTAAACTGCAGTGGCCACCCTTTCGCGCATTCCATCGTCTTTCTTCTCCTGATCCAGTGCTGATGTCGAGCTGTCAACTTCATCTTGATGAATTTCGGCTTCAATGATGGGACCTGTGTAGAATTTCTTGCCACCAAGGTACCAATAAACGGCAGCGCATAGGAGGATGAAAGCCAAGAAAGCAATGGCGTAGTTCATGTTGTCGGCCGTCACCGGTCTGATGGTTGGTAGAATGAAAATGATGGTGACGAAGAGGGTCCAGATGCAGGCCCAGACGTTGACGAAGAAGGAGAATTTGCCCATATGCCATGGACCCGGCTCGAATTTGTGGAAGATCAACTTGCAGACAATCGGAATGACATATGACCAGTCGAGTGCGATCGCGCAGACGTTGAAAACACCGGCAATGGCGATGTATGAGCCCAGAGCGATCAAGTTGATGGCAATGCACCAGAAGACACTGATCCAGACTGCGTACAATGGCGTTCCAGTAAAACGATTGATCTTGGTCCAGACCTTGGAGAAGGGAATCAGACGATCGCGGGAGAATGCAAACACCGTCCGTGCCAACGCCTGTGTTGCCGTCCAGCAGACGAATTGCAGGATGATGAATGCCGCCACGGTGAAGAAAATCCCACCACCTTTGCCAAGCGAATTGTAGAAGATCTGCGCAACAGGCTGATAGATCGGAGAGGAAAGAATTTCGGTAGGATCACCCATGCAGAAGCAGAGGACAATATTGAAAAGCCATCCCAAGACGTACGTGCAGAGCATGGCCATCGAGATAGCCCATGGTGCCTTGATTTCGGGCTCGGCGATCCTGTTCAAAGGAGTCAACCCTCGGAAATGTCGAAATAGAGAGATACTTACTCCTCCGTAATGTGAGCCGTTGCATCGTAGTCGGTCATCGTCCAGGAAACGGACAAGAAGCCAAACAAAAAGGACCATCCAACTGGTGTCCAACCCGCGTTTCCTTCGACGTGTGTGAAAACGTAGCTCGCATCGTGCTTATTGTCGGTCTTGGCCAAAAGTGCAACGGCACAGGAGATGAGGACGGCAAAATGGAAAATAACATAAGTCTTGGTCATCTTCTCCATCCAGTATGTTGAAAGAGAATTGACCAATCCATTCAGAACAGTCAGTGCAGCCATGACTCCTACGGTCTGGTTGGTGGTGGGAAACCACTGGAAGTCACGTCCAATGGAGACGGCGGCCAACAGAATCTGAGCGGCGCCATACTCGGAGGAGGCGATGCCGGCGACTTGTCCTAAGAGATTGATCCACCCGGTAATCCAACTGATCGAGGGAACCCATTCCTTGGGCGCCAATCGGGAAACGGTGTAGTACAGACCTCCACAGGTTGGGTACGCGGAAACCAATTCAGCGACAGAGCAAGCTATACACATACATCCAGCACCAGAAATGAGCCAGCACCACACGGCGGAAGCAGAACCACCGGCCTCTAGTGGGTAGATGAAAGTGGTGGTGGTTGTCGCAAAAAGTCCGGAGATACTCACGGCGAAGGAGAAAGTCGAGAGGTAGCCGAACTCGCGCTTGAAGACCTACGTGCCGTCAGCGTATTTCTTTTGGCTATCGCAATCCACTCCACGTACAGGCTTGTAGCCGAATTGTTCAGCGAGAGCTCGGTCAGCGGGATTCAGCTCATCCAGCTGAACAGTCTTGCGTCTTCCAGAGGCATCTTGGATTTCAACGGTTCCCACACTATGCCGGCGGAGTTCTCCCTCATCAATAGACCCGGTGGTTATGTCTTTGGTCGTGGCCATATTTCAAGGTGCGCGCAGGCTTGCCGGCAGTATTACGGTCCCCGAAGAGGGCGGAAGGGGGGAAACGAGGTATTTGAGGCAGGCCTGATGAATCAGCGCCACTGCCGATAACGAACGACCCCGGTTTGACGCGGGTGCAGTAAAAGGTCGGTTTTCTGTCACCGTCCTGGATCGGCATGTGAAGCCGGTTGGTAGTTCGATCGGAAGTGATAGCCTGGGTTTGAATGACCAGTTTTACCGTGCTTAGCTGGGTAAACAAAGAGGAAAACAAGAAGAGAAATAGAGGAGTCAAGTCATACTTAAGTCGGCCGGAGAAGCAAAGTTAAGGTTTTGCCATTCTAGAAGTCTTCTGCATGGGATCCTGTATTGACGATATCACCTCGATGGAGCTGGAGGCCAGGGCCCAACGAGATGTTCTGGCGTTGGAATGTATGATTGCAGCTGTGGAGCCCATGACGGAGGGGCCAGGGAATGGGGGGGTGTAGTGATAGGTGACAGATGATAAGTGACAGGGATTGGATGGATCTTGACAAAGAACAATGTCAAAAAGCAACGGCCAGAGCGAAGATTGACGATGGGGAGCGATCAGAGAATCGGCGAAGGCCACTGGGAAAATTCAAGAGGGGAGGCCCAAGGGGAGTAGCCGACCCGGGCCCCAGTGGCCATGTGGGTGTCAGACAAACGGCAGCAAATCACTTGGGAGCACTCAGATAGTGCTGAAGTCAATAGCGGTCAAGCACCTAGAAAAGCTCTCAGAAGCACCACAAAGCACCTTTTTGCTCAACGCGGCAAAGCTTCGCATGGCACGATTCGCTTGGAAAGGAGCTCAATCACTTGATCGCTAGCTTATGGCTCACTGCGTCCGGATCAATTTGATTTTCTCTCTGTTGAGCACGCAGAAGAAATGCGAAGCCTCAGCGGCTGGACGTAACAGAACATATAGTGATGGTAAGCGAGGCCCAAACAGGAATCCCAGTGGCCAGAAAAGTCGGGAAAAAGGATCTCTTCAGGGATGCTCCACCATCCAGCAATCAGTCAATGATAAGAAACATTGCCGTCAACTTGGCCTGTCTCACACTGAACGCACAAAGCAAAATAATGAGCCGCACTAATCCAATAATCATCGGATGGTCTATCTCTCTATCGGCCTCCAGGTACTCCGTATCGTATTCCCAGAAACAACCTAGTCACCTCATCCTTCGTAGCCAGCCCTGGTCTTTTCCCCCATGAAATGACACCCTGCAATCAGTCCGCCCATCTTGGACGCAGTTGTCCATGGCCCAGTAAAAACACTGAATGATGCTGACGCAAGCCCACGCACCCTCCCTCTTCAGTTCTTAAGTACCTAGAACCTGACCAAAGCCCCTGTCACCTCCCAGCAAGAGATTGTTTCGTATTTGATGGCTGGAGCCATAGGTTGAACGGATGAATTGGCAGGGTTAAATGATGGATCGCTTCTGTCAAAAGGAGGGATTATTCGCTCGAAACGATGGGGTCGATGCGATGAGCTTCTGCCTCATGGGTACAAGCTCGACCGTTTATACTGTCCATGGCAAGGAGTATTGTTTTATGGTTTTGGATTGTTTTGTTCGCTAAGACGCTTGATTTGTTCACTGAATACGTCCAACCGACGAAACAGCTCGTTCACTTCATCTGATGTCATAGGTGATAGGTTTTCGTAATTCGATGGGTTTGATGGTAGGAGATATGATTAGACTCGCTGCCGTATACGCTACTATACTTGTGGTATACCATGGCTTGTTGATGTAGAAGATGGTAACATTTTGAAAGAGAAATGGTAAGAAGACTTTTGAATCTCTGAAAAAAATCAAGAAAGGTACAATCATATGTATGGGGAAAGTGGCCGGGTCCTCAGGCCCCGAGACGTCAACACGCCAATCCCTCCGAATTCGAATTTGGTGGCCATGATGATGTGCAACATCAAAAGCCACGCAGTCTACCAAGCATCACTAGATGTGGCAGCTGTTATTGCCAAGTCCATGCCGGTTCAGTAGCCGCGGCCTTGGTAACAGGCGCAAGCATCCCATGCATCACCATGTGTCTCCTCCAACTTGATCGGCCTCATCACTGTTACCCATCTCTAGCTCGTCTTCGTCATCAAAGTTGAGAGCTCCATCTTCAGACTTTAAAGTGCTGCGAGAAATGCGGAACCTCCAGGCTGTTCTCCATGAGAAGCTTCGTCAGGAATGGTCCATCTTGCTCATTGCAGAAGGATGCCACAAGACCTGCGACCTATGATGCCTATTGGTCATTGCAGCCTTGGTACATGAGGAGGATGACAGCTTACCAATACGATGAACATATTCGCTACGACCACCGAATTCAGCACTAGGAAAGTCGAAGTTGATGATGTGCATTACGTTGCTCGATGTTGGTCAGCGATGGGTTCTGGAAATTTTCTCTCAAAACGTACCGTACGTCAAGACCACGGCCACTAACTCCAGTTGCAACCATAATCAGGGATTTACCGGACTTGAAGGAACAACTGTGGCATACATTAGTCCGGTGCACCGTCCAGTGGGTATTAGAAACCCACAGTGCATCCTCACGCTCCCATTGAGTACGATCAGCATGAATGGAAGTAGATGGCAATCCCATGTTGAACAAGTAGTCATCAATGAAGTCCGCAGTTTCTTGTTTCTAACGAAGATAAGAGTGTGCGATGGAGGCATGGATAGCACCCAAGCCATAGAGAGCTTTCTACGTCTTATTTTGATCGGCCCACATGAGGTAGCGTATACGAGGTGCTTTGTCAAACATACGTGCTGCTTGACGTTGGCATGGGCTAAACCAGTACGACCAACGCCGACATGAACGTGGTCGGAGGCGAGGTACATGGCAGCTAGCTTCCGAACACGCTTTGGGAACGTGGCAGAGAAAAGAAGGTAGCGATGGTCACCATCCTCATTGATATCTGGAGGAGTTAGCAAGTACACAGGGAAGAGAAAAGGACTGAGTAATCTACCACCCCCCCAACATGATCTTGTCTATCTCTTCACCCCAGTCTCCGTGAAGCATCTCATCTGCCTCAATGATGATGGTGAATTTGACACGGGACAATGAGAGAATATCTGGACGACTCATAGTATCGAGCAAGCGGCCTGGGGTTGCCACAAAGAGGTCGCATCCTTTGGCAAGCTGATTGATCTGATTGCGAACAGGGGCGCCACCGTATGCGACACAAGGGCGGAGCATGGAGCGGTAGCAAAGACGACGTGCTTCATCAAAGATCTGGCAGCACAGCTCACGAGTTGGGCGACGATGAGAATCAAAGGCTCAGCACGGACACGTTTGCCATCCAGCTCCGGGTACAAACCAGGGCGGGGTGCCGCGAGCTCTCTGACTTTGCCCATGAGCTCGGAAATGCATGGAATGAGAAAAGCCGCAGTCTTGCCAGATCCTATTATGTTGTTAGCGAACACTGGCAACGGCCATCTCTTGATGCAGGAACTAACCTGTCTGCGCAATACCAATCATGTCATGGCCCCTGATCACCGCTGGAAAGGCGTAGGCTTGAATCGGAGTAGCGTACTGATAACCACAGAGTTGGACATTGTCCAAAATGACAGGATGGAGGCCGGCATCCGTGAACTATGTTGTGGTTACTACCGCCATGGACAAGAATGGGCGAAAGTACTCACACCGCTAACTGGGCCGACACGAACTTCGGACTCGATAATCACTTTAACAGAGGTAAGGCTGGATGGTCAGTGAAATGTTGTGCAGATTCCAAATTGGAAAGGATATGTTTCTGGAATTTCTCGCCGGCACGATTGATGTGCTGTCCTTGAAACAATTCTTTCTCCAACTTCTCATTTCGCGGTCCAACATCGCCGTCTGCTTTGTCCCATTCGTATCTTTCAGCATCATGTGCCCAGGTAGAGTTGGCCCTGTTATTTGCCTTGTTGCACTCCTCATCATCTGCTTCGTTCATGAGAACAGTAGGAGCCTTCGCATCGTAGTTGTATGCTTGCGGTTCAACCCATCCCGCAACGCGGACAGGCTTGATAGAGGATGCATTGATACCACCGGTATTGGTAGCTAGGTAGTGGTACCATTGCTAGCACTAGGCAAAGCTGCTGCCATGTCGGAAGTGTTGAGTGCAGAAGAAGCGGGCCCTAAGAAAAAAAAAAAAAAAGTAAGGGCCTGGCTCTCATGGTAAAGAGATGCCTCAGGTGAGAGTCACAAGGAGAATGTTGTTGAAGGCTGGGATAGGAAAAGACGATGGGAGAATGTGGGTGGAATTGTTTGGATTTAGCAAAACAAGCAAGGGTAACAGACGGCCAGAAGGTGAACGTGTTAACTGCGCCTAAAACGTGCGAAAGTTAAGAAGGGAAGTAACACGAGTATCCCTGATTTGATTGACCCAAGCTCAAGGTATCTCGAAGAGTGGTTGAGGTAGGAGAGGTTGACGTAACAAAACACAGGCTTCCGAAGAGGGAACGACATACCCAAAGGTGGTGCCGACGGTGCAGGACCGCTAGAGGGAATAGCCCAGCTTATGGCTGAACGCGAGGGGAGGGTTTGAGATTGTCAAAGGTTGTCAAAGCAGAGCCGAGCAAAAGGAGCTGTTTCGAGAGGGTGTTGAGATGTTGAGATGAAGGAGAGAAAGCCAGGTATTTGAATGGGATCAGTCGAGAAACCAGTGCAAGGCAATGATAATGACATCACTGAGAAGATCAACCCAGACGATTTAAGAGTGATGAAGTCGATGACGATTCTTTGACCTCCATGTGCTTCCCAGCGCATTTGAGGATCTGAGAAACGAGTCAGAGCAAGAGCGAGTTGAGGAGAGCGATAACAGACCATCCACATGACTGAACTCTCCTTTGTCGCCGACAGCATCAAGATCCAAGCTGACTTGCAATTTCATTTTGCAGAATATTTGCTAGAAGCAGAAGCCACTGGACCAGAAGACTGTTACGACGTCGGCTAGTGGTCTGATACCATCAAATGCAAACAGTACCTTCTTTTGATCTGCCAATGCAAAACGTTGATACTCAGCAGTAAACGGAGTCTAGACATGACGCACACGAAGCCTCTTTAACATCATCATCCGAGAATCCTACGGTCATATTCTTTCATGAACAAAAGATATGATGCTTCTTTCCCCCAGCTGTCCGAAACATTCTCCCAGACAGAGACAGGTGCAGCCAGAATACTTGCAGACAATGCAAAGAGGTGGGAACAGCAAGGGAGTCAGTAATCAGCCTTTGTCTCGACTCATGACCAGCAGTCTGATGACACTGGTCATTGCCTGATGTTATTTGAATAGGAGTGGCTTTTCAAAAATTCATACCTCTGCTCCTGAGTTCGAACAAATCACCACCGGATTACCAGGGTGGGAGAGACATATCATAGGAGCCATCAGAGCAGTCATCATGATCCTGAATGAATTGAGGCCGATAGAAGTGGTTCCAATCAATGAGGGGTTGACAGTCTAGCCCGGCGACACTGCCCGGTTTATTCGTTCGCGCCACGCTCCACGAGATGTCTTGACATGTAAAAAGCATACACATCGACCAGTAAAAAACTGTGTGGGGCATGAGCCACAAAAATGGGCAGAAAAGAACAGGAACACATTTGACAGCCACCAGGCTCTCTAACAACCCTGGGCTCTGAGGGTCTCGCCTTCTCAGAATAGAGTCCACCATGAAAAGGAGGAGATTTTCCAGCAAGGCTGAAACCAAAAGTTCGATACTCGGCCCTTTCGCGATAAGTCTGCTTGCCAGGATAGCTTGCCAGGATAGCGTGCCAGCGCAAAGCTGGCCCTCGAAGCTCGATCTCTAACCACTGAATGACGGGCGGACAATCCTCTCCTCTTGGAATTCCATATCGCCAGCTTCATTGTCCAAAATCACGGTGCGGGTCAGGAGTCGTGACAGGTCAAAGAAGCGTTGGATTTGGATTCAGGGGAAGAGTTTTTTTGTCGCTAAATTAGAGTGCACTGTGCTTGGCCGTAGTCGATCGAGCTCCTACAGAGGGCTTGTCCATCCTTCAACTTCCCGAGCAGCTTATCTTTGTAGCTGTGACTGCCCATAACTCAAGACCCTGAATCCTCCCACCACTGAAACTGAAATTCTGAGGAGTAGGAAATGCACGGGCAAATCATAATTAGGCCTTTGGCCCAATTTCCAGGGCAGCAAATTCCATCAGCCAAGGGTGGCGGTCTTTGCTCATTGTATCACCTCACTCTCCTTTCGGAGCTGGGCTTCTCTGATTTCTTCCGTTCTCTTTGCTCTCTCGCTCTATGGATTTTGTACTCTGTGCATGAGCGATTGAAATAAATTGAATTTGTGTCCTTCAATACTTCCATGCTTATCCGAATCTACCAAACTCATTCCCCCATCGCTTCTTTGATATGAAGACTACTACAGATGGGTAGATGCCGTACCGATGGACAAAGACGGCATTCTCGTAGCACCGATATTGATCAAGAATTATCTGTAAAGGGAGTTTCGCATCCTGGCAAGGCTACCGGAAATGATATCCGACCACATGAGCCGAATCACGTGCTACCAGCGGTCTGATTCGCCGATTTGACACACACAGAGCAAAATATTTCTTGGCAATCGAAATTGTGTGCGCGCCCGCTTGTTCTCCCCTCCAAATTGACGATTCCTCGAACCGCGAAAACTCCAGTTCCAGTTGGCTCCTCCAGTCAATCAGCCAAAATGACGACTCAACAAGGAGCTATTTCCAAGCGTCGCAAGTTCGTTGCCGACGGGGTCTTTTATGCCGAATTGAACGAATTCTTCCAGCGCGAGCTGGCCGAGGAAGGTTACTCTGGTGTTGAAGTCCGAGTCACTCCTACCGTTACCGACATCAGTATGTCCTGGGTCAGATGAATATAAAGGGAAATGGATATCTAACTTGAATTCTTTGCAGTCATCCGTGCCACACACACACAAGAAGTCCTGGGCGAGCAAGGGCGACGAATTCGCGAACTCACCTCTCTAATTCAAAAGCGCTTCAAATTCCCCGAGAACAGCGTCTCCCTTTACGCCGCCAAAGTGCAAAACCGTGGTCTTTCGGCCGTCGCTCAGTGTGAATCTCTACGATACAAATTGTTGAACGGTCTGGCTGTACGAAGAGCATGCTACGGTGTCCTGCGATTCATCATGGAGAGCGGTGCGAAGGGCTGCGAGGTTGTTGTCAGTGGAAAACTGCGGGCTGCTCGAGCAAAGAGCATGAAGTTTACCGTAAGGCCACACAGACAATTGAATTTCGAACTGTGAGAGTTCTTCTTAGGGATACTGACAGTTGGAAAATAGGACGGCTTCATGATCCACTCTGGCCAACCAGTCAACGACTTCATCGACCATGCCACCCGTCACGTCCTCCTCCGACAAGGTGTCCTGGGTATCAAAGTCAAGATCATGCGCGGAAGTGATCCTGAGGGCAAATCCGGTCCTCAAAAGTCTCTCCCCGACAGCGTCACCATCATCGATCCCAAGGAAGAGCAACCCGTCCTGCAACCTATGTCCCAAGATTACGGCGCGAAGGCCCTCGCAGCCCAGCAGGCGGCTCAAGATGCCAGGGCGGCAGAGGCGCAGGAGAATGGAGCAGAGGAGGTGTACGTCCAGGAATAGAATGCTTGGTTTCTACAAAGGTAGTCTCTCCACGAGCTTTAGCATACCATTTTTCCCGAAGAAAAGGACTCGGGCGCGTGCATTGAACGCTTCAAAGTCACGTTGTGATGCAGAATTCATGATGAAGCAGATATGGCGTCGAAGCAAAATAAACTTCGAATCTGACCAAGTTCCGTTGTCTCTACCCTATCTTTTTGCCCATTTTTGGTCGTCATCTACGGCGTCCATCATGAAGATAATACCTCCCGTGGTTGAGAGTCTCTTTTCCACATTGTCCAGCTCTCATAGGAAAACCTCGACATTGAACTCGAGCACACTCACAGGATATTTGAGCTCGAATTTCTCTAGCACGGTAGGATGCAGGATGCCAAAACTACCGATTACAATTTCCCTGCCGGCGATCTTCGCATGGATGCTGGCACCGTGTCCGGGGAAGTATGTGGCATCGTCGAGTTCTTGAATCCGATATTCCATTCCCCAAGGCTTCCCATTCTTAATCTCTAGTCCTTCTTCGTGCGTGATGAACGCGGTTTTCAACATCGCCATGACACGATCGAGCAGACCATGGACAACCTCAAAACCAGATGTTTTGCCATACCAAGCTGCGGCGAAGTGACGCTCATTTCGACTCTTGCGCTCGACGGTGCCGTCCTTGAACGCGACGTCGCTGACTTCGAAGATCTTGATAGGTATAGAGTGATGCTTGTTCTCGCGAATCGTCTTCAGCAGACCAGGTATCAAGGTTGTTCTGACGACTTGATACTCTGCGGTCTTAGGGTTAGCCAGTCTGACTGCAGTCTCGCCATCATCTTTGCGATTCAGCCAACTGAAGTTCTCATCGTGCGAACACAGGATCAGAGGTAGGGCTTCGGCCCAGCCAGCCATCGCGGCCTCGAGTCGTAGAATATCGGAGAGTTTGTTGATTGCAAGTGGAGCAGCGATTGTGGCGCCCACTTTGGGAAATGATCTTGGTAGTTTGTTGAAGCCATATGCAATACACACGTCTTCCATGATATCAGCTTGATGCAGCACATCTGCTCGTGTCGGAGGAATATCGACGTCAATTAGACTCGGGTCCGACTTGGACGGTCTGGCGGCGTAGCTCATCCGTGTGAGGAGGGTACAGATCTCCTGAGGGGACAGCGAAAGACCACAGCATTCATTGATATAATCTACTTCGGCTTCTGTGGAGCGCGGTGCCAGATCGGGCACTTGTCTTGTCTCGCCATTGTGCTCTGACATGACCTGAATTGGCTCCACCGTGAATTTTTCCGAGGTATATTGGGAGAACATAGATACCACAATGTTGATAACCAGCTCTAGTTTGGTTTTGTCGGTAGCTGTCACCTCGATGAAGACGTTCTTGGTGTCGAGAGTGATTTTGCTCAGGTTGCCGTTGATGATGGGTGGAAGAGAACAAACGGCACGGTTGGAGTCATAGATGACCGGGTACACAGGCGAATCTCTGATGATGTGGAGATATCGGCCAAGGTGCTTGTCTTTATCGTAGAATGCTATGAGTTCCTCTCCATTCATTTCCTTTGACTGATTAAGCGGAACAAATCGGATGTCTTTCGGTGGCAATGCTTCATAGGTGAAAGGCCCTTTAATCGTATCAAGGTCGTGCGTTCCAATGGAAACAAGAGTCCGTTGTCGTGCCAAATTTTGGTGTAGCTTGTCCTGGAGGTCGATGAAAGATTCATATCTCCCTTGGTTGAACTTGATGTTTCGCAAGATTGCTCCGGAGACATAGGGTCGTATTCTAGAGGTGTCTTTCTTGACTGTAATAGTTTGCATTTGACCATTGGAAGGGGCCTTCAGAACATATTTGGGCGCTTGGACCCTGCGATTGAAGATGTTGAGCATCAGCTGAATGCCCTCGAAGCAGAGCATGTCATAACGATTGGCGGGAATTTCGATCTTGAGCTGAGGCGGCTCTTGTTTTCCATTGACGATAGGTCTTTCTGTAAGAGAGGTGTCTTCATCCAGCTCGATTCCGAAGTCGAAACAGAGTTCGTCAAACTCCTCCGTAGTATACTGTCTGCCTAGGGCCTCGAACAAGGCAGCCTTGTCCACGGAGATGGTGGGCATATTGAAGGATGTTTCTGCAGAGACTTCTGGCTGGGCTGCAGGCGTAAGAACGACTCAGTGTTGAGAGACAGAGAAAAAGCTAGTTGCTCCTTCGAGATTGAAGAAGCCTTAAAACTGGAAAGGAATCTGGAGCGAAATTGAGGCAATATCAAAGAGTCATCGCGAGGCTTGGCAGGTGTTTTGGTGTGTCGGCCCAACATATGATGGGAGCTCAAATGAACTGATTATCCGCTTTTCCAAATTCCGCCATACACTTCACCAAGTCCCTGCGCTTTCAACTCCGGTATTTCATAGCAGGGCGCCTCTCGGACGAATCCATTTACCTTCGCGACACTCGAGTTCAACGATTTCCTGTAAGTTGTTCCCCCTTGCTCTCATGTGCATCAACAGTGTCGTCAAACCGCGCAGCCTACAACGGCAAGGCCACAACAATGCCTCCTGACACGTGTTGATTTATTCATGGCTGACCTCTATGACAGTCAGATATGCATTGGAATTTGTATTAGTTCTTCATCCGCGTCCACGAGTCTTCCATCCTGCTTCCTATCTCAGCACGGCTCGACGACTGTATTTCACCCGCTCTCGTTAACCCTCCCCCCCCCAAACCACACATCAACGGGGACTCTTTAAGATCGGGAGATAAACTGCATTGTTCCACAAAGATTCGCCATGGAGGGTCAAGATAATGGTGATGAGCTCTACCCCATCGCCGTTCTGATAGACGAACTCAAGGTACGGCTCGCTGAGCCCTCAGGAAATGTCGTAGCCCCGACTAATATGTATACAGCATGACGACGTTCTCCTTCGACTCAACGCCATTCATAGACTCTCTACAATTGCTCTTGCCCTGGGCCCCGAAAGAACAAGGGATGAACTAATACCATTCTTGGACGGTGGGGTCATGTTCGCCACAAAATAGTTGGAAACAACACTGACAACCCACTTAGACTCCGTTGAAGATGAAGATGAGGTCTTAACGGCCCTAGCAGAAGAGCTTGGAAACTTCATTGAGTACGTCGGGGGTCCAGAATGTGGTCACGTGCTCCTTGCGCCACTGGAGAATCTTGCGGCGATCGAGGAACCGCTTGTGCGGGACAAGGTATGGGCGGAGGAGATATTACAAGGAGAAGGAGCTGACATTGAAAGGCGGTTGAATCTCTCAATAAAATCTGCGAAGACTTGTCAGAGCGACAAGTAGAAGAATATTTCATTCCTCTTACGATTCGTCTTTCGAAAGCCGATTGGTTCACCTCAAAGATATCAGCTACAGGGCTATACACGACTCCTTACCGGAAAGCATCACCGGCTTCGCAACAAGGTCTTCGAACCCAGTTTGGTCATCTCGTTCACGATGAAACACCAATGGTCCGACGACAAGCCGCGAATAATTTGGCCAAATTCGTCAAGGAGGTGCCAGTGTCTGTGGTGATTGATGAAATGATCCCTCTGTTCCAACATCTTGCCAGCGATGATCAAGACAGTGTCCGATTGCTCACGGTTGAGGTGCTCATCTCCATTGCCGAAGTCATTCCCAAAGAACAGCAGCCAAGCCATGGCGTACTCTTGACGGCGTTGAGGAGTTTATTCGAAGACAAGAGCTGGAGAGTGCGATACATGGTGGCGGAGAAGTTTGAGAAGATTGCTAAAGCCGTCAATGAAGAGGTGGTCACAAGAGATCTTGTTCCAGCATTTGTGAAGCTGCTCAAGGACAGCGAGGCTGAAGTCCGGACCGCAATCGCCAGTCAAATCCCTGGTTTCTGCGGACTGCTGGATCGCGAAACGTTGCTGAATGAAATCATGACGAGCATTGAAGATTTGGTATCAGATCCATCTCAACATGTCCGGGCTGCTCTCGGAACACAACTCAGTGGATTGGCTCCGATACTCGGCAAGGAAGAGACCATATCTCATCTTCTTCCCATGTTCTTGCAAATGCTCAAGGATGAATTCCCGGATGTCCGACTACACATCATTTCCAAACTTGAACTTGTCAACAATGTCATTGGCATAGAACTACTCTCACAATCTCTCCTGCCGGCCATCGTCCAACTCGCCGAAGACAAGCAATGGCGCGTCCGTCTCGCTATTATCGAATACATCCCATTGCTAGCCAAGCAGTTGGGTATGAAATTCTTCGATGAACAATTGAGTTCCCTGTGTATGGGCTGGTTGGGTGATACTGTCTTCTCCATCAGAGAGGCCGCGACAGCCAACTTGAAGAAGCTTACAGAAGTGTTTGGTGTGGAGTGGGCAAATCGATCTATCATTCCCAAGGTTGCAGCAATGAGTCAACAGCCAAACTACCTCTACCGAATGACGACTTGCTTTGCTATCACGGTACGTCGAGATGTCGCTCGTTCTTTTGACTTTCCAGACAACCTCTAACCTCTCACCTAGACCCTCGCACCAGTCATCACTCTCGACATAATTTCAGACAGTGTCCTGCCGATGATGGACCAACTCGTATCCGACCCCATTCCCAATATTCGCTTCAACATAGCTAAATCTTATGCTGTCCTTATCGACATTCTTCGCCGCCTTCCTGCCGAGGGTACAATCGCGCAACTCGAAGAGTCTGGTTCCACAACTGCTCAACCCAGTCCCAAGGGCTTAGAGTTGATCAACGGCCAAATCATTCCTAACCTGGAAAAGCTGCAACACGATGAAGACGTTGATGTCAGATATTTCGCCACCATTGCGGCAGGCGGGAGTGTGAACGCTGCGGTTGAGAGGATGGATACAGGACAGTAGTTCTTGGGGCGAGCCAGCGCTGAAAAACAAATAGGCAGGGCATTAGAATTCGGGATGGGAGTGGGATTGACTACCGGGATCAATTCAGGACGGCCCCCTAAAGAAAGAAGGAAAGACAGACAATGAAAGACGCACAGTGGGAGATGTACGAGTCAAAGTCAAAACTTGAACAAGTTCTAGTCAAATGTGCTAGTTGAATGATACCAAACTCTCAAATCTCGAAATTCGGAATCCAACATCAAACACGAATGAGACATCAGATCGGACCAGATTCATCGCACCAGTTTCAGACTCCGCTGCGAGGCAGGCGACAAGGGATTGAAGGGGAAAAAAAGGGGATATGGAACATCAAGAGTCAGGACCATTTGTATCTAGCAGCCTGCAAAAGGGGGGTTTTTGAATTTGTGTTTTGCTCTAGTCGTTTCCAATAGAACATAATCATTTTAGGTCTCGCACGAATTTGAATGTAGTTCCAACGTAGAGGTCCTGGTTCCATCCTGTGTTTATGTCCAAGCAACAAGGTTCAATTTATTATTTTGGGGCTGAGAGGTCTTCACTTTACATTTTGTTCAACGAGGCTCGTATCGACCAGAAGGTATGTATAGTATACATAGCTAAATACATCTGTTTGCGTCAGTAGTAGGCTATTCTGTTCTGTCTCGCCTTGTCTTCTTGTCTTTTCCTTATCCCGTTGGTCCTCCTCCTTTCCTTCCTTTTGGGATTTTGTTGATATCATTGTCCGTCGCGGTCATGTTTTCGACACTCTCATTGTACCTCCTCGCCCACCTGTTCACTGCGATTGCGTGTCGAGAATGGGGAAGGGGAGTGAGAAGAGAGGACCTACGTACCCTGAACAACTGAACACGAATGACATTATTCTGACAAAACTCCCAGAATCAGGAATCACATAGATGACAGACAAGCCCGAGTCAGACAAGGGTGTTTTTGAATTTTGATTACCACCAGCCCAGAGAGTACAGAGCGGGTCGACAAGTTGTCCAACGAGAGCCGACTCTATCCAAGTGAGAGCGACGAGACAAAATGGCGATATTCAATCGCGGGGTGGCGGTATGTATCAATGGATGAGACGACCATTTCAATGCCGAATCGAATGAATAGATAATGGCGCCATCACAAGCTGAATCCAATGTTGTACCTATTGTCGTCGATCAAGCGGCCATATCTGCATTGCAATTAGTGTCATATTCCTCGCGCCTCAGGCGATTTTCGATTCACAAACACAGTGGAGGGAATGATATGATCGGAAGCAAAACAGAGAAGCAGAGGAAAGAAATGGTAACTCACTCCAGCAACAATCTAAAATACCAAACTTCCAAGTCTTCATTCCTCAGCACCTTCTGTGCCCATTGGCGTCCCTGACCGGCGATCTTCTTCCCTTCGACCTTGCCGCTCTGTTCTTGGTCAAAATATCGCACCGACTCTACATATTCATCCCCTTGTAAGCCAAATGGGACGTAATGCACCCACGGACGGAGCCATTCGTCGTGCCATTCACGGAATACAGCGAGCTTGTAGACCAGACTATTGCTCAGCAGCCACGCATAGTAGCGTCCCGAAAACGCATTGCCGTCGATGTCCAGTAGATATCGCGATGCAAGAGCATCGAACATATTCACCGGCTCCACGGTGCCGAAGTACTCACGCTGTGCATCGCAGTCGCCCGGATCGCATTGCCCGATGTAGGTAAACTTGACGTCGAAATAATGCGACATCTGTTGCAGTGAAATCTCTTTCTCGCGCCAGACATCCTCTGTGAAGGTGGAATTGTCGAGCTCGAGTATCTTGGCCGTGTTGAGTGGTTGGATCTTGGCGAGGAATCGCTGACGGTGTTGTCGTCTCCAACCGCCATCACGAGAGAATCCCCCTGTCGTGCTACCTCGCCAATACATCGTCGGAGCCTTCTCTTCCCATGGCATATCCCGCTCCTTCTCATACTTCACTCGGCCCATATAGTACCATGGCGAGGGATAAAGAATATCCTGAAAACTGGAGATCTTGGACTGTGAGAATATCGGGAAAAGATCGTGGGTTACGTCGAAAGCGTTGGGACGGTCGAAGAATCCAAAGGATTTCTCCATGCTTGGTGAATTACAGATATCGGAAAAGGCTGTAGTGTTGCGGATGAACCCAAGAGGCAGGTCAGTGTACGCTGTAATGTTGTCGGGACAGGAGTCGTTCAGGCAGATGCGAGCTGGACTGTCTGGAGAGCAGGATAGTCTTGAGTCACTCCAAGTCGGTTGATGGGCGAAACGGTTGAAGCGTGTCGTCTTGTACTCTTTGATCCGTATCCCTTCTCCCAAGTCTTCTGCCCTCGGCGACCATCCATTGCTTAATCCTTGATTGGCATACGCCTTGGGGATGTTCTCGTCCTTCGCCACCTGAACGTGATGCAGCAGGTCATCATGCTGCAACACCACTCGGGGCTCGTCGTGAATATTGAAGGCCAAGTCCATGTCCGGCAGATACATAATAAACTCCTTCAACATGATGGGTGTCGCCTCACGATGCCATTCATACATATCACCACCCCCTTCAATCTTGGTGACTTTGCCATCCCGAATCATCACCGCGATCAACGCATTGTCAAATCCAATGGCCTCTCTTGTTCTCTCTCTAATCACAGCCGGCTCCAGTGCCCAGAACGGCAGCAGTTGATGGTATATCGTGTCATATTCGTCAATGAGCTCAACTCCTCGCTTTTTTGCAAAGTTGTACCACTTGTCGAAATGCGGCGGAGGTGGTAGCTTGTACCGCCTGCGGTACTCGGCTACCGCATCGCTTAGAGATCGAGACTGACGCGCGAGAACGGTTTGAAAATCACCTTCTGCTTGGGCGACTAGCTGATGGATAGGATGCAGGAGTGAACTCGCGGGGAGGAGGGGTTCGTTCTCCTCGTGAGCATGATGACCGTGAAGAAGGGAGGTGGATTCCTCGAGTGTCTCTGGGCGCCGGAGGAGATACGTCGTGAATGTAGCTGTGACAAGCAGGCAAACAAGGACCAGTAACTTTCGAGATCTTATCATGCCTTGCACATAGCTTCTATTGGGAGTTCGAAGATTCATGCATGGACCGGAAATGGTGAAGAGGATGGTTGACACATGCTGCGTTGAAGAATGCCGAACAATATGTCGATGTTCAGGTACGGTCCAGCAAAACTCGATGCGTACCCAATATAAACCTGCTGCAAGACTTGTATGACTCAGGAGGGGGGAGAGAGAGAGAGAAAGAGAGAGACAGAGATTAATCTATTTTATTCCTGCACGAATATTCGCGACAAACGGAGGGAAATGCCGAGGAAACGGATACGGCAACCCAAATACACCCCGATACGCATTTCTACCAGACTTATTCACGGGCGATGTAGTGTGTATTCTAGTCTCATAGACTCCTTGAAGTCCATCAATCAATATCTTATAGCCTTCGAACCTCCAGCGCTGAAGAGTTTCCGGGTAATATCCCCCAGCGTCCCAAGCCATCCTCTCGCGTGGGCGATCAAGTTCGTCACCCCGATAACCCTCCGTATGAACAGATCAGTCTGTTCAAAATCGTGTGCGTACACGTCCCAGGCCGATTGATCCTTTGTCTCTAGCTCGAGCCCTACAGCCTTCGCATGGTCCTCGGACGTAGAAGGCCCTATTACCAATGCCCGGCCAATGATGCCCTGGTCTGCCACGAGACGGGTCGCAGCTTCGACAACCGAAGGGACTGTCGCCATAGCGCCACCGGCGAGGACGAGAGCGCCACGAGGACCCATCATGGGTGTATCTACAAAATCTGTTCGACAAGTTAGCGGCTCAAAGTCCCCCGTCACCGTGTTGGACGTACATGGATTAATCATGTTGACCCGGATCCCATGCTTGATCGGTGTGGAGATCCTCAATGTTCGGAAAAGTCCAACCACGCCATGTTTAGCAGTGGCATAAATGGGCTGAGACGGAAGACCTGTAAGTCCAGCGATCGACGAAACAAGAATCAAGTGGCGATCTCGGGGACCAGAATGGGTTTCGACTTTGCACCTCTCACTGCCTGGGTTTCGTGATAGGTAGGAGATGGCTAGATTAGTTGTATACATGACACCGTAGAGATTGATGTCGAGCGTTCTCAATGTCGGTTGGGGAGGATTGTCCATCGCGGCGTAGTCGGGCGGTTCCTCAAAAAGTGCATTCTCCGGTGCGTCTGCGATGCCGGCGTTGGCCATGACACAGTCGATCCCTCCGTGAGGACTCAGTCTTGCCGCCTCCTTGAAGAACGACACTTGACTCTGCCAGCTTGTCACGTTGACGGAAATGAAATGATGATTGTCGTTATTAGTGGAACGTCGAATTTGCGCAACCAGCTCGGTCCCTGCCTTCTCATTGATATCGCCTATGATCACGTTGGCACCATGGGTGGCCCATTCTTGGAAACAGGCGGCACCAAAACCTGATGCACCGCCAGTTATAACAATCGCCTTGCCTTCGACGTTGGAAAAGTCGATGGCTTGAGCGATGTCGACCGGATCAGAGAAAATAGCTGTGGAGCCATAGGGCACCATGGATGGATCTGACTGTGTCATGAGGTGCAAAGGTACGAGGACCTGCTGTCGTGAATCCTCAGAGAACAGATTCTGGATCTTTTACAACGCGTCAGGCCCAAAGCGAATAGGGGCAAATGAAGCGAGCCCAATCCGGTGTAGGAAAGTACAACGCAAAGCCGAGGTATAAAGGCGGCAGCCTCATGTTTCGCGATGTTCGATGCAGGCCAGTCTCTAAGAATGGCTCTTCACAAAATGAAAAGTCTTGAAGGATGCCCAAACCCACTGCTCGGAGGAGACGAGAATTTCCCTCAGTCCAAGCCTAGTGTGCCGATCGGCAATTTCAAGTCCACGATTCGAGCTTAGGTTCGTTCCAGGCAGTAATTATGTCATATTCGATCCAAAATGGGTATCTCTATGAAAAGCCCGTCTCGATTATGGAACCGTTACTTCTCTTTTTAATGGTTCCCCCAGGTCGAGTATCAAGATGGTGAATTGGCGAAGTGTCTTCAACCTCTAACGTTTTCAGTTCCGAAGCCGGGGGTCCAGACATATCGAGGTTCCGGAATCCTTCTTCAACCGACCATCTCTTGCCTTCATCGGGCTCGTGTAGCACTTCACAAACATTTCCCACCGCAAGCAACCCGGGAGGTCGTGAACCTTCTTCTTCCACCGCCTGACAAACATATTCCAGGGTTGACCGAATCACTCTCTGATCGGGGCAACTGGCTCGCTCAATCACCGCACAGGGCGTGCTTAGAGGCCACAGTGTACGTTTTGGATCCATACCTGGCTCTTCTGAAACTTCTGTCAGACTCTTGACCAAGCTATCCAGCCTGTGCAAAGCCATCAGAAACACCACTGTCTGGGTCTTCCTGTAAGATGGAGGAGCCGGCGCAGCTCCTTTCCTCCCAGTTCCCGTACATATTACCACCTGGTCTGCTACCGCACGATGTGTGATGGGAATGCCGGCGAAAAGAGGAGCTGACAGAGCACTGGTGATTCCCGGTATGACTCGGACTTCGAAACCACGTTCTCGGAAGAAGGTGACTTCTTCAGCTCCCCGGCCATACAGGTATGGATCACCTTGCTTCAATCGTAGAACATCCTTGCCTTCTCTCACTGCTTCCAGTCCTAGTTGCAGCAATTCCTCCTGTGCGGCGTCTGCATTGCCCGGGAACTTTCGAGAGATATGAACAGGTGTTCTGCGAGGGATGAGGGCGAGGATCTCGGCGGGCACAAGTTTATCGGCCAGGACGAAATGAGTATTTTGGATCGCTGTCTGAGTGGCAATCGTAAGTAGGGATGGGTGTCCTGGGCCTGAGCCCGCCAATGTAATAGTACCTTTGTGAGATGGTGGTGTGGGTGGAAGCGAAAAGATGGAATCTGAGCCGGGAGCTGGTGTCAGAGCTGTTGATCTGTATGCTTCGAGTATGGGCGAAATATCGGCATCAGTGATTGCGGCGAGCCGATTCAGAGGCCAGTACTCGCAAATTTGTGACAGCCATCTCATGCGACGAGTACGAAGGACGGCTGGATCGCCATCGTCCTCCTGGACCAGAGAATTGAATGTGTGTTTTTGTGCCGCGGCCTCTTCGTCTTCAACCTCCACTTCTGTGGCCTCCGCTCCGGAAGGTGATGATTTGTAGTCTTCCTCCCATATCTGTCTCCGCATCATTCCAAGCCTTTCGACCGCCAACCCAAATTTAGGGGGTAGAGTCGATGCGATTTCACGTCGAATGCGCGATGACAACTTGCAGCCGTTGCCTGAGGTGGTTATACCGATTTGCAGAGGGCCGTCGGAATATGTAGATAAGAGAGTGAAGGTACAAAGTCGAGGAGCATCGACCACATTGACTGGTATTCGCATCCGCCTACACAGGGTCGATACATGCGTGCTTTGTGGATCTTTGGCAGGCAACGTGACAAAAACAGCATCGACATAGCCCTCTACTTCTTCCCTTCCCAGTGTCTTCAAGTCCTGCTCTTCGAAGTCCCGTTGTATCCACTGCACCTGTCCATCTTCAATTGCTTGGACGAGGGTAAAACGAAAATCTTCAGTCTTCGGGGCGACAACGATAGGACGAGCGCCGACCTCGAGGGACTTGGCGCATCTTGAGGCAGCGAGTGGACCAGATCCAAGAATGAGATGGACATGGTCGACACAGCTTTGTGCGGTCAGTAGGGCAGGAGTAACCATGGCGTGCTCAAAGAATCAGTCAGTCGCACGGCACATATAAGTAGGAGGTACAGGATGGGAGGGAAGAGTGATTAAGAGGAATTCCCAGACGCCATAGCTATGCAAACAGGAAGATCATAAGAATGAAAGATAGGAAAATAACGAGATAGATCACTTGGCCTGGGACGATCACATCATATAGGAGGATCGAAATGTACACTTGTGATGGTGCTCGGCAAAAAAAAAATCAAGATGACGCGATTGGCTCGATTTTGTTTGTCGGGCGATTTATCGCCTATCGCCCGTGGGGCCGCGGAAGCGTTGATCAACTGCGCCCATTTCATTCTCTCTCCTGTCTCCGCGGGCGAGGTCAGGGCTGACGAGATCTTTCTTCCTGACTAGCCGCCACTGAGCCTCGTACACATACTACCACTACAACCCAACAAATTCTCAGCCTCGCCAAATAGATACTGAGGTCGGACTCATATCTATTGGCAGATGAGACCGGAGAATTCGTCGTTGCCTAGCTCCCACAGAGTCACCATTGGAATATTCCACGCAACATCGAACTCCAATGAGATGACGCCTGCCCTCGAGCCTGCCATTGCGTATAGCCACCCTTGATCCGGCATGAGGCAATGGCTCGAGATCGAGGTATCGTTTGCTCATTTATCATCCTGAGTATCATGCTGACCATTTGCAATCTCAATATAGTTTGCAATTTCGACAAGGCTGACGTCGCAGCTGCCCTAAGCTCGCTAATGCATGAGCACGGGTCTATTGTTGGATGTGGCAAAGATCATTCAATCCCCTGCTTCTTCGTCGTCAAGAGTCAGCATCTTGCTCATGTAGGGCCCATCAAGCGTATATCCGAGGCGTTCATAGTAGCTCCGCACACCGACACCACTGATAACACTCAACTTCTTACTGCCGTGTTCGTCTCGTGCAATTCTTTCCGCCTCTCTCATCAAGAGCGTTCCATAGCCTTGGTGTTGGAACTTGCTTTTCTCGCGGCCATGAATAGGCACGGCAAGTCCGTAGACATGTAGTTCGCGAACGATGCTAGTAGGTTGGCCTGTGAGTTCCGGCCGGAATGTATGCGTGGTGGAACATTTTCTCAATCGAAGGAGACCAATGAGGATGTCTTGTTTGGGGTCTTCATAGGCAAGGAACGTCTCCCAGCCACCGTTGGCCGTATAGTCCCGTCGGACAAGTTCGACTTGTGATGGTCGAATCTTGTTCTTCACTTCGTTTATTCCAACTTCCCGTGTGCGGACATCTCGACAGGTGGTACCGAAGTCCTTCATTCGTGACAAAGCTAATTCACGTAGATTCCCGTTTTCGACTCCAGAGGTGACCAGAGGCATCGGGATATCCCGTTGCACACGGTAGATTCTGGTCCAAGGCGGTATCAGAGCCAAGATTCTCGCCACCAGATCCACGAGAGCATTTGGAGTATAGTTCTTAAATCGGCCTGTTCGCCATAATTCGTATAGGCCGGTCCCTCGAATCACAAGCGTTGGGTAAATCTTCAAACCGTCCGTTCGGAAATCTGGGTTCTCGAAATATTCTTGAAACTGAAAGATATCTCGTTCCATTCCAACATTAGGCAAGTCGGGCATCATGTGTGAGACGACCTTGAACCCAGCATCCTTGCAGAATTTGAAGGCCTCCACAACTGCAGCCACTGTATGGCCTCTGTTTGTATCTCGAGCGACGTCTTCGTACAAAGACTGAACACCAAGTTCCAGCCGCGTACATCCGTACCTCAGCATGTCTGAAAGATGGTCGATTTGTCCAAAATCAGGCCTCGGAAAGTGTTAGCAATGCGACAAGGGGGATGGTTGGGAGAGCCACGGCGCTATAAATAGCTCCACCATTATTCAAGATGAATACTCACCTGGTCTCGATCGTGATTCCAACGCATTTGATACTAGACATTTCTCCGGCGGCTACCGCCTCGTCGACATTATCAGTCTGATAGCCGGACAAAGCATTGTGTAATTGAGCAATGAAGTGGTCGCGGTAATCCTGAGGGAGCGACATAAATGTACCGCCCATGATGATAAACTCAACTTTATCGACGCTGTGCCCAAGGGACCTGATCTGATCAACCCTTCCGCGTGCTTGTTCGAATGGATCATATCGAGCTCGGATGGCCCTCATCGACGTCGGCTCGTAACCTGTATATGACTGTGTGGAGTACTCGAAGTCTGAGTCCACACCACCAGGGCAGTAGACGCAATTGTGACCGGTGAAAGCAATATGCGGACAACGGTGCGGTTTGCTCATCACAGCGACTAGTCTGGTTAGTATTTCCTTCAAACACCAGTGCAGGAAGAAAGTGATGCGGGGGCCAAGCAGATGAAAAAAACATGAAATCCCACGCCAGGACACAATACGTACCAACTGCAATACCTGAGCTTGTGCGTACGGGTTTCGCGATTAATTTGGGTAGAAGATGTTTCTTATATTCCTCTGGAACTGCTGATAGGATGGCTGTGAGAGGAGGCTGAGTGCTCAGGCGGAACTTTTTTGCAATATCACCCCTCAGCCGATTCAGATTGACATCTTTCTTTTGTTTCGATCCATCCAACGATGCTTCGTACTCTTTGATTAATTCATTCGAGATTTCAACACAAGCCTCCATAAAACGAACATTTTCGGGAGGCAGTTTCTCATTCTTGCCGGGTTTTACCTTTGTCCTGATTACCGTCTCCGTCGCCATGACAGGACCAATGAGCAAGAGACCTTTATCAAAGATGAAGGTACATCTGAAAATTGAGCAGAACTGCGGTTGTAGCGGCGGGAAGAGAATGTATGAACTAACTAAAACTATCTGCTGGGGGTGGCCGCTTTACTTATATATATTCCGTAAACGAATGTAGCTTAGCGTGAGCCAGAATCCTTGGCAGAAATCCACAGAACTTTGATATCACGTGGAGGGCGAATCTGCGCATAGTGGCAAGGGAAAAATTACGGCGGGGTATGTAGTACGGAGGAGCAGCTGTCCTCGGCCCAAACTGACGTTCCACGTGCTTGGCATTTGGGAAGCTGTTACAGGCCAATGTCGTACAGCTTTTTGCAACTCCCAAATACACTTCCGTTGATAGAGATTAATTTTGCTTACATCAACGTTCAATCGGATTTCCTTTAGCTCTCTTTCAGCCCGAGCTGCTATGCAGGCCTTTAGGACCTGCGCCTCTTCGGCGCTGCGACAAGCTTCAAGAAGGGGATATGCCACTGTTGTATCGGGTTCACCATATGCGCAGACAGCCCCCAACCTTAGACTCAGTGCCGACACCAAAGTTCTTTTCCAGGGATTCACAGGTGATTCGCCTCTTAACGTTGTCTGTATGCTCTATAACTGACCCTTTTCGCAGGAAAACAGGGGACGTAAGTCAAAAGTCTTCGACAGTCACCTCCAAATTCCCACTCAATACTCCGTTTAGATTCCATGCCCAACAAGCTATCGAATACGGCACCAAGGTGGTTGGTGGAACAAATCCGAAGAAAGCAGGCAGTCAACACTTGGGTCTTCCGGTCTTCAAAGATGTGAGAAAAGGAATGCAAGCTACTGGGGCCGATGCATCTGTTATCTTCGTCCCTCCTCCGTTTGCTGCCGCTAGCATTGAGGAAGCTGTCGAGGCTGAGATGCCGCTCGTGGTTTGCATAACTGAGGGGTAAGTTTCTGGCCAATTTGCCCTTCTCGGGACTGATAATATTAGGATTCCACAACACGACATGGTTCGAGTCACGAATGTGTTGAAAACTCAAAACAAAACACGACTCGTTGGGCCTAATTGCCCCGGAATCATTTCTCCAGGCTCGTCTTCCGGCTCGCTGTCGAACCCGATGCCATGCTAATTGGAGGCCCAGGTCAATGCAAGATTGGGATTATGCCTGGATTTATCCACAAACGAGGACGAGTCGGAATCGTTTCAAGATCAGGCACATTAACATACGAGGCAGTCAATCAAACAACACAAGCCGGATTGGGACAGACGTTAGTTGTGGGAATTGGAGGTGATCCGTTCAGTGGCACCAACTTCATTGACTGCTTGAGAGTGTTTATGGAAGACGACGAGACGGAAGGAATCATCCTGATTGGTGAAATCGGAGGCAGTGCCGAAGAAGATGCCGCCGAATTTTTGAAGACGGAGAACAAGAAGAACAAGCCCGCAATCAGCTTTATTGCTGGTATTAGTGCTCCTCCCGGACGACGAATGGGTCATGCTGGTGCGATTGTCAGTGGTGGGAAGGGAGGTGCCGATTCAAAGATCGCTGCATTGGAAGCAGCGGGAGTAGTGGTCGAAAGAAATCCGGCCATGTTGGGCAAGACTCTTCACGCCCAGTTCGTGGCCCGGGATCTCATCTAGTCTCATGGGGCGACTGCTTCAGGAGGACTTTTCCTTTTAGGTTTGCAGCCTGAAACAGGTATTCAAGGCTGTTGATAACATTATACATGTATACGCTTTCTGCCTCGTCCCTGGGATGCTTGGTAATCAAGTCCAAATCTCTCATAGTCTCTTCAGTCATCCGATTCTCTCTTCGAAACGCCATTCCTATGCACATCTGGTATCCACGGCCCATCTTCATATAACCAACCAGTCACTATCATAGAGATATGGCCCCTCTTCGACGGGCACGAACATGAAGCCACGCTTGGAATCCACAGAACACAAGGAATGCCTGTCTTATCGATCAGCACGGAGCATTGGGCCATCTTTCTCAAAATACCGACCGCATAAACAATTACGGCAATGAAGATCGACCCCGCGACCGCACCTGAGTTTTCCGGATCCTCGTCTAGGCCCATCATCATATGGTGATTTCTCTATCGCACACCCCGGCAATCAGCAAGTATCCAAATCTTAGGTTTGATTGTCCAATTCGTACCGCAAAGAGGCTCCCTATGATGGAGAGGATGACGATGGCAAAGCATGATATCACGGTGCTGTTAGAACGTCAGTGTCGGAGCGACGCAACTCATAATCTGGAAACTGACCAGCTCCATGCATTGAAGGCAGAGACAATGGGCTTCATGATGTTGGAAGTTGGATGGAAGCTTAGGAGGCCGAGGTGGAGTGGTTTCGTTGTTGCCTTGGGACAATTGTGAGTCGACTTGGCCGGAGAAGGCGGTAAAAAGAATACGACCTCTCGTATGACGGTGTAGCGGCAAAGAAACGAGTGGTATACGGGGCTTAGTGGTCGAGTTAATGTCAAGGTCATAAACTTGCGCAGGTGCAAAAAGGATGCTTTGTCGTTGGAAGGTCGAGGACCTGCGACCAATCAGAATGTGGTTGGCCGGAACAAACATTTCATCCTTATGACCTTTGGTCTCATCCCCATTCTTGCTCGCATGACAACCGGATCACTTCTATATCTTCTTCACTCCTTTTGAGATATCTAAGGAGAATGGCGTGAATCATTCTCATAATTAAATTTCACTCTTCCCGGACAGGATTCTCACCCCGAGCGAACGGAGTCGACGCATCCACCTGATCAACAATCTCACTCATTCATGACCCGTAGTGATCAAAGTCCCGACAGTCATGAGCGCTCTTCGCTCATTCGAGCCACAGACACTTTTCAAAATGAAACCATCGACGAACAATCCCTCTCGGAGAGAGAACCACTCTCACAGCGGGCTTCTCTGTCAGGGGAGCACCTCCTTTCCAATGATCAACCGCCTTCTGAAACACTTGGTCTTGAAGATTCCATAGTAGAATCCAAAAGTCCATGGTACCTCACGCTACTCACGATATCTATTGGAGGACTGCAGATTGTATGGTCTGTTGAACTCTCCAATGGATCACCATATTTATTGTCCCTCGGAATGAGCAAGGCTCTTCTTGCCTTTGTTTGGCTTGCAGGCCCTTTAACTGGCGTTCTTGTTCAACCATACATCGGTATCCGCAGTGACCGTTGTCGGGTTTCCTGGGGGAAACGAAAGCCATTCATGATTGCGGGCACTTTGGGGACTGTTGCATCATCCATGATCCTCGCATACGCCCGAGATATTATCCGAGTCATGGCCCGGTTGAAAGTCGATGCTCATTATGATGGAGGGTACAAGACAGCTACCATCATATTGGCCACGATCATGATGTGGTGCCTAGATTTTTCTATCAACACAGGTACGAATCTCCGTGTTCTCCGGACGACGTCTCTAACCTGAATTAGTCCAAGCTGCTATCCGAGCCTTCATTGTCGACAATGCTCCATTTCATCAACAAGAGTCTGCCAATGCGTGGGCTTCTCGAATGACCGGGGTTGGCAATGTTCTAGGTTACATTTTTGGCTTCCTGAATCTTCCCCAATATTTCCGCTTTCTCGGCAATACCCAATTCAAGGTCCTGGTGGTCATCGCATCGAGTGCACTGAGCTCGACAGTGTTGATCAGCATTCTTACCATCACCGAACGAAATCCCCAATTGGATCCACCCTCGAAAGCCGACTATGAATCGACTGGATTGTGGGCTTTCTTCCAGCAGGTCTTCGTTTCCGTGAAACGACTGCCACCTCAGATACGAAAAGTCTGCGAAATCCAATTCTTTCACTGGATTGGCTGGTTCCCTTTCCTCTTCTACATCACAACCTATATCGGCCAGCTCTATGTCAATCCCTTACTCCAGCCGGGCCTTTCGGATGACGAAGTGGAGCAACTCTGGAGCAAAGCAACTCGAATTGGGACCCTTGCTCTCCTCATTTATGCAATCACCTCTTTTACTGCCAATATCATCTTACCGTTCTTGGTTGTGCCAACCTACCGGACTCAACCTCCACATGAAGCCGAAGATTTTGCGCGACCAATCACCCCGACGTCCCCGATCGGTGCCAGACCACGGAATTCTCCATGGGGTGAGGCAGCCTATAGTAGATCGCAAAGTAGCCTTTCCATACATCTCATTCCTGGAGATGCGTACATGAGCAATTCGGTGACTCAACAACCTCCTGACTTTCTGAAGCGCTGTTTGACAAGGATCCAAATCCCTGGATTGACACTTCGACGAGCGTGGCTGTTGTCCCAACTCCTTTTTTCATCATGTACATTCAGTACCTTCTTCATATCGACCCCCCTAGCCGCGACGATTATGACCGCTTTGGTGGGCATCTCATGGTCTTTGACATTGTGGGCTCCTTTTGCTTTGATCTCGGCGGAAATATCTCGGCGTGATGAAATACGACGGCGAAAACACCGGCAAAGACTGATGAATGGAGACGAAGACGGTGAAGATGACAAGGACGAAGGAGAGGAAGACCAAGCAGGCATTATTCTGGGACTACACAATGTTGCGATCAGTGCACCACAAATCCTTGCCACATTGATCAGCAGCGCGGTGTTTAAGCTTCTACAAAAGCCGAGGAACGAGCCGGGAGATGTGAGTGTTGGATGGACGTTGAGGATTGGTGGAGTGGCCACGCTGATAGCGGCGTTTATAACTTGGCGGATGAAAGAACCCGGGGATGAAGTTGATGGAGATCAATAAAGCATGGGAAGGCTAGATACATGACCCCATGACCGAGGAGGAACAGTCGAGTCCAGTCTGACTCACAAGATGCATTCCGGATATGCAATTATGACCAGGCCACTCGGAGCAAAGGTCAGAGCTTCTGGTATATCGCATCTGCCCGGAGTTCAAAGCTTGACTGTTTTCGTATTTCCCATCGTATACCTCTCCTGGTTTGAAATAAGTACCCAACATTGAAATGTGAGCCGAGAGCGGTGCTTCGGCGCAATCCCATGTCGCAGTAACAATGAATGTCATCCTTCCAGCCTCACTTAGAACCTAAGTTAATGCAGTGTTTCTTTCCGGTGATGGCATTTGGCTTGCTTGTAGCTCGACGGGGATGTTGTCATTGACTCATTGAGAAGTGGTCATCCTCCAGGGCGGTCAGACTGCCATTGAATCCACCTAGGTTGTTGTGGATGTTCAACAGAGCCATCTAGTTCAGTCCCCCACTTGTCAAAATAGTCAGTTCCGCAGGAAAAGGACGGCTCACAGGCGTCAGGTTGAGACGGGCGAAATCGAAACGATCGGTGTGTTCTGTGTTCATCATCTTTCAGCAGGTGATATCAGCAGATGCCTGCAGATATGTCTTGCTCGTCCGACGGGCCGAGGGGTACCCACAGACATTGATATTCAGCCACGAACGAAGCCGCAAAGCAACATGTTGGGCGAAGGTGGCCCGGTGGGGAGGACCTTGAGATCTTGTCTAAGTTAGTGATGCAGCATGGCAACAAGGAGCCGAAGAGCAACCGTGAAGGATGAGACGCTGTTGGTGCAGCTACAGGCTGTTAGGCTAAAGTTCGGCAACTCGAGAAGACGAGACATTAAACGGACCCATGGATCAGCATCACTCCGCCACCAATCCGGCTTTGGGTGGCCGCTTTGATGTGAATCGAAATGGAAAAAAGTACAGATACCAATATAAGTACCTCGAGCCATGCCTTCGCCTGCTCTCTTGTTGCAAGGACTTCATGAGCCGGCCACTCTATCGAAAGACACCAGTCATCAGCACGGACCGACTTGATGACACCGTGAAACCTTCTGAGGAACCTTTTGGTCGCTATTTGCTTCGACATAGATATATTCCTTCGCGTCATCACCGGATTTCATCAAAAGTCATCCAGTTTAAAACCACATTCGCTTCCATGGTCAAAGACGTTGCGCCCAAAGCGGGCTTACCCGCTGATTTCCTATGGGGCTTTGCCACCGCAGCGTCAGTTTGCTCGCATCAAACCAAATACAAATCCGACTGACACATCGATAGTTATCAGATCGAAGGAGGTGCCACAGCCGACGGTCGAGGTCCTTCAATATGGGACACCTTTTGCAAAATCCCCGGTAAAATCGCAGACGGAAGTTCGGGGGATGTCGCCTGTGACTCGTACCATCGAACAGCCCAGGACATCGAACTCCTGAAGAAGATCGGCGCCAAAGCATATCGATTTTCCGTCTCATGGTCTCGAGTCATTCCCTTAGGAGGTCGAAACGACCCCGTCAACCAAGCTGGTCTTCACCACTATGTCAAATTTGTAGATGATCTGCTGGACGCGGGCATCGTGCCTTTTGTCACGCTCTTCCACTGGGATTTGCCCGATGAGTTGGAGAAGCGATACGGTGGATTCTTGAACCAAGAAGAATTCGTCGCTGACTTTGCCAGCTATGCTCGAGTCATGTTTGAAGCTATGGGATCTCGAGTTAAACACTGGATCACTTTCAATGAACCTTTTTGCAGTGCCATCCTCGGGTACCATATCGGTCAATTCGCCCCTGGTCATACGAGTGATCGAAATAAGAGTCCTGTGGGAGACGGAAGTACTGAGCCTTGGATCGTCGGTCACCACATCTTACTCGCCCATGCAACGGCTGTGAAGATCTACAGGGAAGAATTCAAACCGCAATGCAGTGGAGAAATTGCTATCACTTTGAATGGTATGTACCACTGGGGCGGCCTTGGAAGGACAGCCAAAGAGGATGGACTGACTGACACGTTGCAGGCGACTGGGCCGAACCATATGACCCCGAGAGCGAAGCGGACCGACGAGCATGCGACCGCAAAATTGAATTTGCCATCTGCTGGTTTGCAGATCCGGTCTATTTTGGCCACTACCCCGAATCAATGGTCAAGCAACTAGGCGACCGCCTTCCCCGATTCACCGAAGAACAAAGCAAACTGGTGGCCGGATCCAACGACTTCTACGGCATGAACCACTACTGCGCCAACTATGTCAGAGAGCGCGTTGATTGCCCGATCGACCCACTCGACTTTTCAGGCAACTTGGACATCCTTTTCGAAGACAAGCACGGCAACAGCATTGGGCCCGAGACGCAGAGTCCATGGCTCCGTCCCCATGCTCCCGGGTTCAGGAAGTTGATGAAATGGTTGAGCGATCGGTACGGACGGCCCAAGATCTACGTGACGGAGAACGGGACGAGCTTGAAGGGCGAGAATGATTTACCCATGGATGAGATCCTGGAAGATGATTTCCGAGTCGAGTATTTCCGCAGTTATATCACGAGTATGGCGGAGGCGGTGGCCGAGGATGGTTGTGATTGTCGTGGATACATGGCTTGGAGTCTTATGGAGTAAGCCACCCCCTTTTCTTCATTCATACAGTATTGGAGTGTACTGATGCTCACGGGGGGATCAGCAACTTTGAATGGGCAGAGGGATATGAGACCCGTTTTGGAGTGACATATGTGGACTATGAGAATGGTCAGAAGAGACATCCGAAGAAAAGCGCGAAGGAGATGAGGAAGATCTTCGACGAGTATATTGGAAAGATCTAAGACACCTTCCCGTTGTCAGATCCTTCTTGGACATGGCGCAAATGCTTCGAAGGCATGGAGTATCGGTTTCGGGCTTCCTTTGTTGCACCACTGCCTACACGACTCGGAACCACAATATCTACTTCTGAAGCACCAATCAGCATTTCTCGCCCGTGTTTCCAATGTTATTTTTCGGTAGATCGGTGTAAACAGCAAAGGTGGACTGATATGTCCCGGAACAAAGTTGATCCATTCCCCAACAGCCTTTTTCAGTAGTTGGCTTTCAGCTTGGAGTCATCGTAACGGGAACTGGATAGTAAGTGTCTGTTGAACTTCGTGGATTGAAAGAGTGCTCTGGCTCTCCTCATGAATGGAGGATAGAGCCCATCTATATATCTATCTAACGAGCGTACGTCACCATTGCTGCCTGTCAATGGCGATACAGGCTATTGAGCGAGTGTTGCAATATATCCTAGCCTGTTGTAAATGATTGGCTAGCATTTGTTCAATGCTATTGTCCAACAGTGTCCTATACAATATTAGCCAAAACGAAAACATTGAAGAGCGGCTTACCATATTTTTTCGACGCGGAGGCCAAGCTGGGACAGCTCTCGTTTACTTCAACCCCACAGAAGGACAAGACACAGACAGATCATAACAACGACTACTTCAGTCAACCTTTGCCATTGCGGTATTCCCTTGCTCCTTTCCTCCCCCCTCTTGTCCCAGATATGACATCGTGTGTACGGTGCACTTCCCTTTTCGACGGACAGCGATGTAAATGTCTGCTTGATATTTATCCACTGTCTCATTGCACTTTCTGAGGAGACTGCGTTTGCTTTTTTCAAAGTTCTCGTTCGCTCTTCGGCTATGGCCTTTTTTTCTAATACTTTCAGGTCAGCTTTGAGTGCGAAAGGCATTATTCTTTGTGTTATAATAGGTAATGAATAATTTAAATCGCAAAAAATATCTCGAATTGTGAACATAAAACACATTAGATGGCGAAGGTCGTCGTGTGGGGATAAGAGATTTCTTTGGTATTGCTAGGGGTTTTTATAACCGTTCTCTACCAGGGACCAAAAGAGGTCCCGGGACCCAATATAGAATAAACATCAGGGACCGGAAATGGTCTCCCTCGTATAATATACGAGGGGAGTCATCAATAAACGATTCGGGTCTTTCACGAACTGGTGCACTTCTTGCGAAAGATCGTGTCAACCATCTAAAATACTGTAATTAGTTTATTGTCGGGGTTCACATGGTAATTATACTGTCAAACTTTGTGTGCAACTTGAGGTGAAGGAGTACACTGCTCTCTATCAACTTGTCGAGTTGCTAAGGGTTTCTTTATAGATATGCGAACACCTCGTCGTCGCGCAGAGTAACCCCCATCAACATCGTCGTCCATGGTAACCTCTCATGTAACACCCACAAGTCCCCAGCCTCTCGAATCGTATTCCCAGCCACCGTAGAGTGGCAGGAAGATAAAAGAGGGGCCTGGATGTCGAAAAGGGGCAAAGAGATGAGAGGATCGAAAGGTGTAAGAAGAGCCTTCGAATCCGTAGATAGACAGACAGGTTTCAGTACATTGCTATTTCACACCCTACCTTGCACACTCGCAGCGACTTATGATCCCTCTCCTTACACCTCTCGTAACAGACCCTTACCCTTCGTCGGTATCGTTGTTACATCTCACCAGCGTTTCAATGCTGGAGCCTATAGTCCCCTCTCCGATATATACCCAGGTTGGGGGGGCTGCGCGGTACACGCTGCCGTAGGAACGAGATCACTCCTCACTCGGCCACATGGTCCACGGATTGGATCCGATGGCGGTGGTATATCATGGGATCCGATCCATGGACATATCGATATTGAGGCTCGTCCATTAACGCTCCATACGAGTCATCTCGAATGTGATCAGTAGAGCTTGTCTGGGTGGTCCACAGACTGGATCCGATGAAATACCACGACCCATCGGATCCAATCTATGGACCATGTCGTGGCAGTCTTCGGAGTCGAAGCCTTTTATGGAAAGGAACAGTGTCAGGCTCCCAGTGGCCGGTTTGGACGTAAACTTGAGGAGAGCCGGCCAAATGCGTGGAACGAGATGGCGGTTGAACGAGTCCCCCGTTCTCTGCGGCAATGTGAGGAGGGTCGGGAGGGATCCTCCATATATGCATCAGAAGCGTCATTATTGGAGCCGATATGGTCGAGAGTATCATTCGGTCAAGGAGTTAAGGGTTCTGTTGCTATTTATGAAGAGGGCCATATCTGGTGCCCAGGTGTGTCGAGGAGGTGGCTGTTTGGAGCAAGAGCGGTGGTTTGGCATTGAGGGAAGAACACCGCCAAAAGCGGCGGCACAACCCTCCAAATTTGACGGCAGACTTCCCTTCAACCCGTGTTCTGCTGGAAATGGATACTCCCAGGGCCAGTTTGAATGATCGTGATAACAGAGTTCAGGGCAAATCAAGATGAGCAAGGCTCTACCCAGGAGACCCATCAAAGAGCCGACAGCTATTTACCGAATCATAATATTGGCTGGTCCCGCCCCCCCAGGGCCCCTACCACCAGTCTTTGGTTTTGTGATTTGCTTCCCATTGGAATACCAGAAATCTTCCGATCGATGGTTAGGACAATTCCCATATCTCTTAGCGGATGAGGCTGGATAAGCTTGCTCGACCACGTGAGTCACATTTTGCCCGTCGGCAGGGTTGAAAATCGTCAACAGCTCGCTGCGCCAGCCGTGCTGCGCCGTCTTCCGCGCCGTCCCCCACCAGGTTCAAGGTGCAGACGGTGCAGCAGGGAGAGCTGAGTGTCAACTACGGACAACTGACGATATTCGATTTTGACGGCCATCTCTTCGGGCTTTTCGCAAGTCTGGAACAATCGCCAGAGCCCATCACGCGAATTTATCTTCGCAAGGCGGTCAACAGAAGACGCACCGACGCCGACATCCTCAGGACGCTAGTCGGGGCGTAGATGATGAAGGGGTCAGCTGAGCCTGCACAGTGCACGGCCGGTAAAGCCGAATGTGCCATGGAGGAACTGGAGACATGAAGGGGGGCCCGAAGCGGGTTGCATCGAGGGTGCAGAGGCCGTGAGGATCGGGAATCGAGAGGGAGGTGGGGGCCTAATGCGACAGGGGGGATTCAGGCGGTGCCCATGTGAGACGCAGGACGGGTGCGTCAGGGCGACGGAGGTGGTTGGAAGAGAAGAAGGATGAGGATGGGATGGGAAGAGGGTTCTTATAGATGTCAAAAGCGGCGGCGCGCCCAGCCTGCCACCATACCCGAAAGGAGAGGGCCCCCTAAACCGCAGGCGGATTTCCCGGCAATAATATATTGGACTCGTCCACATTGGATGTTGCCCTCGACTATATTTATATTCATCCACCGTATCCTTATCTCGCTGACTGCCCTAGGAGAAAGCTCCAGCACTCTTCATTTCTCTCTGATATTGTTGCGTACATCTGTGAGCAGTTTGTGAGCAAGATGGAAACTCCCACCGTCCCTATCAACTTCGTCCCAGCCACGTCCGGCGAGTCCTTCAAACTCGGTACAATCACGATCCGAATCATGGAAGACGGATCACGAACCGATAATCGAATTGGCAGCGCAGAGGTACACAATACTCTTTTGACATTGCAGTGGTGGGAATTGCCCTGCTGATTCGAACTTACTGTTGAACCACAGTTCACCGTCCCTCCGCACACGTCTGGGTAAGTTACACTCCAGCTGGCATCAGAGCTCTTCCGGTATGTGAAGCTGTCATGGGTCAACTGACGGAAAATCAGGCCTCCTCCGCATTGGCATGAGATGGTCAGCGTCCCTCCCACACCAATAACACCGGATTGAGTCTTGGCTTTGGCCTTTTTGTTTGGCAGGACTCCATTTCCACTGACTTGGGTGTATTCAAGCATGACGAGACCTTCCTTGTCACCCAGGGCACACTGCGCTTCCACGCCTTGAACGGCCAAACCATTGACGCCAAATTGGGCGACTATGTAACAGTCCCGACGCGATCACCACATACGTTCAGCAACCCATATGATCAGGAAGCCAAGTTCTTCAACACATACACTCCGGCGTTTTATATTAATTATTTCAAACTGCTCGCAAAGCTGGGAGAGGCAGGGAAACCGATGAATCCCGAGGCGAATAGGAAGGCTATGGCGGTGAGCTGACCCATTTTCTTTGCCTTGTGGGGGGGATTTTGGAATGGAGGGCTGGAGGTTGTGTATTGAGGGGTATATCGGCCGGTGCTGACTTAGTTGACAGTATTTCGCTACCATCGGCGTAGCAGACGACGAGATGCAAATGGACAAAGAGCAATTCTACAGCAATGCTCAGCCAAAGAAATGAAATGGAAGCGTCGAGATTTGGCGAAGAGGTACTAGTATCCAACGGTGAAATGGGATAGGACGAGGGGAATGGATCTCACATTGACAACGATGAGATGATGAAAGAAACATCAAAGACAGGACAGATCAAGACAAATGAAAACAATTCTCGTCATCTGCTCTGCTGTATGGTTAACGTGGATTCATTCTCCTTACAATTTCACTCTGCCGCGATGTCCTATTATGATGGACGTGCATAACTATCCATTTATTTGACGTCTGGGGGATCTCTTCGCTTATAATATCTCTTATCCCATTTATACGTACGGGCCACCCACCGCTTGTGAATCTGAATTTTCGTATCCCTTTCCACACGACGCACTCCAAGGAGACACAGAATAATAACGGGCCTTCTTAGGTGACGGCCGATGTCAGGATGCAAATGCATATGTTGAAGTACCTAAATATGTACACCGGTGTTATGCTAAGCTCCAGGCTTCATGACTATGCTTCATTGATGAAGACTCCCGCCATACCCATACCAGTGCCGACACACATGCTAGTCACAGCCACTTTGGCCTGGCGACGTCGTAGTTCTGAGAGAACCGTCACGACTTGTCGTGTTCCTGTGCAACCGAGAGGATGGCCAATCGCACTGAGGAAGGGGGGAGGAAGGAAATGTTAGCAATGGTAACAACAGACAGCAGCGATGGAAATGGGTGGTAGGAAGGAAGATAGGGAGCATTCTTACATAGCACCGCCTCTGACATTGACTTTGTTGATATCCAGACCGAGTTCGTCGACGCAGTAGACATACTAGCACCCACAACATTTAGCACTTCATCAAAGATTGACAATACAGGGTGGATCGGTTTTCTCACCATGGAAGCAAAAGCCTCGTTGATCTCAAAGAGATCCACATCCTCAACACTCAAGCCCGTGAGCTTCAAGATCTTGGGAATGGCTAGGGTAGGTCCGATACCCATGATGCGCGGCTCCAGACCGACCGTTGTGCTCTTGACGTATTTGGCGATGATAGGTTGGCCGAGTTTCTGGGCCGTGGACCGTTTCATCATCAACACAGCTGCGGCGCCGTCGGTGATTTGTGAAGCATTGCCCCCTGTAGTTGTGGGACCCCATTGGGGGAACGCAGAGCGGATTTTAGAGAGGCCGGCATACGTGGTTCCCGGTCGGATGCCGTCGTCTTGGTCGACGGTGATGGTTTTGGACACTTTGGTTTGGGGATCGATCCATTTGGTAGTGACGGGAGTGATTTCATCTTTCGTCCAGCCTTCGCGTTGAGCGGCTTCGGCCCGCTTATGTGACATTTCAGCCAATTGGTCTTGGGCTTCGCGGGTGATTTTGAAGTCTCGGGCCACGTTTTCGGAGGTCCAGCCCATGGGCATCACGTTGTCTTTGGCAATGGGATGGCGCATGATCATGTCGCTCATTGGAGGAGGTTTGTCGTCGTTGGCCGACATGCTTTCACAACCAACCGCAATACCGACTTCGATAGCACCTACGGCAATGGCGCTGGCGACAGTTTGAATGGATAGCAAACCCGAAGAGCAAAACCGACTGGCGACATTGGCGGCGGTGGAGACGGGGAAGCCCGCGGCGAGGACGGCGCTGCGAGCAATGAAGCCGGGAGCGGGTTGAAGAACGTTACCGACACAGACATCCTCGACCACGCTGGGGTCAATTTGGGATTTGTCCTTGATGGCGCGGAGAACGTGGACGATGAGTTCTTCGGTAGGGGTGTCTTTGAGGCCGCCTTTGCGGGCTTTGGTGAGCGGTGTACGGGTGGCGCATGTTATTACCTGAGGACATATGTTAGATGGATGAGTTGATACGGGGATCAACGTTGGGAATGTACAATATCATCAAGGTTCTTTTCGAGGATTTTCTCGAGAGCAGGGGATTGAGTGGAGGAAGAGAGGTGGCCAGTCACGGCGTCCAGTCTCCTCTGTGCACTCATTGTTCTTTTCAACCCCGGATATATATGAATTCTAGTTTGATTCGAGCCGTAATACAGTGGGGATATGAGCGAGCAGAGAGGATCTGAAATAAAGATATGTGGTCAATAGATATGGACATTGAGATATATGAGAGAGGTCTCTCGGAATAGTCCGCCGGACTGGGCCCTTCCCTTACACGCCGGATTAATGAGATAAGTAATATAAAATCATCTGGATCAGATACTGAATTGTTCAGTCATCTTGAAAATAGAGAAATCCATGTCTGAAAGGACCAACTATTCGATGCTTGGATGCCTCGGCATCTCAACTGCCGGCCTGCTTCCCTCTTCCTCCACTCCTTCATGGAACATTCCGATCTTACCGACAATGCCCCTGAATGGTGGGTGGGCTATTCGTCTATGCTACGGCAAGGCAAAGTCGCCAGCCCCTAACCAACTTTAGCCCCACTTCCACGCAGATTCAGTTCAAGGGAAATCCCTTTATTTCCGCGAGCATGGTGGCCGTATGGACGTACATTGACCATCACAGGCCTGGTCTCTGATTCAAACGTCGGTCATCTTGGAATATAACATATACATATGCCTCTCGACACTCACCCTCCCACAACGACTCTTTAATATCAGCTGAAACGCCTATCCCCTGCTCCCCGAATCAGTGGGGCATTGGGCTTCGAGCCCCGGCCACTTGTTGCCTCTCTCCAGAGCTCTCACAATCCCCGGACCGAGTTTCTCAGCCCGATCCTACCACTACTACCACTCCTGGTAGTCGTCCCATTTATATACACTCTTGTTTTAACACTTCAATTCCTTTACGTCCGTATCTTGTCCACCTCGCCTCTTCTCTACTATTCTTCCTCCGCAGGGTCACATCCGATCACCGGTGTCCATCCGAAATACAGTGCACGCGTTCAACTCAATCATCTAGAAACCGCAATTATTTACCGAGTGCAATCATAGACTACTCTTGTCACGACCCGAGGTAACTTAGTCTTTGCATATCAAAACAAAGATTGACCTGTCATCCCTTCCTGATCTGTCGAAGCCCTGGAATACAGCCTTCTCAACCTGGTGCGGTCAAAACATCAGCGACAACTGTCCAGACTCAGTCCATCTTCGCCATCATCATGGCTGCCATTGCGGCATCTGCTGCCGCTACTGCTGGCCTCATCTACGCCGACTACTCTCTCGGTGTGTCACGCGACATCTCCCAGTACCGACGCGACAAATCATTTACCAAACGCTTCCCCCAATTCATATCTAGACTTGGCCCTCAATCACCGCATCTATATCGTATGCTGGAACTTGCCGACCCAAATGCCGATGCCTTATGTTTCGAAGGTCGATCTTGGAATTACCGTGCCATGAAACAGCAAGTGGATGACTTGGCCGTGGGCCTGAGCAAGAGTCTCAACGTCAAGAATGGCGACATCGTTGCTGTGTTCATGGTCAACTCGCCCGAGATGGTCTTTGCCGTGTTTGCCTTGACGAGACTAGGAGCGGCACCGGCATTAATCAATAATGCCTTACGAGACGACACCCTCTTACACTGCGTGCGACTTCCTTCCTCGCATCTCATTCTCAGCACCCCCGACCTTGCTCCCTACGCTGCGTCGGCGGCGAAATCATTGAGCGGCAGCATCAAGACCGTCAGATTGAACTTGGGTTCGTTTCGACCCACCCCCATTCCCAGCGAAGACATCATGGATTTCCCCTTTCCCGACCCATCGACATCTCCGGCCTTCTCTCTACCACCTATACCACCCCAGTCCCTCGCCTCAGTCGCGGCATTAATCTACACCTCCGGGACGACCGGCAAGCCAAAAGCCTGCCGCGTCAAAAACGCTCTGATCTGCGCCACCGCATGCACCACATCGGTAGACCACGCCCACCGCCAAAAATACCTCGACGGACTCCGCATCTATTCATGCATGCCCCTGTTTCACGGCACAACCTTTTTCACGGGCCTCTGCTACTCGGTCGGCAACAGCGGGTGTTTCTGCATCGGACGAAAATTCTCCGCCCGGAATTTCTGGAAGGACGTCCACGAATGCCGCGCCACTCGCATCCTGTACGTCGGCGAACTCTGCCGATTCCTCCTCGCAACCCCCAAAGGAGACTTTGACCGTAAACACAACGTCCTCGTCGCCGCGGGCAACGGTCTGCAGAAGGACGTGTGGATTGCCTTCCAACGCCGCTTCGGCGTCAACGAGGTCCGCGAATTCTACCGCTCCACCGAAGGGCTGGTCAAATTCGACAACATCCACCGCCAGAGCCGGCCTGGCGCAGGCAAAGTCGGGTATCTAGGTGTCTTGCGTAACAAGGTTCTCGAAAAGGACCAATTCATCGTGAAATTCGACTACGATACCGAAATGCCCATCCGCGACCCACGGACGGGGTTCTGCCAGATCGCTCCTCGCGGCGAACCCGGCGAAGCCATTGCCCGCATCCACTCCATGGAGACATATACCGACTACCATGGAAACGTGGCTGCGACGGAGCAGAAGCTGCTCCGGGACGTCTTTGCGAAGGGCGATCTCTGGCAACGCAGTGGCGATCTGCTGGTCCAGCAGCCGGACGGCTGGGTTAGGTTTGTTGACCGCATCGGCGATACGTACCGTTGGATGGGCGAGAATGTGTCGGCGGGCGAGGTGCGGATGTTTATTTCAGAATTACCCGGTGTCAAAGATGCGGTGGTCGTTGGGCGCCGTCTCGACAAGTACGAGGGACAAGTTGGAACCGCGCTCGTGGTATTGGATGCTCCCCGTGACAAGACGAGGGAAGAAGTATTCATGGCGCGTCTGTTCAAAGACCTGCGCAGTAAAGGTGTGCCACGATACGCTGTTCCGAGGTTAGTGATGGTGCGCGACGAGTTGGTCGATGTCGGAGATACGTTCAAGCATGTGAAGGCCGTGGTTAAGAATATTGATTGGGGATCCGGTCAGCCTGATAAGGCCGGGGATGGGAGGAAGTATGTCCTCGACTTGGAGGAAGAGGTGTTTAAACCGCTCGACCAGGGCAGGTGGAGTGGGATCCTCGAAGGAAAGGCAAAGCTGTGACGTGTCGATTCTTGAGCGCGCCTGAGAAATGGGAGGAGAAGGAAACAGCTAGATAAATAAACGAGAATGAGCCTGTTGGGAAGACTACCGGTATGTACAAACCGGAGGATTTTAGGATTGTTCGGGGCTATTTAAACCAATACGTAGACTACGGTGATCGTTTAGAGAAAGACCCAGGAAGAGAGAAAGAAGAGGGAAAACTGCAAGACATGTTCATGCCAGCGTAAGATGCAAGATCGAGGATGTTTAATAAGAATCATTATTACCTTTTAAGTGGCCTTTCAGCGGTGATCATGGAGCGAATCATATTCCGGTATCAATCTCTGTTCGCGTCTGTGTCAGTTGTCTTGTACCTGTCTGGTCTGATCCCTATTCTCTCCCGTCCCGTTGATCCTACCATATATCCAATGAACGAGTCTCATGGCCCCTATTTTGACTCTGACTCCTACTGTGATTTCTGCTCTGGTTCTGGTTCTGAGATTGGCTCCTGCTTCTCGTTCTTGGCCTCCCATCAGAATCGAGATCGGGCCGGATCCAATCGACAATCATCCTCCCGCCGTTTCTGACCCCGTCTACCGATGAAGGCACGTTGACGTCGTGTGTACCGTCTGAATACCGATCTTTCGGCCCATTCCCAACGCTCATATATGTTTGTGCCCCCGTCCCTGTGCCCTGACTACTTCGCTGGCTTCGAATAGATGAAGATCTCGTCTTGGTCATGTGTGTTGATGTCGCCGACATGGATGTCATGGTGGAAGGTCTATCCGTTCCAGCCTCGGCTGTTGAAGCAATGATGCTCGTCGAGCTGGTGGTGTCCTGCTCGGTCAGATCGATTCTTTCGCTGGTGCTTGGTGCGCGACTTCTTGTCTTCTTCAGCGTGTGGTTTTCCCGATGGATTCCGACAGTCGCTGGGCCCCAGCGTGCGGTGTAGCCCTTCCAGATCAGTTTGACTTCACGGTCGCGTTGTTCAATCACATGGTCTAGGTGACGCTCTATCTCGAGGATCGTCTGGGTGGTTTCTGGAGTGATGGTTGGATGTGCAGATACCCGGGTGGTCCAGTCGAAGCCTCTGTCCCTGTTGGAATGCGAGAACATCAACGCTGATGCGGTATTGGCTCTGATCGCAGATTTGATCGCGGTTGGAAAGTCAGGTTCAACGTCCTGGGACAACAGATGTATTTGCAGTGACAAATTGTCCAATGTATCCGTATATTTGTCTAGAATTTCCGATTCGGCTTTTCGGCGCGACGCGAGATCACATTCGGGACATGAGCCCTCGATGATATAAATATTTGGCGGCGCCATAAGGCACCTGGAACCCCATGTTTGCAGATGAAACGGTGGGTAGGCAAGAAGGCCTTCATCATATCCAGCGAGCGTAGGTTGGGCATTGAGAGGCCGGGATGCTGGTGGAGATGTGTGAGGGCAGGTGGTATAGTGATATTTGTGAGCATAGACAACTTCGGGATCCGGTAGGGTGGGTTCTGCGGGGAGGCAGTGGGGTATGGAGCATGGCTCATTATCGGCGTTGTCGTCTTCTGGTGTTGGTGATGTTCCCGTTGGAGTACATATCGACGAGGATGAAACGGCCTTGTTGGTGCGTCGATGTGACCGTATGTAAATACGTCTGGTAGGTAAAGAGCTTGACTCTCGACTTGAAGGACCTGTTGGGTGGGCGATCAAACACGTTGCCGAGGAAGTTTCTCTTATAGCTTCTGAAGAAGACGCTTGAATGCCCGATGGAAATAAGCGCGGCGACGATGACTCCGACAACGCTCCAGTTCTTGTCGATGATATGGTGAGTGGCAAGGCCTTCAAGTTCGGAATTTCAAGGGGGTTTGCAAAAGCTCTGGCGTCCGAGTCTTTGTGAAGGGTATTTGAAAAGCCTTCCTCGGCGGAAGCGGAAGCGGAAGCAGAAGCAGAAGCAGCAAAATGGTCTCTGGATGAGATCTTCCAACTTGTGGGAGGATAACTGGCTTTGGGAGACTGGGATCTGGAACCCCTAACCTCGTGTCTCTTCAAGATGGTAGTTGAATTTGGTTTTCTTGGAATGCGGCCCGAATCAGCTGCACTGGAAGGGTGGAGACCTGGCTGTGGGGCATTTCTTCCGGGATCAAGCTTCGCCCAGTCCTCCGTAGAGACAGATATCGTGACGCTGGATCTCTCCTGACCAGAATAACCCGATGTATTGATTGAGATATCATTGCCGCTTGGCGCATCGGCTGTTTCGTTTGGAGGTCGGTCGGGCCCGCCCATCGTAAAGCGTCGTTTTCGACGGAGCGGTCTCTTCGGTCGATCTTGATTAGGATGCGCGCCCAGGTCAAATAGTCCTGATTCTGCAGTGCGGTCATTCGTCGTCGGGTTTTTGGCGTTCATCATCGAAGTTGGCAGAGCAGGTTCGAGAGCTCGAGGCTCCCTTGGGATTTGCCTTTTAGAGCGGGCATCGACAAATACAAGTAGATCTGTATTCTGAGGTCGAGAAGCCATTGGATGCACGCCGGCTTCGAGAATATTTTTATGTTTGAGAATTCCCAACAAGAAGATTGACGAGGGTTTTGGTCAAAGATTTGGTGGCATCTGGAAGAACAAAAGACTGTCAGCGAGAGATGACATTGGTCTCAGACGGTTCCGAGACCGGCCATTTCCGCGATGTTTATTCTTCTGGCACGAATGAGAGAGATGTAGTAGTCTTGGTTGAATTCATGGTTCAATATCAAACACGTTGCATGATATTTCAAGCGAGTCAACCCATTCGACTGATAAGGAGCCAAGTTCGAGAACCAGCATGAACTGGACAGCGGATGTTGGGCAGCATGGCATGACGAGGTGCCAAATCGGCCAAGCTGAAAAATGCCCAAAGCGGGAGATCGACTATGCTTGACATATGCGATCACGTGATCCAAAGAGGCGCAGACGATCCATATAGCAAAAGACTTTGTCGAGCAGGTGGAGATCGTGGAATCGGAGAATTGGAATGCCAGAGTCTCCCGGGTTCAGTCCTCCTCAACACTGCCCGTCAAGATGACTCGGAGATTCATTCGCCAACGAGCAACTTCATGTTCCAGGGCACTCAATTTGGCGGCAATGCTCATTAAACTGGGATCACCCGTTTCCACTCGTACCTTTTCGCGAACGATAACATCTTCCTTGCCACGCCATTCGTAGATTTCTCCCATTTCATCATGATGGGGAGGCTTGGGACCAAGCCCCAACAGTTTACTCCTCAGGTTGAACCCGGAGAGCGAGAATGCTGAATCGGAAGGAGTACTTGGAGTTCCCCCCGGTGAAGTAGGAGCCAGTGTTCTCACAGTGAGGACGAGATTGGCATCTTGAATGGTGAAATGTAAGCTGACATGTTCGCCCAAGGGAGGTTGGAAGACATTTTCGTCCGGACTATTCGTCCACCATTCTGCTCCTGGAATCGAGCCAATGTCTGTACCGGTGACAGGGCCTTTCAAGCACGCCTTTGCTTCCCGAAGATGATCATGAAGAAGTTTCAATTGGCCCGAGATAAAAGAAGAGTCGGTCGGTTGGCCGGTCCATCGGGAAACATCGATGATATCGAGTGAATCATTTACCAGCGACCTAACAGCAACTAACTGTGGGAGGATGATTTCGGACGAGGACGAGGAAGAATGGAATATCAGGCGAGTAGATGGTGTAGATGTCGTGGTGCCTCTGGGGGTATTGGGTGGCAGAGTGGTGAGATGAAGGTGAATGTCCTGAAAGGTGGAATTAGCCAACAACGTCCGGAGACATCAATAACGTAAGCTCGGCGCCACTCAACTCCTTTGACCAGCTTGGTGCCGACTCTTGTTACGAAGCCCTTGACGCTTTCAGACCTCAAGGATGAGAGGACTAAAGTCGATCCAGGTTCTTTGGGAGCCAACAAGACCGCGCATTCTTCCAGACCTTCCTTCAGGGCACCAAATGAATGTTGTAAGGATTCAAGTAGCCATTGCAGCTCGAGTTTCTACGGTCGAATCAGCCCATTTCGAGGTAGGGACATTGGTCCCCATCTTACCAAGGAGTCATCTTCTGCTTTTCGAAGTTGATCCGGAGGAATTGGAGGGTACACCCAGGTGGACATGATGCCGGAGGAGAAAGAATGACGAATTCGATGAGGCGGCAGTTGACGACGCCAACGAGGCTGTGAATGGAGAAGGGGAGATGGTGCAAGGCAAGGAAGTGGCTAAAGGGGAGAAATGCGGTGATTTGATGTCAGGTGATCTGATCCCGCTGTTTTTGAAGCTGCACAATTAGGCGCGGAGCTATCGAGTACACTAGTCCATCCGGGAAACACCTACCAGCATTTTTCTTGCCTGTGTCAACTGATGACGTGGTGGCACTGACCACGGATCTGTGTCCTTTTCCTGTTTGCTCTCGAACATGCATGCGCTGATTTGCTGTGCACTCGGTACGATACGGGGGGTAAAACGACGTATGTCAATTGAAAGAGCTTGCTCTGTGCCTCCCATCCTCTATTGGGCTCCTCGCTTCTCTCTTCCTCCACCTAGGACCCTACCCTGTACACGCCAAAGACGATCCCTCGTCTAGCTACTCCCGGGGCGGGTGGCTGACCCAAGGGTGACCTCATCCAAGACTTTTGCTTGCCGGCCACACTGGCACTTGCTTTGGTCTTGCATCACCAGCCTTCCTGCTATTACATGAAGAGTCTTTTTTTTCCTCGACCTTCCACACCGCTGCGTCTGTGGCTTTGATCTCCTCTTTCTCCCTCTTTACCAGCATCCTCAAGCTCCTAGATCTCTGGGTTGGGCTCCAATACCCTTCCGGACTTCCAGGACTGTCCAATTGGACCAGCGCATCATGGCAGCTCGTAAGCGAACCCCGCTCCCGGTCTGGAAGCCATGTGTATACACTGACACGGTTTCTCCAGGTAGAATATTCGGTCTGGTCTCCCTCATCCTGGTCGCAGCTGGCCTGCTATTCATGTTCTTCATCCTCCTTGCCGGCGCCGTCGATCATGGTCCCGTCAACAAGTTCTACATCCTTCAAGCCGACACCGCCAATATTCCGGGGGCACCAAGAGTCTCTCGGTGGTCATACTGGAATGTGTGTGGTGTTCAAAATGGTCGCACTGTTTGCGGCGATCAAGACTATTCAGATGTTCATCCGGCATACCCGCTCGATCCCGCTTCTCATCGCACCTTCGACACTCATGTGAATATTCCCCAAAACTTCATTGATAACCATGGATACTACTATTACATGACTCGGTTCATGTTTGCTTTCATGCTCATCGCTCTATTTTTTGGAGTGTGCGCTCTTTTCACTGGAGTCCTTGCACTTTGCTCCAGAATCGGCAGCTACCTGAGCGGATTTTTGACCATGATTGCTGCGGTTTTCCAGGCAATCAATGCATCATTGATGACGTGAGTATTAATTCACGCCTGTTGGCCTCTCGAATCCAACGTGCTAATCAATCAACAGAGCCGCTTACGTCAAGGGTCGCAATAATTTCCGCAACAACGGTCAGTCATCCGACATTGGCAATTATGCCTTTGGATTCGAATGGGCTGCCTTGGCCTGCTTCCTTATCTCAACCATCCTGTTCTGCATGGGCGGATCAACACAACGGGAAACCACGGCTTCTACACGACGCGGATTTTTCCGTGGACGAAGGAGCCGGAGCACTCGAAGCAGAGGCAGCTTCGTTCACGATAAAGAATATGGATCATAAGAAACACAAATCAAAAGTGCATTGAGCGAAAACACCAGGGGGGTGGGGGGGAAAAAATGGTTGAAGACGCATAAGAACAAAACCAGTCATTGTACCGAATTTCGGGGGCGTCCTCGATGAGAATTTAGGGTTATTGCCGTTTGGAGTTAGCAGAGAAACCCACACCAGGACGAGAAATGTCTTCATGTCGACGATCCAGTCATGGCAAATACAAAATAGGTAGTGTTTAATGTTTTGAAAATTGTCAAGAATGCCACTCTAGAGAGAAAATCTGATGATCGATGTTCCTTGATGGCGGGGAGTTTGCAATATTTAGGAAGATGACCGTCCTATGTGTACATGATTGCTCTTTGAGAATGCCTTGTGATGACTTGTTCTTCTCCGTGTGGCCTACACCTCCAAGTTGAGTCAAACCAAAGGGACTTTGGAACGAACAGCGTCCAAATATAAAATGTTCTGCATGACAACACTCGACGCCTTCTGCACCTGCACGCCCTTGATCATACAGGCATCCCATCCCCCCTCCCACTTCAACAATGCCGACGATAATCATGCTTCAAGTTCAAAACCGTCGGCTCGAGAATCTTGAGCGGCATCCCTGTCAGAGCCTCCTTCCGGACACCAGGAAGATACACTTACTTCGAAGACCTTTGGCCGCGTAATAGGCAACCTGCCATAAGGCTACAAGCGCAATGATGGCCATGAATAGACCAAATACAATGGAAACAGTGACTTCGGCTGGAAGGGCCATGTCGGCAAGGCCAAGTCCAGAAGACCGATTTGGTGACGGTACACAACCTTGTTGCAGGAAAAGTTTTGTATGAGCTTTTCTTTCGCACCGAGTGGAGGGGTGATTCCATTCGGCAGAGAAGGGACTCTCAAAAGGTCAATGACTAGATCTGAAAGGATGGGTTTGAAGAGGATTTGAAGACCCATGACCCATAGATCACGGGGAAGAGCTACGACAATATATTATACCTAGCATCATCAACGGGTTATCAAACATTTGCGCATACGATTCAACTTCATCCCACGGACCCAAAAGTCGTTGCTGAGCCTAGAATGCGATTGGGGTAGATGGTATGGACTTACGACCAACGGATCATAGTTTAGGGTGGACACGCTACATTGGGACTAGCCTAGTCACGTGCACCACAGCCTTTGTGGATTTCTGCCAAGGATTCTGGCTTACGCTAAGCTACATTCGTTTACGGAACATATATGAGTAAAGCGGCCACCCCCAGCAGATAGTTTTAGTTAGTTCATACATTCTCTTCCCGCCGCCACAACCACACCTTCGTGGCCTTTTGTAGCCCTACGCCTCGATTCAATCAACCAATCCTCTCTCGGTCCTACAGTTGGCGCTATAGTACTAGTACTATGCAAGGTCGCCTTTTGACAACGAGTCGTAGGGCTCACCCTGACACAAGGTGCAACTTTGGTATGATGTCCAATACATCTCCTCTGCGTGATGAACATTTCCTATCCATGTGCTCTACAGTTCCCTTCCCCCTCGAAGGTTGTTCAAGTCTGCTCCCAGCATAAGCACTGTTTTCATTTATTTCTATCATCTCTTGGGCTATCAAGGAATGACTTCGAGTTTGCGAGCTACGCCAATCCCAGAGAAGAGGGACTATCACTTTCAAGCAACAGACAAACAGTACAAGCGACAGTTCGCGAGACGGGGTATGCGCAAAAACTTCAATTCCAGAGAAATGAAAGCTATTCTCAACGATCCCATGGACAGCTCCGTAATTCGAGGTGTCCAAGTTCCCAAAGCGAAGATCAACCGATTCGTCCGCAGACAACGCCTGAAACGACCGAAAGATAAAACTCAGGCTCATCTTGGAAAAGAAACCGTCCCTGCCACTGAGCTAGAAGTAGCAATACCCGAAGATCTTTCTTCACATTCACCTCCTTTGCCTCATGGAGAAATATTCAGTGCACCAAGGGACTGCAAATTGATGCTCAAAACGTTAATCAGGACCACATTGTCCTTTCCGATGGCCTGAGAAGATCCGTTGTGCTGAAGTTGGTAAGTCATGCTAGTTCAGATACGGCTGCATTTTGACTTGCCCAGTTCGAAACCTTGAATGTCTCTTCTATCTGGATCTTTTTCGCTTCGTCTGGCTTTCAAAGTTACCGAGGAACCATGTCCTTTAACCAGCAAAATATCCAATGACTATCCAACTTTGCCAGATTAGAAGTTTTTGACGAGGATCGGCTTGAGGTGGCGGCTCTGTTATCGGCGACCCATGTAGTCACGGCGATCAGAGCCGGCCTGTTTCTAGACAGGTGATCTACAAAGTTGTGAACAGGGGTATCCTTGGATTCTTCGCCCAGGGTGAATTGATATTTGCAGCATTGAAATTTGCTAAGCGATGTGAGTGGCCCCATCGAGACTTTTGACCAAAACATACTAAGTTTTCTCATGAGACTTGGACACTTTAAATCGCGAATACCAATGGACAAGTGATTACCGTCCAGACTTGAATCTTAATCCCCGGCTTTTCAGGCAGATTTCTCATTTGGAGATGATACGGGACAGTTTGTCTAAAATTGAGTCCCTCCGGGGCGTCGATTTTATCGAGTGGAGGAGACGTGGGATATTTTCATCACAGTCTCTCCGCAAGGCTTTCTTGAACATCCATCTAGAAGATCTAAGGTTAGGGAATGGAGACCGCCTCATGGTGCTCAAGGGAGCCGACTAGCTTCAATGCCGAAAGATTTCAGTCACCACTCCTCAAAGATACATAACAATCCAGATTCTTCTGTTTGACGAACCACACATTCTCTGTCTCCAGGGGTTGCTCAGGATGGACAAGCGTGAAGTCAAACTTTCGGACCAATTCGGGAATCAAAATTGAAATTTCCAGCAAGCTGATGTTCTTTCCGATGCAGGTTCGCGAGCCGGCGCCGAACTGGAATCCAACCGTCAGAATTACCACTCAAGAGTGTTTGGGCTTGCATCTCGACCTGGACTTACCGTCAAAATATACTTATTCATTTCAGGGGCTCTCTCCGGTGATTCGAGCCATCTTTCAGGTCTGAAGTCACCGGCATCGGGGCCGAAGATTCGTTGATTAGCATGGGCAACCCAACTATTGACTCCCACTTCTGTCTGTTGTCCCGGTCAATATCATTGCCGCGCGTTAGGGGGACGCATATGATTCCTACCTTTGCCGGAAAATATCTCCCCGCAATGCTAGCACCGCCTTCGGGAACAACCCGGACCATAGGCAAGCCTGTGGCTGGATGCAGCCGTAATCCTTCTTTGATGCAAGCTTGGAGGTAAGGTAGCTTTTGAGCTTCTTGAAAGGAGAACATATCATCTGATCCGCGTTCCTCAATAGCGTGGTCGATTTCTTCTCTCAACTGCATCATGTCAGCCACGCTCGCGTCTCAAAAAAGAAAGCAAACCCAAAAAAGGGCCAATGTTTGGATGCACCTTGCTCAAACTCGACGGAGTCCTCATGAGACAATTCATGATTCCTGCCAGGCTGACTGAGGTAGTATCAGATCCTGCACCGATGTTGGTATGACAAGTCGTATACACAGCTGTCATCGAGAACCTGTCTGGCTGACGAGCGTGCATTCGCAACAGCTTGGTCAAAAAATCATCCGTCGGCTTGGCCTCATCATTCTCCAGGTCACTCTTCGTCTTTTGCCTCTGGCCCTGTTCCACTTGTTCCTTGGTGAATGTTCCCATATAATGCATACCTCCACTAGGGAAAAAGGAAAGGATCCACATCAAAGAGCGGTGCCATTCATGCATGACACCTACTCGGGACAGATATACCAGATACGAGTGCAAAGCAGCGATCATTCCACCGTTGTCCTCGCCGGTATCAAGGAAACCGAATCTTTTACTGAGCTATCAAGGCCCGATTAGCCACCCATCGAAACTCAGCCCTGCAAGAGTCGACGTACCGTAATTAGGGCAATTGTATCAAAGGCATAATACTGCAACCAGACTTGGAGGTTGATTGGACTTCGTGAATGAGCGAACTCTGTGAATTTTTTGACGAGGATCTGGGCACATTCAACTGCGTATGGTTCCATTCCCATCAAACTAGTCATTGAGTAAAGGGAGGCGACATTTCGTCGGTTCACAGCATGGGTTTCTGGGTTCAGATCCGTGAACAGGTCGGGCTCCGCGCTTTTCGGGTTGCCAGACGCGATATACCATTTCCCCTGCCATAAGAGAAAGTTATATTTACCCTCAATGCTAATTCGGGAAATGCAGACCTTGACAAAGCTTGTGCCGTGGCCATAGATCGTCTTGATCGCCTCCGTGTCGTCGATGGAATAGTAGTTGGGGGCAATTCGAACGATTGAACCTGAACAACACTGGTGAATCAAGTGCCCAAATGACGGACGACGACATACGTACCATATTTCCGGTGCAATTGAATATTTGTTTTCTCGAAATGACCGCCGGCCACCTCATTGAGATACCATAGTCGGGTGAATCTTGCCACAAAGGGACCGGGGATGTTTCTGAGAGGGTCTCGGATATATGATACAGCTAGGTACAATATCCAGATGCTCAGGAAGAAACCTGCCAGCAAAACAGGAGGTAAGGCTTTGGCCTGGCCAAGAACATCTTGTAGTTGTGCCATTGCATTGAATATTTGTATTCTAGACAAAATATGATACCCTCCCACCCTCTTTTTTTGGGAAGACAGAGTGACGGCAGTATCTGGTAAAATCTTCGAAGTAGTTCCCATGAAGTGTACGGAATTTACCCATCCCACTTACATCTCCTTCAAAAAACCCTTCGGTTATACGAGGTACTAACCTAATTCCCATTGCGGCATACCCCACAAGCCTCGTTCAATGCCAACGTCAGCTCTGTGTATAGCTGGACAGTATTAAACCACATGACAATCAGCCTATGTCGTACATATGATTGCCGCTTCTATCGCAATATGATCTACAAACACAATTTCGGCGGAGTTACCCCATACTGCCCCAAGATCTTTTTGTTGGGGAATTTCCTGGAGAAGAGTGCTTGACTGTAGAGAGGGACCCCCGCATGAGGCTACTTTCTCCACGTATATCGAAGTCAAAAAGGGGGCCCCCGGTGTTCCCAGACGGATCAGACTCTTCGACGTCATCCGGTTGCGGATGATCAAACGTCGTGGCCAGTACTCTACGAAGGTTTTCCGGATTGGGTCCCTGGAACCGCCTCCAGAGGATCATTCCATCCCGTTTATACTCGCGTAAAGAAGCAAGGACATGCCAGTGGTGCTTGAATCTGACTCATATTGAAGCGAATCACCCGAAAACAACATGGGCGTTCTTCAGAACATTTCAAACTCTCCAAGGGAGATTGAGCTGTATTTCCAGCCCATGAAGCTTGTGACACTCTTGTTTGCTACTATCATCGGTATACCCATCCTCTGGATTCTAGCAGACTATGCCCGCGTTCTCCGACTTCGTCAGAAACTCCCTCCAGGACCATTTCCTGCACCATTGTTTGGGAACTTCTTCTCCATTCCAAAACTTAAACCGTGGATTGAGTTGGAAAAATGGTCTGAATACTACAAGGACCCAATGATCACGATTTGGCAGGGTCATCGACCTACAATCATGTGCAATGACATCTGGACCATCTCGGAATTACTTGACAAGAGAGCCAATATCTACTCCTCTCGCCCGCATATGATTGCAATGGGGGATTGTGTGAATGCCACGGAGACAAATCAAGTTTGTCTCGTCTACGGAGATAGGTGGCGTCTACATCGTCGTCTTATGGTACGTGAGCTTCGAATCTCTTTCTGTTCGCGTTGTAACTGACCAAAGGGCATCCTAGCACACTGCTGTGGGCTCCCAAGCTGTACGCTCATATCGAGACATCCAAAGCAATGAGTCAAAAATCCTGGTTCGAGATCTCATGGATAGGCCCGCCGACTTCGTGTTATCTATCGAACGATATTCCTGCTCCATCGTGTCGATCATTGGCTGGGGTCGACGTATCGACAAGATCAATGACTACGTTGCACAAATGGCACTCAAAGCAATGGAAGGTGTCGATCTGATCATCCCCGGACTCTTCATCATGGAGTCGATTCCCATCCTCGCCAGGCTTCCAAGATGGCTCAACTGGATCTACCCTCTTCCACATTCACTCATTACTTTTTCAAAACACTTGCAGAGGTATTTTGTTGCTTTGTCAAAAGAAGGTGCCCACGCACCGGAGGATAACTTTGCCAAACGCCTCTTTAAGGAACAGCAAGAAAACGGCCTTCACGACGACGAGATTGCCTCTCTGACTTCAAATCTCATTGGCGGTGGAGTTGATACTACCAGTGGCACATTGATCTCGTTCATTCTGGCCATGTGTGTCTTCCCAGAAGCACAGAGGAACGCTCAAAAGGAACTCGATCGTGTTGTGGGCCCAGACCGCGTTCCCGATTGGAGTGACGAGAATCTTTTACCATATGTCAAAGCTGTAGTGAGTGAGGTGCTCCGGTGGAGAACCGTCACTATTCTCGGTGGAATCCCTCATGCTCCAATCCAGGACGACGAATATCGTGGATATTTCATTCCCAAAGGCACAGCCATCACGGGGAATGTCTGGGCAATCCATCGAAATCCCCGAGATTTCCCAGAACCTGACAAGTTCCGTCCGGAACGGTATTATGGAGGATTGGAACGACCATATCCAAATAAGCAAGGACATAACGCTTTCGGTTGGGGTCGTCGACAATGTAGCGGACAGCCACTGGCGGAACAGGGGCTTTTCTTGACTATTGCAACGCTGTTGTGGGCATTTGACATCAAGCCCGGGCTGGATAAAAATGTAATGTGTCGAACACATCACCTCAATTATTCGATTCTTGAAGTATACCTTGAAGAAATTTGATCATGCTGACTTGTGTTCTAGGGAAACGAAGTCAGCCTGGACATTTTCGCGTACACTAAGAGTGAGAATATGAGGCCAGAACCTTTCAAAGCACGTTTTCTCCCTCGCTCGCGAGAGATCGAACAAATTATCCGCGAAGAAGCTACAAGAGCGCGAAAAGAACTCACTGTATTTGACGGCGAAACTAGATTAACTCTGGACAATGTACCGTAGCCGTTTGGAACTTGCTAGCAAATGAGACCAGAATACGACGGAAGATGGGTGTTCACAGCGGTATGATTTGGCAGGGAGCACCTATATTTCAGCAGCAACAGCTAACACGCTATAGCTTGGGGGCTTGTTTGAGAGTCAGAAGACGAGATGACGCATCTATGTCAATCAGCCCCTGCATTTCTGGAATCCATTCTCGTAGAACATCTTCAGATCCGGTGCCCTTCTTCAACTCCGGATAAGACTCTTGTGTTTCAACATCCAGGCTGGGTGATTCTGACAATTCTACCAAGGGACGAAGCGGTTCTTCTGTCTCATCCATATTAAGAACTGGCATCACGCAAGCGTCGACATGATCGAAGACGTGGCGCCATTCACTCAGCGTCTTTTGCTGGAACACGTTCTCGAATAGCTCTTTTGTCGCCGGCCAATGTGCTCGATCCCACTGTTTCGGCATCTTGCTTTCCTCTAAACCCAGCCCTCGAATGAGATTCCGGTAGAACTGAGGCTCTTGGGCCCCCACCGCCATAAACCGCCCGTCCTTCGTCTTGTACACTTCATAAAATGGAGCTCCTCCATCAAGCAAGTTTTCTCCCCTGGGCCTATCCCAATTCTGATGACCAAGTTGCTGTCGAGCAAAGGTGGCCAGATAAGCAGTACCATCGACCATGCTAGCAGTGACGACCTGACCTTGCCCTGAGACTTGTCGATGTAACAAAGCCATCAGTATTCCTACCACACAAACAAGACCTCCACCAGCGAAATCACCCAGAATGTTTGCAGGGGGTGCGGGATTTTCCTGTTTCCGTCCAAGTAGCGACAAAATCCCTGCTACCGCCAAGTAGTTGATATCGTGGCCGGCACGGGCTCCATAGAATCCATCTGGTCTAAATCCATGCAGGTGAGCATATATCAACCGCGTGTTCAGTTTGCAGAGCACCTCTGGCCCGAGTCCCAGACGACTCATGACGCCAGGTCGGTACGGGTCGATAATGACATCGGCGGCTTTGGTTAGTTCCAGGAACGCGAGACGAGATTTTTCCCATTTGAAGTCCACAACGACTGATCTTTTGCGTCGGCAGAGTGTGTCTCGAGGTGGACCGAAAGGAGAAATCAGACGGTCAATGCGCACGATGTCTGCTCCGTAGTCTGCGAGTACGAGGCTGACACAGTAAGTTGAACGAAAGTAGGCGGAAACGTTGTTGAACTCACCCGGCAAAAGGACTTGGTGCAAGTCCACCGAGTTCCAGGACTAGATATACCGGTAGCTCAGCCTTTCCCGTTCACGGCGGTTGATGAAACTGTCCGCTCACCTTTCAATCCGTTCAACGGGGCTGTTGACGCCATCGTTAATTGATCTACACTCGGTCATGGCTTAGAACTCACGTTTTGTATCCGTCAGATCAAGATATGGACGAAACCCCGTTAGTAATCACCACCAAAAGCCACAACTCCAACTGGGTGTACCTGGATCCTCGTTAATGAGATTGCCCCACATTCTGTTCGTGCTTCTACTCCACCGATTTCCCCGATTCTCGTGTTCCAGGGAAGTGGGAGGAAAGGCCCGCGGGCGGAGTACTATATGTTGGACCTGCTGGTCTGGATCTGCGCATAATCAAGATCTCGAAAAGACCCATGATTCCAATTCAATTCTTACATCCAATCAGAAACATGTATGCCTTTGACACAGGCTACAGCGGCCTCGCATACAACATCTACTTTAGTTATGGGACGAGGGTACACTTATGTCTTGGTTCTCAAGGGACTCGTATGTTGGCATTACTTCGCCACAGAGCGTTGTCCAGTCAAATGATGGGGTCTATCACCCGTGAAAAGGCTAGCCTAATCTATGAACTATCGGAGCACTGGCGAAAAGCTCTAGCAGCTGGCTGGTGGGTGACAAATGCACCTATGCGGATCTGGCATTTGTCACATGGGACACGGTGATCTTGCAAACCATGAAGACTTGGGTTGGCGAGGAGGGCGGTTTCACATTGGACAGGTTCCCTCATTTCAGGAAATGGCATCAGCAGATGATGGCTCGTCCAGCGGTGGCTAAAGTGATTGAGATGCGAAGAAAAGAAACGGAGAAGTATATCCAAGCTGATTTGGAAGAGGCTCAAAGGCAAACTGGGCGCAAGGAATTGACCAACAGTGAGAAGGTCGCGGATTTTTAGCGTTTCCAGTTGCTGGGCCTCCGTCTGTGCCATGTGGCGCTTACAGGGCGAGTCATGAAGACAGCAATTGCATTTCTTGACTCTTCAACCCTGGACTTGCGTTTCTTCTCATTCTGGATTGATCCAACAGAGATATTGACAACTAGGGGTTGCAAGATGATCTCAACAAGTAGCCCAGCGCTTCAGTAAGAGTCGAGGATAAACGAGGCCAAAACCCGCTCCATGAGCGAGAAACTGTGAAGTACAATTCGACTGCTCATATACAAACGGAGTGTAAACCTTGGTGTGTAGGTCAGGTTTCTCCAAAACTGGGAAGGATAGTCGTTGGGGAACAAATTACCGGGCATATATGTAGCCGAATTGGGCGGCCACAAGAAAATGATTAAGATTCCACGATTATTATTACTGACTGTCCAGACAGTAGGATTGCCCAGACCAACCTTTCTGCTCTGCTCGTCAATAATTTGCCGGACATAATAGGGAATCGGAAAACGTGGCACCATGATATTCACCTCGGATTATCACATCGACATACCAAATAAAGACATCCTAACTTTTCTTTTCACCCACACGCGCTTTAAAGAGGATGATGCGATCTGGATCGACGCAGCGAATTCGACGCTCTTCGTTACGCTCTCCAAGGCCAGAGATTTGACACATCGAATCGGCCATGGGTTACGAGATCTAGGTATAGGCGAACACAATGGCAGAGATGATATTGTCCTATCCTTCGTCGAGAATCAAGTCATGGTGGGCCCGGCGGTATTGGGTGTTTTGTGTGCAGGTGGGATTCATGCGACGTGTCCCATGACAGCCACTGCATTCGAGCTCGCTCGTCAACTAAGGCTGAGCAGTCCGAAAGTCCTCATATGCTCAGCGCAGACCCGAGGGGTAGCGGAGGAAGCAATATCACGTTCCCGAATTGAGGATATCAAACTCTTAGTGATGGTTTCTGGAGAGTATGATATAGTTGACGGCAGTGGGCAGTCAATCATCAGTGAGCAGAAGTTACGGTGGCGAAAAATTACGGATCTTGCTGTTCTCGAGACAACAACGGCTTGTCTGGTATATTCAAGTGGCACCACGGGCGTGCCCAAAGGTCAGAACCTCCAAGATCCCGAACAACGAGCCCCACTTTCTGAACCTTGCGAGACAGGTGTACGAATCACACAGTTGAACGTTGTGGCAAATCTCTGTCAAATGGCGTTTCATTTCGACCATTTCGCCCTGAAGGCCATTTCAGAAGGCTTGTACCTTCGAATGCCAGGCATCATGCAAAATGCCGTTGTCCTAGGCATCACGGTTCAGACGATGATGGCTCTGCTGACAGGGATGCAGGTTTACATGTTCAAGAAATTCGATTTCCCTTTCCTAATGGAATGCGTACGGAAGTACTCTCTTTCGGCGTTCTTCCTGGTGCCGGCTGTTTGGAATCGGATCGCGAATGAATGCACTAAAGAAGAATTGTCCTCGTTTCGGTTTTGCATGAGCGGTGCTTCGCCTCTTCCACTCCCTCTCCAATTAAGGATGCAGGATATGTTGCCTGACGGGGTGATGCTGCGAGTGAATTGGGGAATGACTGAGACCACAACGGGAGCCTCACAGCCAGCTCCCAATGAGGTAGACAGAGAAGGAAGCTCTGGAAGACTTCTACCGAATATGCAAGCTGTGATACTTTCTCCTGACGGGAGGAAATTGGGAATCAATGAGCCGGGAGAGCTTTGCGTCAAAGGTACCTTCCATCAAATTTTCTTCACGTTGAAATTTCTTGGTAAACATGGTTCAGGGCCGAATATCATGCGAGAATATTTCAACAACCCTGAAGCTACGAAGGCGGCGTTTACTCCGGATGGGTGGTTTCGCTCTGGTGACATTGCCCACATTTCTAAAGATGGGAAACTGTTCATCGTGGGACGATCCAAGGTGAGGATAAAACGCAAGGCTAGCCAGATTCTAGTCTCAAGGCCTCCCTGTTCTTTACCACAAAGTAGCTTCTTGATGTTGGTTTTTGTTAATGGAACTCATTACAGGAACTTCTCAAGTACAAAAGTCATCAAATCTCGCCTTCCGAACTCGAGGCGATTCTTGGTCAATGTCCTGGCGTCGCAGACATCGGTATCATCGGGGTACCAGATGGCAATGGTAACGACCTCCCGCGTGCATACGCTGTTGCTTTCCCATCCAAGAGTCCAGACTCAGCCACTGTCTCAGAAAAAGGCATTCATGACTTCCTTAATGCAAGGGTAAGCGTCCACAAGCGACTGAGGGGCGGAGTGGTGTTTGTCAGGGAAATCCCAAGGAACCTGAACGGGAAGATCATGCGGAATGTGTTGAAAGAATGGGCCGAGAAAGACGGGTCAAGCTACGCACGGGCGAAGCTGTGAAGAGCACAATACCCTCTGAACTCAGAACTTTGGATAAGGAGGATCAATGATGACGACCTTTTCCCTCCCCTGCACAAACCTCTTGCAATGTTGTGTCAAATTGGGGAACTTTTAGCTCCAGCTCCGGCATTTACGGTCCCCCACCTCCACCAAGCGAAGTCGGACCCTCTTGAATGGGGAAGAGGTGGACAACTGAGTGGGGTTCGCCTAATTGGATGATGATGGTCGTCAGGTATGGGGTTGAACGAACCAGAAGAGGATTCCGGTTGAAAATCAATGATCTTGATTTTCTCGACCATAAGATCCAATAGATGATATTTCTACTCTATATCTACGCTACTGCCTCCCTCGGATTGTGCACAGGATCATAAACATGGATCCATCGAAATTCGGAGTCTCCACGATACCCCTAAACCACGCACCGTATGGACCCCTCCGGCCAGAGAAGCTCGCAGGTGTGAACAAGGGGAAAGTCGCTGCGGTAACTGGCGCTGCTCGAGGTAAGTGATTGAGAGCACATCTTCGACCTGTTCAGTCTCCTTGGCTCGAGAGCTATATTCCAACAATTCCCCTCCCGGAACAGGCATTGGTCGAGCAATTTCAGAACATCTCGCGCTCTCAGGTGCCAATCTCGCCATCTTAGACCTCCTGGTCGAGCCGCTGGCAGAGACCAAGACGTTGTGCGAGAAATATGGCGTCAAAGTCTTTATGTATGCCTGCGATGTCACAGACGTGGAACAGGTCCGAGCGGCTCTGAAACAGATTGAAGGCGATTTAGGTCCGATTGAGTAAGTTCGTGTCCATGCTCAGAAATCAATCCAGAGCCACGAGCTGAAAGTTTTGAAAATGAGTATTATGGTGAACAATGCGGGAATCTCGCCGGGAAGGCCTCAGTGGATGGAGAGTTTTGAGGACTTTTGGAAGACGATCGAGATTAATTTCAAAAGTGTAAGCTTCTCCGTCCCGTCTCCTTGAGAAGCTTTTCCAAAGTCCGAACCAAACATGCAACAGTCTTGGATTCTAAAATCGATATCTGGAATATAGGCAATGGTCACCACCTGGGCTGTCCTTCCGGGCATGCGTGAGCGAAAATCCGGGGTGATTATCAACATTGCGTCTCGCGCCGCGACGGTCGATTTTCCATTTGCCGTGGGATACAATTCGAGCAAAGCCGCTGTCACGCGAGCTGTCTCAACACTGCAGGAGGAGATCGATCTCGATAATCTAGGTGATACGATTCAGCTGTACGCATTGCATCCTGGAGGGGTATATACGGCCATGGCGAAAACCGAACCCCTTCCGGAGATGTTGGAGAAGTATCCTGCGCTGTCTCAGCACGGGACGGATTTCAAGAGTCTATTCAAAGATCCACCCGAGCTCTGTGGGGCCACATGCGCTTATCTTGGAACGGGAAAGGCTAAGGAGATCAGGGGCATGTATTTCGATTGTCGGCAGGATATTGAGCGGGTGTGCGCGGTTGGGAGGGAAAAGTTGCAGAAGGACGTCTTGTATACTTTGAAGATGGATTTTATTGAGGGCTATCAGAATGAACCATAGTGCATGTGGCGGAAGTGAGCAGCATGATGACGACGACGATGACGCCAGAAACTGTGATATCTCTTTCCAAGGATACACATAGAAATTTGCTAGGAGACATAGGAAGTTGGTAATGCCAGTCATGATGCCTCTAAGTTGAACGGACTCATGTTCCAGGCACCATTCGATGACATAGTTTGTTGGTCTATATGATGATCAGTTAGAGCTCATATTTTGTTTCATATGAAAAATCAAACAAACCCATAGTAGAAGAAGTTCTTGAAAATCATGTTCATGACAAACACCTGGGTGCTGTTGCACACAATAAGCATCAAGGCCCTGTTGAGTGGCGAACGTCGCAATGAATGTCACGATAAAGAGCGTCGATCCGCAGAGAAAGATCGAATTCCCAAACTGTCTCACAGTATGGCACCAACCCACAAGTCTAGCAACCGTGCAAGTACATCCCAAGTCGATTGGTACAAGCCGGAATTCTGGTTCGTGACTCCGTGGTTCTTGCGCACCGTGAACTATATCATCAGTCCGGAGATGAAGAAAGGTACTGTGTAGTGCAGCACGTCGCCAATAAGAGGCACAGCAGAGATGTAGCCGACACATACCGAACATAGAAGGTAGGAAGGAGAGGCGAAACCACGCCCAGAAAAAATAATCACGACGACAGACCAGGCAAAGATGATACCAGTCATGAAAACTGGGTATAAGGCCCCAATATCCAGGAGAACGACGATGAATGTGCAGCTGCCATTTTGAGGATTGAATCATCCACGTTGCAAGAGTCTCAGATTCGGCTCGATGTTCAATATGGTGTGCAGCTGACGATTCGATGTTTGCAAGTTTCTTTAGGTTCTCATCCGAGCCAGTTCTGTCGGTTTCGTAAACTACTTTTCGCCTATACATTGTCTCAGACCTATCGAAGAAGGCCAAGGTCGTTCAGAAGCTGGCGAGGGGAAGACAGATTTAGAAATTGTAGTGCCGGCTTAGATTTGCAGTGATGCCGCCTGTTATGATTGAGATTCCATTCGATATTGCACCGAGAAGGAAGACCACGGCGGCGACGCATGGGCCTCTATCATGAACGAGGAATAGATCTCCAATTGATGCAATTGAACGTGCTTTGTCCGTCGCCACAGCTATACCTTGAAGAATCCGGCCGGCTAAGAGTTGGCTATAGCCAGATGCTGTCTCAGAGATTACAACGTCGACCGTTCCGATGATAGACGAGAACAAATACACAGGACGCCAGCCACATTTTCAACCAAGAGCGGAGGCAAAAGGGCCAATGGCATCTGTTGTCGGAAGAGAATAACTGGACAATTTAGCCACATCGGTGACTGATCGACTCAGGTCAGTTGATGCCGGAATCAAGGAGCCGTAGGATGGCGTTGGATAAGGAATGAGGGGATGAAGACAACTTGAACCTATTGGGATAACGCCGTGAATAATGACGCTGAAGATAACACTGAGTATCAAATGCTTCTTCACGGACGCCTGGTTCAAATGATCATTTGGGTCCTCTGACGGCTGCAGAGCCAAGATCCCAGAGAACAGTTCCAGAAATGTGAGTGGTGGTGTGTGGGCTCAAGAAATTCAAAGACTTATTTTCGGATGGACAGCGGACAGTGGAGAAGCGGTCAGCGAGGGTACCTGGGAGAATAGCGCCTAGGCCTGACGCTGTTTCAAATAACAGAGCATATGTACAATATCAACATGGGAAATTATTTGGGGTAATCCATAAAGATGGCCATTCTCGGTTGACCCTTGGTGGCTGTTGTGTTGGTCTCCACCTACAACAGGTAAACCCCACATTTCCGCTTTCGGCACTTTGTTCAGCCTTGCCTGGCTAGTGTCTCATCAGGACCCAGCTGTCGGACTTCGTGCATTCATCCCCTTAATAGATGCCCGGGATAATCCTCCACCTGACACGGTTGCAATATCGGACCCAATCTTTCCCATACTTTCTTCGACATTTCTCGTCATCTCTCATCTCCCGATGAACAAGCAAGACTCCAAAATACACCACATAGAAGTAGGTAAAGATCATCCCCCAGCCTCGTGCGTCTCCTTGCACAACCTCTCTTGTCACAGCTCCAGTCACGGGATTGTGGTATTGGTTGATGACGTAACCCGCCACACCGGTCGGAAGAGTGTAGCTGAACGACATGATCCAGTCACCAAAGTAGTTGATATGTCGAGCAGTGCCCCACCAACCAGAAACAAGGAGTTTGGAGCCAGAATCGGTGGTCATGGTTTCAAGATGTGAGACACGGGGATCGTTGGGATTTGTGCGGAAGCGGTTCTTCTGATTATTTGTAGCTCGGAATATATAATAGCCAAGCGCTTGGACCGCTAAGACTCCAGCAATGCCGCTGATACCGAGAGAGAAAGGATAGACAGCGAGATAACGTGTTGGTAGACTGTAAATGAATGGTAGCCAGGCGACATCGCCAAAGGCCAGCATGAAGCCAAAACCGTCGGCTATCACATCGATGGTGGTGAGGATGGCGGTTTCCATATAAAGGGAATCGAAGACGTAGAGTGACTGAAATAAAGTGATCATAATAATAGAATCGGTCACGAAACCGTGTGCCTTGTATTGGTGAGCGATAAAGGCGAGGTCAAGGATGACCCAGCCAAGCAATCCTGGTCTCATTTCATTGAAGACCTTGATGTCGATGACCTGACCTCCAACGATGGGAAGCCAATTTGGAATGCCGATGCGAGGATTTAGTTCCCGGCCGATGAAGAAATCATAAACCATGTTTCCGGTATGTCCGCCTTTGGCCAATTCCCGATTGTCAGGATTCGGTTTTCCAGGTTGCGGAACACTGAACGAGGCAAGATACACATAAATGGCTTGAGCGGTGGAGATTATCAGATTGGTGGTCGCGATCTGTGGCAGGTTGTCCCAAATAAATGTCCAGACCACAAAATCTGCACCTTGAATCGCCGTACCAACCGCCAGCCCAAGAAGAATCAGCATGGCAGAGTTGAATGAGTTGAATTTGTAGTGATGTCTTCCTCCCGTCCCAAGTGTGCTCCCGTCGACCTCTTCACCCGGGAGAAATAATTGCAGTGCGACGCTGAGGGCGTAGTATCCAAGAACCCAGAGTGTAACTTTCAAGTCGAACAATCCTGTTAGTCCACTTTCTGGCCATGGTGTCTGTTCCTTCAGCTTTTCAAGAGTCAAGGTCTCTGGATCTAGAAGGGCCGGTGCAGGACATCCAGACACATCGTTGCATAGGAAGATGGAGGAGTAGACGAGGATTGGGAGGAATATGATTAAGGCGGCGGCTCCTAGTCTGTGAAGTTCTCAGTTAATGAAGATGAAAAAGATGGAGGATCGATTTACTCACGGCCCTCCAAACTCATAGCCATGTTTTTCTGACCTGGCCGCCGCGGATTGTATCGCCCACTTAGCTGTCATCTTGGGGATTCCACAGACATGTACTGGAGAACAAGGATCGGATATTCCTGAAGGAAGAAAAGGACGGAATCAAGTTGAGAATACTAATGAAAGTATGTATAAACGAGCGAATGGGCAAACCACACAAGCTTGGAGTTTTCTCTGTGAACTCGAAGTCGAGTCCAAGCAAAGAAAAGTCTTCGGAATATTCCCTAGCCGAATGAGATCATGATGCCATCCTTGGATCGCACAACCGCGTCAACCCACGGCGCGTTGGTGCTGGAACACACATGAAACGCAAAGCCATCCATCCTTCTTCCTCCATCATCTCATCCCAACCCCCCTGCCGGAAAATTAATTCCGCCAAATCCCATTGAACGGTACCAACCGACAGTCGCACCGCCTCTGTGCTTCCCCCTGCCGCGACCATCTGTTTGTTATCATCCCATTGTACATAAAAGTGCAAAATTTCAGGCTTCCATCAAAGGGTCTTTTTATTCTCTCAATCTTATGCCTGCTCAAACACCGAGCTGACTGAACTTTCCAGGTGCAGCATTCACCGCGCTTTGCTTCTGTCCTTCATTCAATATTCTGCCGACAAAACTCTTTCCACAGTGGCCTTGCAGCTTTGACCAGCCATGCATCTACCGACTGCAATCCTAACTGTTCTCTTTTCATACCTTCCCGCAAGCATCGCTTCGACCGAAATAAAGCCACCTCCCAAACCGTGTACAATTCATTCGCCTTCCACCGGTTCATTCTTCGATCTGCGCCCTCTACAATTGAAGATTGACGGCACGAAATACCAAGTCGCCAGTAATGAATCCTATCATGTCAAAGGCTATGACTATCCCTACAACTTCACCATGAACTTCTGTGGCCCGGTGGTGGAACCATTGGACGAGGTGGAAGGTATCCCGACGACCACCGTGGCCAATGTGTCAGCGTTTTACAAGGATGCGCGTGGAGATGTATACAGTATTGGTCAAGAAAATGATGAACCCATATTCCGGGGCAGGAAACTCCTGATGAACTACACCATGGGCTCGCCTTGTCCGGACCTTGACGAAGATGGCTTACCCCTAGAGCCGGATACCATGTCGAATCGAGATCGTAAACGACGCAAATCAACTCTCCTTTCGTTCATTTGCGACACTTCTCCTCTCCTCTCTACACGCCCAGCTATCTCATTCCTCGGAACCCCCGACCATTGTACGTATGTCTTTGAAGTCCGATCTCGCTATGCGTGTGGCGGAACGACGCAATCGGGTGAAAAAGGCACCTTGGGGCCTGGCGGAGTGTTCGGTGTGATTGTGGGCATTGCCTTGCTTGTATATCTGATAGGAGGTATTGTATATCAGCGCAACGTCATGCATCAAAGAGGATGGAGACAATTGCCCAACTACGCCGTCTGGGCCGGACTGTTCAGCTTCTTCTCGGTACGTTGTCCCTATGTTTCTTTTTTGTTGTCCAGAGTCTGTGCCATGTTCCCTTACACTCCGTGCGATCTACAGAGGCCTTTCTCTACACCGCGCCGAAAGCGAAGTGCGTCCAGTGCTAGAAATTACGATTGGAAATCCGACCTTCCATGACCACGCTGACATCGTGTTGTTGTTGTTTTTTCCCGATCTAGGACATGTTTGTCATTCTCTTCTCCTCATGCACACAACGAATGCCAGGAGGAGTGACTCAATTATTCGCCGGTCGACGAGGGTATCATCGCGTCGGCACCGATGAACGGGGATCCGACAGACGAGGGCGTACACCTGACGATGAAAATAGACTCATTGACCAGCTTGATGAGGAATGGGAAGATTGATCGAGGGCATCTCCATCTCATTAAAGCTCTCAGACTAAAACCCCCCTCCGGGGGAAAAAAGGGGTCCTGCTACAGAGAACGGTTTGTCTCCAAAAAAAAAGACACCGTTTTTCTTGGAGAAAATACATCCCACGACAATTTATGTACCATGAATGGAATCCAGACCGCAAGAAGCGAATGCGACTTTTTGCCAACGCAGCCCAAATACTGGTCCCGAGTTAAAAACCATGCATCTCAGGTTAATCAACACCAGCTTAGTCCCGGTCGTTTTTTTCCACGTTCGGTCCCAATCAAGACTGTCCTCCCATTCCACTACCTGGATTTTGCTCAGAAAACTGTCCACCGACATCACTCCCTCCGTGACCTCCGGCCAAATCGCCCAATTCCATACCATCTAAAGCGGTATTTCCGAAATCCTCCATACCGCCGTAATTGGGCGGCTCGATGTTGAACGGCAGTAACCAGGCCGAGGAGCCGGTGTCCATCATACCTGAACTTCCTGCGAGGGGATCATTGAAGCCGAGTCCGTTGATGTCCAATTGATCCCAGGGATTGGCTCCACCAAAATTTCCCAGCGAAGGCGAACTGTTGTTGAGGTTGTTGAGTCCGGACACGTTGTTGGCGTTACTCGAGGGGTCTATACCTGCATATGCGTCGAAAACCATTTGGCGATCGATCGCTGGGAGTGTGGATACAAAGTGCAAGTTGAAACGCGGCGATGTTGGCGTGCCAAAGCCATAAGGGTCATTTGGTTGTGATGGCGGACCAGAGAACTGCGAGTTCTGATAAAGTGGTGGCGAAGTGATGTCGAAATCGGAGGGATTGAATGGCTGTGTGAGATTGAGTTCCAGTCCCGCATTTGACAGACGCTGTCCTGACTGTTGTTGCGATTGCCGACGCTGTGAGTTTGATGATGGTCCGGTAGTAGACGTGCCGGATCCCCCCCTCGTCGTAGGAGGTGAAGAAGCATTTTTCCCCGTCTCCCTAGCCGCCGCCGCCTTCTTGTTTTCTGCAACACTCTTTCCTCTGCGTCTAGCGACCTTTTTGCCCCTAGCTCCACCAGGTCCATCATCTGCTTTACTAGGCGGGCTGAGGCTGGCGAAGAATTCTTCGACAGACTGCAGCTCACTGGGCTGAGACATAACAGCTTCGGAGCCGCCGTTTCCTGCTTCGCGACGGTATTCGAGGTGGGATTTCTCCCATTCGCTCTCGGTCACGCCGTGAGGATACTTGTCGAACCAGTCGCCGTACTGGAACATGGCTTTGGAAGATCCAGAGGACGAACTTGCCGTGTGCGTGGACGGTTTTCCGTCGGCGCCAGGCGTCTCTGTCCGTGAGGGTGGGTTCGTCAGCGTCGCATCGAGGTCCATGGGCGTCTGCGTGCCGGAACCGTCGCCGGCGGAGGAGTGCCTGTGGAGCAAATTCGAGGAAGTCAGTCCAGTGGAGTCCGAGGGTGGTCGACCATGGGCATGGCGCCGTGCGGCGTCAGCGAAGGCGCGATATATGTCCTTGACGGACTCGGCCATGTAGTGGAACATGCCCCAGTACCGCTTCATGCGGGTGAGGTACTTGTAGTTGTGGCGGAGGTTTTCCTTGGACGCGGCCTCGAGCGCCGAGTTCTTGCTAAACATACCCCAGACGTGGACCGTGGCGGCGGCATAGGCGCAGTAGCCTGCGAAGGGGACCGTGAGGGTGTGGCCCGTTGAGTCGGCGATGAGTTTGGAGATGAGACTCGCAGACTCAATCACAGCGTTCGCGGAATTGGAGAGGAAGGGCTTCGGCATGCCGGCGGCAGTGTAGTGGTGGTGATGAGGTCGGCGAGACGGGGTCGTGGGGATGGCAAAGCGGTGCAGAAAAAGTGATGTTTGAGCGATGACAATATGTAGGAAGAGATATTGGTTGGCCAGCCGCTCAGAGACATGGGTTGCAAGATTCTCGGGGGTGTAGGTAATATTGTCGGGCAGGGAGGATTTGAGCTGTGATATTTCGCGTTGAAGAGTGGCAAACTGGGATAGGGGATCCCATATTGGATGAGGGTCTTTTTCCTTGCCGCCGAGATTGAGGTACTTGACAATGCGTTTCCATAAGACGACGCCGCGGACGACATATGCGGCGACGCCCATGTTGGCCTTTGCTTCGGCGGCAGCTTCGGCGTTGTTGTCGAGAGAATTCTTGTTGGACATCGGCACGTTGCCGTATAAATCTTCTGTGGGCCCAGGGACTTCCATCTGGAAGTGTGACTCTTTGATCGGTAGTTGGATCTGGTAGTAGTCTTCGTTTAGAAAAGACGGACGTTCTGTGCCAGAGGAATTGAATGTATCCATCAAGTAACAAGCCCACATTGTTCGTCGGCGGATTTCTCGGTCCGTGAATGATAATTCGGGCGGTTTGGGACCATTTTTGTTTGAATCGTTGGAGTTAGCGATTTGATTCCGACCCAGTGGATCATGATCGAGTTCCCGATGTAGTTGCAGCGCATAACCCATCCGCATAGCCTGGCCACCGAAGGACCAGGACAAGCCACCCTCGCAGGTGCCAAAGTAGTGTAAACCTAACATCAGCATGGCCGTGAGGATGGTTATGTTCGGTTCATAGTGGCGTTTTTCCACAATTCGACGGGCAGGTGTTGCCCACTGTTCTCCACGGAGAAAGGCCGGTTCGGTGCTGACGTGAGGGTGGGTGGAAAATCGAGCTGATATGGCACACACGGCCAGTATCAAAACCGGAGGAATAGTCCCAGCCTTCAACTTTCGCATGAAGCTTGGTTTGTGAAGGAGAAGATACGATTGGCCATAAACGCAGTCAAAAAAGACTTCGGCGAGATGTTCCTGAATATGTTGGGGTGGAAGGGATTCAGATCCTTCGATGAATAGCTTATTCTCGCCCTCGCGTTGTTTTCTGAGCCCCGCGGCTGGATCGAGCAACGTTGACTTGTCCCTGGAATTCTTCCAATCATTGAGTTCTTGCGTGAATGCCTCGTCGGCCGATCTTTTCTTTGGCTGTTCCTTGTCCTTTTTCGGTGTTTGGCCGGGAAGAGGTGGCCGAACTGAAGCACGTCCCGTCATGGTCAAGTCGGGCAGCTCGTCCTTGGGGATGGCACGGATGACTCGATCTTCCATTCGCTTCAGCCTTTTGTCCAGCATCGCCATATAGTCTGTACGTGGAGCAGCTTTCCTGGTGGTCACCTTGTACACGCAAGGAACTCTGGCACGTAGACAATGCTTGCAAGCAGGCTTTTCGCCGGAACATCTTATCTTTTTCCGCCGACAAGCGATGCAAGCCAGGGGCAGCCGTTTTCTCTCCTTGCCCGCTTTGGTTTTCAATTCGCTCCATGCAGGCGGTTTCTCCTCCTCCGTGGAGGGTTTTTTGTCCTGCTCCGTCGCACTGGCGGGTTTTCTTGGCGAAGAATCCGAATTACTCACTGCTTGATTGGTTGAATTGGCCGGAGTCCATTGATTCAACGCTGAAGCGCCGAAAAGATCATGATCGAATGCCGAGTCGATACTGGCCAGACTGGCGCGGTGTTGTGGGCTGGGGACTCTCCCAGAGGTGTAACGGGAGAGATCTGGGATTGAACTTCGGCTGGGAAACCCTTGACTATGACTGAGTCGAATATCGGGAGGGGCATCGATGCCGCTGTTGCTACTGCCATGAGGGCTGCCGGCGAAGGGGAAACTAAAATCAATAGAAACAGGAGATGAGGTGTCGAAAGCAGACGGGTTCGAGTGTGACGGTTGAGCTTGAGAGTTGGCCAACGTGTCGATGCGGGGATTTCGTGCATCTGACATGATATATCCAGAGCTCGAAAGTGAATTGTGGCGCTGATCGCCTCGAGAAAATCCTGCCTGGCTGGATGAGCTCGTCATGTTGCAGGAGCGGTCAATAGCGAGGAGACGAGAGAGGCCTGCATGTCCTCATGGGAGATGAGCGCCAGAGTGTGTGGATGATGACGATGGCAAAAGGAACCGGACCGACGACCATCCGTAGGCGTGGAGGTGGCAAAACAAATGGTTGCTCCAACAGAGACGAGATGAGGAACCAATTGAAGAGGATCTCGACGAGTAATTAGATATTGGTAGATGGATGCAACTGGCAGTCTATAGGAGGTGAGAGGGGGAAAAAATGACAAGGCTGTCGGCGACGATGGTGAGATGAGCGGAGACGTGGAAGTCACGCAATGGAAGGTGGCCGTTTGATCGGTCTGAACCGCTCATGGTCGAATGTGCGGATGCAGAGAAAGAAAGAAGCGGAAAAGAGTCCTCGAGTTTTCGGGGCAGCGTAAGCGGGCAGCATAAAGTGGATTCCCCGTGGATTAAGACAGAACCGGGGTACAGTGGTGCTTTTCAGTTGGGTGGTGATGATGGTCAAGGTGGTGGTGGCCCTGTGGATGTTATCCAATGGGCCCGGGCTCCATGCGACCAATTGGACGTGGAGCCAAAAGTCTTAAAACACCTTTGGGTCCGCCAGCAGATCATAAAAGTCTTGTTTTTTGGGTGATGGGCTGGCAGCTTTGCCAGGTTCTTATCAAAGAGAAGAGTAAGCAGGGACTTCGAGGTTGGAGAGGCCAGCTGGAGAAGCGCCGTTGGGATGAATGATGGGCGGTGAATAGGCTAAAATGGGAGGAAACGAAGCCAGAGAGGGCGGCAGAGATAGAAATAGGAATGGAGAGCGAAGGACGATCGGATGAGATTGACTCTCCTCTACGGATGAATGTTTTGGAGAGGGAGTAGGTAACTAGCGGTATATTTCCCGAAAGGGAGTGAGAGAGCGAGTTGCATAATGACAAGAACCAAGTACCGGGTACCTGAACATTGTGCATTTAGGTCTGGCTCTTCAGGTACCAGCTACTAAGATAACTTGGGGACACAGGCTATTGAATAGGCTATACCATCATACTCATTCTCGACAACTGCATCCCACCTAGAACCCTCTTTCGACCCTTTTTTATTTCATTCTACTACTTTGTTCTGCAACGCTGGCTTGAAATGGGATGTTGGAAAATTCCCACCCGGAGATCATCCCATTCCTCCACGCATACCAAATGTACCTCGATGTCGGGAGTACCTCTTTCGAGCGTTGGGAATTCGAGACCCCGTCTTTTCCCGGGCGAAACTTTCTTTCGACCGCGATTTTCCCTGTTTTCAGCCAGGTGACAATTCACATAGAAGAATCAACAGGGCGTCCCCCATCCTATACATGTACTTGCTGCAGTTGTTAATTTCGTCGCCGACTTCATAATTATTTTGTCTGACAAGCAGCCCCATCTATAACCCACCTCATATATGAAAGCCTCTCCAGAAACCAGAACACTTTATTTCCTCTGTCAGACAACTAGCCCCATGTCGCAGGATGTGGGGCTGATCTGGGCATTCGACCTCGTCTTGTTTCCTTTCACCCTCAACCATCTTCAATCAGCTTGTGATCGACTCGGGCGACAAGGCTGCGAATACCGATTTTCTCTGTGAGACATTGAATCATTTTCTCAGCCGTGGAAACTCCAATTTTGAAGTATTCTGGTATGTAAAACTTGACTACACCTTGGGCCTTCATACTTCCCAAGAATAGGTAACCTCTCAACTCCCAGATTTTCAACAACCATTGTCTCTTGGAGACTGACTACCACTACGCCCAGTTACCTGAACTTAGGAATACCCGGGTGCCTCTTTCTCGAAGAGAAGTCTATCACCTTCGAACACTGCTTGGGCGTCTCGTTGGCCATGGAGGTATCCGGTCATGACCGATGTCCAGCTTCATGATCAATCATGACTTCCCTTGCCGAGCGCGTCGCTCGTCTTGCATTATCCAAGTTTGACGCTTTGCCCCAAAATTGTAAACCACGCACTCTAGCAGATGGCCGAAGAGAATGGACTCCTTTGTCGGTTATTGTCTTGGAGCATGGTGAGAACATCACATCACGACGGCTCTTTCCAACCAGAGGAGCTGACCGGGCGCAATCAAAGGAAACAACCAAAACTTGACTTGTATATCTTTGGCAACAGGGACAAAATGTCTGGCTGCTTCCGCACTACCCAAATGTCTCGGTTCCGTTCTCCACGATTGTCATGCGGAGATCCTTGCTTTACGCGGCTTCAACTACTGGCTGCTTAGGGAAGTCCAGGCAATGCTCGAGGAGCCCGCATACAGCTCCCCTTTTATAGAAATTAGCAACGTGATACAGAACCTTGAACAAGGCACCTTCTCGCCTGATTACCGTCCGCCTTGGAAATTACGGCAAGATGTTTCCATTCACTTTTTCACGACGGAGGCTCCTTGCGGTGATGCGTCTATGGAAATTCTTATGAATTCATTCTCTTCTGATGCAGCAGTGCCTTGGCCGGTGGACGAAAGTGCTGCCACGGTGCTGCAAGGACGAGGTCACTTCTCGCTGTTGGGCCATGTTCGTCGGAAACCTTCCCGTGCAGATGCCGAGGCAAGTCTCTCCAAATCCTGTACCGATAAGCTAGCTATCAAACAGTTCTTGAGCACGCTCTCCTTCCCGGCCGATCTCTTCATTCGCAGGACCGAGAATGCATACATCCGAAGCCTTGTGGTGTATTCCGACCAAGTCAACCGTCAGGGCTACGAACGAGCGTTTGGGCTGTCTGGCAGACTCTCTAGTCCCACTTGTTTGGGCCATTTCTTCCGCGTTGAAGCACTCCCTCCAGAATTTCGACGATTTTCTTTCGAGAAAACGCAGCTGAATTCCCATATCACTGGCCAACCAAAATCCAAAGTGAGCAATATTTCTACTCTGTGGATCAAAGGTCCTGGCACCGGGATCCAAGATAACCTAGAAGTCCTGATCAATGGAGTCAAGCAAGGCTTCCAGCAATGGGATGAAAGGCACAGCAAGGCAAGTGTCGTTTCCAGGAGGAGACTTTGGAAATTGGGCAAGAGAGTCAGCGAGTCGATTCTCGAGCACCGGCTCCCACTCAACGGGTCGGACCTTCAACGGGAAACGTTCGACCGCGAATGGTCCGTGGAACTGCGTCGAGCATTATCGGCGAAGACTTACGAACAGGCCAAGTCTTCGTCTCTAAGACATGCTCACAAGGAATGTAAAGAACACGTCACTAGCATCATGGGAAATTGGAGCAAGAACGAAGGCGACGATGACTGGAGCTATCATTGAACCTGTTTGAGCTCTTTCAATGTTCAACATCGACATCCTGGTGGAGAATATTACTTCTTCCAATTCGTGGCTATCCGGGCTATTCCACCGCCTTCACGCCACTCCTTTCCTCACAGTCCATCAATACCTTTTCCTGGCCGAAGCCTTTTTTGGAATATCTCTTCGGAATGTCTCAGTAATCTTCCGACATTAGTTAGGGACCAGTTATACTCGACGAACGAAGCGGTCCAGCGCTGCTTGGAAGGGACGGCCTTTTGTTGAGAGAAAATCTTCTTGAACGACAGGCAGTAGGCACATCAAGTTTCATCTCTCTGCCGTGGCTTACGATGATTGCCTATTCCACTCGCCCAACTAATCCCATCACAACAGCGGTTGCTTTCTCATCTTTTTTTCATCTTCACAATTCCTTGTTTTCAAATCTCTGCAGTTCCTACAAAGCCCTAGGACCGTCTATTCCCGGATACACTCAGAGTGCTTTGCCTTTTCAGAGGCCTACTAGCAAGCTAAATTCCCGGATGTTGACGACATGCATCGTGCGAAAGCGAGGCAATTCTGCACGCGAAAATCTACGAGGATAATCTCCGCCTTTGATCGCATCGCATGGCAAACTCGGATTTCGCCCCTTGGGCCAGATGATATCCCCGTCAGCATGAATATCTTCATCATCTTCAAGAACGCCTGGTTCAGAGTGAGCTATTGCGCCACCCTTTTCTTTTGGTTCTTGAGGACTTACCACCTGACATTAGTGCGTTGTTCCAGCACACTCAACACCACAGCCACACCTCTGACGACGGCTCTTCTGGCGCGACAGTGACAACGACAACGACACCGCTAAGATAGTGGGTAAGAACAAAATGAGTTGGGAATGCCTGGACGACGACGCAGAAGCTGGATACCAAAAGCTCCTCTCCATCTGCTCTGATCAGGGCCAAATCGCAGCTAGCAAGGCATTGAGAGAAGAAGTCCAAGTCAGGTTCAAATGGGCGAGGGCTATGTGAAAGGGGACGTGCGAGTGAAGAACGGACGGTTGAAAGCGCGAGTTTCCCGAAGGGAGAGGCGCCACTTTACGGGGGATGCAGAACTCTTCTTTTGATCCCGACAGGTTGGGTAGATGTGTGAGGCGGTCAAGGAGGAGTGGTTGAATTCATCAAAGATGCCTGGCTGGGGCCACTCAGACACGGACATAGAAACTAGGAATGTGATGTGAATTTTAGAAGGCTCCATTTGAACGATCTCTTCTGAATTTCTATCCATGATTGCCCGAATTGGCACCTTGTAGGGATAATCATCACTCAATCATACTCTAATGCATTCGGTTGTCCTTTATTCAGCGGTAAGAGCTTTCATTTTACATACCCGGTAGTCTCATCTGCGCTCGCCATGCACGATTCCAAGGTCCTCCAAAATGCTTCGAGATCCAGGGACCTGGGGATCGTGACACCACGTCCATTCTCGGCCTTGCTCACTACCGTGCGGCCAGTCTGTTCGCCCTCCAGAACAACGTCGACATTCCATCTCTCGCCGCCGTTATCGTGGAAGGCGACTCGGACGTCCGGGTCGGGGTGGTCGTTTAACAGCACCGCGACAGCGAGTGGATCGTGCAGCGGAGGTCCCTCGTTCAAGTCGAATACCTCAGCGTACGTGTGGGCGAAGAACATGAGGAGTTCGTTGAACATGGTGCGTAGACGCGTCGGGCCGTGCAAGCCGCTGAGCAGCATAGACTGTACTTTCGGCGTGGCGTATGCTTGGTGCGTTAAATCGAGGGGGATGAGTGTCGTTTTCGGTTGGAGAAGTGGGTTATGCAGAACGGTGCGGGCAGATTCCGGATCGGCCCAGATGTTGAATTCCGCAAAGGGCGTGCGATTGCCGGACCGCTCGTGAAATGTGTTTGTTGAGTCGAGGTAGCGGGGCCCCATTGAGACGGGGGTGAAGTTGGACCCGACGGCGCCGCCCATGATTGATAAGCCGGCAATGTGGTCTATCAGGTCGGGAGCGAGGGCGAAGAGTAAGGCGATATTCGTTAGTGGGCCGGTCGCGATCAGGTAGGCTGTTCCCTTAGGTTGGGCGAGAAGTGCATCTCGCATTTCCAGGACCGCGTTGCAGTGCATCGGGGGGGAGCGGGCCGGCTCTGGGAGGAGTGATGTTCCTGCTAGCCCGTTGGTGCCATGGATGTCCGGGGCTGTGTGGACGATACGGCAGAATGGGCGGGATGAGCCTGGGAAAACGGGGATGGCGGGCTGTCCGATGGCTTCAAGGACGCTGAGGGCGTTGGTTGTGCAGTTTTTTAACGATGTGTTGCCGTGGACTGTGCTGATTCCGAGGAGTTTGAGGCAGGGATGGTAGGCGGCGAAGAGGATGGCACAGGCGTCCTGGTAAAGAGGAGAGGTGACTTGTGAGATGATTTGCCCGTTCTCATTGGGAAGGGCTCAGTAGGAGACTCACATCATGACCTGTTGTCGGTCATGAGTGCTCCATACAATACTTGCTGAATGGAATTCTGATACCAGACCTACCTGGGTCGCAGTCCAACCAGATGGGGGATTGAGGAGGAGTTTCCTGTGTTTCACCCATTCTGGGAAGATAGTGTGGGTGCTGTAATGGACACAAAATGACATCTCGCTCACATCGCTTGGAGATTGATATCGCCGTCGTTGAATCTAACAAGGCTTGGAGGGGATGGGCACCGGGGCAAGGATCAGGCCCAATGCAGCAGGTCGGGCGAAAAGATTTCAACTGGCCCTGCGCTCCAACTGGCTCCCCTTCCACTCGTACGCAGCCTTGAGGAATTTTCCTCGTCGGCCAATCACACGTTGACACACCTCTCGACACCCTGTGAGTCAAGTAAAACCGGTGAGAGACCTTCGCCGCCCCTGCATTGCCAGCGTGGCAGCGTGATCAGCCGGGAACGACAAACTACAAAAGACCTGCGCAATGTTCGTTTGCACCATGGTCCCGAAATGACCGCTTCCTCTTCATCAAGACCACCCTTCCCGACCATAGCGACCAAGACCTCTTCTACCACCCAGTCCTCTCAGTTGAGCGCTGTGGCCGACAGCAAGCTCGCGTCCGCTCCTCGTTCCTCGTCTCGTGTTCCTCCCAGCACCAAGTCCCGTCAAGATGCGCTCGGTCCGGACCCTACCTCTGAAAGAACGACGTTGTCCTTGATCAGGAGGACGCTGGTGGCAGATGGGAGCCATGGAACAGACTCTAGGGCCTCGCCGACACCGATTGAAGGGGTCCTACCTCCACTTACCAGTTCAAACGAGGTAGACGTGCAGTTGTACGCCATCGTCGCCATCGTCATTAGAGACTTCGTCAATTCATGGTATTCCAAGATAACCCCGGACCGCGGGTTCGTGGACGAGGTCATCCAGATCATCGCTCACTGCAGTCGGGCTCTTGAACAGAGAATACGGCAGATTGACATCACGGAGTTGATTTTGGACGAGGTGCCGGTCTTAATTGAGAGGCATATTGTCGGTGAGCATCAAAACACGAAAGAGAACGTCGTCCTCTGTGCTCTGCTGACTTGGACTTCCTTTTCACCAGCATACCGGACGGCGACCACCGCCCAGGCCGCGCTGCAGTACGGAGAAAGCCCCCGACGAATCTATCACGCCTTGAACCCACATCCAGCTCTCGACCCTTCTCTGACGCCCGACGACCGACGAAATTACGAGTCTGCCTATCGACAAATACTCATCCAGGGGGCATTGGCCGTGCTCCTACCAACCGAAGACCTGGCAAGCGCATGTCTCAGAACATTGGTGAGCGACATCATCGCCGACCTCATCCTGGGGCAGTCACTGGCGGACAAAGTATGCGAGCCATGGTTTTTGCACGGGACTGTCTCAAAGGTTGTGGAGATCGTGACATCGCCTACGACTCATGCGTCTGCTGCCAATGCCGTCGTCGACAAGAAAATCCTTCACTCAGCAGGACGCCGCAGCCGACTGGAAAAGTTTGGCCTATTATCATCAAATACGGCGGATCAAGAGGGTTATTCGTCAGACCGTCACCAATCATCGCTTAGCGCGTGGTTTTGGAGACTTCTTCAGTACGCCTTCATTGCGTATCAGTCTCTGCGCTTTATCCTCGTCGGCATGGCTCACGCGCACCATCTACCCCGGAGAATCTGCCAGCACCATGTCGACGTCTCCACTTCCTCCTCCTCCTCGTCCTTCTCCCACCTGAAGTTCCCCGTCTCGTCGACACGGCGCGTATCGGGCACCGACAGTCGATCCCCTCGTGCCGTGATCAACTACAGGATATTTTCCTGCATCTCTACCATGCTCGATTTGTCGGTCCGCATGCCATGGCTAGAGAGTTCATTGGGTTTCTGGCAGCACATTCTCAGCACGGGCCCGGGGCGATATGGTGCGCCGAACTCAACATTGGATAAGTAAGTGATAGGTCTCCTTTTTCTCAGCAGTCCCCACAGTGCCCCCTTGCCCCGAATTCCTACAATATGTCTCACAAAAAGCCCGAGATATTGGTGAGATTTGGGTCCTCTTTATCCACGGAGTCGCATGAAGTTGTGGTCATATGACATGGGCCGGGGCGGTGTTCAGCCAATGCTCCTTGATATCAGGCATGTTTCAGGTATGTGTAGGAGAGCCGATGTCCTCGTTCGTCATCCATCCACTTCTGGCCTGAGGAGGGTGTGGACCTTCCAAAAAAACCATATTACCGAGACCAGCCAATGACAGCCATTACGTGTTATGACAATACGACGCTCGTATTGTCAACATGACCGTTTCGTGCGCCGATTGGACGGACACACTTCCACACGCTTTGCCGCATTCAACTGGCGCTGTCTTTCCTCTCCCCGGCGTGGTCCATCGTCGGTGGAGCTCGCCGACTCTTTGTCGTCGCCATCTGTACGTCAATCCCATTCGGAAAATCCACTTCAAGATCGACCATCTCGACGATCTGCTGAAAAAAGATCACTTCCGAAAAGACGGGGCAAAAATAAAAATGGATGAATCAATGCTACCAATCATAAATCGGGATTTGTTGGGTTTCTTCTCGCTTCCCAGAAATAGTGGCCAATTTTTCAAAAGCAAGGAGGCGACATGGATCGGCCCCGCCCTTGTTTCCCTATGTCTCCGACCAGTTTCCCTCTTGGATTCAGACCCAGACCAAGACCTCAACCAATTATTTCGACACAATGGCCCTTATTCGCTAGTGTTGCTACTGAATCAAAGTATCCGAGCGGGCCAAAACCGCCAGGCGAGGTTTCAAAGAATTAGAGATTTTCTTCCTGCGGACCAATGAACACATCCCGACGGGCGGCATTTTTTGAAATCAAAACCAGTTCTGCCGCACAATTGGTCGCCTGGGGCATTTCCTGCCTGGACGATGTTCTGATGGATTCGGCCTCCCACCTCCCGTTAGCGGTCCTTGTCGGCTCTCTTCGGCGCGTGCCGATAACAGAGGAACTCCCCATGCTCTGCGATAATGGTCACTCAAACATTATCTTTTTACGTCACAAAAGTGTTACATGCCCAACGCTGGACGGACAGAGCACATCCTTGCAAGGAGCCGCTATCTATCAATCTGTCCCGTCAAATATGCCTTCCTCAACGGTTTGGATGGGATTTTGTGTCACCTCGAGCGAACATTTGACAGGAACCTAGTTCGCTCCCCAACTGCCCGCGCCTTCGACCTACCAACTTCGGCTTGGGCGTCTTTTATTGCAACCTCTTTTGCAACCAGCACCTGGCCTAATCCAAACTTCTTCGCAAGTGGCGCTTCGAGATCCAACTCTACTCGCTCTTTGTCTTTGGATGTGGACACTCCACACCACTCTCCCTGAGTCCTGCATAGATTTGGCTCGACAATTCTTGACCATCCTTGATCCTAGTTCTTTGATTATTCAATTGCTTCCAATCATGCCGGGGGACTAGCTTTTTTGCGCATCACCAGGACTATTCCGCAGACTTCCTGTGGGCCAGAACTGAGCTCGGACGCGTTTTGGGGATTTTTTTTGACCATTTTCCATGGTCTTTTACCCTAAACCATAAGCTTTCCTGCATTTTCGCAAACAATCACGCCAACGCCAGTCCTGTGAACACATGCTCGCGGGAAATGATGCATCATGTTTGTCAGCGCTCTCGTCTACGTCCGTCCGACTCCTGGAGGCGATGCCTTCGTTCTGCACATTCATCCCGTCGGCATCAAGTCACGTGGATTTCTGAAACATCGCGAAGGTCTTTGGACAGAAATGATGAGTCGTGATGAGCTGGTTTGCGGATATTTGGAATGATAATGAGCAATTTGAAGGACTCGAGGACCCAGTCGGTCACCTTGATCAACCGCGAGACAAGAAGTTGAAAACGACATCCCTCGTCTTCAAGCCCAGAAATGTTTTTAGATCAATCTACACCCGCAGCCGTTATCTAATTGTCGGGAGAATTTTGCTAACAAGCGATTCCAATTCTACAGATTCCTCTATCATACAATCTCGACTCGACTTTTCTCACCCTCTCTCCTTCCACCCTTACTCCTTCAAATTCGAGCTCTCATCTTTCCAAACAACGCACTCGGTCCAGCACCTCCAGCACCTCCGACTCCAGAAGAAGCTCTTCTTATCCGCTCAAAAGCTGCCTCCGACATCCTTTCCCTCATACCCAAAAGTGTCGCCAGAATATTTTTTGCCATTTCTGGCGATAATGATGCGCAAGCAAACGAGGAGATCATATCGGAAATAGAGGAGGCAATGCTAGGTTGGACAGACGATGCAGAGTTGAATCGATACTTAATCTATGCCATCCTGGAGCATGTCCTGCTCAAGCTTGTTCCAGAGATCAAGGACGAAACTACCAGTGAGCTTCTAGCGGAGAGGGGAGTGCTACTGTCCGGTAATCAGGATGGGGACGGGGCTCCGGCGGAAAAAGACCCGGAGAAAGAATTGGGACCAGGATGAAGCAAGGAACGGAAAATAATATGGAGTGCCTTTTCCATCTGGATCTAAGGTCCACTGATACAACGTGCTTTGGATCTGAGGTGAAATTTGTACAGGTATGAAAATCGAGTTGACTTCTTCACCGTGTGACAGCCTATTCCTTCACTCACTCCAGTTCCTTTCAGTTCCCTTTACACTCTTTCGAAGACCCCCATTTTCCATTTGAATCGAGCTTGAGTTGAGCCGAGTTCGAACCAATACTTCCGGGTCTCGTATCTTCATTCTCCATCCTCTTCAACAAGCGAAAACCCACTCTTGACGCCGTGAGACCCAGATCCTAGCCAATTTTTCATTCAACTCTTGCAGCTTGGGCTTCAAGAGGAATTGTTTTCCAGAGAGGATCGAAGCGAGAAAACATCTGTGTAACGATGAATCGTCTCAGACCCTTTAAAAGATTTTGACTTATACCAGATGTTATCTCTCTCGCTTTTTATTTGTCCGAGAGCGCTTCTTTTTGATGGAAAGAGAGATGGATGACAACGAAGTATACGAAGAAAGAGTGTTGAATAGGGCCTTTCTAGCAACCAAACGGATGGACACAGCTTGTCATTGAGCACAAGTCAACAGAATACGTCAGAGCAGAGCAGAATATCCGGAGAGCCTCCTTCGTCGGCTCAACCATGACAAATTCTACAAACCAGATGAGGAAAGGGGACTTTGGCAGACAATGACTCGAATGCAGGAAGTACGAGCAGCGCAGCCCGAGGCATCTGGAGGGTGAACAGAGGCGGCGAATGGTGGACCTGCGAGCCTGTAAGCAATCGATTCCTCTCCCGCATGATGAACTTGATCCCCGTCCCACGTCTTACTCGACGGCGCTGAAAGAAAATAACCGTGTAGGACCCTCGTCTCATTCTTATTCTTTACTCATCACCTTGTAGTTCACCCCCTCTCTTCGTTCGCACTCCACAGCCCAGCATGCAATGAAGCAAAAATTCTTGACGAGAGGGCCTTCCTCTCTCCTGATCTTTGTCTTTGTTTCGTCCTGCTCCTGCGCACGGTGTGACCTTCCTCATCCGTTTGCTGAGGCCAGCCACGCGGACGGTCTGTGCATCGATTGTCATCGTCACCCCAGGGGAAGCCCAACCATACGAGAGATCGACGGTCAGAGTGGAGGTGAAGCTGCTTCTACGTTGGTCCCTTACTTTTTTTGGGTGCATTGTCCCTCTCAGACGGGGTGGAGAGTCCTAAAAAGCGAAGACGAAAGGGAGTGGAATTGTAGATGCAGTGACAGGAGAAAATTCGAGTTCTATAATAGAGAAGAGCCGGAACAAGGGAAGTTGAGTTGAAGGGAGCAGAGGAATCAATGGAGACACAATTTTGAGGACTAGGAAGAACAATATAGAGATCCAAGGTGAGAGTTGGTTTCTCATTCAACGATAAGAAAGGGAACCCGAATTGCAGAACGCTAGACACCAGGGGAAGACGGTGTCTATTTGACTCGTCCGTTCAGGACGTGCCTCCCCCCAAAGGTTATCTATCCTATGTCATATTGCCAGTATCTCCTTCCCATCTATGGGATCTTCATCAAGCACAGTCTCGGTTCAGATTTGCCTTCAGTGGAATGCCCTGAGCAAACGAAGTAAGCTTCGACGTTGAGGTTTCGTTCGTACAAGGAGAGGGCTTGAAGACAGCTCATTTGGGGCTATACGCTGATTCCTATGCCAGTACTTGTATCTGAGGTCTATTTCCCACTGAGCTTTCCAAAGAGGCCAAACGGTCTTCTGCGTAAATACCTTGTCTCTGATATTCTCTGTATTCGGGACTTTCGAATCTCGCTCGGGAGGAAATGAGAACGAAAAGGCAAGATTAGCCCTCTGTAAAATGGGTGGCTTTGTCCTATGGTGGCAAGAAAGAACGCAGATTTCGGCTGCTCGCCGTATCAGTGTGAAATCCATTTGTTGTGGCCATCTTTCGCTCGCCAGAACGCCTTGCGAGTCCTTGTCTTGCGTCCGCTGTGGTGGCTTTGCGGGTCATTTGCGGGAAGATATTGCCTTGACATATCTATTCATAGCCAGAATTGATTACGTCTCCTGGCTGAGAATCGATGCAAGCTGAGTAGGATGCCATTGGCAAAAGCGTCATCCCAATAATTTGACTTCCGGGCCATCCCTGAATCTCACATCTTCAATTGGCGAGGTTATTGTATACCCGCACTCAGTTCTTAGGGGCTCGTAGTTACCCTCTATTTTCGGTATGATCACCCTCACTGGACACTTCTGGAATGTAATTCGTCGCTGGAAGTCCTGCCATCTAGTAAGCGGAAACGTGAATATTCCAATAGAGAGTACCTATGATGGTGTTACACTCTGACTAGACTGAGACTTTCAGCACTCCAGAGAACAGGTTGAGGGGAGCTTACCGTCTTGTCAAAGACTGTAAGTGGGCCAAAGGTGGGCCATTCATGGAACGTATGCTCGAGACGAAGCCTTTGGATGGCGGCACAACGGGTCTGGTATCTTGTTCCTTCATCTTTTCTGAACGGAGTTCTCCTTTCGCATCATCCATGACAGGCCTTATTCGCGGAACCCTAGCCCTGATCAACTTGCCAGAGGTGGATCCGATGCAGAATGGATGTTTCTTTTTCTTCGTAGGGGAGTGATTTTACCTGCGACACATGTCTGAAAGAGGGAGTGATGGGAAACGTAGAAGGTGACGACACTTCAACTTGGACAAAGCGTGGGGAGGAATTGTCGGATGCAAGGAACAGGGGAATGGAACAGAACACTTTGAGAACGATGGAAGGAAAGACGCTGTGGTCTCAGACAGGAAAAAAAAATATGGCAGGATCAATTCAGCCCGGGTGAAGAGGAATCAGCCACGCCAATTGGCGTCCATAGTCTCATGACTGGAGGACAACGATGTATTCTAGCAACAGAAACCCTGTCTTCGGAGCAGAGAACATCGTCGATCCAATTGAGATTCTGGCTCTCCACTGCCCCATATTGTGTGACTCTCCTGGAAGAGCTCCGTATCCGTTATTTGAAGTGATGTTGGGCCTTTGCCATCGAGGATGAAACAGGACCTCTGCTGGAATTGAGCAAATGGATTGCTCGGTTCTTGAGACAGGCCCGTGAAACCGCGGAAAAGTCCCTAGGATAGACGAGAAAGACAAGACGAATGGGAGATCGAAGCAAGGCGAGACTTTCAACAATGATTAGTTCTCTTCGTGCCTCTTTGGTGTTCAACGTTGTCGTGGTATTGACCTGGTTGGCAGTCGATCGCCAGGCATTTTTTCCGGCGACTGAGTTTTCGTCGAAACCTTCACTACAAGCCTCACTTCTTCCGTAAACGTCGGATGGCCATGACTTCGGGAAGATTCACTGATCGACAGGATCAGCATGTCTCGCCTTAACATGAAAATGCTTCTGCATTGTCTCTTTTTACTATCTGCACGTCCCCCGAAACGTGCTGCTGTCGCTGCAACTGCATCCCAACTCTGCGAATCCCTGCGTGGGGCGAGGTGCCATTTTGTATACCTTGTTTTTCTGTTGGTACAATGTACGCCGCATATTCAATAGCGTCACGAGTTTTCGTGTTTAAAAGTGGCTGCATTCGAGGCAGAAAAGGCTACCAGATCACAAAATCCCCTAAGAAAAGGAGAGAAAGAAGAGAAGTTATATGCTCATGACCGAAGAGATCCCCATGTCGACATCCTTCAGTCCAATCGCTCACTGGTCGTTCCTTCAGGGCACCGCAGCCCAAGCTTCCAAGTTCCATACATGAAAAAGAGAACCGGAAAAAGACATGGTTCTGACGCATACTTGCGTATATGAGCACGAAAGTTCCAGGTCAAAATGAAGAGAAGTGCAATAAAAAAGAAAATGACCAAATTCCCTGAATAAAATCAGTCCGCTCGCTCGCGCTCTCTCCTTCTCTCACATATATATGCCTTCATACAAGAAAAAGGAGATTTTGCCACGAGGCTAGGGTATGTCTAAGGCACTTATCATCCGCAGAAGCAGATGGGTACTGTGTTTGAAACTGAGAGAAATTCGTAGAGCCAACCTGCTCTCTGAGTCTGAAACTGGTTTCGTCGTCCAATGGCTGTGAAAACAAATGCGACTCCTAGATCATGCTTTGTCCTTGGGCGTCCGCTGGTCTGTTGATTTTGATGGTGTGATCGTCATTCCCCTTCCGTGCCTGTGTGTTTCCCATTTCTCACATGCTCAGCGCTAATCGTAATCAAAGGATTGTGTAGTCTCTCATACTGAAAGCAAATCTGACAGCAATATCTGCTTCAAGGGATTGTATCAAGGAAAATGTGAATGCGGCTACGACAGCCAAAGTCCTAGCCGACCCATACGGCTCAACTAGGTCGAGATGCCGAGAATAGTTCTTTTCTTGGAGATACGAGGGCTGTCCATGATATCAATCGGGTGCATTCCGCCAGGTAAAATTGACCCAGCAGGTCGAAGAAGTTTCAGCTTTTGCATCAATTTTCCAATCGCCAGATAGTCATCAGGTTCAGCGACGTTTGGGTTCTGTTCCAGAAGAGCCTTGATGGCATGCAACGCTCGAATGTTGTCGTCCTCCGCAGGCGAAGCTGGGTTGCTGATGGGTGACGTATCTGCAGACCTGGGCAACGGAGGAGGTTGCATGGATGAGAACCGCACCTGTTCAGGATCATGAATATCAGGGACACTTTTGTGTCGTTTCATCATCTGTCGAGGGTCAATAGCAGTGGGTCTGGTCTCTGTCGTTGTTGTTGTTGTTGTTAGAGATCGCACTGGCAAAGCCGGCACCTTCTGTCCAGATGAGGAGGGCCGTGAACCAGAACCAATATTCGGGAGGTGTGGATACGTCTGGCTCCGCTGGCGACTGGATGTCCCTGAAGAATCTTCCGTACTATCCATGCCATCCTGATCGTTGCGCACCAATTCTGGCGACATCGGTGATAAAATGGACTCCGGTGCCGGCGCGTCCAGTTCGTTCCCAAGCTCATGGCCCAGACCTGGTGAGCGGTCGAAGGTGGTCTTTGCATCTCCAAAGTCGAAAAAGTCCTGCGCGCTCTCCAACTTGACGCCAGTTTCGTTTCCTAGTTCATCGATAGCCGACATTGGAGGTGAAACGAGACCATTTGATGAAGTCGGGGAGCCGTCCAAGGGTGTTTCTGCGAGCGATGTCGTGCTTGAATCCACAAGACCGGCATCTGTGTCACCTTTCGGAGTGATGAGATGATTCTTGCGCTTGAATTTCTCCAACCAAGTAGTACTAGATACTACTGCTTGATCACTCCTGCTAAATGAGAACACCTGGGCTTGCTTCCGAAGGTCCTCATCGGTTACCGGCAGACCTTTCTTCTGTTGATTCTTGACCCAATTGGTAAGGGTTTTCTCGAAATCCGGCAACTTTGCTTTCGACTTCTTGCCCGGGCTGGCACTCTCCTCTTTTGGTTGAGGGTTCATGTACTTGTCACGCTGACGTAGGATTTTCGATACCGTGCTTGCTCCCTGTTAGTTCCAGACCCACGAAACCACAATACAATCCATACCTCCTTTCCACATTAAACTTGGCTATGAGAGGTCAGAGTGAAGGAACTGCTGCCGGTGAGGGACACATACCTCCTATCTGAGTCTGCTTCATGGTTGGATTCTGCTCAGCTTCGATACACATCTGACGACGTTCGTCGTCGGTCAGCTTGCGGCGAGATGTCGTTGTTTTGGCGCTGGTAGGGGTGATATCAGACGCAGTACTCGCTGACAATGGAGTTTGAAGTGGCCCAGCGGGTAAAATGGGGGTTTGATAACTCGGTTGGGGTTGACTTGCAATCATACTTGGCCACAACCCACTATGAGGCATGATCAATGGTGGTGGCATCTGTGCGTGGGACACAGCAAACGGCGATGGTCGTGGCATGGGGTAAGCTGGTTCCATGGGCATTGGCGTGGTCGGTTGATACTCGAATGGAGGAAATTCGTGCATTGGGGACATTGTCGTTTGCGGGCTGGAGGAGTACCCATTTGGGACGTTCATCCAACTCCCTTGGCCATAGCCGGAGTGTTGTGCGTCCTGATGCTCCGGCGGCATGTTCAACAAGACCTGCATTGAGGTTCAAGCCTGGGAGTAAAATTGTGATAGTCGGGATATTGATCTGGTTTGGCAATGCATACCAATGGGAAGGAGCAAATGTTGCTGATCAATGCGAGTACCCGGCGGTCTCAAAGTCTGATTTCCTCAGACCCAGAGCTTCGAGACCTTCAAAGGAAGGAAGATCTGGATACAAAAGAGTATGTCGAGACCGACGGGCATGAAACGTAGCCACCTGAATCCAAGGTCGAAGGAAGTACGAGCATATGAAAGAGAGAGGTTGTCTAGAGGGTGGGTGTGTGGAGGTTGCAGTTGATGCGGGATGCAGGACCGATACAGGGACAAGCCAGACAGGCCTGCGGGTGAGCCGAGCTGGTCGAGTTCGACGAATTGAGGGAGTCGACGTCGGGCCGGGGTATGTCTATGGACAAGGGCCCGGACAGGACTCCAAGGTGAACCGAACCAGGGCTTGGTCGAGGGCGCGAGGGGCGCTGTTTGGTGAGCTCGGGCTGCAGATGGTCTAGGCAGGGTTGTTGGGTGGTTGTTTGAATGCGGTTTGATCTCGTTTGAAGAGTCTTGTTGCGAGCAGCGTGCTGGGTTCCCTTTTTTTTTTTTTTTTTTTTTGCTTTTCGAGTGCGACGTGTCCGGGAGCAGGTTATGCGCTCAAGGGATGGACAGATGCTTCGGGGAATGGCCCTGTTGAGAGCATCCGACTGCGAAGTGTGGGTGCTAAAACTGCGGGCGGCAGTCGAACCTATAATGCGGAAGATTAGGGAAGGTTAGCGGCCGGCTGCTTGAAGGAACGGGCCTAAAGGCTGGTGCGAGCACAATCGATTAACATGGAGGGCCGTTAGCCTTTGGGCATCGGGTACCCGGGGTGTCGCACCGTCTAATCCTCCTTCGTCGCCTGGACCCGCCCTGCTTTTCGCTCCCTGGCAAGCCACGGTCTGCCCTGTGGCCCCCTCAAGTGCTGTCGGCAGAAATTGGCGGTTTAGTCGAGATCGTCGCCCAAAAGGACAGGCTCTCTGTGTCAGAGCTGCTAGACTTGCGACCGGGGGCAGGTCGAGAACTTGATCACAAGGGAATTGGGGGGATCTTGAGCCCGAGAGAGGTAAGGAGAAAAAGTGAGGAAGATGAGCGATGGAACGAGGCGAAGCCCTTTGTTCAAATGTAGACTCGCCCTTTTGGCACCCAAACCCTGTTGGGCCTTCCTGCTGCTCTGCTTCCCCCGTATGTGTCGTCCTTGTGCCCCACGCTGGCTCGCAGTGCAGCTGAGGGGCGTCGAATTACAGTGAAGCCCATAGAGGCGATTCGAAGAACTGCTTAATGGTTGATGCAAGCCTGGCAACAAAAGACTACGGCAATCCATTTAGCCTCGTCCCTTCCTTGGACGGTCCGCTGGCAGCCGAGCAATGACGCGGGTGATCTCAGGACCACAATGATCATTCGGTCCACAGGATCTTTCCATCTACGCAATCACATGGTTCAACATGGCTGGAAACCTTGGACGACTGAGACTGGCAACTCTAGCTCATTGTGTGGGAGCTTGGTGGCCATCGCTCAGAGCAAAGCAAAACCGCTTGTCATGGTATTGTACAGTACGACTAGAGAGGTTGACCGTACGGTTTTGACGGAGTGGTGGTATTGCATTATTGTTTAGTCGTGGGGGGTCAAAGCCTCTGGCGAGGAACTCCAGCAAATGCGAATCTAAACGTTTGCCTGTGCGACAATACGCGTGGGTCGGGGAAAGGCAGAGTCAAGACTGACTGGCTGGCGACTCGGCGAGTTGATGGACCTTGGACATTGGACACGAGGGAGAACCTGTGAGGTGAGGTGAGATGAGAGTTGAGGTCGACAGATGCGGTATCCTATTGCTCCCTAGCGTACCTTTGCATTTTAGTCCCTTTTTTTTTTTTTTTCCCCTCTGCTCGCCGCAGGCACCACTGGGGCAAGCCACCGACCAGGGACCTCGTTAGTTCTGCTTGGAGGGTAAAAAGCAGATTTTCGTCCGGATATGGTGGCGCCAGGCAGGGTGGAGAGCAGTCTGAAGAGCCAACGGGGCGAGTGAAATGCCATGGTTGGCGGAAAGGGGGCAGGGAAGCCGGCGGCAAGATAGGGCTCGAGGAGCAAATAGGACGAAAGAGACATAGTACCATCCAGATACCAGATTGTGTAGCTAGTCTCCAAGAACTCCCAATGCAGTAGGCCGCGAGCTAAGCAGAAAGAACCCAGAGGTAGACTTGCAACTAAAAGAGCCAGTGCATGAGTTTGCTTAAATCGTGTGTCACGGCACAAGAAGAGAGGGGGGAAATATTATTTATTTATTATCGCAGCAGTTGTGCGAGCTGGTTGCGGGTGGTGGTAGGAAAACAAAGATGCTGTCCCTTTTAGTGGGGGGGACGAGAGAGTGGTAGAGCCATACTGTAGGGACAGACTTTCGATCCATCGATGCTTCCTCTTCTCTCTGGACTGACGTGCGTACATATCTCCTGGCTATCCATTTGACAGGTTGAAGTTTACCTTGGTACTCATGATTCTCTTCCATTGGAGGACCAATCCAACTATGCCTGCTCTCCTGCTTCTCTCTTGCGGCCGTCGTTCAGCCCAGCTCCTGTCCCTAATCGGACTATCAGTTTCAATTTCAATCTTTTTCGAGCGTCCACAGTGCTGGATGTGCTTTGCCCAGCGAGCCTGAGTCTCGAGCTTTCAGAGTAGTCTCTACCAATTAAGCAGAGTAAGAGACATTTTCGCTCCAATCTAGAACTCCTCCCTCTGGGGCCTCGAATTCGGCATACCTCCGAGCGGCTGCGTGGCGCGGCGCTGGGAAATCGCAGGGGCGAACGAAACATAGTCTTTTGACGAGGCCGGACAAGGTTTCACGCCATCAAGTCCATCCATCGTACACGCCTTCTTAAGACCGAGAGCATGGAGAATTCAACGCGAGTCAAGAGAAAGAGGTAACCCGCCGGACAGTATAATTCATTTGTTCGAGTTCGAAATTGTTTGCTCGATTCGAGGGAGGGTTGTCCCCAAGCTTGACGTCTGCATGCGAGTGTCGAAGATCCTGTTCCCCCATGGCGCATTTTGGGCAAGCACATTAACGCAACCTCTAACGGTTTTGGCAGCTCTCATTCTGCATTTCGAACGTCTGTCATCCACGCGGAAGCGGCTTCTCGTGGCCCGCCGAGTACCGCTGCGGCTTATCACGAACAAGCCCAACCCACCATGACTATCCTTATCCATGCTCGCTGCCCCCCTTTGTAAACTTAAAAGATGCACGCCTCAGAAGGGGGATACGCACGCAGTCGGACATTTTTCTATGGCATTGCACCCTCGTGCTCACGGACAATGGTCCAGCCCTGCAAATTGTTTTCAGGTTTATGTTATGCCAGGGCCGCAAACATGCAGTCCTCGAGAACTCAACCGACCCCGTCTCTTCTTCCCCATGCTCCTCGAAACGCAGGACCAGGGTCTGACTCCACCTCCTGGTGCAGGGGATACCAGACAGGGCCATTCGAGCCGCCATTGATTTTTTGCTGTTTTGAGACAAATCAGACGATGCCCTTCCTCAACACCTTCCCCTCTCCCTCCCTGCTATTCGCCAAACAAGAGATAATTCTGTCCGCTGCAGCACCATTCCTGGATGGACTTTTTGAGAGCACCTAGTTTGCAACCCCTCCCGCACGCGATTGCACTTTCGCTGTAAAGATTTTCATCATGATGTCGGCATCACAAATGAGCTGTAGGACACGAGGGTGCTAAGGATGAGCAGCCGGATACGTCACTGATGCCGCGTCTTTTCAAATGATCAAGTTTCGCGAGCCGACGTCTGACGCGCCCAGGCGCAAGAGACCGTGAATGGAGTCCATTCTGTCCTCCATTCCCGGTTGAAGCAGGCCTCCGGTCAACGACCATCATTGAAGCACGGTTCTTTTCGCAGGTCTTTTTTTGCAACAGACTTCAAGCCCCTGGCGCTGATCAGGGGGCGGTGGATATGATGTAAAGATCCGAATAGTAGGGCGGGGGATGCCGGAAGATGAGGCTTCTAGCTTTATCGAGCGCACGATGGGTCTGTGTTTGACCGCGCTCAAACCCTGAGCCCGCCTCAATAATCCCACAGCGGGCCTTTGAGTTATGATAGGCGAGCAGGATTGGCAGTTGAAACAAAGGACAAAATTGGCCCGTCATTTTTTGATGATAGTGACTGACAAACTCGGGTTAGAAACCGCTCATTGTAGCGGAGGTGGACGGACTTACTGATATCCTCGTCGGCCAGCTCGTGGGCTAGGCCAACTCTTTGAGGCTGGTGTTTTACAGAGCGACCGTAGACAATGGCATGCTTGAACTGCTCAACGATGGTCTTGTGAATCGCGTTACACTGTGGTTGGTCAGCAATGATTCCGGAGCAACATGGTTGGGATCCCAACTTACAAAATCTTCCACGGTGGAGGCATTCTTCCTCAAAACCACTGGGGCCGTGTAATCGGGTTGTTTCCCCTTGGGTTTGGTATATATCCGTTTCAGTTGCAACTTTTCCCACATCTGCTCGAGGAGTTCATCAATGTTCCAGCCGTGTTCGGAGCTGATAGGACAGGCGTTTGGGATGCGGTAGAGCAAGTCCAACTCTTCGATGGAGATGGAGTCAATCTTGTTAAGTGCATATATGACTGGTATGTAACTCCTGCTCTTGGCCTCAAGCACGTCGATCAGGTCGTCAATGGTCGCATCGCACCGAATTGCAATGTCAGCCGAGGAGATGCGGTATTCGTTCATGACGGCCTTAATCTCGTCGTGATCAATATGGGTGAGCGGAACAGTGCTGGTAATGTTCAGTCCACCTTTGTCTTTCTTCTTAAACACAATATTCGGCGGCTCCTTATTGATGCGAATCCCAAAGCCCTCCAGTTCAGCCTCGATGATTCTTTTATCCGTTAGTGGTTTGTTCACGTCGAGGACGATGAAGATCAAGTGGCATGTCTTTGCCACGGCGATGACCTGGCGACCACGTCCCTTGCCATCCTTGGCTCCCTGAATGATACCAGGCAGATCCAGCATTTGAATAGCCGCACCATTGTACATGACCTGGCCGGGGACGGTGGTGAGGGTGGTGAATTCGTAGGCTGCGGCTTCCGAGTGTTGGCCAGTCAAACGACTCATCAGGGTCGACTTGCCCACCGAAGGGAAACCAATGAATCCGACCGAGGCCACGCCTGTCCTGGCGACATCGAAACCACTACCTCCGCCGCCGCCCGATGATGTTGGTGTCAATAACTCCCTCTTCAATTTGGCCAATTTTGCCTTAAGTTGGCCCAAATGGAAAGACGTGGCTTTGTTTTTCTGAGTCCGAGCCATTTCGGCCTCGATCTCCTTAATTTTGTCGACGGTAGTTGCCATGGTGTCCGAAGGGGTAAAATTACCAATCGGGGGGAGCTTTGTGTTTGAGGAAAGGAATTTTGGATGCCTGACCAGCCGAGGGGGATGTTGCCAGTGATATTTTAATTGGGAACAAATTTCCGTAGGTCTGGACAACGTCGTGAGGAAAAGAGCGAGAGAGCCTGAACTTGAGCCTAACTAGTGTCAAGTAGCGGGCAGTAGTGCAACAGGTCTTTGTGACTTGGTGTAACAGTGATAGTGATGCGGCGTTTCGTGTATGTGCCTGCCCGTTTGTTCACTGATTAAAAAAAAAAATGTCCCTTGGAGAAAAATGCGCAGATAGAAGAAGCTATTCGAGTACCCCGCATCGCTTTTTTAAAAAAAGGAAAGTATCATCGTCTGACGCAAAGATTTCACCTTCCAGATTCCCAGATTTCCTACCAAGTTTCTCGTCAGACGGAAGTTCTTTCACCCTGCGGCTGATGGCTCGCTTAAAGAAACTGCTAGCCAGTTGCAGCGTTATCATAGGTGGCATTTCACCGCCAACTCATCGGGTTGTGCTCCGAGCAGATGCGATCGAAAATGTATTCCCGTACTACAAATTAGTACTTTGTCGGTACCTTTGTCCAATTGAACGATGCCTTCAACTTCTGAATTGCAATACAAAGTAGCAAAACGGAGGCAAGCCCATGCGAAAAGGCTCGCTGACAACAATGAGCAGGTTTGACAGGGATCAAAATCTCGCTCCCAGCCGCCACCAAAGCGTCTTTCAACCATCAAAGATAAAGGTCACATCTCGATCTGCTGTGGACCTCTTTCCACCAAACAAACTCGGGTGCCTCCTAGTACTCTTTATTGAAAGCTTCCCGAACCTATGTAAACCTGTTCTCTGGTCCCCGACAAGCCCGATCCGCGCTTTAATCCTTCAATGACATCTGATTGAGCAAATTCCGAGGTCATCAGTCGCGGTCCCGTGCCTTCAAAAAGGCGAATTTACCCAAGTCAAAACAACCAATTTGTTACGTGAACAATCTTGCTGTCATTGGCAGCTTCCATCTCCTGCTGCGACGGCACTCTCCTTGAGGACGTCCTGTCCTGCATTCATGCAGGTACTACGGCGTACTCTGAGATATTCTTGGTGAGAGCGCATGCTTATCTGCAGGAAAGCCTTACACCGCCTAGACTGCCTTGTCCTCTCTACACCCTTTCCGAACCTTACATAGGTCCACCTTTCTCTTTCAATCATCGTTCTCTTTCTCTCTGAATTTTTTGAGATTGTCAGTGCCCAAATTGATCCAAAATGCTATCTTACGAACAACCACTTAATGGCGCTGAACCTCATATGATCCGCCCCGAAGTTTCTCCGCCGCACCATCAAGACAAGTTCTATTCAATCGATCCCTCCGACGAGTTTCACCGCCTCGTCCGAGCCCTTTCAGACGTCCTGGGTCCATCTTCCGGAATCGACTCGGCCGACGTGGACGAGAATGATCTGATCCGTCTCATGGAAGAATACATCTCGGACGAGAACCAGTGGCATCAATACGCATTTGCCGATCCAAGCCGCAACTATACCCGCAATCTTGTGGACGAAGGAAACGGCAAGTCCAACTTGTTGGTAGTTGTATGGAACCCTGGAAGGTGCAGTCCAATCCACGACCACGCCAACGCTCACTGCGTCATGAAGATCCTCAAAGGAAATCTCCGGGAGACTTTGTATAGCATGCCGCCTTGTTCCAGCGAGCAGACCGGCTCTTCTGGAAGCCTTACACCGCCTCAAATCGTCAAAGAGACAACCTACTTCGAGAACCAAGTCACCTACATCTCCGACAAGATCGGCCTTCACAAAATCTCCAATCCGTCTCCCGACGAAGCGGCTGTTTCCCTACATCTCTACACTCCACCCCATGCGGCCAATTTTGGCTTCAATCTTTTCTGCGAGAAGACAGGGAAACAGACCCACATCAAGCAGGCAGGCTTCTACTCGGACCGTGGAAAACTTGTGGAGAAGTGCAACTATGGGTCGTTTTGATCTTTTGACTGTTGGCATCTTAGCCATGTTTGCCTAGCAAACACAATTGGAAAGATGCAAGAATGTTTTGGAGTATGGGAGTTCAGGATAACAAAGTGAGTCTGTCTATTCTGTAGGACACCAGACTAGCGACTGACGAAGGTTGTGTGAGGCTATTGAGGGCTTTTTGCAGCCGTTCTCCGTTCCTCGGCGGCTCATTGATTGCTTCCTGAGAATGGACCGGGCGTTGAAAGATAATGATTGTGGATAAATGGCATCTGGCGCGCTTGTCCACCTACTTGATCACAAAAGGCAGGACGAGATATGTTGTGCTTTAATATGGCGACTAGATCAGACACGCTTTCAAGTTGCTCCCTTTTTGACTTAACTTACGAGTCCTTTGGAGCCTCCTCTAGAACAGGCGAAAATAGATCACTCGCTTAACTGGGTTTTGGTAGCTGCCATAGTTTCCGAACAGATACTGTTCTGTGAGGGAGTATTCCATGATTTTCTTCTTTCAACAATCTTCTCAAGTGCAAGGAGCAGCTATCTTGAGCATGTTGCATTTGTCCATTTCCCCTTCCAGCCTTTATATTGCCCGAATCTGATAGCACCTTTGTTTTTTATAACAGCGACATACGTTTGGAGACGCAGTAGCAAACACGCGAGGACGGAAAGCCCTTACGTTCAAGGCACAGCCGGGCCAAAACGTGTTCCAAGACAGTGAAGGCGCCTACATTACATTTGGAAAGTACGAGGCAACGGCAACGAAGTTCGAAATACGAAGAAAAGGCAAAATTTATATCAATTATTAGATGGATAATGCATACCAACGAGAATCGAAAGCGCGGTGCTTTTCGTGAGATGTCCGTCCTATTGCAGAAGTTGGCCGAAGGACTTCCGACGCTAAGAAGTATGTTTCGATTCAAGAGATGGGGCTGTGTTTCACTCACGGAGATGGATACTTGCCTTACCTTCTGTCTCTTCTCTCTCGATTCTTGCGTATCTCATCCACACACCCAAGGGATCACACACACATACACACACGGTGGAACTTCATAAGAGTCGCATCAGCCTTGAATGTTCCGCTTCTGGAAAGCCTCTCTATTTCGTGGTCGAGAAGAAATAGCCTTCTCAAAATGCCAGGGCTCTCCAGCAACTAAGTCGTTTCTACTAGGCAATCCGTCCCAGATGGATTCGACGCCGAGATCGCCTATACACAACGCCTGATCAAATTTGGCGGGCGACGAGGTGAAGAAAGCGCTGTGCAGGACTTTATATTCCGGTAATTCGCCGACATGGGGTATGCGCCGATGAGCTCCCAAGCCACATTGGAGCAGGCTAAGCTCAGTCCTACACATTCCAAGACGCTCTGGGTGTGCGTAAGCCGAACTCTCAAACTGCGCCGTGGAAGAGCCTGATTTGAATGCTCGCGTCAATGTCGTGCCGACGGGGCCTGTTGATCTCTGGATCCACTATCCGTATAGTGCGCACATCGAAGGAGGCCGCGCTACGGCCGCGGGAGGGCGGACATGTGAGCAGGCAAGCACCCGCCAATTTGTATGGCACTGGATGCATTACAGCATTTGGGTCTGCAGCCCGCCTCGGAGGTGATTTTGGAGTCGGTGGTCGAGGAGCAGTCGACGGGTAACGGCACGTTGATGACCCGTCTCAAGGGATACAAGGCAGACGTCGCGTTGATTCCAGAGTCCGAAGGAGAGATCCTGGTACGAGCAAATACTCGTGTCTTATGGTTCCAGGTTGAGGCGCGAGGAACTCCTGTGAATACGAGGGGGATGGGGACAGGGATGAATGCTGTCGACGCGTTCTGGAGAGTGATTGGGGCCCTTGAGGGAGTTGGAGGCAGAATGGAGCCAAAGAAGAGTTGAGTTGGCGCAATTTGAAAACGAAGAACGACCCTCTAAGTATGATATCCTCGATTGACTTGCACTGAGCAGATCTGAATGTAGCCATGATGAATGCTGGGGATTGGGAATCTTCTGTTCCGGCATGATGTCGTGTTGATTGCCGAATTGCAATCTATCCTGGACTCAGTGCAAAATCTGCTGCTGATGAAATCGAGAAAAAGTGGGCAGATATCGCACGCGGCGACCTTTTTTTTTTTTTTTTTTTAAAAAAAAAAAGTAGAATCCCCTCCGAAAGTCATCTGGAATGGCTTCTTCTTCGAAGGATACGTATTTGAGTCTGGTACTGAAGCAGAAACCACGCTCCGACGGGCTCACCAGCATGCGACTGGGGATGAACTGAAGATGTTTACGACAGTCGGATATCTCGACACAAGGGTTCACGCCCTGTACGGTATGGTTTCGGCCTTGTATTACGGGCTTCGAATCACCACAGCAATTGCGTTATTCATCGCCAAATGGTGTGATCTGGAGAACATCAATATGGAATGAAGGTCGAGCATTCAACTGGATTGTGGTGGGGAGGCTTGACCGGCATTCTCTAGTACAGGCAAATCAATATCAATAACAATGGGCTTGTGAAATTTTTTACCTCCCCGGTGAGGCCAGTTCGTTGCCATGAATGCAGCATTAACAATGCAAGTCTCAATCCTCCCTTCACGACCTGATATTGCTTCTCGATCAGTTCGAGGGCTTGAAGCAGGACCTCCCTGACCCCGGGTTCCGGTATGCTTCATGTCGGCTGCTCCGACAGCAGAGATAATAGGACGATATGACTTCTCGAATTCAGGAAACGGCGGCTGAGGAGGTGCTGGAACGGCGGGCAGCCGGGCTTCGCTGCCTTGAAGATTGCTCATTATTACATTGTCAGCGGGTATGTCGCTCTCGTCAGCTTTGTCACAGAAGGGTGGCGTCTGAGGAACATGGCTCCCAGCACATCCATCATTCTGTAAGGCCATGGACTTGACTCTCGAGGTCAGATCAACGGCAAACTGTTTCTTACTTTCTGACCGAGGATCTTTCCAATGTCGGACAGACTGCTCCTTGAATTTGATGTCTGAGGAAGACAGGTCCCAAGTAACCGCCTCGACACCATATGCTTCATGAACGTGTCCGCAAACGAATAATCGGGGACGAACTCTCCACAGTGCCTCACGAAGTCTCTCACATCCCGCAGCTCCACGTGTGCCATATTCGTCTCGATGGAATTTGGCTGGAGTATGTGTCACCACAATGTCTGAATCCAAGGGAATTTGATCCCAAAGCCGGGATGCATTCTCTGGTATATACCCAAAAGCCCAGAATCCTTTAGCGGGAGAGTATGGAGAGCCGAATACCTTGAGCTTCGTAACAGCACCTCCTTTGTAAGTGATCTGAACGTCCCTGGCCTCATGGTTCAGGTAGACGATGGATGGATCCGCTTGAAACAAGTCGATACAACGCTGGGGATCTTCCATCCTCTTATTATGGAAAAAGGCGCCATATTGCTGATAGAAGGGGATGTCGCAAGTAACATCGTGGTTTCCACAAACAACGATTTTGAGCTGGAATTCAGTTTGCTGAAGCCAGCTGATTGTCTTTTGCAGCTCGCTGTAGGTCCCTTGGTTAGTAAGGTCACCTGCATGGATGAGAATGTCGCCCGAGGGCAGCTTGGGAGTTTGATTGTGGGTATCCGAAATGCAGACAATTCGTGCTCGCCTAGTGGGCATGATCATTGTTGATAGTGACGATACTCCAGCGAAGTGATCCTTCCAATGTGTTGATCATGCATAGGATCTTACGGACACGGCAGCTCAGTCATCACTCCCTTGTATCTGTCCAATACGGATCTTTTTAGTGCTCTTTCCACCAATGTCTCTTTCTAGGTCATTCCCCCTTGGGATTCATTAGACCTGTTTGCCCGATACGTAGGAGTGTGTAGGGTAGGAAGGAATGCTAACCGAGTGGAGAGAAGGAGGGGTATTTGTGCGACGGCGATAAAGAGAGATTGGGTTCAACTGCAAGAGGGGGGGGGGGGGGGGTTGGGGACCTTGCATTAGATCCAGCGTTGGCGACAACCCTTCCGGCCCGACGCAACGCTAACAAAAGATATATGTGGAAGTCATATTGACCGACTTCTTTGGCAATCGCTGTGTCGACGAACGGGTGGCCCAAGCGGGATAGTTTGATGGAGAGACAACGGTCGAGGCGTCAATCGGCAGGACTCTGGGCCACCTCGTTATCTGGAGAAGTTGAAGTCAGCGTCTACCATCAACACCAAGAATAGGATGTGTGAGGCACATAGGTGATCTTGAACCTTTAATCACAGGCTAGTGCGGCCAGAGAAGGGAGAGACAACCCGGCGAGGCCTCGAATCCCAAGATCAGGGGCGTTGACTCCTCAAGGCTTTTTCCCTGCGCCATGCTTGAAGAGGACATGGCGGCAGGGTCTGTAACCGTAGTGCCCCATTCGACGAGGAAATCAAGCCAGGTCATTTCCTCTGACGAGTCGAATCATATTACCTGCCTCAGCAGCCGGGCTCGAGAGGCGTCTCTCCTTTTGTTGCTCGAAGTAATCACATCTCATCGTGCATGGCGTCACAATTCTTCCGACCGTCCTAGTTGCTGGGGATGAGACTAGTTAAGTAGAGAGGAGAAGAAGCAGACCAGACCACACCTCTGTATCTACAAGGAAGAGAATGCAGCGCCGGTCTCTCTGCCCGTAAATAATCGTGTGCACGCTGATGAGGGAGAAACAAGTGTTGAAAGAGCTCTTGGGCCCTTCTTTAGCATACCCTCACCATTGACAAGCGAGGCGGGCTAGCAGGGATGCACCAAATCAGCTCCTAAGCTTCCCAACCCACCAACCGAACAGCAGATGGCCTCCAACTGCAACTTCAACAACACGTCTCTCTCTGCTTCAGCTTCGCACCGCGTCTTCGAAGTCGCTCCTCTCACCACATCTACCACTCGACCTCTTCCATACTATTCTCTGTATTCCTCCAACTCCAGTCATGATCTTGCATTGCGTGTCACAGATGTATTTCACTCTCGATCATCTTACCTGCATTGCTATCCAGCCTCGAACGCCCCCGAGTCCAGTCCCCGCCCACCTCTGCGTAAGAAGCCCAAATTAACTTCCACCTCTTATGATACCAAAACACAAAACCATTCACTGCTCCCTGGCATGCGCAAATTGGACAGCATACCGAAAACCTCCAGTGTCCCTTCCTTCCACCTCTCTCTCGACAGTGGCGATCCCAACAACAGTCGACCTACCACCCCCTCGCAGCGAACCCACTTACATCTAGTTCAGCGATCTCCCTCGCAGAAAAGGCCGCCTGCGTCGCACAGCAGCTACGGCGTCGAGACTACCTGTGGTCCGCCACCTTCGTATAGCACCCAGCGAACTTTGTCGCAGGACAGAATCCGCCTCGATCGGAATCCTGGTCCGAGGGCTACAAATAACACATCGCGCGATTCGTCACCTTCCAAACCTAATGATCCCGCACCAGGCCCCCAGGCTGTTGTACCACTCCCTTCTCCCGTAAAGCAAGACCTCACGATTCCGTCAAGTACTGATTCTTCGGCGGACGAGACCAATATTCAGGAAGTCTCGAGTCCCGAGACGGGAGATTCACAGAGCCTGCTGACCCCAAATTCGACAATGAGCAAAACTCCAACCACGGCAGCCGATGCTGTCGATGTCCAAGAAAAGGAACACTCCGATACAGAAAGATTGAAGCCGACGACACCAGACGAAGAAAGTAAAGGTTCGAGCGGCGATGAGCGAAAGAGTGAAGATTTGTTTTTGAATATTGCAAAGGCGGACGTGTCACGAGGGGGGTTAGCACCATCAAAGACGGACAAGAGACGGTCACGAATCTCACTCCCTTTCTTTTCTAGTACCCGACCCTCCACCGGGTACAAGTCTTCGCCCATCCAGGAGCGATTTGACACATCGAGTGTCTCTGGTCGATCCGAGGCTCTAAATTACTATAGTAAGCGGGCGTCTCTCGGACAGCACGTGCCAGGTGCACTGTCACGGGCATATCCTCAAGATAGCTCTGTTCGAGATGAGCCTGCTACGACCCCACGAGAAACGCAGAGCGTTCACCCCGGCGAGCTTCCCCGGAGGGCCATGTCGAGGCGATATTCAAACACAAACACGAATACCAACACAGAACCTACACGACCATTTCCCCGGCCCAGTACTGCTAGAAACAACCGTCTTGTGTCGGACTCGACATTTCTTGATCGCCCTAGGCTGGCGGATCATAATGCGACCGAATCGACCATCTCTACAACCGCCCCGTCGACTGTCTGGGATGAGCTGGACGACCTGAAATCTAGAATTCGAAAGCTAGAACTCACCGGTAAGATACCACCCTCCTCGGCTGCGGCGATGAACACGTCCGATAGACCCAAGACGGCGACCACGGCAGCCACAACCATGTCATCTTCCCCAAAACACAAGCCAGCAGCAGCTCAGTTGCAATCCGCAATTGAAGGGATTCCATCTACCGTCCACCCGAATCTTCACGAGGCTCTCGGAAATGCCAAAGCTGTCGTCAGCAATGATGTGTACCAAAAACTGCAAGCCACCGCACAGGATGCACTGCAGCTGTCTATGATGATGAATCCAGAAGGATACACGGGAACTGGGAGCACCATTGGTCCGTCATCAGTTTCTGAACGCCAGGTACGCCGGCGAACAGAGAGCATGTGCAGAAGTTTGACAGAGCTGGCCATTGCCATTCTGGCCGACTCCAAAACAGCACCATCTTCCGGGGCAAGACCTACCAGTCGAGACGCTCATCCGCCAGCTCCTACAAGTCTCCGTAGCCGTCGATTCAGCAACGAGCCTAATGACAGACCTCCAGTTACCTCGAGAGTGCAGTCTCGTTTAGAAAGCCGACGGACCAGCATCCCGCTCGGAACCACGTTGAACTCACAAGCGACAACACCAGAAAACACCTACCAGACACCGCCTACAGCGTTGCCTCAAATCCAAACGACCTCATCATCTCGGTTGGGACGCAGCTCTGCATTGATGCGAAGCAGAAGGACTCCGGGGTATTTAGATGGGACTACCGATGACGAGGAAAGCAGTCCTTCTGTGCGGCCAGTAAGCCGGGCCATGACGGAGGTGAGCACGTTTCGACAATTGGCACGGGATCGAGCTGCGTACTCGAGAGAATACACCGCTCAACACCCCATGCCTCAACACCCACTTTCTTCACCGCCCGAGACGACTACCGTGACGAGGAGCACGATGCCCGCCAATATAAGTACAAATCTGGTATCAAGACGAAAACATGCGTCTCCCGCCACTAATGTGGGGACCCAGGAGAAAACTCCTGTGACACCCAAAGAGCCGTGGGGTCGGATATCGATTATCCCTGCCGCCTCATCCAGTCCCATCGAAGCCACGCCAGATAGTCAGGCAAGCCTTCGACCATCTAATTCAAGGAGGAGTTTAGGGTTTACCAGCAGAATCACCAGTGTCAGCAATCGATTACGAGCGGCCAAGGCGGAGCGGAATGCGAGTCTTCGAGAAACTATAGAAGGACGGGGAACGAGGGAGATTGCACCATCAGGACAGGAATTGGATAATATGGCAATGGAGAGACAAGGGTCTGGCCAGAGCAATGAATCGTGATCACGACATTCTATCAGTACTTGTATCATACCTCGTGTTCCAGGGAGTCGTCTTGATGCATTTGTTTACAGGAACTCTAGAAATTGAAAGCGGGAAGATATCCCGGTCTGGAATAATAGAGGACCGTTGATGCCCCCTTCTCGTGGCATTGTCTGACGGATTTGTATGGGCGTTTGTCTTCTGTCCTCAGCCGTGTGTTGTTTTAATTGGCAGAAACATGGTAGATGTCCGATTGACGAAACCCGCAATGCCTCTGCAGGACTAATGAATTTTGTCCAGGCGTCCAGGGGAAGCCACGCACGTGTGGTTGAAATTTTCAGCATTGCGGCCATGGCAGAATCAGACAGCAGCCAAACGGATCCACCGCCAGGAACGGAGGGGACCACAGTGCGTAGTATAATCATGCCACAGCCTGCGCCCGGACGATTTATGACTAACTGATAGCACAGCGTTGCCGAATCTTGTACTGCCTGTGGCTCCCATCTCGCGATTTCTGTGCTGAACGCCTGCCGTTGTGTCACTGTAGTTTGGTGTCTGGGTGGGAACGAGAGGACCGCGCAATCGAGGATTTGGAGCAATAGCAATTGAGCACATTAAACAATTGTCCAGTCAGAGAATGAGGACCCTGCGAGTGAGTACCTTAACCTCCCCTTACGCTGTCAATACAGGAACACGGTTCTTTGATTCGCTCCGTGATGTCGCAATCACCAATGGAGATGGCATGTGTATGCTGCTGCTCTCCTCCTGCCACGATATAATACCAAGGCATGAGGCATTTCCACAATGAAAAATTCTCTGGCAAATTTTGATTCACTCTTCAGTTCTTTTGCTCGGGTAATACCCGTCGAGTAATGCTGCACACGTAAGACCAGGAGGATCCATCTGTTTTGTCTGTCTGTTCTGAGAACTGCAACTGTGAAGAGGTTGGAGATAATATATCATTTGAAACGCCGTGACATCAAAGGATATCCTTGTTATGTACAACACATCCACGCGGCGGCCTCCACGGAATACTTCGACCTCGCCTTTCGACTTCGACATCTCCTGCCTTTCTGTGATATAACTCTTCACTGTGCCTTTGGTACATCACATTCAATTCTTTTCTGACATCTTCCTGTCCATCCATATCCATCACACCTGTTGTCCAACCCCCGGTTCATCCTCCTGTACAAGTCATGGCTTCGTTCAACAAACAGTCCTCCGACTCTCCTCCCCACAGTCCCCGGTCCATGGATTCAAATTCCAGCCGATCAATTGAGAGAAAGTCATCCTCTACTTCTTCTGCTCATTCCATCTCACCTATCTCGCCTGGTCTCGCTCCCAAAGTCCAATTAGTTCCATATGCACGAACGGCTAGCTTCGATGTCTCCTTTTCAGATGCCGAGCGAGAACTATTAAACAAGGCCAACTTCGACGCCTTGGATCTGTCGTCCAAGGATTTTGACTTTGAAGACATCTTCACGTACGACAAACCCCAGAAGAAGTTGACCAAGGTTGTTGAGGTATCCAGACCAACTCGGGACTACCGAGACTGGTCGAATTTCTCCTTCAGTCACTACTCGGCCGCCATAAGTGCTCGGACCAAGGTGAACAAAGCCAAAGCCGGAATCGGAGAGTTGTATGTGAAGAACAAATCCGACGCGCAGAAGTACTGAATAAAGAGGAGGAAGACTTTCCAATCAACGATGAAAGGGACGGATGGTTGTCTAAGCGTCATCGTCATCAACGATGAGATCAACCTGAGGCACCCATCATTGGGCTCCACTTTGAACCACAGCTAAGGCTTAGGAATATGAGCATAGCATATTGGGATGGCATTTTGGGCAAGGTATTTTGCGGGCACGGCACAAGAAATGTCAAAAAAGTCGAAAGGCGTCATGGATGCGAACCCAAGGTCATTAAGCCAGGGATGGAAAGATTATTTCGGGATACGAGAGAAGGATCAAAGGAGACCCTCAAACCCCAGGCTAGTGAGGCTCTCGGCTGTGTGATCTCCTCGCGTGAGCATGCCCTATAATTAGGTAGGCAATCATAACGAGAGATCTTCGTGTTTTTGCCCGTTTTTCTTGACACTCAGACACGAGGTAGCCACGAGGACATATATGATGACAAGATGGCCCCGGGTGAAGGATATTATTATTCGCATACAAGTTAGCGAAAAGTTTCCAAAGAAGCGAACCAAAAAAGGGGTGTAGCTGCTTGTTTATTCCGAGGGTTGTCCCTTTTTGTGTGAACTGACGGTACCTCGAATGGCGCACGGACTGGGCTCGTTTTGGCGTCCTGTAGCAATCTGAAACGCAGTGCAATTTGCTGTCGCTATTCAGAGCCTCATTAGCTCTTTTCCATACCTAGCTGCCGCCCAAGGCGTCGAGAGTTCAGTAGACGCCCGGTGAATTTTCCCCGACGCAGCAGGATGGATCTGAATACCTTCGAGACTATCGACTGAAGGCTGAATCTATTGAAATCCGCGGCAGGCGGATTGTTCGGGAAAAGGACATGGCAGAATACATCGAAGCTGAAGGATTGGGGGAGGATCCAGGATGGTTAAGGTATTGTTCTGCTGGCCGCCGTCGATCGTCTCTCGAACCCTACGGGTTGGGGTGCAGGCCAGAGAGTGGCTCAATGGATGCGCGCGGCAAATTTTTCCAGGCTGTCAGTGGCTTGAGTTTGCTATTCATAGTATCGAAGTAGCCATGGCATGGTTTCAGGATCGAGGCTCTGCTCCAATGGCAGCCGGAAGACGTGGCCCCTCGACTACGCGACCAAATGTTGGACCATGTCAGCAGCCAATTTCATTCGCCTGTTGCACATCCACCGTCCAAGCGCCGGCGAAAAGATGGGACTGAAGGAGAGGAGCAGAATTAGGGCCAGCATTCTTGGAACTCGGTACGCCTCAATCGTTCAATCAGTTCATTCATTCACTGACTGACAATTCAAGGACTTCTTCTGCTTCTGCCGCTGTTTCTGCTCCTGTAAGTTTACTCCCAGTTCCCTCGTGGCTGGCATCCATCACCATCCCCGATAGTCTCTATACACTATCTACGTACATCGAACCTTCTTGACCGGGATACCTCCACCCCAACAGCAGACCTCCCTTCTCGTTGACCAAGAACCACCCCGCTCCACCATCTTAATCCTCTCTGGTTCATCTGCTGGCTCATCATTGCGCCATCCCGTAACTCTGGACCAAGTCTCTCCTGCCAGTGGTCCACTCCGCGCTCCCGCTCGACTTTTTTCTCTCCCCTCCCCCGTCGCAAATCCACATTCAGCTTGCCGCTCTGCCCTTCTCACTCCCGCTTCTTCATAATTGCCGCCGGCTCCTTTCTTGTAGACACGAGGTCGAGCACTATCGAATTGCGTATGCGCGCAATTCGTTCAAGAGGAGGGAATTTGCTGCGCTTGTGGTCCCAAATCCGTATTACGTCCAGATTCTCTATGTGGAGCATTGAGGATAGCAAAGTCTGACCTGCTCCGCCGGACACTGGATACGCGCTCAATCTGAAACTGTGAGAGACCTCCCCCAGGGCAGGCATTCATCTCGCTCTTGTCGCATGCGCCGCGGCAACATTTACTGTTCTGGTTTGTTTTGACTTCGGTGCGTCTGTCCCCAACTCCTCTCTTGTCGTCCTTTTGTATACAGAAATCTTCGAATCTGTTCGGTACCATGTTCGTTGTTGAGGACATCCTCAGGCATACGGCAACATGGTGCAAGAGTTTGCAGACAGTGCTGACACCCATCATCGCAAAAGGTCCTTTGACTTGGCCAACAATTATCAAAACGTCACGACATTACGACGCTCTATTCGCCATGGCCAGCCCTCATCTGTTCTTTCAGTAGACTGCCCCGAAGCCGATCCTGCTGCCCCGTCTACCAAGAGACGACCGGTCTTCCAGAAATATTCGAATATGCCGGTCGAGGTCGGCTCGATAATGTCAACGCCTTTCCCGTCCTTTATGTCTGTAGTTGGGCAAGCCGATGCGAGTATAGCCAAGGATATGGAAGATTTGCCTCAAGCGGACTCGATACACAGCGATACGCAGATCCTGGTCACAGATGCAAAACCCCCTCCGGAACGATCTCAACGCTCTGCTCAGTCCTTACATCACCGTGATAGTGTTACCTCGATCACGACTTCGTCGACAGAATCATCACCTACGACTACGAACTCCACCTTTGATTCGCCGTTAATAACGGATTCTTCACCCTCCTCCTCTCCGGAATCTGCTACCTCCAATCCTCCCGTTTCACCGTTTAGAACCATTATGGTGAAATCTTCGCTGGACCAGACACATAACTATCCGCAACAAAGGTTTCTGCCGACAGAAATCATTCATGGGCCACCGGCGCGGCCTGGGGCCGCCATTGTTGACAGTTCCAAGAATGTTAAGAATCTATCATTGAATATGAGTGCCGTGATTCTGCCCCGTCCGGCTACCTCGCACGGCTTTGAGACTTCCCAAGCTTTTTCCGCTCCCACATCGCCGATGAAGGACACGCCCAGGACGGGGCGGAAGAAACCTACGAATCTGACCATTCGGACCCCAGGTTTTCAACAATTGACCTTTAATCGGGCATTAGACGTGCCCCCCACGCCCAGCTCGAGGCCATCGTTGCATCATATGCAATCTTCACCTGCCCTGGCCTCGCTGGCGTCTCCTACTAAACCACCAGCTCAAGGTCTATATCTTCATCTTCCTGCTAGTGGTACTATTCACTCGGGTCCTGGCTCCGAGTCGAGCAATTCCAACCAGTCGGGGACCAGCGCTCTTCCCGAGTTAAAAGAGGAGGACGAGTTTCATCCCCAACGATCACAAGAAACTCAAGAAAGAGGATATCATAAAGGACCTATCCTGATCTATGAGAGTGGCGTTTATTTGTACTTGGAACCCACGGCCGAAGAAGCCAGCAAATTTGATACCGTCATCAATGTGGCCAAGGAAATCAGATGCCCTTTTGAATCGGACGACTCGAAACGGGAAATTCAAGAGCCGCAAACCGCCATTTCCGAGATGTCTTTCAAGTCAGCTTGGGAATGGCCACAACCAAATGAAATACCGACACCTACCACTCCGAGGCAAAGTTCTTTTCAGCCGAAGACACAGCCCGAGTATTTACACGTACCATGGGATCACAATTCGGAAATATTGGAGGATTTGTATTCCCTATGCCGACTAATTGATGAAAGAATACAAACGGGAAAAAGGGTGCTAATACACTGTCAGCTTGGCGTTAGCCGGTCAGCCTCACTTGTAATCGCATATGGCCTCTTCAAAGGGTATCAACCAGATTTTCATTCAATGTACATGAGTGTGAAGCAACGAAGTCAATGGGTTGGACCGAACATGAGCCTGATCTATCAATTGACGGATTTCAGGGCGAAGGTGGTCAAAGGCGTGTATGGTGAACATTCATATCATCCATCACCGAGTTGGTGGAAGATACGACCCTCGAGTCCACCAGTCACGGACACACCGATTGCGAAACAGTCTTCGTGGCAGCCGGTGGAACTAGATAATGACAAAGCTAAAACATCAGCTGCTGCAGGCAAGGCAGTTTCACCTCCGTCGACAAAGCCTCTTCCACCTTTGAGACTGAACAAGGCCCTTCCGCCGGTGCCTCTATTTCCCAAGAACGAGCAAATCCACACGATAGCTACACCGGTGAAATTGAGTCAGATCTTGGGAGGCATTGCGATGCAAGGCCCTAGACAAGAAACGAAAACCGAGCCTGAGATCGCTATCGAGTCACAATCCCAGAGCGTATCACCGCGCCCTCTTCCTTTCCGCGAACATTTTGATGTCGAGGCACCCTCTCAGTCACCGCCGAATCCCTCCAAAACCCCCAAATTAGGATTGGTGACCAACTCGCCCAAGATGGATCTTGCCATGCAAGATATACCCGAGACTCCTTCGGCCTTCTCACCTCGTGCCACAGAATTTATGGCCTCGCCATTTGGCATCAAGGCGGCAGGCGACCTGGCCGTCATCGGCCACGGGAAAAGGCCAACGAAAGGATTACTGCTTCCACGACAAACATTTTCCTCGACTTTCAATGCAGCAGGCGATCAGATACCAACACCATTTGATCCGAGGAGTCCCCATCAACAGGGCGAGGCCCCGGAGATTCTGAGAAACATCGACGAATTCTTGTAACTAGCTATGTGCGCAGGGCAGCGGAGCATTGTTTTTTTTTTTTTTTTTTTTTTTTGGGAATAATGTCTAAATAGAGGGACATTGGCGCATCTTTTGAGCATAGCATGGCGTTCTGGGGAAGGGAGCAAAATCATTGGAATGACAAAGCATGGAAGGCTCAGGAACAGAACAACGACTGGCCCGAGGACTGGCTTGAAATTGTACAATTAGTCATGAAGGAATGTGCTTAATGGAGCAGTGACAGACCTGCTCAATCAAAAAGAGCATGCATGATTATGGATTGGATGAGAAATGGCACCTGTATTGTGTCAGGAAATGGTGATGGTGATAAAAGACAAATCATGTCTTCCAGGGCTAAACAGACAAAACTGTGAAATGGAGAAAAAAAAGAGACAAGACGAATGGTAGTATTCTGACGAAATCTACTTTCCGGTTTCGGTCACCACAGGAATATCTTGCTATGTGGTTTTCCCTGAGCACTGTAGTAGCCGGACAAGTGACGATGAGTTTGATCTGACATAGACTTTTTGGTTGCAACGCCTTGTACCGCACTCCAAAGATAAATATATTTCTTCCGCTACTTCACACATTCTCACTGGTTCACATATCTGTTCCCTCTCTATCGAGAACATCCTTCGCCTTCGCTTGGATTATGAGCTAACTCTGCGCGCTTTGGCTGGACACCACGTCGTCTAGCACGACCCCCGCCGAGATGGCAATGGAGCGCACTCGCATCGCGAAGGTTGGTCAAGATGCCGACGGCCCTCTTGCGTGACTCTAGCTAATACTGACCAACTCCTTATAGGTCGACGATGTCACCCTGTCGCGCCGTGGTGAACAGGTCAAAGGCGCCCTTCATTTAACGCCTCATCATATCATCTTTGTACACACGCCCTTTCCCTCCAAGAGCTCGAGCACAACCCCCAATGGCAAGCCTCCCCGACCACGCGAGCTATGGATAACATATCCCATCATCCAACAATGTACACTACGCACGAGTCCCACCGCCTCTCGTCAGCCGAGTTGTGTCCGCCTCCGTTGTCGAGATTTCACGTTTGCCTGCTTTTACTTCATCGATGACCGGAAGGCAAGAGATGTCTACGACAGTGTGAGGGCATGGACCTGCAAACTGAGCGGAATCGAACGGTTGTACGCTTTTACATACCAGCCTCAAGGACCGGAGAAAGACGTGAACCCTAACGGTTGGTCATTGTATGATCCTGTGCGAGAATTGAGAAGAATGGGTGTTGGTGATGAGAGCAAGAAGTCAGCCTGGAGGATTTCCACAATTAATAATGACTATGCGGTGAGTTATTAATGTCGTGTTGGAGCTGATCAGGGCAAGTCTGACCAGACTGAATAGTTTGCAGAAACGTATCCTGCCGTGCTCGCCGTTCCTGCTTCGATCTCGGATAACACTCTGAACTACGCGGGTCGCTACAGATCGCGAGCCAGAATACCTGTGCTTACGTACCTCCACCCTGTCAATGACTGCTCTATTACTCGCTGCTCACAGCCCCTTGTTGGAGTTCGAGGAAACCGAAGTATCCAAGACGAGAAGCTTGTCGCCGCAATATTCAACACTACCCGGGCTGAACGACCACTCTCTGCTTACAGTTCCCCTCCGCCTGAACGTGAAGAATCCAGATCCAGCAAAGAGACGAGCAGCTCTATTACTCTAGAGGGAGACCTTCCACAAACAGCAGACGCTGAAGCGATTGAAAATGCGGTCATGAAGAAACTTCGAGGTGACGATGAATTGTCGTCAGGCTCAGACGAAAAGAGACCCGTGGTTTACGGAGCTCAACAGCGAAACATGATTGTTGATGCTCGTCCCACCGTCAACGCGTTGGCGATGCAGGCAGTAGGGATGGGCTCCGAAGACATGAGCAACTACAAATTCGCCAGCAAAGTCTATCTCGGTATCGATAACATTCATGTCATGCGAGACAGTCTGCAGAAAGTAGTGGATACTCTCAAGGACTCGGATCTGACTCCTTTGGGGCCCAATCGAGAGCAGCTGCAGAAGAGCAATTGGTTAAAGCATGTCGCCAGTGTCTTGGACGGAGCTGGATTGATTGCTCGCCAGGTTGGCCTTCAACACAGTCACGTCATGATTCACTGCAGTGATGGATGGGATAGGACGAGTCAACTGTCCGCTCTCAGTCAGATCTGTCTGGATCCCTACTATCGGACTATAGAAGGGTTCATCGTCCTGGTCGAAAAGGACTGGTTGAGTTTTGGTCACATGTTCAAACATCGCTCTGGATTTCTCAACTCGGAGAAATGGTTCCAGATTGAAAATGAACGAGTCGGCCGAGGAAATGAAGATGTGGATGGAAAAGAGCAGAGTGGAGGAGCTATGGCTGGAGCTCAGAAGACTTTTGAAAATGCGCTTTTGAGCGCCAAAGGATTTTTCTCCAACACCAAGTTCAATGAGTCTCGAGAGTCGGTCAACGTTGACTCAGATGTAGATGCTGACTCTGAGTCCCAAGCCGGTCGACGGATCGTCTCGGGCAGTGTGAAAAAGGACAAGGAGAAGATGATCACGAAGGTCAAGGAAACGGCTCCCATCTTCCACCAATTCCTCGACGCAACATATCAACTTCTATATCAGTACCCCACGCGGTTCGAGTTTACCGAACGGTTCCTCCGACGCCTTCTCTACCACCTCTATTCTTGTCAATATGGGACCTTCTTACTCGACAGTGAGAAAGAACGCAAGCAAGCGAGATTGAGTGAACGAACCAGGAGTGTGTGGGACTACTTCATGTCTCGCAAGAAGGAGTTCTCGAACCCAAGATACGACCCGGTGGTGGACGACAATGTACGTGGCAAGGAGAGATTGATCTTCCCCAGAATAGAAGAAGTTAGGTGGTGGAATGAGTTGTTTGGACGAACGGACGATGAAATGAACGGCAAACCTCTGCCGCCACTGCCACCTCCCCCATCGGAAGCTCAAATCAACGGTTTGAGCGACGTTGAACACATTGATACCGAACTGTGGACGCCGATTCAAACATCTGTATCGTCGCCTGTGTCCAGGGTTAGAACCCCGGTGAACTTCGGTGTTGAGACCAATGAGGAGAGCACGGGTTGGAATTCTTCCCCCAGGCTTTACGACCCTGTCTTGAGGATCCAGTCGCCGGTATCATCTATTGGCGCCGGTATGAGCAGTTCTGGGTCTCCCAAGCCAAAGGATCCAATTTCAAGGACGCGAACACCTGTTATGGCACGACCAGACCCAAAGCCGGTGGCAGCGCAAGATGAGACCCTGTTTGCCAGGCTGGAGTCGGCGGCAAAGGTTGATGAATCGAATGGAAGCAGAGAGGACACGACCGTGACTGAATTATCACCAGCCAATCCGGACCGAGTGATGACACACATTCCAGAAAATTCATTAGACTCATTGTCAGAAGATCTAGACCCACTAGGCATTAGTGAGGTTAAGGACCACGTGTCACAATCCAAGCGGGCACAGACGGCAATGGAAAGGCGACGAGAGCACATGGAAATGTTAATGAAATGATGACTTGGGGTATGGAGGGGGAATGAATGCCATGCGCCCGGCGGTAATGACTGGCGACGGTCGTCAGTACTGGACCTGCCAAAGATCCCTATTCTGGGATACGGGATTAGGTGCAATGATGCGAGGATGCAGCGATGTGAGGCTATTTTGGAGCCCATCCAGCCCGCTCTCAGGATACAGATGTAACTGTATTTTGCTTGGACTGAATCTGCCAGCATTGGACGTGAGACTCTACTTGCAAGGCTTTACTCTCTGTACGGAATAAGGCTGTGTGTCATGCGGCAAGCTCCTTGGCAGTTTAAAGACTTGCCGCTTTTCCTCTCCTCTGCACTCACCTCGCCGCCCACGCGGTCGTTCTCATCGTCTCTAAACCTCTTGTAACCTCTTGCTAATTGTAAGTCTGCACCTGCCATCTACCACCATCTGCCGTCCCCATGCAACCTTTGCGTCCCAGGCTTCCACCATGGCATCCTCGTCCTCGTCCCCCAAAACATCCGCCTCTCCTCTATCCGAAACCTCTTCGCCGCCAGGAGCCATGCCTGCAACCCTTCGCTCAGAGGGGCGAAACGTCCACATCTACGACTTGATTGAACCTGACATCGAAATTGGCGGCCTACTCCTCATGCCGGTATCACAAATGCAAACTTCTATGCCATGATAGAGATCATTATCATATTTGAGAGCCCCTTCTTTGTACAAGATGAAGAAGGAACGGAGATTGAGAAAGACGACCATCCACTTCAACCTGGAAAGTATTACATTGTTTCTGCCAATCCTCTCCAGCTTACCAACGAGTCACCCATTACCCGAATGATCAGTCAAGCCAGCGGACCCCGTGTCAAAGCCTTCCAGGAGGCCGTTCGTTCACGAGATCGTCAATGTATCATATCCGGGAAACCTGTACCTACGTTTGGTGGGAAGACCTTCTGGGGTGGCTTTGAGGCTGCGCATATTTTCCCACTCACCAAAGAAGATTACTGGAGAGATCACAACTATGGTCGATGGATCACAATTCAACCAGCAGAAGGAGGATCTATTAACTCAGTACAGAATGGAGTATTACTCCGCTCTGATATACATGACCAATTCGATGCATTTGACATCTCGATCAATCCGGATGACAACTACAAGGTTGTAGCCTTTAGGCCGATAGGGGAAAATATTAAAGGCAAGCATCTTGATCGGGAGTTATTTACTCGCCCTGATGGGCCTGTTGATCAGTTTCTACGATGGCACTTTAGGCAGGCTGTCCTAACGAATATGAAGGGTGCTGGAGAGCCGCGCTTCGAACATGACTTCCCGCCTGGTTCTGATATCGTTGGTGAGATACTTCGGGGTCCGAAGGCGGGTGAAAGAATGGAATTTGAGCTGTTCAGCCGTCTCAGTGCTCAAATGGAGTTGTTTCCGTCGGCAGGTGAATATTAGGTTGGGGGTTGGGGGGCAGAGAAGGGGGAGGAGAGGGGGTCGACCACTAATGCAATGCATAGAAGTTTACTTTTCTACGCTGTAGGAGTACAAGAATACCAAGTAAATACTGATTCCCTAGGTGATCTCACCCGGCTCGCGCTAGCTGGGTGAGTTCGGGGCAGTCTTGGCAATACATGAGACAAATACTTAATGCTGCCGTCATTCAACTTAAATTCAACGCGATTGAGAATTCTGGATGGACATTTGGTCCCCTAAAGCCATCCTGACCTGATATTTAGGCATTCGTGACCATGAGAAAGGCGTTCAAAAAGGCTTTCCAAGACCTCAAAGATGTCGTCGAGGGCAGGGATGAATCTGTGAGTATGTTTGATTTTGGTGTTTCCTTGCCTCTCGTATAGCCCACTCGGTAACTCGGATGGTCACAAATACGCGAAGGATCAGTTCAATGAATGACTTTGACCTGCGACCGGGGGTCGTTGTGGCCCTAATAGAGGTCATGTGTGATGGTGGTGATGATGATGGTGCTGGTTGCTGGGCTTGAGATGGACCCGGTCCCATCATACAACGTGCAACATACAAAAAAGGGACAGAAGGCTCGATGAATGATTTCTCTCAGTCTCAAACTCTATCATTTCTCCGTTATCAATACTAGAACTGACCCCATCCACGCCATCACAGCTTCTTCCTCACAGCTTCTCCCACCTCTGCCGCAAGGCTCCACATCCTTCCAATATCCTACTCGTCCAACACCCAAAGACATCCTTCGCTATCGATATCAACATGGCACCAACCTAGGCAGCATCTTCATCCTAGAACAATGGCTTTTCGGAAGCATGTACGACCAGGGAGTCTCGGGAAGCAGCGAACTCGATGCTATCGTGTCGTGAGTCTCCCAATGATGTCTTTGTCTCTGACATAATTGAATTGATCATTCCATCCCCAGATCCATCAACGCCCGTGGTCTCGACGAAACCCGTCGGAAATGGGAAGCTCACTGGGCGAACGCCTTGACTGACGATGACCTCCACTGGCTTGCACATTCCGCCCATTGCAACAACATCCGCTTGCCAATTGGTTATTTCACCTTGGGTCCAGCTTTCTGTGCCCACACCGCGTTCGCCATGCAACCCGCTCAGGTCTACATCAACGCATGGACTGCAGTGAAATCGCTCGTGGCACGATGCTTCGCGCATGGGATTGGCGTGCTCATTGACCTTCACGGAGTCCCTGGCGGTGCTAATCACGAAACCCACTCCGGCACTAGCAGCGGCAAGGCTGAACTTTGGGGAAACCCCTTTAACCTCGACCTTGCGACTCGGTGCCTATTGTTCATCGCCGATGAAACAATCCGCGACCCTCAACTTGCCGGCGTCGTGGGGATTCAGGTCTGCAACGAAGCTATCATCGATCCTCCCGGGATGTACGAGTGGTACAACGACGTGATTCAACGCATCTCAGCCATGGACGTCACTTTGCCCGTGTACATCAGCGACGGCTGGGATCTGGGGCGAGCCACACGCTTCACCAGAGCCTACAATACTATTCACGGGCCGATGAAAAGTCCTGTCATCGTCGACTGTCATAAATACTACACGTTCGACGAGAAAGATACTACACGTTCCCCTTACGAAATCATTGAGCAAGTCAAGACCGAACTCCACGAACTCGACTCTAGTCTCGTTGGCAATGTATTTTCTCACCAGGCCGCCGTGGGCGTGTACATAGGAGAGTACTCGCTCGCGTTGGCGCCGCAGACATGGGGCCGAGCACCCGCAGATCAAAAAGACGAGCTTATGAAGCAATTTGGTAACGAGCAAAGTCGGACCTGGCAACGCAAAGCGGCCGGCTCGGCCTTCTGGACTCTCAAAATGGAGTGGATGCCCGGCTGGGGGTGGGGATTCAAAGCATCAACGGACAATGGACAGGTCGCGCCGCCGAGGAGTTTCGCGTTCTCAGTCAAGGAGGTCCGTGAAAAATTGGCCCTCGCCGATGAGAGCAAGAGTCGACTCCTCCAGGACGCTCTAGCGGGGCATACGCATTACTGGGACAACACAAGCCCTGGCGCCTATTTCGAGCACTGGCGCTACTCGGACGGATGGGAGATAGGCTGGAGAGACGCGCGAGACTTCTTCGTCGCACGGCTGAATGGGTTCATCCCATCTGCTTTGGGCCCCGGTGGTACTTCTGCTCCAAGCTTCGGTGCTGATGTGGCTACTATGGATGGCGCGAGCACCAATCACGAAATCCCAGCCTCCAGTGTCGACGAGAACCTGAAGGTCGGCGCAGACGTTATTGGCGCCCTTGACCTTTGGGTCCTTCGCCGTATGCGTGGGGAGGGCGTCGCGGATCCCCAGACATGTCCGTTCGGGTGGGAGTGGGAGCATGGGTTTCGAGCCGGTGTGAGGACATTTAGTGATGTGGTTACTTGATACGCGTAGTATTGAGGGGGGGAGGGAAGGTGCAGTAGAAACGTAGCAGACGGGAGTGAATACATATATTCCCAGAAACCCGGTCTTTACCTTTAATTCCCAGAAGCATTGCACTGTCACACCCCGATTTCCTCGATGGCTCTCTGGTTATGTAGGATCTCCCAGGCCTCCTGTGAGCTGGACATTTGTGGAATTAACAAGTTTTTCCCCTTAGCCTAAGCAATCCGAACTCAGCATCTCGTCTCTTCTTGTAGTTGACCCGATGTGGAAGGAACAATTTGGTGTGGGCTACTCAACCGCTACCGCATTAGCATCACATATCGGTATCGAGGAAAGTCCCTCATCATTTTCCAATCCCACTCAAATACCAAACTGGCCTTTTCTCCAAAGTCACAGGGCCCGGATTCGCATCTGCTTGCGTATTTGGCGTGGCTCATACTAACCTCCCTCCTTTCTAAACTCACCGTCAATATTCGTTTGCGGGTCCGTGACGGAAGCGGCAATAAATCCATTTCTACCTCAGGAGGCGGCGTTCGATGAATGGCGTGTACGCACTCTGTACACGATTCCACATGTCGAGATTCTTTATCCCGTCGGACAAACTCCGCAAAGCTCGCCACAAGATTCCCAGAAGGCGGTGTTGGGATGGGCTTTGTGGCGAATGGGAGACGTTCGAGGCGCGCGAGTGGTAGTTGTTCGGGTCCTGGGAGCGAGAATTAGATTCGCCACCTCTGTCGCATCGCTTACTCTCTCAGGACAGAGCGAGAAGAAATGTTTGCTTTTTATCCGTACTCGTGATGGTGGAGGGTCAGATGGCAAAACCGGTTGCCCTGACTCGACTACGGTGTATTTTGAGGCAGGTTGCGGGAAGAATGAGATGGCAAAAACGACGTATGGGATGGAAATGAAGATAGATATTAAGCGAGGCCCGATGGTGGTTGCCTATCCCGCTGTTTCCCCCACAGTTCCGCTCTCGAAAATTCTCAGCTCCGTGCCCCTGCAAGAACAAAGATCGTCCGTGTTGGTGGTGGTGGCGCGCTGGGGGAAGTGCTTGTTGGAAAATGGAGAGGTCGAACATTTTCGATGGCAAAATCAGCCCGGATCTCTTGGACCAAAAGATCCTCAAACGACAAGAATAAGGATAATTCGTTATTTTATATGTAGATGGGAGAAGAATGAACAGGATATATCGTCCACCACATTTCACTTGACAAGCACCTCGTCGAGGATCCTGAGTAGGTTCGGAAGATTGTCTTGGTTCAGCCCAACATTCGACACTTGAACCATTAATTCGTTAGGGCAAGAACTTATCCCTTCACATTCTAGGTCGCAGATACTGACTTGGGCCTCCCCCGGCAAGCATCAGCGCTCAAGCCACGCCATCTTCCCCCCTCGCCACGATATGGTCTGGTGATTAAGTGTACTATGCGTATACATCACCAAGGTAGCTTTGCATTTTGGTTTTCAGAGAGCCACCCAAGAAGGCAAATTCAGACCGAAAAAGGCGCATCCTCTCTGTTGAAGCGAATCGGGAAACCCGGTTGACAGGTTGGACAAATCGGACACAGATTCCATATTCGACGTTACTTGGTCGTGGGTACATGTACCCAAACTCAGCCACAGCCTTCGAGGGATTTTGAATCGATGCAGCAAGTGATGAGACGATGTCCCTTAATAAGCACCAGCCACATATGTGGCAAATCAAGAGTCGCTCACGAGCAAGAATTTCCAAACCCAATGGTTAGAGGGGAAGTAGTACGGACTGGCAGAAGAAAATCGGCTGGACTCTGCAACGATCAAATCCATGAGACACAAAACTTCTGTGAGGCTGAAAATTGACCATGCCAGAGGCATGTTCGTATTCCGTTCCCCGACTCGCATTTGCATGATAGGTGCCGAGAGATGTGCATTGTTGCCTGGACCTCAATAGGGCGTCTGCACCTGAAACAAATCATCTTTGATAGACAGCCATCCTAGTGGAGCATGAAACAATCAACATCGTGCTGTATTCTTCCCCAGGTCAATTGTGGATCTGTATTCAACTTTTGAGATGGATGTAGCTTTTGTTTCCAAAATATCGGGCTGCATATCTTTTTTCATCATCGCCAACGAATCACTACTTCCAAGCCAAAGGATAGAGTGTGACCTGGGCGGAGTCCTAGTCTTCCTGAAAGGAACAAATACAACAGGGCATGTGATCGTGCAGGAAAAATGGTGACGGCAGGAATCCAGGGGCGGCAAAACTGTTGAGATTGAGAACCATTGGCAGCGGACGCGCTGGGCAGCATATCAAGGCTTTTTCGAGAAGCTGTCCCCGGATCATGTTTGGTTGTACAAACTAGATGGCGCATCGTGGAAGAGCACTTTCTTTGGCTGGGCTCGACGACATACTAAAAAGCGCCCGAATCTCACGTATGATTGAGCAACAGCTTCGACGTTGTTTGAGGTTTTTTTGCGGGGTTTTGCCGGGATCAAGATTCCCTCTTTCTTGGGAGCCTCACCTTTGATCGAAGATGACCCCATGGTCAAACCGATCATGCACCATTCTGCCTACCGTTGTTCTAGTCGTTTGGATATCGCCAAACCTGAATCCATTCGCTACCCCTCATCGAGGGGTATTGGAGTGGGTTCTGTTGCAAGACGTGGGATCGCTAGGTCCGTTTTCTTCGGGTCTGGGGACGGTCCGCTACGGTGGTGAGTGGAGGAGACGGTTAGTGGCGTGAGAACTGTGCTTGCTTTCCACACAAGGGTTGGCCCACCACCTCCTAAGCGCTGAATCCAATCCGGTTCCATGAATGAGAGCTAGAGACCCGAACAAAGCACGTATTCAACGGACATGTTCAAGTTCTGCCTGATTCTCTCGACCCGTCATTTGTGCTCTTCCATTCGTTTGCCGTATCAGTCTCGCTGACCCAGCAACAAAGTTGGCTGCGCCTCATAAGCTAGATCTAATGCAGACGTGCGGAGTGTGCATGTTGGAGCATTGGCCCAATGCCATTTCTTGCATTTCTTCCAAGTGGGTGCGGACTCATGCAGGCTCCTTAACCACTGAGGGACTTGGCCGAGAGGCCAGACGAGATCCCGTGGCGCGACGTGGGCGAGTGAGAATCTGGTCACTCGTGTCAGTGGTTTGTACTCGACAATTGGGAGGTAGTGTTTCTTGCATGATCTTGATTGGCTCCAACGTGGGATAAAACACCAACCAGTGAATGCGATGATGAGTGTGAAGCGTGACACGTTGATGCAGGTGGACGATTTGGAGCCATTCAAGGGTGGAAGGATATTGGGCTTCGGCTCGATAGACCGGTGATAGACGCGTCGACGACCGATGGCCTGGCATCCAGTTGTTCAATATTCATTGTAAGGAGTATGGCGGTGGGCAAGAGGGTGGATTAAGTATGGCTTTGAACTCAACCCTCTACGAATCAGCTTGAAACTGCTCCAGTATATTCCCAGCAGCCCCCATGTCAGCTGGGTGCAACGAATGGAGTTGCTCACTCCTAGCCTGGCTTGTGAGGAATCATCATCAAACTCGCAAAGCCCATGTTCAGGGTTCACGTCGGGCTGAAGCTGCTTCAGATGCCGGCAAAGGACAGATGCAGTTTGGTTTTTGACGCGGTGGACAGGCAAGGTGAGGCGTCATCGATACCAGCAGGATTGGTGATCTAGTAATGATTTTGGGTCAGTAACAGGCGACCACGCCACGTTTTCGCGAGCGGAAGGGTCAGGACCACGGGTGAGAGGGAAAAGATTTGACTAACCAGGGGATCCAGAGGCCCGACGAGCGGAAGGGGCTGGTAGGCTCCGAGTTCGAGGGACCAGGCACTGGCAGTGTGGCATTGCTTCTGGGGGTTGGCACCGTGGACATTTCCGGGGGCCTATCTCTCCCTCGGGCAAGAAAAGGCTCAGCAGATACTGGATATCTTGCAGGCGAGGTACAGTACCTGCTAACCCACCCGGCAGTCGAATGACGACAAGTGCTGCCGCTACGGAACAACGCCTCGCTGATGAGGAGAGAAGACGTGATTTGTGAGCGTCTCAACAGACTCACTCCACGCTCCGCTGTCACCAGTTGCCAGTCACATGTAGATGAGAGGTGAGAGAAAAGTCTGTAAGTAGTATTGAGCACAGCTAGAAGCAAACGGATTGATAGCCTGTTCCAGCATGGTGGGTTGCACAAAGACTCGCTGGCTCGGGGGACCTGGCACCCTCCCAACCAGGTTCAGGTGTGCAGCGCTGTGTTGCTGGACACAGCAGCGAAGAAAAAAGCAGTTATTTTGCCTCCTCAGAATCTTTGAACTTAGGACTCACTCCTGAAGAATCTCTCCTTCTCCCTTTCTCTTCTCCAACCCTCCTGCTGTATCTCGCAACGCTGCGAGGAACACCGCCAGACTTATCCATATTGCCACCGCGGTCATCGTCGACGAGGACGATACAACCAGCCCCAGTGCAGGCCCCCAGTTACATAATCACGGCGGACCAAGCCATCGCCCCCATCGACGATCCGATCAGGTCAACCCTTTCACAGCATTTCTTCTTCCGCAGTGCAGTGCTCTGTCTGCGTGACTCTCTTCCGTCCACACATCACCTGCTTCAAATTCATTCCTGCTTATACTTGTTACCTCATTTTACCCTCTATTGAGATTTACTACCGTAATATTTGTATACATCACGTTCAATTCCCACCTTTTGTGTTTGGGGTTGCCAGCCACCGTCCGAACAACACATCCCGACCACCACCGAGGCCACTCATTATGCATGCCGCAACCACAACATCCACTTGTTGACCGACAGACAACCTTGACCGCTCTGTACAAAACAACCCCCCTTTCACTCCACCGTTTGTTCAATTCGACGACTTCTTCATCTTCTTGTATTAGATATCCGCCATGTCCTCCCCTATTCCCCCAGATCCTTATGCAACTCTGGGAGTCTCCAAAGATGCCGACCATTCGGCTATTCGCACCGCACATCGAAAACTTGTTCTCAAATGCCACCCCGACCGGATTAAGGATGAAACTCTCAGAGAAAAGGGTAAAGATGAATTCCAGAAGATTCAGCAGGCCTATGAGATCCTTAGCGATCCTGTTCGGCGCTCCCGGTACGACGACCAGGTCAAACTGGCAGAGCTTCGAAAAGAAGCCATGGCTAGAGGACCGCCACCGACCAACACTGCCACGGCCACACGGGTATACCCCATGAGACCCGCCCCTCAACCTTCGCCCACTGCGACCCGAGAGTACCGTGAGGACGGCAATTTCTACGAGGAGGTCCGAGCACCCAAAAACACGCCTGCATACGACTACCGCGACCCTTACGAAGAAACTCCCCGCACAACCTCTAGAAAACATCCCGAATATGAGAAGAGAGCTCCGCCGCCCTCGAAGACCAACGAGAAATCCAAGAAGGCTTCCAGCACGTGGGCGGGGATGATGACTGCCGCTGCCGCCGCCTCAAAATTGAAGGCTCAAGCAGAAAAAGCCAGAAGCAGCAAGGCAGATGAAAAGAGAAGTGACAGAGAGAAGAAACGAGAGCGCAGCGAAAAGGTCCAAACAAGAAGGGCAGCCTATGTGGATGATTCGGACAGCGATTACGACTATCCTGAAATCAGACCGTCCTACAAGCCCTCCTCCCGTCCCAAAACAACCTCCCATTTTGAATCTTCGGAAAGCACACGCAGACCATCACATCCCGAGAAATACCGAGACTGGGACGAGGAGAGCTTTGATGAAAAATGGGAAAGACATCATGAAGAGAGCAAGGCATACATGGCCAAAGCGAACAATCGGCCCAGCTTGGATCGGGTGGAGTCAGACGCCTACCACTACTGGGGCGGAGGAGATTCCAGAGGCAGCGGTCGAAGAAGCGGCGGCAGCGATAACGAAAGACGACCAACCTCGTCAAAAGGACGCCGCTCACATCCAGAGGACTACTTTACGACGCCTCCTTTCTCCAAGTCGGCATCCTCTCCAACCAATCTACGCGCTCATGTTGAGGAACGTGCTCCGAACATTCGTGATCGTGACCGCGAGCGAGACAGAGAGCGTGAGCGAAGAATGCCTCCCAATCTCCATCGGTCCCAAACCACGCCTGTTCCAAAGGCCACTTCCAAAATGGACACCGCTCCCCCCAAAGGTTCCAATTTGAAGCACGGCGAGACTCATATGCATGACTCGGGTTATGGAAGCAGCTCCAGTCCCCACACCCCCGAAATGAGGGAGGAAAGTCCTCCAAGAACTGTTAGATCACGACAGACGTCGACCAGATATCAAATTGTTGACCCAGAGCCCGATGGTGAAGACCAATACCGAAGTCCACGGGTCAAGGTTTACGATGATTACCATGATCGCCACCACCGAAGATATCACCACAGCCCAGAATCTATCGTCGGGGAACCAAATCGAGAGTTTGACCGTCGCAAAGAGAAACCTGAGCGACCACGTGTCGAGACAAACTCTCGCTCGAAATCTTCTCGTGGAACATCAATGGCGCAGGAATACGTCACCTCTCCTGGTGTTCGAAGAGGCGATTCGGGGCGTTTTGAAGACGGGGCTTCACCTCGCTCTCCGCGAGAGACACCACCCGTCTCTCGCAACAACAGCGGCCGTGAACGCGAAAAGTTGTATGGAGAGATGTCCCCCGATGAACGAGAACCGTCGCGCTACGCTCGACGTTATTCTGCAGACAAGATTCACATGGCTCCTCATCGAGAGCCCCAGTATGCTTCATACCCGAGAGATCCCATGGACTACAGAAGCCATGAACCGAGTTCGCGTTTCCGTGAACCTCGAGTGAGACGACCTTCGGTCAGCGTGGGAGGGTATTAACGACTTCGACATATTTTGTTGGCGCACTGGGGATCGGCTGTTTTTATTCACGACCACTTCGCTCTTTCGATCGCTAGTCTTTTGGTCAATCTTTCCACATGCATTCAACATATATATGAAGAACGGGTCACTTCCACGTTCATTTCCGGGTTGTTTTATCAGCTCTGATACAATCATTTTGGTAACGGTTGGAAATGGTCGGCAATAGCGGAGGTGACGGTAGGATTCGGTTAGGATGGCTAGGATGCAGGGTATTCCCGGGCAGGGCAAAGTTGGGATGTGATGAATATGCATCTAAAGTGGGTTAAGAGAAACACAAAGCCCAGGTCGACAGGACCATTGAAACGCCTTCACCGGAGTGGACCGCCTGCCATGGCAAGGACAGATTGTCTACTGCCCCGTGTACTGAGAGCACAATAGGATTGTACAGCCTTATAATAGGGGAATCATCCCGATTGGGCATTGACGATTTAATGAAGGGAAACCATATAAAACCAAAGATCAGCAAGCAGAGAGACTCGTTCTAAATTGTTAAACTTGTACGGTCATATGTCAGAGGCTCTCCTGCCAAGCTTGATGCCCGTTTTGTTGACATGGATCACTTTGTTAAGCGAATCCAGCCCAGCGTTTGTTGCAATTGCAAATTTGCCCTCACATCTTCCATGATGCTCTCTATCTCTCTTAACTATTCCCTACTTTTACAAGCTTGCATTGTTTCATTCTCATATTGTTCCTAGCATTCAACCTGCCCGTCGATATTCGCACCGCCTCCTCTTAGCCCTGGCAAGCCACCAGGCGATCCTCCACATCCTACCACCCCCTGCAGACCGCCCTTCTGCACGCCCCTCGATTCGAATATACCTCCTGCGAACTGGTCGTAGATCCCAGCCCACACCTGGATCATTGGACTTGTTCGAGACTTCTTTTCGCGTCCGTCGATATAACAGCATCAGCTACCTATCCTACCAAAAACCAGACAAACTTGCATGGCCGGTAGCCTTGACCAGAGTACATGGCGCACTCACCCTGAATTCGGGGGGAGCGCATTTCGCTCTCTGACAATTCGGTAATATCCAACATGGCAGGAGTTGCCTCTGCGGGACCAGCGACCACGGTCGTCAATGGGTCCAAGTCACCCTACGATGTGGCGGGTTCTGCTAGTCAAGAGGTGAGTCGCGCGGTATCAAGTGGATTTGTTAAAGGTTACACGTTTGATGCACATCCAGACACGGGCTGACACCTGACACTATCAGAATACGACTACAAACAAAACCCGCCCCTCCGGCCTCCGTCAAAATTCCACCGGATCTACGCGTATGCCCTTGTCGAATCTCGCGCCGAATCGTAAGGACAGCAGCGTGAACGGCCGATTGGCCTATAATAGGGTGGAAGAGCTAGGCCAACAGGAGGGAAATTTAATACGGAGCGGGAGTGAACCAGACAGCTTGCTTGATTTATACAGAAGCAATGCAAGCAGTGGAAATGTCAGTCAACAAGCCAACGATAATGACATCCCGGAAAACATGTACCGGCCTGAACAGGACGACCCCGAGGGTTGGATCCACCGGGACAAATTAGCCAAGATTGAGAGCGAAGAACTGCAAGCTGCAGGCATCAATTTGGCCAACGCGAGGAGGAATGTGAACAAGGCCGTGAGAAGGGAGACCAGTCGCGGTCGGCGAAGTGAAGAACGCAGTCTTTCGGATTTTCGCCGAGCTGAGACAGAAGAAACCAGACCCAAACTCGAAGAAGCGGTGGAAGAGGAAGACGACCGATCCAATTGGGATTTTCGAAGCCCCGAAGAGATTGCGGCTGACCATGCTTCGTCACAAATGTACTCGAATCCGGTGTTGAGAAAGTCCGGATCCAAGATTCCTGTTTCGACGTCGAGTCCTCTACCTATACCACAAGAGAGAATCGAACGAGACACTCCTTTGGTCAGGAAACGCACTATTAGTAACAGTATGAGCCCGGAAGACGGCATACCTGTCCTGAAAACCAGAACGCGAAAAGGGAGTACCGGCAGTCAACCCTTGCATGATGAAAGTGACCACCTGGCTACACCGGTCCCCAGCAACAATTCGAAACTATTAACCCCCAAGACATCATCTCCAACCAAGATGAGACCAAAGACCGCTCAATCGTCACCCCCGGAAACCTCGGCGGGAAGGAAACCATCTGGTACGGCAAGGAAAGCCTCGACTAACAACAATAAAACATCTGCGACGCCTTCGCCGAATCAAAGGCCCGGCACGAGATCTGGGGAATTGGATCGGCCGCGAACCGCAGTCAATCGGCCTGAAGGCGATCCACCATGGCTGGCAACCATGTACAAACCGGACCCCATGTTACCACCCGACGAGCAAATTGTTCCCACGCATGCTCGACGACAGCAACAAGCCCAATGGGAAGACCAAGGAGCTATTCCAAGCACCTACGATCGCAATTTCTCACCGCTGGCCATTCACACGGGCAATGGTCTTATGAAGGAAGCATCGCCGGTTCTTCCTTCATCTCCTTCTTCAGAAAGAGACGCAGAACGAGATGAGGGACGAGAAGGAAACGCATGGCCGCTGAAGCCCGTTCCGAGTGTGCGGAATTCTGGAGGTGGCCGACCTGGTACTGGCGGCAGTGCTACTGGTGGTTACAGCACGATGCCGAGAGTGACGAGTCCGGCCGTTGTGCATAGCCCACGAATGGGAAGTATATCCACCACATCAGCTCAACCGAATCGAATGCAAGTTCACCGGCTGCCGCAAAATGAGATGGACGAGAAAGTGAAAGAGAAAAGTTGTGGCTGCTGTGTCGTCATGTAAGTCGGATCATACAATGACGGACTTGAAAAGAGAGAGAGACAGAGAGAGAGAAAGATCCACTGTGTACATGACCAAGGCGTTTCATTTGTTCTGGGCATCGGATACCTTGCTTTTTTCTTGACGTACTTTTAGCGGGAGTGATTTTCCATCATGGTTGTATTTGAGTGTTTGGGTGAAAGAGGCAGATTAGGAGTCCTGACCCTTTCCCTTTTTCTTTTTCTTTTTTTTTTTTTTTTCCCTTGGTGGAAAGCGGAGACGAGGTTGGAGGCGTTGCGATTATATGATCCTGGAAAGAAAAGGGAGAGAACGATATTGATTGAAGTAACTTGTGACAGCAGCGCTGGACACTGGTGTGATTGGAACAGGGGAGGATATTCAGCTTCAGCCTGTGCATCGATCGTAGGCTCAGCCTCACGGTGTGGGCCAGGCAGTTCGACTGCTATGGGAATCATCGAAAAATTAGTTTTTTTTACTCACTCGTCGCAGGGAGATTTTGTGTGACATTAAATGAGCGCGGTAAAATGAAATGCCACGCCATGATCCCACCCCAGTTAGTTCAGGATGACTAAACGGGTCACGTGGATGCACTGGGTAGATGCAGGGTGACGGAGGGTTTCGTTCGATTAGGGAATCATCCAACGATGCATCATCATGCAGCCATTGACGACCCCCCTCTATATGACTTAAGCCGATTCTTCTGCTATTTATCATCGCTCTTCGATTTGACCTAATCCGATATTCGTCAACTACCGCACGACTACATAACAATCCCGGAATAATCCCCCCTCCCAAACCCCTGTCCGACCAGTTGCCCGCAGCCACATATAAAAACGCCGCAACCCCCTTCCCGCTGAATTCAATCCTACCATACATCCAAACAACATATCCTCGTAACAATACCGCCACCATAGGTCCCTCAATCTCCACACCTTTGCGGACTATTACCCGCTTCTTCTTCTCCACTACTTCACCAGCAGCTATGTCGGCCGCAAAGCAAAAGGCTCAACAAATCATCGACGAGAACGCCGTTGTCGTCTTCTCCAAATCCTATTGTCCATACTGCCGTGCCAGCAAAAGTCTGTTGAATGAGAAACATGCTAAATATTTCTTGATGGAGTTGGATGAAGTTGGTATGTGGGCTCTGCATCCTCCTTGGTAGTTAATTATGCTCACAATTTTTGGTTGCAGATGATGGCGCTGCAATCCAGGATGCTCTCGAAGAAATCACCGGCCAGCGAAGTGTGCCTAACATTTTCATCAATCATCAGCACATCGGTGGTAATTCGGATCTCCAGGCCCAAAAAGCCGCATTGGACGTGTTGTTGAAAGAGGCGGGTGCTATCTAAATCCCATCTGAGGACTACTGCACTAGTCATTTCGAATTCGAGTGATAGACCTAGGATAAGGCCCCAAATCACCAACAGCCAACGGCATTGGCGATAAGATCTGTGTGATTCACAACCGATAAAGATCAGATATACTTTTGGTTCAGTCGAGGGACCGATAAAGCATGCGGCAGTCAAATAAATACCTTTCGATCAAATGGGAACATCTTTTCAATCTTTTCATGCTTGATGCTCGTCACAGCAATGGCTGGCGAACTCTACGACCTACAAACTTTGATTAGCCTTTTCGTTTGATCGTTTTTGACGCTCTGGCTGCCAGTATGGAACTAACCATATTACAGGGACCATGTTGACTTGGCCGAGATAATGTGATTGTCTCTCAAGACGCCCGTCTCTTGGCTTTCGATACCTACCCATTCATTACCTCCTCTGGATGATTGGGGTTCTTCGACTGTCGAGATGTCCTGATCCTTTATCGACAACCTAACTGACTGATGCACATCAATCTACACAGCACCCGGGATAATTCGACGACAACCACGCCCACGGCCATCCAAGCAGGCTGATGGCTACCAAAGAATCGCTTTGCAACTTTCCCCCACGTCTTCGCCGCTTTCGGCGTCAATCCTCCGACATGATAAATCGTTACCTGCTCCATCGACTTCCGAGCCTCTTGAGCAGAGAGATACGGCGCAGCAGTCATGATTGCTTTTTCGCAGTTCTAAATGACACAGAACGTTACATAGACTGAGTCTTGAATGAAACCGGCGTTACTCGCTGAATCAGAGCAGAACAGCGCAGTAGAAACTGTTTTGCATAAACACGTCCGTACCTCGAATGCTTTCGCAAATCGATTCCTCCAAGCCCTCGTCATCGAACTTCAAGTCGCTCCCATCGGGATTGTCACCACGGGACCGACTGTACCGGGTATCATGTGGATGACGCATCCAAGTCTCGAAATGACTTGGGATATTCCGCTGGGTATGTTTTATCGACATGGTTTGAAAGTCATGGGGATCATGCACGTACCATGATACATGGTCATCCTAAAGGAGATATTAATCAGCCAGCTACGATGATTATTTCTGGGACACTGACTATGAGTTCCCTGCTGTGGTAACCTATGTAACTAGGTCGGTGCGTATCCTCCATGGAGGAAGGGATCTGCCCGCTGCTTGGAATAGACGTATCTTCCCCTTTATTTCTGATGATTCCCAGTGTAAGAGGCCCTGAGGAATGCTTTGTTGGTCATGATAATAGAACATCCAATTCATGGTGGTGAGTTCAACTGATCCCATTCAACTCTGACATGAACTCAGCTTGTCCAAAAGATCTGCTGTCCGTTCATCCATTTTTAACTGACATCAGCGAATACAATGAGTCAACCCGGAGTGATACATGTCGGTAAATCTACGGCATCCACAACGAACTTCCCCCTTCGCCTTCTCCCTTTCCTTACGCGCACTCTCAATCCGGTACTATCTCTCTTTTCGTTCATAATAGAGAGTGCGGTCAGATACTTTGTTAGGGAAGATGAAAAACCTCCTCCATCTCCTTCCACCATCCCGGTGTCCCATTCACACCACCCATTTCCGAGCTGACAGCTCCCTCGTTGAGACTTTCCTGAAACCCATCCGTCATCTTCCACCATTCGCGTGTGGGTCCATGTTCGCGCGTCCTCGTCATGTCGGCCGCGAAATCTATGCCAGTGTATTTGAAGCTGGCGAACAGAAGGCCGCTACAGGGTTCGTAGGAGATGGAATCTTATACACCCAAATCAAATTAGGGAGGGGGGCGGAGGAGAGGGAGCAACAAAGGGGAAAGGGGGGAAAGGGGGGAAAAGAACGGAAAGGTACAATCTTCGATATGTGAGGCCTTGATTTGTTCTAGGACCTCGGGCCATACGGCTTGATGACATGCTTTGTAGGCTTCATAGTGTTCGCGTTTGAGTTTGACGACTTGGTGGATCCGTTTCGGCGCCTTTGTTGTCGTCGACGTATTGGTGGTGGTGGTGGTGGATTTGGAGTTGGTGTCAGGCATGGTTTGGTTTTGAGTATCTGTCGTTTGAATGATTCTTATCTTTCTGGGGAACTTCCGTCTTCCTGGACTGGGATTTGAGTTTTGATAATGAAGGCAGTCTTGGGACAAATTACTGGGTCAGGCTGGACCAAGTATTTGAGTAAAAGCGGAGAGTACTGTGTATGTCCTGCCGTTGGCTACATGTGCCTAGGTATACAAAACGTCGTTTTTCGAGGCCTCGGGTGAATGACCACCGAAGTTTTTTTTTGCTGAATCATATCTGGGAAGGCAACCGGGTAAATGCACAATAAGAACTTGTTTAGGTGGAACGAACTATCAAACAAATCTATCCGCTACACTGATATGATGCCCATCCACTACTGAGGCCAACCGATCAACCCCAGAGTCAACATCGTCGGGTTTTCCTCGAGATCTTTCGCCTTTGCCCTAAGCTCATCAATGTCCCAATTGGCCCAGACGAATCTACCTTTCAGAAATGCCCCTTCAGGCGATGACAACCACACCATGAAGTGGGCGGGAAGTTGAACTACCAAGCAAAATCCCATGTCAGCCAGAGATTTTTCAAGGCATGTAAGGTCGAGTGCGCCAGGGGCGTGGGCACGAGGTATTGGTCACTTACGAGTATCTTGCTGCGGCCACGAGATACCACTCTGTTCTGCTGCCTTGGACGCCATACCTGTTGACTCAATAATACCCGGTTGCAAATTGAAGATTCTGATCGTCGTGTTCTCGTGCTGAATGTATTCAAACAGTTTTGTTGAGCCGATCTTGCTAACAGCATACGCAGAGTGGCCCGGGACAGAGGGCACCAGGGCGGCGGCACTGGTGACGTTGATGATCACGCCATTGTTAGATATATTTTTCAATGCGGCTTGGACTGCTTGTAGCGAGCCGCGGACATTGACTTCAAATGAACGCCACCATTCAGCGACATCTGAGGTTGCAGCTGGACCGATGTCGGATAGATAGCCGGCGTTGTTGATGAAGACGTCAATGGAACCACGTTTGGAGATGGTATCGAAGGCTTGTGTGGTGCTTTGGGGGTCAGTAATGTCGGAAACGAGAGCGACGACTGTGGCTTTGTGATATTTGTTTTCGATCGCACTCTTGGCGGATTGAAGCGTCTTCTCTGTGCGGCCGAGAATGATGACTTCAGAAGCACCGGCGACGATGAAGGCTTCTGCTGTCGCGGCGCCGATGCCTCCTGCTCCCCCAGTAATGACGATTCGCTTGCCTTTGGCAGAGAGCTCAGGCCGGGAGGCGTTAATGGACGGGTATACGTCGTTGTGCCATTTTTTGGTGTAACTTGGGAGTTCTGTCATGATGTTTGTGTTATTGTTTTGACGGGTGGTGAAACTGGTTGTGTTGATTCGTGTTATTCTCTATTGGAAGATGACTGCTTCGCGATGCTGTTGTCAGCTCTTCACATGTCGTCGAGCATTGTAACATTTATAGGCGAACCCCTGGAGCAGAGCATACCCACGATATTATTCATCTTCTCTGTACGGCTCTCCGAAGACCGAAGATTGGTCATTTGATGACTTGGAGAGATGCGTTTTCGTTCGTCCATATTCATCGTACCGTCGAACGGTCAAGCCTCGTCCGGTCGTTCGTCTAGATGAAACGGAGTGTGAGGCATCGGTCGCTGTGCATGATTTCTAAGTTTTAGGTAAAATCGCCTTTGCAGGTTCTCCAACCGTCAGATTGTATACGGACTAGTATTCTGAGGTGATAGAAGATGTCTCGTTGAGGAAATGACTCCTGAGGGATATTTCTCATCGAGTGACATTAATGGTGGTTCGTCCGTCCGAGAATTCCTTTGATGTGGTCAGCCAAGCTAAGCCCATTTGGGCGTTTGATTCGCCCCTGTATCTGCAGCCTTGTTGGTAAGTCGTTGTTGTCATGTCGCCGATTGTCGACTTGTAGCTCTCACATAGGCATTGTGAAGAGTATATATTTCTCGTAAATTGTTAGAATTGCTTCGGTTGACGGACGTCAATAACTGCAATTTGTTGCCTAATGCTGGTTACTCAACCACGAAGGCCTCTCGTTTTTTGTTGTCGACAATCTTGAGAACGGAAGAACCTGCGCTGTCAGTTACCTTATGACGCGACTTGGAAACAGCATTCGACATCAAATGAATTGTCAATGCGAATATCCTTATCATAGGCTGGATACTCGTCTTAAGACTTCGTACGAGCCATTTAATGCGTCTTTCAATGCCTCATAGCTGCAATCCCAAAAATACTATTGTGTTTATTGAACGATGTGCGTCAAACAGGACATGTGTCTACTTTCCTGTCATGGCCCAGTCTCAGCATTAGAAACCAACATCTCGTCCGAACTCACCTTCACTCTCAACAGAGTGGAAGTGCTAGGATCAGAGATGGCCTCCCTGAGCAATACTTAGGTCGGCGAGGAAACTTGTGATCTTTCTTCGTGGCAATCAAACCTCGTATCTGTACCGAAACATCATTTCTCACGTCTCCCGTGCCCATCGTTGCATAGCCCTGACTTCATTGTCATGGGCGCATCCGACAAACCGAAAACCCGACACCGATCCATAGACCACGCTCGCTTTTTCCCAGTTTCCCTTGATGCCATTATCCCCCAGGGCAAGGTCGTCTTCGTCATCCAAGACTGGGGCTCAGGACTCGAATTTGACTGGGCATATCAACACCGAAACTATATCGCAGGTTTAGCATTTATGGGATTCATCCGTCCCCACCTAGCCTTCGACGGTATGATTACTGGAGAAATGTAAGACATGTTCTGCTCGTTTCAAGACGAGGTCACCGGCCGTGAAATGATCATCGATCAAAACTTGTTCATCAAAGCCATGATGCTTCGTGGACTAGTTCAACAGCTTAGTCGCGAGGGACACGAATCGTTATCGGCAACCGTTCCTGGGTCCGGTGTCTCAAGAGCCCATTTTCCGCCGGCCCAATGGGATTCCCATCGAAGGATACCCGGCCGGCATCAACGAGATAGTGACATGACCGGCATCTCCAGGTCGAGGGATACATTTTCTCCAGGAAGATCATCCGCTTTGATCGGTGAGGAGATTGCCCAGCGACCAAAGACAATTGAATCGGGTAAAATAGAGGCGTAGCTTGTTAATTATGAATGAGATGGGTACTAGGAGGATGGCAAGATCTTTATGCGCCAGGCCAGATTTGGAAAGAAGGGAAAGAAAATTGGCGGTAGAGAGGGTCGGCGTAAGGATCGTTCACCAACATGCCCAGTTGGCAGGAAGGAATGAGAGCGAAACACCTCGGATTTACATATAAATAAGACGATCCGGGTTGATGGAGCGTCCCAGTAGGTTTTGTTTCTTCTGTCAAGTATCAGCCAGGGTTGATCATTTGTTCTCTAAATTCCATTCCCATTCCCATAGAAGACCAAATCCTGCTATTTTCTTGCTCTGGGCACTCCCCTGTACAAGACGTATTGGGCGGCTGGCTCCCAGGATGCGTCAAATAGCATCACGAGTCAATTTGCCTATCTGATCTATCCCTCTGATGAAAACATAAAACGCATAGGGTAGGATCGAACAGAAGAGGAGACAAGATGGTTAATAGCTAGTCAGCTCATTGAGTCCAAACCCATGTCTCCAAGACCTGATACTTCAACGGGACGTGGACTACGTCCTCCTCCCGTATGGCACGTGCGATGTCTTGATGATGCTGCCGTTCTCGTCGGACACTTAATTTAGCATTGATAGATGGATAGATTAGCGGGGAGAAGGGGGAGGAGGAGGAATTTTGATCAGGTCGCTGACGCGGTCTTCATTGCCTGATTTTCGCGAGATGATCACGAGGACGTTCGGAGTTGAGATAGACGTTGCTGCTGAGGAGGCCATGATGGTGAATAGATAGATAGACTGACCGGTTCAGTTCACGGTGGTCGTCGAATGGGAAATGACACCACAATCTTTCAAGCAGAAAATTGTTCCAGTATCAACTTTATCTGCAGGGAGGGAAAGGAAGCATATAGGTATCCACTAGTTGGCTTCTCTGACATGGCACGAAAACTCCCTCCGGTGGATTGACGGGTCGGTTGGGTTCTGGCGGGTCTAGGACTGACATCGACGTCTCCGTCTCAAGGGTTGATTAGATAGGGCCTGCTCGTGTCCCCCCTCCTCGTCCCCTAAAAAGGCACGAGTACTTGCCTCATATATAGGTTAAAGCGTGAAGCCAAAGAAAAAAGGAGCCTGGGGCCGAGGGCTCGTGTTTGTCGACCAGCAATCCAGCCAGAGATCTAGCCAGCCATCCACAGGCTCAGGATAGCGAGAGAATATGAAAAACTCCAGTCGACGGGGGGAATCAAGTACTTGAATGTTGATTCCTAAGACCAAGGCTTGCTGAGGTTTATGGACTCCGTGTATTTCCGCCCGGGAAATTCTTATAATGATTTGATTGGTGCGGTGCAATTGACATGACATTGCTGCCCATCGCGCTTGCGGTCAACAGGCCGAAAAGATAGGCACGAATTCTCAAAGGAGTGATGCGAGGGTGCGGAAATAGTGCTCTGAAACCCCCTCAAAGAGGTGGAAAAGCGAAAGTGTCAGAAGTAGCAAGACACCGTGATGGTAGGTCGAATACTATTTTGCTGTCCGGGTTGAGATGCTGGATGATTTTGTTCCTGGTAATCTTACAATATTCACATACTTCGGCTTGTTTCTCCTTCTCGTTCTCCTGCTAAACCACTTGCGTGGCAAGAGTGCCAACTGGTCGTTCGACAAATTCCATGACACCATCGATCACGCTCTGCCTAGCAGGCTCACTACTCACATTGTGGCCAGCGAGATAGTTCAACCACAGGAGCCTGCCGACTCTTTCATCAGAGACCTCACCCATTTTCAAACGATGACCGCGTTTGTCTTCGTTCCACACTGTCATTTTACCCTGGGCGTCACGGGCCAAAAGCAGCATCTCGCCGCGAGGAAGTTTCCGTCTGGCTCCACCGCCGAGGGCTTGCTTGAAGTCACTGAGGGCTGCTCCGAACGTGTCGTCCTGGAATGAAGTGTCATTCCTGGCACTCGCGAAATGAGCGCTCCGTGCTGTTATTCCTCTCACGAACCCATCACGAAGATGCATAAAGTCTGTATTGCGAGTGGGGGCGATTCGGAAGGCAGTACGCACATGCCCATCTTTGAGGATGTTGTTCCAGATCTCTTCACCACGGTCCGGGTCGAGGAGAAGTTCCCGCAGTTGAGATTTCTCGCTTGGGACGAGAGTTGTGGCTACAGGGTCCGCCACGGAATGTACCAGTCGTTCCTGTAGAGCTGCGACATCACTGACTGCGATGTAGAGGCCGACCACGTAGACTTGAATGCCGAGAATCGACACAGTTCGAACTCCCAGGCCCACGAGCTGGTATTCCACTTCTTTCTGTGTTCCTTCATTCGCAGCCGCAGGGGTAGAGCTAGGTGGGTCGGAGGTGATATAAATAGTCTTTGGGAAAGTTGGAATAGTCGATGTTCCGGTAGGAATTTGTTCGACCTCAGGTGCCTTGCCGGCAGACTCGATTGTGTCTGCTATTGATGGCGGCGCATCCAATTGCGCAACTTTCGTTTTATCCGAGGCATTCTCTTGCTGGTCTTCTTTCTTCTGCCGCGGGTTTGGATACATGGCTATTGTGCCAAAAATGGCCAACGTGCATAGGGCAATGCCATATGCAGACCAACGCATGCGTTTAATTATGTTTGCTCGCTCGGCTTTTTGCTCGTCAGTCAGGCTAGGAGTCTTTTGGTAGCGTCGTTTGAGCATTTCCGACGACCCGTAGGAGGGTGTCGGGGAGGAATATTGGGATGCATTGGATCGAGTGGTGGTGAAAAACAATCGAGCGACAGAGGGACGGATAGCTTGGAAGCGGATTGGTTTGGAGCCACAGACGTGACGAGAGACCAGTGCGAGAAAAGGGGAAGTGTTCATTGTGAGAGCTTTCAGGATTTACAACAGAGGCGGTGCGGTCAATAAGAAAAGGAAGGGAGGGTCGTCAAACATGAGGTTACGGTTGAATGAAAACCGAGCTTGGAGCTCTCCTGATCCTTTCCGACAACCCCTCATATCGTTACCCGCCGACGGTATAGCAATGCTTGTAATGTGGAATAGACTTGGGTGTCATTTTCTTTCCCACCTCAAATATCTATCTTCTAGGATCCTCCCGATGTCCTCTGCACTCGCCATTCTATGCGACACTGGGTATCCTGGCAACCAATGATGGCTATCAGATTCTCAACCCAGCTTCAGGCATGGCAGTTCGGAGCATACCTTCTCCTGTCACCTGAACCCGTCGGCTTTGCTACACCGTCGTTCCTCAACGCAAGCGTTGATACACCATCGCAGCTCCGAGATAGTTGACTCCTCAATCTCAAGCCCCTTCTCTCCCATTCTGGGGTCCATTTGTATTTGAAGGTCCTGATCCATGTTGTCCTTCGTCATCCTTGTTGATTTCAAACTCGGCATTCTTCATTACCTGGTCAACCTGTCGACTCACACCTGGAATACCATCCTTGAGAGCCTTTGCGTAGATTTCGGTAAACTCCTTGAACGCTTGTTGCTTGCCATTTATGACCGCATTTCCTCGCTGGACATTTTCGACAAAATCTCGGGTAAAGATATCGGGATTCCGCCCGTCGTCCACGTAATCAACAATCTCTGGAGCGATCTGGACATGGTGGATGTAATTGTTCGGGGATGCCGTGACGGATGTCAGAGTTTGAAGGCGTGAGAGAGATTCCGCCAGATCAGTCATTTTGTCGACCAAAAGATCCTGAGTTTCCGGAAGATAACCGTGTGTCTGCATCTGAATCTCGGAAAGATGTTGTATAATATCCTTGATCGTCGTATGAACGCTGCTCGTGTCCTTGACTGGCGCCATGTTGTCCTGTGGAGATTGTCCTTGACAGATCTGGCCGTAAGGTAGTCGAGCCTTGCCGGCCCTTGCTACACAAACGCACGGTTGATCCTCTGGACGATACACGTCTGGAGAATACCCTTCTGTAATAGGAGTTCTCTGGTCCCAGCCACTCTCTCGCCTGGAAAACCTAGAGATATTTCCTGATACCAAAGATGATGGCGACGCGAATGAGGCTGCGGGAGGAGATAAAATCTGCTTCACTGCTCCGGAATGTGGCTTTGGGAATTTGAATGTGACAAACGGACCCCCGGGACTGGGATTGAGTATGACAATGAGGACTTGTGTCAACTTCTCTGGAGGCAACTTGATGGTGATAAAAGGGGAAGAGTGTTTGTTGGCATCTCGACGACCCGCGCCCCGTAGCCTTGTCCGGCTTGGTGCTCTGCTTCGCTGGGCCTGATCCTGGGCCGCCTCTGGGGTCGGACTGGTGGGAATATTCGGCGTATTGGTATTGGTAGTTTCAGACTCTGACCCCCCACGTCCCACCCCCGAAACCCTGGGTATCGGCCTCGGTAACATCTCTGAATTCTTGCGGGTTTCGAGGGCTGAGTGTGGAAGGAGATTCAAATTTGGGATCGTAGGTAAAGTCCAGAAGCAGGAGCTCTCCCACCAAACCTTCACTTCACATCACTTTTCACTTCCTAAGTCGGGTTGTCTGGCTTCAGCGTCACGGCCCTCAAGCTCTCCACATGGAACGGCAAAGCGCCCATTGAATAACGGGTAAAACATTTTTGCTCTAGATCTACATCTACATACTCCTTTACACTTCCTTCATACGCACTGTCGTCGTGGATTTCGGTCCATCTATTGATGTCTCAACCATTTCAAGTCCAGCCAGACTGGGATATCGCTTGCTGAAGTTGGCTTCCCAATCCTCATCTGTATCTGCGACAAGCGCCTCTTCACTCTTTAGCGCATGTCCTGAATCACCCATTGCTGTGCGTAACACCTTAGGTTTAGGAGGAGCAACAGGGCGCTGCCCTCGAGAATCCACTCCTGTAAGGTCAGCGGCAGAAGCCGGGGCTGATACAACCTCTGGTACGCCGTGTCTTTCGCCAATAGTTGATGTCTGAGGGGAAAGCACTCTGGAAGGTTGTGATAGTCTCTCATCCAATCTTTCCTCTCGGGCAGGGATAGGTGATTCTGTGAACCGACCGTAACCAGTTGCTGTCTTTTGAGCAGGCCGAGCGTTCTCGCTGAGTAGGGAGTTCACGCGGTTCTGGATGGAAGCCGCTTTAACAGCTCCTCCGGCGCCTGCAGCACCACCGCCTCTTGCTGCTAGTCTCTGCCGATATTCTGCCGCGGCATTGGCCACTCTTCTCTCTTCTGCCTCGAGCTTCTTTTTTTCCAGTTCACGTTTCATCTCCGGAGATAAATCGTCAGTCTCATCCCATGGTTGTCGGTCATCACTCAAATCCGTAGCTTCCGATCCGGCAATCGGGGTAAGAATATTGATCGGGTCCCTGGAGGGAGAATCGCTCCGTTGCCGGTGGTGATTGGAATCATTGCTTTCAAACATCTTGAAGGCGTCGCCAAATTTGCCTGCTAACAGCTTGGTCGTACCAGCAAGTCCGATCGATGGTAGACTGGATCGTTTTACATGTCTCGAGCCACTGCCCAAGCGTCTGTGATGAGACTTGCGTTCTCTTTCTTCTTCCTCCTTAGCTTTGAGGAAGTCAACGTTCGATGCAATGTTTGTGGCGGATTCTGAATGAGTTAAAGGTGGCATCTCGGGCTCTGCGCTCGTAAAAGTGGTATCATAGTCCATGCGTTTAATTTCCTTGTCCTTAATATGGGTCGGTCTGGCTCCAATGTTGACGCTGGCCGGACGATTTCTGAAATTCAGCGATCTCGACCTGCTGACGCCTGAGTTGTTAAGTTCCCGCATGGTTGGACGACCACCTTCCAAGGACGGTCGTGATGAAGTTGGTGACCTGGGTTCCACATCTCCTGCGAGTTGCGATCTAATTGCGTCTTCCCTCAGAAGACCGGCGAGTCTGGAACCGTTTTTGCTCGTATCAGGTGCCCGAGCTTGACTGGAAGGACGACTGAGACTTGGCGACCTTGGCGGTTGATCTTTTGGAGAGAACCGATGAATTGGGCGCTCTGAAAACGTTTTGGTACTAGAAGAGGGAGGGGAGGGCGACGTCATGGTGCCAGTGGAGACCATTGCTGGTTTTGCGGCGGGAACAGGTACAGCACTAACTCTGACTTGGGCCTCCTTGTTCTCGAATGATTTTTTATGCTGCAAAACAGTTTGCGATTTGACAGCAGGGGCTGGCTTTTCCGTGGTCGGCTTTGATTTGATTGGACTAGGCGCTCGAGCAAAAGCGTCGTCTGCCAGAGCATTTGTAACACGTTGGGCCAAAGCAGGGTCAACGCTCTCTTGTTTCCTTTCCGTCTGAGTCTCGAAGGAAAATTTCTTGCCCGAATCAGTGAGCAGGCTGAACTGATCCAAAGTGGGAAATCGTGACGATAGTTCATCCTCCACCGAAGCTTTGTTTCCATCTAGCGCCGTAAAAGGATCCGCGCTGTCCATCATTCGTAGAGGTGAAGGACTGGGTTTGGCAGATCCATGATGGGAGATCGGTTTCGTTGGCCGCCCTCGACGCATTGGTTCAATCTGCGGAATGCTTGGAGCGACTTCTTGTTTAGGAGGGGACAACGTGGCACCAGCTCTGGACTGAGAGCTTGATGGTTGTGGTAGAACCTGGTCTTTTCGACTTTCCGATTGAGTCCGGTGTGAGTAGATGTCGTGGATTGGTAATTCACGACCGTCCAACTGACATGCTTTCTGCAAAACTTGATATATGTTTGGCCGGTCAGAAGGCCGTTCACGAAGCATGGAAGCAATCATCAGCTTCAGCTGGTCCGAAAAACGCGGGTAGCCCGGAAATTTGAAACTGGCGTTCAGAATGGCCATTTGTCCAACTTCTTCAAACGGGGTGGTATAGTAGCAGAGTTTGTATAAAAAGACTCCCAGAGCCCAAATATCCGATTTCTCGTCAATAGGCTGTTTCCTATAGACGTCGATCATCTCAGGGCTGCGATATTGAAGGGTTGTATGACGACTGATGTCATCTTCAATCAGGTGGCCTTCAGCCGCTGTTGTGGCGGCTGGCCTGGGGGGTGCTGCAGAACCAAAATCGCACAGTTTGTATATCCTGGACGAACCTGATGTGGATATGAGAACGTTCTCGACCTTGAGGTCTCGATGCATCAATGGAGGATTTAGGTAGTGCATGCATGCCACCCCTTCTGCAACGTCTGTGAAGATTTTCAAGATCTCCGGCTCAGTCAACCTATTCTGCAACCGAGTATTCATGAAATCGATCAAGCCTCCTCCCTGGCAGAACTCCATGAGTAAGAATACTTCGTAGCCACCGCCCTTCAATTGCGAAGCGTGAGAATCAATGTATTTGACGATATGCTTTTGACCCCGCAGCCTTTTCATGGTCTCGACTTCCGTTCTCATGTTGGCCAGGTGCTCCTTGTCGGGAACGGCCACTCGTTTCAAGACTGCTTTCTGATTTCCATCAACGGGGTGCGGTAGCTGAACAACATAGACGTGGGCAAAGCCGCCCTCAGAGAGATAGCGGTCAATGACGACTCTATGGTCGCCGACCTGAACTTTGGTTCCAGGCATGAAGGTTCCCGCCGGCGCCGCGTGAGTAGGCAGAGGAGCATTGTTGGTGAAAGGGCCTTTGGCCCCGAGTTGGGAGGCATAAACGGCCATGGCGACGGTAGAGGAATAGCTTTTGGACGTTGGGATGAGATTCGGATCTATCTGTCTCTGTCTATCATAGCTGAGAACTGGCGAAGGGATTGGCTGAGGGTAACGCTAGGAATAAGGAATGAAGGAAATCGAGAGATTGAAACTTTGAGTCTGGAGGCAACGCTCAAAGATGTACAGAGGCAGACACAACTTGTATGTACAGAACTCCGTAGCGGTTTACTGTATGGTGGTCAAAGCCACCGCGCGCCTCGCTGCTGCGCTGGCGGGCATCGTCCTGTGACGTGCAGTAGCCCAACCTTGTCCGCGGGAGATCTTTTTTTTCACCATTTTTCTCCTTTCGCAACCATTCGACTCAGCCTCATTTTCCAACCCTGCCGCTCTCTGCGGATACCAGATTCGGACCCAGAGCCATGTCCAAAAAGAGGAAGCGCGACCAAAATGACGGTATCTCTCCCGCGGAAAGCTTTCCAACTGCTGCGACGCCGGCAGTCGATTCAAAGTTTCCAGTGAAATCGAGAGGACAGTCGAGGCAAGAGAAGTCTGAGCGCAGATCCAAAAAGCGGAAGCAGTCGAAAGAGCAGGTACAAACAAACACTCAAGGGACAGGCACAGGCACTATGTTAGGCGTGGAAGATACGTCTAAGAGGATAGAAGTCGAGGAGGATCCCACCGGACAGGACCCTACATCGTGGGATGGAGAGCAGTTTCAAAATTTGTCCAAGGGGACGGAAAAGTCAGGGAGTGCGAGAGCGCATAAGAAGAAAACATCCAGAGCACCAGCAAGATTCATTGTCTTTGTTGGAAATTTACCCTTCGATGCGACCGCCACTCAAGTGAAAGATCATTTTTCCAAGCTCGCCCCTTCTTCTGTACGACTTTCGACGGACAGGGCTACGGGGAAATGCAAAGGATTTGCTTTTCTTGAATTTGACGCGTTCGACAAAATGAAGACTTGCTTGAAGCTCTATCACCATTCCATCTTTGATGTGCAGGGCAAAACCGACAATGATGAACCATGTGACCAAGCACAAGGCAAAAAGAGAAAGGGTCGAAGAATTAATGTGGAGCTGACGGCTGGAGGAGGTGGGAAAAAGAGTCAGGAACGCAAGGCGAGGATCGAAGCAAAAAATAGAAAGCTTGACGGAGAAAGGCAACGCAGGGGGAAAAAGGGCACAGCCGAGCAAGAGAAAGCTGGGGCAAAGAAGGAGCCTCCTGGGACAGGCGCGAATGCAGCTGAGGCGACCGAGAAACCTCAGGACGATCGTGGTGCTATCCATCCCAGTCGACTGTCTCGGGTCAAGTAATGATGACAATAACCAGTCCCCCCGCAAAGATGAAGTGCGATCTTTGGGAATGAGGAATGCATAGAGTTGAAAAATGTCAGACCGCTTCCTATATGAACGCCTGCCTTCCAAACTAGATTGCGTGTTTATTAGTCGTATGGTAAAGATCCTCGCTGCGGTATACTCTGACTGCCTGCGGTTGGAGAGCAGAGCGAAAAATATTGAGGAAAAGGAGGAAGCAGCGAAGCCGGGAAGTCTATGTCCGCCTATTGCAATGCGCCCCTTATAACCCCCCTAGCAACCCAAATATATCCGGCGCCTTCTGCAAAACTCCTAGAGAATGGTGCACCTCGATTTCTTCTTGGTCGCGGCCGGTCGTGGATTGAGGACGGCTCTGAGGGTTAGGTCAGTATGAGAACACGGTCTATACCAGCTTTTGTTCTCACCTAATGGCCTCGTCAAAGACGCTTTTAAGGTTTCGTTGCGTCAATGCCGAACATTCAAGGTATTTGACAGCTTTGATCTCTCTGGCGACGGCTAGGGCCTGCTCATATGATACTGGCTCCATTTTTTTGGATCTCAGATTATCGGCTGTTGCTTTATCTTCTCGCAAATCTAGTTTGGTGCCGACGAGGATAATAGGCACATTAGGGGCATGATGTTCGATTTCAGGATACCACTGTCACAAAAGCCATCAGCTTTGTAAATTTGAGGAACGAAGATGGAAGGTATCACCTTGGCCTTGACGTTGTCGAAGCTGGGAGGGGAGACAATGGAAAAGCATATCAGAAAGACGTCGGTCTGGGGGTACGAGAGGGGGCGCAATCGATCGTAATCTTCCTGACCAGCAGTATCCCACAACCCGAGTGAGACCGGCTTTCCATCTACCATAACGCTGGCAGAGTAGTTGTCAAAGACTGTTGGAATGTATTCGCCGGGAAAAGCATTGGTTGTGTAGGATATCAGTAAGCAGGTCTTTCCCACAGCACCATCTCCTGTCACCACACATTTTATAGACTGAGTTGCCTGCGCCATGGTCCTTTATACTAATTAGAGTGCCTTTTGAGAATGAGGATCGAGGGGAGCGGTAGAGGCGCCCGCGGGAGTTGTCTGTGATACCGCTCGGGTTCAAGGATTTGGGGGGAAAAAGGAGGGTCTTTCCGTGACAGCTTCAGCTGGCCAAAGTGTTTGACGACGCGAACCGTGTCCAGCAGGCGGGCGCGTCTTGGATAGAAAACGGTTTGGAGGAGCCCACAGGGCAAAATGCTTGCACGAGGTGTACGCAAGTTCGTGCAATTCTTGGGGGAGGTAGGAATAAAAGCTGGACCGCAGCAGACAGATGAAGACTAGTAGGAGGCAGCGTCGACGCAGTGCAGCTGCTAGTATGCGTTCAGTCAATGACGGAGTAATTTAGAGGACGAGGAATTCAGGGTCCAGGGTTCCAGGGGGAACGGATGTCTGGGGCCTTTGCAGCCTGAGGTCTGTTCTGTGCTTCGGCGAAAAGTGACTAAGCCGTGGTTTATTTTCAAGCAGGGGAAAGCATTGGCTGATGCACTTTCTGAGACAAGTCGATGAGAAGGGTCTGGAGTTGAATCTGTGACAGAGCATCGCTTGCATCGTTTTGGGATCCAATGACATGAGCCTGAAGCAAGCCACCAGGAAGGATCACGTGTAATTTTCAAATCCTCGAAGCAGTGATGGGCTCATCAAGCCCCCCAGGCATCCAGTATTCTGGAAGACAACAAACCATGAGCCTATACCCGTGCTCTGGTCATGGCATCCAATATCAGCGACTCTCGAAGCACCACAAAATTTCCCATCTCATCCACTGGTTTTGTCGCGGGGTTCACATTCTGTAACTTACTGACTCCATATTTTTTGAGCCTGAGGCAGGTTGCGGGGCCAAGTTGATTCGGAGGGGGTAGAGTAGGTGGACTGATACTGATACATGAAGACTAGGTTAGTAGAAGAAAGATACAGGACGATTCACCCGCTTACCTCGATTGGTAGAGTGAATGAGATCTCCCACGGAGGAACAGGACATCATATTTACAGGAAACCGTACCTCTTTTTTTGCATTCGATACGATCTGAAAGGAGGCTCTACACTAGTAATATAGACCGACCTATACTCAAGTCCTCGCAGAGTTCAAGGCGAGCCATGAGCCATCCATCCTTCAACTACCTAGGCAAGAAGCATAGAAGCACTATTGCTTGCATTCTCTCCATATCTTCGACAGGCTCTCTTCTGAACCACCCTTACCCCAAAACAGAACTTCTCATCATCATCATCTTACTGCCGCTGTGACTGACACGAATGCAATCGGCTTCTTTCACCATCTTTTTATGATCAAGACATTGCCAAGTTTGAATGGTGGAGCTACTTTTCCGGTAGATGCGCATGATCGAGCCGTTCTGAAGGTGCTTCAAGTTAGTTACCGAGAGACTGGGAGGTCACCATTTTCCGGGCCAGGACAGTTGAAGAGACCCTGGTAACCTAGGAAGGGTGACTGCACAAGTCTCAAATGCCCAATGCTCCATGCTGCTCGGAAGAATCTCGCAAGCTAGTTCTGGCCGCCAATTGGCGAGCTTGGCGAATACCAAAACAGACAATGATGGAGTTTTGAGCGCTGCTGGCAAAATCTACGTAGGTCGGCGTATGGGGCCTTCGGCATGTATCCACTGGCTTTTTGGGGGGGGTTGCGAGTCATCCCATACTCGGTATCCTCTCTTCAAGAAATGGGTCCATGATTGCTCCAGGCCGAAGGATTCCCATTCAATGCTCGCTCTCCACCGTCGCTGGCACTTGCCAAAACACCCCAACTTCCGAACCGTCTGAACGAGTTAGCCATGCTCTCGTCTTCTTCATAATTCTACGCTGATTTTCCATAGCGCTAGTACCCCAGTGTTGTTCTTCCCACTAGACCCCCTATCAAACACCAACTACCGATTCTATCTGAGGCAATTTGCCCTGAATTTCTGTCCAGCCCGATACACCGAAGACGCCTGCTTCCATCATTCGGTACTTTTGAAGATACTAATATCCCGAAACGGGTGGCCTTTCTTGGCCAGGCTCCTCCAAACGAGCGATCCAAATTCGGCAACGGGAGTTGATCTTGAAGAAGTACCTGTTGATGGTCAAGCAGACTCTCATGAACCCAGTACTAATACGGAGCAACTCGCAAGGCCCTCACGCTTTAGGCAGCGAGGCTCCCGCATACATTCCCTCCTAATGCAACTGACATCCCATTCTCACCCTGACCAGGGCCAAGAGGAAAAGTCCACTCTTAACTCGGTTTCTTCTATTCCTCTTATATCATACGACAGCTATGCCAACAGGAAGCAATGACCTCCATCAGAAACCGCAGACATTGGCCCAAAATTGCATACATCCAGCACAATATCGAAGATGTCTAACCCAGCGTCGAAGAAGCCCCAACGCCGCTTTCAATTCATCGACAACAATAATGTCTCGTCCATGGGGGCCAACTCAACCCAAGTTCGGCGTCATGTTATGCAAGAATACATGAGAGAAAAGCGGTGGGCTGCTCGTGCCCAAGTCCCCGACGCTGCTGAATCTGAACCCCAGAATCGAAGGAGGCCGGTAAAAGTACGATGGCAGACCCAGACCTCACAGAAACGCTCCCATAGCAAGCCTCTACCAATCGTGGCTTCGCCAAATTCAGATGGCAGCACCTCGTCGAGAGCACCTTCAAGCGCAAAGGACGACCAGCGTAGCCAGTCTCGCGAACCTGCTCAGGGGTTTGTCCGGTACGATGGTGAACCTCCTTTGACGTCAACGAAAGTCAAGCGCCCTTTTCGACTGAGCCCAGCGGCCTTTGCAAAGTTGGCCGATATGATCACCAAACCGCCAGATTCTCCCCCTTCTTCGATCTCTTCTGGTGATTTTTGGCCCTCTACCGGTAGGGCCTTGCCATCCAATACATACACCACTCAGAATCCAGAGCCCCAGTCTTTTCTGAGTGCAGCTCGAACAGACCCTTTTGACTGTTTGCCGATGAAATTAAGCACCCAAGACCAGGAGCTCTTTGATTTCTATGCCAACGTGATGCCCGCATGCTCTTATGGATTCGAAAGGCGAAGCCCCCATGCTCACAATTGGTACCTTTCCGTTTTCATCCCGGAGGCCATGAAAGGGGCCGTGTGTTTCCAGAATACCATCCTAGTTCACGCCGCAAACACGCAAGCCTGGGTGAAAGGACTGGCGGAAACGCGTCTGGCCATTGAGCATCGAGCCAAAGCATCGCAGTTGCTCCTCCATCACTATCAGCAGCACCCCCACGATACATCGGATGCAACAATATCGGCCACCATCTCAGCCGCTGCCCTGGAGGATTTTGATCCTCGTATTGAACGCCGCAAGTACGCTTGGATGCATTGGCAGGCTGCCGTGCAAAAGATACGGGATCGAGGAGGACCTTCTGCTTTGGTTCAACACAATAGGCTTCAGATGTTGATTAACTGGTCTGATTACATCTTCTCCGGTTACAATGGACATGGCCCAACCTTTTATTTTGACCATCAGTCGTCGCCGCACCATTCCAGTGATCAAGAAGCTGAGGCTATTGCTCGTGCTGAAATTGCCCAGCAATGCAGCGAATTCATCACGTTTCTCAAATGTGCTGAACACCTCGCCCTGGTGCAGGCCGGGATGCAGAGCAATCCCATATGGAGGAAGCAGCAGCCTATGCGCTACTCGGTATTCCTTCCTGGACAACCTCTCTACAATTTGCTAGCGAGCCCAAACGGTGCCAGATACACAGAGACGGGACAATTCAAACAAATCGTCTCCAGACTCGCCGCGTTGATGACAATCAACACGGCCATTTGGGAATATCGGCATTCTACGGAGCTGAGCGAAGAATTCTTCGTGGAACTAATCGAGAATATCCTGCATAATGACCTCGATCAACACATCTCCGTGGAGGCTCTCATTCAAATATTGTTGAGTGGTAGCAACAACCCGGTCTTGCTGCATTCTGAGAGACCGTGGTTTGTGGGGCGAATGCTGAAAGTTTCCAAGCGCCTGTCACGACCGACATTCGAAAAGCTGAATGAATTGCTCCTACGGTTCTTGACTTTGGGACCAGAGTTGGAGCCAGTTATGATGGGTTGGGAAAACGAACTTCGCACTGAAATCCTGCAGGCCCCTCTGGTCAGCTATCAGTCGAGATTCATGCTGGGCTGAGGTTCATTCTCGACGGATAGACCGACCCAAAAACCTTCAAGCACCTGTTGCCCGGAATCTGCCGGACTAAGAGCGACCCACCTCACCCTGGGAAGATGCCTACTGGCCCGAAACCAGACCCAGGCTGAACTTCCTGGGTGGTCGCTGTCCCCTTGTGCTGCGACTGTGCTTCCTCCATGCAAGTGATCAGAGCAGGTTTTCGAGCTACTGTCAATGCATTCCGGCATTCCACGGAGTAGGAGACGTACTTTCCGACCACCAGATCCAAAGTATGTGCGGGGCAGTCCTGAGGGTTGGCGTTCGAATATATGCTACATCATCCCAGAGAAAGTTCGGAATCTTCGGTCTTGGGTCCCTCGAGCTTAGATCCGGGGATACCAAAGTTTCCCTGCCAAACCTGGCAAAGTCCCGCTGGCGATAGGGATTCCTTGGCACCAAGGTCTGACGCTCAAATCCTCTCAGCTTTTGAACATCTCCAGCCCAGCCTTCGATTGCAAATGGTTGCAATTCGAACGTATAAGCTTCTAACAATTTTGCATCAATTTGGAGGCCATGCTGCCGTTGGGTAGTGTACTGTGAGCCAGATGCTCTTAGTCGGTTTCTGCTGTGCTTTCGCCTGCCTGGGAGCTCTTCTTTTTGGCTATGGTGAGTTGGGGAATTTTCCTCAGGCAACCATTTGCTTCTCAGAGCTGCGTGGCTTGCCGCGGGAGCCTTTCCTGAAACTCAATTCGCTGTCACCGTCAGACATCAGTTGCTAATCAATGTCCCGGCCAACTCGCAGATTCTGGTATAATTTCCTCCTCGATCGCCCAGACGGATTTTGTGAATCGATTCGGCGATGGCACATTAGCGGACAATACGGCTGGCGGGATCGTTTCATCATTTACCGGTGGCGCCATCATCGGTTCCTTATCCCTCAGCTTTCTTTCCGATCGATATGGCCGACGTGCTGCCATCTTCACCGGTTCCCTCCTGGCTTGCCTGGGAAGTGCCCTGCAGGGGGGAGCGATCAGTGTGGCCATGGTTATCGCTGGTCGAGTGATTGCCGGTCTCGCTGTCGGGCAACTATCAGCCACCGTACCGAATTATTGCTCCGAAGTGGCACATCCAAGGTTTCGAGCCTTGTTAGCCGGGCTGCAGCAATGGAATATTGGGCTCGGGTTTGTCTGCGCACAGTGGGTCGGCTACGGGAGCTCTTTGGTAAACGGTCCATTCAGTTGGAGATTCCCACTTGCGTTTCAGGCATTGCCTGCTTCGGTTCTCGCCGCTGGGGTGTGGTTCTTGCCTGAAAGCCCCAGATACCTTGCAGAAAAGGGTGAGTCGATCAAGGCCCATGCGGTGCTGAAACGGTTGCACACGGACCAAGAACTGGTCCGAGAAGAATACACGCGCATCCAAGACAATCTTGCAGCCGAACGGCAGTCTCGCATGGGCTGGATGGATATGTTTCGGCAAGCTTCTCTCCGACGACGAGTGTTGTTGGCATGTGGTATACAACTTTTCACCCAGACCTCGGGAATCAACGTCATCAACTATTATGGGCCGCGAATCTACGCATTCTTGAACTTCGGCACCACAAGATCCCTATTGATCATTGGAATCTATGGTGCCCTTGCTCAAGTCTACAATACCATATGTATTGCATTTATTGACCGCGTGGGCCGAAGGAAGCTCCTGATTCCCTCAATGATAGGAATGGGAGCTGCACTCTGCGTGAACGCAACTCTTGCACATTTCTATGTCGACGGCAATCAACGGGATCATGGCCGCAACGAAAACGCGTTGCGGGCCTGTGTCGCTATGAATTTCGTCTTCTCAGTATTTTATACCAGCCTCGGATGCCTCAGTTGGATTCTCTGCAGTGAGGTATTTCCGACGGCGATCCGAGCGAAAGGCACTTCATTGTCGACCTTTACCAATTGGTCGACGAATCTCATCTTCGCACAGTGCTCGCCGATTGCGCTCTCAAGGATGGGCTACCGGTACTTCTACATCTTCATGGCCTTCAACTGGGTTGCGGCGGCGGTGGTGTATTTCTTCTACCCCGAGACCCAGGGCCACACTTTGGAATCCGTGAACGAGTTGTTTGGCGATTTGAAAATTAGTCACTCTGCTGGATCCCCTCAAAGTGATGATACCGGCGGCGTATATCCCAGGAAAGCGTCGGTCGAAGTCTGTACAGAGTTTTTGACACCAGATTCGAATACGGCTGCACCTCAGAGGGCCCACGACCATAAGATCGAGCCAGCTTGACGAGAACTTTTGACCATCTCGGAACTGACTTTGGCAGGTGTTAAAAGAGCCCAGCCCATTGAGTATGAAAAATGAGTTGCTGTCGCTAGTGTCAACTTGTAGGAATATGACTTACTAGAGCAGAACGGCCGCGTATGCATACTGTACATGTTCCCCTCAATTCCCCTCTGCTCTGCTTCTGACATCCTGCATATCCCCTAGCCTGGTAGTGGGCCGGTGAAGATGAGAGCACTTGCTAACGGGATCGGGATCCCACGTCTCTACCAGATCCCTTCAACCACCCGGTCCGGCTGAGTTGTTTTTATATATGTATATACCATATTGGTGTGAGACATCTAAGGCTTGTCTGTGTTTCTCGAACAGCCTCGTGATGTTGTCAATCCAACGGACGGCTCGTCCCTGTGATAGGCAGGTCATTAGAAATAAGAGGTGAATCACGCTAATGAGACCGGAGTTAACGAGTGAGCCACGCGAGAAATCTAGCTAGCCCAACGCCACCAAACTCTACAAGCAACTGAGGGGTATTCCAGGATATAGTGCATCGGAAGCCTCTGGTCGCTGGAGCTTGTGGAACTCTCGATGGTGACCCAAAGAGAGCAAGAGGAGGTGCATTTCGGTTTGGGAATCCCGGGGATCTTGCAGCTGTTTTTTCCCTTCAGACTTAACTCCGCTGCCGAATGTTATCGAGAAAGCGTATTCGTCGATAGGCGAGGCATAGGTTTTCAGAGTTGGGTGTGATTCAGTGGATGCGACCAAAGGCTAAAGAGCCCCATCCGACCGGCTTGAGGAGAATCCCCAGGGCTCAATCCGCTCGATCGGCGTTTGTCCACCAGTCACCACCCAGCTCTTGGATCGGAAGCCCACTGCTTTGCCTCTGGAGAGGCTATCAATGGCTGTTTCTCTGCAGGGTTGACGGTCACCATCAAGCCCTGGAGCACAGGGAGTCCCTGCTCGCACAAGTGCCCTATTCAGTCACTCCAGTTCCACCCGGGAGACCAAATCCATTATTCATCTCCAATGACGGCATCCTCCCCGGCAAAAGGTCCCAATGGTTGAGTTTTACTGTGAGAACACGCCCAACGACAGTGGATCAGCGCGAGATCGGTGCTCTGGCCGTTCTGGTCTTCTGGCTAATGTCGTACGTTTCGTACCTCAAACTTATCACTCGTCCTTTTCCTTTTTTTTTTTAATTCAGAGTACTCTACCTTTCTCATGTCCCTATCTGTCGCCTCTCTTGGCCTCGAAATCCGCCACTCTGAATTGCGGGGCTGCTGGATCTTCGCATCTTTGCCTCCGAGTCTGACCCCATTACCGACAGAACTCTTTCTCTTTGCACTTTTTTAGGGCCTTTCAGGTGCTCTTCATGCGTCACCGAGTTCGGGCCAGTTCAACCTCGACTTCAATCTGTGAGCGAATGCGAACAACAGCGTTCGTCTAATTTGCCATCTAAATCTGCCACACTCATGGGCGACCACGAGATGGTGACACCCAAATCCTTGGACCAGCCGTCAGACGAGGCTACAGAAAAGGATCCTGTAACTCCCGTCGCCGTCGCTTCAGGCCTCAATGACTCAAATACGTCTGACTCGCGTCCCGAGTCTCCTTCGGCCGACACGCCACCTAGCGACGCCAATGCTAAACCACCAGGACCCATGCAAAAGCGGCGAAGGGTGACCAGAGCTTGTGATGAGTGTCGGCGCAAAAAGATCAAGTGCGACGGCAAGCAGCCTTGCACGCATTGTACCGTGTACAGCTATGGTGCGTTGACATTGTTGATCTTGAGAATGCGGCCGCTTGGAAGGAAAATGGGCTGACTTCGACTTTCAGAATGTACCTACGACCAGCCGTCAAACCGAAGACGAAATCCCGCACCACAATATATCGAAGCCTTGGAACAAAGATTGCACAAGGCCGAGTCGATATTGCGCTCCGTTCTGCCTGGGCTCGACCTCGACGATCCCAAGTTCGACGCACGAACTGTTGAGCAGCTGATAGAAACCTCGTTGACCGCCAGCGCGAATGCTAACGGCAATGGCAGAACACCGGCGGAGACTCCGAAAACGGATGACGATGCTCAGCTTCAATCAATGGTCGACCGCACCGGCACTCTGGATTTGGATGATTACGGCAACTGGGATTTCTACGGCCATTCATCAGGCTATGTGTTTATGCGAAAATTTCGTGCCCAGTTCGGAGATCAGTTCTTGTACGATTATCGACATTCTGGGAAGAATCGCACGATATCCCAGATTCTCGAATCTCCCAAATCCGCACACTCCTCCCCATATGACTTTAATCTCCCACCAGGCGTGGATTTACCGCCGATGGAGGTGGCTATTGAATTATGTCGAAACACCATCGATGACTGTTGCGCCTTGATGCGCCCCCTGCACCGACCGAGATTTTTCAGCCGATTGCATGCCGTGTACGATACGGACCCGGAGCAGTATAACAATGAACATGTTCAGTTTCTGCCTCTGCTTTACGTAGTCATGGCTGTCGGTTGCTTGTTTTCCAAGGCTGAGAACGAAAACACCATGCTCGACCTCAAGGGTTACAAGGAGGCGATAGAGCAAGGGTAAAGTCTTCAATTTTTCCCTAAGCGCTATCTTTTTTTTTTTTTTTTTTTTCTGACCTAGCTCTAGGTATCAATACTTCAGCATGGCAAAGCAAATGCTGGACATCACAGACTGCCGAAACTTGGTGACCATTCAAGCAATCGTCTTCATGATTATGTTTCTCCAATCGTCAGCCAAACTCCCGATCTGCTACGCGTATATTGGCATCGCCCTGAGAGCATGTTGTCGCTTAGGCCTGCATCGAAATTTACCCAACAAATTCAATCCCATCGAGCTGGAGGAACGAAAACGGATATTTTGGTTGGTCCGAAAAATGGACTCGTACGTGGGCGCTGTACTCGGTCTACCACAGATGTTGAGCGACGATGATATCGATCAAGAATTCCCCACCGAAGTCGACGACGACTACATTACTGAAGAAGGGATCCAACCTATGCCAGCCAGTACATTCCCTCTGTTGAGGGCAACTAATGCGCATACCCGATTGACGAACATCTTGAGAAAAGTTGTGCGCTACATCTATCCCATCAAGAGCTCCGACAACGCCCAAGCAGATCACAAATACAGCATCAGCCATAAACGCATCCGAGAACTCGAACGCGACCTGCAGAATTGGATGGATCAGTTACCGATGGAATTGAGGCCGTCGGATACTGCATCCCCGCAACTGTCAAGGTGAGAATTGTGACCGGTGACGACTTTTCTTTGCAGAGGAAGAAATCTGACCGTGCATATCCAGGGTCCAACAACTCCTTCGAATCTCGTACGCACACGTCCAGATGATGGTCTATCGACCTTTTATACACTACGTATCGCAGACATGCCAGGCGCGGAACGTGGACAAGCGGAGCTTTGCATGTGCAGCTGCATGCATCAGCGTTGCACGAAATATTGTACATATAACGAGTGAGATGAAGAAGAGAGGCCTCCTAGTCGGGTCGTACTGGTTTGTCATGTATACGACATATTTTGCCATTTTGTCGCTTGTGTTTTTTGTGATCGAGAATCCCAACAGTTCCACCAGCAAAGATATATTGAAGGATGCCGTGGAAGGTCGGGATACCCTGGCTGCTCTGGCGAAACGCAGTCTCGCCGCGGATAGGTGTTCTCTCAGCTTAACAGTAAGCCGCCCAGCCTCATCGGGACAGCATCGTTCAAGACAACCGGCTGACAGTGGCATTCTCATCCAGGGTCTCTTCGACGTGCTCCCCACAAAGCTGAAAGAACGACGGACTACTCTCGGTTCTACCAACACGAATTCTCGAAAGCGGCCCCCTCCAGTAAGTGAACCAGGACCAGTTTTACAAGAGAGACAAACAGCGCAGTACATGGGGACGCCGACCAGCCTGAGGGAAAATTCAGCAACGCCTTCTCGAGCTAGAACGCTTCCATCCGATTTCTTGGCCAAATTGGCGAAGCGTCATTCAATGCCGGATCCCCCAGTCCTGACAAACTTTGGTGAGGGCGTCAATTCGGCACATATCCAAACACCTCAGTTGATAGGGTATCAAAGCCCGACGGTGCCGTCTCCGATGTCCGCAGGCTTCGAGGTGACGCCGCAGTTGGGCAGTGCCCAGATTCCGGACCTGAAGAATGTTATGTTCCCCAGCGACAATCCATTCGCATACCCGAACCAGCCCATAAGCACGCTTGAGTCGGTGGACGGACAGTATGCATTCCCAGACTCAAGCATGTCATCGAACGACGATGGCTTGTTTGGCACGCCTACGAGCAGATCCGTCCCGATCCTCCCTTCGGCGCCGCTGAGCTACGACTTCCCGTTCCGACATACGACGAACGAATGCTTCCCACCATTCGACGCGCATGACGGGACCTTCTCCGCACCGCTGACGGATATAGTCATGCCAAAGGCCATTGGCTCTAGCCCCTTGCATCTTAACGGGATGCAGCACGTTCATGAGGCCATGGCCATGCAGGACATCATTGGTGGGCCCAACCCAGAGGAGTATTGGGGAGCAGGCCAACATTTGAACATGAACATGAATGCGGACACGAATAAAGGGTGCATGGAAATGGACATACAACCTGGTGGTTTGGATGAGTATTTCAACTCAGACAACTGGAATCATCAGGGCTGGAGGGAGCCAGAGTATTCCTCCCCCCCATCCCATCAACAGCAATGATGTATCTATTGACGAGAAGAACGACCCGGCACACGCATGGCTCCAAAAGGATGTGGCGTTTGTTTCTTTCGGCTGTCGAGATGTTTTATCGACCGGTATATCTAATATGTCTCTCGCATGGACTTTCCGTGGACCAAAGTTGGCATTTTGCGTTGTAAATTGCATCACGATACCATTTCTCCCGGAATTGCGGAACACGATCCAAGATGGTGAATTGATGGACTGGTTGACTGACAGAGCCGCTGTCTTTTTTTTTTTTTTTTCAATTGGCGTTGCGGAGAAACGGATTGGTGGATTCGAGCCAGGCTTTGAGCAAAGCATGGCGGAATAGAGCGAGTCTCAATCATAAAAGGGGAAAAGGCGACAGCAGCAATGAAACGGGGCTGGCTCTACGTCAGACACAGAAACCCAATGCCAGAGCAGATTTAGCACCAGCTCTGATGGAATGGAAAGCATACGCATTCTAATATGGTAGAGAATGTAATATCCTACCGCTCGCAGTGGCGAGATTTAAGCCGTGCGGTTTGGATAACAGCGGTACCCGATAAATTAATAAATTTGAACATCGTAAGTATGACGAGTAAAGCCACGTCAATTTCGATTTCACGACCGCTGGCATGACGACAGGGATATATATTGCATCCTTTAAAGTGCGACGATCCGACGGAAGGGAAAAAAGAAAGCATCTGCTATATACTATGCATGGAAGTATTGTTCGGATCGTCAAGCGAGGTCGTGGAAATGGGTTGACAAGAGAGGCTTTCTGAACGTTTGTTTCTGTCAACATTGTATTTTTCTGAAGCTTTGATGCGGCGTGGACGACGAGAATATTTGTTCCTTCCATGCACCCTACTCTTTTCCTTTGACTCATCTTCCGTATCATTGATGTTGGTGGATAAAATCAACGCCCCAGCATTTCCGCCATGCTAGTATTGCAAGATTGCATTTTCCGCTGTGCTTCCAAGAGAATTGGCAAAAAAATTTCTTGCCATGAGATTCCACGCCCTTGGCGAAAACCACAGGGATAGGAATTCCATGGCGAGGCTGGGCAAAACAAATTTCATGGCACGGAGAGGAATCTCTTGGTCATTGCTTTTGCCAAGGGGAATGGAAGGGGACGGAGGAGGCTTGGGTTCACTTGACGTCGATGAATTGTGCTCCAGCACTCATCGTTATGACGGCACGCTGCGCGTGTCTCGTTGACCACGAGGCCACCAAGAATGCCAGAGACTGCGCCGTGTTGGGAAATTTCCTCGTGGCGGGACAATTGATTTGACTTGCCTTCCATTGCCGCTGGAGGAACTTGGCTTGTTGCTTTGCGCAAATGAGTTGAAGATATCGCTATTACCTAGAAGTTCTACAGACGTCTGTACCGTGCGGGAATGTATGAGTATTCTATAAATACTACGGGGTACGAAGGGGGTTCAGCTTATAGCAGACATGTGGCTGTCATTTACTAGCATCCCGCCTTGTATGTGACATTGCATTCTAACCTACTTGATCACGGTAGATCAAGTCCGAAAAACATGATCGAATTCGCCATCTATTTGTATAACTAGGTTGGAAGGTTCGACAATCCATTGGACGGTAAGGAGAAGGTCACATGGGCCACGAGTTCGAACTGGGGAAGCGTGCTGATAGTACCCTCGGATTTGCGATGTGCCTCTGTAAATGATTTCTGAGAAGCGTGCCGAGAATATGCTTGGCTAGTAGTCCGACGGGTTTCCAAGAGATTCCGGTCTTGGATAGTAGAGGTGGGACATGGTGGAAAAACGCTTTGAATGGTGTGCAGTGTCGTAACAGATTTGCCACCATTGTAACATTTGGTGATTGGCAATTTGTTGCAATTTTGTTCGCAAACGCCCCGTGCAAGTGCTGCGCCTCCTTCGTCTTGCCCCCTTTGGTCTTGGTATCCTGATTCTTGTCCCGCCCCCCCTCCAAGAGTCCAAGAAATCCAAGAAGCGTCCAAGAATTTCCGAGAGTACCAAGAGCCCAAGACCTGAGGAGGGATTGATGCAAAGAGGAGGACAAGAAAGAACAGTTGCAACATGCTTGGCCGCCACTCCACCCGCTGAGCAAGTGAGATTGAACTCAATAAACAGCGGATGGGAAGTTTGCTTTTTCGGTGAGGAACCTCGCATCACTGCCGACGGAGGATGCGGCTAATTTGTAAGGGTGATGAGCGCAGGCCGGCTTGCTGCGTCGGAGAGACTGAGTGGGAGAAGAGAGTTGAGTAATCCCGTCAGTGGGGCAATTCCTGCAACGTCTGCAGCGCGCGCTGCCAGTGGCTGCCAACAGTGGATGCACGGTCGCACCTTCTAGCCCGGTAGTGCCTTGGCAGACGAATCAGGGCTGGGCGCCAAGCCCGCTGACGACTAAAGCACTTGGCGCTGGGTCGGAACTCAAAGACTCTACGGACCTGAGGTTGAGAAGGTTTGAGTCGCCGTAGCCTCTCATTCTTTAATGCTAAAATGTTATGGACATGGGCAGGAACGCTCGCAACCCCCCTTCCCGGCGCCCGCCCATGCAAACCCCAAAAGCCACTCTCCCTCCTCCCGCCAAACGTAGTTTTCGTTTTCTTCTCCTCTGGCCTCCGTAGTCGAGCTCAATCTTCCCTCGATCGTCCCTCCTTGCCTCTTATCGCGATTTCGCACCTAGGCGAGTCAGGATCCAGTATCCCCGGAACCCGTCTCCCCAGCGCGGGTACATAGTCTCCCACTCTCGTCGAACTTGCCCGCGCTTTCACACAAAAACTTTCTCCAGCTTATATTTTCACCTCCTTCACCCTTCAACCACCACCCCCCTTCCAAGGCGTTGTCGTTTGAGGAGAAGTGAATCCCAAGATTGCTCGCAGCCTCGTTGCTCTGCGTCGCGCTCCCTCTCTTTCGCCAAGGTCCACCACCCTTTTATATCTTGGCTTGATTCTTGCGCTCAAGCTTGGCAACTCGTAAACCGACAATGTCTGATCTCGGCGAGCCCAACACCACTACCGCCACCACTACCACCACCACCACCACCTCCTCCTCCAACCCACCGGCTCCTCAGGATGTCGTTCAACAGCAGGGCCAACTCCAGCAGCCTCTGATTCAAAATCAGCCTGCTCCCGCCAATGTCAACTCGACTGGCGAAAACCTGCAGTGCCAGTGGCAAGGATGTGGCGAGCGCTGCAATTCTCCAGAAGCCCTCTATGTGAGTACCCTCATTCGGAAATGCCTGCGAAGACAATGGGGTCTCTTTCGTACTGACCGGTCGTCCTAGGAACACGTCTGTGAGCGCCATGTCGGCCGCAAGTCCACCAACAATCTCAACCTGACCTGCGCCTGGGGCCAGTGTCGTACCACCACCGTCAAGCGCGACCACATCACCTCCCACATCCGGGTCCACGTCCCCTTGAAGCCTCACAAGTGCGAATTCTGTGGAAAGGCCTTCAAGCGCCCCCAAGATCTCAAGAAACATGTCAAGACCCACGCAGATGATAGTGTCATCATGCGTTCTCCCAATATGGACTCAAATGGTGGACAGCGTCAACCACAGAACGGCATGCCTCAAGGTGGGGACTACAACGCCTCATACTATGGTCACGGTCTGACAGGACAAGTCCCCCCCAACTACTATGCCCCTGCCATGCCCGGTCCTCAGGACTATGCCGGCCAGCATCATCCAAATCAATACTATCAGCCTCATCCTCAAGTCCCGGTAAGGCTTCCTTCCTCCACCCAAACAACCTCCCACCCCTCTTTGAAAACGCAGGAACCCTGACAGTGTCTAGGCTGGCCAACACCCAGGATATGGTCCAGTGACCTATTACAGTACTGCCCCGCAAACCACCTACGACTTCGAGGCTCGCAAACGCGGCTATGATGCTCTGGACCATTTCTTTGGCCAGGTCAAGCGTCGAGAGCTTGACCCAATCAATTTCCACAATGTCAGCCGTCGTCTCTTCGAACTTCAGGGTCTTCAGCTGCCTCAAATCATCCCTTCCACCGTTTCGGTGCCTGCTTATCAGCCTGTGTCGGTTGGCGGAGCTTATGAACAAGCGGACCCCATTCAAGCTTACAGCCTGCCCCCCATGGGCAACGCAAAGACCCGAGGCGACTTGACTTCCATCGATCAGATCCTCGAACAGATGCAAGCGACCATCTATGAGAATGACACCCATCTTTCCCAAACCGGTGTTGCTCCTGCAGGCTCCGGCTACGTTGGCTACTCCCGCGCGAGCAATAGCCCGCCTAGCACTGGCAATCATCCGTCCACTGCAGCGCACAGCAATCCCGCATCTCTGCTCCAACATCAACATCAGGGGAGCGTTGCAAGCACCACCGATGCCAGCACTCCCGGTCTCACCCCACCGTCTTCGGCTCAGAGCTACACGTCCGGTCAGAGCCCTCTCCAAAATCATGCTGCTCCGACCACCGGCGCCATGTATCCCAGCTTACCGTCCACTGCCAGTGACATGGCCTATGCGGCTGCCAATGCCGCCACTCTCAGCGGCATCTACGAAAATGATCAACGTCGCCGTTACAGTGGTGGCATGCTTCAACGCGCCGCTCCAGCCAAGGGTAAGGATGATATGGATGTTGTTAGTGACGGCTCCATCACTCCACCGGCCTCCTCCACCGTCCACAAGCCATCCAAGGGCAAGAAGAAAGCCTCTCCTCAAGACAGTGTGATTGATCCCGCCCTTTCTGGAGACGCTAGCACTCCCAAGAGTGACACCAAAGATCCCGACCAAGAGCAAATCTGGGTCCAGAATATGCGTCTGATTGAGTGGATGCGTGATTACATCAAGAAGAGGCTTCAGAGCGGTGAATTCGAAGAAGATGATGGCAAGGAATCTTCACCCAAGCACGGCGGCGAACTCGACACCGACATGACTGGCAGTGACGACCGCAAAGACAAGTCCGAGGAGGAACAACTCTATCCCGTCCTCAGACACGTTGAGGAGAGTGCATAGGGTGTATTCTACTATCATTGAACGTGGCGACAGGATGACTATGACAACTGATCGAAAACGGGCGGAAGCGGCTTTTTTTTTTTTTTTTTTTTTTTTTGGAGATCAACGGGCTTGGAATGAAGCATGTCCAATGGGGGGAGGGGAGTTGAACGGCGTTGCTGATGGAATGGGCTCGGAAAGGATTACCACGACTCTTCATTACTTATCAATGTATGTCAATATCGCGCAACGAGTGGTGACCCGGCGACAAGGAATGAATCCAGAGGACAGCTCGAATGCGAAGAAACACACGCACATCGTGTTGATTCTCAAATTGCTCGAAAACATATTCGCCTTGCAGGCATGTTCGTCATCACTCATCAGACAGATCAGCAGACAGACAGATGTGAAAATGTATGGGGTATGACTCGAGTTTCCATTTTCTTTGCTCTCGAAGCTATCTGCTGTCGATCTCGGTATAGAATTTGTTCCTTTCCTGCCTGCCTACCTGTCCGCCTTCCTCTCACCTCTCACCTTTCTCGCTTGTAGCGTAGTGCATGTTGAACCTTCGCTTCTTGATTCTGTACTCGACAGTCTACTTCCTGTCTAATGATGACTTAATTAAGTAGGCCACCTCGGACCAGAAACCAAGAAAAAGGAGGAAAATTACAGGGTTAGAAATGAAATGACCGTTCGGAGATGTTTTGGGAATATGGATATAATATCAGGACCATAGAAAGAGCGCGTGAAACAGGCCAGTGACGGTGGTATGTGACTTGACTACCTTGGGACAAGGCAATACCAAAAGTACCATATGTACCTAGGTAGGTAACTGACCATCGTCACGACTGTTGATCATGATCAGAATGGAGTCGGTATGTCGTCGTGGTCGTAAGATAAAACCGTCACTTCCATCGGAGAGTGGGAGGCCTATTGGAGAGAATGGGGAGGAAAGCCTGTGTGATTCATATTGAGGCGTTGTGTCTCATATCGATCAACTAACCAATCGTGCCATCAAGGCTGACAATGGCAATCATGCTGGGACCATAACTTCTAATTTTCGCATTATCCTTTCATCTCCCACGCTTTCAACATGGCCCTCTCCCTAATTTGATTCTCTTGAGTCTCACATCTCGACAGCGCTCGTCTGACGAGATCCTGTTCGAATCGCAACTCTGCGAGTTGACCTTTGGCCCAATTTCGGTGTCGAGGGCAGCGATTCTTGATACACACTCCTCCTTTCTTAGGCATGGTGTCCAACTCATCTTCTTCTTCGTCTGCGCTGTCCGGGTTCGAATTGGACTTGACCCTGTTGATTCCATTGGGTTTCTTGTCTGCGTCGTCGGAGTTGTCGTCAGGAGGTCCAATTCGGCCATGTGCACCCGCCCCCAGGATCTCTTTACCTCCCTTTCGGTGATACCATGTGAGAAACTCTTCATCGCACCATGACATTCGAGGATCAAACCCACACACGTCCTTCATCTTCGGATGTGTCTTTCTCACTTCTTCCGTGATGCTGCTAGATCGTGCTTTCACCAATCCAAGGAAAGCTTCCCGTGCCATAAGCATGTCGTACCTTTCATTGAGTTGTCGCTTCTCTTCGTCAATACTGGCCAGTTTGGTAGTTTCCAAGTCGTCAAATTCCAGGGGGGGAGGTTTTGATTCAGTCACATCCATTTCCCGAGGCGGTGTGTCTGGTTTTCTTCCTAGAGCTCTCCAGTCTTCAATGGTTTTGCATCTGTCTAGAAGCGCTTTGATTTCTCCCGCTCGCAATGCAGCACCTCGATTGGGAAGCATATCATCGTCAAGACTGCTGTCCGTCTCGTACTCGGTCTTCTCTTCATCACTATAGGCAGGCGTCGCAAGACGGCTGTCAGAGTTGACGAGGTCTCCAACGTCTCCATTGGCAAGGCTGAGAATCGGCTTTGGAACCTTGTTTCGGGCGTCAGGTCTCTTGTGTTTCTTCCGAAGTTTCTTCGACTTCGCTGCCTCGATGACATATTGGCCATCTCGGCTTGTCTGCACATGAGGATCGCCCCGTTGGACCAATTCCACGAAGAACATACGCCCACAAACATCCGAGCAGTATTTGCTGGGAGGATCCTGCGTCACCCTAGCTGGCTTTCTGCAGTCTTTGCGCCGACACATGCGCTTCCAGGTTGTCTGTAACCCGGGTTTCGTACAGTTCGGACAAATGTATTTGTCGATGAGCTCCCCGTCTCGTTCTCGAATGTTCACACAGTTGCCATGAAACCACTCATCACATCCACCATCGCATGCAATCATCCATGTATGATTGTCCCCCTTGCGGCAGATACAAAATACCTCACCGTCATCATTGGAGCTTGTCGGTGTGTCTGCCATCGAGGGAGAGGGAGAATTAACCTCGAGAGAAACGGCACGCGAGGATGGAGGGGGGGATGATTTGACGCTGGCAGCAGATGTCTGCTTCTTGAGCTTCGATGGCACAGGCTTCAAGTGTGTCGAGGCCGGAGTGGCACTGGGGGAACGATAAGTCGATCGTCCCAGCGGAGGACTTTGCTCGGATTCGCTGAGCTTAGATCTCTTATTCGGCGCGGTCGAGCTTTTGATCTTTGCTGTTCCCTTCTTTTTGGCCGCTGCCGAGAGCGGCTTGCCAGAGTCATCGGATGCAGGTCGTTTTTTGCCTGCCAATGGCACCGGGGTTGCAAATGGCTCCGTCGAAGACGCTCGCGAACCTGTGATAGACGGTTCTTTCTTGAGACTCACGACAGCGCTCGTCGGAGTGGGAGACGGTTCTGCAGGAACACGGACAATCTCGTCCTCGACTGGTTTATCATTCTCGTCGTGGTCTTGCCCCTGCTCCTCCCGTTCCTCTTCTTCTTTCCGCTTCGCGGCTTTTTCAGCCTTTGTCGGTTTGGGAGGTGGTGGAGGCGGACCTCTGGCAATAATATCTTCTAGTGGCTCGACTGGCTCACCGGTAGAAGGCTCGACAATGATTTCCAGACTGCGTAAAGGTTCCCAAGTCTTTGTGTTATGGATTTTTGAAATGTGGTCCCTCACAGAACGGCGCCTTGTAAATAGTTTGTTACATAGGTAACAGAGATACCTTCGATCGGTGTGCTGTCCTTCATTTTTGGAAGAATGTACGGTAGACTTGGGAGGTGCATCTGGATCGACCTTTCTGGACCTTCCTGGATGTTTGCGCGGTTTAGGAGCATGCTCTGGAGTATCTTGTGCCGGCGCCTTATCCACTTGCAGAGTCTCTTCTACCATATCCATGATCGAGGAGTTTGCACCAGGCATCGTCTCGTCATCCAGTGGGGGATAGGGCGTATCGATGATTTCCTGCTTGATTTCCTCCTCGTTAAAATGGATATCATTATTCGAGGTCTCCATCTCTTTCATGTCGCCTCCTTCTCCCACGACGACCCCGACACCCGGCGCGTCGGGAACGAGGGATTCCTGTGTAACAGGCTCGTCGTTATTGTGAGAGTGGAAAAGTTCCGGCGCAAAAAAGACGGAGGTGGGTTCCGTCGACTCCATACTAGAAGAAGGGAATTAGTCCCAAAAAGAATCTCGCAGCGATGAGAGAGAGGTAACTAACTCTTGCGAAGCGCCAGCAGAATTTTTGACATAGGGCGATGCCGCTCCAGATGCTGGAGCAGGGTTAACCCGGGGGGGTTGTCAGTCACCAAAGTCACCTTCGCCCCGGAGGACCACCAACCCTAAGTAGATATGAGGGAATGAATAAAGCAGAAGTGAGTCAAGTGTTGTAGATGCAATCAAATGAAGCGTTAAACAAGTCGAGGGAGAGTAAATGTTGGTCGGCAGGATTCCTGCAGAACGAACGCGCTTTTGGATTGTTGAGAAAACGTGATGGTGCAGCCGAATTAAGCTCGTCCATTTGCCTTCGCCAGAAGCTGTCTACAATCGTTTATGAACGGTCGGTAATGTAGCTACATGTCTATGTATCCTTCTCTTCCTCCTCCCCAACTAGATTTCAACTGGAAGGTCTATTGAAAGGCTGGCCGTGCAGCAACGTAGAACAGAAAGTAACACTTAGATGGCCAGGCCAGGAAGAAGAGTAGGAAGAGGGGGGGATATTTGAAAGGGCGCAAAAAGGGTAAGAAACGCCTACGTCGGCACTGCCGTCAGCCCGTGGCCTGCTTCTGAAGTCGTCAAACCGCCGCCCGCCGCTCGCTCTCCCAACCTCCAATTTGGTTTGAAAAGGAATGTCCACAGTCGGTACCGCAAACATTGAATCTATCCGAAGGGGTTACTCGATTGCCCTTCGACACTCTTCACGCCTCACCAGCTTGATCAAATCAATCCATGCCGCCCGCCAATTCACCCACTGTAAGAACACCTTTCCCCACTGGACTGGCTTGGTGATCGCCAGTGGAAGCGGCATTTTGTGGTCTCTGGAGGAAGCCCTTGATTAAATTCCAAGGCTCTTGCTCGACTTCGGCGTCTGTCTTCTTTCTTGTATCTGGAACATCAACTCACTTGTGTTGTCTGATAGGACACCCGCCCTTCCACTCCTCCAAACCCTAACCTCTACTTTCGTCAACTCGAAGAAGCTATTTATTCTCCAGTCCCGGATCTCGCTTCTACTTTGAACCTGAATCCTGCCGAAGCTCCTTCGCAAAACGAGGAAGGATCCCGCACTGAAATCCCAAGTGTGCACAACCCCCGACTCTCTGGCCAAGCCAGAGGGCAACGGGAGAGTCGTACAACCACTGGGTCGGAAGATATCGAGGGAACCCGACTAGAACGAGCAGAAGAAACAATATTCGCTCGCAGAAGCTATTTGACTGAAGCAGAATTCCAAAATTGGTCGTCTGAGAATCGAAGGAGAGCTATCATGCAAAGCCAAAGAGCCAGAACTCGGATGAGCGCTTCTCCCACCAGACAAAGAGAAGGCCAGCGGCAAAATTACGCCACGACCGGTCCGGGCCCTATCCGGGAAAGCCTATATGATTGGGCGGTCACCGTAGCACCGAGTCAAGATTCGCGAGATCTGAATTCGAGCGATGACAGTGATGAGGATATGGAAGGGACCAGCACCGCGGCCCCAAATACGGACATCGACGCAAGACGGGATCTGCAGCGCCTGGAAAGGGCTCTCCAGAGCTATCGCTCGGCGCGGAATGCTCTAAGATTGGGCAGAACATCAGATATGGGAACCGTTCCTACGGCCGGTGCTCTTCGTGCGTTTTGGAACGAGGAGACCAGCGAAAATGTGCCCGCAATGAGATCATCCGGATCTGGATTTTCGAGTCAATATCAACAAGAGAGACAAGAGAGACGAGAGAGATTCCGGCGACACAGGGAATTAATCAGGTTCCTCTCTGACGAGGGAAGACGTCTGGACCTTGAGTGTCGGTTGACAACACGGAAAGACCGTCGAAGAGCTGAAGCGTTTACACGGGTGAGAAATTCAATTCGATATCTCTCTCAACTGAGACATACCGGGGTCGAGGGAGGCCTGGAATTGGCCAGGCAGCTTGGCCTCGACTCACTGTACGAGTCGGAGGAAGCAAACATCCCTAGTGATTTGCCCATGCACGTCAACAGTCTTCCTATCCCGCAATACAGCTCATGGCTAGAACCAGGCATGGTCTGGCACGGTCTGCAGTCGACAGATCGAGATGCTGCAATTCCCGAAGATTCTCACACCATCCGTCGACAGAGGCAACGAGAACTTTTTCGTCGGACCCTCGAACGGAGAAGAGAACTGGGCATGGGCAATCTTGAAGAAGGTCCCGTATGGGACGCGGTGCAACATTTCTCTGACCCCCTGCAGGACAACAATGGTCGATGGGGATCATACCACCCTCCTCAGTCTCCATCCCCTCTTCAGACTTCCGAGGCTGACCATTGGCCCGTCAAAGTGATTATCCATTCCGCCGACTACGATGCTATGACGCTCACTGGAACAATGTCGGCAAGCCACCTGCCCGATAAACTCTCACCTCTGCATCGAGCTACTTCTCCACAGCTCGCGACGACTACCAGTATGTCTTCATTTTTCACTGGAGAAATCATTGATTTTCGACGACAACCGTTGGAGACCGAAAGTGAAGGCCGCAGCTATCGGGTTGGTGGGCTTGACACCGATGCACGTTATTGGGCACGTCTGGGTCCCTTTAGAAAAGAGATTGAAAAGGTCAGAAACTTGCGTGGAAAGAGTAGGAGTGAGTACCAGCAGGATAGCCGACTCTGGGATGCATTTAGAAAGGCCGCGAATCGGGATGGAGAAAACAAAGATTCAAACGGCCCCTCTGGCATGCCTCCTCCACCGACAGGGACTGGTGAGACAGGAACAAGGGACAGTTCCGAAGGCCACCTAGACTCAACTGACAATCAGCCGAGCGCTCTGTCAGCAGAAGCCGCAGAAAGCAGGGAAACGGAAGACGATGAAGTCATGGCCCGCAGCCTGGGTAGTGCCAAATGGATAGAAGAGAAATTGGGAAGAGAATGGATACTCATGCGTTGGAAAGAGCGTTGTTTTGTCACACCCACTGGGTCGTCATCAAATGTTAATCCGACCAGGACCATCTTCACAATGACATCTTCGTCCACAATTCCCACCGGACCTTCCCCGGACACCACCGCGCAAGGCAGCACTTCTTGGGGCCTCACGATCTCTGGGTTCTACTATATTGCGTTGAATCGATTGACCGGAGAAATTGATGGTCTGTATTTCGACCCAGGATCCCAACCGTACCAAGCGCTCAAGATGGTTCCTGATGGGACTCCGATGCGTGGAGTGGTCTCCGAAAGCCGGAGCGAAGGTAGCCAGGAGGCTGGCCAGGCAATTCCTAGCAAATTGGCCCACGGGGAGCGTTGCATTTGTGGATGCGGCGAGCAGAATTGTAAAGAACGTGTCGGGTTGAAGAAATGGTTCCCATCTGTCGAGTTTCGGTAAGACAGATTGTGGAAGCGACAAGCATGGCTCCAAGAACTGTGTCAAATACTGATGAAGACGTTGCCGGGGAATGGATATTGCTTTTCACGGCGAGGTGCTTTCCTGATTGCTGAGTGGCGGGATTGGTTATGCCCGTGGGGCGGACTTGGCTACATATGGTTACCATCACTTTCTCCATATGGAGAGTGTTTTCCCTTCTCGCTGTTCTTGTTGGTTTGGCTGCAACCGGACTGCTTCATCCGCCTCTCGATACGCATCATAGCCATACAGCCATGGCTGGATATCTGGACATGTCCTGCACCGTTCGTCAGCGCATTCCGTGTGAGCAAGACCGACAGTTTCCTTTACCACCGGCTGGGGAATTTACAAGATGCCTCCTTGCCGAACTGCGAGGCGAAAAGTTCGTCTCGTTTCTGCTGAGCCGGGTCCATTACGCAGGTGGAACGCGTCTCTTTGATGAAACGTCTCTCGCACAGTCATCTCACTCCTCGATTTTCTCAGGCTCTCATACAGAGTAATCGCCCAGGGGATTTGCTCGCGACACTCGACGTACAATAAGAACTTCCCCAGTACTGCACCGTGCTCAATGAACGAATTCGCGCCCTGAGCTAAATGGGGGGGAGCATTGGATGACAGGAGTCCCCGATAAGGACAAAGCCTTTGTAGGAATTCGTCCGGGGATTCTACCTCTTCACGATGCATTAACTTCCATTTTGTCAACCCTGTCTATCTGTGCCAAGAAACGAGTCAAGGTCGGATCCCACCCAGAAGGTCATCGGGACAGAGGACAATGTTATACATGGTGCCAGCCCGAAGCGAATAGGCTACCGCGCGGGAATGGGGTCCTTTCCAGAAATGTACCTATGGGTTGGCCATCCATTGTCTCAATTCAGGATCGTTGATGCGGTCGAGTTCAAGGACGATTCTGTACGCAACATCTCCTGTCGGCTAGGGGCTTGTCCAACTTACAGGTTACAAACGACTTCTCAACCAGACTCAAGCAGAACCTTTGGCCCGTCTGCAGTGCTTTCAATCGACGAGACTCGTGAGCTCTGTTCCACTTTCAGTCCCAGGGATACCGCATTGCCCTACAAGATCCTCTGGAGGTCAACACGGTGTATGTCGATGAATGGAGCACCATATTTTCGGCGAATGTTCTGATCGAAATCCCTTCGGCAATTTCTCTCTGTCAATATATCTGTGCATGGCGAGCAAGGCGGACTCTGCTGCCAGCGCTTCAGCTGAAGACTCCAGATCTCATCGTCGAAACAATCTTGATGCATTGGGCCTGATTTGAAGTCTGGCTCCAAATTCAGTGAGTCCTTTGGCGGCTTCGATAATGTTGGCCTTGTGGTTTGCTTGGGCGCATGAAATAGAAGCTGCCAACCCTGCTCCCACGATCACAATGTCCGACCTCTGCTCTAGCGTATGCATGTTGGTTCAATTGAAAGTATATTTCGAACGTATCTTCGTGGTCTCTTTCGCACAGCTCCCCAAGGTAAATGCAATTGAACAGCTAATCAGATCATCGTCGGATCAAGTCACCGAAAGTAATTGCCTGAATCACGACGTGACAAAAGTCTTCTTCCGGAAGATGGAGTAGCCTGGCTCCTCTCTCCGGTCTCGTAGCCTCGGCCTATGGGGCCATAGCACCCCTTGCTGGCCGAGAAGCCGCGAGAGTCAGCCAACGTCGAATTTGTAAGAACGTAGAAAGGATATATGTACCTCCAATTCCATTTCAGAAATGCAAGGACTCGGTGTAGTCCTAGCAGCATATCGAAGGCCACGGGAATGACCCAAAAGAGACAACGAACAGAGTACTTCCTTGCATGGAGTTCCTCTTGTGAAGCTGTTCCGCCATGATCATGGTGTTTCAATAGATTGAAATCCGAACATGTTTGAATTGGGCCGTCGGATGATTCGGAGGTCTTTGGGAAGGCAGAAACTAATCTAAACCAGCCACGAAGTTGATCATGGTCTTTCAGGGCCGTGATAATGTCATGGCGAGCAACAAAGAGATATTCGAGGCGCTCGACAGTGGGACTTTTCGCATTATGTCAACATTTTTCTCTGCCGAACCCATAGTCAAGGGTCGAATAGGCAGGAACCCAGGAAGTTAGAGCGGTGAGGGCGCGCCCATTAAGCTGGTGTTGAAAATGTGCTCACCGGTCTAATCACTGGTCTCTGGTGACATAAATTGGACTTTGTCTCGAATGGGAAGTCGGTGCGAATTTGCAAACTCGTTGCTCCGCGAGCAAAAATAAATCGGGCGTTAGATAATGTGCTCACCTTTGGTGGTCCAGACGACACTTCTGACCCACACACGGACACAAACTCGCATAGTGTGACACTGTACTTTGCGGACTCGTCATGTTCCATTCTCAGCTCTGATTCCCTAGGCAGGCAATACCTACACACCTCTGAATTGATCAGAGGCAAATTTCGATCCATGATATTGAGAGTTCTACACCTGGACAGCCCTGACAGAGCTCTCCGCTTTGTGATTGGCGGTAAACTAACCATGCCTGACCGCCCCACTCTTCAACAAGCCTCGCCTTTGAGGGCACGAAATATAATGACACCTTTTTACGTCTTCCTCAAGGGACGAGGATTGCACGGAGGATGGACATTTGATAGACTGAAATTCACTGGTAGAATGAATTCTGTGCTGATTAGCTTGAAATTTACCAATGGTTAGGATCAAGTTGCCCGTGTTGAAACTTCGCCGGTCGGTCTGTCTGTCCGCTCGGGTAAACTACGTTTTACATCCTCAAACCTTTCCTATCACAAATACATCCCTGGCATTCTTCCCTGCTAGAATTTGAAGGGCCGTTCCTTGGATATTTCTTCTGGAAGCAATGAGCTGAGTTGGGTATTGTTGTGATAAAGAAAATTCTCCAGTCCATCTGGGATTCCTCTGTGAACCTTCCTTCAAAAGACATCCCTTGTGAACTAGGTCCTCTCGTACCCATTCTAACCACAGCAGCCTGTGATATCAGCAACTTCAGGGGTTTTTCTGCAGTAAAAAAATGGTAAGTAAGATAGTAAAGATACATGAACCCGAGGTAGTTGACCTACTTGATTTCATTCAGAAGCTGATCCCAGCTGAAGATAAATGAGCCCAAAAATGCGCCGATGATGATGCAGATGATAATGTACCCTGTCGCCATTTGTTAGAAATGTGATGCCTGAAGTAATAATTGGACGTACCATTATAGTACATTGCCAACAACATGATGAAGTACGCCACACCGAATTGGACCATGTGTATCAGCGCCCGGACGAACTGGCGTTGAAATAGTGTTCCTCGATTGATATGAGGAGTCGGAAGAGCAGTCATGCCGTTCAAGGCCCAGCCGACGATGGGTTGCTTGCTATGAGATCTCTCCTGCTCGGATGAGGACGGGATCCCATTTGGCGCATGTCGACGAGCGTAAGAATCTGCGGCTTTCATGTCTTGTCGTCGAATCCAAGAATCGTATTCGCGTTGTACTCGACGGAGGAATTCAAGAGAGATGACCAGGCAGATGACACCGATACAAGAGCCTGCGAACATGCCAGAGGAGGTGACTTGCCAACTCTTGGAAATGAAACCTGTACACCAGAAAAGTCAGCTAAGCTGAATTTGATGAAGGGTTAACGGCAGACTTACATGCACCGACAGTGTACCAGTTCCAGGTCATTGAGATCTTGCAGGAGGCACCTCCCATACTCATACCCGACATCGCGGTTGAAGAGGCCATCGCTGAAGACATCGACGTGGTAGGGGTCATTGACATAGACATATCCATATTGAGGAAGTGCTGGCTGCTTGTGAAATTTGTTCAAGTCGAGTCGAAATGTCTTTGAGGATGTTTTGCTCTCAAAGCGAATATGTTGTCCTATTTTATCACGACCGGGCCGGTCAAATTCGGGCTTTTCAGAATGGAAGAGATGGTCCAGTCCAACTGCGGGTTCCCGCATATTTTGAGGGCTTGAGATCCCCGAAAGCCTCCATCGGGTTCGTCTCATGCGTCTAACGCATGTCCTTCTCTGTTTGGCCTCGAATGAAGCACGTTGAGCAAGTTTTGTTTCTCTCCGATTGGCCACGCTGCTGGATTCAATAGCAGGCTTCTTGGCCCCGGAATGTCCTTTATCATTCCACTGAGCGGGATCCACTTCACACTGTTCATCTGGTGAGTTGTTCTTTGGTTCTTCCCCCCCTTTTTCCTGGAAAACTGAGGTGCCGAGAAGCGTGCTGTCTTCTGTTTCAAGGCAGGAGCACAGGAGACCACCTCTATTACCACCTGCCCATGGACCAAACTCACCTGATAGCCTAATGCGTCTCGAATCGAGCCACCCGATGCATAATATCTAAAGCTTATCACTAACAGTCTGGATCTGTCGATGGATTATCGACGATGAAACAGTCAACAAATAAAAAGATGTTATCAAAATTGTTTGATAGCGTTTTCATATTCAGCATCACCAGGAATCAAGCGAAGCAAGGGCGGTAACTAAGAATTTGGTCTCCACGTATCTGGGTTCTGGAAGAAATTTTTCAGTGCTCATCAGAGTCCCTAAAGCTTGGTTTGGTCTTTTAAAAACTTGAGACCATGCCGTCTTCTTTCCTTCAATGAATAGTGGCTCAATATTCGCAATAAGTCAGGGTATTTGACCACGGACGTGCCCTGTATCAGTTCCCTCACCGAGAACTCGACGAGTACTAGCTGAATCGTGTCGCCCTGCATGGCTTGTTAGTCATGAAATACCTGATGTCCCCAGATAAAATCATGGCTATGACTCAATACCGACCTCGCAGCTGCTATTAGATTGTTTCGGTTCAAGGCTGTCACCCCCTACTCCCTACTCCTTTACTCCTTACAACAGTATACTTTGCCTTCACAGTCTGATCATGGATGATCGCTCTAGCACATCGTAATTCCCATTTTCGTATACGAACGCATAGATATGGTCGGCCAACCTTCGAGGAGATCCCAGACGTGGCAGTGCCTGACTCGATGTGACGAAGCGGCCAGCAGAGCGGATGTAGTGATCCACATCGTGACACCGCTTGCATACACCGACTTGACGGAAAAGCTCGTCAAACCCAGCTGGGCAATGGTCCACAATATCCTGAATGCAGCTGGTCGGTCCTCCCGTGTCAAAAGAGTCATCATCACGGGAAGTACAGTCTCGACGTTCCGAATCCCCGACGATGTGATGTCGGGCAAGAGCTTCTCTGCAGATGTCTGGAACTGTATCCCGTTTGAGGAAGCTGAGACCGACGCGGTCAATGCATACCAGTATTCCAAGCCTCGAGGGTTTGATTTAGTATCTCTGTTTGCGCCTTCCATCATCGAGTATAGACCTCAAGAAGAATTCAAACCGCTCAAGACCAGTCTCGGCGGTCAGGCCAAAATCCATGGGATATATCTTTCGCTCCTCTGTGCCGGGTAACGATCGGTATCCCTCCCACGCAAGAGAGTTGATGACGGGTAACAACATGGCACGCGCAATCCGAGAAGGTTTCCTCAAACTCAGAGACCGGGTTCGTGCTCCAGAAGAGGGTGCTGGGGATGGTCTTCCGCCGACTTTGGTCAAAAACAGATAATGCAATGTTTGAAAAGGTGTTTGGGACAGAATAGGAGTTGGCGAGACTGCCGACGAAAGAAACAGTAGAAGATATCCTGTCTTATGAGAAATAAAGATCGTGGAGACCACTTTTTTCAGAGGCTGCTTGTTGTGGGGGAAGAATAAAATAAAAAATTCGTGTTGTAGAGAATGGGGTGTTGAGAAGTAGCAATCTCAGCAACGTTGGCCAGGACTCCTTTCCCATTAGTAATAGACACCGAAGAGAGACTGAGATTCCTTGTTCAGAGCAGCTTTCTGAATGATTCAAGTTCCAGTACGCTATGCAATTCATGCAGGAGTTTTATCCAGCTAAATTATGGGTGTCTCCGTGAAGCCCCTTGAAAATGTAGCAGGATCCAATCCCTTTGATTGAAATGCCTCCAACGCCATTTCAACATCGCTAAACGCTCACAAGCTCATTGATGCACATTGTATGACCCCGAGGAAAAATTTCTCCAGGCATGTCATTCTCTTCAATGAGAGAAAGATTACTTCTTGACGAAACACACCTCCTCTAATTTCTTTACCCCCTTGACACATCGACTTTCCACTTCTCTGGTCCACACGTCGGCCACCCAAAGAGACAGCGCCAGGCTGATTGACCAACCGATACAGAGGACAATCGTCCATGGAATATTGCTCGTGTCAATGCCCTCGGTTCCAATCCACCACCATATTTTGTGAGGAATCATGTATCCAATGGCGTGGAGGATAGGGCCATGAACCAAGTAAAGACCGAAGCTAATTTTGCCCAAGTATTGTGCCAGGTCACTATTCAGAATTCGTCGCCAGATCGAAGTAGTAGGATCGGCGCGGGCCAGGAGAAGGAGGAGGATGGCCGTGCCGATATTGGGGTAGAATTTATCTTTTCTTTCCATCCACTCAGGAATAAGGCGGTTGAGAGTAATGTACCCCGGTGCGTAATCTGTGTAGCCGTCGATCGGATAGGACAAGAAGTAGAAGGCCACTAGGAAGCCGAAGAATCGAAGATAGAATTTCATGTTCCGCGGAGGGATTTGGCGATGCCACGTCTCCAGTGGTTTGTGTTCTGAAGCCGGGGAGTGCGGTGGCGATGGTGGCAGTCGTTCTGGGACCAAGGTGATTTTTCTTTCTTGTTCCTGTTCCGTGAGAAGGAGGTCCACTTGAGCCACAATGGCCCCCAATATGTAGACCCAAATCTCCCAGTGATTCCAAAGAAAAAACATGTAGGTCATGATGCACATGGTTGCCAAACGGACATATCTTCGACATTGCATAGTGGCAATGAGAATCAAGTATAAGAATAACGATCCTTTGAATTCGGCTAGGATCGACCATAGATGCTGATCATGGTCGGGGTACACCGCGCCATGTTTGAAAATGTTGGTCAAGTCGAACATTTCCCGCGCCCAAAAACGTAATTGCTCATGATACGCGGCGAATTGTGGCGGCTTGGGTTCATTCCAAGTTCCGGGGAAGTATTTGGGATTCTGGGAGATGTAAGATCGATTCTCTTCGTAGAAGCCGAAGTAGATGTAGTGCGCGGTGATGAGAGTGACGATCAAGACGGGGAGGTATAATCTAAATGCTCGACGAAACAGAGCGCCGGAGACGTTGAGCAATACCTTTGACTGCGAAGCTTGATCGTGTTTGTCCATCAATTGGAAGAGACGTAAAGTCGTGAGGTACCCCGCGATTCCAAAGAAAACATGGGCGGTGAAGCCGGAATAGAAGTACCGGATTATTGGAAGCTCCAGCACATAGCGATGGCGATCATCGGTTCCCCAAGGCTGAAAACCGAAATCGCCGAAGGCGAAGGTGTAGTGGAATGTAAACACCTTAACTGAGGTGATGCCCCGAAGGCCGCTGAGGTAACTGGTGGGGAATTGTTTCGGTTTGGGGTCAGCATCATTCCAAACTCGAGATCGGAACAGTTGAGGGACGAAGCAGTAGGCGAATCGCTTGCCCAGTTTATAGGCATGAGCTGGTCGCATGGCTGAAAGAGCTTTGGAGAGGATCTGTTTGGGCACATGGCGGAGGGATCGCTGATCAAGGGATTGCTGATCGCGGGCTTGCTCGACCTCGAGAAAGATATCTCTTTCATCTTTGAAAGATTCTTTGCTAGTTGGGGGTTCTTCGGGATTCATGGTGACAGCATGACAAAAGGACGGAGAGGTTGGGCTCGAGAATGAGTTGACTTGATCTGATTCGATTCCGAACCGAGCGGCCACAGGTGATCAAAAGCAACTGACCTAAGTCAGACGCACAAAGATGAACGTGAAGGAAGATGATAGACCGAAGGAAAGGAGAGAGAAAAAGGCGCGGGCGTGCCCTGTCTGTTGGTGTGATAAGCGAAGGCGACGAAGTATTTTCCAGGACTGACGGTCAGTCGAATAGAAGAGAGCGAGGGAGCACATAACCAGACGGGCTTAAAAAGAGAGACCAGACGCAATGAACGATCGTAGACAGACTGAGGCCCGGTGAGTTTGAAGAGCAAATTGAGACAGGAAATCACACCATGCTTGGCCAGTACATTTTTCCATCAAACCCGGTTGCTCGCGTGCCGTTGAGTGGACGGAGCCTGGCTGATGAGGCTGGACTACTGATGAGTTAGTGCGATCTGAATCTCTTCTGTGTGGCTGTGTCTGGTTCCTCCCTGCATTAGTCTCTTACTTACTCCCTGTTACGGTTGGACTTGGTTTCCTTCTAGTCTCTAGTTGCCGCCCCTAATAGGCTTGGCATATATCTTTCCCAATCACCGGCCCAAGTGAAACAGCGTCTACCTCACTTGGTATTTTTCTGGCCCCCAAATGTCCCTGATTTGCCCCCGTTGAAACTTTGCCCGTGTGCGGGTTATAAAGATTGAACATGGGATTTCCATATCGTCCGGAGCTTGGATGCCTACCAGTCACCCCGTGCCTTCAGAGGGCATTAACCCATTTCAACCATTGATTCTGCACCCCAACATCTGGTCTCACGCCAAATGACATATGATGTCATTCGGGAGGTTATCGCACTCGGGTTCAGGGGTACATGAAGGACCGCTTGCTACCTTTCTTCTTCCATGCCACTTTTGTCCTCATCTATTGAATGGCAAAGGACTGATACGAGCCACTTCCGATGTTACCTTGTGTTCGTGGAGTCCACAAGAACCCAGGGCCAGGAATTCTTAGCCATGTCATAGTCAAATCCAGGCTATGAAGGATCGCCAGGATCCCCTTTTTTGTTCTTCTTGGATCCTGCGGCCGCTGACTTGCTTCCAACAGCTCGAACGTCTCGAGATCACTCCCTTCAGTGGCATCATTGGGCACTTACGAATTCAAATCATTAATCCAGTCGATGTTCTGATCTGAATTTCATGATCTGCGGCCTCTAGGCTGATAACATCAACTCAAACCACCCATCGACATGACGAGATAGTCGACTCAGGAACGCTCTGCCCATTTCAAAAAGATATCTGGCATTTGTCTCTCCCTCTATATCTTGAAGATGATGATGGGGACAATCGAAAAGTATTGGGCAGCAAGGACTACTCTCTCTACACCGGGCACGGTCAAGAAGGCAGGAGGGGTTGTTTACGGGAAATTCTAACCTCTCCATGGTTACTGTTACATGAGAAAGATGGCACAGGTCTGGAGAGGCGTGAAGCCTCCTGTCTAAAAGAATACTTCCGAACATTATTTCCCCCTTCTTCCTACTGCTTACTGTACCTTTCTCCTGGTTGGTTGCTCAGTATCTTCTCTTTATGCCGTGCACAAATATGCCATCTTAAATTTTTCATGCCTTGAGATTTTCATCCAAACCTCACAGACTACCATCCATCTTTGATCCAGGTCGCGATCACGTGAAGGAGGGTGGATATCGATAAGAGATTTTGGTTAAAAAAAAAAAAAAAAACAAAAAAAAGGACCTGCGGAGGACGGAACCACCACCCAGCAGTGGGATATTGTCCACCAATACACTCGTAATCTCGGCCACGATCACGCCCACTTCGCCCACATCATTCGGTCATCGCCGATCATCATAAATGCAACGTCGAGCTTGGAAAAAATGACCTTCTTTCTTTCTTCCTTCTCATCGTCCTTTTGCAGGCTACAACACCTCTCTCACAGCGAGCGACTTCTGGAGTTTTGCGCTCGCTAGTCTTCATAAAGCTCCAAACCCCAAAATCCATTTCCATCGATAGTCTCGTGTAACAACGGCCTATTTCCCCGCCTTACATCGCATCAGAGCTGTTACCATGACCGACTCCAAGGACATCAAAGAAATCGACTCGGCCGTTCGAGCCACCAAGACTGGATTCGGTCGCGACTACGGAACGTCCTCTAGCTCTTCAGCACCCTTGAAACACGGACATCCAGACATCGTCCAAGTCAGCGCTGAACGACGTGGTGTTAATGACGGAGATGGATCGGACAAGAAAACATGGCGCTCCAAATTCGCGTACTTTAAAACCAAGGATTTTTGGTTCATTCTGGCCCTAGGTCAGATACTGGCTATCTGCATCACGGGCACCAATACTTTGACGACGCTTTTGGTCATTGAGGGAACCAGCATTCCAGCATTCCAAACTTTGTTCAATTACGTATTGCTTAATATCATCTACACGAGCTACACTCTCTACAGATATGGGTTTCGCAAATGGACGCACTTATTGATTCGTGATGGTTGGAAGTGTATGTGGCGGGCCCCTCCTCCCCTCCAAAACACAAATATCAGGGTATCAGGGCTGTAAATCGCAGCATGCTAATCTCACAACAGATATCATTCTGGCCTTCTTCGACGTCGAAGGCAATTATTTCACGGTCCTTGCTTACAGGTACACGACGATCCTCTCCGCTCAATTGATCAACTTCTGGGCCATCGTGGTCGTGGTGGTCGTTTCGTTCGTCATCCTCCGTGTTCGATACCATTGGGCTCAGGTCCTGGGCATCTTCATCTGCATTGGCGGAATGGGCATGCTCCTGGCATCCGATCACATTACAGGGTCCAACGGTGGCGATGTCCCCGCCGGCGATCAATTGAAAGGTGACCTCTTCGCCCTGGTCGGAGCCACCTGCTACGGACTCTGCAACGTGTACGAGGAGTGGTTCGTCTCTGGCCGCCCACTGTACGAAGTCATCGGCCAACTGGGATTCTGGGCCACCATCATCAACGGCGTCCAAGCCGCCATCTTCGACCGTCACTCCTTCCGCCACGCGACCTGGAACGGCAAAGTCGGCGGCTACCTCACCGGGTACACATTGATTTTGACGATTTTTTACACGCTGGTCCCGATTCTGTATCGCTTTGCAAGCGCGGCGTTCCAGAATATATCCCTCCTGACGGGCAATTTCTGGGGTGTTATTATCGGGTTGAGGGTGTTCCATCTGCATGTACACTGGATGTATCCCATTGCCTTCACGCTCATTATGATCGGTCATTTTGTGTATTACTTTGGAAAAGGAGTTATGGGCGAAGCCGCCAAGGCATGGCTTGGTGAAGATCAGGAGAAGGGCATTGACGGATTTGGATCGGCCAAGAGAAGGATCAGAAAGATGCAGGAGAGTGCGGCTGGAACCCGGGGCATGGAAGGCCCTGAGACTGCGGGAGTGGTGTAAGAGGAAGGCGCTGAATTAGGTGCTTGTCCTCCTGGAGGAATTCCCGCAACATGCCAGGACATCGCCCGTTCCCGTCCTTTGTCCAGTTCGAAACGAATAATCACAATAAATACACCGGAAATTTGTGCTTCATGCACACCATTTATCACCAGTCAGCCGGCAAAATGCCGTCAGATTGGCGGCGCAAATATACGATCATTTACTCGAGACGACGAGACGGCGCCCGTCACCCATAAACACGAATACTTTGACATTTGGATTGTTGGAATGGGGTGGTGAAGACACCTAGGGTAGATACCGCGTCCGATACGACCTTATGCAGAGATGAACACAAGTCGATTTCAGCTTCTTTTGTCTTTCCTGACATGCACTTCCTTTGTGTTAGTCGAACGTCGAACTCATGATCGCTACCGTACCTGGGTATTTGTGAAGGGGTGTTGGCCAGCGGCAGGTGAAGAATACGAGTAGAAGGAGAACGACCATGCAGGTAGTGCCCAGGTTTAAGACTAGGCTGCCTAGGTGCGCTTGAGGGAAGCGAAAGCTGACAGAAATAAAGATTGACAATGAGGGCAAGAGACGGAGAATGAGGATTGAGCTTGATGGAGAATGGTATTCGATTCCCGTGAAACACAAAGGCAATTGTTTCTTTCCACCTGCCTTTCTGTCTTTGACTCGGTTCTTGATGCGGCAAAGCAAAGTCAATACGAACTCGCATTGTCGGATTCCACCCTCCACCGTCAACTCAGAGACTTCGTTTGTCTCCCCTTCTTTGGCCCCCGGCCACACAAATCTCCGCCCCATTTCTTTGAAATCTTGCCCAGGCTCAACTTTTTGAATTGAAGTGCAATTTGAAATAAACAAACAGGAGAAAAATATCTTCTTTTCCCGAAAGGGTAGTCATGCCTGACTTTTGGGCTTTGGGATTTGGTATTTTTCACTCCGCTCTTTCCGGATTTTTGTATTCACCCTTGTTTATCCATGCCATGCTTTCCATGCCACTCCGCGCCATGCATGCTGTGCAATACGTCACACCTGCCTCGTCACCACCCTCTCGAGAGCCAATATCATCACCTCTGTCTCCGCCGACCTTCTTGCCCTGTCCTCTCTCCCAGATCATCTTTACTGCTCAGTCTGGAAGTAATTCAAGAGGACGTTGCGCTCCTGACTCTCCTCGCCCCAGTCCCGAACGACGACGCATGAGCAATTGACGACCTTCCTAGCATTTCCCTCACGGTCCAAGACACAGAGACCCGCCCACTCGCCGAGCATCTTGCCATCGGGGACCTTGATAAGAGGGATCTTGTGTTCTGAGCACAAAGCGATGACAAGCTTCTTGTAGGCTTCCTCTTCGCAAGCTTCGTTGAGCACGCACATGTGAGCTTGGCGTCGGTCGAGGGCTTTGGAGGCTTCGCGAAGGCCACGGGCGAGACCGTCGTGGATGAGAGCGAGTTTGAGGACACCTGCAGATGGAAAACACCCCAGACATGTTAGAACCCATTTTCTTTGTGTAACTATTGTCTGGCCCATATCTTTCGATCTGAGGCCGCTTGGGAAGCGAAGGAATAAGTGTAAATCAGAGAGCACCTTTCAAAGCGTCCAGGACGGACATGGAACCAGAGGTGGCGCCAGCATCGCCAGAGACTTCGACTTCATCGGCCGCGGCGACCGGGGAAGTGGGCTCTTCTCCGTCCGACTATACACAGAAGCAAAGATTAGCAAAGAGCTCATTCTCCGTGAAATGGAAATTCCCAAGCCGTCATCTCAAAATCAATCCCGTATTTCTCAAATCGACCTGTGCTCTCGAACGGGGCTTTCGCCGTCTCGGCCTGGGAAATAACGACAAATCGACGTACCATATTGGCGATTTCGTTACTTGTAAAGGCAAGTATAGGATATCAACAATGTCGGATGATCCTCAAAGAGTCACTGGAAGGGAACGAATTGATGGTTGGTATGATGGAATTCATGACAATGAAACTCGGATTTCCTAAGAAATTCGGCGAATGTGGGCGGCGTGGCTTGGCGCCAGGGGCTAGATCACGTGATCGACATCGCAAATGGAGCGTACCCCCGCTGGTCACCCCCGGAGAAGTAAAACAGAAGAGCTCGTGCGAGCTCATGATATCGAGAATCCAGGGTAGACATCACAAAGGATTATTCACCCGTCAATACTCATTCAACGTCTCCTCATAACCCTCATAGTCATGCACGCTGTGCTCATCGTTGTGGAACGATTGTATCTACTACCGCCACCACCAAAATCATGGTCGGCAGAATCTAACAAAGATGGTGTCTGCTACACCTTCCCAAGTGATAGAGCCGCATATTCAGAGTCGTGACAACTTCTTTCCACACATAGTTGCTGTATTGAAATTGACGACACAATACTCTAACGAGTGTATCCGTTGCTGTAAACAGTGGGTGACGTATGGGGGTTAATGCCATTAGTTAGCTTGGGAGAAGGTTGTGAGATCCCATTAGGCTGCGGCGATTGTTCGGTTGGAGATAGTGGGCCGATCATTCTCAACGAGATTGGTTGCTTCTTGATACGCAACGTTGCCAACTGAGGATGACGGAATATTTGGTCTTCGAAATCGGAGAGCTGCTCAAGTTAGGAATTTTAGGACCTGGTTAGGTGCACAACAGGTAACATACCTTTACCCAGAAAAGTTCTTCCATGGCATAGAACTTGGGTCTCTCTTCCTCTTCCCTCTGGACGGCCTTTTGAATCGGCGTATTGAACCCATTGGTTTCATACTCGTATGATAACATGACTCTCGACACTTTCCACAAACAATGCCTTTGCGTCAGGTTCACCGGTCGTTTCTCAAGTGAAGTGTAACTTCGCAGATTCAAGTCCTTGGTCACAAGGAGTCCGGCAACTTGGAAATTCGGTATCCATAGATCGTCTTTGCAGGAAACTGGAGCGTCGGGATCAAGCTGGGCAGTTCGAACAGTAAACAACGGCAGGAATTTCGAAAGCCAAGCTTCGCTTTTGACCGTGGGGTCGTTGTTGTCAATCATCCAAGCGCATTTGTTGAGCACAATCGGTAATGCCTCTCTCCGGCGTCGTTCAAACTCGAGGCGTTGTTGACGAAGTTGTTCCTCTTGTCGGCGTTGTCTTTCTTCAAGCTCTCGTTTGATCCTTTCCTGTCGTTCTTCCTCTTCCTTCTTCCGAAGTGCAGCTTCCTCTTCCGCCTTCCTCCGACGCTCGATTTCTTCAGCCAATCGTCGTTCTTCAGCAGCCTTCTCAGCAGCTCTCTGAGCCGCAATTCTCTCTTCTTCAAGTCGCTTCGCCTCTTCTGCCTTTCTTGCCTCCTCTTGTTTTTGAAGGTCAAGTTCCGCCTCGGAGGGACCGGTATCCATCGGTTCAGTTTTGACAAGATCCGTCGTTTCGGTAGAGTGGGCTTGCTCTCCACTATGAACTTCCATTCCATGAAGTGATTCAGTGGATCCAACTTGATTCTGCTTGTCGGGTTGGTCGACATCCATCTTCTGCGTCGAAGCCTCTTGCGCAGGCTTCTGCCGCTCGGAATCCTCCTCTTCATTCGTAGGTTTCTCGGGGTCTGGTTCACGAGTCGGAGTGGGAGGCCGATGGTTCTTTCGCTTAGGACCAGGTCTCGTTTCTTCCGGACTACTCTCAACCAGGGTTCTTCTTTTTTTGACAGTGCTCCGGCCATTTTCGCCCTCCTCAGTGACCGCGGGTCCGGGTGAGATGCTGTCTCTCGTTCGCTTCAGCGCGGCCCCCGGTCTACTTTCTGATTTGACAGCAACCATGGATTGCGCCTCATCGGAAGATTCCTCTGCAACGATACTCCTGCGCCGTCGGTGCTCTTTTCCAGTCACCAGTCTTCGGCGTCGATGGGGGCCTTCGGAGTCCAAGTGAGGTGGCGGTGGCAGGTCACTTTGACTTCGTTTTTTGACGTGCCCTTTCCTCGGAGCAGACACAGTCTGGTCTTGATCAGAGGAAACTGCGACGGAAGACTCGAGCGTTTCTCTCTTGGATGGAGGGTGCTTGCGTCTCTCCGCACCGTCCGCGGAACCCGACTCTCGATCTCGGTCCTTGTGTAAAGATTGTGGTGACTTGTTCGGTAACGTTTTGTGCATTAGATTTGGACTCGACGAATTGCGTAGTTTGTTGGGGATTGGTGATTGGGAACGTCGCGAAGCGCGGGACTTCATTTTATCTGAGTCTCTTGTAACTCGTGGAGATGGAACCTTTCTTGACTTTCCAGCCGCGTGTTTGTCGTATGCACCTTTCAAAATTTCATACTCTTTCTGCCATTGTTCACCTCGGCGCTCTGCTGCGATCTCAAAGTAAGTCCTCCCCTTAAGAATCCTTCTTGTTGGATTGAACCCTGACTGCTCCACGAGGAGTTTCACGACTTCTGGATGACCGCGGCCGATGGCAGCAAGAATTGGCGTGTTGAACCCAGGTTTGATATGACGAAGTGGTTCTGGATCGGGTTCGGGATCTCCCATGCCTAGGAGATATTGTAATACTTCTTCATGTCCCGCTTTGGCAGCAGCTATCAGAGATTCCGTTTCCGCTTTTTGCAGAATATTTAGAATATTCGCCACTCCCTGAACGTCACCCTTTGCAGCCAGTCGGGTCAAGTTTTCTTGTGTATTTGCTTGCCAGAGAAGATCATTCCTCGTCGATTCACTCCGTCCGGTCCTTCGTCGGGAGGTTAGAGCCGGTGGACTTCTAGGGCCGATTATTGGAGGTGAATCACGAGGACTGGCGGCCGATGCGGCTCTTGACGAGTTGCCATCGCGCGGTCCTTCATTATGATCGGAGGATATTCGTCGGTTGGTTTGATTTTCTTTGGCATCGGCAAGGAGCTTTCTGATCTCTTCGTAGTTTTCGTCATCTTGTGGAACCAGTTCGTATGGTTCATCGCCCTTGGCGTTCCCCAGTCGTGGATTTGCTCCGTATTGGAGTAAAAGTCTGACCACTTCCACATGACCGTTTTCGACGGCATCGATAAGCGGTGTCTCTTTGTCAATGTTGGTCGTATCCACTTCGCATTTGTTTTCTAACAAAAACTTGACAATGTCCGTGAAACCTTCCAGCGCAGCGATTTGAAGTGGCGTATTTCCTGCATTATCTGCCAGATTCAAATCTTCTGGCCTCTCCGCAAACCTGGCTTTGGCCGCCGCAAGGTCGTTATTATTACAAGCCCTAGAGAGGAAGGTACGACCATTTTTATCCCGCCATTTTCGCGGTCCGGTTGCTTTCGCCGGTGACATGGTGTCATGGTCCGCCGATGAGAATTTGTGTAGCGCGGGTCGCGAGCGCCGCGGTGAATCAGATTCATCTGAAGAGATCGAAGGTGCGTGATGATCGGCCGAACCACTTCTCCTGGTGTGGATCGCAGGAGGTCGCCCGCGCTTTTTCCTCTCTACATCACCATGGGTCAGCTGTGTTGAAACACCACGCCTGTGCTCCCTCTTAATCGGTGGGCGAGGCGAAGGAGAACGTTCATGTGAAGAATGACGAGGATAAGTTGCAGATCTGGTTTCGCGGCGTTCGGAAGAGCCTGGATCTACACCGCCGCTGTTGTTCTTTGTGCGATGTTTGCTTATCGGCGGCAGAATATCGCTCGGCCGACGTCTGCGAGTTTGGTTCTGGACTGGCTTCCCTTGGTCATCCGAATCGGCAGTCTGATTTTCGCGCTTCTGCTTCACTGGATCGGGTTTCTGTGATGCAATATGGCTCGATAGGTCTGAGTCACTGTCTGCTGAATGCGGTGGTACTTGGGGTGATGATAGAGGGGAGCTGCGACGACTGGAGGTGGAAAAGGTAGTCTCATCCTGCACATCGTCAATACTACGCTTGCGCTTTCTCGATTTACTGTCCGCTTCGGTCGCCGCTGGTCCAGTAGTCGATCCTTCATCTTTGGTGTCCGTGATGTGCACAGAGCCCGCTACAGATGTGTTACCGGTGATGGTTCTTTGCTTCTCTGGTGACTGAATTAATGTTTCTGCCTCCGAATCGCCGTTATCATCACCCGCGACAGCGTCCGTCATCTGCTGATCTCCATTACTGTCGGCAGGCGCGGAATTAGAGGTCATCTTTTCGACTTTGGTGTTCGCATCGGTGCCGGTCGGCTCGTCAGTGGCTGCCTGTCCGGAAGCCGTCTCGACTGAGGCATCCTGAGACTCGTTTGAGCCGACCGCTTGACTCATAGCTGTGTCCGTTTCTTCCTCATTCTTTCTTTGATCATTATTATCTGCCGTTTTGGACGAAATGGGGTGGTGGTGAGAGCGCGGCTGGGACGGGGAAAATGCAGATGACTCAAGCGGTGAAGAGGCCCAGCCGTGGATGCGGGAGAGGGTTTCAGGTGGACATCCGAGAGTGTCTAGGGGACGTGGATGATGGTAGGTGATGGCGGAGAGAATCTCAGACTGGCGCACGAGGATCGAGGGTGAGTTATCGATGGTCTTTTTGATGGGTTCACCACATCATCAAGCACAGGGCGCAAAGCCAAAATGACAGAAGGGGCAGACAAGACTCGAGAACTTGGCCAAGTTCGAATCTAGTCCCCCAGATCAAATCACGTGCTGCCAACTTCTCCCTCCTCATTTTTGCTGCGCGGCCCCTGGATCTGGGATCAGCACCCAATTTCAACCCTCTCTTAACCTTTTTGACCTTCTGGATTCTTATTGCCTCGTCCCCTCAAGCCACACGGAGTTCTGCATCTCGCTCCGGCCCCCAAGCTTTTAGTAAACGGGAACTAAAGATTAATTACCACCTGAGAGCCGGCGTTGATTTTGAAGCTTCCGATTGCCGGCCCTCCCAGCTCTACCGTCGACCTGTCCAGACCGGGGAGTACAAAAATGCTAGCTCTGATCATCTTGGCCACCAGAGCGTTTTATATCCTCAGCAGTGTTGCCATCCTTACCGTACGTCTGATTCCTGCATTCAGCGATCGCTTCCTTGCATATGGAGCCCGAGAACAAGCTGGGATTCAGGGGAAACCCAAAAATAAGGAGCAGCGTACGATGGGCATCCAGATCCTCGACAATGCTGCTATTTTGAAAGTACCGCATTCGTGGTTTACACATTTTTACATCGTCTCTGTGGCATGCTCTTTAGGATTCGCATACATTTTTCACAATGGAAATTCGCTCCAGAAGTACAGCGTTCCTGCTCTCTGCTCGATCATGATGTTCATACAAGGTTGCCGAAGACTCCTTGAGTGTGTGTTTTTGACCAAACCAAGCACCGCACGTATGTGGATAGGCCACTACACAATCGGCCTGATATTTTACGTGGCGACAAACTTAGCGATCTGGATTGAACACCTTGAACCAACGAGTGCCATTAAAATTTCCGAAAGCAACAGGGACCACCTTCTCGAACTATTCTTGAATCCGGGGGTGCTCGTCTGCACTTTTACATTCATCTATGCAGCGTACCAACAGCATCGTTATCATCGCTACCTTGCCTCTCTTCGAAAATACACATTACCAGACGACCCAGCTTTCCAGTTGATCATTGCGCCGCATTACACAACAGAATGCGTCATCTACCTATCATTGGCAGTCCTGGACGCGCCGCAGAAGCATGAACGAGTCGAATTCATCAATTGGACACTGTTCTGTGCTCTGGTGTTTGTCATAGTAAATCTGGGTATCACGGCAGACGGGACCAAGGCCTGGATGATGGCCAAGTTTCCAGAGAGGAAAGAAGAAATAAGAAAACGGTGGAGGGTGATTCCTCTGCTGTGGTAGATGAAGGTTGCTTTTGCCATTCGACCACATCTATCGGGATAACTCCATGGAAGGTATCTGTGGGGCCCTGGCATTATATTACTCTAAATCCACGTCTCCCAGATCAGGAAGAACAAGAGACTCTTGAACGCCGTCTTTCTTCATATCTCATTCGAGTCGTTTGTCTATTTCTGCCCCCTTGTATGTGCAGTTCCGTGCAATGCCGAGCAGCCAGGTTATTTCCACCAACGCCGCGACGGTGATCCAGCAGAAATCTTTATCTCTTAGCCTCAGGCGGACTTTTCGTCGCCTTCTGTTCTTTTGCCAATGCTCTCTTCATCATTTTTCCCTTCGTTTGTATTTGTGCCTTTTTCAAATTTTTCGGAGCTCTCCTCCTCAACTTCGGCCTCCTCCGTCTCCTTGACCGCGGCTTTAATCTCTTCTCTGAATCTCCTACGTTCATTCCGTCTCGCTTCTCTCTTCAACTCCCTCTCCGCCTCTTTCTCTTCCTCCTTGCGTCGTCGCTCCTCATACGTCTCCTCCATCCATTTGGACAGCCCTTCCACCGCCTTCTTTGCATCTTTCTTGTGAATCAGCAGGTAATCCTGCAAATCTGCGGGCGAGAAGTCGTGGTCTGGGATCAGGGAGGCGAATTTCGAAGCGAGCTCGCGGAGGTGTGCTGTATTTTCGGCGGTGGTTGATGGATGCTCATTTCTTTTGGGATCGACACTTGCTTTCTCGTCGAATGGCCCATTCGTGCTCGGAAAGTCGACGTACATCCTGAGGAAGATCTCCTCGGCCTGCGCTTTAGACGCGTTTTTGAAGCCCACACGCACGCTGATCCGTCCTGCGCGAACAAGAGCGTCGTCCAGCTCGTATGGCTTATTGGTCGTCATGATCAGGACGTGACCTTCTGGCGCAGCAACGCCGTCAATAGCATTCAGTAAGCCACTGAGTGTGACTCTACTTGTTGTGGAGGTGCCCGTCTCCTCATCGCTATCCACATCATCGTCATCAACCGAAGTGGCCTTATTTCCGCCACCGATGCCTAGCGGCATCTTCATGCCGCGTCGGGGTCCAGATTTGCGGGCAGTTGTCGATTTGCCTTTTCGATTCAGCCCTGCGGTGTCAATATCTTCGAGTAACAGAAGCGAACGACCCGGGAGTTGGTTCAGGAGGGAGATCAAATCCGAGTCTGTGAGGTCATGGTCCAACAACGTCAGATTGTACACGTCCAGGTTGAATTTGGATGCTAGGGCCAGGGCGAATGACGTCTTTCCGACGCCTGGGGGTCCATGGAACAAATATCCTCGTCGGTAAGGGATGCCGTGGTTTGCATAGAAATTCATGGTCGCTTCGTCCATGTATTCTGCAACGTCTGCGAGGACTTGCTCCTTCTGGTCAGCATCAAGGATGACGGTATCCAGAGCTCGGCGGGGCTTCGAGGTGAGCCGTGACCAGGTCAATCGACTGCCATAACCGCCAGTATAGGGACGGCGGATTATGGTCAAGGAACGCTCCTTGTCTTTGTTCAGATAGTAGATGTGTTCTATCAATTCCTTGATTGGGGCGGTAGAACGACCCAGGCACGACAGACTGATGATTTCGATACGCTTGTATCGGTTTCCCAAGTATGTGTGACCGTCACCGTACTTGCGGGTGATGTAGAATAGACGTTTCTTGTGGACGAATATCTGCATACCTTGGCCTTGCTCGTATTTAATCTTAGGATCTTCGTTGGAGCGACGGCCAGACTCTTCAACCTCAGGGTCATGACGGTGGCGACGCCGACTTTCCTGTGGAGGATTCGACGTCGCATTAAGCGACTGATCAGCCCGTAGAGTCTTGCGCTCTGCAATGTACGAGGTAACGTAGGAAAAGAGGTCTTCTTCGGACGAGACATTGATGGTGGCGACGAGGACAGAAGAAAAGCGGTTCCACAGTGACTGCAGGCGGGTGATGGGTCCAAAGTACCACAATGCTAGCAGAACTCCAAGGAAGCGGAATAACTGAGGGTGTTTTTCCAGTAAAGGTCGTGCCCCAGGAAAGAACGTGGTGATAATGTACTCAGGGAGTTCGATGAGGCCGTTTGTGCCTGACGCGGCTGTCCGCCGCATCCGTTGGAGTTCCATTGTCCCCTTTTGCAATGGAAATGTATGACGCGAGGGAGAAGCGATGAGAGATCCAGATGAAATATATCCTGCAAACGAGAAATATAATCCTGCATCGAGTTTCACAACCTGGGTGGACAAAAGCGAAGCCCCTGCAGCAACGGTGAAAACGCCTGCAACAACTGCGAAGCCGACGAGCTGTTGTGCTTGTTCGCTGGGTTTGGAACAAGACGAACCTGACGGCTCAGAGAGAGGAGTATTGATGAAGAGGCGTATTTGCGTCCTGCCTGCCTGGATACGTCCTTTCTACCTCCGATTTCCCAACATTTTCAAGACAACGCTCCAGACCGCTTGCTTATGTAGCTACAGGGTTCGGTTTGGACCGTTGTACGGCCTAATTGATCCCTGCCGATGCTCTACGCGCATAAGAAATTTCGTGCAGTTGACAGGCAGTCATCAGCCTACTATGAGCGAGATGTGGGGATTGGACTGTCTCGGTGAGGCCGGTTCAGCTGCGGTGTGCTGACGCTACAGCCTGAGAGCCTGATACGTATGATTCGGGAACATTCGAGGCTCGATTTGCTGATCGAGGTTTGGTCTGTTTCGTATTCACAAATCCCTGTTGATCAGGAGAACTACCAAAGTGCAATGATACAAAATCCTCTTCCTTTCCTCATCGGTCAGCCCGCTGCTGGGAATTCAGCCTTATCAGTATTTGATATTGAGGCTTCCCCAGCCTCATCATGTCAAATCTTGTCTTGGGATTATGCTATCGCGAAGGGGAATTGGAATCTTTACTCCGGAATTTGCGAGACAGCGTAGGGAATAATGTCTACTACGGTTTTTGCAAGGACTCACCGTAAAAGAACGCGTCTCGAAAGCAACTCATTTATCGGAAATCACTCATAAAATCATAGCCTTGCAGGTATTCTTTCCTTCTCTTTCTTTACCCTTCTCTCGTACTCTACTGCAAACAAGGTAGCCGGACAGGCAGCAAGCAAGCTGGGTATCTTCCACTGTGATATGTTTTTGCATGGACCGAAATGGAAAATCCACCAACGGAGTCTTCGTACAGCTCCAGCGACTTTTCCTCAGGTTGGTCGTTGATCTCGGTGCTCGAACGAGGTGGCGGCGCAGGTGAGGAAGTTGTCCAGATGAAGCATCACTACAGTCAAAATGGTGAGAGGCATGTCTCAAAGAATTGTAGAAATATGGAATGCAAAGAATGGATACCGAAAAAGATGTGGCATTGTTGCTTGTGATTGAACAAAACACACTTCGAACTGACTTGTAAGGGCCTCTATGGGCTGACGTCATTGGTAGAGATTCATTTGCGTCTTCGCTTTTTATCATTTGTTTCGCGTTGTGATTCTCTTTCACTTTTGTCTGCAACGGTGTTCTATTCCCCACTGTTCCATCCCTGTCTACGCCATGACGTTCGGTTAATGTCTCCTCGCCTCTCTTCCTGATATCAATAGCAAACTCTTCAGCATGCCTGCGGTTCTACGAAACGGACGCTCCATCCTCCAAGAAGGAAAGAACGAGGATTCACAGCAGGCTATACACACCCCAATGACTGTTTCGAGACAAAGGCCGTCAACGTACCTCCTCCTCATCTATCCCGTCATCCTCGCCTTGGGATCTCTCTATTCTGTCCTGTCTCCCGCCGCCATACCGCCGCCTTCCACACCCCTTGCTCCAGGAGTTGCCTCAGATCTCCACACCCCTTCCACACCACCTAATTATTTCGCGGGCAAACGAAACATACTCAATCTCTACTTTGTAAAGATCGGCTGGTTCTGGACAACGTTGGCCTTTGTGCTTCTGCAAATCACTACTGGTCCACCACCGTCCAACACGCAGAAGCACTTTCTTCAAGCAACTCTTCGCTATGCCCTCGTCACCCTCTCTTGGATTCTAACTACACAGTGGTTCTTCGGCCCTGCTCTCATAGACCGAAGTTTCACCATCACTGGTGGCCAGTGCGAACCTCACCTCGTCAACACGAGTAGCCCAAAGGATGCCGTCGACGTGTCCCTCATCGACTCCAGCCTTGCATGTAAGGCGGCAGGCGGAAATTGGCGTGGTGGCCACGACATCTCCGGACATGTCTTCATGCTTGTGCTCTCGTCCGCCTTCCTTCTCTACGAACTCTACATCGCAGACCGACACTCCTCTCACCCATCCGTATCCCCACAGGCCGCAGCGGCACTGGCTCACGACATGACAGAAGAAGAACGCAAGGCCGTGGGAGGTTGGGAATCAGAAACAGTGGCCCGAGTCCGTATCTGGTCGCGATATTTCTTGTATATCGTGGTCGTGCTCGACCTCTGGATGCTTATGATGACGGCAATTTGGTTCCACACATGGTTAGAAAAGCTAAGCGGGCTGTCGATTGCGATAGGGACCATCTTCGGTGTTTTCTTCCTCGGAGATTACGTACCCACGTGGAGGGCTGTTTTCGGCGGATTATAATGGATGTGACATGGCGTGATATAAAATGAAGAAGATAAAAGATGACATTGGACTGAAGCGATGTCCTGTTGGAGAGATGCGTGTTCTTCCCTTGGATTATGTATTGAGGACTGTCTCTTCTGTGCAATTTCAAATAATGTCGATTGATGGGAATCTATTGGCAAAGCATAGCATGGCAGTTCATCAACTTGCTCACGTCCTGAATAAAGGACTCTCCGGTACGTCGGCAAAGATTTCCTCTTTTCATTTTCATATTCCGGTCTTGCAGACCGCAAGACTCTTAGCAACGATTTAAGAGATTCCTACACAGGACTCTCGAATGACCGCCCTCATAATTATCATGCCCCACCAATTTTTTCTTGTATAAATATTAGAAAATACATCTCATCCGAAACACCATGACCACATAAATATGAATTGGTCAAGCCATGCCGGAAAGGGGCCCCCGACTAAGCTAGCTCTGATCCCATATTTCAAATAAGAAAGATGAAATAGCCCAAGTGAAAATCATACACATACTCATCCTCATACCCTATCCAATTTCGCCAGCCGTTTCTGCTGGTCCTCCTTCTCACGCTGTTTTCTCTCACGCTCCTCTGCGCCAGTGGCCCCGCCAGCAGCCTCCTCATCTTCGTCCGAGAACTCACCGTCCTCATCGCCCGCAAGCTGGAAATACTCCTCCGCCTCATCCGCCGTCGGAGCCTTCTGGGCGGTAACAGGACGCCTGCTCCTTGCGCGGCCCACGATGAGCGTGAGCACGATGATTTCCACCGATGCGAGCGCAATAGTCAATGAAATAGTCAACCATCCGTAATGGCGCAGGAGCAGGCCGAGGATCGTATTGAGCATGCCGAACGGCAACACTATGCGTCCTAGCCAGACATGCATTTGGCTCATCCAGGTGGGCCGGCCGCCCAGGGGGCCGGCAGAGATGTAGACGACGTGGTGGCGCCAGCCGAGGACAGTTTGGGCGGCGAGCGCGCAAACAAGTAAAATACCCAGGTATTGGTGAAAGATGGAGATGGAGTGCGAGTTGACGAAGCCGATGAGAGCGCTGATACCGACAGAGACGCTGCCGAGCGAGTTGACAGTCCAGTGCAGATTGAAGGCAGTGGGGCGAGGGGAGCGAAGGAGGTAGATGCCCAGTGGGTAGAGGACGAGGAAGGAGATGGTCATAAGGAGGCCATGGAGGTGCCTGGGGATGCAGAGGTCAGCGGGTTGGCTTACTTCGACATGCAGAATCCATGGGGGTGGGGGATGAGGGATAGAATATAGGCATATACATACCACATGAATGACCGAATATTCCACTGCTTAGGTGTCTTGACTGGTTCTTCCACTTGGCTACCATCATCTGGGCCTGGGGTGTCTGTCGAGGATCCTTTATCCACCGGCTCGACTTCGCTTTCGGAGCTTCCGCCTTCTGTGATTGGCGCGTCATTTCCAGATTCCAAGGCCGCCGTCTTCTCTGCAATAATCGTCTCGCCGTCCTGCAACTCCTCCTCCGTCGGCGGACTCGGCTCATTTATCTCGTCGACGCCTCTATGGGCTATTAGGTCATTGATGGGCCCGAAGAACGGAATGGGCGCCTGAGCATTCAGCAGATCGGCCCAAATAAATCCAAAGCCCAACCCGAATTGGTGCATGTCGATGTTTCGCTCGGGGGAGAAGTCCCCTTCAAAATCTTGCTCGAAGTTGCTGCTCCAGATCATGGCCTGGTTCGTTGTGGTGTTGGAAATAGCCAGGTCTGGTGCCGTCCATTTGTCGAAGCCATGGACGATGAATTCTGCAACTCCCAAGTGCGACGGCTTCAGTTGCAGAGCCTCGTGGAAAAATTCGCCTGTGTACTTTTCGAAACGAGATGTGACAATGTCAACTTCGGGAATATATCCGCTGTAGAAATCCTTCATCTCCTCCGCCGGTCGAGGCGGATGATGACCGTCAACAGTCCGGACCGTCGTTGTCATTTTTGAATCGGGGGCAGATGGGTCGCCATAGATAATGAACATGAGAGCACCTTTCATTTCTGGACCGAGGGCGAGTGCCGCCCAGCCTTGCGCCAGAGATTTGTATCGGAAAGCTTCCATGCGAACATATAGATCGGATTGTTGCGTAGATTCATTGTAGTAATTGACCAGGCTGAATGCTTGGTCTGCCCGGCCAGATTGACCAGTATGTTTAACAAATTGAACGGGTCGATAGGCCAGCACAATTGATGTCAAGTAGGCAATGACAGCCAGCAGCGCTGGTAGTGATAGTGATCGGTGCATGGTTGGAATGTTGGTGGGGTACGGAATGTTGTCGAAAGCCAGATCGTGGGGATAACTATCGAGAGAAGAAGAAGAAAAAAAAGAAAAATTGGAAATCTCCTGTCAACGATTCGCGGTTGAATTGGGTCGCAATGAAGGAATAGGGGGTGAGACGCCGGTTTACCAGGTGTTCGACTCTCCCGACAGGTCCGTGCACAACTCACAGAGAGTCTACACTGTGACCGTTCTTTTTCTCCGGGCAGAAGAGAGCTGGCGAAAGAAGAGCCCAGGAGACCAACGAGAATAGAAACACAGCAGATGAAAAGGGAGATACAGATTGAAAGACGAAGTTGAAATCGAGGAGCGTGTGAGAGGCAGCCGAGAATAGACGGCGCTAACCCACTTTCGGACGTGGCGTCGCCAGTGCAAATCTCGACTCGGGAGAAAAAAAACGCTGATACGCAGATGCACAAAGAAGATATACCTGTCAAGTGGTCTGATCCAGTCTCAAAGTCCCAGATATCAGCAGATGTCGCGTGTAGACGCGTCTATTGGCCATCTCCACATCATATACTCTGTCCGAAATGGAGAAGACTGCCTTGCGAAGGACGCGTCTTGTTTTCTTGCATCTACTAGCACGGCTCTTTTGACTTGACTTTCAAACCGTCCTTCTCCAGGCCTTGTTTCATTGCAACGCCTCATGCCTTGACCAAAACTCTGCTGTCAATAGGCTCGAATGTCTTGTCCTTGGGTCCTTCGGTGGGTTTGCCAAAGACCAATTGTGCCTTGAGTTTCCATGTCTCTGGAAGACCGAAAGTTGAGATAACCTCGGCTGCGATGCCGGGGTGGAAGTTGAAATGTTGGAGGTTAGCTCCTAGGCCTTCCGCCTCGAGAGCAGTCCAGACTAGACGCAACATGTAAGCCAAAAAATCATGTGTTGGTTAATCAAATAGGGCCGGCTGTGTGTACTCACCAATAAATTGATGGATACCAGTCGAGTGATCCGACCCTAGAGTCCGAGTTACGAGTGTCAGCAATCAACCGCACCAATCAAATCTCAGGCAGGGAAGTCCTTACATTCAGTCAACATCGGCTTGATCATAGGATTCTTGTCACCCAGTCGGTCCAGGGCCGCCTGGTCCTCGAACCACATCACCGTTCCGTAGCTCGCTCTCCATCCCGCGATTCGGCCAGCCATGTACGCCTTCATGCCTTCCTCCATGGGAACTTGGTCCATGTGCTTCTTCACAATATCCCAGAGCTTGATGTGGTTCTCCTTGAACAGTACAACCGCACGGGCGGACTGAACATTATAGGTTGAAGGGGACCATGTCACGGCGAACTTGACAATTTCTTCGACCTTGGAGTCTGGGATTGTGGACTCGGCAGTCAGGGTGTATACGGAGCGGCGTGCCTTGACGAGCTCGAGGAAGTTGTCTGAAGCGCCCATAGTGATACGAGTGGCAAGTGTTGAAGAGCAAGGCCTGGTGAAATAATGACGACGAAGATTTCAGTCAGAGGGGAGAGTGCAATCACAACTGAAGTTGAAGTGGAAGGAACAAGTCGCAAGGCCACGATGTTCGGACAGATTCCTTTTATCTCTTCTCAGTTCTAGTGAGGTTTCCCCGCTTAGGCATTCAAAACGTCTCGGAGCTGCCTTAACAATCAAACATTCTCCTACACCCGTGGTCCTATCATGTCAAATCAGTGGAACTATCATAATGCGACCCCCGGAGCAAGGCAACACACCTATCACATCCTCCCCCTGCCTGGATCCCTCGGACAGGGTGGGCTGGTACTTGCATAAAAGCTAGCGCAGGAGCAAAGGTAAAACAAAGCTACGACTCGGCCGACTTCATGCATCTTTTTCTAGCTTTCCTCTGATCCGATACGGCTATTGCTCGCTAAGACTGAGTAAACCAGAGTGCAGTTCCCTCCTTACAGAACCCGATAAAATGGCATAGCGTCAGAAGAGACCGCCAGATATGGCTAGATTGGACCCATTAATGGATCATACAAGCCATGAGCAAAAAAGAAGACTTGGACATGGCTGGACTGTGGTATCCAGCCTGACTGAAGGCCCACAGAAGGCTTGACCCAACGAGTTTTCGAATTGGGTCGCCCATCCCTGTTGATTGCATATGCGACGCCTCGTGAAAAGTCTAGATCCTTCTCGTGAAGCCTGTAGGTAAACCCTAGAACTTGACTCTCGCAAGCTGGATCAAGCGAATCAAGTATGTGCACAATCCAGGCAACACGGACGCAACGTTGGACGATAACGACATGGATTTCGAATCAAGTTGCAGATTGAAGGACGCGGAGGGTATGACCTGGACGTGATTTGCAATCCTATCGGGCGAGAACCGCTAAAATCACGTGACATATTTCTCACCGACAACTACTTCGGTCATGTTTTCCGTCTGCCGGTGGGTAGAGAGCGGAACAAAAGAGCGTTTCTGAACGTTAAGGAAATACTGAGATCACACGATTGTTTTTGCCATCTCAATTTCTAAGATATGTGAGTACTGTATATACAGAAAATTCCAATATGAAGCCCGCCAAAGGGTCTGAATCATATTAGCCGGTCAGGGACCACTTGAAGTCTAATGGGTTTTGGTGAGATGTTGATCGTTCAACCATGAAGAGGCTGTTGTCGCACATGTCTCATCTGCAGAGACGCACTCCTGACCTGAGTTCCTGGCCCTCAAAAGAAGCGAGTACGTACCCAATGTTCTCTTGTTATTGCAAGTTTCTCGCTTTGAATCGGCAGTAAAAGTCACGCTCTTTGACGAACCAGGCTGAAAATTGAGAATTACTGTCAGAAGTCCTGCGAGGAAGTTTGGTGACCGGGAAAGAGGAACTCACCATTATGTAACTTCCAATCTTTGCTGGGGTCGTCAAACCGGACCTAAGCACAAAGGATAGTCAGACCAACGGACTTGTCGACAATCAACAACTGCCAGCTGTCATCACTCACCTCGAATCGTCTGAGAAAAGCAGGGACTAGCTTGTACATTTCTAACAGACTGATGTTTTTGCCAATGCATGTACGAGCACCAGCACCAAACTGGAATAGTGTGCCATTCATTTCTTTCAACTGGTCGGCATCCACGTCCAACCATCGCTCCGGAATATAGCTGTCAGGCTGGGAGCCAAAGACTTCTTCCCGTTTGTGGATCACCCAGGCATTGCAGCCGACAATCGTGCCACCGGGAATGAAGTGGCCATCAATCTCAATGCCTTGGGCCGGAGTAACTCGTTCCAGAGGCAGCCCGGCCGCAGGGTGCATCCGGAAGGCTTCTTTGATGCAGGCGTCAAGATACGGGAGATTTTGTGATTCAGCCCACGTGACAGTGCCGGTGGTTCTGTTCTCAATCCTCCCCTCTTGTACAGCCTCGTCCAGTTCTTGCATGAGTTTCTCATAGCATCGCGGATTTCGAAGCAGATAGTAAAAGACAGCAGCCAAGCTGATGGCGGTTGTTTCTGATCCCGCGAATGCCATTGACACCGCCATGGTCAAGACTCGCTGGTCAGTCATAAACTCAGGTCGGTCGTTCTGTGCTTTCAGGAACATTGACAGCAAATCCGGCTTCTCTGTTCCTTTCTCACGACCCTGCGCTTCCATCTCGGAAAGTCGTTCCGACATGCGCTGAACGGCAAACGTGGTGATTGGGAATGCAAACAGTTTCACGCCAAGTTTATCAAGGAGGAGGACGAGTGGGTTTTTCAAGAAGAGCAGGTCAAGCCAGGGGATTTGGCCAACCAGTTTTCGCGTTAGCGATATGACACGACAAAGCCAGGGGTTTGAAACTCACAGGTGCAACATATGAGAACAATCTCCCGAGATATCCAACCATACCATCAACGTCTTCATTTCTCTCCACGAAGCCATGGCGTTTGCTGTAGGTGATCTGTCCAATGACCTAGGAACACAGTCAGATCATGTCTCCATCTTGTTTGAGGCTATATCTACGTCGAAAGCGAAGTATTGAAGCCACTCGGCAAAGTCACAAACGTTATCGGGTTTCGCATAAAGCCTATCAGTCTGGTCCAAGAAAACCTCAACGGTCTCGTTGACGGCGGGCTCGTACTGAACCAGTTGGCTCATTGAAAAAGCATTGTTGACGGATCTGCGAAGATTTGCATGGTACGACTCGTCGACGGTAGAGAACAGGGACGGAAGTCGTTTGCCCTTGCTGACACCTTGCTGCACTGGGTAGAATCCAGACTAGGAATTTGTCAGGTGAGAAAAAAGTCCGATGAGAGCCTGGGGAATGAAAGGTCATACTTTGACAAAGCCCTTGTTCAATCCGTATATCGTCTTCAATGCCTTTGGATTTGCGAATGACAGCACGTTTGGTCCAAGTCGAACAACGTCGCCATGCTGACGGTGTAATTTGAGGTGAGTGATATCTGGTCGTCGTCCATATACATCGAAGAATCTCCACCAATCTGTGAATCGAGCCAAAATCGGTCCGGGATATTTGTTCAACCCATGATGAAAGTAGTTACTCAGCAGATATCCCACAACAGCCACCGCGACAGCGATAGGCCAGTGGTTGGCAATGACGGGCAAGATTGATTCAAGCATGACCACGTCTTGGACGCAGAGGAGAAGGATATCGAGTAGAATCAATGGGCTGGTTTTTTCTTTTCCTTTTTTTGGGGGGGGGTGAACGGACTCACCACCTCAAACGATGTGAAGACCACTCTCAACGCATATGAATAATTCCAAGACAAAAGCATGCCAAGCGCATATCCGAACCGTGGTCCCGAAGCTCCGGGCAATGAGATTCAGCAATCGTAGGGTCTACTAGAGGAGGTCAAATGGCCAAATTTGTTCGGCAGTTCATCTTTGAACGAGGGGGCTACCGGGAGCGGTACGAGAGGTAAGATGTTGAAGACGTAAAGGCCAGCGAATAGCCGAGGGGACATGGCAATTGTGCTACGAGACATCGACAGCCTGCAGAACGCGACATTTCAGAGGAAACCGGCACTTCTCAACGAGGTAAACCCAGCCCGGCAGGACAGTGATATCGTTTCGCTTCCGCGGGGGGGAGGGGGGAGGCCAGGGGGGCGGATTCGGCTCAGGGCGGGAACTCTGTGGGGAGGAAAGTGTAGATATCTCAGTACAAAGTAGAGTTTCGTAGTCGGAGGATCATGAGGAGGAAGATGGAGTTTGGCCAGGTCGTTGACGATGGCGAAGTTCGGCAGATGGCTTAGAGTGCAACTGCCGAATTCAACGTTCAGCTTCTCAGCGTGCTAACGGCCCTCTGCGATTGCATCGACGTCAGGCTGAATCTCGATTCTCGAGATCGGCCACACAGTCCTACGTTAAAATTGTCCAAATATCGGGGATCTGAAATCAACTGCCGACACACTACCGAGGTGGATATCTGTGATCGTCTTCAGGCCAGCCTCGATCCACTTCCCGCGCATAGTAATATGTGGTACCTAGGACGGGTAGGTGTGCAGGCGGCATTAAAACATTAAAGCATGTAAGAAAGGATCACATGGTCTACGGTTCCATTGAAGCCATCATGGGGAGAAACAATTGAAATTTCCAGTCTGAAGGGAACGCTGCTCTCAGGCAAGGAAGCATATGTTTACACGATTCCAAGCTAGTCGGGGGAGTGCCACTTGAGATTGCAGAACAAAATTCCTCCTTTCCATTAGCCGTTGTCCAATGCCTTTTTTGGGGGGATTCACTGCACGTATGTCAAACCCGATCTTTCTCCTGTAAATGCGTGCCCCCCGGCCCGGAGTCGCCAGGAGAAATTTGAGGCTCGAGTCAATGAGTGTGCTTTTCACTTGTACAAAGTCGGAGGTTGCGCGGTATGTCGAAGGGGATGTTTTTGGTATTGAGTTTGCGGTGCTGTCAGAAGATGACATTGTTCGACCTCACTTTCCACCAAGGCTGGGAAAAGCGTTCTCGTCGTTGACGGCGACACCTGGACCATCGCCGCCACGACCACGGCCACGACCACGAGACTCGCCACGTGATTCACCACGTCCACGTCCACGTCCGCCACGGAATTCGCCACGATCACCACGTCCTCTGGTGCCGCTGCCGCCACCGCGGCCACCACGGCCACGAGATTCACGTGGCTGTTCCTTGAAGCTGTAGTCAATGTCGAGGAATTCTTTCTTTGTGGTTCGCTCTCGGTGGGCTTTCGACTTCTCCTCGCCCTTGAAGTAGTCCTCGTTCTCGTCTCTTGTCAATTCCTTGGCCGACTTCCATTTCTTGTTCTCCTTTGCGCCTTCGTTGGGTGCTCGAGCTTCCTTGAGACCAAGTCCCTCCATTTTCTTAGCGGCTTGTTCTGCCAAGTAGTCGGCATATGATTTGCTGGTATCCTCTGGCTCAGGTTCAGGTTCGGGGACTGCCTCGTCATCCTCGGGAATGGTGGTGGGCTCTGGGTTTTCATTCCATGTAGTGTTCTGGCTGGCATCCCATCCACCTTCTTTGGCTTCTTCCTTGTCTTCTTCTTTGGCAATGACCTCTCCAGCCTTTTCGTCAGCCCATTCACCATCGCCGGTGTTTTCACCCCATCCATGTTCCACTTGCTTCGGATGGTCACTGACTTGGTTAGCATTGAGATTGAGACGAGAGGTTCGCAATGGTCCTCACGTTACGCCAGTGCGACTATGGCGGTCGCCGGCTCGACGTGGTCCCCAGGGTCCACGTCCGACTCGTCGCGTGCCGGGGCCGCGTTCACGACCCGGACGATTGCCGTAGCCATCTTGACCACCGCCGTCAGTTGGTTGATCGCGGTTGAAGTTTCTACCGGTGGCGCGATCGCGGAATGCTTCCCTGGCAGTCAGCAAAATGGTATTTTCTCACTTCCAGATTTCCAGTCTCTCATGTACCTGCTTCATTTCCAGTAAATCCACCGCCGCGACGTCCACCGCGGCCACGGGTGGCTACGCTTTCAGGTTCGGTAGGGGCTGTCTTTGGAGCATCGCGTTTGCCATGTCGAGCAGCTGGTTTGTCGACGGCTTTGGTAGGTGGATCAGGCTCGCGGTCAGAATCCTGATCCGAGGTGTTGCCTGGGTTCTCATGTCAATGGAAAGACAATTTGGAAAGATGCGCGAAAGGAATCCATACCCAATAGCTCGTAGAGGTTCTAGAATCAAAACAGTCAGTAGCCGCTCGATAACGATATCGTAAAATGGGAACGGGGAAAAAATTCGCTTTAGCTGATGCTCACCTTGCTCTTGACGTCGGCCATGACGTTGCCTCTCGAGCGCCTTCCGTGAAGGCTTCCTTGATTAAAACTCCAACTCGAGTATTGAGAGGTGAGACGCTCGACCTGGACAACGTCCCTAGATGCAGGACCTTGTCGAGTCGAGGAAGGTTGAGTCTGGTATAAGAGATAGTTGGGTGCAAAGGCCGTGCCGATTGAGCAAGAGACAAAATCATCATTCGACTTCCGCACAATCTTGGCGCTCGAATGTGAAATCAGTCGCATTTGGTGGTCCTGATGCTCCGCGTTAGCTGATGGTCACGTGACAGGCAGGCGCCGGGTTGCAGGGACTTAGGTACGTACCCAGGACACCTCAGAGAGTCAAAGGCGAGGTAGGGGATTGGCCAATATGTAAAAGATCAGTGTTATTGGTGGGATATGTACAAATAATCGTCCTCAATCATACTGCTGTGGTCGTAAAGTCGAGTGTCCCCCTGACCGCCGACATCCATGCATCCACAATGGTATATTTGTATCATCCCAACCACGTCAATTAGCAAGAGCGCCGTCGCTAAAATGTCTACTTTGTGCCCAACACCCAGTTTCGATCCCGGGCTAAAGAATAAAGTCACCGATATGAAAATGCCATACGTTTTGTACCTTCAAGTTCCTCACCTCCGAGGCTGCGTTGGTGGATATGCGTAGGGATTCGGAAAATGCATACTCGCTGTTAAGCCGAAAGGGTCCGCATCCAACATCGGGTCGTAAGGATCGATCAAAACGCCGCCGCCACCTCCGCCGTCGCTTGCGGCACCAGTCGTCATTGGCGGCGATGCTTGCATGCCTATGGGGATGCCCGACGCCGTGGTCATGGGAGGGAGTCGAAAGTTCGGGATGAAACTGTCCGTGTCGACATCGTCGCCGTCCATTTCATCTATCATATCGGCTTGCGCATCGTACTCCTGTTCTGTTCTCACGGACTCAGTCTAGGACGAACAAAGCTCCACAAGCGGGGGAGGGGGGGAAGAAGGAACGGGTCAGCTTGCCGAGTTGAGTATAATGCTTCTGGAATGAAGCTGGATAGTAACTATCTTGTACACTAGAGGTCGGTTGCGTTCGCGGAGGGAACGCTTGTGAAGCGCCCGGGGTGGATATGGATCGTGCCTGAGCCCTATGCTGCGACGGGAATGGGTTTTGCTGGGAAGGGGGTAAAGGCCGTGCCTGTTGGTGCTGTTGGGTTTGCTGAGCTGCCATCTCCGTCGCAGGTGAGGTCATCCCACCTTGCAAAGCAAATCCAGGCGATCTTGCTGTCGAAGGGGAGGAATGCTGGGATGGGGGAGTGGGCTGCCCTGTAGGTGAGCCTGCGAAATTTCGTTGTCCGCCAGCCTGGGAAGATGGATTTACAGTCTGAATGGGGGGTGCCATCACCGGCCGGTTCTTCGCTTGCTGCTGTCGGCTCAACATTGCCTTCTGCATAGGCGATGCCTGACCGGTGATGGGAGGGGCGCGATGGGGTCGAAGGTTGGGACTCCCTTTGAGGGCGAGTTCAGCCTGGACATCAATACCTGGGTTGTAGAGGTTAGCACAGCTTTCGGAAGGGGTGCGGACGGGGGCCCTCACCCTTCTCGAGGAGAATGCGCTCCAACAACGAGTTCTTGTATCGTAACATCAAACACTCATCCGCAGCCGCACGATGGCTCTGCTGGAGATTCTGGAGAGTCTCCTCATGGTGCTGAATAGTGGTCTCGAGTTGTTTGATGTATTCCGTTCGTCGTTCGCGAAAGGCCGCTTGCGCTTGGCGGTTTCTTTGCTTTCGTTCCTCTGATGTCGCATAGATCTAGCCGGTCGCGTGAGCAATGATGATCTCTGGGAAGAAAATGTAACTGAACTCACTGGTTTCCTGCCTCCCTTGCGCTTGGGAACGGGAGTTGGCTCTTGGGTCGCCTGCTCCGAGCTGCCTCCCGCGGCGTCGCCCGGTTCGGGCGTCGAGGCTGAAGACGACGTATATCTGTCGATACTAGATTCACGCTTTGGGACCACAACGTCGGGCAGCGTGACGTCGGCGTTTGCAACAGAGCCCATGCCTGCTCCACGCAACCGAGTCTAATGCAACGTGCCTGGCATAAGCGCCGATAAAAGGGTCGAGATACGCGACCAAGATAGCAAGAATAGACGCGCGCCTGAATGATCTGATAACAAAAACGTAAACAGATAGATAGTTGACAATTGAAAATAGAGATAAGAGATGTAAAGCAATAAGATGCCTGGAAGATGGGATGTCGTGAGGTAATCAAATGAGCTAACAAAAATTTGCACAGGGAGGGGAAGGACCACGGAAGTGCGGAGGCAAGACAGGGCTTATGAAAGCGCGAGCTGGCTCCGAAAGGTGTGCTTCTTCCTAGCGACTATGGAGTGGTAGGGGAGGGAGTGGGTGGTATCCTCCTGACCCTCAAAAAAGAGGGAATCAACCTCTCGGGGTCCTGTACATGAGACGAAGACAAAAAGCTAGACAGAACCCGAGATCGCTGGAAAGGCTAAACAGAGTGGCCCTAGGAAAGGGAGGAAAGGACCCAGCCGATCATTGCGCCATCCACGGTGACTTTGGATGAAGCGGTCAGGGCGTATGGGTATACGAGGGCATCTCAGGCAGTGGGGTGAAAAAAGTTTCGTCGTGTTCTTCCAAGGAGAAGGGGGGAAGGGGAGAAGGGAGGGAAAAAAAAAAAAAAAAAAAAAGCCAGAAGCAAACAAGGTAGGAGGCCTTTTTTTTGCCGGGAGTGAAAACTCTAACGTCGCTTGCATTGGGCGGAGTTTAGAAAGGTGGAAAATACCATAGAGGATGAGGTTGAAGCGGACGCCACGTGGAAAAAATTTTCATGCTGGGGCCATCGAGGTGCGGGAGCCAACGAGAGCTGGGCCGTACTGCATAATGTTCCCGTAGTTGGCATAGTTTTCTGCGAGAAGAAAGATGGAGCAAGGCTGATCCAACGTCAGGAGAGACGCCGTAGGCGTCAGATGAGCGAACAGCCACCCAACTGCAGTTTGGTTGTAGCCTGCTAGCTTCCAGTAGCCGGTTGCCAACATCCCTGGTCGCCCTCTTAGATCTGCTTCCCCCGCCTTGTCAGCGTCGTCTTTCTCCGTGGACCGACCTGGTCCTCCCTACGTGTGTGCATCTCTGCTCAAGAAATCGGTTGGTTTTCAAAAGGTGAATAGTTGCCCGCAGATCACCCTCAAGCTCAACTCCATCCCGGCTGGCCGGTCCAACTTTCGAGACAATCGTGGTTAAGGAGAGGTTGGGCTGTGGACAAGACTAACCGGAAACTGGAGGAATATGCTGTCCACCGGCATCCGACGGGCCACAGCTAAATGGGCCATCCCTCTGAAGGCCAACCGCCAGTCGACCTCGGCCAATGCACCAGCACCAGCACCATCACTCAAGATGCCCAATAGCCTGCGACGGCGAAGTTCACATGACTGGGTGAAGGGCCACTGGGACATCGACACTGGCTAACCAACGCAGCGCTATTACGACTGGGCCGAAAACGGCTGCCCAAGAAAAGACCTTTTGCTGGCATGGCATTATTCCGACTGAAGGATTCGAATGATTTTTGTCTGGCAGTCAAGTTGCATGATGATATCTATTTTTCTCATAACTTTGGAGTCGTTGAGTGAGTTATTCCGCAGGATCGGCCTGCCGGATGACACGAGGCTCCAATGTCAGAAAGAGTTGTCGTTACGGACATGGCGCTCGCGTGCGTACACACGACTTCAGCCTGGTTATTGGCTGCCCTGTCTGGAAAACAGTGTCCCATTGAAAGTAATACTCAGGCAAAGTGGTAGGTCTGGCAGGCGCTGGATTTTCAGTGATCCAGAAGTTTGTTGCAAGAGATGAAGTTGCGCTTCCAGATCTCCTGTGCAGCGTCTCTCATTTTGAGGCCAGGCGAACAGGCACAAATCAATGCCAGTTCCTGCGCAACGCCGTGTCCTAAGTACCTCGGACCACCGCCGTGACTTTAGTCTGCTTTTTGCCATCTGAGACTATGCCCGCAACTGAATCTTCATTCCCTTTCTGCGACCTAGAACTCACGTTTGACTGACCTCAGGACCCCTTAGCTGAATCCCGATCTCAAGGTTGAATCCATCGACAACTGATGGAGCCCTGGACGGTGAAGGGTGAGGTTGATGATAATTCCGAGTCAGGCCCTCGTTAACAGAAATAGGATCCCTTCAAAACGGTGTCTCCTAGCAAATCGAACATCTTCTGAAGGCGGAAACCTCCCCCCCAACCCCAAAAATTCCCATTCCTTCGAATCTCGAGGCCTTCAACTGTCCAGGCTCTGCTCTAGCCAGATATCGAGTCGACAGATGCTCTCTCACATACCACATCTTCCGAGTATCTTACTCCTCCAGCTCTTCGGTCAGGGTCCCGAAATCTTGCAACAACCCTAGGCAGTTGAGCCACCAGTACTATCAGTCTTCATTGCCATGTCCCTGAGCGGAGGTCTTCGACCAGCAACTTTCCTCGTAACCTGGCGGGTTTGGGACAATGGGTCGATGCAAGAATTGCCCACATGGACAATACCAACAAAGTTAGACGGCACAGCAAAGCCATACCTGATAGAGGACGAGCCGAGCTATGGATCGCGCTGCTCCATCACCTGAGATCCTTCGGCCATCTCTTGCGCCTACCTTCATTCATGCCTCACCACTCCATGAAAATCTAGAAGGACAAATTTACATCTAGTCGACGGTGGAGGATCTCGAAAACCAGATTTGAATCCAATTTACATCTCGAAGGCGTCTGTCGACATCATTGGGGTGGAAGAAATCAATGATGACAGATGCTGGATTTCCCTTTCGCTTGCCACAGAATTGTTTGACGAAAAGAATGCTCCACCTTCTTCGTTGGTCACTTCTCATGATCCGTTGCCCGGTCCAGATTTATGGTGGGAGCTGAAATCAACAATATCAGTTGTTCCCTTCTGCATCAATCTCCCATTAAAGCTCAGCCTTCCACCTTTTTATTCACCCAGACTAGCCTCTATCTGGTACTTCCTATGCCCTTCCATCATAATAAGGGTAGGGGGACAGAGAAGCGTGGTCAGACAAACGTGTGGAATGTCTAGATGCTCACAGTTCACGAACCAGAAAGGGTGTTGGCGAGTCTACCGAGTCCTCACCTGGCCGCGGACATTCTCTACCTCGCGCGCGAACCCGAAGTTCAAACACTGAGGTTGACTGCAAGGTTGCACAGGCAAACTTGAGTACCAATCAAGAAAACCGAGGTTCAACTGGAGGAAGCGAACCTTGTGGTATACTCACGTCAAGAACCTCTGAAAAGAGCTCAAACCACCTACGACTTCCTCGACGCACCGACACCGAGATCATTAGCAGTGCTACGCTCCAAAAATCAAGCCCCAGGGTTGTCAGGAATCGCCTCCTCGATGACGCGGAAGCGTTGAGAGGGTGCGGGAGGCGTTGGGAGTCGCCTCTCAACCTCACTTAGGCCTTGGCATGGTGATTGGTTGGTGGTACAGCTTATGGAGATACGGTCCGAAGTATTGAGATATATGAACCTGTTAAAGATGACTTCAATCAGTTCATTGAGTGGAAAGACGACGATCATAATATCTTTCGTTGGTGGAAGAATGGCGGTCTTTCAAGCCTTGCTCAATCGGAGTTCGATATCCTTTCTATCCCTGCAACGTCCGCAGAGATGGAGCGAGACTTCTCCCTGTCGAATTTATGACCATAACCGTCTGGCGGTTGAAACTTTTGAGAGCTTGCAAACCTACAAGCACTGGCTCGATACTAAGCTTCTCTTGTTAGCTTCCTATGTAGGAAGGTCCTCTGAGATCTGAGAGGCGTCAAGAGGGAGGCACCTCACGCCTCAGGAAGGTCTGGGAGGTGGAGGCGGAGTTGTGGGAAGCGACTCCTGACAACCCTGTCAAGTGCTTGGAAAGGAGTCCCTTCACATACCTCCGATGTTAGAGCACTTGAGCTTGAGGTTCCTCGTGGACATGTCACTATCAGCATAGGAGGATACTTCGAGATTCAATATTTTGTCAACGTTCCTGCCACGGCGAAATATTCAAGACCGTGGTAGTTCAGCTTCTAGTTCCCATCATACCCATCAATTCGCTAGATATTCTACCTAGTACACTTGGTCAGGTTGCGGCATCTCTCGAAGCAAAACGAGCCAGAACCGTTCCGGCGGCAGCAAATGACCCGAGTTATGCAGAATATCAATAAGGTCAAGATTTTACCATCCCTTTCTATCAGTCACTAGAGCACGCGCAACAAGAAAGAGGGACTACACATCCAAAAAATATATTGATGCACTTGGTCATGATATAGACAAATCCTCGCCGGCGTGGACAGGCTCACAGCCACTGCAGGGATAGCCTGAACATGGAAGCAGGAAATGGAGACATTGCTCCTGAACATCCAAACCTCGCTTCATTATTCACATCACCATATGACACGACATTCAAGCTGCTGCCTGGCATCCGATGACAACACAACAAAGCCCAAGACTCTCCAAACTTCGAGTATCAATATCAGATCTAGAATTCCTTGAATCACAGTCCGAGGTACCTCGAAAAGGGATGCCAAGTGAGTAAGAGCGCAAGTCAGAAACGAAGTTACAAAAAGCACAAGAAACCAAATGAAGAAATAACGCGAGGTGACGAGATGACGACGATCGAAAAGATCTACCAAGTCACAACAACGTCGTGACCGAGTCGGACACTGGTCCGAAGCAAACCTGAATTCGCCAATCTCAGCCTGGGAGGTGTGAAATTACGGCTTGATAGTACGAATGTCGACGAATCAAAGCTTGGTTGGTTTGGAGAAATATGTCAAGTTTGTATTACTAGAGAACATGGAACACTCTTCGAGGGGCACAGAAAGAGCATGCCAATCTCTGGATATGATAGCAAATATCAGTTCCACGCTGGACGGTACGGGACTGCAATACTTAATTGCGAGTACCGCTTGTGATTGGTCAGATGCCTACCGAGGCTTGACCTCGGGACAATGAGCCGGAGTCGCTCTTCTCCAACTGCTCGAGTCAGATAGTCATATTCGAATATAATCATGTAGATGAGGTAAGTGAAAGATGTGATTGCTGAACAAGCACAGCCTCGGATCAAGTTGTCTGCCGAAGTCTTCGCTGTTTCAAGTTTCGTCGAACGTTCAAGGGACTGGATCCGATACCTTCTCAACAGAAAAGACTTGAGGGAAAAGCTGATCAGGAGAAGACATATTGCTCTCCGGGTGCTCAAACGTCCCAATGCGAGTCAGTTGAGCGGTGCTGGTGCGCAGTTAAATCGGCGACGCAGAGCTTTCCAAGGTTGACAAGGTGGTGGGAAAGAGACTTTCAGCCTACAAGGATAACAAAAAAATCCTAACCTCCTGGCGAAGGACTTACCAGGAGGCCAGCAGAGCCTTTGATTGGAGATGGCGGATATCAAAAACCTCAACGGCTTATTTCGACTCGATGGGAAGATTGCTGTTGTCACCGGTGGTGAGTGTCATTGCCTATCTGCTTTATATCTACCTTCACTCCTCTCCACTTGAACTGACAGTCATGTCTTCCCTCCTCGCCAGGTTCTCGTGGAATAGGTCTCTATGCTGCTACGGCTTTCCTCCAAGCTGGCTGTGCCAAAGTCATCATCACTGCTCGAGATGCCAATAACTTGTCGGCCGCTGTCCACAAGTTGAACTCCCTGGCCGACATATCGGGACGAGCCGTGGCAATCCCCGCAAACGTGGGACATACCGACCAGATTGAACGGTTCGTCAAGGATGTAGAGAAGGAAGTGAAGAAGGACGGATGCCATGGCGGAGTGGACATCCTAGTTGCCAATGCGGCAGCTAGCTGGGGCGGCCCTTTCGAAGATTTTGAGGATTGGAAGAGTATTAAGACGTTGGATCTGAATGTGAGAGGAGTCTTCAATTTGGTGAGATTGTATGTTGACACCCTCCCCCTCTGGTTCTATTTTCCCCGGCCGAATCAAGAAAGATTGACGAATTTTGGCATCAAGTATGGTCCCTCTACTTTCTCGTTCCGCGACAGTGGAAGATCCATCTCGCATTCTCATCACCTCCTCCGTCGGGGGCATCATAGTCCCGCACATTGGCGCCCGTGGCTCGATAATGTACTCGGTGTCGAAGGCGGCTGCCCATCACCTTGGCCGTAATCTTGCCTTAGAGCTCGCTCCAAAACACATCACTACCAACATCATTGCGCCAGGCTTCTTTCCAAGCCGTCTGGCGAATCCGCAGATAGATTATCTCGGCGGAGAAGATTTTGTTGGCCAGCAAAATCCACTGAGCAGATTAGGCAGACCTCAGGATATTGCTGGAGTTGTCCTCTACCTTTGCAGCAAGGCCGGAAGCTATGTTAATGGCGAGGATATTAGTGTCGATGGAGGCGCAAGGCTGAGAGTTGGTCAGCATCCAGAAGCGGAGAGGAGGGACAATAAGCTGTGATACAATCTGTTGATTCCTGCACATCTCCATCCTAGATCAGCCCAATCCAGATCAGGAAGATTACGACGCCGACTTCGGCTTAGTGCTATTGATACTGCGATGATGTACTCCGTAGATAATCAATGCCTCCACTCTTTCAGAACGACGTCGTTCTCCGTCTTGCTTGTCGTCTCCAGCCTGCATTTGATTTCGCATCGGCTATTGGGGCAGACACTCTTCAAAACAAGAAGACATCTGCCAGATAGCGAACACCGATATTCAACTCCCCCTAGATAACACCTTTTCAGAACGAGTGAGACAGCCCTTGGTGGCCTGCGAGAACGGCCACGGCTTCATGCTCACTCGCCACTCTCTTTCCCCCATCTTCACCGATATGGGAGATTCCAACGAAGCATCTGCTGAAGTGCCCGTCAATGCGCTTCATGAGTCGGTCTTGGCCAGAATTGATCCTCAGTTTGCCGAAATTTATAATCAATATCAGTGTACGTGGGACGGTAATTTTTCCTTTTATTAGCACTTTGGTTCAGAACCGAGAGAACACCCCATGGGCTAGATCTCACAGTATATGATTGCTGAGTTCACTTCGAGCCAGTCATCCTCCATCTCTAGCACCTACGCCAGACGCATTGCTGACTCTTGTGTTCTGAATGAGTAGCAAATCATCTTCGTGCAGACCAAGTCTCTTACGAGATATACAACGCTGATCGGCCAAAGTATTCGTTTCCCACTCACTTGGTGGCCGGACCTTCTCCAGCATGTGGCAGCGCCACGATATATGAAATTCCGGTATCCGATCCCCAAGGATCGATCAAAGTTGAGGTATACTACCCCTCGCAAACAGCGATCACCAAAGGTGGATTACGGAGCCCGGACGGCAAACTGCCAGCCCATGTGGACTACCATGGAGGTGGGTTCGTGATTGGAAATCTCAAAGCAGATGAACATTGGTGTCGACAGGTCTGCGAAGGCATTGGCTGCATTGTCGTCAATGTCGACTATCGCCTTGCACCTGAATATCCCCATCCCGTCCCTGTCAATGACTGCTGGACTGCACTTAAATGGGTTGTTTCACAGACAGACCACCTCAGAGTGGATCTGAAGCGTGTCTCTGTAGGGGGCCTCTCGGCCGGTGGATGTCTCGCAGCCGTTGTCGCCTTGAAGGCTCGAGGTGATCCTTCTATCCCATATCCTCTTGTTTTACAAATGCTCATCGTCCCCGTCATTGATGCGAGGTATATTCCGATCGAGGGGTCATGCGCGCCTGGGACACAGCCATATGACAGCTATATTACCAATGAATTCGCCCCCATGCTACCGTTCCAACGACTGGTTTGGTTTTATAATCTTTGGCTCGGGACCGATCCTGGTATGTATACTTTGCCTTGGACCGTTGTTTCTTCACTAACGCTTTCGTTAAAAAGGGAGTCGCCGCCAAAAAGCAAATGAATTTACCGCTTCTCCGATCACGGCTTCTTCCCATGCAAATCTAGCACCGGCTTCTATCCATGTGGCCGAGATTGACCCTTTGGCGTCTGAGGCTATTGCATATCATGAAAAGCTGATCAAAGATGGTACACCAAGCACCCTGAAGATTTACAAAGGCATGGGACACCCATTTGCACACTGGGATGGTGGAAGGCTGGATAAGGCTTTGGAATTTGATGAGGACAGCAAACGAGCACTGAAAGATGCATACTCGAAGATTTCATAGCCAGAGAGGGAAATGTAACTTCTCCCTCGCATAGCTCTAAATATGCCGAGCACCATAGAGATTCCAAGGGGATTGTCGAACATCTCAGAGGCAGTCCAAGATTATTAAAGCCCAACGCTTTCTCAAAGTCTCAGACTCATCCAGCTCGCCTCTGCGGGAATCGATCATGTTGCCACTCACCTGATGATTCAACAATTCGATATGCCTGTCACCACTTCTTCGGGAGTCCATGATCCTCCCATTGCCGAATCGGTGCCGATGACTGTGCTGGCTTAATCGGGGAATTGCTGGATATGGCAGCATCGGACGAAAAAGTAGGTCAGCTACCAACCAAAGCTTGCCAATGAACATGTGATATTTGGTTTTCTTTTTTCCTTTTCCCTTTGTGTTCTTCTCTAATATTATTCGAAACAAATCAAAATTCGCCAGAGTATTCGCAGGGATAGGGATACACATTCACGCTTATACGGCCAAACCCCGTCCAGACCCAAAGTCTCGTCGAGATGAAGCGTATATGGTACCGGGGACCGGAAACACCAATGGATCTATAGTGTCAGTATGGTGAGTCTTCCAGAATTATCAAGGCGGACTCCATATTATTTTCATACCGGACTGATTGCTCCAGGTATTCCGGAAATGATACAAGCTCACTACTCAGCTTCCTCTCATCTGGCTTGGATCTCCCGGTCATCCGTCTACTATTGGATCCCCAAATGCAGTCTATGTTCACAACTCACGAATTTTCCATCCTTTCAGGGTCCTTCAAATCCCGAAGCACGAACAGACTTTGCTTCCTTGTTAACGTAGCAAGGGATGCTACCCTCGACCAGCTATCCCTCATCAATGCTTTAGAGCAAGGCCTGCTTTCAGGTGCCGCTCTCGACGTGGCTGATCCAGAGCTCCTGCCGCCCACAGACCCTTTGCAGAAAGCACCTAATTGTTTCATTGCTCCTCACATTTCTCGGACAAGGACCGAGTATCTTTCCAGATGTCTAGATTTGATAAATTTAGTCCAGAAAGGTGAATAAGCCCTCGTCTGACTACTAGGAGCAAGGGCCCAGTATTCATTGAAATGAGCCATTGTGTAGAAGCACGATGTGTAGAACACTTCTTCCCAATTCAGGACTACGGTACGGGATCACAGAAACTTCGGCACATCCAAATACACGCATGGCTGGCGGGCCTAACCTCCTGTCTGCACACGCTATACTAATCCGATCGTCCTCCCTAGCCTTGAGTTCTTGAAACATATTTGGGTATCAGTCTTCTCCACACTTGGTGTGTTGTTTGGGGGAGACTATGGGATTGAATACTAGTGCCAGCACACAAACTGATACTGGCTCTTGGGCAATGGCAAGGTAGAAATTGAAGGACAAGAAGGGGCGGATCTCGCGTCCCCTATTATCTTAGAGAGTCAGGCGTGAATGTTTCGGCTAAGGAGCAAAGCAGCTAGCATAGCTATTCATACGTCGACATAACATGATGTCCCCATCCATATTTCGGCCGCAAGTCGTTACGCCCGCAAATGAAACAGCGCGCCTCCACATGACGAACCACTCTTCTCAATACCCCTACCTCGTCCGTCGTATTGTATTTAACACCCCTCCGGTTCCCTGACAAGCACCAAACTCGCGCCGATCCCCTCACCATCCAGCGGCCGCTCATCAACCTCATCCTCCCCGCCGGCCGGCGCAAAGATCCTAACCTCCCTAATGCCTACACCTCTGTTCTTGAGCCACGCCTCATCCTCACTGTCGCGGGGCACGCGGATCTCAATCCCTACTCTGCCTAGCAGCTCTTTCATCGTAGGCTCGTCCTTGTTCGGCACGCTGAGGTGAAAACTCACACTCGTCGTCGGTCGATATCGGTATCCGCCATGGACTTTGGGTTCAGAGTCGGTCACTGAAGAATACAGTTTTATGTAGCTATCGATTTTCTCCTCGGGGACCAGGACTTCGACAGAGAGAATCCCCTTGGCGCCGCACGGGTGGGTCGAGATAGAAGTATCAGCGTAGGGGACACGGAGAGACCGCTCCGTTACGTCGTGGCAGAAGAATGGGGTGTCGAGACGGCCGGTGGGAAAACGCTTTTCCGCCGGTTGAGGGACATTGGGTGCAGAGTTGTCAAACAACGGCTTCGTCACGTACCATTCTACTTGCTGGCCGTCCTTGCGCTTGCGGCCGCCGAAGAGGGGAGATTTGAAGCGTACGCCGAGCTTGCCGTCGCCTTGGTCCGATTGAAGCCGTGTGGTAACGGCGCTATGCGTTTCTTGGGCAGAAGTTGGCGTTGTGAGGGCGAAGTCGATCAAGCCGGGTGATTTGGGGGCCCAGTCGAAGAACTCCTTAGGCTCCGTGATCCAGTTGAGTAGTTCGATGTACGTCCCGTCGGCGAAGATGATGAGTTTGTTGCGTGAGGAGCCACCTTAGGTCAAGGAAGGATGTGAATATTCCAGTTTGCGTGCAATGGTAGAAGGGGGGGGGAAACAAATCACTCGGATCAGAAGGAGGACGGGATGGAAAGAGCAAGGGCGTTTCTTATCGGGACCAACTCACCTGCATGCGTCCCTCCCTCAATGATATTAAAGTTCTCACTCAACCACGTCGGCGGGTTCTCAAAGTCCGGTGTGTCAAGGAGAAGAATCACATGGTCATGCAAATACGGGGAGACGGCCGCGTTCATGGTAACGCACTGGTAGGCAAGGCTTGTAGGACCCCGGTTTGAACTGACGCTCTCAATGTTTTCCTATTCCGTTGGATTGAATACTGAGGATGATTCTGGGCTTGAAATTCCTGACAAATTCCGCCTCTTCCTGATTCCCGAGTCTTCAGCGCTGAAATCTCAAGACGCGTTGTCCTAGACCACTGGTGATGGTAGATACTTTTTCTGATTTCGCTAGGATGACTCATGCAGGGAGATAGCCGTAGCGGGAGCATACGAAGGCGGATTTTTACTCCTCCTTGGCGAAAGCTTCTCCTTCACGCGGCTTGAGCTTGATTGGTCTTCTGCGTTCCTCCTCCAAGGAAAATGTCACGACTTGGTCCCCGCGCGAAGTGATGAGAATAGGGAGAATAAAGACAAGAAGAATTGAAAAGGAGAGGCGGAGAACTTCTCCAAGGAGAGGATTAGGTGTCTCCCCTCCGCCAGAAGGCACAGCTGAGGCAGATCCACTCTAGATGCTCTTCCAGACGCTAGGCCCATATACAGGCGGGCTCGATCACGTCTCTTGATATAAATAGCACACGCCTATGGTTGCTCTTTGTGATAGACTGTGGAGTCTAGAGAAAGAATGTGTTATTTTCTGTTTAACAAGAGAGCAATACTGAGAAGAAGGAAAGTTGCCAAGCCAACTGTCTCACGTGACACGTTGCCAAGGCAACGTGTCACGTGATTGGCCAACACTTTGCTGGCTAACCTGCTCGCAATACCCAAGTAAGTTCAAGCCACCCTCACCCAATCTTGCCAAATTCGAAGCGTGAGGGTGAGTCAAATACTAGAAAACTAGGGGCCCCGGACAGGATATTCCGCGGGGGATAAAAGCGTAGCTTTTGTATTGCCCCCAAACCCCCAGGCCTCGCTGCGCTCGAGAATCACGTGATGGAGCCGGCCACGTTGGTCTTGGTAATTCTTGGCGGCATGCGGCCTAAGTCACGTTACTGCCCTTTTTTTCCCCTGGCCGACGAATCGAGGTCACGTGTAGGGGGGTCGGGATTTAAAAGAAAGCTTACGCTTTCAATCAATCAATTAGATTCCAAGTTGAGTGTGGCTTGTCAACGTTGCCAATGGAATGCTGAAAGTTCTGAGGATGCCAAGGAGGATGGAAGAGTTAGCGCACCAGACATGACCCGGGGGTAGAAAGTGCGGCAGAGTCACGTGGACAAGCGCGTCAAGTAAACAAACCCCTCCAGCTCTCTATCTTGCCTAGCAAAATTCACGCCTCAAGATTCCGCAACTGCATCTAAGCTGCATATCAGGTCCGGCAAAGCTCAAAATGACAGAAGACGAGATACTCTGACGATGACGAACGTGATAACGGTATCCCATACTCCACTGGATATTGTACATCCAGGAGGTGCAGATTCAATGGGAAGTGAATTGCGTGACTCATTAAAAACAGGCAACCGTTCCGCACTTCGTCCTCCGTTTTCCCTTTCTAAGCCTGAGCGCAAAGCAACAACGTCGACCACCACTGCCCAGCGAAAGACTACAACACTGTCTCGGGGTCGGAGACGAGATCACTCAGCCTGCCCACAATTCTCCGCCGACAAAATCAAGGAGACCGATCCATACCGAGTCGAACTGCTTTGGCGAGAAGTCATGGCACCAAAAAATCCGTCATACTTACGCCCAACGAAATCCAGCCAAGTCAGGAACGAGGCCCGCCTGAATAAGCCAAATCCGTCACCTGAAAACCCTACAACAGATGAGGATCCAGCAGGTTCTTTCACAGCACCTACCTCTATAACAGCTACCAGCAGAAAACAGAGCGTCAAAACCGCCACGGTCCGCGACGTCGACTTCGAACACACTCAGTTAATTCCGCGGGGTGTTGACATGAATCGAGACACAGATGTGAGTCTGGGCTCTGTGGCAGGGGCTTACGCCTATTTTCGCTCCGAACCACCTTCGAACCTGGCGGAATCATGCGAATTCTACAGATCCATTGTTCAGAAGAGCCTGGCAGGAAGAGTTGAACGGGATGTAGACGATTCGATCTTCCCAGCAATGGGCGCCGGCTTTGTGGAATCCGTGCACACGGCCTATCGCAGCCTAGGGGAGGCAGGACTTCCAGAACCTGAGTTCAAGGCATATGCTTTGCAGAATCTGTTCATTGGGCAGTACGGCCTCCTAGCAGATGACACTAGACGGCAGCTTTGTGCTGTACGGTCTGTGGAATGGTCGCTCAAGCCCCGCGAATACCACGAATCCCGCTTGTGGCGTGCGCCTCCAATCCTCTCTCCGAACTCTCCTCCTTCCAAGCGCTTTGTCTTCGACATTTACCCCGACTGTCAATTCTGGCTTTGCGACAAGATCATAAATCCCGATTATCGAGCAAGCATCCGCCATGTCGTGTATCGCGAGGCCTTGGCTACATTCTGTCCCTATTTCTCGATTGAGTTTAAAGCCACAACTGATGACACGCGGACCGTGGAGAACCAGGTAGCCGCTGCAGGCTTGATTTCCTTGTTCAATCGATATCACTTGAAGCTCGACGCCAATCCTCATCCTACTCCAGAGCAATGGAAACTGGTTCGTCATTACGGATTGACGATGGAGAAAGAAAATTGGACTGTGTGGCTCTTTGAGCCCAAAATAGCCAATGAGGCTTGGGCTGGCTGCAAAATACAAAAACTTGATGATGGGACTTGTAAGGCTGGATCAGAAGTTCGCGGATTGCTCTCATGGATCAACGAGATTCATCGCTGGGGCCTTTGCGAGTACGCTCCAGGATGTGAAGATGATATCAAACACATTCTGGGGAGCGAGTTTGATGAGGGAGGTTCTTAGAGCGACGTCAAAGGCGGCGAGCTGTAGAACACTGGATGCCTAAACCGGACTTCTCGACTACGACTGGACAAATTGGGTGGAACGAAACAGGCAGGAAGCAGATTTAGAAGGGAGCCAAAATGGTGAACGCAGCCCAAAGTGTACGAAGCGGAGTCAAATGGATTCCCACTTCATTCGCATTTTTCCACCTCAAAGGCTAGACGGGCTTGTACGCGTATGTTCCTATGTCGAGTATTCTCATCCTTAGATCGACCGACCAAGCCTTCTCGCTCACTATTCACAAGATACCAGTTCTCATCCTTCCTACGAGTAACTCCCCAGCTTGCTTCTCACGAGGTCAAATCAGGGCCTCAATAGTCATTGGGCTGTATCACACAGCTAATGCCGTCATCCCTCATCCAGGCGAAAAGCCATTCATTGGTTCTTGATTTGTTCTGCACCCCGCCTATTTCTCCATGCCAGAGTTATATGGTACAGAATCGGACTCCCACCAAACACCATCGCCAGAATGAGCACACATCCCGTCTTTTGTCCATCTCTAACCTTGTTCTTTAGTCGTTATAGCTTGCTTGGCTTGCACTTTGGGATTCGTCGACGGATCGTCGGGTTTATTCGCAACGTTCGACAAGCTGATGGCAATCTTTCGCGGTTTCCTTCCCTCGACATGATTTTCCGTATCCCTGTTGCTCGAAAGGGGGGCAGTTTCTGTCGCTTGTTTGGATCGTAAGAAACCCTTTTTCCGTCGCAGGGAACTCTGCGAAGCAAGACCGGAAGTACTTGAAGTCGAATTCCTTCGTTTTGGACCTCCAGACAATTTCCCTAATTCATCATCGTCATCATCTTCTTGTCTCCGTCGTTTTTCTGTCACTCTTTCGGGAGGTGGTTGTGGCTCTGGTTCTGTCACTGTCTTGATCTCGGGTGATGGTTGTAACTTCTTTTCGGCCGTCGATCGAGATTCCGGAGACGATGTCTCTCCCCCGCTATCTGGAGTGAGGGGTGTTTGTGGTGGGGCTGCGTCTTTGTTATCCATAGCTTCATCTTCATCGTCATCAGGATAGTCGACCAAAGGTTTGCTGAGAGGAGAAGCACTGCCGTTCGTTATTTCCGACTTCATCCTCCTCCGGTGCCATTGCATTCTGTCTGACACATCCCTGGTATTCTCACGCTCTGGTTCCCCGTCATGTTCATCCTCTTCATCATCAGACGTGTTGAAGTAATCTTCTTCATTCGCATCCATCTCTGGCAAGCCTTGCCATCTTCCGTTCATGTGAGTGCGATTCATGGGTGGTGTGGCATCGTCCTGGCTGAAGAGTGTATGTTCTGGCTCCGGCTGGTCGGTCGTCAATTGTTCATATCTCATGAGGAGATTATCGAAAGTGTCGACATAGGTAATGTCCTGGAGCTTTTGCCGGTAATGCTCTCCGAGGTGTAGCACAATTGGTTTGATCGTCTCTTTCCGAATAAATTCAAACAGTTCCAAACACGCTGAATTCAGGAGATTATCCCGAGGCATCGTGTCGACCACGATTCCCAAAATCGTGTCAAACGCTCCACTTTTGATCACCTGAGCGGCATAGAACTGGTCTTGTAAAGAGACCCCGGTTCGGAAGAATTTCAGCGCCGTCAATTTCAACGGCTTTTGCGGTACTTGGAGTAATTGGGCCACTCGAGGTGCTAGATTTTCGGACAGAACAAACGGACGACTTCGCATCGAATGTTGTCGGACAAAGAAGGTCAAGATCTCCACGAGATACGAGAACAACGAGACTTCTTGATAGGTAAAATTTTGCATCGATTCCCGGGTTTCCAGATTCTTCAGAGGTTGGAACAACTTTCTGCACGATCGGTCGAAATTATCCTGTGCGAATTGTTCGTTCGCTGCTTGGGTCGGAGTCATTTGCGGCGGTCTTGACAGTTTGGTCATGAATTCGGAATTCTGTCGATTGCCCATAGGGTCATTTGAAGGGGGTTGAGGATCCAGTAAGATCTTGATCGCATCCGCCAGTTGGTTTTTCACGCCTAGATCGGTCTCGGCATGCAACAAATCGATCAGAGTATCTGTCAATGGGGTCTTCTTCTCGTGAACCGCCTTCAGCATGTAGCTTTTCATCATGTTGGGATCATGGTCCAGTAAAGCCACCAGAATGTCGATGCCTGTTGTTCTCATGGACGGCTCGGGGTGCTTAACCGCAAAGGTGATCACCGCAAAGAGGCCGTGGGCGATGAAATTGTTGAGCAGATTCGCCCTCGACTGCACTTGCAGGGTTTTGGCGATCGCGGCACATTGTTGCAAGAAGTGGACCGCCTGCTCTTTTCGTTTGATATCAGTATTGTCGAGGCTGAATATTGCAAAGAGTTCCTTCAGGAATGGGGTGTTGTTCTGGAGGTGTTGGACAATGTCGACTTGATTAAAAAAGATGAGAGAATTCAAAACTCCAAAGGTGGGATCGTCCAGGATCCGGGCCAGCACGACATCCTTCAAATACTGTAGACGCCAAGTTTGTCGGATTTTCCTCTTGATGTTTTGGTCCTTGATCTCAACCACCTCTTTATACCTCGATTCATCCGATAGATACTGTCGATGGTTGGCTTTGTGTGTAGGGAAATCTGGATCATATTCAAGCGCTCCCACAACGCCGATGATGATATCGTCGGTGACCAGGTGCTCGATGATCGTGTTGTCGTTCATGAGAATCAGAGCTTTCATGATGTTGCAGAGTCGATGCAAATCCGGGAGACTCTCAAGATCTTCGGCCATTTCCACCAACGGAATCAACTTGAGCAAATATTCTTCCCTGATCAAGAACTTGGCGAGAGCTTCACGACCACCTTGGGTTATGCTTGCTTGTCTGATATTCTGCTCGATTTCGTCCAGGTTTCCCAGTTCGGGCGGATTGAGGGTGAAGGAGGTGGACATGTTCTCAAGTGCATCGTCCGAAAGTCCGTCATCTTTGAATAAATGAGCATGCCATTCGCACGGTCACGCGCTCTGAAAACTTACCCGGTAACGACAACTGTTGCTGGACTTGGTGGACAAAATCCCTGAAACGAAATCAGATCCTTGTGCGAATGAATCATCCGGCGGGGCGTACCAAATAACTGCACAACCTTCCGCCTCCTGAAAACTGAGTGCCATATCGGTGCCATTGGTCTCGGTCCACACGATCAATGTGTCTACCACGCGTCAGCTATGTAAAACCCCCCTAAAAGTCCTAGAGTTATGTGTCTCCAACCTTGTTGTTTTTGATATCCATCCTCTTTCACAATCCGCGTTTCTAGCAACATGCGATCTGGCTGATCTTCCGACTCGACATAGATGCGCGGTTCATCCTGAGAGAAACAGGGTCAGCGCGTCTCTCTTTTCGGCATCTCATCCCAACAAAGACGCATCTGTCGGGGACCAAAGCATGATATGAAACATACATTGATGACCTGACCGGTACAAAAGCCGGTACCTCTATCAAACCAGTCATTGTCGCGCAGCTCGTATACTTTGACTCTTTTCTTGTCGTTGGCAAGCGGCGCTTGCATTGCCATGACAGAAGAAGCGGGAGCAACGAATGGACATCAGCAAGCGGGGGGGTCGAGGACCGTTTGCTGACTTTTGTTTCTGAAAGTGGCGAGGTGCGCAAAGTTGATGTTGGGTTCTCGTGATACAGAACAGGTGGCGCGGGGTGGGTCGGAGCGAGGTGCAGGCGAAAACGCTGTGCGGGAACACAGGCGAGAGGCAGAAATAAGCGCGCACTCTCCAGGCAGCGCACAAGGCGACAAGTGAGTTGGAGGATATGATCTGGACAACAGGTGAAAAGTTAGAAATTTCGTGGGGATGACGTGCATGCAGGATTGAGTGTCGCGATTAATTTGTGACAGACGATGGGATGGTGCGGTACGTGGCAGAGCAAGCCTCCCGGACGGATTGAGTTCTGGGCTCTTTGGTCTACACACAAGCGCAGACTCTCGATTCTGCAGCAGTTGGCCGGCCCAGGGAGGCGAGTCGCGATTTTGTTCCGGGCTGGTGGAACGACGAGGAGGCCGGGATTGAGGCTGAGACAGAGATAGAGTCTGGGGACCGAGAACTGGGTTCTTGGGTACGGAGCACGGAGCACGGAGCACGGAGCACGGCGCACGGGGTGTAAGCAGCACGACTACCGCTTGGTTGATCTCAGACTTAGCGTGGGGAGTATCCAGAATTACTCACTAACTCTTAGGGAGTAGAATCGTGGCAATATCTCTTCGTTCTCGTCGTCAATGATGGAATTCGAAGTCTGGGGGGTTGACGAGAGGCCACCGGGATGCCTGCAAAGCCCAAAAAGGCGAACCTGCTGGGCGCTGCGGCTCAAAGTTTCAGGACACAGGGGGCCACTTCCGGCTTGCTATTCACGGCGCAGCCAACACTCGGGGGCCAGACACTGCGAGGCGTAGCCAAACAGATTTCCAGTTCTCGAATTCAACTTCTATTTCACTAATACAACGCGAATCCTTGCTCCCACCATCGATCGCCCGCCCACCATCCTATCCACCTCGATCCTTCTTGATACCATGTCCACCAACCTTCGTCCTTCCCTCCTGGCCCAAAACCCAACCCACGAAGAAGACTGATTGGCACTGGCTCAAATAACCAAATTCCACAACGTGCAAAGTCGTTGGCCAGCAATGGGCCGGTGAGATAAAGATAAACCGTGACTACCAAAACATTCATCGTACGCCGCACGACTCGCGGGAGATGTTTCACGGATGGGACATGTTGGTGCAGAAGTGTGACGATTGATGATTGTACCAATATTCCCCATCCTTGAAGGAGAAAGAACATGAGCGGCCCGGAGATTGGATGTGACGGTTCAAGAGAAAAAGTTGTGTAACTACCACCTACGTGAATCGATCCGGACAAGCTAAATGCGATTAGAAGTTGAATGATTCGGGCAGCTGTCCCCGAACGGTCCAGGTCGAATCTCTGGATCAAGAACCTCGATGGTTCGGAAATTCCGTATCGAAACATTTGATGCCAAAACTTTCCCCAGAGACCTGCCAACCCAGAGTACAGCACCGATGTTGTCAGTGGGTACCAACAAGATGGATACATCCAAGGCTCGAGCAGTGGTGACCGGGTGACTTTCGAGATATCCACGAGAAAAGGGAGGACCAAGGTGAAAAATAATGGACTCAGGCTGAAAATGAAAGTTAGAGCTGTGATGACTCCCGTCATTGACATAAAGAGTCGAACGAGGCGAGTTGCTATTGGAATTGTATGGTTGAGCTTTGCAAGCCAAAGCCATGGAGTTGGTGATTCCAGTGGTCTCAATCCTAGAAAATAAGGATCCGTAGTCATTGTAGTCTTGAGTAGGTCCAACAAGAGGTAGCTAATTGTAAAGTCTTGTAAGCTCCGTATTTGAAGTGACTGTAGCGTGTGTCGAGGGATTGAAGTTGGTTTGCTTCGGTCATTTACTCTTTGAATGGGATTTTTTGGAGATGGCATTTGTGGTATCGGCGCATCGATTGACCCCAGGATTGAGATACGATGGTTCCAATTCACCCCTCGAAATCCAGTCGTCAGGTCTGCCGCCCAATCGATTACATGCAGCCACGCCGAGTCATATGGAAACCCTTGCCAAACCAGTTTGTGGGGTTGGGTAGCAGGACCATTAGATTTAGGGCCAGAGATCTGTTTGGTGTCTGTCGCGGTATACACGCTGGGGATCTTGCGTTGAGTTAGGTCAGTATCCGAAGGGATGCCTGACGCCAGAGATTTCGTCACAACCCCATTTTGATGTTGTCCGTCGTTCTTGATGTTGGCGGGTCTCATCTCCAGTCTTAAAAAATCACGTTCGACGTCGTTGAAGACAAGAAGAGCTGCCGACATGATTATTCCCCAGGCACTGCCCAGTCCAATACCGTACCCACCCACAAACCATAGCGTGCGACGATGAGAGGCCACGTATATGCCATGGCAAACAATGAGCATAAAAGCAAGGAATCTGAACGATCTTGCTAGCTTCAGCTGAAGTCTAGGAGTGATTGCAATGGCAAGAAGTAGATATAAGGCCGGTAGAGAATCCCACGGATAAAGAAAAGGGGTATACTCTCCAGATGCTATGGTAGCATCGTATCGGCTCTGGCGATCTGCTAAGGCCCGTCGGTAGAGAGAGACAGACTCATTGGCCATTCCTGTTTGATCCCTCGGTAGGTGAATAGGACGAATGCGACAAGAAGGAAAGATATCAAGAAGAAATGAGAAGCAAGGCTGACGGTAGCTCGCAAAGCCATGACATCGAGATGGGTGTGAGATCAAAGAATATGTGTAGTAGTCAGATTTTCAAGTCATATCGACGGTATGAATCGACAGAAAATCTTGTTCCTGGTTGTTCGGGCTCAAAAGCAGACCTTTCCCAATTAGGGATACAAGATACGGTGGGCTGTAACCTCTTAAGTGTAACCGCAGAAAGTTTTGCCCGAATCATTCAGTCACTTTACCTGGGCTTTGTGCCTATGCAAATGAATCTAACTCAGATCTGAGAACTTTCTTCTTCCAGGTGTAAGTCCTTTGAAGCGACCATTCTATCGGGACTTTGTTGAATGGAAGACTACTCGATAGGTGGTCTGCCACCGACATGCTACTATATCCACAGTTTCATTACTCCAACCGAAGAGCAACACGTCATCAAGGAAATTCAGAGGCTTCCGAAATCTCGATGGACTGTTCTGAGTCACCGACGACTCCTGTCTTTGCCGTCGCCTCTGACCGGCCCTTCTCGAGACACTCTTATTGCTGCTCCTCTGCCGGCATTCCTCAACTCGGTCGTCAGCCGATTGAAAGATCAGAACATTTTCGAAAATTCCGTTCATAAAGCTCCTAATCATGTCTTGATCAACGAATACAAGCCCGGGGAAGGAATCATGCCGCATGAAGATGGCCCAGCATACCATCCAATCACTGCGACAATAAGTTTGGGTGGCCACACTGTGCTTGAGATCTACAAGAAAAATGAACACGGAGAGCGTGAGGTCAAACCGACTTGGCGCATTTTGCAAGAACCCAGGAGCTTACTTGTCACCACTGGGGACATGTATGTTGACACTTTACACGGAATTTCTGAGATTGCCACGGACGAGGACCTGGACCCCCAGAGTATCATCAATTGGAACTTGCTCGGCAACAAAGATCTCTATGAAGCTGGCAAAGCTGATAGACAAACAAGAATAAGTCTCACATTACGTGATGTGATTAGAATCGCCAAAGTTGGAGGCGCCATGAAATTCATTACCAAAAGGCCCTAGATACCCGCTTCGAGACTTCTGTCCTGTCAATTGTGGATACTGAGCCCCGCGGTGTTTCCCTTTTCCAGGAATGATGGATCGTTTCTTCATTTACCAAACCATCATGCCTGCATCTTGATCTCCATGTCTGTTTCAATACAATGTGAACAATGGTTCAGAATGGCATCGATGGAGTCCTTTTCACCTCGACCGATGGGACGCCTGCAGCCTTGAACAAAGACCGCAACGAATAGGATGGTGGCGACGAGTCCAAAAACAACGACACAGATGATCTCGACTGTCGATGCTGTATATTCTCGCCCATTTTGGCGACAGCCTTGCGGCTGTATTGTAATATCACGCCTTTTTCGATGTGCCTTATGCCATCGCCCAAGTATTGGGATATGGAGATCGGAAAAGAATCAAATTGAGAATGCCAATCAACCCGGTAATGATGCTGCTGATCGATATGCGAGAATTCAGCCCTGTCCGGAAGCAGACTCTATGATCGCTAGGGTGCTTTGCAGCTTTTCCTTGATGAAAAGAACACAGCGCGAAGTGAAGCATTACCCAGCCAACACATATATACCCGATGGTTTGGTCTCCACTAGCTCGATGAAGTGCTGAAGAATCGGATCCCGTCAAGATGACTGAACATACGTAAATGCTCCCCGGTATCTCTTTTGACGACAAATATCAACAAGGCGCTGCAGGGGAAAGCGAGAGTTGAACCAATGCATGCCCTCGGCCACGCAAACAGACAATATGATTCAGTGCATTGGGCTCTCCATCTTGGGCGTTTTACTTGATGCTTCTGGAGCTCTCCTTTCCGATCATCTAGTTTGTATCTACTATTGCCACTGGGGAAGAGCGACGACCTCTTCCATCAAGCCAACTTGCTTCCACGGACCATGTTCATGAACTCGAGGTCGCGTCGTTCCACATGCAAGTACATCCCGCCGCTTTGGCCAGACGAGTCTGCCATTATCAGAAAGTCAAATTTCATATTTCTTAAGTGGTGGTTTTCAGCCAGGCAGTAAACGACTTTGACTTGCCAGCAAGGAAGGTCCCTCATGACTTTTCGTTGGGCAACACACCCATATCCACTTTACGAATTTTTCTTCATCCTTGACGCAACTCTAGGACCGAAGGTATGGGTGGATACAGTCCGGCACCACCCGCCATGAGGCGAAACCAGCCGTTTTGTCCCCCGATTTCATTGAATCGGGTTATCTTCTCCAAGAAGATCATCTTCATATCAGTCCTCTCAGATACTCTACGGGGTCTAATATATGAATCCAACTGTCCGATCAATGAACTGCCCAATATCCTCCTCGGGATAGTCATCCCGAGAATCCAGTTCCCTGTGCTCCGACACTGGCGACCGGCAAAGAAGGCCGCAGCGTGACGGGCAGGAATCGAGGATAGTTACCTTGTCGATCCCACGAGTCGAGCCGTGTGAAAGCCACCTCCAATCTCTCGAGCCTCGGCTGCGGATTTGCATCTTTCAGCAGTGTGTACAGATTCCCGACTGCTTGGCACAGTTTATCTTCCTTGAACGGCGGAGGACTACCGTTCGTCGATCTCAGGTTATAAGCGTCCTGAAATACGGTTTCTTCCACGGGCACTTCCATCCACAGCCTGATGGTACAGATCTGGATAGGTGAACTTGATCTCCATTTGCAAGAATCGATGCAAGAATTCATTGTGGGAGGGACGATAATATATCATGTAAAATCTGTCAGGCCAACGACGTCGATGACCACGTATGCAAATTTACAAAGTTTCCTCTCGAGACGACACACATGAATGCATACATTCGAATTGAAGTGGGAATACAGGTTTTGAACAGAAAGGAAAATACTTTTGTCCCTTCTCAGGAAGTCAAGGCGGCGTACTGATAACTGGCGTGGCAGACGAAGCAACAGCAGCGGTCAAGGCTGCGGAAGGAGATGGAGGTACCGCTGCTGAAGCAGATGCCGTAGGGGCAGCACTAGAGGCACTCGTATTGATCCCAGAATCAATCTTGGTATCACCAGGCCACACAACTGGACCAGGATGTGGTCCAAATGTAGGCCGAGGATTGATGTACATGTTGAACATCAACGTAGGATCGTGGGGTTGGTATGCAGCAAGATTCTCAACGATAGGAGAGGGGCCGCCGCGCTGGAGCTCTCAATATCGAGCTGTGCACAGTTGGAGTACATCTCTGGACCTTTCGGGTATGGTGCCGCCATGAATGGCAATATGCATGAGATACTGACCATCTGGGATCTCCTTGGGGAGGGTGAATGGGAGAGTGAATAGTAAGTTGTACATCAATCCGTAGACTTTGAATCAGTCACCAGAGCCGTCGTACGCGGTAATGTCGACATTGTCGGGCGCCCTGGGCATGAAGATTTGCAGAGAGGCGCAGGATGCCGGATCTTGCTGTTTAAGTTGAACTGGAAATCGGCTTCTTGACCGGCCTTGACGCTGAAAACTTTGATGCCGGTTGCGTAGGATTGAGAGTTGGTATTGCGACGCATGGTGGGACTGATGACCACGTTATCGCCGAATTGTGGCTGGAATCCCCGGCCGATTCGACGGACGTACTTATATTCATCGATAACGAGGTCGTCGACGACTAATTCAGGGAGAAAATAGTGGACAGATGAAAAGGGCCAGCAGGAGGAAAACCACTAGAGCGACAGCACCTGTTGAAAATTCCATGTCGTTGATGAGAAAGAAGGGACACATATGCCACTTGGACCGAACGAATGAATATATGTATTTCTGCTGGGAAGAAAATGAGTGATCTTTTGAAGCGAAGAAAAAGGAGGGAAAGAATGCTAAAAGAAAAAGGGGCGGGAAAAAAAAAAATCCTCTCCAGGTATGCGTACCGATTGCATCTGGCCTAGATAGAAGGGGGGGTGCGCACATGGGGATGGAGACAGCCGTTGGAAACCTAGATCTAGGTGAAATGGATCTAGAAAATCGATGTTCGATACGCGAGAATTTGTCCAATCCATACCCTTGTCGAATGGTGTTTCACAACGGGCTCCCCTAAGTAAGGAGAAGCGTTTGATTCTGCGGAAACGATAACATGGACTTAGAAATGTGATGTTGTGAATCCAGATGTGGGTCAAAATGGTGGGCCGCCCAGAAAATTACTAAAAGGGGCACAGCCTTGGGCGTGCGATGGGGAAAGATTTGTGATTTTTGTATCTTGATAGTGCTGATGGACTTTGGCTGGGAAGTCTGGGAGATGAGGTCCGGGTCGGCCTTGGTTTCAGCTTGAAAAAGGTCGGTTTGCCTTGGGACGTCCACAGGGCATGAGATCCTGCAGAACTTCTTACACTTAGATGCTTTGACAGAGGCGAGGCACTGTTGTCATGAGAGGAGTCCTATCCAGGGGCAGATGAAGTTCCCATTGAGCAAAAGTCTCTCATGTTCAATCACCTCCGGCACAGATATGCAGGAGCTGGGGAGCAGTAGAGTATTGAGAGCAAGGTATTGGAGAACGGCAAGAACATATTTAGACAAGACCGCATCACAGCAGATTTTCGGACGTAAAAATATTTGCGACAATTTCGAACTGGTTGTCTGGCAGTCAAGCCTGAGGCGCCTCTGTCGCCGAATGACTCGGTTATAACGTTAGTCTTAACGCACAGGATAATGCTAGCCCAAAAGAACAGTAAGAAACGGTTTCATTCTCAACTGGAGTGATTGAATAATTCTGGTTGACGATTCTCCGCGGTCAGACATTTGTATTTGTAGTCTAGTTAGTCCAGCAACATCATCTCCATATCCAACCACTGGGCGTGTGAAATCGATGATCCATTGCGGTGAGATGACTGGCAGTACAGTAGCACGAGGAACTTCACCGTTGTTATACATCGGGAACTCTTATGTCTCTTGGGAATAGTTCCCCATCCAATGACCCCGCTACGTGGCTTTCCAGTAACGGGGCCACACAATCCTGGATTCCCGTGAACGGGAAAGCCGGAGAAGCAACAAAGAGGCCCGTACAGGTGATTAAATTCAACGGCTCGGGGCGAAGACTTCAATGGCTGTCCACGAAGCCCACCAGTCTCTTTCTTCGGTCAACAAATCGCATTGGGTGACAACACGAGCTACTCTCCCTCGGCGATTAATCATGATCACTCCAAGACGATTACGAGATGTCCATGCAGCAAAACATATTGGTCACTGAGCGATCATTTTATTAACCAATTCCAGTGCCTCATACGAGCATGGCTACCGCCAGCGTGTCTCTGCAGACGCTAAACTCCCCCGCCATTTTCCTCCCTTGACCCTCCATCCTCGATCGTCCACTCCCCTACTTATCATTTGGCTCCTGCGTTGGCGGGACTCCCGCAGTCCGGAGGGCTCGTGTTTTCTTTGCCGGATCGACCAGTCGAGCCATGACCTCAGCTGAATCTCTCTTCGTTCACCGAATCACTCTTCCCCTGCTCTTCCATCGTCGACGGACTTTTTTTACGTGCAGCCTAACAACCTACGACGAAGGGACAATCTCAAAGAAGGGGCGCCTCAGGCGCCGAAGCAGACAAATGTCTCTGGTAGGGCGCTGCTTCTCTCTTCTCCGACATTGTTACCAGCGTTCCAATCAATCTTGACCAACTCACAAAACAATGTCGAGAGGCCATGTCCGAATACCACTCACAATTCAGTTCTGGTCAGCTGCGAGCTCTCGACATTGTTGCCAGGGTTTCATCATGCCTCTCACTAACAGGCTCCTCGTTTACCATTGTGAGCTTTATCAGCTATCCACCACTCCGGAAACCAGTCAATCGTCTGGCTTTCTCTATCGCCGTGGCCAACATCTTTGCTTGCCTTGCGTACAGCTGGGGGAGGTACCCTGTTAGAGCCGGAAGAAATACTGCTTTTTGTCAAACACAAGGCTTCTTCATTACCTGGTTTGTGATGACCGATCCACTCCTAGTATGATCTCATTTTTCCACCCTCCCCAAATTACCGTGTCGTCTGATCCGATAAAAAGGTCACGGTCATGGCCTTCAACGTTCTCCTCACAGTACGGACGAAGAGAAATGCCCAAGAGCTCAAAAAACAAGATCTCTCAGGGATCTGTTTTGCATTCACGGCACCATTTATTCCCGCCTTGGTATTCTTGATTTGGAGACCTGATGGTCGTACTGTCTATGGTGATGCAACTATGTGGTGCTGGATCGCTAAAGAATCTGATATACTTCGACTGGTAGAATTCTACGTGCCAATATGGTGAGTTCAAGAAATGAAAATGCACCTGGATTTCCATGTCTGACCTGTCAGGATCATGATCCTCATTTCAATCTTCCTGTTCGCTCTCAGCGGGAAGCAAATTCTCCTAGTTCGGAAAAAGGTTAAGACCGCTAAGTCTGAAATGGTTGAGCATAGGGAACCTCGTCAGGATCCTTCTCCACGAGACCGCCGCCTCTCCGGTGTTGCGAGAGCCTTCATGTCGCCGACCCTTAATCGGGGACCAGGGCCTTCACCGATGACCTCCAATACTCCACTGAACCCTTTCCTCAAAGGACTTGAACCTCTAGCCCCCATACGTTCCCGCGAAGTGCCCGAGCCTCAAGGGCCGTCACTGTTAGGGACGCCTTCCTCTCCACCTATCGGCCGATCAGGCTCAGATCGTGGCCTATCACGGAGATCATCTTCCAGGTTTGACAGAATTCATTGGAAATACGCCAAGTTTGCCTTTCTATGCACCATTGTTCTTTTCATTACCTGGGTACATTCTCATGATATCTTATCACTCATTAATCGACAACTGCTGACCGTCGATAGGTGCCCATAAGCGTCAACAGGATCTACAATAACTTCATTTCTCCCAATCGTCAAATCTATGGACTGTACCTTGCATCCGCATTATGCATACCACTCCATGGCTTTGGAAATTTCGTCATCTACACCACGACTAGTTGGACCGAATGTCAAGAATTCCTCACTTGTTCTACGAACAGGGGATCGAGGCGACTATCCAGTATTCAGCTACCAAAGGATCACCGATACCGGGATATATTTCGTCATTGGAAGGATAGAAGTGTTGATTTTGGACATAGATACTTCCAAAGTCTGCACCTCAATAAGAACGACCACTGTTAGCAATTTTCATTTCTTTTATAAATGGGTTTCGGACAGGCATTGGGCGGGACAGATGCATCGATTACGCAGATTTAACTATGAATACCCCCCAAATGCTCTCACACATGTTTTCGATGCAATTCTTCTCTGTGCAAAATGTGCGACATTATGCAGGTGAATCGATTCATCTCAAAGGCTAATAATTTCTGGGGAATCTGAGACATTTCCATTGCTGAAATTGCTCTCCCTTGAGGCGACGTGCTTTCAAATTGTAATGCTTTTTTGGCATGGCGGCCCAGGACAGCGCATGAAACTGTAAACCTTTCGCTGGATCGAGGATTGCCTGGACATTTCTCGCTCAGCATCGAGTTGTTCGGCTCGTTCGGTGAGCACCCGGTCAGTGACTGATGACGAGCCTCTTGTCTCCTTTTCTCTTTGATAAAGATCCGACCGGCTATTGCACAGCTCCCAATCGACCCTCAGCTTCTTACCTGCATGAAACAGCTCGCCCCATGCCACAAACTGTTTTTCAGCGATCGACCAGTCGCGCTGGGAGCACTCTGCCAACTGAGACTACAACATTAGTGTCGTCTGATTTACACATTTGTTCTGAGATCTCTTCCTGCGCAAAAGCTTCTCCAGTTTAGGTTGTGGAAAGCGCTGCCAATATGATGCCAGTGCCAACGCCAGATCCTGCTTTGTGTCCTTGGAAATCGTCAAAGTGACCTTCCACTCGATCGAGTGACGGATGCAACTTGGCGGATCCTCATCATATGTCTTCTCTTGATCTCAATCGTCTAGTCGAACCAAAGCAAGCTTGTCCGGTAGTGAGAATGTGTCAGATGAGGCCGGCCCGTGAGAATGCGAAGCAGACGGTTTCGATTCTTGGATGTCTTGCCCTCGCTATCCATCAGGCGGGAGCCGTGATCCGGCAGGGCCTGTTCTCGATGGAAGAGTTACTGTGGAGTGTTTTCTCAGCGTCGGAAACAACTGCTTGCTCGTGATGCCAGCGTTTCCATATTCATTTGTCAATAATCTACGAATTGTGGCTTCACTGCGCAGATAAAGCTGGAGTCGATTCTCAGCACGTACCTTTTCTCAGACGCGATCAGAATCTTCAAGTGGATTAAGTGGTAGAAGATGACTAACATGTTTGCCCCTCGGTTGTTAGGTGCGCCACTAGGAAACTGCCGATAACCAACCACCCTCCATCATCCTCGAAAACGATTCTCTTCTCTCCGGTAATCCATCTCAGAGAACGAGTTAGGTATTGTCTGGCTGTTAGGAGGGTCTCTGTGGATGCCACATGAACACAGAGGAACTATGGAAACCATGATAGGCTGTGGGAGGTATGAAGGAATGGGTTGTTCTTCTATCTAAACAAGAGAGCAAGAGTGAATAAAATAAGAAGGGTGCAAGTTGCTACAATTCCAAGTCAATTGCTCCACGTGCCAAGCCAATTAATCACGTGATTGGCCAGCAAACCATTACAGTATGTAATCGGGTCCACTAGTGCCTTGTGTCGCCCAATAGTGATGACTCAATGGGCTAGCCTATATAACTAGATGCCCGGCTAGCAGGATCCCTAAGCACTTAAACAGAGCAAGTCAATCCTTCTCGACCCTCTCCAACATTATATTATCTATCGGCTGATACTCGCAAACTAAATACTGAAACCCATCTTGTGTCGTCAACATCTCTTTATCCTCCTATTGAGACGTAGAGGCGAGTCGAATGCGCTGTGGGCTCGCGATGAATCTAAATGTCAGCATTCCAATTATTCCCGTTCCCGTTAAAGCAAGAATCACAATGATGAAATATTCGTCCCATGATAGCGGCTTCGCGGGCACGGGTGGCGGCGGACCAAAGTCCCTCGTCTGTGATCCTGTTGCCTCAATCGCACCGGGTTCAACAGTAAGAGTGAAAGCCCCTTCCTCCAGTGCCAGCCTTGCTTGGTCGGCATCAAGACTGCAAGCGTCTTGCAGCCACTCCGCGATCCGTTCCCATTCCTCATCACTAGTACACTTGTCATGACACCCAAACAAAGTACCGTGCGTACAGAAGCAGTTGCTGGATTGTGTCAGGCAACCATATTCGAAGATGGCATCGTCGAGGCATCTACGAGCACAATTTGGTAGGCTTGAGAAATCAAGCTTCAATGCCGGTGAGTCTGGGCAAAGTTTCGCAAACCAGTCTTCTGTATCCCACCAGGACTCCCAGTTGCAAGACCAGGCACAGCTAAGTCCGGTCTGGAGGTTGCAGTAGCATTCTCGAGTGTATTGCTTCATCCCACACTGGTCGCCCCCGTTATCAGACGCTTCTGAATTATTGGCACAAGGCCCGTCTATCAGAGGGCAAATTCGTGGAGGAGGTCCATTGTACTGCCAGCAGGTGTTGTAATAGCACGATGGCATTGTGACAGGATCGACAAGTCCCGGAGCATTCGTTTGTCCTGGAAGGAGATTCCCACCATCTGCTTGGGCGGAGAAATTCATGTTGAAGAAAGAGAGGACGATGATCCACTTGATCAGGTTCTGGTATTGAGCGTCCATTTCGAGTCATGCGGCGGTTTGAGATTTGCTGAACATGCCACAGGGTTGAAAGCCGATTTTCTCTTGTTTTCGTTTCCTTCATATGTCTTTGGGAGTCGTCCGGAAATTGCGGCCGTTCAGCTCCAACTTTAGTCTCACCCGTAAGCCGAGCTGTTGCTTCAATGGTGTATAGGACGGATGGTCCATCACACGTGATACCCTCTGAGCCGCACGAGGTGGCATATTTGCACTCCTAGGCGATAATAAATGGCAAATTAGGATGGCTTCGGACTATATCAGGCCTCAAGTACGTAAAATTTAGCTGCCCATTTCCGCCTCACCGGTCTCGTAACGAGGCCAGCGCATCCTCCTCCGAGGCCGAAAATCGAAGACCCTGGTGGGATCGGTAGTAACAAGGTCTCAAATGAGGACGGGGAAGCTTGACGGACCGCCTTGGCGAGGTCGCGACTCGCCTCTGGTTTGAGAATACTCGGTACCAAATTCCCCAAAGATTCAAATCATGAAGGTTGTACCGGATGGCGCTGATCTGTGAGAATCTCCAGCAACAGCCCCTATTTATAATTCATGGCACTTTAGTATCTCGTCTCCGAAGCTCATTTCAATTGTCTCTTCTGTGACAACAAACCAAGCTTCCATTCTGCGGAGCGGAAATGTCGGATACGGCTCTTGACGGTAAGAGCCGCACCCGACTGCAGATACCTTGGAACCTTATCACTGACTAATCCATAGTGAGCAGCCGAAAGGCTGATGGTCGCTCCTCTGGACGTATCTTCTCCCCGGATATTTTGACTGCACTGGCTAGACTAGTTGCTGGCTCTTTCATCGCTGGATTTCTTCCTGCGGCCAATGCGACGTTCTCAATTGCACGATGCTGTACACTCGCCGTTCGGCAAGACTTCAAGAAATATTATACCGAGTCATACCCCTGGGAAGTGTGCAACTTCAATATCGACATCAACTATTCCGACAACGGGACCTTTCCATCTATTGTGCGCAGTATGGCATGGGCAAAAGAATATTGCCGGGGAGCGCAACTGAGCTCCTTGAATCAGTGGCTGTTGCCCTTGTCAACATATATCTCACCATATATCGGTATTCTGATGATGTCTCCCCTTGGCGATGTCCCCTACCATAACTATTTGAAATGCAAAGGTGACAAGATTCAAATGCTCACTGCCTTTGTCAATGATTTTCTCAACCCTTTGCTCAATGTCTTAAGGAAGTACGTGCAAGAATACATCAGCCTTTTGGGTGATCCTTCCAGTGCGACCTTTGGCGCTATGCACGAGGTGTGGTCTGATGCGAGAACCTTGAGCAAAATTGCGCCACCGCCTCTCGAAAAGTCGTTGGGTCTCCCTCGCAAGGCATTGTGGATCGCCGCTCTGGCCGGAAATATTCGGTTCTCACAAGAAACGGGCTGGCATCCAGAGGTCTTGCGTGCTGAAGGCCCGAACACTTCGGCTGATGATTTCTCTCCCAACACCGCTGGTGAGCTTGAGAATAGCAAGGAAAAGGCCCCGGACGTTATATCGACCGTCAAACCGGAAAAGCCATCGGAAGACTTGCAGCTCCTTGTGTCCGGCAGCAAGAACAATAAAGCCACCGACAGGCTCAACGGAGCCATCGAGATGATGATTGCTTCGCAAAAGCCTTTTGTGAGCGCGATCCTGATTCCTGTCGTCCTGATGCTTGCCGTCACTGCAGCAACATTCTATGATGCTTACAGCAAGACAGGTGACAAAGACACCGCACTCGCCCTGGCCTACTGTGTGTGGTACTCGTGGATTCTGATCCTGGGTGTCGCCGGCAACTGTTATGCCAGCGCCCTCAGCCCTAAAGTCGCCCAGAAAGCCTTTAAAGGCGTTCTTACCTTTGAAGAGGGGCCTGCGGAGACTGCACTTCGACATCGATATATCAACGGCCGTTGTTGGGAGAGCTGGGCGGCTGACCCTCGAAGCCCAACCGACTTGGGATCCATTTTGGAAAGGTTGAGCTCCGACTGGTTCTTCTGGCTCCGGTTCTGTTCCGGCCAGTTCCTCGGTCTCTGCTGTGTTACTTTCACGTCGGCTTGTGCTGTCGTCATTGCATGGACGACACCAACTGTGGGCCTGGGTTGCAGATCGTTTAACTTCATTTTATACGTGATCCTCTCCTTCGTCACGGGATACCTGCATGTCTTTTGTTCTTGGCTGTCAGTCCGCTCCAAAATACAGCCTTGTGGTTCAGCCAAGGGTCACATACGACTCCAAATATTCCGCTTTATATACTGGTCTCTTGTTTTTGTCAACTTCTTGGTCATAGTTCTGGGAACAATATTCCATCTGGTCGGCGTGTTTCGCACATGCTGGTGCGAGCGACTAACGTGGTCGGACTCGACATTGATCGAGCTCAACAGCAAGACACAGCAGGCGGTAGACAATGCTCGCAGGTACTGGGTTTCAACAGGATATGTAGATTTTGGGATTGTGTGGATGGCATGCATGATTGCTATCAGCTTTCGCATGTATATCGTGCAGAAGATTGATGAATGGGACAGCGACGGCGGTCACAGCAAGGACAAAAGGATGAACGGGAGCAGCTGATCACACGTAAACACCATGTGTATATGACTCGGTATCTGGGTAGATGACAGTCAAAGACGCATCCAAGTGAATCAACCTCGCAAAGATGTGATAAAACAAAATGGACCGGCCGACAGTGACACGGTCGATTTCATAATCGAAACCGTACAAGGGTAAAACTCTTTAGAAGAAAGATTTCTAGCTGCTTTCCTGGTCACATACCCCTGTGGGACCAAGTATCGTATGTCAAGTGTATGTAGTCGCAACAAACATAAAGTCTCGTCTTTCCCTTCGACGCTGAGGACGTCTGCTGCATCAGACGAAGCATGTCGTTCATTTATGGATTTTCGGCCCATACGGAACCTGTTGCTTTTTTGGTGTTGGGGGGATTCTAATTCATACACCCCTTCTGACTACTCTGTACACTCACACTAAGCGCTTTTGACTCTACATCATCAATGCTGTTCGTTGCCTGTACGGCGTATAGCGTATATATACCCTTGACACGTGACCCCACGCATCTGTGGTTGTAGCGGCGGGAAGAGAATAAACTAACTAAAACTATCTGCTGGGGGTGGCCGCTTTACTTATATATGTTTCCGTAAACGAATGTAGTTTAGCGTAAGCCAGAATCCTTGGTAGAAACCCACACATCCCCGAAAACACCCAAGCCCTACGGTTGTGAACCTGGGATTGCAAATGAATGTATCTTTGGACGAGTTTCTACCTCCCGAGACTCCCAACTTCGAGCGTATTAGATTCCCTACCTCCACGATCACCAGATGTGCCTCAAAGCGTGCATACCGTAGGCAAGAAGTTTGACAGCAGGACTAAGACTGAGACGTAGCTCGAAGAGCTACTTCAGGTTCGTGGTACGCCCACGAAGAAGTTCTACTCGGCTAACTTCCCCAACCCCACGCGCACCATGACAGCTGAAATTTAAAAAAAAAAGATTCGAGTCCCCTCCTATAGCCAGTGTATAACTGGGTTATAGATGGGGCGCCACAACCAGCGAAAGTTTTCAGTCGGACAAGTTCAACTTAAGGAGTGATCTCCTAAACGGTATCAACAGGTGGACATCAACAAGTCGCTGGCTGGAGCATTACGTTTACCCATCTAGGGCACCTAGACTCAATGGAGCTAGGCCGGACAACCCTCTTGCCCCCTATGATCTAACACTAGTGGGGTCCCTCAATTCTATCGGTTCGACTAAAACCGGAGTGCTCCCACTCAGTTTCGTCCTTGATAGGTCAACCACGATTTGGTGTTCAATTGTGTCAATTTTGAGGTAAATTCTGGCCGAGTAAAATATATACTTGAATTTTCCGGTTGAAATCACGTGGTTTTGACGCAGTGAGCGCGCGATGCCAAGTCTTGCCAAGACAAATTTTATTGGCCAATAACGTGAGACCCATGGCTTGGCATTGTCACGTGATGTCTGGGTATTTCCAGTGTATACTGTGCTTCTGTTGGAGAGTATATATACGGTCTCAGTATTGGCAATGAACAGCACCGCTCATCACTATTCTGTACATTCTACAACGTCATAGACGAGGCTATTGCTGTAGAGATGTTCCAGCAAGGTAGATTCAACGAGGTCAGGATGTCTTTCAATCATGTTGACGACGTGTTTTTTATTCAACGTACAAAAGGATATGAGGTGCCTCTTGAAGTTGGAATAGTAGATGGTACATTCTCGCAACCTTTAGGAAGAGCAATAGGCAAAAGAAGGGGGGAGAAAGAAAAATCAAAAATATTTTCTAAAAAAAAAATTGGCGCCCAGAAATTGGGGTTCTTTGGTTCACTCTTCGGTAGGGGTCAATAAGATACAGATTTTATTTCTTATTTGAAAGATTCCACTAATCAAAGTATACCACACGGCATCAAGCCCAGTGAGTCAAGTCAAGGTCAAATCAGACCTGACTTGGCCTAAACCCAGCCCGTAGCGTATACTTCTCGCATACCGGACCTGGCCTCCTTCTATCAGCCGAGTTGAGCTTATTATCGTTCACAATTTTTAACACGGCTTTAAACTACGGGAATGAGAATCATGCCGCCTGTTCACCCTGATGCTGATGCCCATGCCCATGACGGTGTTTCGCATGGAGATCCTCCACGGGAGCATCGACAAAGTAATTCATCGTCTTTCTCAGATCGCCCAGGAAACAGCACGCCACACAGGCGAGCGCGCCGAAGGGGGCGGCAATAATATACACGACGCGCACGGAGTCGGCGAAGGCGTGTCTCAGCGCTGCAACGCCCAGGTTGATAATCGTCGGCGTCACGCCGGGGATATTGGCGAGGCTGTCTGTGTCACCGGACGCGAGGGCGCCGACGAAAGCTTCGAGCGAAGAGGCGGGCAATCCGGCGCCGAGGGCCGCTTTGCCCACGTCGTTGGGCAGGTTGGTTTCGAGTTGTGTGTTGAAGGCGGCGGCGTAGATTGCGGTGAAGACTGTGGCGGCGACGGCGCGGGAAGAGGTTGTCACAGCGGTTGCGGTGGCGATGAGTGCGTGTGGTGTTGAGAGTTGGACACCCGTGATGATCAGGATTAAGGGGGATCCGAAGCCAAAGCCCGCTACGGCTGCAAAGGCGAGTGCGTTGAAGTCGTCGTCAGGCTGGATCGTGGCGAAGCCGATGATGCCGACCGTGAAGATCAGGTAGCCGAGGAACAGAGGTTCGCGAATCGTGCGGAATCGGGTGCTTGAGTAGCCCCAGATCACGGTTGCGATGCCGCCTGCTATCCAGAAAGGTTGGGCGCGAGCGGCGAGGAGGAACGGGTCTTGTTCGAAGAGCGAGGATGTCCTGAAATTCATCGTCAATTAGGTTTAGGTACTTGAAGGAATGAGGATCGAATAGGGGGAGGGGAGAGAGTACTTACATGACGGGATAAAAGATAATGTAGGAGAAGAGCATGATGCCTTCGATGAAGATGAGGCCGACGCAAATGGCGAAGGTGCGTCCTGCAGCCTTGCCTCCTCGGAAGAGGTCATGATGCAAAATACCCGTGCGGGTGCCTTTCCACTCGTAGATTCCAAAGGCAATGAGAATGATGATGCCGATTACGAGCGTCGTCAGCGTGCGTGAGTTGGTCCAGCTGTATAGTCCGCCTCCGAGGTTCAAGCCCGTGAGGAAGAGTGACAAGCCGGCGGTGAGGAGGCCAAATCCGGGGAGATCGAGGTGGCCTAGCTTTTGCCAGAAGGAGAGATGATCGAGACGAGTGTGTCGTTTGGGTGGTCTGTAGCCGATAAAGATTCCGAGAGCTGTTGCTCCCCAGAGACCCATTTGGATCCACTGCAAAGTTCGTCAATACGCACACACACACAGGGAGAGAGAGAGAGAGAGAAGGAATGAGGAACGCACGTAAAACTTCCGCCATCCATCAATCGGATCTGCTTGTGTCAAAGCACCGATGGACAATGGGCCTGAGATGGCACCCAAGGCTGCGGCGATATTCATGCCCGCCTGCGTCACTATTCAGATCATACCGGTTAGAGGCAAGTAAGGTAGAGAAAACCTCTTTAAGACACCAACTTAAGACTTACTCGGTCGCCATCTTCGGGGTAAGATCTCACTAGGTACGGAATATGCTAGAGGCACGGAAGCAAATCCCACCCCAATAAGTGTTTGAGCAACAATGAGTCTGTAGATGTCTCCAGAGCCAGGTGCAATGGCAGATCCAATTAGAGACACAAGCGATGAGCCAACAAGTAGAATTTTCCGTGCTTGGAAGGTGTCTGAGGCGGAGGAAATGACCGGTCCAAGGACTGCTTGCACAAGAGAGAGTGAATTGGGGACCCAAGTCTGAGTCTCTGGATTGTCGAGGGATTTTCCGATCCAGTCGAGCTATACCAGGAAGGAGGTTGTGTGAGCGTGTTGTTTAGGAATGAGATGAGTGTAGATGTTATTGGGTTTGGGGTACTTACAACAGCAGGCGGGGCCTGAAGAGCAAAAACCTGAACCAGATTTAAGATGAACATGGCAGCGATGGCAACCCAGGTTCGAGCATGGATTTCTGGTTCTTCGTCTGCGTCATCATAGACGAGATTCCCGTCTCGTGCATCGATCTTCTCGACGTGTTTTCCTTCAGGCATTACTCCCTTCTCGTCAATAGGGACATGCTGGGCCTCGTTGCGCAGGTCATCTTTCTCCACCGAAGAATCAGAGGGAGTGTTGGTAGTCATCTTTGTACGAATTCAACCCGACACCGAATGGTCGTCGTTTCGATCATCGAGAAAACTTGAAGCGAAGAGACAGGCCTTTGTAGGAGAGGAACCACTGAGGCCGACGTTACCGCGTCCCACCTCAAAACTTGTCGTGATAGGCTATACAAGACCAGGAAGATTTGTGGGCGGCCTACTTGGAAACCGGGGTAGCGTGGTGGGACGCTTGGGAAGTCTGGGGGTGTAACTTTCTTGCGGGACCTTTTGACCTTCAGCTTAGCCTTCGGAATTGGTGGTTCAGGTGGTCTAGTTGGTTTGTTCAGCTTTGTCTCGACCATCGGTCACTTTCTATCATCTTCATATCGGAACAATGTTGCACCGCTTCGGGTAGAGATAGGAGAGAGGAGAGACTGTCACAAGCTAGGTTCACTGACAGCCATACCGACACACCGGCAGAGATGGACGGTATTGGGGGTAATATTCTGGACAGCCACACTGCAACTTGTGCATTCCGGTCCGGTCGAGAACAGGAGGTAACCATTGGCTCTCACCCCATCAAACTTCCAACTTCGTCGATGAGAGTTTGCGGGGGAAAATCCACCGGAAAATCCACCAGGGCGGATGAGCCAGAATCCCAAGCGGCTTCTTATGATTAATGACCTTGGGGATTGCGGGGATATATCGGATGCGCTCCACGTCTGGCGTCAGGCTGGCTGAGTTCCACGTGGTGGACTTGGATATCCCCTGCATGTGGACCTGGAGATGAATATTTTGTGGGAGTAAGATACTGTGTATGTGCACGGTCTCATGGTCCGCGTGGAATCAATTGGATTCCATCGTGGAGGAATAATCATACATCTTTCAAAGATGGGGGCCTCCCAAGACTGTCATTCAGTAGGTCCCATAGTGACGATCCAGTCCGGGCCGTGCGTCCGACTCTCCCTCGCGGGTAGCTGTCGTTTCACCGCGGAGGATCTCTACCTCCTCACCGTCCTCTGAACTATCAGCGTCATCTCTTGTCAGATTCCAGCTTTCAAACAGGCACGCATCCTTTTCGAGACTTCCCACCGTCTCCCACGCCACTACAAGAACCATCAATCCAGCCCCCACCGACACAAGGTGGGTAGCATCAAGCTGCTCCTCCGACGTCAGCGGTAGAAGGACAAAGGTGATTGAAACCAGCAGGCGAGGAAAGAGTCGGACAGGCTATGCTTTGTCAGCCAGGGCCGTTGCATGACGACTGCCAGACATACCTTTGAGAACCTCAGAAACCCTTTGGGGTCATCGTCTTTGTACAGCAGAGCGATAAGGAAGAGGCAGAAAGTCCCCAAGCCAAGACCACCACCCCAAAGCCATCGCTGGCCTGAGTTCAATCTTTCTTCAGGTACTGTTGCGGCCGATATGTGTCCTCCAAGCATCAGTCCGGCAGACAGAGGCAAATGGATCAAAAGCCAACTGAATGAGCTCCAAACCGCTCGTCGAATAGGATGTACACTCTCCGTCGCACCATCGCAGTACACGTACATCGAATTAAAGCAGAATGCGATGATGAGAGTCTCCACGGCTCGCAACGTCTTCAATGTGAGTGCTCCGGCGGCCGGAGATCCCACCAGGATAGCGTATGTGAACTCGCCGAGCACGAGGATCGTGAAAGCAGTGTATCGGTCATTCTCGTGATCGATGTCGACCGCCGTCGAATAATCCAGCTTCAGCCATCTCGCGAGCCACGGGCCAAAAGTCAAGACATAGCAGAATTCCTGCACAAAGATCAGCCACCGTGCGAAATGAAGCAAGAGGAACCCACTTCGTACACAATACCAACGACAGCCACCGCGATCTTCGTACGCAGACTGATGGACTCAAAGAGAAGGGGGATCCAAATACACAATCCGACGAGAATGGCCAGGAAATATGCCCGATTCTGCGTTCGGTGGTGATGGCTCGCGATGCTGTACAGGGCATAGAGGCAGATCTGCGAGAATCGCAACACCATGTACGTGGCCACGGTAAGTCTTATTGCTCCAATATCCTCGGTGACAAGGTTAGCATTGTTGCCGTAGACCACCAGTAAGGCCATGACCCAGAGGACACCGACGCGCTGCAGCACGTCGTCGTTGTAGTAGTTGTTGGCGTTCTCTTTGGCATCGGCCCAGGCATGCCTGTCGGCAACGTCACATCAACACCAGTGTCCGGTGAGAAAGCATGTATTCAACGCATACCATGCCGGAGCAAAAATGAGTATGAACTTGACGAGATTTTGAGGCGTCGCATCCTCCGCAAGGCTGTCTGAGAAATTGGCAATCTGTTCCTCGTCAATACCCCGAACACGACCACGACGGAGCTGCCAACTTACGATAGCAACATCTACAATAAATTGCAACAAATTAATATCGACTTTCAGTTTCAACCCCTTCGAGACTGACAAAGAGACAGCAGATACAATAGGGACGTACATACATAGCAAATCCAAAAACAACTCGAAGCGGCCAGCGACGCGCTCTTTCTCCTGAAGCTTCTTGAGTTCGCCTCGGTAAAAATATTGAAGAGCCTGGGGCCGGCGAATGAGGTAGCGGCGTTCTTTTAGTTCGGTCATGACGACTAATATTCTGTGCTGTGTCGAACGAAATCTTGTAAGTTCAGTCGAATGGTATGGTACAAACTTTTAAAATCGAGGCCCTTAGATCGGGCAGCGAGATAAGTAATGCAGTTTAGATCCAGTAGACGAACACAGAGGTCATTGCTAACTTTTTGGGGGTTGGATGCGCAAAGAATTTCCGATATAGACTTTTTGACTAGAGCTGCCAATCGAGCTGCCAATCGCGGGACCATGCTCTGTCCGGATAAGTATGAGCGAACAAAGTTCAGCTTGCAGTCTTGGATTCTTGGACTCTTTGTCAAACGTCAAACTTTGCTTCCCGAACCATTGTGGTATTGCATACTGGGCCACCATTATTGGCACCCAGCCCCGACCCATATAGCCAACCTGTTTCTGGAATTTTTGCGATCGGAAACGTTAAGGATTCTTCACACGCCATGGGGAAGCAACTCTTGATTAATCAACTTTGGTCTCAGCAATAAAATGTTCATCCCGACAAGCATTTTGCGTGAGGCATCGTCCTCGTCTTGACATAATCTCAAACAAATGCTTTGGAAAGCAATGATTTCAGAAAATCTTGCCTGACAACAGCGCCGAAACTGCCCGGAAATTCTGTTAGTGGACGGACGGCCGTAAGCATCCCTATGGAAGGGTGTTTCCACCTACCCATAACACTTGACATGAGCCAAAAGTCTCTCAGACAAGAAGTTCAAGTCTTTGATTTTCATCGTCCCGAAGCTAGAATCGTTCCTTATCTGGTGCCATACTTGAACTGGTGTTAGTTCCCACCCTTCTAATGGCAGATCATGGGAGATATCTAGTAGTCGGTTCATGATTTCTTTGGGTGCTTTCCATGCCGAAGATGACATTGACTGGTCGGAAGGGGAGCAGCACAGCACCGCAGCTGAAGCTGTATGCACGTGACCATGAGCAGAATTATTGTCCGTGGGTGTATGATGGATATGAGGGAGACAGGGACTCTCGAGTCTGTACGTTTGTCTTAGATTGAGAGCGAGCTCTACCCTTCGCAGGTTATGGGTGGGCAATACGACTCACTTGAGAACGAATTCCATGCCCACAATCACGAGGTCGAGCTGACCAACAAATGCATGACTTCTCTGAAGTATCGAACCGTGAATGTGCGCACGAGAATCGAACGATTGGCTCTGTCCTATATTTCGTCCCTTTCAGCCAGCCGACAACAGCGAAATTTCCAAGCGAATATCTTACCTAGCCACTCTTCACCCCAGGAGACAGGTTGGGGAAAGGACATGTTCTCAGGCGAAGAGCTATTTTCAGAATCTTCTCTTGGTGGAAACGCATGATTGATATCCTGCTGAATTTCCTGAACATGCAGCTGGTGAGGCTCGCCATTGCGAGCTTCAATCCACACAATAGTGCTGGTATATGAGTTGCCACCATAGGCGGGAGAGTAATACGAATTTCCGCCCGCTTCGGACGAAATCTCGAGACTCCCAAAGCCGTTCATGTTGAAAGCTCGCTTGAACTTGCGACTTTCTCCATCGCTGAGGCCAAGCTGTCTCTTCATCTCCGAGACCTCATACTGAAGCCGGTCAACGTCATTCTGCAACATCGCCTCGTTCGCCTGAAGACGTTTGACTTGCCTCTCCAACGTCCTGAGGTATTGATCGCGCCTTTCCCGAAACGTTCTGAGAAATCAAAGACAGCGTCAGCGTTTGTGCACCTGCATCTGACTTCGGGCTCTAGGCCTGGTGCCGATCATCATGATAATGACGGGTTACGCCCGATACGATACGGAAGGTATCGTTATGATGACAGCATCAACCATGCGACATGTTGTCTTGGTTGGAGACGTATATATGGAGGATGTCCCAAGGGTATCGAGCTCTCATCATGACCGGTATCGTCCCTGAGTTTATCGTCTCATTCATTAAGACGTGGTCAGGAAGGATTCCATGGAGTATATATAACCTCCCATTATCATCGACACCAGCCCTGAGCCCTTTGGTTCCACTGACTTTTGAGCCTTTCGCAGCTGCTCCCGACGATTCGCTACTCTGTCTGAACTCAAAGCGTTAGCATTGAGCTTTGAGAGCACTTGCCGGCTCAGATACCTTCCACCGTTCGGAAGAGCGGGCGAAATATATCCGTCATCCTTTAAATCCTCGTGACGAGGGAGATCACTGCGTTTACAATGTCTAATGTCTTCGCTTGTTGACCGAAACAGAGCAACTCGAGCTCACAGGTCGAGTACTCACAAATTCATTGAAAGAGAAAAGAAGAGAAACTAGAAACCGACGACATCAACAGGTAGTCGATCTCGCCGGTTTCGCCATCGTTTCGGCCCCGAGCGGTAATGCAAGCCCTGTCCCCACATCTAACCCTAACATGTTGCAGGATTGTTGTATAATCAAAGTCTCCCAGAATCAGACTAGTCTGGAGACGGCGCCAATAAACCCTGGCACGGAGCCAGGATGCAAAGAGGAAATTTTATATCAAGTAATCGGACACCAAACTAGGACGGACGGACGCACTTTGTAAGTCCAAGTTATTGAATGCCACAGATCCAAATTGCGGCCATGAGTTACGACGAGAAAGGCATGAAAACCGTGAGATTCTCTGAGACAGCTCCGTCACGCAGATATCTATATAATGAGCGGGCGGCTCATGGAAGAAGAAGCTCTTTTCTGCTCTTCAATGAAGTAAGGAGCCCGATCATCATTCTCAACAGCTATTTTCAATCCCACTCAGTCCATCTTTGGCGAAGATAGATACGCTCATTACTATTCCTGATCTCAGAATGTTGGCCACGCTTTCTCAATCCATTCTGCTTGTTGCATCCTTCAGCCTCGCCGCTTTCGCAGCCCCGGCGGCTCATCGAGGAAAGCCCTCAGGCCCTCCCGGCCATACGACAGGTCCAAAAGCAATCTATTTCATCGCCAATGATCCGGTCAACTCGGTGGTTGCGCTACCCGTTGCCTCGGACGGGACTTTGTCGATGGGCACCCTCACACCGACTGAGGGCACAGGATCCAACAGCATCAACGGAGATACAAACGAACCAGCAGCTCCTGATGCATTGATTTCACAGTCATCTTTGACTATTGCGGGCAATGTAAGTTCATGAGCTCGGTCCCGTCATGCGCCTGTTGACTCCTAAGACCCTAATGCATACATGCCACTAACGCCGACGTAGAACATGTTCGCTGTCAACGCCGGAAGCAACACTCTGACAATGTTGTCAATCGACCCTCGAGATCCTACCAAGTTAACAGTGGTGGGCGACCCAGTTGCAATCCCAGGAGAATTTCCCAATACCGTCGCAGCATCGGCCAAGAATCGGCTTGCCTGTGTCGCTACCACAGGAACTCTGAATGGAGTATCATGTTCGAGCTTTTCGAACACAGGCCTCGGAACCATGGACGCCTTACGTTCCTTTGGCCTCGACCAGGTCACTCCGCCAGTTGGACCTACCAACACCGTTTCTCAAGTTTTCTTCTCTGAAGATGAATCGAGCCTATTTGCAACAGTGAAGGGAGATCCCGCAGTAAACCTCACTGGCTTCTTCTCGGTGTTTCCTGTGGAAAGTCAAGGCTGCAAAGAGACCGCCAGTCTGGCTACCGAAGATATCCGCAGCTCTCCCTCGGGCACCGCCGTGCTATTCGGTTCGAAACCAATCCCAGGGACATCATCGGTATTCGTCACGGACGCATCCTTTGGCGGCGCGGTCCTCTCCGTCGACCCAACGACCAACATGGCGAGCCTGGTGGCAAAGCAAGGAATCGATGGTCAATCAGCGACGTGCTGGGTCACCATCTCCGATGTCACGGGCAGCGCATTCGTGACTGATGTCGGGGTGAACAGAGTCGTGGAAATGAGTCTGACGGACGCGAGCATCATTTCTATGCTTGATTTGTCAGCGAACGGCGATCCCGGACTTATCGATCTCGTTGCTAAAGGAAACTTCGTGTATGCCTTGTCCCCAGGCAACGGCACCACCCCTGCTGCCGTCACGGTGCTGGATGTCTCCGGTGGTCAAGGGTCTGCGAAAGTGACTCAACATTTTACTCTTGATGGGATGGGAGTCGGTAAGAATGCGCAAGGAATGGCGTCTATTTGATGAGCCTGCATTGCTTCTCAACATGACAGAGCCTCTATTAAGTAGTCCCTCAATTGGGTTGAGAAAGAGCCTTGACCCCATTACCCTGGCTAGAAATTAGAACAGAGAATGCCCGACTCTTATCAGAAAATGATCTCTTATTACTGGCGCTACGAAATTGTTTGGATCAGAGCATGGCCAACTGGTCTTCATCATGAGACCGCGCCAAAATGCCCAAGGCAGGCTTTTATAGTTTCGGAATCAATAAGAGGAAGGCAAGTTCCTCGACTACGCAGTGAAAACCACAAGAGGAAACAGAATCTCGCGGAGCGAACGATATTGTGGATTGAATCAACCGAGTTCCATTTGCAGACGTTATAGATGCCTCATAGCATCTCATCCTGCCCCATCGTGAATGAACCTTTCCGCCATGTAATGTCTCATCAGCCCATGACCCATATCTACGATTCATGTCATGACGCTCGGACCGCCAATAAGTCTTCAGAGGACCTTGAACTCGCCAACGCCACGATATGCATGTACCAAACCTCACCACCCATGAATTCAACCCAAAGAAATGTCTGAATGATCATCCATGCTCTTTTCGTGCCTCAGCAATGCGAATTACACTTCGAAACCAGCCATCATCCCCGTGCCACCGCATCTAACTTCTTCATAGTATCATTAACATCGTTGATGAGACTTTTACGAAAGGCTCGGGCTTCTGTTGAATCAACCTCCACTTCATCGGCTTTGAGAAGAATATGAGTCATGACACTTTCGCTCAATTTTCGATGCTCTTTTATTCGGGTTTGAGAATCAGACGGGGGATTGGATGTAAACTTTTGGCAGAGAGGCAGCCATAGGTCATTAAACGTGTTGGAGAGCGCCTGCAGCTTACCGAGTGGACTGTTAGGGTCTGCAGCGGGAGGAATTGAAGAAAGGACTGGAGTCGAACTTGGAGTGGGATGGGGGGAGGTTCCACGAGTCCGAGATGGTTCTCGTCGGTAGGAGCGGTCGTCGGGTTCGGGTCGTAAACTCCCCCGGGACTGCCTTTCCGAGGCCGTCCCCGAGGAGACGTGGCCGTTAGGATGAAGAAAGGTGGAGGAGTTCGGTGTTCTTGGGGGGGGTGATTGTTCGTCGCCGCGGTGTCTGACCGAGGACAACGCACGAGGCCGCTGGCGGGGATTTTGAGATGAAGACGTCGGTTCGCTTTCCTCTCCGCTGGATGAATGACTATCCCTGTCACTGTAATCGATGATGCTTTCAGTCTTGATGACGGCGACCTCGCTATTCTGTTTCATGTGATATTTCCGTAGCGGCCATGAGTCCTTCTTCAACTCGCGCTTCTTGTAAACTAGTCTGACTTTTCTGGGGTCCGTGTGTAAATAGCTGGCGACCGAATCTCGCAATTGACCGACAAAAGCTTTCTCTTCGCTGATAGAATAGGGAGGAAACTCCACCGGAATAAGAGAGGCCATATATCGAACAAGGACGACATCGGGGGCATCTGGGTCTTCGATATTGTCATGTAATCTGGTCGCCGACGGACGGTGTGCATCTTGCAACATGCCATGGTCGGCATCAATATATTCAAAATGGTTCGAGAGGTTGCGGGTGTAAGGATCAGCGAAGCTGCTGGTATAAGGCGAACCCCTACTACGCCCACCTCCGTAGGTCACGTAACTGCCGTAGCTGCTCATGAGATACCGATACAGGAGGAAGGTGAGCGAGAGGAGGATGAAGGAAGCGGTAGCGTAGTCTGTTAGAGCAGTATTGAGGTGATCGTGGAAGTCAGGAGGCAAGTGCTGAAGGAGTGGTTGAACGAGGCTGTAGAGACTTCGTAGGAAATCGGAGCACCAAGCCTGTAGATTGGAGGGAGCCACGGTGAATGATGCTGATCAATAGTGGCAAGGGTGAAGAGCGTGCGATCGAGATATTAGCCCAGGAGTTTTTGAATTTGATTGCAAGAAATCAAAGGGCAAAAAAAAAAAAAAAAAGGGTAGACGCAGATGGTTTGTCAGTGGAGTCGTCAGTGACATAAGTTGGATCGACAAAGGCAAGGGTAGAGGTAGTTTATGTCTATTGGGTTTCGAAGGCGAAAAGAAGGGCTGGAGGAGTAGGAGGGACAGGGGGGACCGCGCAGCAGAGAAGGCCGCGAGTCTAGGTAGAAGATAGGAGTGGATGTCCAGGACGAGGCGAGGCTAGTAGTTGAAAGTATAACGGATGTGTCTAGTGGTGAAGAGCGCAGTTTGTAGAGTCGAAGCCAGCCAGTAAATGGCAGAGGATCAAGACTTTGCAAGGAATGGTTGACTTGTTGTCTTCGCCTCTAATCTTGCTCGGTCGTAGTGTCGGACTGATGCGGGCGCTGAGAATGAGCAGATGACGCAGATGGTGTGCGTGAAATTAATTCAAAGTTTTCCGGTTTCAGTGGGGATGGGCGATTTTCGGGGGTTTGAACGTCTGTCTCTATGTCGTCGAGGGCCTCGAATGTCAGGAATTTGTAAAGAGGGCCGTGGCGGCGACAATGTTGGGCGCAGGCGCCAGCGCAGGGCAAAAAATAGGGCTCTGAGTACTAACTTGATGGCGGAAGTGGAAAAACCTTTCTACCGATGCGAAAGGCGGGTGAACATTTTTGACTATGGATGCAGTCCAGGCCTCGTCACAAAAACCCCCCTGCAGCTAGGCAATTCTGCCTTGGATCTTTCAGCCTCATTAATTCGACTTGTTCCTCCCTGTTCCTGACCGTCAATGTGGCTGACACACTCTCTTCTCCGATCCTGCCCTCGTGCCACATATTACCCGTTCAGTCACATCACTCTCGATCAAAGATCGCCTATGGCCTGGCCGCTCACTTATTTTCTGACACGAATCATGTTATTTTTGGTCGATTCGCCTTCTCCGACTTCCCCATATTACTCCGGCTAACATTAGAGATCAATCAACACGCGAGGGCATTCGTCCAACAAAATGGGAAATCTCGCACCTGGATCAATCCCCGATTTCCGGTCAGGCAATGATCTTCTGGCCTTCTCGAATTCAGTCCCACGAACCCTTCCCACTTCGTACCTCTACTCTCTGAATGATGCTCAGCACCTCGAAGCTTTCCCCTGGACGATGCTGCACCACCGTTCGGTTACTTGGATATTTTGTTTTCTCATCCCTTCGCGGGCACGATTCCCTCTGAAGATGGGCCGTTTTCGCTTAGAAACAAATTTAGCTGGAGGGGAAATGCAGCCAGCCAAACAAAAAAAAGCCCCAAACATGCATGGCCAACCCACGGGCAACACACTGAGGAATCCCAAAATCGAACGAATGCCATTTGGTGTCATCCTTTCACACCTCCCGTCTGCGCTCATCCCACGGATCCCGCCTGAGCTCTTAGTTGCATATCCGTGTACCTGGTTTTAGATCCGGTTTTCCCAGACAGGTCCTGGCAACACATCTGGCTGATCTTGTTCACCCACTCCGACATTTGAATTCTGATTGAATCCCCCACGCTTTGGACCATGATAGCACACAAAACATTCAGCATCCCACCTCGGTTGAGACAAAAGTGTTCCCCCCCCCTTTTCTCCAGGAAAACATGTTGTTTTTGGGTCAGAAATGCCCCCCCTGGATTAGGCTATCGCTGTCTCTCATAGGCTATTCCTTGATGGTCAGAAATTCCCCGCCAAGGGTGGCTGATATACTTCATGCACCCTCTGAGCACCAGGAGAAAAAAGCAGCCGTGTCCAAGTGACCTCCCGCATAAAAGGTCCTACGTCAACAGCATCGCTCGAAGCCCCCCAGAAAACAAATGAGCGTCTTTTACAAGTGCCCAATGCACCGGAAAATGTGACCAATCACGTCTCTACCAGATGAATGAACTGCCTTCTCCTCTACGTCTCATGTATCTATCTTCCTCTAGCTTGACGGTAGGTCACCCGATACGCCGTCATCCTGTGCGACTTCCTCTTTATTCCCTCTTCTCTCAGACCACATGCCTCTCCCCTAGCCAGGAAATCTGATCCCCTTCGTCAGTCAACTGGGTCCCAGCTGGAGTGGTTTGGACACAATCACACCGCCCGAAACAATCCTGACTCCACCGTTGGTCTTTCAAGGCTTCGAAGGAAGTATCTCCTCTTTTTTTTTTTTTTTTTTCTTCCCTCCTGTCTCTTTTCTCTCTTACTGTTCTCACTTATGCACGCGACGCCATTCCCTTTGTTTTTCACCTTTACAGTATTCAACTATGGATCTGTATACCCTTCCCAATATCACTGAACCTCAGCCTACGGCTTCCTTCCTGTCCTTACCTTCAATTCTCTTTTTCATCAGTCTGACGGTTTTCTTGGTCGGTCTTGTCCACTGGTGCATTCAAGACTATCGTTTGTTCAAAGCTCTCGGTCCTGGCGGTCCACCCTACAATGTCTTCGGCTGGATAAAAGTCTCAATCATCATCAGACCTTTCACACTCGCTGATCACGAAACGACACGGACTGAAGACTACCCGGATGCTGGAGCTCACGAGGAGATACTGGCACTACCTGAGCGCAAAGGGGAGCGACCAGTCATCGTTGGAATCGCTCCACAAAGACAATTCAGTCAGTGTCCGGGACCAGAAATGAACACGGTGAGTTGTGGCAGCTTGAACTAATCATGGACTCCGGTCGATGGAGTGTGCCTGTTTTCCATTTTCTTTTTGAACCTTCCCCACTGATCTTGAATAGCGTGTATTATCTCTCTTCTCGTCAGCTGTTACCAACAATCCTAAGCTGTTGCAAAAAAGGGTATCCGGGGTTGAAAAGCATCATTCTGCACTTTTCGTTCACCCAAGCCTTCTTTCCAAGCCAGAAAATCTCTCGGACACGGCCCGGATTTCCAACGGAGAACTTGGCCATATCCATGGTGATACCTCTCTCCACCTCTACTTTTCACCTCCGGATGCTCGGGTTATTATTGAGAAAGGCTGGGCGCAGCGGCATCGATTGGCAAGAACTCAACCATGGTGGTTTGGCGGCGGCAAGAATTGGTGGCAAATTGGAGAAACATTCTTACTGATATACGCTCCTAGGAACGAATACGAAGTGGATGTTTTGAGAACGCTGATCAGAGCGAGTGCGAGGTTCATGACTGGAGAGGAGGGACTGGTGGAGCCGTAAAGGAACAGGGAAATCGAAAAGGCCGGAGACATCGGGATGAGAAGTGCTCGAAATTATCCCAGCTTCTCCGACTCGATTACCGTGACAATCATCATTCTCAAGGGCGAGGCAATCTGATGTTTTGATCGACAATAAAAGATACGGAGGTTCAAAATATCTTCAGACTTTGTTATGTTGATTAGTATTTTTTGGGTCACGGCTTCATTCTGATTCCTGAAGTTTCGAGGTTAATATCAATAGCTGAGTATGTCCGTGAATTAGCAGATACAATACAGTCAGCATTGGCAATGGTCTTCCCTGGGACATTGACTCGACGTCAGGAAGATGGACTCACCTCCTCCCAGGCAGAATTGACCAAGATCGTGATCAACTTGTGCAAGTAATATAGTAGCAAAATGTTCGCAATTGGGGGGAAGGGAAAGGAAATGCTCAGGCTAATACAGGGGGAGTTGATATAGGGCAGGTCGCTGCTTTTAACTATGTCCACGTGACTCTCGTATTCCTGGTACAGTGATGCCGTCCGACAAATCACAGGGACATCAAAAAGCGGCGGGTAATCCGAGAATAGCCCGCACTCGGAAATCAACGAGTCTCTGCATCTGTCTTCATCCTCGATTCAAGCACCCACGTACTTCCCACGTTGCTGGTGCCCCTCCCTATTATCTCCCTACCTTTCCTACACCATGGCAGCTGGTCTCCCTCGCCATCGTTGTCTTAACAGGCACCCTTGGTCCTCCCCTTTCCAGGTCTTCCTCCCAACGACTACGACCTCAACGTCGAGCCCGACCCGAACATTCGCCAGCACGACTGACGACCTACCTACCCCCACTACCAAGCCCCGAGTTCGAGCCACCAGCTTCGCCGACAAGCTCAGTGCCGGTCCTTCTCTCTCGGACTTCATCTCGAGGAACGAACCTCCTCTAGATCCTTCCGAGGCATACGCTTTGAAGACCGCCCTGGTGGGCCCCAAGGGGAAAAAGAAAGAGATTACCCGTCTTCCACCCTGGCTCAAGACTCCCATCCCGGACAGTTCATCTTATAACAAGATCAAAAATGACCTCCGTGGCCTGAATCTACACACAGTCTGTGAAGAGGCCCGATGTCCCAACATATCCGACTGCTGGGGCGGAAGCAGTAAATCAGCCGCTACTGCAACAATCATGCTGAATGGTGATACCTGTACACGAGGCTGTCGGTTTTGTAGTGTGAAAACGTCCAAGACACCTCCGCCTCTGGATCCGCATGAGCCTGAACATACAGCGGAAGCACTATCACGATGGGGCTTGGGATATGTGGTCCTAACGAGTGTGGATCGTGATGATTTATCAGATGGCGGAGCCCACCACTTTGCCGAGACAGTGCGCAAGATCAAATCGAAGGCTCCCTCTATTCTTGTCGAGTCCCTCACGGGCGATTATGCCGGAGATCTGGAAATGGTTAAATTGGTCGCCACCTCAGGATTAGATGTGTATGCGCACAACGTGGAGACTGTCGAGGCATTGACGCCTCAAGTTCGAGACCGTCGGGCGACCTTCCGACAATCTCTCAGTGTCCTAAAGGCAGCCAAAGCAGCGAAACCCGGCCTCATCACCAAAACGTCCATCATGCTCGGCTTAGGCGAAACCGAGGAGCAAATCTGGGCTGCGCTGCGCGATTTACGCGCCATAGATGTTGACGTTGTCACGTTCGGACAGTACATGCGCCCTACGAAGCGACATATGGCTGTTCATGAATACGTGACGCCAGATGTCTTTGAGCAGTGGAGAGTACGGGCTCTTGAGATGGGTTTCCTCTACGTCGCGAGTGGGCCCTTGGTCCGCAGCAGTTACAAAGCCGGAGAGGCATTCATTGAAAATGTTTTGAACAAGAGGCGTGCAGGACGTGCCGAAACGGCCAGTGCCGATATTGTAGGCGATATTCCTATGAAGAATGTGGAGGTTGGGAAGTCTTGAGTTGAATGGCATGGGATGGGATGATATATGTTTTGGATGTTCTTGCTCGGATGAGATCAAGCCAATATATCCAGCCATCCATGATATGCAACAGATTGAAGACGCGATTTCTCGACTGTGTTTGTCATTGTCAACCAATGACCATTCGACCAGAGTCAAAGCTTCAATATCGACCGAAATTTTAATTCCTCGAAAGCCGCTGCTTGAGCCCTGCTCGACCTTGGCTTCTTGCTTTAGGTCCCTTTCACTCCGGAAGCATCTCATCGGGATTGTCTAAACTGCCTCATTCCGTAGACCGTCCACGGCGGAGACCCGATTTCGGCGCTCATCGTCGTACAACAGATTGATGAAATGATTTCCATGCGAGGAAGAAAGGTATGACGTCTCCGCTACGCTTCGGTGAACTGTGTTTTCATCCTGTAGCAATGGATGCGTCGCAGGAGCCCGAACTCAAAATATTCGCGTCTTGTGTATTAATAATAAACCATCACCACTAGCGCCTTGCATTGCCTTGCCATCCATATCATACCACCCCGTATCATACCAAACAACAGACTCTCCGGTGTTCTTCATTCCAGAACGCCCCCGGATCAGTGTCATGCTATGTTTCCCTCGCCTGATGACGCCGTATTTCGGTCAAATCAACTTTCCACTCGCATTTCGTTCCCGTTCAGCCTACTCGAATGGCGGCGGCGTATCATCTCGGTTCATTTCCCGCTCCGCTCAGATGAGACCAAATCCCATGCCCGTCTTTCCCCTCCCCGTTATTTCACCTCCTTTCCCTTCAACTCAACTTGACTTATCCACAACTGCCGCATTCCGGACTCCTCACATCATCGATCCCGCCAATTCTTCTTCCTGAGCCGCCCGCTCCTCCTCCAAATCCACCACCTCTTCCCTCTCCTCTTCCAAAGCCGGCCTGTCCGCCCGCCGCAGTTCTGTTCGTGGCCCCCCATCTCGCACGCTCCTGATACATATTCGGTCTTCCGCGCGTATTGAACTGCGAATTCTGCGCTGCAGTATACGGGTCCAAACTGAACAGTGACACAAAATAGAGGCCGAGGAAATTGTAGATATCGTCGCCTAATCTCGACAAACGGGCTGAGAGGGGTGGGCTATTAATGAACACGATCGTTAGTGTTGAGACCGAGCCACTGTGAATACCTTAGGTAAACATAGGAGAGATAGAGGTACGGCCGGAGGGAGACCGGGATTGAGGGCTGGAAAGAGGGAACGGAAAAGGGAAAGGGAAGGGCATACGTTTCTAAGACGTGACCTGAGGAAGAAACGTAATTGGCGCCACTAGGTTTCTTTGAGGGGTTCTGCTTGGATTTATCCATCTTCGGTCTTTTCTCTAGTCGGTTGATAGAGCGTTCTTTTTGATGGTTAGAGAGACAATGTAAGTTACTGTAGGAGTGTGGGATGTGAGTTGCAATAGAGACACGGTTCAAGAGAGTCCAGGAGGTTGAAGGAAACGAGTTGGCGAGGAAAGATGAATGACTGCGGGTGAGGCCAGATATTCCCAACTGTGGCTGCGGTCGAGTTCTTAGGCGGCGGAGCGGATGGCTTGGCTTGGCATCACTGGCGATTCTCAGCCTTGCTTATATAATACTCGCTACTGGGATGATAGTCTATACGTATTGGCCCGGTAGAAGGCTTCTGATTCGGCAAAAGAGATCGTGAGACTGGTCACATATCTCATCGACGAGGTCGAGTGCTTTGGTCGAATGGATTGGTTCATCGTCACCGACACGCCGACCCAAGAGCTGCAGCACATCTCCGTAAAGTGTAACATGGTGACCGATATAATCAGTTTGCCCTTTGGTCGATGAAGTAGATGCTTCAAATTGATAGAGTGTCGAGGTCAGCTGCACGGCGAAGCTTGCTATGCCGATCAGAGATGCTGCTGCTTCAGCCATACACTCTCTTGATGCGATAAGCCAGAGTTTTTGACAAGGAAGGGGAAGAGGAATTCCAAACGCCGCATTATGAGTTCCCAAATTTTGGCAGAGGGAGACAACAAACCCGGCCACCGACCAGTTGCGGTCTCTCGTGAGTCAGGTAAGTCCCCTGGCCTTTGTGGTCGCGTTTGCCTCACGAGGCATAGAGATGATGGGGTGCGGACACAAGCACGATTACGGAGCGGTAGGAGAGGTCATCATGTATCCCCCAAAAGTAGATAAAAAATCGGAAGGAGAGCTTGTTCGCACTGGTTGAAATGATAGAATCGAAGGTGGACCGGCCAGAGGCGGAAAGGGAGATTAAATTAAGAAATATCGGGTGCAGATTAAAGGTAACAGATCTCCGAGTCATGCGCTCGCTCTTAGGCAAGTCTGTCTCCATTGAATTGTTTGTGGTACATAGTAACTAATTCCATGACTCTGTAGCCCTGATGCTTTGCAACCCGTGCCCATTTCTTTTCTGTAAATGCACAAGCAACCCGTGAACGAAACCATACCATCGCCATGCCAATAAAGTGGTCCAGAGAACCCCTGATCACCGGAAACAAATGAAAAATGTAACTCAAAGTCTATGCCGCAGAGCCTTCATTGCGAATTCTCTTTCCCTGACCTCCTCCATCTGCCATTTCACCATCCTCACGAGCTCGCTTATTACCTCCTGGAGTGAATTGAGCTGCCTGAGGGTTCAATCCTCCACGACTTGGGCTGCCTTGTCCTCCAGTTTGCCCTCCACCGCGACCTGTTTGTGCAGGAATACCTGCATGTGCATTGGGTGCTCCACCTCGACCTCGAGGAGCTCCACGACCTCGCGGAATACCGCTGCCACGGATACCACGTGTGGATCCGCCTCGTGGAATGCTAGACTCCAGTTGACGAATCAATGCAGCACCTTGGGTTGTTGACGGTTTCGCCGATTCAGCAGAAGCCACGTGAGGTCCATATTGCTGAGCCGGTTTCTCGTTGGACGGTTCTGATGACTGAGGTGGAATGGTCTGAGGCTCAGAAGCACCGTTCGGCTTGTTTTCTGATTCTGGTGCCGCATGTGATTGTGCCGGCGCAGCAGCAGCAGTCGGTTTTGGAGCCGGAGGAGGTTTTGCATCTTTGGCAGCGTCCCATACCTCGTTGACTGGCTTGCTAGGGGTTTCTTCTGCAGCTTTCTTCACCACATCAAGCTTCGCCGTAGCCACTGATGCTCTGCTCTGTGCCATATTGAGTTTCACAGTGCCACGCTTTTCCGCCATCTGCTCTGCAATCTTGATTTGTTCTTGGATCTTTTTCTCTGATTCTTGATCAAATCGAAGCCTCTGAGAATCTAGGTCTTCCTGGTGCTTGATGATCAAGGCTTGTTTTTCCCGTGCCAAGTTTTCTTCATACTGTTTGATAAGAGCCTCCTTTTCAGTCCTGAACTCTGATTCTTTCTGTTGAATGATGGTTTCTTTCTCGGCATTGAGCCTTTGTTCCAGTTCTGCGGCTTGTTCTGGGCTAGCTGCATTACCCTGAGAACCAAGTTCTTGCATGATTTCTGTTCGAAGAGTTTCCTTCTCTCTCTCCACCCGATTTCTGATATTGTTGGTCATAATTCTCCGAATGGTTTCATGTTTCGCCACAAGTAGCTTGGCCTTGTCATCCGGTAACGCCAGCAACACTTCATCAGAAATGTCGCCGGCGTTGACAGTCGCGGCCGGTTCAGCAGTGCCTTCGCTTGCTTTCTGCACCTGGGGAGAAACAGGGACAGAGCCGGCCCTCAGAGCTTCTAATTCTTGCTGGTGTTGAGCATTGAGTTTCTCTGTGAGTTCCTGTAAAGCAGCAGCTTTTGCTTGTTGGGCCTGACCCTTAAATTCAGATAGACGGTTGTTCAGAATCTTCTCCATCGCGGCAACCCTGGTTTTGAACTTTTCTTCTTGAGTGGATCTGAGCTCGTCAAGTTCTTTCTCCTTGTCGGCTAGAGAGCTCTCCAGCTCCCTTACTTTAACCTCCAATCCAGAGACTTCGGTATCCGCAGTGGCGTCGGGGGGAGGAGCCTCCTCTGTGGTTGGCTCAGGCTCACCGTTGACTTGCGCGGCGGCGGTTGAAGAATTCTGTGCTTGGGCGGCAGCCACTTGTTCCCTCACGGACTCAAGTTCAGCTTCCAAAGCTGCCTTCTCAGCGAGCGCAGCATCCAGCTCAGCCTTCCTCTCGCCTAAGACGACCCTATTCTTTCTCAAAACGTCTTTGAATTGAGTTTCAAGTCTCGTCTTCTGTTCGCCTTTGGCGGTTTCAATTGCCGCCTGAGTCTGATCGATCTGTTCTTGCAGTGCTTTGCGTGCATCGTCACGTTCAGCAACAGCTTTCTCCAGCTCGCTCCGAACCTCATCACGATCGGTCTCGAGGCTGCTGATCTTGTCTTTCAGTGCTTCCAATTCTGCGGGATCCACTCGATCATATTTCGAGAGGATATTTTGAGTACGTTGTTGCCAGTGATCTCGGTCTTCTTGACTCAACTTCAGCTCGCCTTCTCGAAGTTCAACCAGATTCTCGAGCTCAGTAACGCGGGCTTGCAGGGACTGAATTTGGCCTTCGAGCTCTTCAACACGCTGCGACTTTCCAGCGAGTGCCTGGGTTACTTGTTTGTTCTCTGCACGTAGAGTAACGCTGCTTTCCCGGAAGAGGTTCAACTCATTCAAAGTGTCCATGAGTTTGTTGTGGCTCAAGGCATTTCGCTCAGCGTCGGCCTCGGCACGGCGTTGCTGGTCGAGTTTCAGGCGTGTTTCGTCCAATTGCGATTGAGCAAACTCGAGTTGTTGTCGGAGTCTCTTCGCCTCTTGCACTGACAATTGGTACTGGACCTCCACAATATCTTTTTCCCGACGAAGGTATGTTATAACCTCTTGCAGCTTGTCGAGTTCCGCAGACGGTTGTCCTGGAGTTTCCCCCGTGCTTCCCTCTGTCAGAGCAGCACGGTCACGTTGCAATGCTGTAATCTGCTGAGTGACACTTTCAAGTTGCCCATGTAGCAGATTATTCTGCTGCACCACTTCTTCACGTCGCTTCTTCAAGTCTGAAAGCTCTTTTTCATATCGCTCCTTCATATCATCCCAGCTGGTTTGCTTCTGTTGCAGATCCGCTTTTGAGGTCTCTGCTTGCGTCCGCAGATCAACCATCTCCAGCTTGAGTTGATTCGCTTCTTCCCGGACAGTGTGCAAATTCTTGGCTGCCTCAGCATGCTTGAGAAGCTCGTTTTCGTAGTTTTGTTGAGCTTCGGTTGCGATCTGTGCTTGAACCTTTGAGGCTTCGAGGTTGAACTGGGCTTGCTCGGCATTCTTTTCCGCTTCTTCTTTGAGACGCTCAATCTCAGCTTCGAAGCCGGACTTCTGTTCGTCGAGTTTTCGACCTGCCTCTGCCTGTTCATCTCGTAATCGGGAAAGTTCGGTGTTCGTAGTGTTAAGCTCGGATGAAATGTCTTCGATGCGCTGTTCAAGATCTTTGATCTTGGCCTCCTTCTCTGCCAACAGAGCTTCTGTCTCGTCCCGATATTGATCATTTGTCTCGCTCAGCTCCTGCAAACGTTCTTCGCTCGACTGACTGATGTTCTTATACACCTCGACCTGTTCATTAGCTCTCTCGAGTTCGGAGACCTTCAAATCAAGATCACGCTTCAACTCAGAAACCTCCACGGCCAATTCTTGCTCTCGGGACAGAGAAGTCTCTTCACTTCTATTTGGTTCATTTGTGGACTCGGGAGGTTTAGTCAGGACTTCCAGGCGTTCTTCCGCAGAGCGAAGTTCCACCATGAGCTCGTCGACTCTAGCCTGAAGATGATCCCTGCCCGTCTTCGCAGATGCAAGCTCCTCTTTGGCCGTGCTCAGACTAGTCACCAAGTCGTCAATTCTCTTCTGGCTCTGCACCTGCTCATATTCTCGCCGAAGTGTGGCTTTTTTACTCTCCTCGATCTCATCATTCAGCTTCCTCTTGACGGATTGAAGTTCAGATTCTAACGACTCCGCTTGCGCCTGCAAACGACGTCGGCTGTCTGCATCAGTCTGCTCACGTTCGTTGATGATAGTTTGCAGGCTAGCATTCAGTTGGTCCAATCGAACCCGTTCGTTGCGTAGCGATTCGTTGTCTTCAATCAGTCGTCTCTCCACACTCTTCCATAGGTCCTTTTCGGCTTTGAGATTGGCAGAGTCGCGACGCAGACTATCAAGAAGACCACGTGCTTCAACGAGTTCCTCGGCAACTTGCTGGGTCTTTAGCTCTTGTTTGGTGGCATTCTCCATAGCAGCCCAAGATCTCTTCTGGATTTCACCATTCTCGGTCTTCAATGAATTGTAGTTTGCCTGGAGCATCTCATAACGTTGATTGGCAGCGGTTAGTTGTCCCAAGGTCCGACTTATCTCGGCCTGCACCTGAGAGTTCTTCCTACTCAATTCATCGACCTGACTCTTCAGTGCGGTACGATCAGTTGAAGCTTCCTGTCGATATGTATCGAAGTGATGTTGTAAATCCTTGAGTAATTTGGCATAATCAGATTCGCCGCCAGTAACAGATCCAGCAGGAGATTCGCCTCCGGGTACGGGTAATGATCGTGAGAAGTCATTTGGCTGAACTTGACCAGGCAAGTGACCTCGTCTAGTGAGCATATTTCGAAACATATCCCTCTCTTTGACGAAACTCTTGGTTTGAGCTACCATGGTTCTCAACTCGTCCTGATATGCAGATATCTGCGCACGAGCCTGTTCAAGTTCTTCCTTGAGCGCATGATTCTGCTGATCTTTTTCATTGGCCAGGTTGCTTTCAAGTTCTCTGGTCAAGTTGCGTATCGTTACCAGCTGATTTTGATTTTGTTGTTGCATTTCCGCGATGCTCTTGTAAACGATCAAACGCTCATTAATGACTCTCTGGGTCTCGGAGAGACTTGCCATATCTTGGGCCATCGCTTCACTTGCTTGCCTCTCAAGCTCGTCGAATTCCTCCCGTGTCATACGGCCGCCTTGTTCACGAACATGTAATTCGATGAGGACAAATCGGAGTTGAGAGCCCACATCTCGAAGCTGTTGTTCCAGGACCTCGACTGCTTTCGATTTACTGTCAAGTTGTCCCTGCAGAGTCCTCAGTTCCTTGACGGCAGCCTCTCGATCGGCGTTGGCTTTGTCGACAATTGAAGACATTTCGACGACTTCACTCTGCAACCGATCGTGGTCCATGCGCAATTCCTCAATTTCCGGCTTATCGTTCTCGAGCTCTTCGACCATGGCATCGAGATTCTCGCGCAGTTGTTCATTTGCACGTTTCTCGCTAGCCAGTTGACTTTCTAACTTCTTGTAGTCTGTGAAGAGTTGAGTCATTGTCATGTGAGACTTGGGTCGCGATACACTGGATGGAGAGAAGATTCCACTAGGAGTTCCAGGTCGAAGAGGTGTGCTGATTCCAGAGCCGTTGGTCGGCCTTTGAGGAGTACTCGGTCTTGCCCGCGCTTGTTCCAGTTCATTCGTTGTTTGCTCCAGAGCCTTTTCCAGTTCAGCAACGCGTTCTTCCGCAGCAATTCGATCGTTATGCTCGGTTTCGATTTCTGCTCGGATGGCACCGATTTCTTCTGCAGCTTCTTCTCGAGCTTCCTCCAGAGCGGTGGAGAGTTCTTGGACACGCTGTTTAGCAGTTTCCGCAGAGGTTGCCTGCAAGTCGGCAAGTCGGGTGACACTTTCAAGTTCGATTCTAGATGCGTCCTCGGCAGAAATCTTGTCCTCTCGCATCTTCTGTACCTCCTCCAGTTTCTCTTCGAATTTGACATTCAACTCTTCCAGGCGCAGTTTAAGAGAGTTTTCTGACCTTCTCAGAGTCTCGGCTTCAGAGATGTATTGCTCGTTTGACCGAGACAGCTCTGAAATTCGGGCGTTCTTCTCCTTGCGGAAGTTCGTGTGCTCATCTGCTTTGATCTTCCTCTCATTCTCGAGCCACTCATTGTTCTTCTTCAACATCTCCACCTCTTGCAAAAGGCTTTGCTCTTTGAATTTCGCCGTGGCAACGGTGGCATTGGCAGATTGAACAGACTGCTCCAGCGCCGTAATCTGTTTTCGTAATTCCGAAGCCTTTTGATGCTGTCCCGAGAGTTCTTGAGATAGATTTTCATATGCTGTTGTCTTTGATTCAAGGAGAGCCAAGGTATCGCGATTGGAAGCCTCGAGAGAAGTAATGCGGGATCTGAGAGAATTTGTTTCCGAATTTTCGTTGGCGGTCATGGAGCGCAAGTGCTCTAATTCAGATTCTAATCTTGATCGTGTATTCTCTGTTAAGCGCGTCAGTCAAGATTCATAGGTAGTAGGGGATATTAACACCAACCCGAAGTCTGCAAGTCAACGCGTAATTTACTTGACTCTGCAAGCGCCTTATCTCGCGAATTCTGAAGAACTTTGGTTTTAGATTCATTCGTTCGGACGACCGTCTCAAGTTCCACCTCTAATTTGACCTTCTGTGACTTGTTTTGTTCATACTCTTTCACTTTGGACCCAATACCGTGAAGAAGTGAGCCGACAAGCTCAGCGGTGGGTGCGTCGAGCAGCGACGTAATTGAAGTTTCGGGAAGGGATGAGAAGGCCGAAATGGCACGAACATCGAGTTCGGTGGCCATGGTGGTTGAATGGATAGAGGATGTGTCGGTGCGATGGACAAGGACAATGGCGGAGTGAGTTTAAGATGGCGTCCACCACAAACGCGACAACTTCTAAGGAGAAATAAAGAGTCTCCCAGTTCCTCTCACCATGGCGCAAAGAGAGTCATTACGCGAGAGAAGATGGGATGAAGATGTGGTGGAAATGAGAGTATCAAGGAGTGGCGGGTTGGAAATGTCTAAACACAGGCCAGCGCGGGCAGCAGCGAGTGATGAAAGAAAACGTGACTTGTGTTAGTGGCTAGTTCCCTCCAGCCTTCAACCAGCGTTTGGAGGTTTGAACGCTCGGTTCGTAGGCAGCCAAAGCCTAATTTAAGCTTAAATAAGGGTTCGCTTTACCTGCCATTTTGCTGAGCGAAGACATCCCGCCATCGCTCGCACATGCGTTTACCGTCCTGCACTTCAGCTATCCATCTTATTAGCTCCGATTAATTGCAATCGAATTCAACTTGAGTCCTCACGAACTCGGTTTATTCGACTGGTCAAGCCCGCCGTCGGTCTTCCTTTGTTCGCACGATGAACTAAACCCTCATCTGCAACCCCGGAAGACTCTCCCCAAAACCACTTCCGTCAAGCATGTCTGCCCTCTACCCAAACCCCACATCTGCTGCCGGCAGCGATGCGCGGACTAACGTCGTTTACGCCGCGGATCGACTCAAAGAGAAATTCCCTGAAAGCATCAGCTGGGATGACCTCGTTGCATTCGTGCTGCCAGCGCATAAACGCAGCGAAGAGCAGACCGAGCTATTTAGGCGCTTTCTCCAGGTGAATCCTCGAGTCAGCTACGATGCAACGACGGACAGCTACACGTTCAAACCGCTACACAACATTGCCTCGGCCGACGGCCTGCTGAAGTTCCTGCAAAACCAGGAGTCGGCACTGGGAATCAACGTGCGGGAGTTGAAGGATGGATGGAATGATGTAGAAGAGACCATCGACCGACTCGAAGCTGAGCACAGGCTCCTTGTGATCCGGAACAAAAAAGACCATCACCCACGCATGGTGTGGATAGATGACCCGACACTCGATGCGCCTCTGGACCAAGAGTTCAAGGACATTTGGTCACAAGTCGCCTTACCTTCGGTCGAGGACACGATCAAAGAGTTGCGAAGGATGAACCACAAATCTACAGGCGAGCCCGCGCGACCAGACGTCGTGGCGAAGCCGAAGAAGGAGAAGAAGAAGGTTCGCCGCGGGCAGAAGATTACAAACGTGCATATGCAGGGCTTGTTCAGAGATTACTCGGAGAGAAGGCCCCAGGGTGGGAAATAGGCGACACTCGGCAACATATGCGTTAGCGATGAGACGATATGAAACCCCCCCAACAAAAATTATGTCACTCTTATGGATAGGGAAAAGAACATGATATCTTACCAAGCCTAATTTTATGAGAATACCGTGTGAATCAGAACCCCTGAAGCTAGGGGGAGAGGAAAAACAGGGAGTTGGAGTTCTGGAGGATTTACTGCGTTCGAGTCATACAGGTTCAAGTTCAGATTCATGAAATCTCGCAATCTAATTGTGCTTGGTTGACGAACCCCCATCCCCTAAGCAGGGTTTTGGAATTTTCCATTATTCTCTGTACAAGTGAGAACACGCGAGAATCTCTTGACACATACCGAATGAATCTTTGCTCTGTGATCCGTGATTCATACCCGTACCCATACCGAAACCAAAACTCAATCCCATGAAATCTCGAATTAAAAACACCTTCACCCAAGTCAACATCAGCCTAGCCTATGTAAGGAAATAAAAATAAAAGTTCAGCTTCAGCTCTTATCCGGCGAAGACGAGACATCTAAGTCGACCATGCCTTCCTCCCTGAAGCGGGAGACACTGCGTCTCCTCTCGCTAGCAACGGAGCGATTATCGACGCTCAGCCTCCTGCTGCCACTGGCTTCTCTGGTGGTGGAGCGGCCGCGCTCAGGCTCTTCGTCGGCGCCAATAGATCTTGACGTGTTATAATAACTCGCAGCCTCGCCCTGGCCCAGCATCAATGGCCTCAGTCCACTTTCCGAGTTGACTCTGGGTCTCTGCGATGCAGCAACTAATGTACCTGCCGCTGCGGCTTCTTCATATCGAGGAGGGGGTGCCGAAAAGCTCGCGACGCTCGCAGGTCTTTGGATGCCTGCGGCCGCATTGTTGTATCCGAATCCGTCCTGTGTGCTTCCAACACCCTGATCCGCGTCCCACGTCACGATCGCTGGACCCTCTGCGTTTCCGAGAAGGCTCTGGTGCTGGTCGGGAGTCGATTGATAACCGTCACCACCACCGTATGCGTTGGGTTTGCCTGGTGGAGGAGCATACTGGCCTGGAGTAGGGCCAGTCTTGGGCGGGACTTGCGAGTTGAGATTGATGCCGGCGTGGGTGTGAGAGGCCTTGCGTCGTCGCGTTCGGGCGAAGATTACTATTCCTGCGACAGCGATGACGAAGACGATCGCAATGACAACGCCCACAATTGCTAAGGTTGATACTCCACCGTTATTACGGTCGCCGCGATCGCCTGGGCCGCCACCGAACTGGCGTGGGAATAGATGGGAGGTGGGTGCCATTGGCAATTTCGTCGAGGTTTGTCGTTCGAAATGGTCGGAGTTCGGATGGTAGGGTGCGAAAATGTCCTTCTGGGGGTTTTCTGACTGAATCTGAGATGTGAAATGATCTGTCCAGCTTGAAGTAATGATTTCTAAACAACAGTCTTGCTAGTCGAGTGGTCGGTAGAGCGAGAGGCTTACTGCAGTAAGCAATATTGGGCGATACCAGGCAAATATCCGAGACGGTCAATCAACGACAAAATGAACCAGCAAAGGACGAACAGCACTGTCGCAAGTAGTGTGTATAAGGAAAAGAGGAGAGATAAAAAAGAGAGGTTTGGGGTGCTGCTGCAAGGAGGACTCTCCAACACAAGCCAGGAGCCCAACAATAAAGAAGGTAAGGAATGAGGAACGGGAACTGCTCATAGGTCTAGTCATACCGAATGACAGACCGTCTTTCTTTTTTTCCCCTGTCAGAACTCAAGCACTTGTTAGCGTGAGGCTGAAGCTGGGGCCGGATGCCGCATCCTGCATAACGGGCTAGGTAAATATATTGTACGGGTAACTGCAGGGGACGGGCCAGAGAGGAAGGCGCTGATCAGGCCTAAAAACGCAGTGAGCCGGGTCTTGTCCTGGCTTGGAATTTGGGTTGATACGAATTCCGTGGACAGATGAAATTGGTTGTGTTGGCGGAAATCAGAACTGCGAGCTGCGCCTTGTGGGAGGCCGCGTAAGTTGTGACGCGCTCTGGCAGAATCGTGCGAGATTATTGATCAGGTTCCCACTCTTGCTTTTGAGAACAGAGAATGTATTTCATTTTTGGTTCCCCCTTTATTCCCTTTGGCTTGCTTTCGAAGTGATAGTGATGAGAACATGTTTCTGGGGAGCATTGTACGAGCCGACGATCTGATTGAGTGAGACGACAGTGAAGTCGTGCAATAGAACACACAGCGATGGTTAAACCCGCCAGTAGCGCTGAGGTAAGAACAGCGGCGGTCCAGGAACGAGTTGCCCAACAGCCGAAGTGCCATCTACGTATTGAGTCGGTGTGCGGGCCGGTATTGACTAGTGTACGAAGCCCTATCAGTCAAGCCATCGCCGGTGAACATCCCAATCAACTGAAACACAAATATAATCTCCCCAGGATACGCAGCACATATAATGACAAACGCAGCCACCTCGTGCCTCTTGTGGTCCCCTTCCTAACGGCACCGCTAAGTCCTTGATACCAACCTCGTCGACACCTTCCGCACTTTCAGCAGTATAATGAAACGATAAGATATCTCACTAAGGAACGGAATGTAAGCTCGTGGAAAATTCAATAGTACTGAAAGTTGGAAATGAAATCATGATTCTGTTGGGGCTTCTGCTCAGCACTGAAAACTAAAATGATATCGACATAGAAATCATTTCTCATAAAGCGTCTCATACGGCTTGCTCCTCGGACTCCCACAATCCGATCGATGATCAATGATATCCATTGACGCCATTACTCGATATCTCCTCCTCGGCCTCCTTGGAGACGTACTCGACCAAATCCTCAATGGTACAAACCTTCAGTCCCCATTTTTGCCCAAATGCCAGACAAGCATCTCTTCTCATCATGCCTGGCCCGCTCATGGCTGTCTGTCCAGGCACCGGCTCTCCGTCTTCGACCATTTCACAGATGACACCCACCCTGGCTTTACCGGCAAGTCGACAAAATTCCACGGCTGCCTCGGTATGTCCAGTACGCTCGAGGACGCCGCCATCTCTCGCCCTAAGAGGGAACACATGTCCAGGCCTCCTGAAGTTGGTCTCGGTGGCTTTGGAACTGGCAAGAGTGCGACAGGTGAGGGCACGGTCGTGGGCCGAGATTCCGGTGGTGACGCTCTCATCATTCGAGTCGATCGAAATTGTGTAAGCGGTACGATTAGGATCTTCATTGTCCTTCACCATCTGCGGGAGCGCCAATTTTTCGGCAAGAAAAGAAGTAATTGGAGCGCAGATCAATCCGCTGGTATGGCGAATCATGAAAGCCATTTTCTCGGTGGTGACATCCTCGGCGGCGATGATGAGGTCGCCTTCATTCTCACGATCCTGGGAGTCGAGAACCACGATGAACTCGCCCTGACGGAAAGCTTCAACTGTCGATTCGACAGAGTCGAACCCCTTCGGGAGGGGGATGGGAGGCTGCATGATTGCTAGCTCTCGTCGGATTTTCCGGGACAGCGGAAGCTGATTGTCTTTGTAAGGGCTCCTTTTTCCCTCGGTGACTTTCACACCGGTCACTCGACTGTAGACCTCGTGGCGACGAATCTTGTCAAACAAAATGTAGCTTGCAGTTGTAGATCACAGGAAAGCCCACTCACTCCCTCCGTAAAATTCCCCAGACTCCCTGTCCAAGTGCCGAACTTTTTTCTTCTCGGTTGAACGTAGAGAACTGTGTCAAAAGGCGATACCCCGCAAAAATCCCAAGAGACGAAATAATCCAATCCAGATCCGATGTATCGGGTTGGCAGGCCGATGTCCTGTAGATAGTTAGAAATGCGTGTAAGAGGGTAGAGATAGAGTGCGAGAGCGAGGCTCCTAGGATGACAACATGAGGAAGAAAGAGTCAGATTAAGTCAAGAGGGACCTTTTTGAGAGGCAGTCAATGTACAATTCGTGCCGCGGCGCAGGGCGCCAGGTTAGGAACTGCGGAGTGGAGTGTCTTTGCCTCGGCCGGGAAGCTTCGGGGCACAAAATCACTGGGGCGAATGTTCTTTTTGGTAAGAAGTGTTTCGAACACGACAGAAAATCACACCTCCAGCTATCATCGTTCATTGCTGAGGAATGCCGAATACGAAGCGCCAACGTCGATGCTTGCCTCTTCCTGGTCTTCCCGCTGCTGTTACCCCCAAGATTTGCCGTATATTGCGCATCAATTGCACCCAACACAACTTGAGGTCTTCTAGATACCTAACACCATCATCCTCCTTCTCCTCTACAGCCAGACTTTCTCTTGGTTCCATCCTCTACCTGTAAAAACATCAATCTTCCTCCCTCGTGGCCCTCTCGATGGGGTATCGACTTCCATCACACCGTTTTCCGTTGATCCTTCAGACACATCTAGTGGTCGAGAACAGGACAAGATGTGCCCGTCTCGCACTCGTTGCCATATCTGTGCTATGAAACTGGATTCTCGGCGTTGGTTGGTGCTTCTACTCCCATCCTTGAGCATAGATTCCGCAGCTGCATTTTCGTCTGATGACTCCTGTACTTCTGGATTGTCCCGAACAGGCTTGCTACCGAACAACTCTTGCTCAGCGGTCTTGTCTCGAAGGACTCCCATCTTGAGCTTGCTCGCCGGTGTCAAGGGGGAGAAAGCAGGCCGCTTGGGCGTGCTACGTCTGGCTGGGTTTGCGGCAGGATCCGTGTCGTCCGGGCGGACCGGGCTCGACAACGGGGAAATCGATGGTCGTCTCGCTTGAGCCAACGGTGAGAGAATGGCTCTACCAGGGCAATTGGGAGGCGGTTTGAGTGGCTTCGTTGAAGGGGTGCTCGGAGCTCCCTGGTCGGTCACCGCAGAAGCGCCGGGAATCTCCACTACCACTTTTGCCTTCTTAATCGGCCGGTTCTCGATTCTCGCTTCTCCTCCGATCGATTTCCTCTTTTTTTTGCCCGACGTGGATTTGCTGACGGCTAGCCCGATGTCACCTTGGCGAAGCCAGAGATCTGGTCGACGATGCTTCAAGTCTTCCACCCAGTCGTCACAATCCATGGCCACAAAGTCATCGATGATGCCCTCCCAGACACTCTCTGCAGGTCGAGTCCGGTTGACAAAGATAACACGTCCTTTGCCATTCTTGTGCGCATGTACTGCTTTGGCGAATTCTCGAACAATCTTCTGCAGCCCGAATACTTTCAAAGAAGTTCCCATGATTATCATGACTTCAGGTTGGCAGCCGGCATCAAAGGGAATCAGAGGCGTCAACAGAGTATTTGACGGGTGGTCTTCCCCATACAACACTATATTCGGCCGCAGGGATCCTACCGTCAGACCTCGCTTTCCAGTTGCCTGCCTGTCCTCGCTTTTCGTTTGGCACTGGGGGCACTTGGGTGCGGCGCCTTCTAAATAGATCTCGGTCTCGGCGTCGGTCCATGCGAATGGTGTCGAACACATGGTACAGCGTAGTTTCTCCAAATCACCATGAAGTTGGACCACTTCACACCCACTATCGAAGTCCGTCCCGGAAGTATGTGCAGGTCGTGGAGCTTCGTAATTCTTCTTCATGAAGCGTCGTTTGTTACCCTTGCCACATGCTAAATCGGTGACAAGCCCTTCTCTTGACTCGAGTCCGTCTATATTCTGGGTATAGCATCGCATTAATCGACCGCCGTCGCGGAGGACGCGGACAAATTTATGGACTGAACTCGTGGATCGAACTTCCCCGCGGATTTTTTCCCGCAGATGGGCAATGAATTGATAGAATATTGTCGTGGAGGATGGATTGTGAAACACACGCGAATCAAACAAGTCCTGTCCCCGGAGCTTCGACGGCATGCTCGTGGATGACGTTCGGCTCGAAATGAAGGATGTGGAGGATTGCGGTGACGGCAATTCTTCATTGGCAAAAGACATTGTGCGTTTCAGTGATGGTGTGGAGGGTTCTGATGGTGGTGGTGTTGGGAGCGTAGCTTGCTCTGGGATGATATTATAGAGGCCGTCCTTTGACCGGAAATCCTTCGCGTGGGTCAGCCCTTCAACCACGGTAAGAACCTGCGACACTCACTGGTATACCGCAACTTGTGCTGATTCCTGCGCCAGTAATGAGCAGAATTTTATGCGACCTTACCAGAGTATCGGCAATTTCCTGCAGAGGTCGCTCATCCTCAAATGTCACCTCTCTGAGCCCCATATTGGTTATATGCCTGAGTGGTCTCTGATGCTGATGTTGCAATTTATGCGTGGAGAGGAATATTGCCAGGAATATTGCGTTTGAGAATTGACAAGGAAGGACAAGAAGTCCTCAAATGCAAAGCATGAAGGATGTTGGTGGTGTGGTGGACTCACTGTCCGGACCAAAACCGCGTCAAGTTCGCGTTGGATCGGTTCTCATCCAGACCCGAAAATAGGTCCGCGCGTGAGAGTACCGAGAGAATAAAGCGCGTTCGAGAGGTCTCAATAAATATGTACGTCGGAATTCAATCATTTGCGCACATCAGTCGCTTGAAGGAAAAAAATATTTTTGGAAAATTGTGCACAGTCAAGGAGATTCTCAGTGTTTGATGGGAAGCTTTCGCTTTTGTTTATCGCTCGTGGTTGGAACTTCCCAATACAATGTTCCGATCGACAGCTAAGCCCTTCAAGTTAGCTTCCCGAGTTAAGCTTAAAAGCTTGTGCTTCCCAGGGGGGTAATGAACCAATCACCGACTGAGACACGTCGTGTGCGGCTACTTTTGTCATGCCGATTATTCAATGAAGCCGGTGCCTGGATCCAACTTCCTCCTTTTGGCCCGAGACTCAACTTCTGAAAAACTTTCGGTGGGCAAAGCTTCTCCATATCGCTCCCATTCTGCCTGGAAGACGCCACGCCAACCCATAGTATCTTGAATAGTCTTTCTCAACTCCTTTGGCCGCATCCCCGGCCTCGTCATTTCTTCATTTTTGATCTCTTTGATGCCTTCAATGCCAAGCAACTGCAGGAGCCGTGATTCTTCCTGTTTGCGGGCTACTTGGTCCAGGCGCTCCATATAGTCGTCCTGTTCTTCCTCAAGGATTTGGATTCTCTGTTGCCTCGAGATTGGTGCCCTTGGTCCACATTCGGCGCTGGATGTGTCGCTCTCGCTGTCGAGACTAGCTGAAAGTGCCTCTTCTCTATCGAGACTGGGGAATACGGACTCAGGCGAGCGGCGAACATCGTGTCTTGCCGACATATCCTCAGCATCGAGAAAGGCCTTGTGGTCAGGTAGTGACTCGCCGGACGCAGTTTGACATCGTGTTGAATCTTCTGACATAGCTGAAATCGACCTCCTCCGTTGGGATGTGGCTAATATTGCCTCAACTTCGTTGTACGGAATGACCGCTTTATTGCTAGTTCCCTTGTCGTGAGCACCCCCCACTACTGACAACCCATTCCTCCTTGCTATCCCCCTCCAAAATTTGTCCGAACTGGCATTGACATTCAACACATCCAATGTGGCCAAGACATCTTCTGATCTGACAATTCCTTCGGGCTTATAAACAAGACTTGTGGAGGATCTGATTCGAGATGTCGTTATGAAAAGACAGGATTGGACCAATATTCGAGTGAAATTCACAACGGTATCATACAGATCTCTCACGGCGTCCATCGTCAGCGCTGGACGTTGACCGTCTTCGGCAAGGTTTCTCCACGTGTCAGCCCCGTCGGTGCCTCGGTTCATGAAGAACTGCTCGCTGAGCACCAGAAAGGTCGAGAGATGGAACAACCTCCAAGTATCTTCAGGCTCCGACAACTCGATCTCATCGCTGTTCACGTCGGAGGTTTCGCTGACGCCCTCTTCGTCATCTGCTTTTTGATCTAGCTCAGCCGCTATCTGATGGTCGATCAACCAAAGCTTATTGCTGCGTTGACCAGCGGCATGGTCATATTGTTCTTGAAACGCTGCCAAAGCCTCGGCGGCCTGATCGAGGACTGCTTCACATTCCGAGCCAATTTCAACAGCTGCCGGGATCTCAGCATGCGAGATATTCTTTGCCTGCCGTGCAAAGAGTTGTCGATCGGTCTCTTGTTCCCGTAGGGCGTCCAGATACGCTTTGATTTCGACTTCTGATTTTGACGCTACTAAATTCGAGATGGCATGCAAATCATGTCGACCGTTTCGAGAGAGTGCGTCATAAAATTTTTCTTTTTCCGAAGGCTTCCACCGAACTGCTCCTAGCTGAGTACTAGACAGATTCCCACTGGTGAAGTCATCACCACTGGGATCGAAGGTAGCTTTAAATAATTCGAGGTAGTGGTCGCTATAGTGCTGGCAAAGACGGCTCCACTTTCGTTCGTAAAACTTGCTCGAGGCTAGTGCTGGTCCATGTGATTGAGGAGAATCAACGGTGGATGGCTCAGCATCTGAGAATCCAGTATCATCTCCTCTAGGGATGTTATCGATCGTAGGAGACTCGTAGCCTTCCGTGTCATCCCAGTTGTCGTTGATGATATCCATCTTTTGATTTTATCCATGACGTGGGTTGGCCCTCAACCCCAAATGAATAAAGTAGTATTTCCACATGCATTTCAACCCGAATTAAGATCTCTAGTCACCACTTTGGCACATGGCGTACAAAGCAGGCACATCCTAGGAAAGGGACGGAAAAAGGAAAAACTCGAGACGCGGTCTGGCTGAGGCAAGTAACTGACTAATTCGGCAAACCTGCCCGCGAGTGGCCTGCGTGCATCAATAAATGCTTCGAGCTGGGCTGGCTTCCATAGAACGCCGGTGACAATTTTATCAATTTTCAGAACTAAACACTGTCTCATCTCTGTACTGCTTCAAGAACGGTATTGGCAGCGATCCCCCGGTACCCTTTGGCTCGGCATTAGGTTGCCCATTCACTTCCTCCCTTTTCGCCTCAGCAGCTGCAGGTTGAACAATGTACCTCGAAACAACGACAACATGCCTGGTTCTCCATTGCTTGAAGTTCTCGATGACGAGCTGAAACGCCTTGCGCAGCCTTCCATCTTCGGGATGCCGCTCCATAATGTGTCGCAATGACGGTAATAACTCAACTGTCTCCAGAAACTCTCTATGGTTTTTCGGCATGTATGGCCTCATCTCATACAATAATTTTGATTCGTGCTCAACACCAAACATATGATCCAGAAATTGGAAGAGAGAGCTCTGCCCAGCACTCCCTCCCACACACTTTACGACAACTTCAGACCCATTGCTGCATTGCAAGGTGACACCATTCGGTAACCCTTTTTCCTCTGCTCCGGCGCTCCCAGCGATCATTGGCCTGATCCGATGATAAAAGAATCCTGGATCACAGTTCTGGTGCAATACGGACATTGTCTCACCCATGGTCTTTAGTCTGGCAGCGCAAGTCTGAAGCGTTGACAGGAGATCTCCCCCGTTGCCCTTCTGATCGGCCGTCACGGCATCCAGGAATAGCTGTACGAGCTTGCCCCCTTGCGCTTCAACCATCACTGGGACGAGGTAGAATGCGTCTTCGTCTCTTGTGCCAGTGAATAAAGCAGTGGACTTGATGTTGTCGAAACCTGAGAGAGTTTCCGAAGGGCTCCAAATGTTGTTCTCGCGAGTGGGCAACCAGTTCCACAGACAAAGCCCGGCGTAGCTCAAGACGGGTTTCATACCCAAGTACTCGCAAACTTTGATGAATGGGTCACCCAGACTAGCTGGTACGGCGGCGGAGGGACTTGTCTTGTCCTGCCAGACATAGGCCTGAGTTAAGAAGCCGAGGATGACATATGCCCGTTGCCAGTGTGATAGGCTGGTGAGATGATCCGTGGTAAGTATATCAAGGCTTTCGATTTTGATTCTCAGATTTTTTGATTTCAGGAGCTGTGGTAGAGCAGAACAAAGCTGGTGCCATGGCGCATAGTACTCTGGAAGCTCCGCCGGTGTAGGTGTGACGAAGCCTATGTCGGGATCAATATCATATTCACCAGGGTCTGGGATTAGTGGGCGTGAGAGCATTTCAGTGCAACTGTACTGTAGAATGTTTGTCTTTTTTGTCCGTGAATTGAAACATGCTGTACTCGAGAGTTTCTCTTTGTATAACTCTCGAGAATGCTCCAGTACGTATTTGCATTTTTATACATTGTGCCTTGCCGGCATGTCATGCGAAGGGCGTGGCAATTGGCCTTGCTTGCGAAGTACCAGCAGTTGAGTTAAGCATGAGCCTATCCGAAGGAGGCCTTAAACCAATCAAGGATGCCTTCGGGCAGCGTCAGTCTCGTCCCCAATACGGAACAACAATTCTTATTGGGGCGCATTTTATGTTTTACTTTGGATTCGACCTTGTTCTCCTGGCGCAATGAACTGTTGTATATTATGCTAACGTCTCCCAGATGGTTGAATAGGGTTGCACGTTCTGCAAAATGCTTTCTGCGTCCACGAGCGGTGCGTCGTTCGCTTGCAAGCGTCGTCAATGCCACTCCACAGGCCCCGCGTGAGGAATCAATTCGACTTCGTGAATATCAAGAAGAATGCATTCAATCAGTGTTGTCGTATCTCGGCAAAGGCCACAAACGTCTAGGTATATCGCTTGCCACAGGGAGTGGGAAGACGGTACGCGCTCAATCCCTTTCGGCCTGCATGGAATTTGCTCACTCATTGTGAGGTCATATTTACACAACTGATTGACCGAGTCGAACCACCGAACAAAACTGCCCAGCAGACCCTCATCCTCGCTCATCGGCGAGAGCTGGTTGAGCAAGCAGCTCGCCACTGCGAAAGAGCATATCCAGAGAAAAGTATAGATATCGAGATGGGAGAGACACACGCATCCGGCGCCGCAGATGTCACAGTCGCATCTGTTCGCAGCATGATATCTGGAGACCGTCTCAGCAAGTATAACCCGGACAGATTCAAACTGGTTCTTGTGGATGAAGCGCATCACGTCGTGGCACCTGGATATCTGCAGGTTTTGGAACACTTCGGCTTGGAGGAGAAAAGGGAGGCAAGCCCGGCCTTGGTTGGCGTATCTGCAACATTCTCCCGCTTTGATGGTCTCAGACTGGGCGCTGCCATTGATCATATCGTCTACCACAAGGACTACGTCGACATGATCGGCGAGAAGTGGTTGTCCGATGTCGTGTTCACAACGGTAAAGTCGCAGGCTGACTTGTCCAAAGTCAAATCAGGAAGAGACGGAGATTTTCAGCCAGGGCAGCTGTCTGCAGCAGTAAACACCGAAATCACAAACGAAATCACAGTGAAGGCATGGCTCTCTGAAGCGAGCGAGCGAAAATCCACCCTCGTCTTCTGTGTCGACATCAGGCACGTCGAGACACTCACTTCCACCTTCCGCAAATATGGAATAGACGCTCAATATATCACAGGTGCCACGAAGAAAAGGACGCGGGGAGAACGACTCGAAGCCTTCAAGAACCGTCAATTCCCTGTCTTGCTCAACTGTGGGGTCTTTACTGAAGGTACCGACATGCCCAACATTGATTGTGTCCTGCTCGCACGACCCACTAAATCTCGGAATCTACTCGTCCAGATGATCGGCCGTGGCATGCGTTTGCATCCCGGCAAGACAGACTGTCATGTAATCGACATGGTAGCGTCTCTTGAAACTGGCATCGTTACTGTCCCGACCCTCTTCGGCCTCGACCCATCTGAAGTAGTCAAGAATGCCAAATCCGTCGACATGAACCAGCTAAAAGAACAACGAGAAGACGAAGCATCCGTGATATCCTCCCAAGTTACATCTCCTCTCAACCCCAGTTCCCTGTCCGACCACCGACTCGACTTTACCCACTACGAAACAGTCCACGACCTGATTGAAGACACTTCTGGGGAGCGCCATGTCCGCGCCATGTCACCCAACGCCTGGGTCCAAGTGGACTTGCACAGATATGTCCTTGCGGCACGGGGCGGGATACTGACCCTGGAACGCCGTCTCTCCAGTGACCCCAAGTCACCGGAGTCCACCTTCGTTGTGGTTTGGAAACACAGCCTTCCACCCAGCGAAGCTAGCAAATCCCCGTGGTCGCGACCACGCACAGTGGCCACTGCCTCAACACTCTCCGACGCCCTACACGCCGCCGACACCTTCGCCGCGACGAAATTCGAACGCATCTTCATCGCCACCAGCTCGTCATGGCGCCGGAGCCCCGCATCCGAAGGCCAATTGGGATTCCTCAACCGTCTACGCGGCGTCGGCGCCAGCCTCGATGTCGACGAGGATGTGCCACTCTTGACGGAGAACGACATCACCAAGGGCCAGGCCGGCGACATGATTACGAAAATCAAATTTGGCGCCCGCGGCCGGTTTGATAAGTTGCAGGTCAAAAAGAGGAAGGTCGAGAGGGAGATGGAGAAGGATCGCAAGACCAGGGAGATGAGAGAGCGCGAGACTGTCAGAGTTGGGCCGCTGGAGGCTTGATTTTCAAATCCCAAGCTTACTCCGCCCAAGCTCTGGCTGCTATGTTTTTAATTTTTTTTTTTTTTTTTTTTTCAAATCAGTGTTATTGTAATTGCATAACTTTGTTCTAGCATGATAAATGGTACACCAACCAATCTAGGAAAAATCGACTTGGGCATTTTCTCTGCACCCCGCCATTTCATCTCACCTGCACTTTCACTGTCTTTTTACCAAATACCACCGAATATGATTTTGATCTCGGTGGTCTTCTGTCCATTCTCTGCCCCTTTCTAGATCTCAACTCTCCTCTCCTGGCATAGAGAAAGCATATTTACAGATGTGAGATAATAGCTGCGGCGTATTCGTGAGTCTTGGCCTTACCACCCAAGTCACCAGTCAGGGTCTTGCCGTCCTTGAGAGTGGCGAAGATGGCGTTCTCGATTTTGACGGCGTACTCATTGAGGCCCATGTGTCGTAACATCATGATACTGCTCAGGAGCAGGGCTGTCGGGTTGGCGAGACCTTTGCCTGCAATATCTGGCGCCGAGCCGTGCACGGCTTCGAAGATGGAGCATTCGTCGCCAATGTTGCCTGAGGGTGTGAGACCCAAGCCACCGATTAGACCGGCGCACATGTCGGAGAGAATGTCACCGTACAAGTTGGGCATGACCAGGACTTTGTCCGAGTACGGGCCTGGGTCGGTGGTAATTTTTAAGCAGGCATTGTCGAGGAGCTCGGCGTCGAACTCGATGTCCGGAAAGTTCCTGGAAACATCTCTCGCGGTGCTCAGGAAAAGACCGTCGGACATCTTCATGATGGTGGCTTTGTGCACGACTCGAACTTTCTTCTTGTTGACATCGCGAGCATATTGGAATGCATATCTGAGGACTCTTTCCGAAGCTTCGCGGGTAATGAGTTTGATTGACTGCACAACACCGTCCACAACCACGTGCTCGATCCCACTGTATTCTCCTTCAGTGTTTTCTCGAATCAGGACCGTATCCACGTTGTCGTAAGGTGTCTTGTAGCCCTCTATACTTCGGCATGGTCGGACGTTGGCAAAGAGGTTGAAGGTTCGACGGAGGGTGAGGTTCAGAGAGACGTGTCCCTTGCCCACAGGAGTGGCGAGAGGTCCTTTCAATGCAACGTAGTTCTTCTGCACCGACTCAATTGCCTCGTCTGGAATAACCGTCCGGCCGTCCTTCAAGCGCGGTGTGACGTCCACCGGCTCCCACACAATAGGGACTTTGGCGGCCTTATAGATATCCTTGACAGATTGTGAAATTTCCGGACCAATGCCATCTCCTTCTATTAATGTTACCGTGTAGTTCCCATCAGATCCTTTCTTTCCCTTGAATTTAGCCACCTTATCGGCTTCGGTAGTCGAGGCGAAGCGTCTGGGTTGAACCTGAATAGCATAGATTAGCCATTTGAACTGTATTAAGCTTATCCATGCACTGGGGACATGCTTGAAAGTATGCAGGAGTCCATGTTGGCTGTTGGCAGGCTTTTCTAAAGCACTGACGGCGGGCTGGAGAAGCAAATGCCCGAGAAGCAATCATGGCGGGCGACGAGCCGTGCAATTGCTCAACGAAAAATTGAAGAAGCTTCAGTAATGACTCCCTATCACAGCATACAGCATTGAACGAGAGACCAGGTAGAAAGAGAAGCTATTGTCGAGCTGCAGGATAATGGGGGAGCTTTTTTAAGAGTTGCATGGTTTTTTATCTCGCGCGTCCAGTTACATCATATTATTGGGTGTTGGAGCTCGAGTGCCAGATCCCAGCTGCAGTGCTTCGGCGACATCGGCTGCCAGCGCCAGAAAAACCGAGTGGCAATTGGCTGCAGCTACCACGTGATCGGAAATGTCCACGTGACTGCCAAGACATTTCTCAGACACCTCGACACGACCCTGAGAACGAGGCTCACTTCTTCAACCTTACTCACCCCGGCTAGAAGGAAGGATGTAGAGCAGGTATCATCACGGTCAATCTCAGCAGTCAACATGGCGGACCAAGAGAGGACCATCGTCACTCACTACAACCTACCAACGCCATATCCGACGGAGTGGCCCAAGGAGCTGGATGAGAGTGACGATGATGATATCCCAGATGCCGTTGGGATCCGACGGTCTCGATCACGCTACTCTGCTTTGGAAAGAAGTGCGAGCGAGAGGAAGAGTCTACTCCCAGGATCCCAAAGGACCGGAGACGGTCGCGCCAATTTGGTCCAAAAAGACGAGGCGGATCCGTTAGGAGTACATTCGAGCGTTGTCAATTCATTGCGAAATCGCGGCCTACCTGTTGACCAAGACTCGCGTCTCCGAAACAAATTTATGCTTTCTTCAACAACATTCTCTCCTGCCATGTTCCTCTCTCAAGCACATTCTGACGCCTCGACGGATGACCTGCTTCGAGGACTGCAATTCTTATCCAGATCCATCGATCAAAAGTCAGCATCGCTCAAAGTCCTGGTCGAAACCAACTTTGAACGCTTCGTCCGCGCCAAGGCAGTCATCGACAATGTTTATACAGAAATGAGGAATCAGGGTGTGGACCCCGTTGCTGGTGCACCTCCGTCCCCACGACATTCTCGTCGAACCAGTGGTATTCATTTTCGGAATGTGAGCAGCGGCAGTGGCGCCGGTATGCATCACCAGCAAACCGCAAGCAAAAACGCTCTTCGAAAAGAGACAGACTATGGTGTTCAAGGAATTAAAGGTCCTCTTTTGGAGGTGTCGCAGAAGGCCGAAGATGTCTGGGGCCCGGCTTTGGGAGGAAAGGAACGGGAAGTCAATCTAAAAGCAATTGCAGAAGCCATAACTAAAGATCGTACCCTTTACGAACTGGGCTCGAACCTCAGCTCGGCAATTAAGCAACGAGACTACGACGGAGCTGTAGAGCTCTATAACGCCGCTCGTCGATACGCCGCAGAAGCCAGATCTCTCAGTGATGCCGTCGTGCGAAATGGCCGAACTCTCTCAGATGAACAGGTCCACAAGATCTTGGTCGTAGGAAGAATGTGGTCTGATGCAGATGAGCAGGTCAAGACGCTGAAAAGAGACTTGTGGCGGAGACTGTCCAATACTTCCTCCGCTTTGCCTCTGCCATGTTCGTCTCAGGCCGAAGAACATATGGAGCTCATTTCCATTTTATTGCAGCTTGGTGTTGACGAGAGCCCGATCTGGGTATATCTACTGAGTAGATACGACTTTCTGAAGAACAAAATCGCTGCAGTGGTTGAAAGATCGAAGATCGAGATTGAGGTCTTGCGACGTCGGCTGACCGCTGGAGAGAATCCCTCTTCACGGACTGTCGCAGCATTCTTGCGACAGGCTTCCAAAGACCGACCAGAGGCTCTAGACACTGAGGACGTCATCGATTTCTGGAACTGCATCTCGGCTTATTTTACGAAACTTCTATCACTGTCCAGTGGCCTTCTTGGCGAAGTGGTCGATTTCTGGGAGTCAGCTCAATCGTTCATTGATGGCAGCAAACAGAAAAACTTGCCCACGGGGTTTGAAGGAGAGAGCCGCAAACACCATCAGCTATCTGACACCGAAGTCAACGGGCTACGAAGCGGCGCCATCGAATTGGTCAGTCAACTCCGAGATGCAGTATTCTCTTTATTTGCAGACCCTCCTCTGGAAGACATTTCTGCTCTCTTCTCGCCCGCACCCGGCTCTGCTGGAACGCCTACCACCCCGCTGACGGGATCTGCCTTCTCTCCCACCGATGGTCGAATCGGTAAGCTTGACCCCCAAAACTTGCCTGCGGCCGCCGCGAAGAAAGGAGAGCCATGGGAAGACTTTGCATTCTGGCCACCTCATTCGAATGCTCTGATTGCTGTCCATTATCTGGAGAAGATCCTCACTCTGGTGGGAGTCGCCGGCGCCGAAATGGTGGCTCTCGGCCCAGTGAGCAACAACAATGCAGCATATGAAATGATCAAAGCCATGATCGGAGGCGCTCGCGAGAGATGTATGCGAGCTGTCTGCGAGGCCTGGAGTAAGGATGCTGAAAGCTGCAAATCTCTGGAAGATTGGGTGAGAGCGCCTGAAAAGCGAGGTCAAACCCGGATGCCGATGTACTTCGAAGCATATGAGAGGAAGATTTTACTGGGCATGCAACAAGTCTTATACTTGTCAAATACGACCACGAAGCCCGGGAGCCGAGAAATTATCACCCCTCCGCCTTCGAAGCTTTTGCAAATGCTTCGAACGCAATTCGTGAGCAGCGTTTACAAGGCTGTCAGCGGGATGTTGGAAAATGCGGAGGCGTCTCCACAGGGAGAAGAAGATGACTGGGTGCTTGTGACGAGCCTCGGCTCCGTTGTCGACGGTGCCCCTTCTAGTGAGATGCTTACACAGGATGCCATCAATGCGTCGAGTCGAAATGTTCGCATGCTCTTGACCATGTCAAATCTCAAAGCCTTACGAAACGAACATGTCCCCTCGCTCATTCAACTGTTTGAGTCCTCCTTCTCCATCAAATTGGCTGACGAATCCAAGACCATCAAAGACGTTTTTGGCCAGATTGATGCGAAGCTCTTTCATTCATACGCCCAACCAATGGTTGCAACTCTAACCAAGATCATCAAAGATGGCATAAACTCGCCAAGCTGGGCACCGACCACCGCAAGACCCGATCAAGTCAGACCGTATGTCTACGCGGCATTGATGACGCTGGTCATGGTACATACAGAAGTGTCGTCAACGGTCTCTCATCCAGGTTCCAGCAGCCATCTCCTCGGCGAAATCATGTCTTATCTGCTGGAAAATGTTTCACAGGCCCTTCTCGATAGCTTCAAGGAGAGAAGACCCAACACTTATGCCTTGCCTGCGCTTATGCAAGCCACGTTGGACACTGAATTCATCGCTCAAACCATGGCCCAGTATGCCACTTCGAAGGCCGGAGAAGTCCAGGGCCAAATCTACACCGAGCTGGACAAGCGGACAACAAATGAAGCCAGGACGAGGCTGCAGCAGGAATTGGGTGACATGCGGATTGTTTTGAAAAAGCTGCGCGAAGGCAGCAGGAACAGTTTCGGTTGCTTCAAGAGGCAGAGACCTGCAGATAAAGAGCGAGGTCGACCAGAGAGGAAAGCAACCGTCACATAGACTGATTCATGGGTAGAACCTTGGGCAATTTATAGCTGGCGCAATGGTTTTTTGGTGGGGGGCATCATCTTCGTCGTCCTCGTCGTCCTCGACCTCTCTGGCCCCCTCGTCCTGTCCTCTTGGAACCGCCCTTCTTGTCTTCGTCTTCCTGCTCATCGCTCTCTTCTTCGTCCCCAGTCTCTTGTTCCTCCTCATCGTCGTCAGCATCCTCCATGACTTGATCCTCATCTGCGACACTGGTGGCTTTGCTCGTCCTTCTGCTACTCTTTTCCGTTTCAATTTCATTTTGTAGTCGCGATAACCTGCCCCCTCTTCTGGCGGTCCTACCTCCTCTGACTGAACTTCTCCCTGATCTAGAAACAGGTGATGATCGTGGCTCATCAGTATCCGCTACTGTGCTCTCTCTTCTTGAAAAATTAGGACTGGGAGTCCCTTCCGGTGCCAACCTTCTCTGCCACATCAACTCATCGAAATCCTCACGGGGTAATTCAAAGTCTCTCCAATACGCAGGACCTTTAGACCCATCGTCGATGCCGTCAATGATGGAGTCTTCTCGCTCATCCAGCTTTGACAGGTCATACAATGATTCCAGCTTCCTCCAAATACCCGCCGTTGATGTATGCGAATCCTCTGGGTTAATGATGCCTTGATTGAGTAAATGCTCTCTGATTGCTATCATTCGGAAATGTTTATGCATCCCGACTGGCTTCCAGCGAATGATTGCTTGAAGGAGAGCGGATTCTTGATCATCGGACCAGAGCGAAAGATCACCACTGGATTCCTTCGTCTCGGTTGTATTTGTTGTCGCCATTTATTGATTCAAATCTGGCATTCAGAGCCTCCCGGATAAGATTCTCCTACATTCAACCCCCAAGATCTCCCTGTGAGGAGGCAAATCGTCGTAGGTGTTTTCTCAATTCGTAGCAGAAGCGCTGCCTTCTAGGACATCATTGACACTTTGGTAATATGACTTCAGGACCATTGCGAGCGTTCTTGAAATGACTGTTGAATATTTTGCACAAGTCGCTTCTATTTCGTTTTGGGCGGCACAGTTTCCCTCTTGGGACACGCGTTATCCAACGCGTCCGCAGGAAACTCTCCGCTTGGGGACAACTTGCATGCCCAAATCTGGTACCTGCGAAAGAGATGATACGACACATGCCTACCACAATGGTGGAGAAGAATTCGTTATGTCGACCCGAGACGCTATTGACCCTTTCTCGACGGCCGCCGTCAGAGAAATACCTACCAACTTCCTTGAATCCAGCCCAATATGGGACGGCTTTGTGTTTGATAACGGCCTTGACAGCGAATTTCTTCGGCTGAATGACCATCATGCCAAACCTTTGCCCGACATTGAACCAGATATCTTCCGTCTGAACCTACAGGATGTTTCACGGCCTGATATATCCCCCCCCGCCTCTGCCTGCGCTTCAGATTCCGGGAACGACCAACTAGATATCCAAAATCAGCAGGATGTTCATAGCGAGGCCGCAGATGTCTGGGTACTGCCGGAGGTCGTTGAGAGAAGGTCACAAAATGAACCGGTCACTTGGGACATTTTCTTGACTGAAAGTCACCAAGAGCCTATGGTAGTCTACCTCAGCGAGGCAAGCCCGAAGACTTTCAATGCCATTCTCCGGAGGGCATATCGAGACATCCCACCTAGAACGGTAAAGCCCAATGTTCTACTTAATGCGGCCTTTGAACTCGGGCTGGGCAGAGGTTCGGCGCTCTTTGTTTGGGATGAAAACGAAGCCAGGTTCATTCAGCAATTTGAAAAGATATCTGCAGCAGGTTACAGCCCAAAGATATTGCAAAGCTTTTTCGAACCATCTCTAAGCGTCGCTACAAAGACGAAGCTACTCAACGCCTACTTTCAAGACTTGACAAATGCGGCCGCAGATCCGTCTCCATGTCGGATAGCCTTTCTCTCTGCGTCGAGGTCTGTATTATACGGGGCTCATAAATACTTGGAAATCCTAAGACCAGAAATGTCGTCTCTGTTGCAATTGAAGGGAATCATGACGAAGTTCGAGACATTATTGACTGTTCTGAAGAATTGTGCCGATTTGATCCGATCATGCCAAACGGAAGATACAATCGTTTCGGCCTTGATGCAACTAGCTGCAAATGCTTCTATCAATCATCCTGGGATCGATGGAGTGTTGCAGGAAATATTTTCGAGGACATGTCAACCAATCCTGGCAAAGCTAAGTGATGACGTTGGTCTTACCTCAGCTCGGGCCATCAATAACAGTGAGACGTCTCTTGAGGAAGATGTGAATGTCAACCCTCTCTGGACAACGCTTTTCCAGGGCAACTGCGCTCAGATGATCAGGGAAACGCGACAGAGCCTGGAAATATTGAGATCATACGCACCGGATTGTCCCGTCCTCTCGAGCGCCGAGTATGGATCGTCGTTTCTTTTGAATTTTGAGCTAGGATTCAGTTTTGATTTCATGTGCGAGCTGCAGTCTCGCTCTGTGGCATATGAAGATGCGATGAAGTCGTTGATCGTGTCGGCAGGGTCATCAACTTCTTCCAGCTCGATCAGCGCACTGGCTTCCGAGAACTTTGATTTGGAAGAGGCGGGTATTCTTCAATCCAAATCACTCGATCCATTTCAGCTTGGATTGGACCTTTTCGGCCCAAATGTTCCTCTATTTGACCATGGCGACTCTGAGGGACTCCACGATCAAGTCATGATATACCTTGAGAGTCGAGAATTCGATATCTCGCCCTTTCAACTGGATTTCGAACAAGCGCTAAACTTCTCGGTGATACCTCTAATTTCAGCCCAGCACCGTCTTCTATCCTATTCAGTCCTTCAACTTCTCTTTCAGGAGCACAATCTCATCATGCACCTGAATCTCCAACGAAGCTTCCACTTATTTGGGCATGCGTTCTTTGCCTCACGTCTCAGCACGGCCCTATTTGATCCAGATCAAACTAGTGGCGAAAAGCAAAGGCGAACGGGAGGTTCTACCGGTCTGCGTCTGCAAGTTCGGGACACCTGGCCACCTGCAAGCTCTGAACTCCGACTTGTCCTCATGAGTGTTCTGTCGGACAGCCTGGCGGCATCGAAAGATCGCAGTTTGGAGGACACAATATCTTTCGCCATTCGAGATATGTCTCTCGATGAACTTGAGAAATGCCGGGATGTTGATTCAATTCACGCACTCGATTTTCTTCGGCTTCAATATAAGCCACCAAATGAAGCACTTGAAAGCGTGCTCACAGCCGAGATTCTAGACAAATATGATCGCATCTTCCTGCATCTGCTACGCATCTTGAGATTGCAGAGTATGGTACAAAGCTTGGTAAGAGATAATATTGAGTTGTCAGGTGACCTTGCAGATCACAAATTCATTCTCGAAATGCGACATTTCATCACAACCCTGGCGGACTATTGCAACAACACAGCGATAGGATTTTGTTGGAGGAAGTTTGAAACGGTCTTGCATGACGTTGAAACTTACATCAACAACAAGGATTACGAACGTACTTTACAGACAGTCCAGAGCCAGGACTATCTCCGTGTCCTACACAAAATAGCTGTGGATAATATTCTACACGCATTGCTGTTAAAGAAGAAACAATCCAACGCGCTACAGATTCTGAACCAACTATTTAGTCTGATTCTACAATTCGCAGCGGAGAAGAGGAGTGGACGCATGAATAGTTTTGATTACGAGACTCCAGCGGAACGATTTCAAAGGGACTTTAGACACAAAATCATTCGATTCTTGGACGCCTTGCATGTCCAAGGAGAAGGACGATTCCCTCAGCTATTGACACGCAAAATCAACGTTGATGATGCAGATGACGGCGACGACGAGGAAGTGAACTTGTTTGAGTATTTGCTTCTCCGACTGGACATGTTTGATTATTGGAGAGGGAGCCGGAAAGGCCGCAGAAGAGGCATATCGCATATGGACTTATGAGTCAGGGACGTTTGTCGTGTTGACATGTCCTTTATCAAATACCAAGTCAATGGACTAATGTCGTTAGAGAGATCTCGGAATCAATTCGCCATGAGTGAAGAAGTATATCTGGGATACCTCTATCAGGGCCGTCCAACTCCAAACTCTTCAAAAGAAGAGCCCTAGAAAATTCTACTGAATACACCCAACGAGATCTTAACTCCCACACACCCAACAGCAACAAGACATCCTGTTGCAATGAGCAGCGTATTCAAATTCCTCCTCTCAATGCCAACCTCTTTCATCTCGGCCTGCTCATCCCCGCCTCGCGCCGTAAGCACATGGAAATCCGGCACATACTTAAAGTCAAAGACGCTCTCCTGGCCGCCGAGCCCAGATTTGCCCTCGACAATCAGTGCCCAGAACACAGAGCGTAACGCCGCGACTTTCCGCCTGTCCAGCGCCGGAATCGAGCGGTAAAAGTAGCATATGGACATGAAGAAGATGCACTGCCCCGCCATCAGGGCCCAGTACCATGCCGACGGCCGGCCCAACGCGAGTGCATCGCAGAGTTCATTCCCATTGAGCCAGCGGGCATTGACTTCGAGGAAAGCCCGCGACGCGTACGTGGGCGGCTGCGCCTCGAGACATCGAATGACGTTGGCCGCGAGCGTCTGCGACGTTTGCGACGGGTTGATCTCGTTCATCAGGAGGGATTCCATCATGGCTTTGGCGCGCGAGGGGGTCTCGAACCACTCGGTCGGCGTGCCTACGTAATGCGCAATCAGACGCCAGAGTGCGATGTAGTCGAGTATTTCCTGCTCGCGGAGCCAGATCCCCTGTCGAGGCAGGGAGAGCCAGATGATAGTCCCCGAGAAGGTGCCGATGGTGGCAATGCAGTCGAGGTCGTTGATGGGGATCCCGTATTTCTCGGTGCTGTAGTATTCAGGACGGGACTTGGTCAGTGCCATGATGCGCTGTCGGACTGCGGCATGGAGGAGCCGGACGCGGAGGCTCGAGGCAAAGCCTGCGCCGCCTGGTTTGATCGAGTCGATGGACCGCGTGCATTCGAGGATGTGCTGTGTTGTTTCGAACAGGCGGCGCCGTGCCACTCTGACGGAGAATCCGCCGGTGCGGGCAAGGACCTCGACGACTCGATTGGCGCCCATGCCTCCGAGGAGAGATTGGTATGCTAGGCCAGTCATGGTGGCGCCTCCGTAGCGGTAGAAGACGTCCTGTCCTCGGGCAATCTGGTCCCAGTCCACCCAGTCCGGGACTGTCGTGACTTCATCCCAGAACTGCTTCAGCTTTTCATGTCTGTCGACGTTATCTCTCAGGAGGAGATAGAGATCTCGCTTTGGCTTTGGCTTTGGCGGAGAGCCCTTCTCGTGCTCGCCTAGCTTTTGTAGCTGCGAGTCCACTATGTTTGAAGGCTTCGATTCCGGGGGGCTGATTTGATTCAGAATATCGTAGCATTCTTCTCCTAACACATCATATGAGTATTTCATCGGATGGGCCTGTTCGGGAGTCAGGTGCTCCGGCGTCAACTGGAAAGTATAGCCCCAGCATGTTCGGGTGTTTTCATCCCTCTTTCTAAAAGGACTTGGCCAAGTCATCTTGAAATTTGGATCAAGACTGAGCTCTCAGGGCAGCAAGCCGCCGTAAGAGAGGAGAAGAAGTCCATTCGATAGCTCCAGAGGTGGATGGAGGGTCAAGCTTAGTGGCTGAGCGTTGATGTCGACGAGCCACGAGTCAGGGTTCGCTTATTTCGGCGAAATTTGCTAGTCATGTACCTCCAAAATCTCCTCTTTCCAGACCTGCTCTCACATTTGGAAACAATCTGCATTTGCACCAAACAATCATCTTCGAACATGACTCTGAATTCCCAAAATTGTGCCAGAATCTTCTGGACCGTTGCCCGCAGCTCAAGACTACCCAGGAGGTTGACTCCCCCTGCATATTCACATCCACGAATTCCCCAGATCAAGTACCGCCCCTCGACAGAATCGTCCTGCCAACCATCCTCCTCCACGAACGCCAGAGAATTTTGCAGTAGCGTCCACCACAGAAGACGAGGACAATCGGGACAAGATGTCGAGGAAGAAACCGTGGAAGACTTTCAACCTTCTGACTCCAAAGATCAGAACTCAAAGAGAACAGCAAGTACTGAAACAGAAGAAGATGACAGCATAATGGTCATATCAAGGCATAATTACCGAGACAAGGATGGACGACTATGGCTCTCACCCACAGAGGAGAATGAAGTCGGCGGTGCGGGCAGGAGGCGCAAGCAGAAAAAGCTCACTTTGAAGGATCTGGCCATCCCCAAGGAAGAGAGTAAGGGAAAGAAGAACAATCGAGAACGAGAACCATGGCAAATCCAAAAAGAAGGCTTGAAGAAAAAATTTGGGGAGGAAGGATGGAACCCTCGGAAGAAATTGTCTCCAGACGCCATGGAAGGTATTCGGGCACTTCATGAACAAGACCCTGAGAAATACTCTACTCCTGTACTGGCTGAGACGTTCAAGGTCTCACCGGAGGCTATCCGTCGGATATTAAAGAGTAAATGGCGGCCCACCGAAGAGGAGATGGAGAAAAGGAGACAAAGATGGGCCAGACGGCATGACCGGATATGGGATCATCTATCAGAGTTGGGCCTGAGACCAAAGAGAATAACGGAACGAGAAATAGAGGACCCTAATGAGTTCGACGAGAAATTGAGAGCGCAAGAAATCCTGGACAATGCACGGGATGCTTGATTCAGCTGATGTTCCAGCTGTCTGATTCATGAACTAAGCTGATTTTGTACCGGGGATTGAGTACATGCGAGCAACAGAAGATAAAATATCTGACCACTGGATTCATTCAGCATTCCTTGTCTTCTGGAGAACGAAAGCCGTATAACGGAACCTCTTTGTTTCTTCTCTGGACCTCAGTCGACCGGGCGAATCAATCACTTATCACAGGTTTCCCGTCGTTGAAGACGAATATGCAAACATGTTTCTCTAAAGCGCTTGTGTATTGCTTCCTTCCAAATCCCATGAACGGAAAGTTTCATTCCTTGTCTTAGCCTCCGACTATGACAGGCCCTTGAGGTTGTGAGAGGCATAGTGCCGAGTGTATCATCAGGTGAAGCACGCTGTTTTCTGCCTGCTTTGAGCTGCGATTTCAGATCACACTTCACACGCTTCACTTTTGGTACTTCTCAATCTCGAGACGTCGGACGATCAAGTACGTAAACACCAGCCACAGTGTCCCCATGCAATGAGGGATCTCAAGCCAGAAGTTTTCACTTGTCCATATGAGATCTCTAGACTTCGGATTTGGACGCCAGAGACCAGTCTGTTCATCAAAAACCATTCGATCCCGTCGAGAAGGCATAGTTGGCGGGAAGATTGCATACACAACCGGCGTGAGAAACAAGGGTACCGTCTCGATCATGGATAGACCGGGAAAGCCGACGGAAGAAAAGAATCGGAACCAAAAGAGCTGGTCGATGACAAGACGACCGTTCGTGGTCGACATCTTGATCTGAGTGCGAATTCCACGGATGACGAAGAGCACCATGATGACGAAGAAAGCCATGTGCCAAAGGATTCCTTCCCGTTGGTGGAGGAGGACAATTCGTTTGAGAACGGGAGGACGCTTCTGGATATCCCGTTCTTTGACAGGCGCCGCCTCAAGTCCACTCACGTCGAAACCGAGACGAAGACCACCACCAGTCCATTTTGGCAGAAGACTTTGAAGAACGTCACGTGCGAAGTGAAGTCCCATCCAGGTGTTAGTTGCTTGTTGTCGTCGCTGGTTCCACAGACTGATGTGCCCGGCCGCTCTTAATTCGGAGACTCTGGCCTGGACACGATGAACAACAACGCAGAAAACCATGTTACGAAGCGTGTGTGGCTCTGGAGTAGCAATGACAGGACCTCCCAACACCAGACTCAGTGCAATGAGCATCCAGCACAACAACTTGAATACGGTGTTGAAGTATGGACGACAGCAATGATGAAACATGGCCACACGTTGTATCGTGGTTGCTTGTTCGAGTCGCTGGTCATTGAGGGAGAAGTTGGTGTGGATGGCGTCACGAACGTGTCCGATCCACTATGACCACTTAGCTACCGAGACACACTCTGCACTTGGAACACACTTACCCATCGACGTCGTTGTTTCATATGAGTGAGGAAGCAATCCGGTTGAATACCCCATTGCAGCTTTTCATGAAGCAACACAATCTGCCAGCCATGTCCGTGCAAGAACCAACTTGTCATGAGATCTTCGGTGATGGTGAATTCTGGGAATCCTCCGATTGACTTCCATGCAGCATTCCTCAAAATGAATCCACTGCCTGGACACCATGCTGCACCGACACTGTCTCTAACCCCGTCATCCGCCTCGGTGCCCGTGACATTGGATTGGTAAAGGGGATCATTGTCGGGAATGTTGTAATAGTGCTGTGGGTGTCAGCGGTGTACACTGCGCATCACTACTGGACAACATACCTGCGCTCCGGTGACCATACCAATGTTTTCGGCTTTTAAGGCATGAGGAATCAACGCACGAAGCATGTAAGGCTCGGGAATCATGTCTGCGTCCAGCACAGAAAGGAATTCACTTTGACCACCGAAGAGAGTATCGACATATCTCATGGCAGTGTTGAGATTACCAGACTTATATCCATGGTGAATGCCATATGGCTTGTGACGAGCATAGTAATGCAGATTGGGGTGTTTGTTGCGAAGCTCGTTGGCCTCCTTCTTGAGCAATTCATCGTCACCGTCGTCGGCCACAATGACGCGCAGGCTCTCAACGGGATAGTCGATTTGACAGGCAGCTTTGACCGTGTCAAGCACGATATCTGTTGGTTCTCCACAGGCTACAATGAAGAGATCAACCCCCGGAACGTTGTCACCAAGAACTCGAAGGGCTGGGCGTGGTTCTGGGTTACGGATGACGCTGACAGTGAGACGCCAGAGTCCTTCGCTGATGATCGAGACTGGGGATGAGGTCTGTCAACATTGACCATGACATCGGGATGGCTACTCACAGTGATCGAATACTTGTGCAGCGGTAAACAAGGCTGCTGGCAACAGATTTTCTTGCCCTTTCTTTCTGGCCGACACAACGTTTGCGATCAACGAGCCGACATAGACAGCGCTATTTGCGAGGCTGACAGCGCCAAGGGCAGTCGACAGGAAAGGGGTTGGGATTGCTGGCTTGTGCTCGACCTTAACGATATCGTAGGTTGCTTTGGCTTGGTCATTGTCAATCTCCACGGCCGCTCCCTTGATTGAAGAAGTAAAGTCAAAATGGCCGTCACCAGAGTCAGATTCAGTCATCTTTGTGAAGGTTGAGGCCTGCTCTATGAATACACTATACACAGGAGCTTGACAGGGCCTTGTGAAGATGTGTGGGCGAGTGAGTGGGTTAGGGCTGGTGAGAGGTGGTTGCAATGGTGTGAGAAAGAGTGGATGACAGAAGTCCGTCCAGTCGAAGTGTAGCCACCAATTCCAGCGGCCGATTCAAATCCACCATTTGGAGAGGACCGCGACACCACTTGAACCAGGCTTCGCGCGCTCAAGGAGAATAGAGTGATTGTGTTGAAGAATATGGATGAATGGTGGAGGAGGAAAATGATGTGAGAGAAGGCGAAAGGAAGAGCTGGGAAAGCATTCACCGCCCAGCACGGAAGGGTTTCACTCGTCTGTCGCAGTCAATTACGAAGGACGGCTGGCTCTCCTACTCTGTTCAGATCCAAGGAGGCCGCAAGCAGTATGACACACTTTTTCTTCGGTCTTTCCTTTCTCTGGATCTATCCTATTCAACCTACATCAACAAGTCGACACATCTATCCTCCCTGCTCGCAAAAGATCCTCGACTCTTTTCTCTGATATTGGAGCCCCAGTGTTCCAATTCCCTCACAAGGCAACGAAGTTCCACGACCAGGGATTATACCCAGAAAGGCCTTCTTGCTCATCATGGGTATCTTGGATTCAAAGAAGCAACTCAGCCTCCTTCAATCTTTACCCATGCTAACAGATGATGAAACAAGAACCCCCTATCTTCACCCAGATTCTGTCAGATACCCGTCCTTCCCTTTTTCAACCCATTGCCCTCTTCCTCCTTCCAGTAGAGACCACTTCAATCCGAACATTCTCTTACCGCTACGTCTATCTGCTCGGGGACACCGGTCATTCACCATCTACGTTGAGAGACCACGAGCTAATTCTGTGATTCAGAAGTCAGCCTACGGAACGGCGAGGGAGGAGACTAAACACGCCAATTTCATGCTGAAAGAGGAAACACGTGCATATAGAAGACTGATTCAAGCATTGGAACAGCACCCATTCCTTCATCTTGGAGCTATTTTCCGGGGTCAAGCAGGTCTTGGGGCCCAACCGAAGCAGGACATGGGATTCAAGATTGAGCAAAGGACAAAAAATTGGCTGGATATCTCCTCAAGCCTCCATAATGAACTTAGCCCCAAGATAAATATACTTGGTCCGTGAAGGAGCTGGAGAGTCTACGACACAGGCGCTTGGGGTTTATTTATGCATTGAGAACTTTGAAGAGACAATCACAACGAAATATGAAGCCAATTTCGGGAAGTATTCCAGAACGAGTTTGTGTGCCTGTGACATGAATAGCAAAAGGACATTGATCGATCTTCGTGAGGCGAGCACCTTGCTTCCGCCTTGTGCAGACATTTTTGCTGTATCGGTCAGCGGCTCATTCATTCCAAACTTGCCGAGAATCTTTAGGCCCAGCCCAGCCTCGGCATGTTTGTGTCCAAAAGTTGAAGAGAGCGGATTGACTGAGAATTATAACACTACTTTTCTCTGTATAGAGCTCAGTCTGCACTACCACGCCAAGATTTCTCGTTTAATACCTGCATGGCCCTTTTCGTAATTGTGGCCTCAAAGAAAATCGGTTGAAGTGATCTGGAACTGAGCATCAACATGGTGAATCTCGGAAAGCGCATGCGCAGCTTTCAACCAGTAAGTTGTCTTGATCATGAAATTGAGCACTCTACTAACAACATGTAGAGAGTAAGCCTAGGTAATGCCTTTGAATCGATACCCGTCGCTCATACTTATAGTTATTTCGGGTCCGACATGGCGAGGGCGCAGCAATCCTTCCACCTCCCCCGGCTCCCAGATTGGCCCAGCTTTGCCTCCGATATCCTCTGAGGGCATGGAACAAAGAGATGCAGGCTGCAAGAGGATTTAAAAAAGACCACCTACCACGATTAAAATACCACAATCCTACCCTACCCATCAAGGTGGAAGATTCGACAGCTTTACAGCTCGATCTGACTTTCGAAAGCAATGACGAGAGCACGCTGAGTGCCTTAGAGAAACGCCAACTACCGGTCGAACCTGACACTATCGAGTACCAGGAATCGTGGTCAAAAGTAGAATCAAAACCCCTACCAGCTGCAAATGCGAAGGCTCCCTCAACGCCATCACCCCCACAACCCATCTTCATGAGACGCGTCACACTCAATTTGGCCCAGCAGCCCTCTCAGCGGATATGGAAGTGGTTTCAGAAGACCACCAATTGCGAAGACTTCCCTGAAGAACCAGAATGGACGGCACTGATGAAACGATTAGAAGAGTTTGCCAAGCAGTCAGAAATCGACAGACAACTTGTCAAAGCCGGTCGTGACGCCGTGAAGAAACAGCAGGAAGAACTGAAGAAGGCAAGAGAGACAGCGGAGAGAATAACCAACGAAGTATAAGGCTAAGATTTCATAATAACGAGATGGGAATCCACTTTCAACTCTGTACATTACTTACCGACACGTCACACTTCGCGCTCGCAACAGCTTCATAGGTGCTGTTCAGGACAATCACTGATCTCTGCTGCTTGTGTCAGCATATGTTGCAAGATGTTGGAGAGCGGACAAGAACTTGTTGGCTACAAAATTTGCCAGCTCAGACGTCCTTCGATCTTAGACATCGAGTCTGAATAGCACTCAAGGCAGTCCACATTGTTCAGGACATTGAACGAGAACTTCTTTCCGGACAACTCGATCCAGTTCTCCATAATGACATTCTCGACAGAACCTTTTCCTCTTTACATTTTCCGTCATCGTCTCAGCGTTGAATGGCTCTCCTGCCATCGATCAATCTGTCTGCAAGACAACAATCAACTGCCATCATGGCACGACCTGGAAGCAGAAGCAGAGCTACGTCAAAATTGTCAAGGCCATCATCACCAGAGTGAACACTTCAAGCCTGTCAATATACGATGGATAGTCCTTCAAGTGGAGAAAAAAGCTTTTCGCTCAGTGGTAGGGTGGACTTCCTCTTTCTTTCACGATTGTCACCAACATCCGCTCGTTACACTCCCATATGTCACCGAGATTTGTATGTTTTTCAGGCGAATATTTAAAACTCGATTCTGATCTCGTCTTCCTTCTCATATTGCCGTTCTCAGTCCAGCCATCGCGTCTCTCTTCTTTCCCGCTGCTAAATTTGAATGTGTCTCATAGAACTTCCATCAAAGACCGACAAACTAAGCATCCAAAGCCTAAACACTAGCGAGCTACACAGGCCGTGAGCCATTACCTCGGACCAATTCGCGGAGTTCGACGGCAATGCATCATGGGAATTGAAAGAAACTACCTCATCTCAACCAGACAATGCAATAAAATGCCAGCTATCTGACACAAGCAACGAGATGCTGTATGACCTTGACCGAGGTGATATCGTCGTTGCATTGAACAAGGAAGACGCATATGATGATTTCTCTTCGCAAGGATTTTCGGGTACCGCGTGATCATTAGAACCAGCATTGCGGGCCTCAAAGGCCGCTTGGGACGCGGCTGTTCGGCCGAAATTCCCACGACGCCATCAAATTTGACAACCGAAGTCCGACATCGATGACGATTCTGCGAGCGCGTCAAAATTTTGAACTGATTCATTGAAGTCGGACTCCAATTATTCGAGGTGTCTGCTCTCACCAGGCAGACACAGCTCCACAGTTTGGGCCAGCTGATGAATACCTATCGAGTAAATCGAGGACCTAGAGGAAAGAGTGGGAGTGAGTCATATCTTAAGTCGAGTTCGGCTACACCGCGATCCACATCAATTCGACCCTCTAAATCTCGGTGTAGTGGGTAGCGATTCCGCTTGAACGTCGTGCATAACGACAGATCGTTGCAATAGTGATGGGAGAAGATCGAAATCATGTGAATGGTGATTGTTTTCCTTGACTGAGGAGGCAATTCACCCAAATTATCTGCCCGGCTGGCATGGGCGAATGGACTCCTGCCCCGTAGCCCACTGGCGCGCTGGGAACTACCATCGATCCATACATGCAGAAGCAGAAGCCTTGCGGAGAGTTAGACTCAAGCATCATGCCAAAAAGTCATGTGCAAGGTTTGTGGTACAATGGTTTTTATATCGGAATCCATCTCACAGCTGGGAGAACAATGGTATTCCTAGTGTTGTTGCTTTCTTCTCGAGGCTGTTGCACAGGGACAATGCCTGGAGTATATCCTGCCATCTCTGTTGTAGAAGATCTGGATAGCAAGAATCCTTCGTTCTCCATTCAGAGGTCGAACATCGTTCAAGCGAATGAAGAAACGCCAGTCTTGCTGATTCAAGTGGGAAAACCGCCAGGGAGACACCAATGAGTCCGATGTTGGCATGGAAGAAATATGGCAATGATCGAAGGAGAAGATGTGCAGTTATAAGGTGTTCGCTGCGCGCAATCATTAGGTTGTCGTGGCTGAGTATCCTCCGATCGTTTTTGAAGGTATATCTATATTTGCTGTGGGCTGATTGAAAGTGTAGAGCTTCCGTAAGAGCAGATGCATAAGTATCCAGTGCATACAGCTTGAGAGAAAGGTTGTAAACCCAAGCTGCTGCAATTTCAAGGCCTGGAAAAGATAGATCGCTCGGATACGATGAGCGAGGTTCTGACCGAGCAATAGATTGAGCATACTGAGATAGAAAATGGTTACACCAATTTTTTGTTTGGGTCAAGACATCCGATAGAGTAATGATTCATGAGTAATTTCTGTCGATTTCAGCCTGTCAAGCTTCACCATCATAGGAGGAATTCGATGGCCCATATCAAGCAAGCCTCCCATGAAACGAATACTCGCTTGAGGAATGAGTCGATGATCGGGACTTTTCCTGCCGCCCATAAGAACGGGTGTTCCTATCAAAATGGAGGTCCGGCGGTGAACAAGACAGAAGCAGATTTCCAGCATCCGATATTCGTCCACTAAACAGAACAGAACGCCAGGGATATGACCAGGGCTGCGGAGTTGATACAGTAGCAACGATCCTAATCCACAGACATGGCAGTACATATCTGGAAGAGAAGCGTTGATGGTGAATTCGAACATTGCTGCCACATGACAAGACAAAATCAATGCTAATGACTCATGCGCACAATGACTTCCTCCATCAATAATCGACTGCAGCTTCCGACTGACGGCGATTAGCGTTCTTTGGTACGAATGCAGAGACTCGATCTGAATGTCCTGTCGCTTGCTTTCCATTTCCAGCACTCCTAATGCTACAGAACGTAACATGGACCTGAGTAGTGATTGGTCCTGAATTGCTGCAAGACCGTAAGCATGTACGACCCAAGATGCACAAGGCGTTGTCAGTTACTTCTCAGGACACGTGGGGGATGGAAGCTTGATTCTATCCGGGAGAAGTCGAGATCTGAATATCCCCAGAAGTGCAGTCGTGTTCTGTTTCTCGGGAGTCGGCTCAAACAACAGACTGGGCTGAGAGACTCGCAGAAGGGTGACGATCTGTTTGCGACCAGGATCTTGCTCTCTCCCATTCCGAGATTTTGCTTGGTGCACAGAACTCAAAGCCTCCCATTTTGTCTCGTGGATCCAGCGAAACTTTGACTGAATGGAAGATTTGGACGTTTGACCCGATGATTTCTGTTTCTGGCGTTCACGGTGAGCCTGGACATTCAATCTGAACTTTTCACGACGAATTGCAGCTCTCTCCTCTGCCGTTCGCAGATTGGTAGATCTTCCTCGACCCATGCGCGATGGACAGGGCGTTGACGTTTGAGGCCTTGGGCAATGAAATCCCTTGAAGGCTCTTTCTCACGACTCTAAGCCATTATAAATGCTTGATGAAGCAGATGATATCGGTGGGATGATATACCAAGAGATGTGTATGTCAGATCATATAGAACCAGATTGACAATATTGGACCAAAAAGGAATGCGGGACCCACACGATGATGACTCTGGCTTCGCAAAACCTGACTATGCACACTATGCTTACATGCTGGCCTGGCAACAGATAATATGTCCTACACTATTCTTGCTTGTCTAGCGTTGCGAAGATAACGATACTAACACCTCCTTTAGCAGCTTGCGCCCTTTCCTGGCACTCCCATACTGCCATTCTATCGTGTCAATAGCCGAAACCAGCTTTCACAACCTCTTCAGGGGCCATGTACACCGAGGGAATTCGAAATCTATAATTTCGCTTGGCTCAGGTGGAAAGATCCCATCCTTCCCCAAGAACAAGCATTGAGCCTAAAGCAGAGCGAGGTAAGCTATTGCTCTCGTGACAAAGTAGAGACAGCCTCACAGCGTTGAGGGTAATTTGCGTGAAGCCGATATTGAATCTGTTCAAAACAGCACCAAGATTTTCGGGAATGTCGAAGCCGACGCCGATTTCGAGACAGACTGGATCCTGTACATTTGAACGTTAGAGACCTTCGACATTTGGTCAAGGAAGTGGTCCAAATGTTTTCCATACCCCAAAATCGGTGGCGAGAAAGCGGAGAGGACTACAAAATCCACCTCCCAGAGCCTTGCAAACTGTCGGGTCGCAGTTGTTCTTCAACGAAAATTAGCGTTATCATTCCGCTGACTTAGAGGGTGAAACGGGGAGGAGAGATACGTACCTCTGGGAAATTAGCCATCCTCACACCTTGTTGGTTCCAGATGCCTGCAATAACTGGAGCAGCCTAGCGAAGAAGTCAGTCAACTTGGGGCTCGAGGCAGCTTTCCCATGCCTACCGTTTGCTTGATAATTTCCTTTGCAGCCTCTTCGACTAATTCATCATCGGACTTGAGAATGGTGTCGACCAAATCCCCATCGCGGAGGTAACTGACAGTGTCGGCTGGAGGTGAAACGAGGGCAGGATCCGTGGCTCCTGTGTCCATATAGGCATGCAAGACATTACGGAGTGACTGCTTGAGAGGCTCGAAGGTTGCTCGTAGTGAGTTGACGAATGGCTTTCCATCAGTGGTTGGGTCATCTCCAAGATCTATTGCGGCATCAATAGCGGCATCGCGGACGGTCTGCGGTCATAGAGTCAGTCGAGCTTTCCAAAATCAGGAAATCCCGAACCACTCACCTGAAGACCAGTTTTTAGAGCTTCTTTGATGGCGGTTGTGAGAGAACCTCCTAATGCCGGGAAGGCGAGCGAAATTCCCAACTCAAAGCCAGTGAAAAAGGCTGCCACGTCAAATGTAAATCTATCGCGTCCAAATGCTGTGTCTTTGAACAAAGTTCTTGCTAGATTCTGGTCTCTGAAATTTCCAATCAGCAATCATCAAGAGGCGGAAAGTGACAATAACAAACAATTCATCGAACTTCTCAATAGCACGGTCATAGGCGCGAATTTGCGCGGATAGGATTTTGTGCAAGTTGCCTAAGGAAAGAGACACAAGCATTGCATGTGTAGAATCGTAGAATTGGCAGCCAACCTTTGGCTGACAGTTGTCATTTTCCGTGAGACAGCTGAAACCTTCCGGTTGAACTTCAAGGACAGCCTCGTCCCTGTAGAATCGACCGCTCCAATCATCAACTAAGATCGCGAGTAAGTATCAGAGACAGAGATCTAGGGGGAGATAGCAGACTAGCGGGATTGTCGATGAGATATTGGGTCAAGAGATCATTTATTCCCAGGCCTTGCCAGACTGCTTTGCCATTGAGCACGGCATTTCCTCTGCCTGAAGAAAGGAGCGTGTTTTCAATTGAATCGCAAAAATGCTTGGAGAGGGCTAATTCATTCGTGTCTTGGGAGCCCGTATTGAATACTCGCTTTTCAAGCCTGGACGCTACACCGACAACTCCACGGCCACAGAAGAGAAGGAAAGATATGAGAAAGAAGGGAGGACGCATGGCCGAAGACCGACAAAATGATGACAAGGCAAATGAGAGGAAACCCGTGCACTTGAACAATCAAAAATAAGAGACAAATGAAGAGTTTTGCAAGATCAGGGACACTCGAGAGATATTATGGATACCTCTGTAGGCATATCGAGATGGACCTATCATTGCCGGGAAGATCCAACGCGGCCAGGGAGTTGCCATGGTGTGGGAATCGGCAATGCCGTCCCGTCGCAAGGCGCAAATGCCCTTGTTCACCAAGATATTTGACAAAGGCCCCCATGCGTAGGGGTTGGGGCTGAAGCTAATGTTCCGGAATGGCAAAGGAGAGTTGATATGATCTAGAGGAGGTACTGTAGTCTGATGACGTTGGAGAAAATCCTGCTGGCTTGAATGCTAAAGGATATGGGACTAATCCTGTATAGGCTAGTATCCCCGGACCTAGATATTCAAGGGGAAAGTGCTCCATTCTCAAGTAGCCTCGTCACATTCTGAAAATCCCTTCGCATTACTCAATCGAGAACATTCCTAAACCTGGAACCAGCTGCTACCACTTAGCCTCGCCTGATCATACACAGTTTCCTCAAGCCAAGCGTCCCCGCTGTGCTCTGTAGGCTCTCTCGACCAGTGGAAGGTCTGCTTTAACCAACTAACGCTTCCCATCAAATTTCCAGCTAGACTTGGCTATGGGCCGAGAGGCCATGTCAGTGGAATGGACCGGGCTCAGGTCTTTCAGCATAATAGCTAGCCTTCAAGGTCTGATCAGCTGCAATTTTTAGAAATTCCCCAGAGGTCTTGAGAGGTTGGTAAGCCAGATATCCGGTTGGCGAAAGATTCCCCGTGTCATCTTACCCCTGAATTCAGATCCGTGCGAATTGCTACTTTGGCCTAGATTTGGTATGAGCAACTAGGCGGAGCTAGATCAATGGACCAGGTCGGAAAGACAAGATTGTCTTATATATTTTACCTACATCTTCAATGATCACGTCAACTCCTTGCTCAGCTTCTGCTTTGACAATCTCTTTTGACTCGACGCTTTACAGTTCTTCTTCACCGACATCCATTCTTCCCGCTTGCTCCAGGTGACCAGACGTAATGGACACCAGCCTCCCCCCTGAAGACGAACAAACAAAATCCTTCCTCCACTCCTCCCACTCCTACACCGGAGCAACTCGCAACTCTCCCCTTTCCACCTCTGAACCTCGTTCACACCCTCACGAATCCCACAATCTCCTCAGATCTCGGGCCAACAAATCTAAAGAACGCTGGATCTCCCGTACTCGCCTCGTGTTGCGGATCCTCTCGTTCCTGACTTCGGCGGCCATCGTAGCTGTCCTCGCGCACGCGGTCTCGGTTTACTACTCCTCAAAGAACATGTACATGCGAGACGAAAAGTACGACGTCGAGCTGCGCGTGTGGCCAGCCGATCTCAAGATGAAACCGACACTGTTGTTGCTTGGAGCCGCTTCGGTCGCAACCCTGATGAGTGCGGTGCTCTGTGCGGCGAGCATTTCGAAAACTGTCCGTTTCCCCTCCCCCCCCCCTCCTTTTTACCACCCAACTCTGAAAACCCAGGTTTCTGGTTGGGTCTAAATTTTGATGCTCATTTTATATAGGTCCGACGTATAACAACCGTCAGCACAATCCTCACGCTCATCACATCCGTGATCGCGATCGGCCTCTGGATCGCCGTCGCGGTGCTGTATAAGGTCGACGATCTCAACGAAAACGAGCGCTACGACATGCTCTCATATACGTGTGCGCGGAGGCACGATGCGACACTCGACCAGGCCATCGGCGACCTCGGCAGCATGTGCTATCAGATGCGATATGCGTGGTGGGCCGCGCTGGCTGTGGGCTTGCTCGAGATAGTGGCCGTGGGTGTCTTCCTCTACGGCCTCGTCGCGACCAGGCGGTATAGGTCATACACGCAACTCGACGGGAATGGGGAGAAAGAGTCAGATGCCAAGCTCCAGCATCCACTACGAATACTGAAGACGGGACGAGGACCACGGCCGTCGTGAACGGAGGGCCGATGATGAACTAAGAAAAGGTTCATGAAATATTTAGCGTGCCATTGTGGGGTGTTGCACCTTTAAATTGGCGCGTCTGCTCTGATCGTGAGCCAGACCTTACAGTCAGGCCTCATGGTGGGATTCTCAAGCCTACCCTACCACGGCTCAGCTTTCATGCGGCTGTAACCACCTTAGAGCACGGGGACGGGAAAGTGGATGGGAAAACCCATGATTTATACAGACCGTCCGTACCGTCCCCACGGTCACACCAGATAGCCCTAGAGCTGCTTGAAAGTTTATTGCTTGTGTCGTTCAAATTTTGCCTCCATTTAAGCTCCCTGAACGGCCTATAACACTACAAATCCTTGGTGTCCTTGTCGTACCAACTAAAGACAATTCCCAGACTCTTGCAGAGGACTATGTCGGTCACATCTCGAATGATCTTCCATATGCATCCCAACACTCGATCCCATAATTAGAACTTCCACCACCGAGTCCAAAGAATCCCATTGGTTTTCTACCTAATCGCGCTCCTTCTTCAGGTGGTGTTATCAGCTCCACGGGCAATTGACCAATCGCGTTGCTCCCATTGCTCGACGACTCGGGACTTCAACAATCTGATGATTTCCCACCCACGTAGTTTTGCATGCGAAAGCAAACCTTTTCAGTCTGGATAGCAGACGAAAGACTTCCCAGAAGTTTCCGATTTATCTTTCGTGTAGCCAGGCCGTTCGAGAAGATCCCAGCAAATGCAAGACAAATCCATGTGATGTACCAGCTTCACATTGTCAAATCGAAATGACTCTGGATCCCTCGTGGCCCCGTCGACGGGGAGAACAAACATGGCGGCAGACTTCAGCGTTTCTGTCTTCGCTCGCTCCTTTAAGAACATAAGGCTTGCAATATTGGTGTCGAGTCGGGAATTCACTATTTGGCAGAGTCGATGGGCCGTGGAATGTTATTTCTCCTTCGAACGGGAGATAGGATCGTAGATTTCGATCCCTAGATGTGGTGGCTTGAGACGTATTTCGCTTGAATGATACTAGATGGCAGTTGTAGGAAAGAGGAAATAAAAACAAAAACAGAACCATCTACATGCTATGAGATTGATCGTGAATATCAATCCAGGAGAGGGTTGACTGGGCTGTTCTGATGTCTCATCTTGTCAAACCAGACTCATGTTGTCGACTTGCGGGTTGAGAGCGATGATGACAATGCTGGGAGACAAAAAAAGGGGACCGGAAGGGTGCGTTGGGCGAGGAGAGCAATTGAGTTCGACTCATGACTGACCAGGTTTAGCAGTCATTCCCCAGAAGGTTGAGAAGTAGGGGATATGGGTTGTTTGTCCAGAGTGACTGATACTAAGAAATCTCCGGTCAAATTGTGAAGGATGGACAGTATACAGAGTTCAAGATCCATGCATTTGGGGGACATGAGAGATGGGAAATCAGACTTACTATTTGGTTACATTTAATTGTCTTTCAGCCTTGCCAAAGTGGCTTTTCCCGCTCTTGAATCGTTAGGCCTGCCCAATTGTGCCGTGATCCATTGTCCAATCTCAGCCATCTTCACCATATCCACTCCAGTCTCACATCCCAGACTGTGCAACAAATGAAGTAGATCTTCGGTCGCAACATTGCCTGTGGCACCCTTGCTGTATGGACATCCACCTAGACCTCCGACTGAACTGTCGAATATTCTGACACCGTGCTCCAGGCCGACCACAGTATTGACGAGGGCCATACCATAAGTATCATGAAAATGAAGCGCTAGATCCTCGTCTAAGATACCAGCCTCTTTCAAGGTTTGAAGCAGCTTCCTTGTCCGAGGCGCTGTTCCCATGCCAGTTGTATCTGCGACCGAGACTTCATCGCAGCCTATCTCTAATAGAGTGGCAGTGATCTCGGCCACTTTGTGGGGATCAACATCGGGACCCTCATACGGACATCCCAGTGCCACTGACACATAACCACGCACTCGAATATTGTGTTGCTTTGCTAGCTCCATTATTGGTTTGCATCGTTCCATGCTCTCTGCAATACTGCAATTTGTGTTTTTCTGAGAGAAAGTCTCCGTTGCTGCAGCAAATAAGGAGACCTCGGTGGAATTGGAGGTCGACGTTATGGGATCTTGACCTTGGGATTGTTCAGGGTGAGGAGATGGAGGCGGTGTAGGTTGTCCTGTAGGGTTTTGTGCATGCTTCGCTTGAAAGATCTTGATGAGATTTTCGAGGCCGCGAATGTTGGGAACAAGGTAATTGTAGGCTATCCCGTGTGGTGCGGAAGGGGGATTTTCAAGTAACGTCTCTAATATCTCTGCCGTTGATGCCATCTGCCATTGTTATACATTGTTATGTTCAACCTGGAAGGATGAAGCTAACCTGCGGTACCCATTTTGCAGGGACAAAAGATCCAGCTTCCATATTGGTGACGCCCGTTTGCGCTAGCCGTCGAATAAGTTCTAGCTTTGTATCTAGGGATATCGAACTCTTTTCATTCTGCAATCCATCTCTCGGACCAACTTCGACTATTCTGACATGGTCGGCTGCGCACTGTCTTGAGGTGCTGAACCTGCGGAAGAAGGACCTCCGTGCCGAGGGTGAGAAACGTGTTATTTTATTCATGGGCGGATGGTCGAAACAAGAAAATAGAAAGAATCCCAGTTTCAAGAAGATGTCTCAAGAAAAGTCGAGAACAAATTTTGTTGCATTTGACGGGAAGAAAGCTTCAGCGTCGACATGGTACCTCAGGTGATTGAAGATGGTGTCGAGGTCTCCTTTCTATAGTAGGCAGAGAGTGTGCGGGGAATAGTTACGGACGATTTCCCCCCCCCCCCCACTTTCTAACAAGGCCGAAGCATCCCAAAGGCTGTGGACATGTAGAAGAAAAGGGATTCAGATCTATATACATCGGGCAGAAATATATTCATCAAATCAAGCTTTCAGTTTGAACTGCCCTTTTTCCAACGCATCAAAACCACGGACTGCAGTCACGCATATGCTCGAAAACATTAACAAGGCAAAGTCATACCATATCAGAGAGATGTACGCTCGAGGCAGTGTTCCTCCTGCAACCAATGCACCTCCTACTGGAGAGCCCCAGAGTGCACCAAGCCCGCGAATGAAGTAAATGAAACCGTTGACAGAAGCATAAGCCTGAGCGCCAAACACCTCGATCACAGTCGTGGGAAAAAGGGAGTTGTATCCTGGATTTACACATCAATAGATGATTCTCCTGGCAAGAGAGAGACAAACCTCCAGCAAAAAGTGCATAGCTGATTACAAAAGCGATCCAGAGCTTCATGTCACCTCCGTAGGCGCTCGAGAGCCAAAATGCCACGACGGTAATGGCGCTGCCCAGGACACTGAGCACTAGAGTGTTTTGCCTGCCTGCAACGTCCGCAATAAAGCCCATGGCTATTCGACTGACCGTATTTACTGCATTGTTGATCGCGAGCAGTGCAGCACCACTGGATCCCAGAGTTGTTATCACCAGTCACTAAATGAATGGGAAGGCTTACAATGCAGCGGTATAGCCTAGCCTCGTGCTGAACTCGGGCAGAAATGTCAGAGGTACAAAATTGCCCGCGGCTTGAGTCATGGCAGCCAGAGCTTGTAGGATGAAGGTGAGACGTTTAGCGAGCCTGACATCCACAAGCGTTGGGCGTTTAGACAAGCTCCGCGATAGCGGTGTACCCAGGACAATCGGGATGCACAATACAAAGTTGACCAGACCGAATGTCCGCAACGTCCAGGCTGCACCCAATTTCGCTAGCATTGCACGAGCTGCTGGGGCGTAGACAAGACCTCCCACTCCTGCTGCCGACAGAATGAATCCCATGGCAGAACCACGGTGAGCGTCAAAGTATTCTGGCGCCACTGCGAGGATCGGGAAATACAGTAGCGAAGTCCCGATTCCATAGATCAATCCCTGCGTCAACAGGAGTTGCCATACCTAGAAATTCAATTCAGTTCGTCGTATCCCCAGAGGCGGCACGGGGCTGTCGTACCCGATGACAGAAGCTAGCAAGAATATAGCCAGCACCCACGAAAACTGCGCCAGTGCCGGTAATCCATCGAGGATCTTTTGACCTTGCCATAATCGGATTCACGAAGATGCTACCGCCCCAGGTTAGTCCAGCTGCCAGCGTACCAACGAATGCCATCATAGCTTTGTTCGACACTTCGCTCTTGGGGAGGAATGGGTCCTTTGCGCTACTCCCGTCCGCAAGATAATAGTTGAGGAAAACTCCATAAGCCTGATTAAACCCGATTGTGATGAACACGTCAAAAAAGGCACAGAACAAGATACTCGTCTGGCGCTTGCGAGACACTGGTCGCATCGCGGGTTGGGCATTTCGAGGAGTGACGACACGTTCGAGGACAGCTTCATCTTCGCCGCCTTCGAGCTGTATAGATTCTTGCCGTAGCCTACTCATTTCAGAGCGGTGTGCAGTGATAGCGAACTAGTGTGAGATCCTCAGCGCAACTATTTTCTTGTTGTGAAAAAGGGGGAGGGGGGGGAGAAACAGGGTGAATCAGCAAGGGCGAAATCGGAACCCCAAACAGTAATGATGCAGTATTGTGGGCGGGTCCTGTCCCTGTATACGGATACGATTGACGTATGGGACCGGTGGTGACCTCACTGATAGAATAATGAAAACAGAGTCTTTCCATAGACGTACGATCTGTACGGAACATATAGGAAACTTCATTTTGTGTGCTGGGAGTAGGCCCCATAGAAAGTCCGCCAGCATCCAGTTCCGTCTTGAGGAGACGATACTCACGTTAATGGAACACCGGGAAAAAGCCACATACATGTTCCTGCTCATGACGAGGGTTGAGGTGATGACCTATTATTCACGACCATGACAACCACGCTGGGATCATATGCACGTCATTCAATATTGGGAGAAGGGTGCAGTCCAGTGGTACTGGGGGATCTAAACCCCATTTTGTCTATCTTGACCGGCCCAGGTCCATCTCCATCACTCGCCGTCGCTTGCATAGCCAACATGAGGGAGCAGCTGCGTGACTCATACCATGTCCCATCTCACTGATATCAATGTCGGCACGATCATCCTGGTTGGGTCTCTCTTCCTCAGGTGCGGCCTCGCCGTCGCTCACGCCATCAGCCGTTTCGGCCTTTCTCCAGTCCCCTGCTTTCAAGGTATTCCAACGAGCACGCAGGGCTCGTAGAGCAATGATCTTCCTCGTACGTTCCTTGACTTTCCGAGTCGCGACTTCCCAAAGGCGCTGCCCCACCTCCTTGTCTTCCTCTTCTTTCATTTCTATGAGTAGCTCGGCCTGTTTGCGATAGTCAGCAAGGTCCTTGAGCCACGTGGCCTGGGATGTTCGTCAAAGTATTCATCGGGGAGCTAGGAAGAGGTTGTGAGAGGGACGTTAAATGTCATTGGGAGGAAGTTACGTTCGTGACACCGGTAGTAGCGACATTTTGCTTCATTGTGTGTCAGCGAACGTTGAGGGTGCTGTTGGCAGCTTTTTCTCTTGTCGACCTTCTCCATTCCTTGCGGATGGCTTTTCAGGTATTGCCCTCCAATTTCCAGTTCCATCCCGTCTTGTGTTTGAGAGTACGGCCATTGCCACGGTCAATGTTAACCCTTGTTTAGTGAAAAGGAATTAGTACTTGGGCGCTGATAGACAGTGAAATGACTTACTACTTGGAGCTATTATCCAAGACCTTGTTCTCCGAGTCGTCCCTGTCGACGCTGGACTGGAGATGTGGATTGGTTCTCTTGGATGGACCTTTATCATCTTCGTCGGCGTAATCGTGGATATCTTCTGCTAGAAATGGGTCATCGAACGTGTCTCAATCGTGGTCAGGAGCATCCACGTCCACTTCGTCTTCGATAGGATTAAGTTTTGCTGGGTAAAACTTTTTACCAGAATCGGCTGAGGCAGCAGGAGTTTTCACTTTCTGACCAGTGCAAGATTTGGATGTGGCCGAGATAGCTAGCACCTGAGTAGTGGCGGTAGAAGGGGCTGAAAGAGACGAGTGAGTAAGAATTATGCCAGCTTCGTTGGTTCCTGGTCGACGTGCGCTAAACCTTGGAGGGCCATGGCCGGTGGTTGAAGTTTTGTCGGTGTTGATGATGCTAGGTTTCCTCGCTCTGGAGGAGTCATGTTGGCGCGGCGATTTTGGTCTGCCACGCTGGCAATGCTCGACAAGAGGGGATAAGAGAAGACATGTGAAGAGTGGAAAACGGAGGAAAAGCTTTGGTCGCAGACACAAGATGTTTTGAATATACAACGAGACTTGACGAGATGGGAGGGCGCAGGGACAGCGCCGCCTATTCGCTCCCTACAGGTCACCGCCGACATTCACTCAAGAAGTCGGGAATGTGACTGTCACATGTCGCAGCACCAAGTTCGTCATTGTCCTTTTCTTCCCTACCTCACTGGTCGTAGATTGTTGATATTGTCGAATTACAGTCGATATTAACAAATACGTGTGTAATTCACCATGTTGGCGATGGAAAGACTCGAAAAGGTCAAGATCCTATGACGCATTCCAGGGCAGAGGCTCTCATTGTTACCGCCATATGGCCCTGTGCTGACGTGCAGAGATTATGATTGCTCTTCCGCCGCAGTGTGTGTCTTCATCTTCGAAAATCTTCCCACCAGGTCCATTGATTCATCACTCGTCTGGCTTGCCTTTGCAGTTCCCACCACTGCTCTTCTCTTGTACCCATTATCTCGTTTGAAACTTCAATTTATCTCGCGTGGTGATTCACTTTTCTGCGTCGCAGCCATCTTGTGAGCATCAGGAGGTGGAGGCCGGTCTAGGTAAAGCAACCCGGCAAGGAGTGCCGTGTAGATGATGGAGACATACAAATAAGGCCCAGATAAACGCAGGACTCGTTGCTGTGATCCATCTGTATTGCGGTTGATTGAGTTGAGTTTGAAGGGACGTCCGATACCATACGCCAAGCATTATTTCTTGGCCAATCATAGTTGCTGCGGCTGTCAGCCAATCAGGGCATGGGGGCATTGCTGAACCGCCACCCTGCATTTCTCGTCTTGTCTTTCTTCCCACTCGTTATCCGTTGCCTTCTCCTGCTTCGCCCAATAACCAACTACGCCTTGCTTCTGTGAGAAGCCTGGGAGTCAGCCTCACCCTCTGTCCCTTCCCAGATAACAGATTCCTCTTCTTCGTTGACTCCTATCTTGAACTCGACCGTCTCTTCCGCCCTCGGACACGATTTTCTCCTCCTGCCGTTCGCTCCGTGCTTAAATTAGGAAAGACGTTGGAGGAAATTCACTCCATATTGCACAGCCACAACTCATGGATCTCCAGTTCTTAAGTCCACAAATACTATCTGTATGAGTGGCCGGCCTTGCTGTGACGGTGCCCTGGTCTTCGAGGATTCCATCTTACCCCCAACTCCTTCAGAAAACCGCAACTCGATCATGCTATTAACCTCAAGGCCGTGTTGCGACAAGAAGCAATTCTCGCGTTATGATAGTTGATCAACATTTCCAGATGACTGCGACATCTCAGCCTCGATGCTCCCTTCAAGAGACCATTCGTCTCGGTCAATTCTATTCCTTGGACGAAACTACCATACTCTTCCAGATCAAAGAAGTCTTCGAACCCGAACTCGAACGCCTCAAGTCTGCTAGAGCTATTGAAGGCACCGAACAGCAGCGTCATGCCAATGGGACACCTGAGAACCCCAGTCCTTCCCAGATTCTCTACTCAGCCAACTACGATGAGATCAATCGAACACTTGTGGGCATCCTTGCTCTCCGATGGATTCATAATGGCGAATACGAGAAATTCACGCGCGGTCAACCAACCGATCATAAGTTGACGGAGGAATCCTTCGAGTGGTTACGCAACCTGTTCGCCGATGGTCTGAAGTGTTCAGATGACCTGTTTGCATTGATCATATCCATGGTGATCAATGATCTAGGAAAGGATCCTAATCTTGAGGAAGACTACTTTCACGTCACGCGCACACCGTTGACCGAGCAGAATCATGATGCTCTTCTATTTGAGGCCGCCAACGCCGGCATGATTCCATCATTGGACTACCTCAGTCCGGAAAACCGGAAGGAAGTCATGCTCGGCTTAGAGCTTGGGTCGGAGCTCAATGCGGGCCAATTGGCTCAAGCCGAAAGTGTACCTTTGAACCTGGAAGGACTTCTCACCATGCGAGGTCACGAACACGCATTTGAACTCAAATTCCTGGAACAAATTCTTGATGTCGCCGGCGCTGCAGGTCATCTTGATTCTACCGGGGCTAGAAATTTAATCGAGCCGGTTTTTCAAGCATTCAAGACCGTCCACGAGGTCTCGCTCGACATCATAGCGGGCAGATCAAATCTGCGGCAAGGATATGATAAAGTTTTGACGAAGCGTGGCAACATGCTTTATATCAAAGGATTTCGCCGACTCAGTGTCAGTGATCGGGAAGAGAGGGCGCTTCTGCGCTTGTTGACCATGGGACGAACCGTCGACATAGAGCAGGCAGAATTATTCTCCAAAGCATTCCATGCTCTGGATAAACGAAACAAGGATCAACTTGTGGCAGGTCTGAATGTAGATGGGAATGTCAACGAAACGGCGGTCTTGCCGTATTATATGCCCGCCATTATATCCACAACACTGGCGAATACCAAAGACGCAGACGAAGAAAGCAAACGACGAGCACTCACCAGCCTTATGAGGTATCTTGCCAAAGTTTTGGGCAGTCCTGGAACCGGCCCAGTCGACCCTCCGGAAGACAGCGTGTACAATGGGGAAGTCCCTGGAATCATCATAGAAAGAAATATGTCAAAAGCCCAGGATGTCATTAACAGTGCAGAATTTAAGGACAATCCCGATCTTCTGGATGGACTAGCGATACCCGATGGTCAAATACTTCAAAGACGGAGAACCAGCCAATCGTGGTGAAATTTCCACTGTTTTTTTTAAAGTTTATTTTTTTTTTTTTTTTATTTTTTGGGTCCAACAAGGGATGGACAATCTGTGAACCGCCCTTGTAAGGCAACACCAGACTGTGCATCGGATACCTTACCATCCTTTAAGGCTTGGGAATCCTTCATACCCGTGCGCTTGAAGAGGTCAAAACCAAGAGAGCTTCGACATCCCGAGCCAATTCAGGGAGATCCATCCCCGTACCGTGGATGAACTCCTTCTCTGCTTCTCTGCTTGAATTGTGAGTAAACTTGGAGGACCTTTCATCAGCCATCGATCCAACTGGTCCTCGTCGCAGGTACCTAAATAGACATTCCTGATGCTCTGAGTAATCCTCTATCGTTCCCATTTGCGTACAGTTCTCCAGCATTCGACACCTACACGACAAATATCCCCCTTCAACGTCGATGCGCGCAGAACTTCTGACAACACTCCAAGCCACCGTAATATGGTGGCCCCCAATCTGAACCTTCATCTCGAAGCCTCTCATGCGCTTCATTATGTCATACGCGCTGACTCACCCATCCCAACTCACGTCAACTCTGGATCTCGTCACCAACGCAACAGCCGAGAAATACAGCTAGTCATGCAAAATGCACCTGCCACTACCATGCCTGGCAACATCGGAAACAATGAGTCCGGACGTGCCGAAGCTTGCCATTCTGTCTGTCAGCTGTTTTGTAATCCCTTATACACTCTTGCTTTATGGCCCTGGATGTGGCAGAGGTTTGTCGACAAATCGGCCGCCCGACCGACCTCGAATTCAGCGACCTTTCCGAAATCACTCCCCTCAAGGAAATTCAAACTTCCCAGTCTAATCGGGAGCCAGACTATGAATTGATTACCATCAGCGCTTGGACTCCGAGCTTGTTTGACGAATTCGTGAAGATTCCATCGCCTGAAACATCACCTGAAAGCCCACCTGAAAGGATCCCTGATCCTTCCACACTGGAGTTCTGGGATCAACGCAACTGCAGTGTCTGCAGAGCCTGTCCTAGGAGAATCTGAGGACCTCCCACGACAAATTTTCCCACGACAACAAGGTATCTTAACAAAGCGGGAGCAAAAGTGTTCATGCAGGGTTGAATGCAATGATCAGGTCTAGGGGTGCAGAAGTGCTTTCAGGACCACCAGAGGTCAACGCACGAGTGTGAAATCGCGACGAGATGCAGAGCAGTAGAGGCCTGCGAACGCATCAGGGGTTGATAGGGATATCCGTATCCAATGTATCGGCTACCAGAGCCTTACATCGTGGACCTAGCTGGAAGGAACCGGCAACGCAAACACAGTATGGGTTGAATCTAGCATACCAGCTCTGCTCTTGTTGAGCAATAAAATTGACTCTTCGCTGAAATCTTTGTTTCTAGAATCTACAAATTTTCTCTACCGTCTACTCGCAGACGTTTCCCATGCTCTGGCCCTTGGTACTGTACAAATCTATTCATCCAAGTCGTTCGTCATATACATAGAATCTAGGTCGACATATAGATCTCGTCTTCACCGTCTGTCTCAATATTTCCATTAGATCCACCCTTCGTACGGGGCACCGGAATTCAGGCTGCATTGGTCTCCTTCCTTCTCGACACGGATTCCGCCTTCTTATCACTCCGAAACAGATCGCGCCAAAACTCCCGGAAACCATATCCCTTCCCCTCCACCTCATCTCTAATCCGGCCTTCATGACCGCGATACCGCTCGGCACCAACGCCTTGGCCAAAGCGCTCCAAGACGCCGCCTTCACGATGCGGCATGACGCCGATCTTGACCACGGGCTTGCGGCTGCGCTCGAGGATCTCGTCGGTCAGTGTCGGGGCCACGTCCGCGAAACACCGGTTCAGCTCGCGCTCCAGGGTGTAATATGGCTTTTGGGCGATCTTGGGCGCCATCAGGTTATATGAGCGCGTGAGCGCGTTGAGTTCCTGGACCGCGAGCGTGTGGTAGGCTAGTTCGGCTTTTTCCCACGCTGGGTCCCGGAAAGGGTGGGGCACGGGGAGGACCGAGTTTCCGGCGGGTTCTGGTGCTCTTGTTGGTGGCTCTGCAGCGGCGGCGACGTCGTTGGCGGTCATCGAAGGAGCAGTCTCAGCTGGTTGTTCAGTGACTTTGATCTCCACCTCTTCTTGAGCAGGCCCTGTCTGCTTGACCTCCGCCTCTGCAGGCACACCGGCTGCGATCCTTTCTTCGACGGTGATGCTCGTCAGCATACCATCACTGGAGATGGAGCTCAAGTTCTCCACCTTGCGCACGCGAGGGTTGACTTTCTCCTCCGCCAACGCATAACCTTTGGCCCTGCGTACGTGGTCTTCGATTGTCCCGCCAGAACTTGCAATAATCCTCGCAGCGTGCCTGCGCCAATCATTTCTCAAACGGCCACGAAAACTCGCGACTGCCTTGACCAATTCCTGCTGCTTCTCGATCCAAGGCGGTACAATCTCCTGCTTCTGGATGATCTTGTTCATAAAGTACTCGGTGGTGTCAAGGAAGGGGCTATTGGCATTATAATCTCTCTCGACGTTTTTGCCTTTGCCTCGTGGGATGTTTTTGAACTGGCCTCTCGCTATGGCGTCTTCAATGCGCTCGTTCGCTAGGCTCGATAGCCCTTGGAGAGTCGTTGGCATAGGTCGTGCACCAGGCGAGAATCGGTCTTTGAGTTCCTTTCGCCATTTCTCCCGCTCTTTTTCACTCATGTCACTTTGCTGGCTGAAGGCGTATATGGACGTCTTGTCTCGTGCATTGGCCAGTCGATCGGCCGCAGAGATATTCTTCTTGGGTGCCGGCCGGAGGTTGACTTTCTGCGGGACTGATGGTGGTTTGTGTGACGAGCGTAGCTTCTTATGGCTGTCATCTAGCATACGGAGAGCGGAATCGTGGAGGGACTCGGAGCCTGTCCAAGGCTCCGCACCTGCAATGTCTTGCGTCCCCTTTCCGGCGGAGCTCTGTCTTCTATATCAGCCAAAGCCTTTGCAACCAAAAATCTGATAGGATCGAACGGGAGGGGGGTGGGGAAGCTCGTACCGGCATGTTGATTTGGCTCGCAGCCTTCTGGTTTTGCGCAGTTAAACCTGTCTGGGCAATTCTTTCTTCTAATTGCTGTTTTAAATCATCCGAGAAGCCTACATCCTGCATCAACTTGCGATCACTATTACCACCTGTATCCATTGCTTCCTCTGCCATCTCAGCCAGCCTCCGAGACATAGCTCCCTCCTCTTCCTCATCCTGCCCACTCTTTTCATTCCCACCGGTACCTTCATTCTTCGGGCTCGAGGTATTTTCTTCTTGCAACGACGCTGCGGTACTGAACGGGCGGCGACTTCGGACCATTGCTCCAGACTCGAATATGGAGGGACCAGCGCTGATGCTCGAGAGCCGTTGAGCGCGAAGACAGCGTGAGCAGGTCCAAATTTGCGAGCTGGAGCTACTCATCTTGCAGAAGAACGAAAAGCGAGAGATTTATGTGCAAAACAAAAGGGAATCCAGGAGAATGGAGGATAGTGAGTGTCTTGACACAGGACCTCCATGTTCATATCGGAGATATCCAGTTCGCCGCAGATTTTCTCCGCAGGCAATTCTTCTTTCCATCCAATCAGCACACTTCAATAAACGCTACCACAAGTGAGAATACCAGCGACACCACCTCCATTGATATGTTCTCTAGGATGTCTTTCTTGGGGTCCCTTCCCATTCTCGCTGATACTCCCAGGAAAGCGTCTATCGTAGGCCTCGAACTCCCGAGACCAGCGCAAGTCGACTCGCCGCATACAATGTCATCAGAAAGGGGGGGTGGCGCAGGCTGACATGCTGAATATCTCGGGTCAAAAAAAGGCATGTTCCTTCGTCTCTGCCACGACCTTCGAGGTCTCATCGTTTTGCCGAGGGGAATCGCGAGTGAGCGAGATCCGAGATCGACGGCGGAAAAAGACTTGTCGGCTCGGCAATTGTCTCCATCGGTTATGGGGACTTCATTCTTCCACCATCCTAGGTCCTGTATTTTCCATCGATCAGGGGGGAAAGGTGCAAGCATGGTTATTCCGACTCCGCTAGTCCAGCCACGTGTTAGCTACAAGATAAGGCGAGTTATCGGCCTTCAGCAGTGATTCCCCCTTTCGGTGGCATTTTTGAGGATGCTTTGTATCCTACCATCCAGGCATTTGAAACTTTTTAGGCTTCTCTTTTGGACTGTCCAAGCAGCTCCGAACCTCGCGGGATCCAGGATCTATACAAGTTATGGGTTCCAAATTCATCCCGACTATTGCTTCTCAATCTCTGGGCCGAGCCTGGTATCACAGCTTCGAACATAAACTCAATTTGTGCAGGCAATATGGATTCGAATCAATTGAATTATTCTTTGAAGACCTTGAGGGAGTTGCCAACTCATTACATAGCTCCCATCATATACCACCTCCTGGAACATCCTTCACTGGTTCAACAGACGTTCAAGAAAGACAGCTGGTAGCTGCAGAACATATCCGTGAACTGTGTCTTCATAACCGCTTGGAGATACTCTGTCTTCAGCCATTCATGCACTACGAAGGTCGGATAGATGCATCTTCTCATGATGAGGCCATCTCAAACCTCCATTTCTGGATCAGACTTGCCCATCGGCTCGGAACAGACCTTATTCAGATCCCTTCCAGCTTCCTTCCCTCCTCGCAATGTACGGGAGACCGCCACAGAATCATTGCAGATTTGAGACAAGCTGCGGATATCGGTCTCCAGAGCAGCCCTCCTGTCCGATTTGCCTACGAAGCCCTCTGTTGGGGCACACACATTAACACATGGGACGCCGCATGGTCCATCGTTCTGGGAGTCAATAGAGCCAACTTTGGTACATGCATCGACGCATTTAATCTCGCCGGCCGAATCTTCGCCGATCCAGCCTCGCCTTCGGGACTCACACCTAATGCTTATGATACAACCCGGGAAGCAATATCAAAACTGCGGGTGGAGCTCTCCTTTGCGATAGAGAAAGTGTTTTACGTTGAAGTTTGCGATGGCGAGCGACTCGACAGGCCACTATTACCCAGCCACGAATGGTTTAATCCCCACCAGCCAGCCCGTATGTCCTGGTCACGAAATGCAAGGCTCTTTCCCTTCGAGAAGCGCGGTTATTTACCCGTTCTGGAAATTTTGGAGGCAGTGTGTGAGGCGGGTTATAGTGGTCATATATCCTTTGAATTATTCTCACGAACCGCAAATGAAGCTGGCACAGATGTTCCTGAAGAACATGCTAAACGAGCTGCAGCTGCCTGGAGAAAGTTGGAGGAGCATATGGGTTGGACAAAGAGACCAGCTGTGTCTCAAATCACCCATCATGTCACTGAAGATATCTCTAAGTATGAGGCATTCTCTTCTCTCCTCCTCTTATGATTCTATTCGAGGATTGCCTGCTAACTTTCGTATAGAAGCCCCTCCCAAACAATGCCCCCTTACCATGAAGCTCCAGCTTCAGTTCAACATTCAAGTTCACGCCTCTGATTAAACCCCAACACGTTCAAAAGCACGGCAATGTTTCCAAATTTCTTGAAGGCTTCTACCTCGCATGGCATCTAGACATAGACAAGAAGATCATCTTTGTTGGTCAGGTTTGCTGCTGATGATATCTTCCAGCATACCACTCGGCCGTCACTATATATATATATATATATTTTATCTGTTCAATACAACGACCGAGTCATTAGGCTCCAGGTCTGGAGTAGTCGAGATGACGAACTCTGCGCCAAACCTCCCTGACCACTCTTTCTTGACCCTCCCTCGCTGTTTCCCCTGGCGCATCACAAGCTGGTCGAATGGCAAGATATAATCTCCCGCCTAATTTGGCATCTTCAATCTTTGCCGTCTGGTAGCCTTCTGGGGGGTTCGCCGTCGTGATCAATCCTCCAGCCTCTTGCAAGAGGCAAATTCCTGCGGCAACGTCCCATTCCCAGCATCCTCCTTCCCACCATATGTCCAGTGAACCCATGGCTGTATACGCCAGATCCATGGTAGCACTTCCCAGACTTCTCATGCCGTGGACCATGCCCCCTTTCCCATCTCTTCCACCAATCTCAGCGGCCATATTGACAAAACTATCTACTTTCCGATACATATTCCCGTCTGGCCGATCCCTTCTATCCTTCCCCCACTCACATGAGAAAATGCACTTTGAAGGAGCATTCTTGGGGATTGGTCCCACTCCCACACTCCCTAACAATGGCAATCTTGTGGTCTCATTCAACCACGCCCCCTTTCCACGACAAGCAGAGAATAACTGATTCAGTAACGGAGCGTAAATGACTCCAATGACTGGCCTCTGATTCACCACCAAGGCAATGCTGACGCAGAACATGACGAACGAATGGGTGAAATTGACTGTTCCATCAAGCGGGTCGACGATCCAAGTTGGAGCGTTCGTGACCAGATATGCCTTCGACGAACCCTGAGAATACATTTCCTCTCCGACGAAAGCGTGCGACGGGTACTTTTTCGAAATGCTGGAATGTATGAACTCTTCGACTTCTACAACAGCCATTTGTTAATACCCTGCGCTCTCTGTCATGATCGACGCCGGAACGGCAATCAATGGGGATTCAAACATGCCAATATCAGTCTTTGTCACGATATCCACTGCATTCAACTTTTCTTCCATGACCAACTCTTCCGGAGTGTCTCCAACCAAATCAGACTCATCTCGCCGCCTCTTCTGCAGACTATCCAACAAGATAGCCCCAGCGTCTCTACCTAGCTGGATGGCAAACGAATATATCTCGCCCAACTCAGTGTCCGAGATCTCGTATTGCTTGACGGCCTGCATAGTGGCTAGAAGGCCTTGGTTCTTCAACAAACAAAGCTTCAAGGATGCACAAGGTCCTCTGAATTCTCATTGCTGGCCAGTCAATCAAAGTCAATCAATCGGTTATCCACGGTGCTAACTTGCCGATCTACAGTAAGTTTGGCTACTTGACTTCGGACAAGTCTTCTGCCGACGACACCGACGACGTCCGGATTCAACGACCAGTCAGCTCCTTTGTCTCTTTCGTAAGCTTATGGTGCTTGATCCTGGTCTCCAGCACACGTAAGAAAAACCAACATATCCGGGGATTTACGGGGCATACACAAGTGTGCTCTATACACCAAAGGTGCTGTTTAGCACTATTCTATCTATTAACCGGTCAACGGATCGCTTCGAAGATAATCTCATCCTCAGTTCTACAAATACATGCAGCATCATTCACGAGCAGATTTACTTCCACTCGACTTCAAAAAATCAGAACAGAGCCTAACTCTCGAGTCTTTTATGAAGCAGTCCATACCCTAACTCATAACACAATATCCAAAAAATGTCCAACACAGAACCACAACCGTCTCGTAAAATCCTCCTCATAAACGGCCCCAACCTCAATCTCCTCGGCACCCGCGAACCACAAATCTACGGCTCAACCACCCTCTCTCAAATCACTGACTCCGTCGTCCAACGCGGCCAGGAATTGAACATCACCATTGTCCCATTCCAATCGAACCACGAAGGTATCATCGTCGACTTTTTACATTCCAATTTCACACCCTCCGCGAGAACAAAGACAGCCGTAATACTAAATCCAGCAGCATACACGCATACGAGCGTAGCGATCCGTGACGCACTGCTGGCCACAAACTTCCCGTTTGTCGAAGTTCATATATCCAACATCCACGCCAGAGAACCCTGGAGGAATCATAGCTATTTTAGCGACAAGGCCACTGGCATCATCATGGGGCTGGGCACGTTCGGATATATGGCCGCATTGGAATTTTGGGCACAGAAGTGGGATGCTGAGGCGCAGTAAGCAAGCAGGTGAACAGGGTGTTTCGTGGATTGGATTGGATTATGGAGGGTAGGTAGGAAATTGGTCGAGAGAAGGATGGGTGAAGGGCAGGAATAGCGAAGAGCAGAGCTGCTCATGTACGCGACTTGAACTACGTTACATTTTCTGGCGAAGACAAGTGGCGTGTCCGGAAGCATCTGTAGCCCGGCCTTTGGCTAAGCACAGTCCACCCTCCCGTTTTTCATTCATTTTCTTTGTTCTCTCTCAACTGTATACTGTAGATTGAACCCTACGCTTTTTCAACATGCTTCATATCAACAGCATATCCCTCGTGTTCCTCAACATCTTGTTTTTCATCGACGGCCTGGCGTCTGAACTCTTGCTCCTCGAGCCGAATCTGCGTCAGGACGGTAGTGTGTGCACGTCGAGCAGGGTACTCTTTGCTGAAGAGGCGATCCATAGCTTCGAGCGGGATACCTTTCGTCTCTGGAATGAGGAAGAAGACAAAGACGGCCGCGCACAGCATAAGGGATGCGAAGAAGAAGTATACGCCGAAGGACATTGTAGCGAACATTTGTGGTGTAAATCGGGCAATGATGAAATTCTGCCAAAAAGGGGAACGTTAGGGTCGGGCACTTAGTGTGTGGAGGGAGACAAATGCGACAACTCACCCAGAACCAGTTATTGGCAGCGGCGAATGCCTGTGCCAAAGTACGGACATTCTGATCGAACATTTCAGAGTTCAGAACCCATGGGGTGCCGTTCCAGGATGGGGTATAGCAGGCGGTCCACAGGTAGAAAAATGCCATTGCGCTAATGCCTCCAGAGGAGAGGGTGCCACTGGGGTGGTCTTCAGGCTGGGAAACAGCAATGTAGCCACCGATGTACCACATGCACAAGGATCCGGCGACTGCACCATAGATGAGCAAGCCACGGCGTCCAAGCTTATCGATCAGGAAGAAAAGCCAGAACAGTGTGATGACCGTCTTGACGACACCGAACACTCCTGTCGTCAGCAGGGAGGTGTTTGTTCCTGTGATGCCGATTGATTTCTAGAGCAAGAGGTCAGTTTTTGAAGCATGTTGAAAGAAGGGGTTTCAATCGTACAAACACAGTAGGCGAATAGTAATTGATGGCGTTGATTCCAGTTGCATTCTGCCACAAGAAGAGAGAACCACCGAGCAGGAAGCGGTAGGTCACTCTTCGGTCATTGATGACAGCTCTGAATGGCTGCCAGAAGCCCAAACCGACCGCGGTGCGTTGTTGTTCGATCGCATTATCGATTGCAAAAATTTCTTCTTGCAGATAGACGTGATCGACCGGGAGTTTTCGCAACCAACAGAGATTCCTGATGCCTTCTTCACGCCTAGATCTGGAGAAGAGCCATCGGGGGGACTCTTTGACGAAAAAGACTCCTCCGAAGAGGAGGCCCGCCGGAATCAGTTGAACCGCGAATGGAATGATCCATTGACGATGAGACGGGGTCATGGTCTCTGCAACTCCATAGTTGATCCAGAAGCCCACTAATCCGCCAATCTGCCAGCTCATTTCATACAACCCGGTCAGACGTCCGCGAATAGCAGGTGGAGAGATTTCGGAACAGAAAATCGGACTCAAGTTCGAAGCTCCGCCAACACCGATACCCGCAAGGACTCGACCTCCGTATATGAGACCAAGGCCACGAGAGCCGTTGGCCCCCAACATAAGTCCAGCACCCAGGGTAAAGATAGCGCTAAAGGCCATGAGTCCAATCCTGCGACCGAGGAAATGACCGGCGGCGTAGGCGAAAAAGGCTCCGAAAAAGGCTCCTGCTTGGTAACAAGAGACGATATTGGCGGAGGTGAGATTGACTTCGGATTTGGAAAGGTCATCGAAGTGGAATTCGTCCTTGAAAGAAGGGAGAGCGAGAGTACCGCCAATGAAGGCACTATCGTAACCGATCATAATGGCGGCGGAGCCAGCAACGGCTGCTGAAAAGTAGACTCGCCAGTTATATACGCATTTTGGTGTGGGACGGTCTTCGATCAAGGTAAGGAGGCCCATAATGACTGGTGCGTATTGACGTTAGGAATCAATGTGATCTGGGCCGCTAATGTGTGAAAGAAATTCGGGGGGAATAGAAGTGGGGAGTATATGTAGGAAAGGCGGAGGAGTGTGATAAGTGCGGGAAGAAGTATGACCATGGCCTGGAATCAAAAGATACTAGACTAAATATTTCCCGACCTCCTTGCAATGTAGTGCGGCATAGCTCTGCCGTGAACGTTCCAAAACCTTCGTAGTCTTTCAGTGATCGGGTACTGGTGGAGAGGATAAATCTGGTCGGCATGTGGATGGCGGATAAATTCTCTTCCGCCAGAATCTGGAGTGAGCGGGAAACGTAACCGATCACGAGCTCTTTATGAAGCCGTGAGATTGCTTTCATTGACACGATGTGAACGGACCGATATTGGATCTAGCCGAACTGGCAAAAGTGAGCAAGTGTTGGAAGTTTTTGCATCGACCGGCATCCCAATCCAGCTAAAGACTGCCATACAGGAATATGCCCTCGTTATGGCGAGTTGAAAGCTGAAACCGGAATGTGAGATTGATAAACGGTTTTTGCATGTGTGCTTGTCGAAATTCGATCAAACTACACCAAAGCATGGTCAGCAGAGCATATTACCATCATCGGCTCATTCAGTATAATTCACCATGACTCAATTTTCACCGCTAGATACTTCCTCACTTGATCGAGTAGCTTACCTTGTTGGCTACCCCATCGCACATTCTAAATCACCATCAATGCACCATGCTATATACTCGGCGGTGGGGCAAAAATGGGATCAGCTCCTTTGCGAGACGACGGATCTTGAAGCTTTCCTCAAATATTTCAAGACCGATCCCAAATGTATGGGAAGTGGAGTCACCATGCCTTTCAAAGTCGCGATGATTCCATATCTTGACGAGCTCACAGACGAAGGAAAAGCCATTGGAGCCGTCAACACAATCTTTTTCAAGACAGCAACCGATGGATCAAGGATATGCTGCGGGACAAATACTGACTGTTTGGGCATTCGTGATGCTTTCTTCGCAAATGTCAAGGATGCTCCCTATCGAGGAAAACCCGGTCTTGTTGTGGGAGGTGGCGGCACCTGCAGAGCGGCCGTTTATACGTTGCAGAAATTCATGGGATGCTCGCCTATATACATCATCAATCGTGATGCTGCTGAAGTCGCGGCAGTATTAAAAGAATGCCGTGCTCGTGGTGCTGGGGATGAATTAGTCTACGTATCAACAACCGCGCAGGCTAAACGTCTGCCCGCTCCAGGCGCCATTGTCAGCGCGGTGCCAGACTTTACTCCAGTAACCGAGAACGAGAGGATGGTCAGGGAGATTCTCGGTATCTTCTTGCAAGCCGGCCGAAAAGGTGTTTTGCTGGAAATGTGTTATCATCCTTCACCAGACACCCAAATATCTAGACTTGCTCTGGATTCAGGCTGGCAGGTGATCGGAGGGATTGAGGCGATGATCGGACAAGGTCTAGCCCAGGCCGGCCTCTGGACTGGCATCGAGATTGATGACAGGCTGAGAAATGTTGCGAGAGTGGCGGTGCAGCTGCAAACAGAATAGACTCATCAACGACCGTCTACGAACGTCAGCATCTGTCGCGCCGCGATCGTCGTCATGTGTAGAATTCCTCACCATCAACCAGATAGGATGTATTTTTCTCAAGAGCGTTATGGACGGCGTCCGCCATACAGCGTTTCGGTGCTTTCCTGCCGGTCATTGACTCGAATTGGGCGACCGCTTGCTCGATCAGCGTCTCAATTCCTTCAACTATAACCCAAGGTCGACCGGTAGTTTCCCGAAAACGCTTCATCTGTGTGACCAGAGGTGTTTCTTTGGTCATATACGCCATTTCAACAACAACCCCACCGCTTGGGGACTGCATCCATGAATCTGGCATCTCAAAATTGGCACCTGGGTTACCGTCAAGAAATTCATGGGTGACGCAGGATACCACCATCGTCGGAAGAGCAAAACTTTCGGGCCACGGATCGGTTGTAAACTCAATCACTTTGACTGGCTCTGCTGAAGAGTATGTGGCATGTCCATTGGCCTGGGGCTTAGCCCAGTCGTTAAAATGCCGAACCATAGCGATCGTGTTTGCGATCGTCCTGTTGTGTACAAAAATATTCTTGCAACCCATCTGCAGCATAGCATAGACTGCGGCCCTGGCCATGCCTCCCGCTCCAATAACCAGGCCTGTGGTCCTAGGTTGAATGACGTTGCGAGGGGAGAGGCTCCTGTTGAGGCAAGTCATGATCCCGATGAAATCAGTGTTTTCTCCAAACCATCCCACAATACGCCCTGCACGGTTTCTCTCCTGCGCTTGTATTTGCAATGGAGGAACAGCTCCAGCCGCATTAGCCCGTAGAGGTACAAGCGTGTTGACGGCCCCTATTGCCTTTGCATGACCGCTCAGAGATTCTACACGAGGAACAATCTTCACTTTATATGGCTGTACGATACTTAGTCCACCTAGGGTGTCTTCTTTTGCAAGTTCTTCGATGTCCGTCCATGAATTGATGTTTCTGGTACTATAACGATGTTGGAGGCCAAGGAATGCGTATGCGGCATTGTGCATCGCCGGCGATAAGGAGCCGGAGACGTTTGCTCCAACAATATAGAAGTGAAGGGGATCGAAAACGAAACTGTCGAACAGAGCCTTCACGATGTCTCTGGAAGACAGTTGTGGTTGTAAGATATCCTGTGGAGATTTCATGGTCGCTGACATGATTGGGTGTGTTACGGATGTCAGTACCGTATTCATGATCTGTGAACTTCGGCCGAGGGGCCCGACATTGTACGTTATGGAAACAAGTCGAGGCCCCGGTAGATCCTTCAACTCCTGTACGAACCAACTCAGGGATTCGTTTTCCTGGCGAGATGTTGGAACGTTTCGGAGTCGAACCATATCGCACCTAACATTCACGGCTTTGTTGTACATATCTTTCCATTTGGGATCCTTCCAGCCGTTGGTGTTTGGAGTGTAGTTGACATAGTTACCGATGAGCTTGGTATGGCCTTTGATGGCTCTGAGGCGAGAAAAATGATTGTCTCCGATATCCAGATCCACAGACAAGTACTGAATTCCCAGTCGTAGTCCTTGCGTCAAAACGTTCAGGTAAGCTTCAACAATCGAGGATTCAGAGAGCTGGCGACTGGCCGAAAGCAAAATTGGGACTCCAAGTGACCTTCGGGCCACCGACACCATCTTGCTCAGGCTTCTCGCTGCCAGAGAATGCCATTGATCAACGAATATTTCCAATACGTCACTAGCCGACTCCAGCGCGGCAAAGTCGATAAGTCCATCGACAAAATCAGACAGCTTCAAAAGAAGCGTATGAGTAAAGGTACGCAATTCGACAGGGCCGTCCAAAGAGAAAGGGGATTCGGAGAATGATTGAGTTGCAGGTGTTCCGGTGATAAATCTGACAAATGAAGAGAAATCGGCCTGTGCATACCTGAGTTTAAAGGAATAGTTTGGGGATCCCCGATCGGTCGTCTCAGCGTCTAGAGGTACATTCATAGATTCGTCTTCTAGATTGTAAAATTCAAAATTAGAACACTTCCTGTGGGTAGAATTGCCGCTCTCGAGCAATTTGGCTGATCGGTCGTCAAGATTGAGAAGCTTCGTAATCTGGTCCATGTCCCTGAGGATGAACACGACAGGGTTGGTCTGGCTATACTGTCTCAAATAGTCCTGAAGACTCCGTGTCAGGCTGCCCAAACCGCAGTCAATAACACATCTGTACTTGTTGTCTTCGAGCATTTGTTTGGAAGTCTCAATGTCTTGCTTGTGGAATTGCTCACTTCCATGGATCTTGAGGTAGTCTTGTCTCGAAAGGCCATTGACAGTTTGGAAGTAATGATCCTCAGTTATGAATCTCCTCCCGAGGGCCGTAGCAGCAATGAATCCCAAAGACCTCTTTCCGGAAGCACGGATTCCAACTAAGACGAGTGAAGCGTCTGGATGAAACACGCGTCCTCCGATCGGAACAATTTCAGAAGCGGGCGTCCTCAGGTGTGAGTTTGGAGTCGACTGTCGAGTAGACGCCTGTTGGAATGAGTCGAGCATATGCTGCTCCGATGGCGCCTTGCCTCCTCGACTGGGGGATGATGTGCCTGGAGTCGGGGATCTCAACTGATCGCGCCGCGAGATACCATTGAATCCACTCTCGCCAGGCTGAGTAGTTCCACTTTCTCCTTCCATAATTATCTATCATTGAAAGTCGTTCGCGCCATTTATGGTAATGAGATCGGAAAGCAGACGCGCACCATGGAGACAGGAGTCCGGGGATATCGTATTCAGTTCGGTACTATAGCAAGCATACACTTGAAGGAGCCCAAAGTCTCACGTCTCCAGCGCTCCACAGAGCTGCGTGGAGGAGAGAAAAATATGAGAAGGTTCGTTTCCGATGGGTCGAAACTTAAGGCCGGGGTCAACTCGAGAGCCTCGGGGACCCTCGCCCCTTCGGGGGATCCCCCACATGGTGCACCATCCGATCAATCATCCATCAACGGCCAGCAAGTATCCTGACCCTCAGAGGAACGAAACCCACGCACGAGGCAGGTCTTCATGATAGCAACTTGGTCTTGCTCCGATTCTTCCAGCCATCAGACCTCTGAACATGGCTGGCGCATCTCGACCTCGTTGTGATGGCTACCAATAGCACAAACACAGACAGAAGAGACCCCCGAATCAGCGATAACGACGAAGATGCTTCGAGACGAGTCCGAGCCCGCGTTTCACGCGCCTGTACAAGGTGCAGAGCGAGAAAGGATCGATGTGATGGAAGACAGCCTCAATGCTTTAACTGCATCGCTGCAAGTCAGCCTTGTTCATATGTGGCAGGAATCAAGAAAAGGGGGCTTCCTGAGGGATATGTTCGCGGCATGGAGAAGTTGTGGGCTGTTATGATACAAAAAGTCCACGGCTTGGACGACACTGTCCGGCAGGTGGTGAATGATAGTGAGGAAGAGCTTGTTCGGATTTGGAATCATTATAAACACGGAAATGACCTTCACACAGCATGGAAGGAATCGAGAGTACTGTCAGAACTCGAGAGGCTCTTATCTCGCGTTGATCAAGGCCCTGCCCTTGACCTGAAAAGGAAACGAGACAGGGAGGACGACGAAGACGCTACGAATTCCTCCAACGAGACCCCTAGCGATATCCAGTTTCTGGTGCCTGATTTTAAAGTCACCGAAGTATCAAATCGGGACGAAGATGTCATCAACGACACTCCTGCTTTGTCCAGAGGAAGGCCTCCATCCCAGCCTACCACCTCCTCCAGCCCAGGCTCGGTCCCTCTCCCATCATCAGCGTCAGTTTTACTGGAACATTATTTCAAATACACACATTGTTGGTTCCCAGTCTTGGACAGACCTTATACTCTAAAGAAAATGTACGAGTATACAAGACCTGAAAGACGCGCTAACCATGAGCCTTCCGACCTTGCTTACATGTGGGCGATGTGTGCCTACTCAGAACAACAGACGATGCACACCAGATCACATGCGATTCTCAAACAAAGCTCAACTGTCGACGAGATGCGTGACCACGCGAGGAGAATGATACCTTCCGAGAGTGGACCTTTCTCGCTGGGCCATGTCCAAGCTCTGCTGCTCCTTGTACTGCTTGATATCGGAATCGGTAAATGGACTTCTGCATGGATATTGGTGGGCTTTGCGGTACGAGCTCTCCTAGACGTGATGGACTCTGGCCAAACGATTCCCCCAAAGTGGATGGCGACTTTGCAGGGTTGTTTCATCTTGGACACGATTGTTTCCATGCGAGTGAAAAGGCCGCCGCATCTTCGGAGTGAACACCTCCCACGCGATCAGTTCCTTGATGAAGACGGGTATGAAGAATGGGAACCATGGAGTGCAAACAGATGGGACACGCCCGAGTCTCGTGAACCCGGCTTTGTGATAAGCTGCTTCAATCGCTTGACCGAGCTTTGCATGATTGCAAATGGCTCATTCAGAGATGAACGCTCTCAAAGGCATATGGAGGCACCGCCAGCTCGGGACTTGATCGTTAAATTTCAAGATCTGACTGACAGATACCCTTTGAATGTCATGGACATTGAGCGGCGACCACCTCATCAAATGGTCCTGCAAGCGTGCCATTTTGCAACATTGGCAATGACCTCGCATTTGACTGGAGGGATACGCGAGAACCCTAGATGGAAATTTCTCGAGAATTTGGAACTCTTCGAACATTCGTGGAATGCTCCCGAAAATTGTGGCATCCCATCGATCATGGCGGTCCTGTGTCATTTGGTCTATCCAAGATCGGACAATTCTTCCATTTTTCTTGACATCGACGCACCGGCATTGTTATCCGAACGCTTCAACCAAGTTCTAGCAAAGTTGTCAGTCATCTGGCCAGAATTTGAATCCTTGAAAGCGCCGTTACCGCCGAACACACAGATATTACCGCAAGAAAATGCTCCGCGCCCTTCTAGTGGTACCTTTCCTTCCGGTCAAAGAAATGGCCTCACGAGTAACACTGCTATTTCGCTCCCACCGCCACAGACCAACTTCTGGCCTGTGACTTCCCTGGTCACTCAAACTGATCACATGGTTCCCGAGGATATCCCTGCCGGCACAAGAGACCCCCCGGTTCTCCGGTACCAGGACATTCCCAATTATCATGATCAGGTCGGACAAGCACCGCGAATTGGATCAGCACCGATTGATTACGGACCTATGAGCATTGACATCGCCGAACAAGGAGGTCCAGCTAGTTTTGATTCCAACTTGATCAGGAAATCCGGTGCGATTGGAACCTCCCCGAGCTTCAACGGCGATGAGATTGACACCTTATTTCATGAAATGGCTCAACTTGATACCACTCAATGGTCAACGGACAGAACTCAAGGTTTAAAAGATTTTGGGTTTGCAGATGATTCGACCTTTGAAGCATTTTGCAATGACCCCGATCGACTCATGCTGCCAGGCGGGCTTAGGGAGGCCTCGTTCAATATTGCATTTGGTTCTCAGGCGACATTCACAAGCGGTAATTCCTAATAAGCATCGGCCTCGGATGCTCGGCTGGGAACGATAGCACTGTGATATATATTGGCCTCTGCGGAGAAGTGAGTCGTATTTAATGCTTAGGTACTAGCATCAGCATTTACTTTGAGCGAGGTCTTCCCTGGCTCACCAGGTTTTTGCTGTATATCTATTACGGACGAGTAGAAAAGAAGAGGTGCAGTCATCCTTGAGAGTTATGCTGCACCATAGTCTTGGCACAACTTTTTTGGGAGACCGAAGGCGCATCCAGCATCCCGTTCAACACCTCGTACATCAATCGGTGTCGGCTATTTTTGAAGTCAATTTCACAAGCTGGAACCTCTTTCTCTCTCATCTATTCATTGAAACTGGCGGCCCTTTCCAATCCCTAGTCGGTCTACGTGTGAGCTAAATCGACACAGCATCTCATTCGCGTCCAATAAGAACTTATACTACCTCTTTTCATCCTTACCTTCTTGCACTTTCGATCAGTTCAATTTCGAGTGCTCGACCATTTATTTTCCTCGAATTTGAAATGCCCCCAAAAGGCGCCTCTACAGCAGTGAATCCGATCCGGCTACAGTCTGTGACACGATTAAAGATCAGAAATCCCGACAAGCAAGAGCCGAATCCATGTTTAGGTCCAATGAGTGCTATGTTGAGTATGTCATCTCCCTGTCCAAAATGATATCATGAATACCTGGACGTCAAGGCGAGGACATGCGCATTGATGGGGAGCTTGATACTCTGTGGGCCACGTTCGTTGTCAAGAACGTCAACCAAGATTTCACATGTTGCTCATAGCTATGATTTGGTCACAAGTGCTGACGCGTTTTTATGCAGATTGCTGGGCAGCAGGAGCTGCTTCAGGAGGCTGCGGACACCTTGAGAAGGCGCTACGGGACTGTATGGACAAACCTGTACGTTATCTCCCACGTAGCTCCATTCTGTTCTCAATCCTGGAGAACCCCTTGACTCTGCAGCTATTGCCTCGGTCACTGATCTTTTTTGGAATCAAGAAACAACCTCGAAAAGACAAATCCACGATAAACTACCATCTTGCTCGTCTATATCCGAATATCTCCGGTCCCAGGAAGCGGAAAACCTGATTGCCCTGTTGAAAAAAATTTACCGAACCTCCCACCGAACCATTCTTTGTATTATCATTGGCTCGAACGAAGAAAACAAGAGCTGTGTCCCATACAATTGGTTGCATGAATTGAAACCGAAATTGTCGGTGGAATGTGACCCAAGTGGGGAGATGTCGACGCAGGTCAACATCTTCATCACAACGTTGTACACGTACGAATTTCCGAAGAAAAAACATAACGCGTTCCCAAGCCCTATCGCACGCATAGCCGGAGTCGAGTGAGTTAAATCGAATGGGACGGGTACGTCATCTGCATAGACGGGAGGATCTGGGTATAAATGACCGTCTAATGTTCTCGGATATGCATTGTAGAACCCGAGCTCTGAAAGAGGTGGGGATAGTCGCTACTGGCGTTTTGGAGAGAGAACATCAAAACAATGGCAGCGTTGAGCCCAATCCCCCCAGAAGATTTCCATTTCTCTTCTTATCCTGAGTCACTTCCTTCCTATGTTCTTTCTATCCCGAAGAACCTCCTATGAACTGTTCACGTTGGTCGATTCCATCAGAGAACTAAACTTGGGTTGTGTTAGTGTTCTTGAGTCGATGACCGCCACCGATACATCAATCGGATGGGCGTTCTCTGATTCAAGGGTGGTGGATTTGCAAACATATGTCTATTCACACGATGCAGAGAATCGCCAATATCGTACCAGAGCGGCGCCGACAGTTCTCCGGGGCCAACCAACATTCCAATCAATAGCAACCTCCAACTACTCGCAAACCAATTCAAACACGTTTATGACCATCACTTCACAACCATTTCCTGGTGAAATTTCATGAGTTTGGCAATCAGTCATTCGATCGGGCTACACCAAAATCAAACATCTAATATTTTGACCTGGTGTTATTATATGCCCTGGTGGTGAGGATCTCACATCATTACCTTTACCCTAGTCAGTCTGTCAGCAATCCACAGAGTATTCGTGGCTCTTAGCCAATGAACTTCTTCCCGCCTCTTGATGGTAACCATTAGAAGGAATTCCAGCACATTTCCCCCACCAAACCTAACGCATCCCCATTGCAGACGCCAGCAGGCCCCTCATACACGAGAAAGCTTCCACAAAATAAGAAAAATCAGGGAGAAGGACTAGTTCGGGAACCCACCTGGCATTGAATTAGAAACCTGCCATGCGCACAATCCCGCTGGAATTCAACCATCTCGCAAGGGCATCCTTGAACTGGAACGCGCTCGATATATCTCTTGGACAACACGCCACCGGGGCTGGATTCAACTCGAGGCTGTCACTTGCCCAATACAAGGGGCACCGGATTTGTTTGGGACTGTGGGGAATGGCTGCGCTGCTGACCTCGACCTCCTTCGTCCAAATCGCTCGTTAGAATGAGGAATACGGCTTCGTAGCAATACGACCCGCGGCATCCTTCGCGGAAAAGAGACAGCATTTCCGTCGGCGCCTCCATCGAACCATGTCCCTAACTGAAGGCCAAGTCCAGCGTAGACAGTCTACTGCATTGTCTGTGGAACAGGAGGATAGTTGAAGTCAGTCGGCCGACAGAAAGGTCAGACTATATGTCTATCAGCCACACATGGGGACGATGGAAGTCTGATGACCCACCAGTCCAGCCCTCTGGTGTACCTTTGTTTATTCTCTGGAAAACAATCTAGCAAGGAGAGGGGACGCCCACAGATTCTATTTGTCTCCCTGAGCAGGAAGCTATTCAACAAACCAAATCGGTGGGTCGGCTTTAAGCGAAGCAAATAGCGGGATTTCACTATACATTCTGCAGCATTTCTGGACCGGACCTGCTGGATCGTTCGGCAGTTTTCCACGCTTGTTCATTGCGTTCCTGCCGGAGCGTTTTGAAGGATTTTGTTGGATTGCCTACCCAGGGAACGGGGGGAATGTCTTAAGGAAACGAAATCTGCATCTGTCAGGGGCACTCAGGTGTATCAGAGTTTGAGAGGTTCGATTGTCCACCTTCAAAGGGCCCAGGAGTCTCCTTTTCCGGATAGAGATATTTCTTCCTTGCTGGCACGCTTGTTGGCAAATCAATGGCAGACATTGAAGAGAAGGAAAAGTTGCAGAATGGCCAATGAAGAGATCGACAAGAGGATGCTCGACGGCTGAAGGTAGAGGAGGCTGGGCTCAAAGTGTTGAAACGAGGCCTCTAGAAGAAGAGGACCGCCCGGAGAGCCGATGGTCTGATGTCTCAGAAGGGCCCGGTGACACACCTATTCTTACCACCTTCATTGCCTTCAATGAAAATGCTGCCTACCAAATTAAATTCAAGACCTTAAAAAGTGTCGGACTCGAGGGTGGAATTGGGGAATTTGCCATCGACGAACGAGTCAAATATTGCAAAATTTCAGTTTGACGAACAGCCTAATATCCCGAGATCAACCGTCACCATGTGGTTCAGCCTTGTAGTACGGTAGCCCCGTTCTCCACCCAAGATGGCATTCCATCGGCCTTTTCTGACGATCGGTTAAGTAGTTCTCAAAATTTAGGAGCTGCTCTAGCTCTTGGGCTCTTTGGTTCCTCAATCCTTCCATTCTCGCTACACTTTTCAAACATCGCTTTTCAAAGCCCATACGTATCCCCGTCGCAACCAGGAGGAAAAAACAGGATAATCTCCCACCGGCAGCCATGGATCAGAAAGATAATTCAGCTCACTTATCATCGAAGTTTTAATGGCTGTTGAACCTGTAGCTGGTCCTTGAGCTCTTTGCAGTGGCTGAGTAAAACAGCAACACCACCGTCCTCCGTTCATCCTATTCGGTCGTTGCAGTCGGCGTCACGAACGGAACCGTTGTCGTGATCGTTGTAGTGAACCCTGAACTCCCCGTCCCGGTACAGATATCAACACACTGACCGGCCGAAAAGCAATACTGCCCTGCTGCGCAACAGATATTTCCACAAGGCGTTTCTCCCAGCTGATACGCACAGCCTTGGCTCGTTGTTGCTGCCGTTGCCGTCACCGTCACCGTGATGATACTCCCGGACGTGGGACGAAATGGAGCAGAACATGAAGTTTGCGTTGGTATACACGAGCTTCCGACACGAATGATGGTCCTGATGTCTGTTTCGATGCGTGTTTCTGTATATGTCTGCCATTGGCCTGCCGCGCATGTGTCGGCACCGTCGCATTGGCCCGCCGTCACCCCCAGACGGGACGACAGCAAGCAGAGACCAACGCCCAACATCGAAGACAGGGGAAGCAGGCGCATAGCTTCAAATCTGAATTTGTACGAGGCGAACGACACAAGTCTGGAGAATGCAGAAGGCTGGCGGACGGGCGATGTATACACGATGCGGCAGACTTGTTCTTACCTTTTCATATGTATACGACGTTTAACAGAGTGATGGTGACGTTCCAAGACGCCGAAAGCGGTCAGCTCAACGCTCAACCTTCAACCTTCAACCTTCAATTACCTGGATATTTTCTTTCTCTGTTGGGAGGCGAGAGGAGAATACGAGCGCACCATGATGCGCTGTAACTATGACCAAGCTCTCCCAAGCCATACAAGATGGAGAAAAACTCTGGCTACTACTTGGCTCTTCGGAAACGTAAGCAATGGTGCTCAGCTGCCAAGGGTGCCCCCAGCACATCTCTCTCGGGGACCTGAGAGTCCTGCAATGGACTGCCAGCTGAATAGATCATGTCCGTCGTCTCCGTTCTTTCTTGTGTCAAGGAAATGCAGGCCATTTTGCATACGTACAGGTGGTCAGACAGGGCTGATTCAACGAGCCATACCTGCTGCCGAATACTTTACAACAGATGCTTTCTCCATCGAATTCTCGTTGCGCATGAAAAGTCTTTCTCTACAGATACGGAGCATCCTGACATCTAATGATAACCTTTCATTTGATGCTATTGAGGAATGAGACAATAATTCCTGCAAAAAATGGAGAGAGCCCAAATAGATACTTGGGACCTCTCCCTTTTTAGTTCAGTATGATACTATGGTGAGGATGTTGCTTCTCAAATTTAACAATCAATCCTTCTCCATTGCGAATCCAGAATTCCCTGAACGTTAGCGAAATTGAACTCGCTGATAGTTTCCTTCCACAGTTTGTCCATGGCTTCTTTGCCCTCGGGCGTGTATAAGAAAGCCGGGTATCTGGAAAGAAAATTAACACATCAGTCAGGTTTTTACACTCCTTTGTATCAACAGAGGAGACATGCGCAATAGAGGAAGACGGCGGTGCTGATATTGATGCTGGCGGGTCTGAACTTACGGTCGAATCTCCCAATCTGCTAGATAACATCCATGCGACTCCTTCCCCTTGGCGACGGTAGCATCTAGATACGTTGTGGCACCGTCCTCGACCCGCCTTGCTGTCGCAGCTTGAAGGAGCCTCAGCAATGCCACTACAAGGCCTGGAATATTGCGATGCAAGGCCGTGCCCTTGATGAAACCCGGCTCGACCAGATTGACTATCACGTCGTCGGCAGAGACATATTCTTCGAGCTTCCAGATGAACATCATTCCCAAAAGTTTGGAGAGCGAGTAATTATTGCCGGGCTGAAGGAGTTGGGGTCATCGAGCCACGGCAAGAGACGTGGCGATTGCTTGTCAATGGGGAATTTGACCATCTGTGCCAGCGCGGTGGTGGTAATCATCAAGTGGGCTGGGAGACCGAAGGGTTGTTTGCTTTTGAGGACTGGAAGTAAGAGCGTGGCCAGAGGCATGGTGGACAGGTAGTTGACCTGGATGCTCTCTTCGTGACCTGTGCTAGGGACGGCGGTGAATCCGAAGTTGGATACCGCCGCGTTGAGGATGGCAATGTCGATGCGTGACAGCTGGCTGTCGACGCGGCAGACGAAGGTCTGGATCGATTCGTACGAACTCATTTCCAGCGGCCATACCTCGATGGTCGTCTTAGGGTATTGTTGCCTCAGCTGAGATGCAACCTTTTCGCCCTTCTCGGCGGAGCGGACGGCAATGATCAAGTGCCCCAGTTTGAAGGAGAGCAATTGGCGGGAGCTCTCAAGGCCGAGTCCTGCGCTGGCTCCAGTGACGATGGCGACCTTTTCGGAGAGACTGGTATTCTGTGGTAGGAGTTTGGGTTTGATGAATAGTTGTGATCTGAGGAATCGACCCCAATAATTGGAGGTTAGGGGCGGTAGATCCCTTTGAAGAGGGCATGGTGCAGACGTGTCAAGGGATGTACTGCAAGCTTGGTCTCGTGCCGATAAGCCAAAACTAGATGGATTTGTCCGGTGATGGAGGTCCATGTCTGCACTTATTATATACAGGTTTTTCAATTTTGACCCGTAAGTTGATACCTTACAATAGCCCGCCAACGCCAGACCTAGGATGCTTCCTCTTCCTCTCTCTCTCGCGTGGACTTCAATGCACAATATCTACTTGTCCTTTATGATATATACCAACCAGAAACACCAGTCTCCTCCATCGCCAAACGAGTCCTCTTCCCCCTCGAAGCATGCTTGGCTTTTGAAAGGAAAACCACCATCTGGTTCGAATCACTAACCTCTGACACCATGTACCTGGACGCCACGGCCTTCTCGGCCCAAGCATACTTCGACATAGTACTGGGTCGGCGGAAGAACCATTTCACACTCTCCCGGATTGGCACGGAGTCAATGCCAACAATGCACTTTCTCAAGACTGTCCGACTTCTGCGCGAGAGGCTGGTGCTAGCGGACGAGCAGGCGAAAGTTTCAGATCCGACTATTCTGGTCGTCTTGATATTTGCGACCCATGCGCACATCTTGGGCGAGCATGAGACGGCGATGCATCATATGGAAGGACTCAAGAAGATGGTGGATCTAAGAGGTGGGATCGTGGCTTTTAAGAAGAATTCGAAGCTAGTGATCGAGTTGCTCAGGTAAGTGGGAAGTCTCCCCGCCGTTCAATTGCGATTGCTTGTCTTTGCATTGGCACACACCCTTAAGCTGATTATCATGATTTATCGTATAGATGCGATATAGGAATCGCCTTCCACAGCGGTTCAAAGCCCTTATTCACCTTTCCTGACGGTGCCTTTGCGGACGCTTCCTTCATGCCGGATCTATGCCCATCCCCATACCCGCAGCCGACGACATCGACTTTCTCAACCAAGACTCCCACGACACAAAATACCTTGGAGACCCTCCTCGCCACCAGGATAGATCGGCACATCTCCACAGTCTGGCGGACCATGAGGACTTTCTGTAAGCAAATCAACATCGCCGCCCAAACCCAGAGTAAACTCCCGCAAGAACTCTTCCTCCACAGCATGGCGTCCGTCATGTATCCGATTCTCAACCTCCGCTTCTCTTCGGGATCTCTTGATGAAGCCCTTCGCCTCGGCCTTCTAGCATTCTCCTCAAACATTTTCCTCCAGTGGCAAGACGCCCGTTTACCTTGCATGTACTTCCCTACGGCGTACAGAAGTTGTCTTGAGCTGGACCTTGAGTTTTCATGGGACAGACATGACAAATCGTCGTTATCGTCGGCCTCCTCGTCGTGTCAGATTTTGTTATGGCTGTTAGTGATCGGTTCTATCACGGTGTTTACTGACTCCGATATCGAGGCGTGGGTCAAGCCTTGGATCAGGTCGAATATCGATTTATGTATGATCAAGTCGTGGAGTGAGATGAGGGAGATGTTAGGTGAGATGTTCATGTGGATTGGTTTGTTGCACGATAGGCGGGGGAAGGAGATTTTTGATTCTGTATCCATTGTTTCGTGACGGTATACTATAATGCACCAAATAGTCCGGTAGCCTCGTGAACGTGGTGTGAAGAGATTGGAGGATAAGATAATCATAGCCAATCCATATATGTTCATATCTAACAATTAACAACTAACAGACCTGGTAAATGTTACCCATGCACCCCCGTAACCATGGTATGGCCATACCAATGCAGATGTAACCGAAAACATCAATCCATTGTACTCATACTGTGTGCTGTGCTGTAAAATCCCCAGTGTCATAGGTAGCTCAGTCCGTTTTAGCTCGTCATATCATTCGTCATCCGTTGTGCCATCCATTCCTATACTGGCATCATGCCCCCAACTAAAGAGAAGGCCGAGATGTTTTTCCAACTCCTCGAGATGTAAATCAATCCACGCCAGCGCAAAATCAGCTCCAATCCCAGGGCCATGCGTGACTAAAGGTAACTTGCGGGACCAGTATATATGCAGAATCCAAAAAAAGCGAATTTCAGAAAACCACCTCAGTAGCATAGAATGGACGAGGAAGGTGCAGCAGCAATATTATCAGGTCGTGAGGGCTGAAAATCAAGTCAGGACCGCTTGAACATGAAATATCCGTACATTCCGCCAACATCCTGCTCGACGACGGGGATTTTCCTCATACCCCACCATCTGGCGCCCATTTTCCAGGGACGAGTTCCGTCATCAACCGATGTGACTCCTTCAATCGGCTGTCTGACAAACCAGCCTCTCCGGCCGAGTTCCTTGACAGTCCACTCCGGCCGTTTGATGTGAGCATTACGCCGTTTCACCTCTCCAAGGACATCGGAGCTCAGCTCGATGACTTCGAGGGGGAGTGTGTCCAAATCAGTCAGGGCGCTTGGAGAGTAGGAGAGAGACATTTGTGTCACAGATTTGATGTCGCTGAGGTCAAGATAGCGAATGGTGCTTTGGAAGTCATCCACGGATATATCGGACTCGTCGGGTTTGAACAGGCTTTTGATATCCGATCCCAGGCTCAGATTGGCGCCCCGAAGACCGAGTTCCTCGACATGTCTGGCAAGCCTTCTCAATGCGGGAATGTGGGAAGCATTGACTCGTGCACCACCGAGGTTCAAAGAACGCAATGTCGATGGCAATGATGCCACAAGCCGCGTCACGTCCTGTTCGGCCAGGAGTCTGTGGCGAGACGCGTCGGCCGCAAGGTCCAGATAAACGATGCTCTCCTTGACTGCCGGGTGGGTGGTGAGAAATTTGACGACCGAGGGACCCGTAAGATGTGTGCAGCGTTCAAGATTCAAATGGGTAATCTTGGCCGTGGGGGGAATGGAGAGCAACGCCGTGTCGTTGACGAAAGTGTGAGCCAAGTCGAGGTGGGTCAAGTTTGAAAGCCGCGGTAGAAGAGCCTCGAAGACAGGCTCTTGAAGTGTTGTGCATTCGTGGAGGGAGAGTCGTGTGAGGTTGATCAAGGGTTCGGTCTTGGGAAGTCGTCGGACGACAGTGGTGAAGGCTTCAGCAAAGGGGCGAGCAGAGCAGGCGCAGAAGTCCAGAGCATGCACGAATGGCATGCTGAACAATTGGGCGAGGACGTTGACATCAAGCTCTTCATCCACATGTTCGTGAACGAGGAAAGCCTGGAGGTTCGGTATCAATTTTAGACATGCGAGGAGAGTTTGGGGTTTGAGGTAAGGAGTTTGGTTCCTGGTGCTTCGAGCACTGCCAAATCCCATGTTCGAGTAGTGTGAGAAGTCCAACCATTGGACCAATTCTCCCAACTTGTTGTCGGCGCCGAGGCTTCTCATCAACTTGGAGAATGCCCTGGATTGAGGAATAGAGACATGCCGGTACATGACTCGTAATGCTGCTGAATGCAATCTCTTCGATGCCAGTGAGCAAGCGGCCAGATCAACATGGGGTCTTGCATAAGGGTCGGCCGTATGATCGACTGTGACGTAGGAGAGGATCAATTCTAAGATTTCCTCGGGCATCGACTCCAAATACGAGGCTCCGCGCGTTTGAGGAAAGTCCGAAGCTTGAGACGGACCGTCATCCGAGTCGTCGATTGCTGTGTCGGCGCTTTCCTCAAAGGATTCTTTGACCCCAATTGACTCTCTGACTTTCTCTCTCCAGACATCGAGGTTGAAATTGGCTGCATGTGGATGGACTCGAGTGATATCTTTGGCGAAAGGGAGATTGAAGAGCTTCTGCGCTGCCCTCCTCTTTTCTAATTCATCGAGAATCTTTTCCAATTTTCTGGGATTGTTGCGAGCATAGCCTTCCAATCTTGTTCGAACATGGTCTTCGTGCGAGCCACCCCAGTGGAATGAACAGAGTCCCTTCGTCTTGCACCACTGGCTGCAGGGCCACGCTATCCATTCCACCTCCTCCAGGTCCTGGCTCGATAGGGAGGACTCGAATGATTGGGGAAGACCTTCCCCTGGAATCAAGGTCAGTGGTGAAAACCTGGACATAGCGTGGTGTTTGTAACATACCTGGCTCTTCTTTGACTGAGGCATATGAGAACTTCCTGGCCGAGTTCATCTCTTCGGGAGGAAACAGAGAGTGATGGTGAAACTTGCTCAGAGTCGGCTCCTCTGGTCCTTCGTGTTCTTGGTAGATTGTAGAGACCGTAGATGGAGAAGGGTTCATGTTGGCCACATGGTGGAGTGATGGTTGGTGGAGTGATGGTGGCATTGTCGTGCCTATGCAGTCTTAAGAATGTCTAGCTATGCGTCAAAGTAAAGGATGAAATCAGACCAACTCCACAGGTGCAAGGAAAAAGGATGCACGGAAAAGAAAAGGCAAGGAAAAACCACTGGTAAAGGAAAGATGGGGGTAATAGAAACAGTGTGAAAGGTCAAAAAGCGGAAGTTTGTGTCATTGTTTTCAATTCTGGCGCAGGAGGCGACATATCCATCAAGTAACGCGTACCACCGGAGAGCCTTGTCGACTAAGCAGTTAACGGCAATTTATGAATCACGCTTTTCGGATGGATTTTTCCTTCAGAAGGCGGGATGGAGGGCAGCCAAGTGGGCTGAGCTGGGATGGCAACGGACAATTCCAGAGTGTGCGACAGTCAGGTGCGAGTGCTGCGAGTTCAAGTTGTCCCTTCCCCGAAATTCTAGGGAACGGGCGGCACATTGCCGTTGGCTTGAAGTTTTGGAAGAGAGTCAAATGTTGAGAAGAAGTTGTGTCAGCGCGAGGTGGAATTACGTGACAGAACAAATCTGTGATGCGCCGACTAGGTCCGGAAGTTCTCAAAATCCGGGGTAACTCACTGGTACTGCGAAAGTTGGCTGGGCAAGGTTGCCGCCCGCGGTCCATTCACGTGCGACGTCAAGGTTTTCGGACTGGCCTCGACACAATACTCGTTAGTCATGGCACCCCTTTGTTGATGTAATGGTGTCAGAGCGTGGGCCAGTCGAGCTGTCGATACCCGGTGAGCTTCTCCGCCACCTATACCATATGATTAACGAATATGCACCATTTCGAGCATCTCCTCGGTATGCCCTATACCTGAACTGAAAATGCCTGGAGGGATTGGCTTGGGAAAACTAAATATACACGAAAATAAAACTCTATATCGACATGCCTCATCCGGAGAAAAAAAACAGTCCGGAACCCCATATAAGCATGGTCAGTCCCCAATCCCCGTTGTCATGCAACCCAGCCGCCCTGAGTGACATCGAACCTCTTCGCGACAGACGTTGACGTCCCCTGTCTCGATGGCATGGGGGATCGCAAACTCAATGCTTCGAGTTCCACATCGTCGAGTCCTGGTGTATTCTTCCCCCGCAAACTCTCCCCGGATCGGACCCGTTCACAGAGAGTTTTCAGAACTCCGCCCAGCCACTCAAAGTCCTTGAGTTCTAGGTATATCTGGCCGCATACCCGAGTCCAGAGTTTTCCATCATACTCGTAGATGGCAACGAACGTGTTGTAGTCGTCCACCAGTGTCTTTTCCATCCAGGCGATATGTGTTGCGACATCTGCTTCTTGGATAGTAATGGGGCCTGCCGAATGAAGACTGGGGGAACTGAGGGGAGAAGGAGTCCGCCTCGGTTCGGCCAAGGTGGTACCCCCAGAAGCTGATCGGAGCGATTGTGTGGTGCTACCAGCACTAGGAAATCCATATGAGGACTGTCGCAGAGCAGGGGAGAGTCCACCTGCACTTCCAGCTCCACCGGGGCCCATACTGATACTTCCCCGAGAGAATGCGCCCACGATTGTGATTGGTAGCAGGACGTTGGCCATGGCACAATCCCTCAGACCGCCAGACCAACCGATCCGTCCTCCATCACGACGATCACTGGCTTCGTAACTTCCCATTGTTTTGAGTCCGTATCCAGCGCCCAGATCGTCCATGACTTCGGTTCCCAGAAGCATGGCGAGAAGATCAGCTCCTCGTTGAGCCAAGTCACGGATGTAATTATAAATGGCTTCCTCTCCCCCGCATAAATTTTGGCGGAAATTCAGCGCCGCTGGGACACAATAGTGAGGGGAGTTGTCGGCGGTGGCCACGAATTGGAACAAATTGACAAAATCCGATTTATCCGTGGGTGGAAGTGGATTCCGAATGGAGGCCGAGGAGTTTTCTCGGGGTTTGTAGCCGTGCGAGGTAGGATAAGTCGTTCGAATGAAATGTTGATTGCGCTTGGGCACGTGGAGAACGGCACAGCCTCGGGGGGTATACAACCATCTATACATTGTCAGACACAAAACGCAGAGCACCGGCCGAGCCCTTCAATACTCACTTATGGCAATTGCTCACGAAGAAATCGGCATCAAGTTGGGATAGATTTAAAGGGATCTGACCAACGCCGTGAGCACCATCCACCATACTCAAGATACCATATTCCTTGCACATCCTGGTGATCCTTTCAAAGGGGAAGCGAACTCCCGGCAAGGACACTATGGTGTCATAAATGCATATCCTTGGTGTTAATCCATCGTACAAGACTCGTGAAATGGTTTGTGATAATGCATTGAGGATTTCGGAATGAGTGCATGGAAGGGAGTAGGCAAAATCCTGTCCGTGTCCCACTTTTCGAAGTTGAAGTTGAGGATTGGTTTCGACGATCGAAGCCAGCGTTTTCTCAATTGCACCGTAGATTGTGTCAAAATATATGATACAATCTTTTTCTTTGTATTGCAGATTGCGCAACACCGTGTTGATACCTGCAAAATCAGATATGCCGTCTGAGATGAGATCATTGGGGCACTCTACTTACCTGATGTGGCATTACTGACGAACACGCACTCATCTGTTGGGACATTGAGGAGTCGTGCTATTCGTTCTCTGGATTTGTCCAGAAGATCAATGTACTGGTACCGCAAGAATTTGTCGGGAGCGGCTTCTGCCAGCTTTTGATAACCGCGCAGCGCATTGCGAACGGGCAAAGAATAACTGCCAAATGACCCTTGGAAAATTTTGACTTAGAAAAAGTCTCCTTCATAGAGTATATCAATCGAAGCGGACGTTTCACTGACCGATCCATTGATGGCAAAGGAGCTTGGCACTCAGGCCGAAGCCAAGGGAAAAAGGGCTGGACAAGACATACCGTGATTCAAATTGGTATATTTGGGATCAAACAGGAAATGGGATTTGAATCCATGCCCGAACTCGGTAATCTCACCAAATGAGCCCATATTGGCTGCCGTAATGAATACTGTGTAGATGATGAAGTGCCGGGGGGGTTTGAGGGTCAAGAATAGGGGATGAACTTGTTCGAGTCACAACACCAGTTACCCGTTTCAATTTCCAGGGTCAACAGGGCCAAGATCCTGTATTTGAGACTGAAGAGCATGCAGTCCAGGTCGAGACATGCAACCGTCAAGCCTCGCCCTACTATATGATGGGAGTACCACAGCGTGAGTCAGTCTGATAGAGCTGAGAAACCGAGTTTGATGTTCCAGACTTGGAGGATGGCTAGGGTTCGAACTTCACCCGGGTTGGCGTGGGCTGAAGGGCGGGATTTTTTTTTTTGCCCCAGGGCCAAGATTGCCATTGCGCCTATCGAGACAGAGGTCTGTCTCCTGAACCGTATAGGCTGGTGGCCCATTGCCTTTCTTAGTGCCTTTGGGGTCGTTGTGGTATCCATTCTAGGGGTGTTTCGGTCAGCGACACACCAATCGTTGTGGTTCATTGCTCAGGCCTCGCCGTACTCTCTAGTCCTTCGCAATAGAGCCTGGTGAAGGCTAGTTTAGGCAAAACGAAATAGCAACTCTGTGGTCAGGCGCACCATTGACTTGCCCTGTGGGGCGCTGAGCAGCATAGTTGAAGAAGAACCAAAGGCACGAGGGAAAATGGTGAGAATATTACTTTAATAGATGAAACATATTCGTGGCTTGCCCGACGGGTCAGCCACCATTTTCAAGCCCTTCATCATTCGGCGGGCGGAAAAAATATTTTTCCGGATCCGATTCCCTTCCTTGTGTCTGACGAAAAGAAATATCTAAAATTTCGTACTCCAATGGTGTCCGGCATCCACAGCCAGACCAAAACACCATTTTTGATGAACCTCGGTCGATTTTGTTCGTCATCGGTTCATCACCCTCACCCTCACCCTGCCAGCAACAAATAAATTGATTGAGTGAGGGGCGACCACTTCTCCGGATCACTGCTTCTGCTTCCGAGCATTTTCGGTGCCGAAAAGCATATAGACAAGTGACATTACATTCAATATCACAAGGTCAGCGATATTGTCATCGAATTCTTCTATCCGCGAGATATCGCCGAATCCAATTTCTACGCAGAACAGGTCCTTTCTCGAGGAGAAATACCCAAGATTCGGACTACTGGACTATTGATTGATACCACGGTGCTAACGAACTACCAAATACCCGAGAAGGACGGCCATTGTTCTCCCCCACAACAAACATGCCCAAGTCAATTTCGATATCAAAGATTGACGGAAAACCCGGCCAAGTTTACTACCCTCTGTCCCTGGACGAGGTTCCTCAGCCTTCACCAAAAGGGAAAGAGGTCCTCATCAAGATTCACGCTGCAGCGTTGAACCACCGCGATCTTTTCATCCGTCAACACCTCTACCCAAGTGTCGCCTTTGGCGCTCCTCTTTTGGCTGATGGTTGTGGGACAATTGTTTCAGTAGGGAGTGAAGCCAATCCCAAATGGAAGGGTAAACGGGTGGTTGTCAACCCAGGGACAGGGTGGAAAGATAGTCCTGAAGGACCCGAAGATAAAGGTGGTTATAAAATCCTCGGTGGCACCAAAATGAACGTCAACGGAACTCTTCAAGAGTATATGATTATTGATGAGGCGGAGGTCGAAGAAGCCCCCGATCATCTCTCTGCAGTCGAAGCCGCAGCTTTGCCTCTAACTGGGCTTACCGCATGGCGAGCTGTCATGTCCAAGTGCGGAGAACACAATCTCAAGCCCGGAAAGAATATTTTGGTTACAGGGATTGGTGGCGGTGTTGCATTGATGGCCCTGGAATTCGCCAGAGCGGCAGGTGCCAACGTCTGGGTCAGTAGTGGAAGCGAAGAAAAGATCAAGAAGGCTATAGCACTTGGTGCTAAGGGTGGAATCAATTACAAGGAGGAAGGTTGGGAGAAGAAACTGCTCGCCATGTTGCCGCCAGACAACAAACAACTCGACGCAATTGTCGATGGCGCCGGTGGCGATGTCGTGGAAAAGGGCACCAAACTGCTCAAGGTATGTCAATGCAGCTGTCGTATCTCCCAACCCGCTGATGATTTTGTAGCAAGGCGGTGTGATTGCCATCTATGGCATGACTGTAGGACCCAAAATGCCCTTTTTGATGCAGGCGGTCTTGAAGAACATCGACGTTAAAGGCTCAACCATGGGTTCGAGAAAGGAATTCAAGAACATGGTGGACTTCATCAAAGCCACCAAAGCAAAGCCAGCTGTCTCACGTGTCGTTCAAGGCTTTGACCTCGACGCCATCAATGGTCTATTCGAGGACATGAAGAAATCCATCCAATTCGGAAAATTGGTGATTGAGATTTCCAAGGAACGCGCAGACAGTAAGTTGTAGACTTGCATAGTCAACTGTTGTTGTCAGACACGAACATCTCTGCGTTTACTTGCTGTTAGCACTTGACTCACCCACGGGCCATGTGTTTTTTTAAAACTCGCGTGAATGAGAAGTCAGATCTTTTGCGATTCTGCTATGCAATGATAAGAAACCAAACATTGTTTGGCGTATAGTTAGCCAGGTTTGGAGACTCTCTGCAACAATCCTTGATGTCACATCGACAGTTGGTTACGACCAGGATTAAATTGGGAATACAGAACAGGGGCGCCGTCATCCGAATTCGGACATGAGCTTTCGTGATCTGGTCCGGCTGGAAACTTTGGTGCGGCCTTCGGGTACCGCTTGGCGGGACGAGTGGTTTAGAGAAGTCCCTGCGGAATTCTGTGCCCAGTTTTGAAATTGGATACCTGTGCCATTAATCATGCACGATTGACAGCGCAGAGAGTGCGACCGGAGGAAGAGGCAGGACAGACCAGAATCCGGCACTTGTAGCTTTGACGATTGTCTGGATCATCTTTCACTGCGACTACATGGATGGTATGGCGCAGCTGAGGTCAGTTTCGAACCGTTTCAAGGGACCGTTGAGACCCTCCGTCGATCGGATCAGCAAAATGTCGGCACTTTTCAACCACTCTCTATCATTTGAGCGCGACTGATTCAGGAGTTAGGATGTTTGTGATGCAAAGTTGCCAACACATCAGCACAAAGTGATAAGCGTCTAGCTTTCAACACGATAACATGCCCGTTTCTTTTGAAGTTTGCAACACATCAAGCAAGTCGCCATCAGGCTAGTACCAACGTGGTCATCGTCCTTGTTAATCCCAGTTGGTACCAAGGACGCGGGTGTGTCAAAAAGACCGCAAGTCTGCGACTTTGGTGTCCAATTCGCTCGCATCCAGCTGGACTCGGGTGAATGGTCGACCAAGGCCCAAACATCTGGGCAAAAAGCTGGATTCTCTAACGGTGTCGGCTGCTGCAAGGGGAAAGCCTGGGACGAAGCGAACCAGCCAAAAGGTAAGGGCAAAAATAGAAAAATGGGAGTCTGCTCCAAACCATGGCGATGCTAGCGCGAATGGGTACCTTTCACAGCCTCACAACCTGATTTTAACCGCATCTTTTGATTTCTCTTCTATTCTTCTTGTTTACCCCACTGCACGCGTCTTGCTGGATCACGCGTGTTCAGTAGAGTTTGATTCGCATCCGTAAGCATCTCGGAAGGATGGCATGACAGAAAAGTGACTGGGTGGACATTAGCATGTGTGATGTATTATTCAGAGGTCCGAAAGGGTGGCCGAGTCAGGAGGGACGGCGAAACAAATCCGGCACTTCGTCAAGAGACTGGTTTAGACCTAAGGGACAATAGACATAGTAGTTAAAAGTTCTTGTTTGAGGTACTTAGTAAACCGGCGGTCGACCGTTATGGAATTGGCGTGCACTTTGTTCATAGTACAGTATGTTACGCGGCCAAAACAGTGAAGAACCATCTGGAGTTGTTGACTTGATCGGGGCGAGTCGTGATGGCTCTGACATGAGAGCAACTCTCAGCGATTGGTGGAGTCTGAATCCGGTATGGATCGGAAGGAAGATGGGGGATAATTGACATGGTACATAGTGGGCACAGTGGAAGGGAGAGACCACCCGAAGTCTGAAGCCTAAAGGCTGGCGGGTGCACAAAGAGGCCCCCTTTCCATCACTCCAAACCAAAGAGGTTAGAAAAAACGTCCCCCACTGGAACTTTGCACTGGGCAGGATGCGTCGCTGCTACCCCCTGGCCGACACATCGATTGCTTGGGAACGACGCCGGTGGTCGACGGCTGAAGGTTCCCCAGACTGAACCAGTATCGTAATGGTTAAGTGTGTGCTTTCCTGTCCTCGGAGTTTGTACCAGGCGTGTTCATCCCCGCTTGAGGTGCATGTGAAGGCCCAAGTAGGACCAGCTGAAGATTCAACGGCGTGCAACACGATAGGGGGATCGCAACGGCAGTCACTGGTTTGGGAGCCAGATTAGGACTGACAAGTGGTATGCAAGAGTTGCATGAGCTGGGAGAATAGTCAGAAAACCCCTTTTCTCTGCAGAAGCAAGATGCCAATGTCAAAAGCAAGAAGCAACAAGCAAGCAACAAGCAAAGATGCGGGACTCAGGACGCAACGTCACCTGAATTTGGTACTATGTGGCAGTGAGTGGCAGTGAGTAGCAGCGGTAGTGGCAAACCTAGTAACTTGACTTGCTATGCTGTAATTCTAATCAATTGTCCATTACCTGGGCGTTCCGTGGCAAACAAACAACGACGCGAGGACTAGTATCAATCCCAAACCTCCATCTGGTAGCTCTTGACCTTTCTCTACTCTCATACTCTTGCCATCGCCAACACCCCTTCGAGCTCGGTATCCCGACCCGGGACAGACAACCTGTGCTTCTGAAGCGAAGGGGCTCCTTCTTAACGTTAAGTGGCCTCCGCATGCCGAAGACAAGGCGCCCTGGCTCTTTTCTTTTGGCCTTGAAGATTCGAGTAAAGCGTCTCGCCGGGAGGCAAAAAAGTCGTTGACATCAAGGGTCAGGATGCTATACTTAGCAATCGGCCGCGGAACCAGGAACAAGGGACAGGGGACAAGGAGCAAAGTCTACCATTTAATCTGGACTTAGAAGAGAAGCGGCTAGAGCAAGGGAGAAAGTACGGAGAAGGAGTAGGGGAAGCAGAGCGCAGACACGCCAGTGGTATGACCGCGAGACGGACTGAGAAGCCTAAACTGCTCCAGGCATAAAGCGGCGATAGGGAGTGATAGGCAGAGACTATGCTGCAGCAGTGACCTCACCAGTCCGCCCCAGTGGTGCCAGAGAGCCGCCCCCGTCGTGTAGCATCTGATCTTCTGCACGATTCAGGGACGATGCCCAAACTATTTTTTCCCCCCTTCTCAGACTCCATTTTTTCCTTTCCCTTCCTGAGTGCGGCTGTGCAAGCCCTTAAAAAAAAACCCCTCTGGGTGCCTATCGCATCCATCCCCGTCAAATGCCTGTCCTCTGGCTGCCACGCTTTTTCCTTCTCGCCCAGTGGAGATCTCTCCACCACCCTAACTGGCGCTCTCCCGTCCCCCATCTGGCTCTTCCCATCTTGATTGAATCCCTGACCACGCTGTCATCAACTTTCTTACGCACCCAAAGGCTCTTCGAACGGGGAAAAAAAAAGGCCCGCTTGTTTCCAGCAAAACCTTGCCTTGCCGCCCGCTGCCGGTGAGTGCAGCGGGCATAGACTGCACAATTCCCGTACTGCGGCTTGCGAGATCGCCTCTGCCTACCTTTTCCTGCTGCTTTCGCCCTTCTTTTGCACGCATTGGAGAAATGGTGGGAGCGCTGAAGAAGCGGTGATAGAATGATAGTAGCATATCTGGGACTGGCAATAGAAAAGAACAAAAGCATCAGTAGTAGCAGTTGACATCGACACGCCATTTGACGTAGTTCCTGTATCCTGTACACGCAGGCCGGCAGTGGCAGTGAACTCTGACGGACCACTCAGCACTCGCGCCATTCATCGCGAACCTCGAATCCTCCAACACCCACTCATTATCCACTCAGATACGACCGAGTCCAGGCCCAGTCTCCGCTTTTGTGCTAATCCTGTCTTTCTCACACATCCTTGGAACCTTCCTCTATCCTACCATCCACTGGCATCGTTCATCCACCGCCATCCGCCATTCCTCCGAGTCTCATCGGTTTTCTTCAACTCTGACCACGGCACAATGGTACCACTTCTGCTTCTCGCAAACGTGCCGCCAACCATCGACCAAATCACCCCCCGGCCTCTTCGCTTCTGGCTCCCTTCCTACTCCATCAAAGCCCACTAGTGGCTCACTGCCACTAAACATGCCTCAACTCGCCGAGCAAGTTCAGCGTCACTTGGTTGAACCACTTCGCCTTCACTGCCCTCTTGAGCCGAGAGGTCCGCGCCGATATAGCTATTTGGTTTTCCCCCTCTCCTCTCGGCTTCTCCTCAATTCTCTGTTCCCGCCGCTCCACCTTCGCTCTGCCTGCTCAAAAAGTTTTTGGCTCTGTTCGCAGACCATACCTTCGTTTGCTTTACAACAACCACATTCGCTTTTCACGCTTTTGTGTCTCGCTCGTTGGACACCAGTCGCTCAAAGTCCTTCGGTTTCGATTCATTCGCTGAAAAGCCCCTCGTAAATTCATCCACAACTTGAATATTCCAGCAGTCCCCCCCTCCTTCGACCCAACCGCAGGGGACTATTTTTGCTTTGACGTTGGACTCGACCCTACATTACTACCACGATTCATCACCATCCCCAGTTGAATTCGAAATATTCTTGGATACTCCTGTTTGGCTTCGCTTGAGAACCTATTGGGGCGAGCCTACGTCGCGGATCCCTCATCACCTGCGCCCCCATTTGTTGGGAACTGTCCGAAACAACCGTTCATAAAGAAAGGGATTCTGGCGTGGTCCTGCAGCTGGTCCGGATTGAAATCCAGACATTTGGGTCAGTATACTCCGGTTTTTCGAGTTTATTTGTTTCCAGGAATAGAATCCTCCACCACCACCCTCTTTTGCTTCGTAAAATGGTTGCCCTTCCTTTGTTAAATTATGCGTCATGCCCACTACCTTGAGAGACCCTGGAAATTGCGTCTTGAATGTCTCACTGACATCCTACAGTGACTGTGGTTTCAGTCCTACCGCCATAGGCATCACTCGTCCCAGTCCTTGTCCCTTGGGAATATTCACACCCTCTCGAGCTTGTCTCTGGAAAAGGTAATAATAACCCCTGACAAAATCCTTTTCAAGGATTTACATCTTGCCTGTCGATGGTTTGGCTGATCAGTGTTGATAGTTCGTTCCACCCGGTTGAAATTCTTTGTCCTCGAGATTAAGGCTGCTTCAGCTTGCCGAAACTCGAACTTTTCGGGAAACCTCCATACCCTGACCTCAACATAGAATCTCTCCAAGCTGAAAGCATCGGCCTAGATCGCTTGCTGCTCTTCGTCCTTGTTCAGCCAGCCTTCAGCTTCTGCTCCTGAATACGTTTTCAGGAGCCTCGGACAAGTGCCTCCAGAAAGTCTCGCCTGTTATCGGATGTTTACCAGGCGAACGACGATATTAACATCTCAAACATCCAAATCTCGATAGCAAATCGCCATTGTCGCTCGCTTTGATTTAAGGAACTGAGGCGTTATTAGCCTTCGTCCACCCACACTCGTTTAGTACCCAGTCACTCGCTTAGTGCTTTTTGTTATAAAATAATTTCCCGAGGGGGAAAAAAAAAAGAAAGAAAGAAAGAAACAGAAAAGCTAAATTCGTCAACCTGGCGTCCATGTACGATCATATACAGGTGAGTCCAATTTATGCACCCCTGGCGTTGTCTTAACCTACTCTGGCGTGGATGATGGAGAGACTGATTCAAATACTGACTTCTCCTCAGCCATTTCCCGACTTCCACACCCCTTTCATAGTGGACGACTCTTTTGATTCCTCAGTCTTCGTTGGAGAGCATTTTGCCAATCAGTTCCAGGACGGCTTCGAGGACAAACCTGGTCAACTCTTCTCCATGTCCAGCTATGATAAAGTGGGTCAAGCAGGGCTCATCGGTAAGTGTGATCTCTCTCGGATACCAGTATCTTTACTGACTCAAGCAAGAAGTTCAAACTCCCTCTGCCGTTCACAATCCAATGTTCTATGGGTCTTTTTCACAAGCACCTTATGATCATCACCCTCTTCTCCATCCTGGCAACGTTCAAGAAACCGACATTCAATATGGGCCAGGAAGCGATTACCAATCTGAGAACAGCTTTGAACACGGCAAGCCCTCCATTGTGGATTGTCGGGAAGGGAAAGATGCAAATGTGAAGCCTTTCAATGCGGCGCATCAACGCGCCCTTTCTGCTCAAAACATCCCAATGAATACTTTGAAACGCAAGGCCTCAAGCGTTGACGAGTTTGACGACCCTCCAGCTCACAAAAAGGCAATCATCGCTCAAGTTCATGTCCAAGATCCAAATGGCGATTATTATGATTTGAGTGGACAAACCACCCCTTACTCACCGTTTGTGCCCACTCCCACCGGCAGTACTGGCTACCCAGCTTGTGCTCCCAATGGCTCTTCCCCGAGACCTTCTGGTCACCACTATTCAACCTCTACCGCATCCCAGGTGTCTTTGGCTGCTCCATCACCACACACTCCGGTTTTCAGCCCTTCCTTCACCACGGTCAAGAGTGAACAGAGTCCAGGGGCTCCAATGACTCCTATCCCCCGACCCACTTCGACCAGCTCCCCTCTCAAGTCGACCATCCCAAAGTTGGTTCGTACCTCGACCATTCAGCAATCTCCTCCAGGAGTCTGCCCGAGTTTGGTAATGGGACAAGCCCAGAATTTCAATCCCTATGCTATGCATCCTCTTAAAGCCAACCTCAAACTGAAGGGCGATCTCGAGACAATGAAAGAGAACTGGACTCCTGAAGAACGCGAGGCACGTCGACGACTGGTCGAATTCAAGCGCTGTCAACAGAACAGTACCATCACCGCTGAATTCAAGCCTGTGGCACCTGCAGATCGTCAGCCCAGCAGCATTTGCATCAGCTGTATCTGGTGGAAGGAAAGGAACGAGTACTACGTGACTTCCGTCGATACGATTTATCTCCTCGAAGCTTTGGTCGGTGTTCGTTTCACGGTCGAAGAGAAAAATCGTATCCGCCGCAATCTGGAAGGCTTCCGACCCATGACGGTCTCCAAAGCCAAAGCTGACAGTGAAGAGTTTTTCAAAGTCATCATGGGGTTCCCTCACCCGAAGCCTCGCAACATTGAAAAGGATGTCAAAGTTTTCCCATGGAAAACCTTGTCCACCGCTTTGAGGAAGATCATCTCCAAGTACTCAGCGAGTTACTCTTCAACAGCATCTTCTCTCCTCACCCCCGCTTCGTCAGTTTACTCGAACGGAGAGGGTATTACCGACTACCACTATCCCCCAACACCTCATCCAGAATATGTTGCTACCTCGGGTGCTCCCTACGGTGTCAATCCTGAAATGGCATGTATGCCGGGACCAGGACCAATGCGCATGACGGCACCAGTTCCCGAGTTGCAGCTACAAATGCCTCAGTATGATGTCAATGGCCATTACAGATACCAAAATATGGGGCCGATCCCTCAGGGCACTATGGCCATGCCACCTCATCCCATGACCGCACCTGTCACCAGAATGCCACCCTGGGAATTTACCAACTTTGTCAACGATAGTCCCGTTACAATGGCTCCTCAGAGCGCGCCACCGACCGCCTATCCACGTGGTACCATGGAAACGGCCGAATTTGTTCCCGCAATGCACTATCCCCCCCACTAAAAAGTGCCCCTAATCATCTTTTCATTTCTTGATTGTCATTAGCATCATGATTTGTGCATAGCACCAGGGTCTCGAAACTTATCACACCACCGACACGGAATTTCTTATATCACAGGCGCCAAGGGGAATCACGGAATATGGGAGGAACAATGAGTTTATGTACACACCACTTGTACACCAAGACGATCATGTTTTGCATAGCGAATGATGGTGGGTTGGGTGGGATATTGCCGAAGGAAAGGAGGGGTATATGAGAGGTTGGACAGTTATTGCTGTCGACTCGGGTGGGTAATACCAACAAGTGGAAGGGAGACGAGGCAATCGTGTGCCAATGGATGCGCCGAAGATTTCATGTTCTGTGTATATGATTGATGAATCATAGATTTGATACGCCATATGGCCGAACGCAATACTGCAACGCGCAGCAATACATGATTAGTTTTTCAATGAGTGTGTGTTCTTCGTGAATGAAGACTGGAGACTCTGGCGATTGCTATCGAAAGAGGGGGCGGCCGTGGTAGTGGGTCTAGCCTGTTTAGGAACATAAACACCGATCACTTCCTGCGCATCTCTGCCCTGCTCAAGCCTCATTCATCACGACTTCTCTACTCAGATATTGAGAGGTCCCCGACCTATCGTATTGTACTTTGTCTTTTTTTTTTTCTAACATTCATCATATGATTTTGTCAATAAATTACTACCCCTGCAGCCCAAATTCCAGAGTAGCAATTCTCCACCATGACATTGGCCGTGGCTGCTACCACGCCCACTCGACCACTAGAAGCATCCTCTTTTATCCCGTCTTTAAGTCCCTCATCCAAGAGTTCGCCGCATCGGGCGAACACTTCAGGCCCGTGGAAGCCTCTTGAATCGGAATATGAACCCCAATCCTCACCACGGTGCTACACTTTCACTCCTCAACGCGCCAAATCGGTACCACGTGCCTGGGAACGACGGCCAGCCACACCCTACATACAACGAAATGAGACGCAAAAAATATGGAAACGTGTTCCTCTGGGAGCTCTCACGACAAACACGAGTGAAGCTAGGAGAAGAGGGGAGCAACCAGTGAACTTCAGAACCGTAAAAAGATTAAGAGTCGGTCCACTCGATGGAGTGGAAGACAAGGAAAACATAGATTACATCGCATCAAAATGGGAGGAAGACGGAATGATGGTCCTCAGTCCAAAGCGAAAAGCGGTGGTACATGGGGGCTCGGTTGAGAGCGAGGCTGAAATCGACGACGATCACGAGATGCCTCCCGAAGTCAGCAGTGACGTTGAAGTGCACGCAAAGCCTTTATATATGGACCGCAGCACAGGTTCAGCTTTCACTGCCCTGTCTGAGGACCAAAATTTTCCCGAAACTTCGAGTGATATGAGAAGTGTTGAAGTCGACGGAGGAGCTACACCGACTGTCCTAGGCCATGCGAATCTTCTGGGCCAGGATGAAGAAATTACTCAATCTCGAACATCAGCGGCCGAGTTAATCACCACGGACTCTGCCCCTTTATCGACATCCAACCCATCTCAAGGAGATCGTCCAGTGGAAGTGCAGACCGATGTGCCCTCTCCTTCGGCAGATACAGTTCCCATTGGACCTTCGATAGAACTGGTCAACTTCTCAACAGACCACGACGATACTGCCTACCTTCACGACTTTTTAACCCGAGCCAGAGCACAAAAAGTAGTCAAACGACAGTCTTTGGAGATGGCTTTGTCAGACACCTGTGGTACGATGGAAATGCGTGATGAATGCCCAGAGGAACGGACTTCTTCACGTGTGGAGGATTTGAACGACACCAGGACTCTGATGACACCACCTCAAAATGACGGTGAAGATCTCCAATTAAGTCAAGAGATGGAGTCCAATGTTTCCTCACTTTCTCGACGGAGTTCACGACTGAGCACCAGTCTTCCACGACTTCAGAACCCTAGAGCAAGTTTACCGGGTAACATATCCCTTAAACGACTCAATGGGACCGAATTTATTGCCACACATCGAGAATCTCGATCTGTCGCTGTTACTACCCGAACAAATACGAAGCGCAACAAAGGAAATGCAGTGTCAGTGCAGATCAAGCTAATGCAACTCCATGCCGAAGCAAAAGCAGGACACGAGGAAGATGACGCACAATACGAGGAAGCGAGGAAGAGGAAGAAGAAATCCAAAGAAGTCACGTGGGACGAAATGATAGCTCGATATCAAGATGGAAGTGTCGCCCGAATTGGTCCAGAGGAGAAGGAGACTCCAGAAGATGCAGTTGCCGAGGGCGACACCCACAAAGATGAACAAGAAACACAGGAACCAGTTCTGCAAGTGAAGAAGCATGTCAAGAAAGTCCGAAAACTGAGAAAGTTGAACGTGGGTACAGTCAATGGGACACCAGCACCGCGAAGAAGTATCAGCATTCCAGTCTCAGTCAAGTCGAGTTATTCTTCGGAGAAAGCGATGGATATGACTGGAGATGTGAACCTAGGAGAACAAGTGGGTGATGCAAATGAAAGAGAGATGAATCTGCGAATCCAAACACGGACTCGGGCAAGGAAGAGTTCGTGACGGGGATGAGGATCTGGACAATTCTGTTCACCTCGTACCCAACTGCACGGGACACGGACTCCGTAGGCCGGTCTCGAGAGGCTGAGCAGTGGACGAACAAATTCCTCCTCGGCTCAGCTTGACTTCGCTGACGCCTGATTGGCTCAATCCCTACGTCAAGCCATCCGTCGGCCCTAAACCCTTTCCTTCGGATTCGGTATAGATCCTCTTTTTACATTGCGTATCGTGACAGTTAAGTCAATATAGGCCCAAGTATATGTGGTATGAGGTCGTGGAGACGGAGTTAGGATGGGGATTATACCATCTACTCCCTAGAGTGTCAGAGGAGTTAAGGATGATGTCCGAAGATGGTACAATGAGTTGGGATGAGCTGAGAGGCAGGAAAGGAAGGGGGATAGGATGGCAGAGAAAGGGTATAAATCGCATTTACGCCAGTTGCGTCTCATACCAAGAGAGGAGAACATCAGACAGCAACCTCGAGTCAAGACAAAGGAACTCCGCGAACCAAATGATCCATTGGCCCCCCTTCGACTTATCTCGACCCTGCCAATCTGACCGATCACATACATCAATGGCTACAACAGAACTCCCCGTCTCATCACCAGCCCTCCCACCAACTCATCTCGCTCTGCGACAAGATGTCTACGCCCAACCTCCCACCGTCCAAAGCGTCCCAACACCGCAGCCCGTTCCAGGCTCTGCAGTCTTCCGCGTCACCCTCGCCAGCATCATCGGCTACACACGCGACATCTACAATGGCGTCCGTAAGTACCCATACCCCGTACCCTTGACATTAGGGTCTTCTGCCATCGGCCGCGTCGTCGCCCTTGCTCCGGACGCCACGATCCTGGAAATCGGCGACCTATGTCTTTTAGACTGCACGATCCGAGGCCGCGACGACATTGACGGCTCCGCGGCAAGTACATTCCTCAGCGCCATCTCCGAGGGGTTCAGCGAGGGCAGCAAGAAATTGATGCGCGATGCCTGGCGCGATGGCACATATGCCGAGTACGTCCGGTGGCCGTTGGAGAATTGCTTCAGGCTGGATGAGAAGAAGTTATTCGCAATGGGCTACACGGTCGAGGATCTCATGTATATCCCGCGCATGCTCGTAGCGTATGGGGGTTTTAGTCCGCTTTGTATTGATCTGAAACCGGGCGAGACGGTGGTCATTGGCGCGGCGACGGGTGGATTTGGGAGTGCCGCGGTGCATCTCGCGCTGGAAATGGGGGCGGGCCGAGTCATTGCTTTGGGGAGAAATACTGAGATACTTGAGAAAGTCAAGAATGCTGCGGCGCAGAAGGACAGGGTATTCACGGTTCCGTTGACGGGGGATTGGGAGGTGGATTACAAGGCCTTAAAGGATGTGGGAGGGACGATTGATATTTTCTTCGACATTTCACCCGGAGCGGCGCAGGGGTCGGGCCATATTAAAGCGGGTATTATGGCATTGAGGCATGGCGGGAGGTGTTGTCTTATGGGCGGGATTAGAGGGGATGTTAGTCTTCCGCACCATAAGATCATGCATGGAGATATCACGGTTAAGGGGAAATGGATGTATGAGCCGCAGGATGTCAAGAGGTTAATTGGACTGGTGGAGATGGGGTTGGTCCGGTTGAATACGACCAACCAGGACAGGAGTGTCAAGCCTTTGGGAGCAGAGTGTAAAGGGAAGTTCAGCCTGGAGAAGTGGGAGGAAGCCTTTGAGGTGGCGCATGAGGTCACAAGGAATGGGTTTGTGGTTTTCGAGCCATGAGAGATGACATCGGTCTACGTGGTTCGTGTTGAAGACGAGGTGATGCGTAGATACATGGGAGGTCGGAGTGACATAGGACTTCGGCCAAGTTTCCCTCCGCAAAGAGGATTGATTCCAACAATGCTGGTGTGGTTGACTTCGTGGTGTGATTCGCACCAGGTCGGCGTCGATGCGAAAACATCCTCGACTCATATTTCTGGCGACATGGCTCCTGGGTAGAATTGACTGAATGCTCTTCGCCCACTCTGACTCTCCTCCTTTTTTATCCCTTCATCATGCTGAAGCCTTCGGTCGTGCGGCGAAGTCTCCCACTTCTCCAACGCAGATGGACTACACAAAGTACTCAACAGCCATTCCCTCCAGACATTAACGAATGGTCTCATCCTCCTTCCAATGCCACCGTATCAGACGAAGAGATTTATAGATTAGCAGCAAAACCTCGCCAGCCTCTAACTCTGGCAGATTTGGTCAAGTATGTATCTATGACTCCAACGAACATGTCCAGAAGCTGATTTTAACCGGACATGGCAAACCTCCGTTACGTGATGCTGCCCTTCTCTCTTCGGCCAATTTCACATTATCTCTCTTACCCGCTCGATTGGCCCATCGTATCCAAGCTCTTCGAAACCTCCCCTTCATCGTTGTGGCCAACCCAAATATCTCCAAAATCTACAACAACTACCTTCATTCCCTGTCTACATTAGAGCCGTTCTACAAGAAACCAATAGAGACAATAGAAGAGGAAATGAGGTTCACAGAAACAATGGCAGACCTGGTGCGGACTCATTCAAATACGATCCCCACTCTAGCGCAGGGATTCTTGCAATGTCGCAAATATATTGACCCTGCGGAAGTGACAAGGTTTTTGGATCAACATCTCCGCGCCAGGATCGGAACCAGGTTGGTCGCGGAGCAACATCTTGCCCTCCATCTTGCTTCGACGGGAGATGCCATCAAGCATAGACCAGATCCCAATCATGTCGGTGTTATCGACTTGGCTTTGCGTCCGGCCGACATTGTGCGACAATGCGAAGGCTTTGTGGCGGAGGTCTGTGAATTGAAGTATGGCGTTCGGCCTTCCCTGGTTATCAATGGGGAAAGCGATGCTGAGTTCGCTCATATCCCCATGCACCTCGAATATATCATCACCGAGTTATTGAAGAACGCTTTCCGAGCTACCATAGAGTCGGGCCACGAACGAGAACCGATTGAAGTTACAATCGCCTCGGCACCCGATGTGACGACCACGAAACTTGAATCTTTGAAGAAGTTGTCGGTGAGTGAAGCAACTTCTTATGACTTCTCCCAAGATGGTCTGGACGAGTACTGTTCTTCGTCTGAGGCTGATGTTGGTCCGTTGAATTCGGCGGCCCCTTGTATCACTCTGAGAATCCGGGATAGAGGTGGAGGGATACCACCCGAAACATTACCCAATATTTGGTCCTACAGCTTTACGACCTTCAACAACGAAGAGGCTGCTGCCGCTGCGGACAAAGGAATCTCAGAAGGAATTAATGCTATCGCCAGCTCCGGGTCCAATCACAGCTCAATCGCCGGACTAGGATACGGATTACCATTGGGCCGAGCCTATGCCGAATACTTTGGAGGTGGTATTGCTGTACAGAGCATGTTCGGTTGGGGTACGGATGTATATCTGACCCTCCAAGGTATCGGCAGAATGGAAGAAACCAAAAGTGTCCCGAACGGCGATGAAGAGTTTAAGGTAGAAATGAGCAAGGGGTGAAAAAAAAAAAAAAAAGGCAAGAAGTTTCCGGTTTTCTTACGTCATTCTGTCTATCTACATCATGTCACGTAAAGACGGCATGTATCTTTCCCGACGCCCTATCCGCCAACCTCTCCTGCATGACCAACCCATACATCTCCTTGGTCCACCGGCAGACGATGCGTCGAGTATCTTTTGGATCGACAATTTCTTCGATGTTGAACGGTTGAGCCGTCCTTACCGGATTCATCAAGCGCACATACTCATCCTCGAGCTCCTTATACCGCTTCTTGGCGGCATCAGGTCCTTCCTTTTCGCCGATTTGTTTCAATTCATGGCGATGACCGACTTCAATCCCTCCATCGAGTGGGAGACTTCCCCAGTTTCCGCTTGGCCAGGCAATACGCATCCAGGGCTCGCGAGAGTCGAGCATCACGCCGCCCGCCACGCCGTAGACGCGACGTGTGATGACGGAAAAGATCGGTGTGGTCGTGGAATAGTACGCCTTTGCCAGTTCAACACCCCATTTCATCGTGGCGGTTCGTTCCGCGACGGTGCCGATGGCGTAGCCAGCTGGAGGAGAAGGATCAGCCACATTTAGAATCAATCATCCAATCACACAGACAAACATCTCGCCACTGGATTGATATGTGGAAAACCGGGGAAGAAAAAGGGGAATGGTGTGGGAATACTTACGAACATCCACAAACTGCACAATAGGCAGATTAAACACATCGCAAAACTTGATCATCTTCATCAACTTCTGGCTGCCCAACGCGTCCAGCGCCCCCGAATTAACCTCGCAGTTCAAACTGAGTATCCCGACAGGACGGCCCCCCATCCGGGCGAGCCCCGTGATCCCCGTCCTTCCCCAAAGCCGTCCAATTTCAAACCACGTCCCGCGATCCACCACGCTCTCAATGATCGTGTATGGATTATACATCCTGGCCTTCCGCCGTGGAATAATCGAGCGCAACGCGATATCTTCGCGATTCACGTCGTCTGTGCACTCGACGCATGGCGGGGCCTGGAACATGCCGCAATCCGGCAGATAGCCGAGCACTGTACGGATCTGGGTAAAGCATTCGTCTTCGTTCGCCGCGAGATTGTCGATGGTCCCATTCGTACAGTGAACAGCTGGTCCGCCGAGGTCTGAAAGACTGAGCCCTTCTTCGAACGTCGCGCCTTCGACGACCTTCGGCCCCGCATTGAATAAACTGCCTATATCCCCTGCCATCACGCTGAAATGTGTGCTGACGACCCTCGCAGCACCGAGGCCGATGGCCGGCCCTACCACCGCCCCTAAATTGGGGATCCCCATGTTCAACTGCTTAATGACGGTTGACAAGACCGTGACGTGCGGCACGTAACTGAACCCGTTCGTCAGGATCGTCGAGACGGATCCGCCCCCACTTGAGCCGTCGACGAGCTTGACGACCGGAATCTTGAGGCGGAGTGCCAGTTTCTCGCAGTGGATCGTCTTCAACATGACGGCCCCGTCTGCGTGGCCGGAACGAATGCTGAAGTCGTCGGCGGTCAGGTAGATTTGGCGGTGCATTCCGGTGCGTGGACACGTGATGCGTCCTAGGCCCTGAGGGTTGTTGGAGGGAATAAAGGATTTCACATGTTCGCGCTGTGGGTAGTCGGCGTCCTTTTCCCATTCCACAGTGCCTGTGACGGAGCCGAATTCGCGCCACGAGTTTGGGTCGAGAAGTAAAGAGATACGCTCGCGCGCCCACAATTTGCCGGAGGTCTTTTGGCGGATGTATCCTCTATTACTGGGGTCGGGAGTTGAGGCGATGCTGCGGAGTCGTGAAAGGTGAGACATTATGTCGGCGTAGTCTGCCGGTAATTCGGAGGATGGATCAGAGGATTGAGATTTGGATCGAGATTTGCTCCTAGCCTTGCGGGTGCGTTTGTTGTTGGCTTCGGGTTCCCCTTGAGGAGGGGAGATTTGGGAGCTGATTTGACTGAGGCGGCTGGATGCAGTGGATTGAAATTGAGAGGGAGAACAGACTGGGTCGTGGCCTGGGATGATTTGGCCTATTCCTGGACTTGATCTCTTGGGTCTTGATGCCGGTGCTGTTGGTCGGCTGTAGATCGGGTCATGGACCTGACTCCGAGGAGTGGGAGTTGGAGTTTGACCTTCTTGGTCTTCGCCCGCTGCCATAGCTTGGGAGGACACAGGATCATCTAGTCCTGTAGTGTTCGAGCCGGAGGGGCGAGTGTAGGATTTGTGAGATGGTTGAGAGGGAGAGGTCGTGGGTTGTGAATAGACTGGATCATTGATCGTTGTTGACGAGGGCCCCTCTGAATCGTCCGCGCCGGTGAGGCGAGCAAGTCCCTTTTTCGAACTCATATGTATTTGATCTCTTTGAATGATGCTCTCTTGCTTTTCCTCAAGCAGAGATGAGAAAGATGATCCGGAGAGGGAAGAGGGAGAGACCTGAGGGAGTAAATCTCGACAGTCCACTCCCGGAGAGCTTTGAATGTGAAATTCCCTTCTCTTGAAATGATTCCGACTTGCCTCCCGCTCCCAGGAAGTTGAATGTGAAGACACGAGGTCACTCAACTGGAGATTTTACCAAAAGGTGTAAAGGCCTCCCCACACTTTGACCAGTTCCAGATGGTTGTTCCGACATCAGCCTCGGCTCATTGACTTGTTGCACCCGCAAAGTGTGGAGATGATTGGCCGTGAACATCAACATACCCGATGGCAATCTATGGTATGTGGATTCAATATCATCCTCTTGGAGTCGTGATTTTTATTGATGAAACGAATAGACTGGGTGTTGACAGATCTGGTGCCTCCTGAATTTAGAAAAGACCTCAACAGCCGTCACCATGCCACCTCCCCAGCGACCCGTCTCACGCATCCTCATCACGAACCGCGGTGAAATCGCCATCCGGATTCTACAATCGTGTCATGAACTACCTAATCCACCCGCCACGTTTGCCATATACACGGACAATGACAGCACCCATGTGTCACTGGGCCGGCCTCACCACGCTATTAAAGCACCCGGCTCTTCGTCATATGTCAACATTGACTACCTCATCAGCGTGGTCAAGGAGAACCAGATCGACGCTGTGCATCCCGGCTATGGCTTCCTCAGCGAGAGCGCCGAGTTCAGTCGGCGTATGTGGACGGAGGCTGGTTGTGTGGTTGTCGGGCCTGGCTGGGAAGTCCTGGAACGGACCAGTGACAAACTGATGGCCAAGACATTAGCCGTTGAATGTGAAGTGCCGGTTCTCCAAGCCATGGACCGCCCAACGGGCTCAGTGGCTGATGTCCGCCAGTTTGCAGGCCAGGTCGGGTATCCGTTGATGATCAAAGCCGTGGACGGCGGTGGCGGACGAGGAATCAGACTGGTCACAGGCGAAGACACTCTCGAGAACGCGGTGCAACGATGCATCGGCGAGTCGCCCAGTCGACTTGTCTTCGCGGAACAAGCGGCCGTCGATGGCTTCAAGCACATTGAAGTACAGATCATCGGCGACGGGAGAGGTGGAGTTAAACACCTCTGGGAACGAGACTGCAGTGTGCAGAGGAGATTTCAAAAGATCGTCGAAGTGGCTCCTGCCCCGGTCCAAAGACGAAAAGTCGTGGTCCAAGTCATTGACTCGGCGGTCCGAATGGCGAGGAAACTAAAATACCTGGGTCTCGGGACCTGGGAGTTCCTGGTCAACGTGAAGGCGAGGACGTTTTTCTTCCTGGAAATCAACCCCCGATTACAGGTCGAGCATACCATTACCGAATGCATAACGGGGGTGGATCTCGTGAAGGAACAACTTCTCCTCATGCAAGGAATGCAGAAATCCGAGGACTTGAGGCTTGGAGAGTGGTGGGAAGCCGACAAAGCTCCGGCCGCAGCGTCGATTCAATTACGGCTCTGTGCCGAAGACCCCTTGTCAGGCTTCTCGTTGAGTATCGGGAAAGTCACCGACATCCAGTTTCCCATGGGGAACGGTGTCAGAGTCGACAGCCATTTGTCGCGCGGAGGAGTCGTCGGTTCGGACTTTGACAATATGATGGCCAAGATCATCGTGACGGCATCCACGTTTGAAGACGCCGTCGTCAAAGCGCGCAGGGCCCTCGAGGATACCAAAGTCGTCGGTGTCAAGACGAATTTGAACCTCCTCAAAGCGATTCTCGCAGACAAGACTTTTGCAGGCGGAAACGCGGACACGAGCTGGCTGGAGAAGACCCTCGACAGCCTCGTACAAGTTGGCGAGCGGCTCGCGAGTCAGACCGAGAAGCGTGACGCAGAACTGCCGACTCTATCACTCAGCAACGCCAACCAGGCGTCGGGGATGGGCGGATCAGGGACAGTCTTCCGAAAAGGAGACGCCTGGTCCGTTGTCCTCGAGCAAGCGGGACAGTCGTCGACGAACAAACCACCGGCGCACCATCTCAGTATCGTCCGCGTGACAAGGAACGAATTCCCCGACGCCCTGATCGCTGATGTCTCGTATACGGTCCCCGGTGTGAAGCCGCAATCCTACAAGATGACGCTGAACAGCACGTCGGCGTCCGCGGACGCGACGGCTTCGGCGCATCGGCGTGGCGATCCGAACAATAAAGCACACATTGTATTGCCGATCAGTGGGAAGTTGATCGAGGTGTTGGTTAACGAGGGCGATATGGTCCGGGAGAACGAGGTGATTGCTTTCGTCAAGCAGATGAAGATGGAGTTGGAGATAAGGAGTCCAAGGGCCGGGACGGTCAAGTGGGCGATTGAATTGGATAATGAGGAGGAAGGGGATGATGTGGCGGAGGGGATATTGTTGGTTGAGTTAGAGGATGACGACGCGAAGAAGCCGGAGATTAGATCTAGATTGTAAGATATCAACATCAACGTCAACGTCGGGTTTTACACATATCTGTCTTATTGGTGGTACATACGTAAATGTACTTACTACTGATGATGATGGTGGTCATCATCATCATCTACTAGTATGGTATGGTAAACCCGGAGTGGCATGAGTGTCAGTCATGCCTCTCGCAATAGAGCCAATACTTCATCCGGAACAAGAGACTCAAACATGCTCTTTTCTCTCGGGTCCCAGCCAAGCTGTCGTAGTCTTTTCGCACAACTTCTCGAATTACAACCAAGGGCAGCCGGCGTATACTCGCTCCAGTGATCGTTTCATTGGTATGGTCTTTGGTTTAGGATCTTTCATCCCCCACGAGACGTCATGTCCGACTTTACAAAAGAAATACGAATTGTTTACCCAAGGTTCGTGGCTCGAGATGGTGCAAGACGGTGATGTAGACCTGGGCAAGGTTGTCAACGGGGAGTCATAATGGCTATTTCCGTATACGTGCTGCTTAGCCGCTGTCGTGCTTCGGTTACGGCGAAGTCGATCTGGCGATGAGGCGCCGAGTCTGAGAGCGCGTCGATTTCCTCGGTTTTGTCATCTGAGTAGAATTTGTCTCTTTTGAATTCGTCCCTTGATTGGTCGCTGAAGAGACTGGCTCCGCTGGTGTGTGAAGATGGTCTTTTGGCCATCATTTGCGCGGGCTTCGATGCCGGAAATCATTGTCTCGACGGGCAGGAAAATGGTCTGCGGTCGCGGTATGGATGATGTCACTGGTGATGGTTTGAATGATGATGATTTCTGTCATCGAGGCTGTCGAGGATTGTCTTTGCTCCGCTCTATTGAAGCTCAGCGGTGTAGGACTCGCGACAAACGAAAGTGGTGACAGTGTTGTCTTCGGCCAGAAGACAGCTGAGGACTTCTCGGCCAATGAAGCTGGGTCCGATGGAGGAAGATGGGAATTTTGTCGGAAGTGGACTCAGACGATGATAGACGTTAGACGATTGAGAGGGTCCCGGAAGTCCGCGACTGTATGCTGATGACATTAATAGTTCCGTAGACCATATCCTGTGTGTCATTCAGGTGGGTCAAAAGTTGCAGAATTTCATGTTGGAGATATTAGGAAGTCAACAGACAACATTCCGCGGGTTGTTATTGAATGAATCCCCTCTGAGCAGGGTGGTGAACAATGCTTCTGGGATCTCTTCCGGAAAGCTGAGCCAGATATATCAAACCTACCTCAGCTCTCCAGAAGAGATCCTGGAAATGGAAGTATAGGTCATCTCGAATATAAAGCCGGCCGCATGCCGTCGATGGTGTGATTGAGTGTGTTATACGTCGTGATATGTGAAGAGGAGAAAATCGGATGATCATTTCTCCATATTCCGCAGTCGTCATTCTTCAATCTCAACCCTTATTCTTTGAAGATTTTCCTGGGACTCCCTGCTACATGATGTCGCTAGAGATCGTGTCTTGAATCGACTGGACAAAGCTCCGTTAGCGATGGGATGACAAGTATGATCGAAGCATCCTTCGCACAGAAGAGGGAAGCCAAAATCAGAGAGAGATTTGGTCATTGACCTATGTCATCTGATCTGGATCAGAAGCAAGAAGCATCGAAGTATTCTCAATTCGGTAGCGGTCGCTTTGCTTCGACAATGGCCCCAAACCCCACTTCCGATCGGTACAGTTTCACAAACTCGAGTCCCGCTGCTTCGAGGATCTTCTTAAACCCTTCTTCTGACCGTTCTTTACCCCCCATGTTGAAGATTCCAATGTCCATGGCCGCAATTGGTAAATCGGCGGGAGTAGTTCGAGCCGCAAAGCAGAAATCGGCCAGGAGAACAACCGAATCGTATGCCATGGCTGGGACGATGTTTTTGAGAATGTCGATGCATCCAACATCGGAATAGTCATGCATGACGCGCCGAAGGAAGTATGCTTTGGCCCCTGCATTCTGAGGTGAGTAAAAGATCTCTCGATGAGTGGGGTTAGATGTCGGGCCCCTACGTACCAATCAGGGTTTGTGGCGTGAAGAAGTCATGCTCCATTACAGCAACTTCTTTCGGTAAGATCTTCCTGGCCTCTTCCGCAGGTTCTTTCAGTTCCTGTAAAACGAATTTATGAGGTGGGAGTTTTGGATGCGCCTCCATGATGCGCATAATCGAATGACCATTCCCGCCACCAATATCAACCAGGATGGGTCTGTCGCCATCTGTATTCAGCTTGCTAAAGTCATAGAACCCCGTCAAGGGTACGGTGGCATCAGCATGCGCCAGACCTGTTTGGAAAGCTTGGAATCGTTCAGGATACTGAGCCATTACTTCCCAAACTGTCTTTCCTTCCTCGCCCCATCTCCAGGTATAGGGTGAATAACGTTGATCAACGGGTTCTTTGAAACCTTTTTCCTGAAGGAAGCCATGGAGGTTGTCGATGGCGAGGAATCCTTCGTCATATACCAATTGGAAGAACGTTCCAGGACCGGGCGTTGTCGCATACGCAAGCGAGAATTTCGTATGAGCATATTCCATGTTTTCCAGCTGCCTAATGAAGCCAACACACACCGCCATGCGCAAAAGTCGTTCTGTCGATGTGGATGAGAGGTAGGTGTGGGTCGAGATGGGAGCCTTACATACCTAGTAATGCTTCTTCGGCCCCTGTCACTTGGGACAATGCAGTTAATGAAATAGAACCAGCAGGAGGCATGCTATGAAACGCTTTCAAATGCAGAAGTGTTCGAATGGCTACCAATTCCATGGCCTGCAAAGAGCGTCAAGGAAGGATGACGAGATGGGTACACACTTTCCACCGGCTTACCTGGGCAATATGCACCCCTCCCATGTCTGAAGGATCAGTCAAGCTGCGGATAAGTTCCTGTGCCTGAGAGATCATCCTCATCCTGCTTCCGAGGCCGACAGGCCCAGGAGCAGCATTGTAACTGTTTGCGGCATCGGCAAGTTTTTTGATCTGGGTTTGGAGTTCCTCGGGCGACGGGAAGTCTGAAAGAGCCATCATAGACGAACCAAACGACTTGAACTACTTGAAGACAACCAAACCAGAAAGGAAAAAAAAAAAAGGACTTGATAACGAGCTTTTGAGGGAAAGCCCTCCCTCCCTGGGCCCTCGCCCCCGGAAAGGTGGATTCCGCGCTTGAAGCAGAGATCTACATTATCTCGCAGTCATCGGTCCACACTGCCTTTGAGAATTTTCATGTTGCTTGCCCCTCCCACCGTATCGCAAGTAGTTGTAGACAGTAGTGAGTGAAGTTGATCAACCAACCGCGGAAGCTCGAAAGTGATGCACAGGCCAGCAAAAGCTAATGTCACCGCCGAGATCAATGAACGATCACTAGGGATGCGAGCAGCAACGATAACTTCCAATGACCTTGGTCTGAACAGAATCAAGGCGTCAAGACCTCCTGCGTGGAGTGGTGTGAGTGGACAGTATTTGGCAGGAAGAATGCAACAAGTCCGGAACGGAGAAGAAACTTCAACGTCCACCCAGTGATAGTGCCGCCCCCCCCCCGGTGCATGCCCAGGGTCTCGCTCAATCAGTCTCTCACGGCACGGGCTTCGATGCCACCACTCTATGCCGCGAGGGGGCTAACAATGAAACCCACATTGGATCCCAACCAAGGAGAGTAAAGGCCTCTACACCCCGGGTTATCCGGGGCAGCTCCCATTTTCTCCCCGAACAGAACTACATTTCCTCTTGGTCTACCGACCCAAATAAAGGAAGAGAGTTGAATCCGTCAGATCAAAAGTCTGCTCTTCAAATCTCGACTTCAAAGGAAGCACAACAATCTCGTTTTCTCGAAACCTTTGTATATGAAATGACCACCGGTGAAAGTCACCAGTTCATTGAGCCCGATTTTGACGATGAGGGGTTCGCCGAGTCCACTCACACGAGCTATGCCACTTCGATAGCTTCTGCGATTCGCCGAGGAATAGAGGAAAATGGCCGGACATATCCTGCTTTTGGCAAACATCAATACGGCCTTCCCATTGACGAGGAAGAGCAAGACCGGAACGACTTGCAGCATTGCAAGTTTGGACTGCTTCTCAATGATCATTTGTTTCTGGCCCCGATCACGTCACAACCTCAAGAAATCTTGGATCTCGGAACCGGATCTGGTATTTGGGCAATTGATGTGGCGGACAAGTACCCCACGGCAAATGTCCTGGGAGTCGACCTTGCGGCCATTCAACCGACTTGGGTTCCTCCCAATTGTCGCTTTGAAGTCGACGATATCGAGAGCGACTGGCTCTATCACCGAAACCACTTCGACTTTATCCATGCCAGGGAATTGATCATGGCAGTTCGCGACTGGGACAAGTTGATTCAACAAGCCTTCGACCATCTTAAACCTGGTGCTTACCTGGAACTCAGTCAATCGGTACCCGACGCGCATAGTGATGATAATACTCTGCCTCTCGACAGTGCGTATCGGCAGATCACCGAAATCTTTTTTGAAATCGGCGAGAAAATTGGCGCGTCAGGACATGCCCCCAAATCTTTCAAGGAGAAGATGGAGCAAGTTGGATTCGAGAATGTTGTGGAAAGTCGCTTCAAGATCCCCAACAGTCCCTGGCCCAAGGATAGGAGACTAAAACATATTGGCCTGTTCGAAGCCGCGCACCTTGATCGCGGCACTGAGGGGATCCTCATCCGAGGCATGACTGGTGCTCTAGGTAAATCAAGGGAAGAAGCACAGGTACGCAAACGTTTATCCCCATCCTGATTCGCCACTGTAAATGGTGTTGATTCATGTCCTTTTTCAGGTCCTCTTCGCGAAGGTGCGGCAGGAACTGAGAGACCCGGGAATTCATGCGTACATATATTTGTGAGTTTTCTCGTGATATTCACCGTTCAGGACTGAACGTCATTTAGCTACGACATTTATGGGAGAAAGCCTCTCGCATCATGAGAGTTTTCAAACGCAGTGAACAAGCACCGCTGATGAACCCAAATGTCCGTATCCCGCGATCATGGGAGCCGCCCCAGCACGGCACGGGAGGATGCTAAGACTTCGCAGTGCATCACCCATCTTGGTAGAAGCAAACAATCTCCGATGACAAAGAACCTCATCTGACGGCCGCCTGGATCCCATCGCCCATGGCAACTTGAAGCTCTTCTTAAACTCGAAATTCGGCGGCGTGAATGAACTGGGAAGAGCAATCGTTGGTCACAACGATCTCATCACCTCAATCTGTGTCAAGATCCGGAAAGATGAAAGTACCGATCTCATACCCGATGTATTTATGGGAATGTACACGAAGCGACGAGAAGTCCGGTCAACAATTTAGGTCATGGTTTCATTTGAGCAGGATCATCTCTGCCATTCAACAGACCTTTCATGACTTTGCAGGACAGTACCGAAATCTACGACAAAGGACTGGGGGAAGGAAAATGGCCAGCCTATTGTCTTCAGCCACGGTGGGCCTCTCAGTACTGATTGCTGCGAGATTGAGATGTTTTTCCTGGCCAACAAGGGATACCTTCTGATTGCACACGATCGCCGTGGCTTCGGCATGTCTAGTCAGCCGTGGAACGGGAACGATATGGGTAACTCTGCCAACGACCCGAACCAGTTATTTGAGATGTCGATCCTAAGAACGCTGCACTCGTTGGTCACTCTGCAGGTGGTGGAGAGACTGCGAGAATTTTAGGATGCCCTGGGATCAAGTCATGACTCAAAGGCCGTACTTGTCACAGCGTCACGCCTCGGTTGGCGGGAACCGAAACACATCCTGATGGGATACGCGCGAGATTTACGACGGGTTTCTAGCAACTATGGAAAGTGATCGAGCTCAATTATATCCCGACATTCCTGCTAGTCCGTACCATGGATTCAATCGACGAGGAAGCAGAGGATAAAATTAGTCAGGGCCACATTCAATGCTGGTGGCGGCAGAGTACGTTGGCCGGTTTCAAAAGGGCGTACGATTGTGCCAGAGTTTTCCCCGAGACCGACTTCACGGCCAACCTGAAGGAGATTGATATCCCTGTATTGGTGCTGCATAGCGATGATAACCAGGTGACTGGACGGCGAGAAAGGGAAAGTTCAAGGCGCGTCTCACGGCCTCTCCAACGATAATTTTGGCAGAGTCGGTCTCTCCCGTTTTTCCTAAATTTCTGTCACTCTTCTTCGCCCTGCAACTAGACCCCATTTTTTGTCTGGACATTGATATATACAGATGCTTGAGAAACCGGATACGGCGGCAGACCAGGTAGTTTTAACTTGTCGTCGTTCAGCAATTTGCGAGCATCATGGCCAAACAACCAGTCTCTTCTAGTTGACTCGCCCCAGTAGATCGGGTTGGAACTGTTGTCGTATTTCATCAGTTCGTCGCGACGCTCTTGTTCGGGCCCATCGTACAGATGCCACCATTGTTGGAGGACGCGAGTGTTGCGGGCGACAAAAGCGGCGCGAGGTCGTCGTTGCTTCTCATACGCGCGCAGGGCGTCAGGAATATTGTCGAAGTGAGCCAGCGCTGCTTGTAGAGTTGCGGCGTCTTCAGTCGCTTGCGCGGCTCCTTGCGCCATGTACGGCATCATCGGATGTGACGCATCTCCGAGTAATGCGACTTTGCCACTTGGATGGACCCAGTGTTGAAGTTGGTCGAAGTCCGCAAGTTTCCATTTCAGATATTGCCCTGTCAAACTGCAGAGTTTGCGGACAGGGTAGCACCAATCTGCGAATCTGCGGACGAGCTCGGTGTTGTCAGCTTGAGATTTCCATTCGTCTTGGTCGAGCGGCGGGCCTAGGTCGCTGGAATGCGTGATGTCGATGATGATGTTGTACAGTTCTCCCTCGCGCAGTGGGTAGCCGACGGCATGTCCCTCGGGACCTAGCCAGTGCATTGCCCAGGGTTCGGTGACGAGGTGCCGGGTCTGAGGGTCATCGAGGAGTGGTTTTGCGGGCACAAGAATTCGATAAGCGACATCGCCTGTGTCAACGGGTTCGATGGGCGAGTCATTGATGCTGTTCCGTACAGAAGATCTGATTCCGTCTGCGCATACTATGAGGTCTGCATGGTGCCATTGTCCATCTGCTGTCTTTAACGCTGGGGAATCGAAGTCATACTCGACAACTCTGCTGTCCAGGCGGAGGACGATGTTTTTCTGCCTTGTTGTAGCGTCAACGAGGATATTTATCAGGTCCGCTCGATGGATGAAATAATAGGGTGCTCCATATCGAGATTCGACGTCGGAAAGGGGAATATCCAGAAGTACTTTGTTGTCTTTCCAGTCGAGAAATCGAAAGCCTGATGAAACCACCTTTTTGATGGAATCAAAGTCAACACCCCAGGATAAGCTCAGGCGTGAGGAGTTTGGTGGGACACGAATTCCAGCCCCAACCTGTAAGCCAATGAGGATGATTACACAGACACAAAGAGAGAGAGAGACTCTAGGAGATGGAGTAAATATCGACATACTTCCTGGAATTCCTTGACTGATTCAAAGACAGCAACTTGGTGGCCGCCAGATGCGAGTGCGAGGGCGGTTTGCAAGCCACCTATGCCGGCACCGACCACCAGGACATTCAGATTTTTCATTTTGTCCCAATGTCTCTTGCTGGAACCAGACGAGAGGGAAATGTGATTGGAGATACGTGTTTCCTTGCCGTTGATACTTACCGTACCTTGGGTCGATAAATATACCTGCGAGTATCGAGAGGAACTCCCTTGGATCCCCCCTCAGTATTCAATTTCTCCGCACAAGGTCTTTTAGTTGGGGGGGAAGAGAAACGTGGGTATGTGATTGTGGCCATTGCTCTTATCGGCTACTTTCCTGAGATGATGAAACCTTTTAGGGACAAATTATGGGGAGAACGTAGTGCGCGATATCGGTGCGATGAATCATCCCGAGATTCACAGGTAGTTGAACCCCCCATCGAAAAAACAATGAGGTTGACGGTTTAAGCGCAGTACGGGTGAATAGAGTCGAAAGGAAATGCCCATTCATGGACAGATGCTCCTTCAGTTTTCATGAGAACGATAAGGCCTGGGATTGAGATGGTCACCGATGGTCTTAGGACTTCCTTTACCGAGATACTTGGCCGAGGAGGATGACATTGGCAGCCGCAGGAACTCAGCCGGATCGGCAATGTTGACGAGGCTTGGTGGAAAAAGGAGCTGATAATGGAAGTCACCCGGCCAGCACGTGCCATATTACTTTCCTTGGCAATCCCTTGTTCCAGCGCAGGCATCTTGATTTCTGATATTCCATCACGCAATCTCGATCATGAAATTGCTCTATCCGACAATTAGGCAGAGACCGACTGGAACTCAACCTCCCTGCACCTCTCCTTCCATCCATGGCCCTGCCTCTTCCAGGCTCCCCTTCATCTTCATGGGTCAGGTTCGTAGAACGTCTTAAACATTCTTTCAGTGGTGCAGATCCACGAGTCTGCATAGCTTTCTGGCTCTTTGGTAAGCCTGATCCTGGAGAATCATTCGTCGCCACTACACGGTTCCCTTGAGCGCTATCAACTGTTGCTAAAGATTCTCAGGCCTCATCAACAATGTCCTCTACGTGATCATTCTTTCTGCGGCCCTCGACCTTGTCGGTCCCAATGTTCCTAAAGGAGTTGTTCTCCTTGCCGATGTCATACCTTCGTTCCTTACCAAACTCTGCGCTCCTTACTTCATCCGTGTCGTTCCCTACCCGGTTCGAATCTGGATCTTCGTGGGCTTATCTGCCGCCGGCATGCTCTTGATCGCATTCACACCACCCTACACTGATGGCGGGAAAATCGCTACCAAGATGACCGGTGTTATCCTGGCATCTCTGAGCAGCGGTGGTGGAGAATTGAGCTTTGTTGGCCTGGTTCATTACTACGGACCGTTCAGCTTGGCCGCTTGGGGAAGTGGAACCGGAGGTGCTGGTTTGATCGGAGCTGGAGCATATGCATTGGCCACTACATCACTTGGGCTCAGTGTGAGGACAACCTTGTTGGCGTCTGCTGGCTTACCGGCGGTCATGCTAGGAAGCTTCTTTTTGGTCCTGCCGCGAAGTCCTCTCCGCTCCCACTCCGGGAAGCGGCACCACAGTGATCGGGCCTGGGATGATGACATTGAACGTGAGCAAAGAGAAGGGCTTCTTCCTTCTAACGAAACTCCCAAGCCCACTTTCAACTCACGTGTGAAGACCTCGTCCGCCTGGACCACTTTTACACACCATTTAGCCAGGGCCAGGGGTCTTTTCTTCCCTTACATGCTACCTCTACTTCTGGTCTATGTGGCCGAATACACCATCAATCAGGGGGTCTCGCCCACTTTGTTATTTCCTCTCCAAGAGACCCCCTTCCAGCACTTTCGGGCATTCTATCCGACATACAACGCGATCTATCAAGCTGGAGTCTTTATTTCACGATCTTCCACGCCGTTCTTACGAGTTCACAATCTTTACGTACCATCATTCTTGCAGGTGGCCAATTTGGTCATCTTGACATCACACGCCATCTTCAACTTCATTCCGAGCGTGTATATTGTCTTTGCTATCATTTTCTGGGAAGGCTTACTGGGCGGCCTGGTCTATGTCAACACTTTTGCGGAAATCAGCGACACCGTCCCCAAAGAAGATCGTGAGTTTTCATTGTCGGCTACGACGGTAAGTGATTCGGGGGGAATTTGTATTGCCGGTTTTGTCAGCATGGCGTTTGAGGTTTGGTTGTGCCATTGGCAGGTTAGACGCGGGAGAGACTACTGCAAGAAGCTATGACGGAGGTCCGTGACGAATCTTTTGGCGTCGGATATCTTTGTTCTGGAGTGGGACCGTGTCGGTCATACTTGTTCTGTCAGCGATCTATCCAAACGCTCAATATGGCTTGATTTCGAGATGACGATGATGGCTCACGAAAGTCATCAGCAATCATCGGGAAGACAGGAAGATTGCTCCTGAGTTTGACAGGTGATGGGTTGAATGTTGAGCCTTGGAAGTAGACCCAAAGAGAACCCCAAACAGATCGAACCATCGTGGGCATTCGGGAGGTAGATTCCGTGGGTTCACGTCCAAGAAGTCGCTGCCGGTACTTTCTCGCTACATGTTGGTGAGCGGTGATAGCTGTCAAGATGCCACTAGTAGCGCCAATGGACCGTCGTGGATGTAGATCGGGAGATGCCGAGCCACGAATCTGTGGTCAACCTGTATGGGAAGAGAAGCCAGTCGGAAAAATGTGGGCTCTTCCAAGCAGCTCGGAGCCGCACAATGATATTAAGTCATTGGGAGACTTTCTGCTGGGCCATTGGCCTATGGAGAAGACTGTAACTGCCTGTTCCTGAATTTTTCAGTCTGTTTCGGTTAGGCTCAAGTCACAAACTTTGGGCCGAATGCGTCTAAATTTTCATAGTTTTGTTCAGGGAACAACCTTGCCCGCTGCTTTGCCTGTCAGGGCCCCAACCCACGCCCCAACGCACCGCGAAAAGCCACCGGCATGCTCTGTCTCTTTTCCACCTTGAAGAAGTTTTACACTTTTTGGTTTGCCATCCTTCACCTCTGCTACTGCTTCATATCTTAGCCGACATTTGTAAAGCACAGCGCATTTAAGCCTGTCTTCTATCCTTCGTTCTCGCCTGAGGAAATCGAAAACTCTCCTGCCTCCTCCATCGCCGCCAAGAGCAGCTGCGATCGACGTTCGGACAAGTCAAGAGCGAGCCTTATGGTGACCGCACGTGCACATGCCAAAGATCGCCGAGTTTGTACGCAACGATGAACCCATGAGACGATGAGGAGTTCTCTCTGAGGGGTAGCATAAGAAGTTGATTTACTACGAGCACGGATCTGTATGCATAGCAGCCCGACATTTGACAAGTCACGACCACGCCGGTATCGTTCTTCCGAGATCGAATCTGCAATTCAACAGTCCAAAGGCCAGCCAACGAAATAGACCACAACATGCAAGAGTATTATTCAACGCGGACTAATCAGTATGATCGGTCAGGTCCCGAAGAAAGACACCGAATGATCTATCCGGCAAGAGACGATGCAGCACACGGACAAGACGATGGACCCAACAAAGGTCCGTATCGGCAGCAACCCCCATATGAACATTATCCCCATCCTTTGTGGGCAGGGTCGTGGCTAGAAGGAAGATGCCGAGTCAACCACCGTGAGAAAACAGAGCAAGGTACGTCTAAAGTGTGAGAGAAGAGTGGCAGCAAAATGCCTTTGCGAGACTTGTCAGCGAAGGAACTTGATCTTGCGCCGTGCCAATGGGAATCGTGATACTCGGCAAGCTCGTTCAACGTGAAGCGACGCAATCTTTGATGCATGGTGCCGCAAGCCCCTGTTTGTCAGCATGCATTGGTAGTGGGGGGATTAACGGTCATGCCACCACAAGAAGCAGAAGCAAAGTAGCAGCGGCAGAAGCAGCAACAGAAGGTGAGGACGGACAAAGCCAGCAGAAGCAGCAAATGCAACACACCAACATCCTTGATGAAGATGAAAAAATCAGGCCTTCACCTTCACGAACACGGCGACACGAGCAAGCCCAAAAAAGCAAAAGAAAATTAAAGCTTCACCGTCAAGGGTCAGGGGGCCCCGAAACAGCAAGAGAATGCCCAAACACCCGCGACCGCTTGCACCTTTTGGATGCGAACGACGTCATTTTTCCCCCTCCCCCCCCAAAGAAAAAAAAAAAACCTATGCTACGCTTCAGGTTTCCGTGCATGTGGCGGGCGGTTTTGCCATTTGGCGGTCGGGGAGGCGCCTCTGGGGTCATGACCAGGACTTAACTAGACTCTAGCGGCCGACTCCCTGATTCCTTTGCCTTACGGAGCCTCTAAGACCTGACGTTAATTCAGTCTAGGGGAGACACCCGGACCCAAGCTGAGCTCTCATCCCCGTTTTGGTGCCGCGACTCGGGACACATTTTGGTATACCTTAACACCGCCCCTACCGGAAAGGCATCCACATCCACATCTGCATCGAATTGAACCCTTGTTCCCAACTTAGGGCCCAGGGCCCGCGCCTAGCCCTGTATGAAGGGTTCGAGTCTGCAGAATGTGTGTCACGCCGCTTGTCGATGATGCTTCTGCTTGTTGTTGTTCCTGCTGCTGGCGTCCGTCGCCAAAAAAAAGCTGTCCACGTCTGCCGTCCACCGCATCCTCGTATCCACTGCATCTGCCCCATCCTATCCTCATCCACGTTTCTTTGTCCTCGCCTTTCTCTCCAACGATTGCTCCCGTCTCCATACTACTCTCCTTTGTATTTGCATATCGACAACACCGCTATTACTGCTCGCCACTCTCTCTCGCGCTCTCAACAGCCTCATGTCCCTGCTAACCTCGATTCTTCTCTCCCACAGTCGTCGTAGCATCCGCATCCGATCCTGCGCAGCAGGCTCCGCATCCTCTGCTGCACCACCATCGCCTCCCTGCTGTTGATCAACATCCCGCATTCGACCATCATACCTCTCTCACATCGCACTTTCGACAACAGATACCGACCACCATGGCCATGCCAGGCCATTCTCCACCTTTCAGCACTCCTTCCAGTCCGCCACGGTCATTTAATGGTACGCTTTCTTGGACCCTGATTCTTTCATGAACCGCACTTGTGAATCAACATGTGCCAGATCATTCGCTCTTTACATCTCTCCATCTTCTTGCACTGACGTCCGAATTAATTTCTCTAACTGATCTCCAGGCTATTCTGAACCTCCAGGTCCTCCGACAATGTACGGTCCTCCTTCTCGCCCGATGCTACCGCCCTCTCCACAGCATTTTCCTCCTCGATTCTCTCAACCTTCTTTACCAGTTCCCTCTCCGGCAATAGCTGCGAACAATGGGCCTCCGCCGCCCCATAAGAGACCAGGAAGTAGCATGTCCATATCATCGATGTTGGGTACCGAACCAGAAAAACCGGTGCATGAACAATATCACAATCACAGTCAACCTTCAAGGACGCGCTCACGACAACCCTCTCTGTCCGGGCCATCAATGACACTGGGCGTGGTCATGTCACCTCCACAATACCCCTCCAAACCGAACACAAATGATTATTCGTACAAATCACGGTCAAAGACTCCAGATCGAGTCACAGGAACAACCACGGGAGGACGACCGCATCGTTCAAGTTCAGGCACAATGACACAACGTCCTGGTCCTTTTTATGAATCGGCGCCGCCTACGCAACCAGCTATGAATACCTTCCCTGACGCCAAATATACGCCTCCCTTTGGTCCGACAGCCACGTCCAAAGAAGATTATCTCGAAGATCACGGTCGTCGCACCAGTATCAGCGGCATTTTACAACGACCAGAGAGCCAACCTCAACCAAGCACCGTCACATCCACGTTTCCTACAGCTTCCAACCCCCCCACCCGTCCAGAAAGTATTCCCCCCTCTCCAGCACAAGTCGATCGACCTATTCAACCACCTATAAACCGTCCTGAACCTCCGCGCTCCAATAGTCACGTCGGGCCATACGATACTCGACCTCCCACCTTGCCGCGTCTTCCACAGGCCACCAGTGTGCCACAAACCGGACCCGCTCAGCCCGAACGGCCCCTTCCACAGTCTTTGTCACCGGAACTTCGACGGCTACACCTCAGTGGTAATGATAACCGAGGACTGGCAGGGATTCTGAATCAGCAACCTGAACCGGTTTTGGGTGCCCAGAACATGATGCGACAAGACTCGGTTCAATCACAAAGTGATCGATCGGTGCTTGGCGATCGGATGCGGAACCGAGCCTACTCGCCTTTCGCCAGCTCCACCGCGTCACAAACCTTCTCTACAGTGTCAGGACCCTTGGATGATCAATTGCGCAAAGGAACCGATGAGTTGTCGCAGCATAGAGCCATTTTAGGTCTGGCCAACGAATCCAAGCGAGGACGATACTCCCCTCTCCCTCAGGCCGTGCAAGGCGCTCAGGCGCAGACACCGGTACCGGATGCTGGCATCAAAACCGAGCATGGTCGAGTTTTCTCGGGCATCGGAAGTGGATTGGGTTCTGCCTCTGCCGGCCCAACTCCGACTCCTCAACCACTACCTGCGAGCCCATTTAAGCGAGATGAAGGTGGTTCGAGGTTAAGTGAGGAAAACCTCATGAAGATGTCTCGAAGTGCCTCAGGGATTAGCAAACGGAATCGCAAAGCTCTCGACGACGAAGTCCATGCCGAAAGTGATGTGGGCGATGTAAAAAAGTCAGGTCCGGGTCGGGGAAAGAGAAGCAAATATCAACATTCTTACAAACTGGATTTGGAAGACGCCACCCTCGGACACCGCACAAGTTCGCCTTTTGCAACGTCGAATCCAATTCGACGGGCAGCCACTCCAACCTCAAACCCCCCCCAACTCGTACATCACCATCAGCTTCCACGCCAGCCTTCCGTCTTGGAAAATACTCCAACTTTCAGACCTAAGAGGACCATCAGGATATCTTCAGTTGTAGCTCTAGCCCGACGCAATCCCCGTCGTCATTTGGGTTTCTTCAAGTACAACCCGATCCTTGCTCCAGTTGACCTGAATAGGCCGACGGCCCAAAAATTCGATGTCTCAATCCGTCCGAATCTCCTGCCATCGTTCACGGACGCGGAGCATATCAACTGTACATATACAGTACGCGTCCCGAGACAATGGATCCAACAACGGGAACGGGGCATAATTTGCGCGGAACGATATCTATGGGGTTCTGGGATCTACACTGATGATTCTGATCCCATTGCCGCAGCAATGCATTCTGGGTTTATTACTTCCGTCCATCCACCGGGTATTGATGAGGCACTGTTGGCGAGAGTAATCGAAGAACAGAATCCTCGGATTGAAGGGAGCATGGCTCCGGAAAAACCGAAGCCCATGGAAGAAAACAAAGACTTACATATTACGCTCCTTGTCCTGCCTCAACTGGAGGAGTATGTTGAGAGCGTACGCTTCGGCATCAAATCGCGGAGTTGGCCGGAAGAACCGGACCCATCACCTCCCACGACGTCTGGTTCTAGAGCAGCAGCTTCGAGCAAAACACCGCACGACGGTGTGAGTTTCATGGTCTTGAAAACCGAGTTCGTCAACGACGGCACAGAAGTAAAACGTGTAGGACGAACAGGGAAAGAAAAAAGGGAAAGACTGCGGAGAGAGATAATGGAGCGGAAACGAGGACTCGAGCTCGAGAAGCAACGAATTGCCATGGCGGAAATGAAAGTGAGGGAACGCCAAAAGGAATTGAAACCCGGACCTGGGTCTGGATCCAAGAAGGCCAATAGTAAAGGGCTCGAGATCACGAATTCGACTTCGGGGACAATGGATAAGTCGTCGAGGAATTCGAAGTTGAAAGATGCGGCGGATGGGGAGAACCTCCCTCCTGACTCACAGGAGCAGGAGAATGAGAACGAGAATGGGACGAGCACTGAGGATATGATGAAGCTTGATGTCGGCCAAAGTCCGGGTGATTGGATCCGTCAACTCGCTGTTGCCACTGCTTAGAGGGACCATCGACGACGGAGTGGAGATTGTCAACACTGATACTATCGCTCTCCATGGGATACTATACTACGATACGCTGAGCTATGCCGACGATAATTCAAGTCGGTCACTTGGGCTGTTTCTCGATCCGTGGCTCTACAAGTCCTGAAGGTCGAATAAATGAGAATGGAAATGACAGTGAAAATGAAAACTCTTCTATTGATGATATACGGTTGTAACGTGACATGATAGTTGCAAGGGAAATGGTTTGATATATACATTTGTTTCTTTTCCGCATGAAACTTTGCCCGGTCCCTGATGGAATCTGTACAGAACTGAGAAGAAATAGCATAAGTTGGCTTGGTTCTACTCCGCTCCGCTCTGTTCTGCTTTTTTTTTTTTTTTTTGGCCTTGACTGGATGCAGCTTCCATCCTTTTTATTCCCCTTAGCCATCTGTCCTTCCTGGCACGGAACAAAGCATCCTATTGCCCCGGAGCAACAAGCAACCCCTTCTTTGCAGCATCATGCTCCCAGCCGCCCGCAAGTGCTTCGGCACCTGAACTTGAGGCATACTCTTCCATACGCTTCTCGAGTTCAGGTCTAAAGTGTCGGATGAGACCTTGAATAGGCCAGGCAAAGGCTTCGCCCAGAGCTGTCAAAGACAGAAAATGGATCAGTACTGTCCATAATCTTCTTGAGGGCGAGAGTTTCAGAGGTGAAACGGGGAAAAACCTACCGCAAATACTGTGTCCTTCAACCTGTTTGGTGAGCTCCTGTAGCATATCGATTTCTCTGATACGGCCTTGGCCCTTTTCGAAACGTTCCATCATCTTGGCCGTCCAGGCGCTGCCTTCGCGACAGGGCGTGCATTGGCCGCAACTCTCGTGTTTGTAGAAGGCGCTCAATCTGGCAATCATGCGGACGACGTCAGCAGATTTGTCCATCACTATCACCGCCGCAGTGCCTAGACCAGATTGCGAGTCCTTGAGCGCGTCAAAGTCCATTAGTTGGTCATCGCAGACGTGTTTGGGCAAGATCGGGGTCGAGGAGCCGCCGGGAATCACGGCTTGCAGGTTATCCCACCCGCCGCGCACGCCGCCGCAGTGTTTTTCGATCAGTTCGCGGAGGGGGATCGACATTTCCTCTTCCACCGTACACGGGTTGTTGACGTGGCCGGAGATACAGAAGAGTTTGGTGCCTTGGTTACGTTCGCGGCCGAAGCTAGCGAACCATTTCGCTCCGCGTCGGACGATGGTAGGACAGACTGCGACGGTTTCGACGTTTGTGACTGTAGAAGGGCAGCCGAATAGTCCGACAGCAGCTGGGAAAGGAGGCTTCAGACGAGGTTTACCGGCCTTGCCTTCGAGGGACTCAATTAGGGAAGTCTCTTCGCCACAAACGTAGGCACCCATGCCGCGGTGGAGGTAGATGTCGAAATCGTATCCGGATCCGCATGCATTTTTACCGATTAAACCCTCCTTATATGCCTCTTGGATCGCTCGTTGGAGGACAGTAGCTTCGTGGTAGAATTCGCCGCGAATATAGATATATGCTGCTGTGGCGTTCATGGCGCGGCCGACAACCAAACATCCCTCAACGAGCTTTTGCGGGTCCTTGCGCATGATTTCCCGGTCTTTGCAGGTTCCAGGCTCGCCTTCGTCGGCATTGACGACAAGGTATCGGGGCTTTTTGTCATTTTCCCAGCCTTTGAAATTCATGAATGACTAGAAAGGGGTGTCCTGATATCAGTGCCTTGTGTCTCTTCCTGGTGCCTCCGTAGCGAGAATGGTATGGAACATACGAATTTTAAGCCCGAAGGAAAGCCAGCACCACCTCTTCCTCGCAGACCCGACGCTTTGATCTCGTTGATCAACCAGTCATGGCCTTTTAATATGATGTCCTTGGTCCTGTACCAGTCCCCATATTTCATTGCGCTCTTGAGATCCGTGCCATGATGGCCATAGAGGTTCTGGAATATCCTATCCTGGTCCTTCAGACCTCCATATCTTCTCTGCCGAGGTTGTCCTTCTTGAACGGTGGCGTAGGAGCGGGTTTGGAGGGTCGAGGAGCTTGTGGCGGCAATGGGGGGGGTGGCAGATCGTGAAGCTGTCTTCGCAGCCGCTCGAGCCACGGTCTTAGTGGCTGAAGACCGAACAATCATGGCGGTCGGTATGTGTTTGTCGTGAAACACCCGTGGGAGTGAGTGGAAAAGAAGAGAAGCAGTCCGTTATTATTGAAGTCAATATCGTCGATGTCGTCTGGCAATGTCCAATGGGGCCGTGGTGATTGGCTGCCAGCAAGTGCTACGTGAGATTAAATGCTTTGCCGTAAAACGCAGTTTGGAGAGCTCCAGTACGCGAAAACCCCTGTCCTTCGCTTTCATTATGTAATGACATATAATCAGTATGAGTAATTTTTGAAATACGTTTAAATGACTTGAATGACAGTCACGGTGAAGTATAGTGCAGAAGAATCTTACTAGTAAAACTTTTGATCTGACGGACGTTAAGAAAGGCCCATTACACGTATTAGAGCTCAGACCCTTCTGGCGCCGCCAGAAGGGTCTGAGATGCTGAGACAATTTTCCCCCCTTCTTACATTGTTCCAAAGGCTAGATATGGGCTCCGTAATAAATCCACTTCATCTTGACATCTGCAGATTCAGCCAGCTCCGGTATTCCTGGTACCGCTGCCAATAGATTAGAATAGATGTCGACTCCTGGCCTGAACCAGCGCCTGCTTCTCTCGATCCCAAGATGTCTGTCGGAACTCGTACCATTTCCTCCTCCATGACATTCCATCCCCAACATATCCTCTCCGGTCGCAGCCATCGTTTTATGTTGGAATCAACAGGCATCGTTGGAGACATGGCAGCTCGGGCTGCAAGGAGACTCACTAATGCCGCTGGAGGTTCCTCGCCTGGAGCCCATGGTCCAAGCGTGGGGACATGTGCCCATGAATCCCCATGTGGTGGATACCATTCCGCCAATTGGTGGACCCATTCAGTGATTCGATGTGGCAGTTTTGTTCCATAAGCATATTCGCCGTACAATGCTGAAAGAATGACCGCAAGGCGAATCTTATCGAGATTTACTAGACTCTGGCCTTCTCCATTGGCGGTAGAATCAAGAATATTTTCTAGCTCAGATAAACATTTCTTCACGGTCGAAGATAGACTGTTGGGAAGCATCGCTAGGATGGCCTCGCAAGTGAGAAGTTCAAATTGATGACTAAGGCGTTTGTGTCGTGCGGTAAGAGTTTGAAGATTCTGGAAAACAAAGGCAGAAAATTGAGGTTGCAATTGATCGAGGATATCCTTGGCTGAAATCTCGCTTGAAGCTGACTTGAGGACGAACTTGCAGACGGCGACGGCTGTTTCGACTATATCCAATTGACTATCCCGATAGATCTTTGCATGATGTTGTTTCGAATTGAGAGGTTCGACAGGAGGTGTCTTTCGAGCTGGATCCGTGGCTCTCAGTCTCTCGGCACGTGCAGAGCAATCTCTCAGCAGCTGGCTTAGGGTTGCCAAAATGATTCGACCGTCTTCAAACTTGGACGTTTCACCAAGACAGTAGCTCATCAATGTCTGCTGTCTCGAAAACATGGTTTGGAGCTCACGCTCATTCGCACACAAGACCGAGATACTGTCTAGCAAATCGAAGGAGAAAAGTGACGTTTCTAATGCTATTGCTGATGTCGATTGTGGATGTAGGTGGTTGAAAATGAAGCACCGCTTCTCTGGATCTGACCGGAGATCAGGCTTCCACGTTCGAGCCATGGCCAATGGCGATCCAGGAGGCGGTCTGATGCTGATCACAAGGTGGTCAAAGGGGTTGTTCGGGATCGTGAAGCCATACGCCAGAAGCAGGCCCTCGTTGTCGCGGGGACCATAATTGTTACAGAGCTCCTCCCCGGATTCGTACGTCTCAAGGATTTGGAGACCGACAAAACTATACCTGGCTTGCCATTCGACCTTTGCCCCTGGTTTGTGGTTGAGGAGGTCTAGAAGTGGAAGGAGAACTGCAAACCGGTGAGAAAAGAGTTCCACGAGACTATATGGGGCATCTTCGCCGGCAGGACGATGAAGATATCGAGCTTGATCTGCCGGAAGAGTGTCTTCAAGGACTTGTGAAGTGAAAGATCGGCTACCAAACATCGTCGCAGCCCACCGGAAACGAGACCTGTTCAGACATGAGTGGAGCTGGTCAGAGAGATCGGTCAGTTCTGACGTACCAGGTGTATTCGCCGTTGAGAGCGTTCGGCCAGCGCAGGTTCTTGAGGGCGCCCATGCCCTGCAAATACATCTCCTTCCACTTGGCAGTCTGAGTCGACAGCTCGTTCTTGAGGTTAGTACCCTCAAGCCAAACCACGTCTGTTTCTTCCTCGAATTGTAAGTCTGTCACCTCTTGCACAGTAGGTATGGTGGCAATATAAGGAGCCCACCAAGATTTCTCTCCAAGGACCAATTGCTCCATCAAAAAGAAAGCCTGTAGAGATTCAGGTTTGGGGGAATGGCTGCGGAGGAAAGACTCTGGGAAATGAGTGCCATGACTTGAAAACGGTGAAATATCAAGAGCATTCAGAACTGATAGTGTAATTCGCATGGGACAACTCGCCACTCGAGTTCCAGAAACGAGCCTCGTGCCATCCACCACGACGGCATGGAAGCCCTTGCGTATACTAAAGGCAATTTGAGCGTCAGGATGAAAGTATCCATCATTGGCTAGAACCCAGTCGACAAGCTGCCGATGATTATCAAAGATATCAGTGGCTTTGACGGTCTGCTCACCCATAGGCATAGGAATCGTCGCCCTTTGTGCTTGAATGTCGTCGACACCCCGACCCAGGCTGGTATTATTAGGCTCCATACTGAACTGTACGCGAACGGGATCACAACACCGGAAACCCTGCGAAAAGGTAAGCTGGAACTAATGAAATGAAAAATGAATGATACGGACATAGAAATGCTTCAGAAAGGAACCACATGTGGAAGTGAAGGAGCGGTCAGAAAGTAGAATTGAGCTGCGATAAAGGGAGAAAGGGAGAAAAGGGAGAGGAGAAAAAACGGCCCTTTGTGTGACATGGAATTTAATATTAAGTTATTTTGACAGTTGTTTGCCCCTCATTTGTGTCATAACGTGTTCGCAGGAGATGGGCCACTACGTCTCGACTACAGACATGGAAATGAATCATTGAACAAGATACTGAAGGTCTCCAGGCAAGACCCTCCTCGACGAGAAGATGCCAACTCTGATCTTGATGAGGAAAAGCGCGAGAGTAAGCGAGTTCGGCCTTCTCCAAGGCTCCCAGCTCCAAACAACCCCGAAGTTCAGGAGGAATGGATGAGCGGACAAGTCCTTGAACCTGGTCAAGGTTATTTTCGATGCCGTATCAATCGCAAAGGAAGACTCGTTGATACCTCTTCACGGCCTTTTGATTAGGAAGTATAAATGGTTGCTCACTTCTCTTTTCGCCCATGTCCGTTTCTCCTCTCACCCCCGGCCGCATATTGAATTTTGGAACCATTAGCCTCGTTCTGCACACGCAGTCCTAGCTCCTCCAAGGCAGTTGAAAACCAAGAATATGGCTGTGAATGGAATCAACGGTGTCAATGGGACACGTTCAAAGCATGATATTTCGACGTTGAAGGTGAACCGGTCCCGGTTGATGGATGCTATCCATACAGGATGTAAATATGGCGCAGCTCATCGATATGGAGAGTATGTATTCCAAAGGGCTGCAAAGGAAAAAAGAAAACAACGGTAATAACGATGAATAGTCACCCTACGGAGACCGGGATGGCCAGGCTAAGTCTGAATGATGCCGACAAGCAAATTCGCGACTGGTTCATGGCAGCTGCCGAATCATTGAATTGTAAGACCAGTGTTGACCAGATGGGAAACTTGTTTGCCATTAGACCGGGCAAAAACTCTTCGGCGCCTCCTATCATGATGGGTTCTCATCTCGACACTCAGCCAACAGGTGGAAGGTATGATGGCATTCTTGGTGTCAACGCCGGTTTGGAAGTACTCAGAGTGTTGCATGAGAATAACGTCGAGACTGAAGGAAGTATCGGTGTTGTCAACTGGACGAATGAAGAAGGCGCTCGCTTTCCGATGATGGCTGTCTCGTCTGGTGTGTGGGCCGAGGCTGTCCCTCTGGAGACCGCTTGGGACCTCGCTGAGGTATCTCCCGGCGAAGATGGTCAACGACGGACCATGAAGCAGGAACTCGAGAGAATCGGCTATCTTGGGCCACAACCCGCGTCTTACAAGGCCATGCCCATAGCCAGTCATTTTGAACTCCATATCGAACAAGGTCCGAGTTTGGAGATCGAAAAACGGAAGGTTGGGGTGGTGAAAGGTATCAGACTAATCCTGCTACGGGAGCCCGCGCTGACAACGACGAGGTGTGCAAGCATTTAAGTGGTTCGAAATCACAGTCAGGGGCCGTGACACACACGCTGGCACAACCCCGTTTCCTGCTCGAATGGATTCCATGCTATGTGCGGCTAAACTTATTGTCGAATCCAACGCCATTGCAAAGAAGCACGGTGGCCTGGCGACGACTGGAATCTTGACCGGTCAGCCGGGCTCTATCAATACCATGGCTCACACCGTTACCTTTACCCTGGATATCCGGCACACGGTGGACGAGAAGCTCTCTGAGATTGAAAAGTCGTGTCGGGAGGCATTCTCAAGGATCTCAGAGAAGGAAAGTGAAAAGGGCTGCAAGATTGGATGGAAGGAGCTCGTCGACAGCCCAGCCGTGAATTTCCACCCTGATTGCATTGCCGCTGTCGAAGCTAGCGCTAAAGATGTTTGTCAAGACCTGCCCATGACTGCAGAAGATGGAGAGCTGTGGAGATATATGATCAGTGGAGCTGGCCATGACAGTTGCTATACGAGTCGCCGCTGTCCAACGAGCATGATCTTCACCCCGACCAAGGACGGAGTCAGTCATAACCCTCAAGAGTATTGTAGCCCTGAAGATTGGTAAGTCCTATTCACCTTTTGTGCGAGATATGTATTTTGACGATGAATCAGTGCTATTGGTACCCAAGTACTACTTGGGGCCGTGCTGAGATATGACAGGCTGCGGGCTGATAGAGGAGATTTTGACTGATGTTGAGACTCCTAGACGCTCTGCGCAAAGGGGAGAAGGAAATAAAAGAGAAACGATCGTCTTACATGCCACGTAGCCAAATGAGCAGTTCAGACCGGCAGCCTTTGTATCCACAGATTTACCGAGAGTTTCCTCAGCCTGGCCCCCGATCTTGGCAATCGTTTCCGCATCCGATCCAACTTCTTTCCAACCAAGGAAAAAGAGGAAAACCCGTTTTTTTTTTTTTTTTTAACAACCTGGGACCCGAACCAGGGTGTAAGGAAGTGAGAACCTCTACCTGCACAGAGATGTTCCCCTCGATGGTCGATGGCGATGATTTTTCCGAACGCCAGTTTTCATATTGATTCACTCTCCGCCTCAGTGGAGACACCAGGAGAGCACAGCGTGAGACCAGTTTTTGGGAATTCAATTCGTAAATCTGTGAGTTTTTGGAGCAGCTGATCGCTCTATTGTACATCCATTTTCGTCGCCGTCGCTGTGCGGTAGGCCAGAGTCTAAAATCCTTCGAAACTCTCTATTGATCTGCTCGCAAATAGGCCCCCGACATGCCTCTATACGAACGCCATACGCCAAACTCGTGGCCCATCACCCTACAAGGAGTGACGAGCTGTCAACCAAGACACCGGTAACAGGAAGGGAACGGAACGCTTTCTTTCCCGGCGTCGTTTCTTTCCAAGGAATTACTCCCAAGCCTCGCCTCTTCAGAGAACCTTTCATGATTTCCCGTCACCTTGTTTTCTATTCCCTTCTCTCGTTGGTTGTTTCGGAGGCTTTGGAGGCCGCACGCTATGGTCTGGTTTCTTTCCTTCCAGCCGTTCGACCTCCCTCTCCCACCGAGAAAAGTAATGCAGCATCTCCTCTTCACAGTCACGCTTTTCACTCTCCCTGCATCCTTTCAAATTCACAACAAAGTCTCCCTCTTGCCACATACTATCGTGAGTGCGAGTTTCGCCTGTCAATGGATCTCGAGTCGGGGGAGTAGCGAAATTGTATGAGTTGATCTTCCGCTGTTCAATCAAGACCAGCTTGGCTAAGATGGTCGGGTGCCATTGGACGAGATGTTCAAGGGCGTGATTCTCTGCCTTCTGGAACGCGTAGGCGCGATATAATGGGTCGAACCATGCATCGAGGAAGAAGTGGGCCCAATTGTCCGCCGTGCTAGGCGTAAATGGTGTGTTGCGGAGGATTAATGAGGTGTGTGCAAGGTTATCCACGTCTTGAGAAAGGATGAGGTGTGTGCGAGAGGGTTTGAGGTATGAAAATGTATGAATGACCGAATCAGGTGGAACAACCGGGACATCTTTCCGCATTAGAGAGTCAAGTGGTTGTAGAATGTGAGACTCGAGCGATAGTGAAGGATTGGTTATCAGTGCATCTGCAGACAGGGACCAGAAGAAAATACTTGACGAATGTTCTGTCAAGGCATGACGGAGGGCTGGGATGACCGACCACGACGAGGGAGCAGGGTCGACCAGGGGCGAGTATCTGGATATATTTGTGTAGAAATTCTTGTATCCTGCAGAGTATGAGTCTTCCTATGGAGGCCCAACACAGGGCACTGCACATACCATGTCGAGTGGCGTAATGGTCTCGGTTCGCTCTGACCATTCGCATGTAGTCTTCGCTCATTGACTCGTGGTCAAAGACGGTAACGAGGACGATATCTTGACGGCCTTCAATTGCACTCGGACCATCGTCGGGATCTTCCGCGGAGCCGGAAAGAATGAACTTTAGGCCCAGGGACAGGGCCAGTAGTCCTAGCACTACGAAGCCGAGAAGTTGTAATTGCTTGCGCCGTCGTTGAGGGGTGGATGCAGTGGGAGCGTATCGTGCATATGGAGGAGGATGGGAGGTCTTGCGCGGAGGGAGCGCGAAGTGCATGTCGCCAACTGCGGAGGAAAGAGTTGATCAATCAAGAATTAAAGAACTCATCGTGGCTTTCATGGAAGCAAACGGACTGTAGACACGGAGGGTGAAGGTGAAGATGGAGTTTCCTCAGGGCCGCTCCACATTGCGTGCTTGGACTTGCGTCTTAAAGGTTGTTCCTTGATCAGACACCGCCAAGAGGCCACACATTAGCAACAAAGATTTGTCTAAACCCTACTGGTACTTGTGCATTGAGGGCCATTTTGCGGAGTCTTGACTGAAATACATTGTCCCTTTGGGTTTACCAAATGCCTGGGAGCATGGTGTAGCGCTTTTTCTTGTACTTGTCCCCAAACTCCTTCCGGTACCTCCGTTCCTTCTTGCTTGCCCACTGACCCATTTGAGCAACAGAGACAAGGAGGAAGATCAAAATCCCCCAGCTAAGGCCGCTTACCAGGTACACCCCAATCCATGAGATAGTTTCGGTGAGATAGTTGGGACATGTGACGAGATTGAACAACCAGCCCTGCGGAATCCCACGCTCTGTTCCGCCCGCACTTCTTAGTCTTTGCAAGGTGAGATGCGTTGAAAGGTTTCCCACTTCGCCAAGGACGAAGAGAAACAGGCCCGGGTATAGGAGTCGAGGGTTTGCTTCTTGAGCTGCGGCAGAGGATGGGGAATAAATAAAAGCTGCCGTCAAAATTCCCGAGAGAACCCAGTAGTGAAAACTGTTCTTAAAGATGTTCCGAATAGGCATGGTAGCGGCCGAAAAACGATGAACAAAGACTGTCTCCATCTCTCGCTTCACAAAATGGAGGCAAATCAGCCAGCATAAAATGACCTGAAGTTGCGAGGGGTCTTTGGCTGCTGAAGGATATATATAGGGTCGGAGGGCCAATGCCAACGGATGTATGAGGATTGGCCCGAGGTATTCGATAATGAAGACAGTTCGCCATGCGATTTGTGTTCCAAGATCTTTCACATAAACTGTACTTTGATCTCGCAGGCCAGTAGAGTATACCGACGTGTCTTTGGAATTGACAATCACGCTGCCGTCTGAGCCTTTGGTGACGCGGAGTCGATGGGCAGAATATTGGGATTGTCGTGCGAGTTCTGAGTAGACGTCGGCGGCGGTGGCATTTGGAGGGAGATCAATAGTTTCGGGTAAGGACTTGATAGGTTTCCCTTGGAAAGAGAATCAGTGCAGGCACAGGGCTGTATCCAGAATGTCATGTACGCTTACCTCGAGGCCGAATTTGGAGCGTGATGGGTTTTGAGCTCATGGTGATCGGATCGGGCTTTGCCAATGGATGAACGCAGATGCTCGGGGGTGAATTACGAAGAGTCAGTCCAAGTTCAGCGATGGTGATGCAAGTTGGCTCCAAAAATATTTGGCGCTGTTGTGGGTGAGGTGCAAGCTGAGTTTGGTGGCCCCTGAGTGGCAGAAAGCTGGTGCTCTTTCGTTGGAGTGCCGCGCTTTCTGTGGCACCATACCCGGAAACTTAAAGGACAGGTACATACAAGAGACAATACTACTGTAGGTACCATGGACAAGCAGCTGCGGCATCGGGCCGCTGCCATGTAGGTACACCTCTGTCTCGCTACCCCACCCAGCCTTTCTTCTGCATCTCCAATAGCCGCCAGCTATGGTCTTTCACAGGGCCCAGACTTGTCAAAACTGAAGGCGTTGCCTGACCTTCCACTGAATACTGAGCTTTTTCCGAAGAGGCCTGCAGCTGAGCTCGACACTATTGGTGGCTTTCCCCCCCCAGACCTCTCAGGCCGTCAAGGGGCTGGCTGAGAATGTGAAAAATGGTAAAAATGTCATTCCCCCTGAATGAGTTCTACTTCTAATCGACCTGTCACTGAGTTGACTGTACTACCTTAGGTTGGTGAGCTCCATGCCAATTACTACAAGGTCCAGCTCTAGTTTGCTTTCTGTTGTCGCTTCTGCAATAACTCTTCACCTATCTTTGCAGTCTCTCCTCCCGCTCTTTGTGCAAATCGTTGCGTTGAACGGCGCAACGACAGATTCAATATGCCCTCCATCTTTTCCAAACTGAAGGGTATGCTCTGCATCCCTGACAGCTCTAAACCTCACTCAGAGAAAGCAGCTTCCAGAAAACCTCCGCCACCACCATCGGCCCCGAAGCCGGCCGAAGATGAACGGCGACGGTCTTCTGACACATGCAGCTCTGCCTCGTCGAGCGACAGCAAGCGATCCGACCAAGTCTTGGAAGTCCTTAAAGCCTTCAACCTCAAGAATATCAAGACAGTCGCAGACGTGGCTATGATCGGTGTGGATGGCGAACCCGTCGACGACAAAACCTATCTCATGGAACGGATCATTCAACTGGCAGCAGACCTTCCCGTGACCAGCAGGACCAGCGCCACTTTGACCAACGCATTTCTGAATCAATTGTGGACAGACCTACAACATCCACCCCAGTCGTATCTTGGTACGGAGTACATCTACCGTAAGGCTGATGGCTCCAATAACAACATTCTGTGGCCTCATCTTGGCGCCGCTGGCCAGCCTTATGCTCGGACCGTACGTCCCAGGCGAATGCAACCCATTGATCGCCCTGATCCTGGACTTGTTTTTGATAGCCTTTTGGTGCGAAAGGAGTTCCAACCCCATCCCAACAAAATCTCAAGTGTGTTGTTCTATGTAGCATCGATCATTATTCACGACATCTTTCACACCAATCATGAAGACTACAGTATATCCGACACTTCCTCCTATCTCGATCTCGCTCCTCTCTACGGAAGCAGTCAGAAAGAACAAGAGTCCGTCCGGGCCATGCGTGACGGCATGCTGAAGCCCGATTGCTTTGCCGACGTCCGGATCCTGGGTTTTCCCCCGGGCGTGGGAGTACTTCTTATCATGTTCAATCGCTTCCATAATCACGTTGCAGAGACTCTTGCTCTCATTGATGAAAATGGCCGCTTTTCGAGGATCCTCAATCCCCAAGGCACGCCAAAACCTCCCAATGCCCAAGCGCTCTATGACGAGGCCCTGTTCCAGACCGCACGACTGGTCACAACGGGCCTCTACGTCAACATTATCTTGAAAGACTACGTCAGGACGATTCTCAACTTGAATAGAGTGGACAGTTTGTGGAATCTGGACCCGAGATCCGAGGAAGGAAAGGCGATTTTTGGCCACAAAATCCCGGAAGCGACCGGAAATTCTGTCTCGGCTGAATTCAACCTCGTTTATCGGTGGCATGCTTGTGTCTCGGAAAGAGACGAACAGTGGACAAAGGACGTATACACCACACTCTTCGGAGACTACCCGACTCAAAGTCTGGGTGCGTTCCTCTCTGCACTTGATGGGTGGGCAAAGACTTTGAGCTCAGATCCATTGAAAAGGGAATTTGCCGGCCTTAGCCGGCTACCAAATAACAAGTTCCCCGATGAAAAGCTGGCAGCAATATGGACAGCGTCTGTCTCGGACATCGCGGGTAGCTATGGCGCTGGTCACGTCCCGGCGATCTTCAAGAATGTGGAAATCCTGGGGATAATACAGAGTCGATCCTGGAATTTGGCCAGCTTGAATGAGTTCCGGGAATATTTCAAGCTGCAACCCCATGAGACTTTCAAAGATATCAATCCCGATCCGATAATTGCGGAGCAGCTTCGACGTCTCTACGGCCACCCTGACAACGTCGAGATCTACCCCGGGGTTATCGTTGAGGCCGCCAAAGAATCAAAACTGCCTGGAAGCGGACTGTGCACCAACTTCACCACCTCTCGGGCAATCTTGTCGGATGCAGTCGCGCTTGTTCGCGGGGATCGCTTCTACACGGTTGACTATACACCAGCCAATCTGACAAATTGGGGTTTCAATGAAGCAAGTTATGATTTGTCTATTAATTACGGATGCGTCTTCTACAAGCTTGTCCTCAATGCGTTTCCCAACAGTTATCGACCAAACTCCATCTATGCACACTATCCATTGGTAATTCCCGAGGAGAATAAGGTAATATTAACTGGGCTGAAGAAAGCGGACCGTTACAACTTCGACAAGCCCATGGACCTCCCAGCACCGGCGATCTTCAAATCCGTCGAGGCGTGCAGGGCAGTGGCTAATGATACGAGTGCCTTCCATTCCACTTGGGAACCATTGGCATTTTCTTCGGGGTACGGTCTCCAAAAGAGTCGTGAACAAGCTCCAATACTCGCCCAGAAACTGATGGAACATGAAGGGCTGCAAAGTGCTGCAGCTACTTTCTACAAAGACACCATTGCAAGCTTGGTGAAGAGTGAATCTTACCAAGTTGGGGGAACTCGGCAGGTTGATGTCATACGTGATGTTTTCAATGTCGCTCACGCACGGTTCGTGGCCAATGTCTTTTTCTTGCCGTTGGGTTCCAATGGAAAAGGTCGTAACAAGTACGATGAGTTTGACATTATCACACTCTTGTCTGCTGTGTATGCTTGCACAAGCCCAGAGCAAAGTTCGGCACATCGTTTTGTTATCATGAAAAAGAAGCAAAGGGGGATTCGGCAGCTGGCAGAGCACGTTCAGGAGGACGTCGACGGTCTCATCAGAGGAAATTTTGGTCTCCACTCACATTCCACTGTCCAGCTCCGAAGCTATGCTACTCAGGCCATCCAAGCAGTCTCGAAAAGCGGATTATCGCCAACTGAGATCGTATGGAGTCAAATTCTCCCACTGGCCGCAAGGATCTTCGTTACGCAATCACGCGCATCTGCCGAAGGCATCGACTATCTTTTCGGTGGCGGGCAAGCGAAGTTCCAGGACTTGCAGGAATTGCCAAGAACTGGGACTACGTCCTCGGGCAAATTTCAATCATGTGTTGATGACATCTGCCGCATACTGCCATCGACACCCCTCTTCAGGCAAGCAGCATCATCGAAAATCATCGTAGATGAAGGGCGTCAAGTTGAACTTTTTCCAGGACAGATTGTTCTCTGTGAAGCAGTAAGTACCATTCAGGCACCCATTTACGAGGTCCTTGAACTGACAGTGCCGGCAGACTGCGGTGACTGGTGATGGTGGTACGACCTCCGAGGCAAACGGGCCTGTAGCGGTTGAAATATCTCTCGGAGCCCAACTAGGCAAAGCCATTGTGAGCGCAATGCTCGAAGTGCTCTGCCAACTTCACAAGGTGAGCCGGCCAGCGGGCGCCACAGGCCGACTTCGACGCCTAAGACAGGACAATACAATTACTTATCTCAATGTTGAGGAGAGCACGAGTATTCCACATCCAAGCTCGATGAAAGTGAACTGGCAGGAGTAATGGGAGAAAAGGTGGCGTCTCTTCATTCGGTACTGGACTGTTAGTATTTGGAGTTATGGCCATAATCTCCCGTTGAGGCAATGAGATATTTAGTCGTATTGTAGAGATCATGTCTCGTTCAGTAGCCCAATGTGAACTGAGAGCGAAACTTTGATGTTTGTGAGGCAGCGAAGGTGCAGGCATATGCACCCGCACCAATAAAAAGTGAAGACAACGTCATTGCTCGAAATTTGGCCCTGCAGACCAGACGCGCTGCAAACCGCAAAACTGTATTGCAAACCAACGCAGACCTCTTCATTCATCCATCTCTTCTTTAATCAACGCTCTGGTCTGCAACAATCGCCAGTCTTTCTCTCATTCATCTTTTCATCACTGTCGATTGTACACTATTTCATCGCCGGTTTGGTTTAGTGATACTCTTCCAGATAGCACGGCGTTCCGGTTCGGGTGACCTTGCCCCAACTACGACGCCTGGTACCAACAAACCGACGACACCGATTCAAATCCAGACCCTCTCTTCCGACCGAATTAACACGTTGACTCATATCACTCCGGATCCCCTTCCATCCCTAGCCCATCATCATCTGGTGACATCACCGACATACCTCTCCTCGGCGAAACCTGCACACCCGGTCGAAGGCTGGACTGCGCTTTCACGGCTGAATATCATTCCACATCTCTGATGCAGCTTATGCTGCAACGTCACGGGGTCTAGAGAAGATGGGGAAGGTTACAAGGAAGCCACAGGAGAAACACAAAGTGTCTTTGGTAAAGTTGATCGCTTCGCCTCTAACGACCAGGCTAACATCGCTGGACAGTCACCTGCGGTGTCGGATTTCGTTACGAAGGTGTCCACCGCCCCTCTCGCAGATCTACCGGCTCTTTTCAACGGGTGGTCGCAGAGATGGCAATATCCTCGTGGCGATCTGAACAACTGGATCGAACCTCTTGACCGTTTCGACAGTATCCTGCAAAAGTTCAGCAAAACATATGGACTGGACCGAGGTCCCCAGACCATACCTTTTGGCCTCTCGCTACTCCTTGAGGAGTGCCCGGGGATCGACGAAAAGAGACTTAAAGAACTAGGGTTTGGCCCAGAAGGTGATAGAGAATTGATCGAGGCTGTTTTGGTCTTTTCTAAACTGCTGGTGGAAAAATGTGCGAACCGAGCCGTCTACAATAGCGCTGACCGGTTGAACGATCTTCTGAATACCACATCGCTATCTTTGCTGCACAGTACACTGCGGATCACATTCTTCCTGTCGCAGAAACACGCACAGCGATCCGCCGCTTCACATCATCTCGCGGCAAAGTTTCACGACTTGGATCCTGAACGCCTCCAGAGACTCGCTTCCCCTCTTGGTAAACCTCTGCCATCCGCCGTCAAGCGTGGAACGACATCACCCGTTAAGACGACTAAATCTAAAGACAAGCCCGTACCTGCGAGTAAAGGAAGACGAGGCTCCACGGCAGTGAACCCCAACGACTTTCGTTCTCTTTGTAGAGAGACTGTGTCACACAGTGACCGTGGCAAGTCCGTCGCTGCAGCCGATCGGGAATGGCAAGCATGGGCTTACGTCAAAGTGTCTTGGTCGTCCGCCAGTTCTGAGCAGTCTCCTTCAGGCGAAGCCTCGCAATCGTCTGAAGCCCCGTCAACTCCGACACCAATCCGACAGTCTTCCTCAGGACTCGGCAGAGTTGATATAAATGACTCGCCCACTGGAAGTGGTAGTCGTCCCGCGGCGGTACCAGATGCCCAAGATGTTTCGTCGAGGTCCATTGAGCTTTCTCCCACAGATTTGGCAAACAATACCATCGAGTCGATATTGCGAAATCAGCCCGCTGACTTGCCATCCAAGGCGCGCTACGAGCTGCTGCACCAGCTTCGGGTCGCCTACGGCTTGATCACGTCGGTCAAGACTCGAAAAGAACTCCTTGCTGTGCGACTCTTGTCAATTGCTAGCCTTGCAAATGTCTTCAATGAACCCGAACTCTCTCAAAGGTTGTTTTCAGTGGAACAAGGTGATTCAAAGCCTCAAGAATTGGTCCGACAACTCGTTAGTCTCATTCACGACAATAAGAGAGCCCAGCCATCAGTATCCTTGTATCTTCAAACCATCGCCATGGAGACAATGGGGGTGCTTGGACGTTTCAAGTCATTTGCTTCCGACATTAATACTGCGCTTGGTGCCGGTTCAAGTCAAGGACTTCTCTCACAATTGATCCAAAAAGGCTTGAACGATATTGCCAAGGACAATGATAGCACGGATACCCCAGGGGGTGATGATTGGAGGGAGGCAATCTTCTCTATGCCTAATACTCTGATCGAGGCTGCTGGCCATCATGGACGCTCCAGCGAGGCCGTCATCGCATCAAGCTTCATTACCACCTACCTGTCCGGCTTTAACATTACTACTGGGAAAGCGTTGAGGGTCCATATGCGAATGCTCGATTTCATCAAGACCTTTTTTCATCACTTCAAGGACGGCCTGGCAACCTTACAGGCGTGCAATGCCTTTGAGGCCATTAGCAACCTTTTTGGCAGCCTGGTGAATAATGCATGGGCCCTGTACGAAGCGGGTGATGGTATTCCTCCACAGCACAAGACTCGAGCAACAGACTACGAAATTCCATACCTACATCAGCAAATTATCCGCTCAATCCTTGATATGATCAATGACATCAGCAGCCACCAAGGTGCACAAGCGGATCGAGTATTGAGAAGTTTGGTAGACTCTCAGGCGTTGCTTCGTGCATTGCGTCTTATTACCGACCACTTGGCTGCTTTCGGTGCCCGCACCTGGGGAGAGGTAATTAAAGCAGTTTGTGGATTCCTTCACAGTGAACCAACGAGTTATACGGTCATCTCTGAGGCGGGAATCGTCCAGAGCATGCTGGATACCGTCAACGCTTCTCAGACTCCTTCTAGCCAGGGGCGTGGGAAACTCGTCTCTTCAGCGCCTGTGAATCGCCCTCAAGGCGTTCCACCTGTCACCGAAGCGATAATCAATGTCGCACAGGTCTTTGGTGCTATTTGCTTGACCAGCGCCGGGTTCGACTTATTTAAATCCTCTGGCGCTCTTGAGAAGTTTTTCGAAATTTTTGAATCACCCGATCATGTCAAAATATTCCGCAACGACGCAAATCTTCCGGCGTTACTTGGTTCGGCCTTTGATGAGCTCGTTAGACATCATCCGAACTTGCGAAATGCCGTAATGAGCGCTGTTGTCGTCATGGTCTCTCGTGTGAGGCACATGACCAGGTCACTTGCCGTTAATATCGGAGCAGGTCCAAAACTGTGGCTTGGTTCTGAAGAAGACTTGGCTCCATGTGGTGGTCGTGAGGCCCTTTCGCAGGAGATAACGCCCCCAATTGCACCGGATTTCGATGATTCGTCTTCTTCAAGAGCAATCGAGCTTCCAAATGGCGGAAAGCTGGTGATCGAGGCCGACGTACCTCCTCAAACTGTTGTTCGTGGAACTCCCAGCGACCAGGACAGCAACGATCTAGATGCCAATGACTATGCCAGACCTGCTATTTCCTTCTTGGTGGCATTTTTTGAGAATCAGTCTCTCTGCACAAGTTTCATCGAGTGTGGAGGATACGATCTAGTCTTGGACTATATCACTTTGCCGAGCCTACCAGTTGGACATCAGCCCTTCGATCGTCGTGATGGTCTGTTTCAAGATTTGTCTTCTGCTGTCCATATGATGGTAGAAACGAAGCCTCATCTTGTGCTCCCTCTACTGGCAGATCGGGCACGCTTCGCTTGTTCCGAGTTGAAGCACTTCAGCCAGTGCCAGCCGAAAGACTGGAGTTGTTACTTTGAACCACTCATCAAAGCTAGACCAAACCCGGTCATTCCCGGCAAGAGCCCAGCTCCGGATTTGTCTGAGGTGGAGGTCAATGGCACTCGGGTGGCAAAAGCCATGATGGCTGTGTTTTGCCTGAGTCAGGTCCTCGCCGAGGTGTTTAACGTTCCAATCTACAACCCGCGATCGTCGCAGAGTAATCTTTTTGGTCTTGTCAATCTTGCTGATATCTTTGCTGATATCTGTAACATGATGGGAAGCATCTCGGCTGCCTGCTATCGCGAATACATTGCCCTCCAAAATTCAGTACCCGAATCGTGGATTTCGCCAACCCGACCGGACAATTTTACGACAGGTGATTTCGAAGTGGATAGAATTCTGAATGCTCGCCACCATAACCATCACTCTTCTGGGACTTTGACGCCTGACCATAAGGACAGAGATGGAACGTCCGACTCTGAAGGCGCCAAGTTGGGTGAAGACAAACAGACACCTTTTTACAAAAATGTCCAGACGCTGCGGTATTTACTGGTTGAGGCGCCAGGGGCCATTACAGACTTCTTGTGCCGTTTTGGGCGTGGCATCGCAGGCCGTCGACGTATCTCTGACACATTCTCCAGGCAGAAGACTGCTTTGGCCGCCAATGCTCTTGCTTCAGCATATCTAGCTCAACTTCAGCCATACTTCCTCAGCCCCAAATCCACTCAGGGCGACAAATCCGAAGATACGGAGCTTCGCTTCACATATCTTGTTGTTGCTCTGGATAATGTCCGTCGCAGCTTCAATGACGATAGTCATCATTCCTCCGGGCCGGTGAATCATCCAACCCGGCAAAGCTTCGTCGTGGAAGCATTCCGGAAGGCAGGAGGCATCAAAACCTTGACGAGTATTGGCACAGAATTTTTTGACAAACTGAAGTCATGCAAGGTAGAGCATTCAATATTTCAAGCCAATGCTGGCCTCAAAATTTGTCTCGATATGTTGGACGAGTTCTCCAATTCAAGGAGCATTATGGAATCGGCCCAATCGACCTCTATGAAGAACACGGACCCTACGAGACAGTACTATTTCGTTCCGGCCCAAGTTCTACTCAACCTTCGAATGGAAGCGTTGCCATTGACTCTATTGATCTGGGAAAGCGACTATGCAGATCAGGCTTCCAAAGACGTCGTGCAGAAACTTGTATCTATTCTCAAACACGTGTTGACAGGTGACCACGAAAGCGAGGCCGTTCAAACGAATGCCAGTCAACCTGTCACGGCTCCATTGTCGCCGAAGAAATTCATGATAGACCCCCAAAAGGTCAACCAGCTTAAGGAGAAGGGCTACGATGAAGAACTCGTCCGAGAAGCATTCTACCGCACCAATACTCCGCCAGTCACAAGTCTTACGAATGCAGAAGAATACTGCAGAGCGTTCACATCCAACCCCCGGCGCAGACGTCTTCCAATTCCAGACAGAGAGACCGACATCTCGCCCCACTCCTATGACACTTCAGGTGTGATGAGTCCCCCAACGAATTCTCAATCAAACCTTCTGCCGACTGGACTTTTGATTAATCCGTCAAGCGATGACATTGACGCCGCTCTCGCTGATGTCGCTAACAACGCTGTCGATGAGAACGAGATGGAAGATGTGACAGAGTCCTACCCTCAGACGTCCACTACGCCAGGGGCTCCGGAGAATGCTGCACCAACCGGATCTTCGGCCATGGATATCCAGAACATACTCAATGAAGAAGAGAAGTCTCAACAAGACCGGCCCGAGCCTTCGCAGCCAGAATCACCACTGTCGTATTCTGTTGAATCAATCACGGCTCAGCGAGCGGCAATCCGTGAGGATCTTGCCGATCGCTGTAATAATATTCTCAATAATCATCAGAACCTAACTTTCGAGCTGTCAGACCTGATCATGAGTGCAACCAAGAAGCTGTCGGAGGATCTTGCCAGAGACTACTGGAAAACAACTTCGGATCTTTTGCTCGGCTCCCTATTGTCAATGCAAGTTGAAGATGGGGCCAACGAAGCGCGAGGAAAGAAAATTGCCGCCTCTGCCCATCTTGTGGCTCTGCTTCTTCAGGACGCCGACGTATTCAATGATACATTAAATATCTATCAAGAGTCTTTTGATGGACTTTTATCTTTTCTACGATTACCGCCGGCAAATGGACGTTCTGCAGGGGACTCATTCCCCTGGGTAGCACCTGTCTTGTTGATCATCGAGAAGATGCTGTCGAGAGACTATGAACCAGCAGAAGTCAAGTGGGATCCTCCAACTGATCTTGAGTCCTCTAGCAAGGCACACCTCGTCCCTGTTTCTGTCTTCGACATGGAAGAGAAGCTGGAACTATTCGATACTCTAGTGAATCTACTGCCTCGTGTGGGGAAAGACAAATCTATGGCTTTGGCGATCACTAGGGTTCTCGTCATTCTCACACGAACACGAGAGATAGCTACACGCCTAGCGGACAAGCGAAATCTTCAGAGATTTTTCCTCATGGTCAAACAACTGGCAAACGGCGTTGGTCATCGACTCCAGAGCTCATTCATGATTGTCCTGCGGCATATTGTGGAGGATGACGAAACCCTGAAACAAATCATGCGCAGCGAAATCAAGGCTTTCTTTACCGCACGGAGCTCGACAAGGCAACCTGATACTACTACCTACGTTCGGGACCTGTTTCATCTCGTCCTACGCGCTCCTGACATATTTGTTCAGGTCACCGATGAGATGGTCAAGTTGTCATCATGGCAACCGCATACCGGAAATGGCAGTGTCGGCCTTGTGCTCAAGGAGTCGAAAGAATCGAATCCGGCTAATGATAAGAACAAAGCACCTGTCGAGCCTCCCAGCGAGAGCAGCGATCTTGTGACGCACCCTGCAACAAGTGTTGAAGCCCCGGGGGACTTGTCGGAAGAGCCTAGCAAAAGCAAAGCGCCCGAATTGAAGGCTCCAGTCGTTGAGCACCCTGATGGTGTCATCCACTTTATTCTTTCAGAGCTACTCAATTACAAGGATGTCGAAGATAAAGAAGTTGTCAATGAGAGCTTGTCAGCAACAGGGGCGAACGGAAACAATCTGAATCAAGAACCTACCGCGTCAAGTCCATCTGAGGAAGTCGCTAGCAATGCCCAGGTCCATCCGAAGCCGGAGAAAGTCAAGTTCAAACCAGATGACCATCCGATTTTTTCCTATCGATGTTTTTTGATGTACAGCCTGACAGAGCTTCTATACTCTTACAATCGTACGAAGATCGAGCTCATCAATTTCTCGCGGAAAGCTGACCCGACGGCTGTCACACCGTCAAAACCTCGATCGGGTATTCTCAATTATTTCCTCAATGGACTAATTCCGTCCTGCTACGTCGACAAAGAGGATTCACCACAGTACAAAAAGAAATCGCAGATCAGCGACTGGGCAATCCGTGTAGTCGTTGCTCTCTGTTCCAAGACCGGTGAGTCTGGTGTAAGTGGTCCTCCTCAGCGATATTCCTCGCAGTCTCAGGTCGACGACATGGACAACGAGCCAGACCTAACATTCGTTCGCCGCTTCGTTCTCGAACATGCCATTAAATCATACAAGGATGCAATCACCTCGAATGAACCCCTTCAGATGAAATACAGTCGTCTGCTATGTCTCTCGGATATGTTCTATCGACTTCTGGCGAAGCCAGTCGTCCCTGAAGGCTCTGCTGGGTCTCAAAATACTTCGTACAAAGTCCTTGCTCGGATGATGTTTGAGAAAAACCTCACAGCGGTCTTAACTAGCTCCCTCGCCGATATTGACCTCTCGTATCCTGGATCCAAGAGAGTGATTAAGTTCATTCTCCGACCTTTGCAGGAACTTACTACTTTGGCTACAACCCTTAGCATGACATCTCCTGATTTCTTCAATTCCATGGTGGGAAACATGTCTGACGAAGTGATTTCATCGGCATCCTCAGTTTCTGATGTGGATGAAGAACGGGAAGAAACTCCCGACCTTTTCCGTAACTCCGCTCTCGGCATGCTAGACCCTGATAGGGATTCCGAATCTGATTCTGCGTCCGACGAGGAGGATGAGGATGAAGAGATGTATGATGAAGAATACGAAGACGAAATGGAGTATGATGATGGTATCGGTGCAGGTCCGAATGATGATGAAGCTGTTAGCGACGAAGAAGTTGACGATGAAATGCCTCCAGAGGGCGATATGGAAGGTCTTCCTGGTGATATACCAATGGGCATCGAATTCGTCGTCGATGATCCGCACATGGAAGCTGATACCGACGACGACGATGACGACGATGACACCGATGAGGAGGAGGAGGAGGAAGGGGAGGAGGAGGAGGAGGAAGACGATGAGGAAGACGATGAGGATGCCGGCGATATGAACGTAGACGACGAGAATGACATCCTCAATGAAGGCCGGGAAGATGAGGGCGAATGGGTGGATGAAGAAGGCGAGGAAGAAGAAGGCAGTGAAGAGAATGATGAAATTGCTGAAATTGCTTTCAACGGTGACGAAATGCCTTTGGAGGGACATGGTGATGGTAGGGGTGCAAGTGTCCTCAACAATCTTCTCCGCGTCCTTGGTGATCGCGACTTGGACGGCTCTGCTCACATCCCGCATCCCGTCCCTCCTGAACTCATTGTCCCTGCTGCAACTTCTGGAGACCCTGGCGATGAAGAGGACGAGGATGAAGAGGACGAGGATGGCGACGACATGGATGAAAATGAAGATTTGGAATATGGCGACGACTTCGATCACTTCTTGGCGGTCCGTGGAGCGGGCCACATCGACGATCATGGCGACCACCTGCTCTGGAATGACCTTCCGAACATCCGTCGCCATCGGCAGATTCGTGGTCCAGGTGGTCTTATGTCTAACTTTGTAGGTCGGCGTGTTGGACATCGGGATGAATTGCATGCGATGGGACGTCCAGGTCGCCTTCCGCCACATGGGAGATCTGGAGGCGACGATGGGTTGAATCCGCTCCTCCAGAGACCTCAACAGGACCACACTCGCCAGCATAGAGGAGATGCTCGCGCGCCCAATATTTTTCTTCCTCCCGGCCTTGATATTTCAGCAGTGGGTCCTGTCCCGCCGTTCGGAGCCACATTCCAGACGATCATTAGAAACGGCGATGGCCTTGAGGTTGGAGGCCACGGAGCCATGCTTGATGCCATCATTCAGGCGCTTCACCCAGGAGAAGAAGGGGGACGACTACATTTCACTATGACGGCACCATTCTCGGATCTTCGAAATGTTTTAAGGTCGTCCATCTCAGGCATCGGCCACCGCCATCATTCCCGCGAAGAATCCCCACGCGCGGGCGGCTTCGTCCCAGCGCTCACTCTCACAAGATGGCAAGAAGAGGCGCGGCTTCTTTTCGGCAATACTTACATGGAGAAGGTCCAACGTGTTCAAATTCTCATCATGTCGGTCCTAGTACCTCTTGCTCAGCTTGAAGAAAAGGACCGTCGCCGAAAACGAGAAGAGGAGCAGAAGGCTGAACGCGAAGAAATGGAGAGACTTAGGAGAGAGCGAGAGAAGAAAGAAGCCGAGGAACGCGAAGCAGCTAGAGTTGAAGAAGAGCGTCGGCGAGCTGAGGCTGAAGCTGAAGCAGCGGCTGCTGCCCAAAGTCAAGATCAAGATTCTGCTGACCATGATGACGGCGACACAGAGCCCATGGAAGATGTCCAGGGTACCAATGCAGACACCGGGCAAGAAAGTTCAGAAATTGTATCTGCCGGTAGAGACGAGACTGACTCGCAGCCTCGCGTTTTCACCACGATCAGAGGTCAACAGATTGACATTACTGATTTGGCAATCGACACTGAGTACCTCGAGGCACTGCCTGAAGAACTCCGTCAAGAAGTCATCATGCAGCAGTACGCCACTCGGCGCGAGGAGGCTCGTCAAGAAGGGAACAATCCGAGCGGGATTGACCCAGACTTCCTCAACGCTCTTCCGGAAGACATTCGAGAAGAGATACGACAACAAGAGGCTCATGCCCAACGCAGACGGAATCGCGAAGAAGCTCGCAGACAAGCAGCAAACGCAGGCGGACCCGCTCAGGCCGAGGAGATGGACAACGACACCTTCTTAGCGACTTTGGACCCCGCTTTTCGACGAGTGATTCTTGCTGAGCAGCCGCCTGAGATTCTACGTCACCTTGATCCTCGGCATGCTGAAGAAGGGCGTGCCCATGCCAGACGTCTTTTCCATTTTACCGGTATAGGCGACCGGGATGCTCGCGACGAACGAGCCAATGAAGATGGACCTCAGCGTGACAACAAACGACAAATCATTCAAATGGTCGACAAATCTGGGGTTGCTACCCTACTACGCCTCATGTTTCTCCCACAGCAAGGGTCTCTTCGGACAAATCTTTGGACCATCCTCAAGAACATTTGCGGAAATCGGCAGACCCGATTGGAGGTCATTAATCTGTTGCTTGTTGTTCTCAAGGAAGGATCAACCGATGTGACGGCCGTCGAGCGGAGCCTTGCCAACCTGTCCTTACGCGCCAAAGCGACAACTGGCCAGAAACCTCCTCAACCGTTGAAACGAACTCTGTCAATGCAACCCGCAGGGGGCATCAGCGACGAGGTCACTCCTCTGGTTGTCGTGCAACAATGCCTATCAGCATTAAAGCAACTTGCACATTACAATGTTCACATCAGGACCATTTTCCTTCGTGAGGTTGACACCAATACAACGTCTAAAAAGGGGAAAGGGAAGACCAAGGAAGTTCGAGCGGTGAAATACCCCATCAATGATCTCATTGGCCTATTGGATCGGAAATTGATTGTGGAAAGCTCAACTTGTCTTCAATCGCTGGCGGAACTCTTGTCTGCTGTGACTCAACCCTTGCCAATGATGTTGCGAAAAGACAGAGAAAAGGCGACCGACGAAGACAAGCCGACCGATGCTGAGACTGCCAATCAAGATGAGCGACCTCCGGATTCTGTTGCACCTGCTGAACCAATACAAGCTGGCGGTGGGGAGCAGGACGTTCAAATTCGAGATGCTCCACCGCCTGCTCCCGAGAGCAATGATACCAGTGTCGCTACCAACAGTGCCGCTCAGGCGGGCGAGATCACCGAGTCTACCACGAATCCGAATCCCAACTCCAGTAATGAAGACTCGAATATTGAGGAAGTCAAGTCAAGGAAGCCATTTGAACCCCCAGAAATTTCGGAACACAACCTGCAACTGGTCGTGAGTATTTTTGTTGCCCCAGAATGCAATAGTGATACCTTCCACTCAACTTTGGAGACCATGTCGAGCCTTTCTAGCATCCCTGGTACGGCCGAGGCCTTTAGTAAAGAGTTGATCCACCACATCAAGACACTCTCTCGCGCCATTTGTACCGACTTGGACGAGCTCATACCCCAGCTGAGAGAGGCACAGTCGATATCAGAGATACACGCACTATCTTCATCGAAATTCTCTCACGGAGGGTCTGATCAAGTCAAGCTTCTGCGAGTCCTGCAGGCATTGGACTATCTTTCGGCTCCAAAGCCGGAGATCGGGGAAACAGAGGAAAGCCCCGTGGCCAAGAGCATTTTAACAACTTCATACGACAGCCTGGGCCTTCGTCCTCTCTGGGTCAAATTGAGCGACTGCCTGACCGCCGTTCGTGAGAAAGACAACACCACCAGCTTTGCTACTATTCTATTGCCACTGATAGAATCGCTGATGGTTGTGTGCAAGAATACCTCTCTCAAAGATTCGGTATTGGCTCGTCAAGTTAGGGAGCATATACCTGGAAGTCCGGCCCCTGACGGTATGGACGATCTCCAGGAGCTATTCTTCACTTTCACCACAGAGCATCGTAAGATCCTTAACGATATCATTCGCCAATCTCCGAAGTTGATGCAAGGAAATGGCAGCTTCAGCCTTTTGGTCAAGAACCCCAAAGTCCTGGATTTCGACAACAAACGAGCGTATTTTACCAAGCAGATCCACTCCCGTCTGCATCAACACAGACAAATCCAGCCACCTTTGCAACTCAATGTGCGTCGTGATCAGGTGTTTTTGGATTCCTACAAAGCCTTGTACTACAAATCTGCCGAAGAAATGAAATATGGTAAACTCAACATTCGTTTCAACGGCGAAGAAGGCGTTGATGCAGGTGGTGTCACTCGAGAGTGGTTCCAAGTCCTAGCTCGAGGCATGTTCAATCCAGATTGGGCATTATGGCAACCGGTGGCCGCTGATCGCACCACGTTCCATCCCAACCCTCTCAGCTGGATTAATGGAGAGCATCTTCTCTATTTCAAGTTTATTGGACGGATTATCGGCAAAGCATTGCACGAAGGCCGTGTTCTTGACTGTCACTTCAGCCGCGCTGTTTACAAACGTCTGCTCGGCAAGGAACCAAACCTCAAAGATCTCGAGTCAATGGATCTTGACTACTACAAGAGTCTGTTGTGGATTCTGGAGAACGATATTACCGACGTCATCACGGAAGACTTTTCCGTGATTGAAGAACAATTCGGCGAAGAGAAGGTGGTGGATCTGATTGAAAATGGGCGAAATATTCCAGTGACCGAGGAGAACAAACGAGACTATGTCAATGCCCAGGTTCGCTATCGTCTCACGACATCAGTGCGAGAGCAGCTTGAGAATTTCGTTCGAGGATTCCATGACATCATTCCGGCGGAACTTGTCGCCATATTTGATGAGCAAGAACTCGAGTTGCTGATTTCTGGCTTGCCCGAAATCGACGTGGATGATTGGAGAGCTCACACAGAGTATCACAACTACAATGCTAACAGCCCGCAAGTCACCTGGTTCTGGCGGATCGTTCGAGGCATGAGCAATGAGGAACGGGCGAAATTGTTGCAATTTGTCACCGGCACCAGCAAGGTACCTTTGAATGGCTTCAAGGATCTCGAAGGAATGCAAGGGAACACGTTATTCAGCATCCACAGGTAAGTCGATTGACCTTTATATATATGTCCGCTTCTGATCAATACTGATTTGTCAATTACAGAGATCCAAGTCAATCCCGCCTCCCGACGAGCCACACCTGCTTCAATCAGCTCGACCTACCCGCTTACAGCGACTACGAGACTCTCAAGAGCAACCTGATGACAGCAATCAATTTAGGTGCTGACTATTTCGGTTTCGCATGAGGGCACTTAGTTCTTCAAGGACACGATAGAAGTGAATCGCTGTCCTCACGATTGTAACGGCGAAAATAAGATATGCATCTGCGAGGCGTTATCTCTTCTGCATGGAATGCTTTCAATTTGGGACATGTTGCCGTCGGAGCAACAGAAGCTGGCATATATCAATGGTTGGCAATTAAGCGGTTTGTACCAAAAAGTGAGGGTATCATAGTGACCACAGGTTTGGTTACAACCTGGAGGTAGCATTTCGAGGTGACCAATGGGGGATTGGACCGGGGAAGAGATGTGCAGATCTCAGATCGGAGACCAATATTTCTATTGATCATTCTCATTGATAGATTAGCTAGTCAATAGAGGAGGGTTCCATTGTTCGTCCTGATGGTGTTAGGACTTGATCTAGTCTGAACCCCCGAGTTTTACTATCTTGGCCTCGCCAATCGTTCCGCTGCGCAGCTTCGTTATCGAGTACCGCACCTGGGTTAGTACTTTGGACAGTACATTGGGCATCGTTATAGACGATGGTTGCGAAGCGAGGCCCAGCCCATTCCCACGCTTCGCCTGGTGAATCTTTCGACATTTCGCGCAGAGATGCCGTTTGTTGTTGCGGCTGTGCCTCCACCTCTGTCCTTGTTCCCCACACCATTGCTGGTTGGAAGGTCTCATGTTGTGTTGCTCAACTGACAGCCCTGGAAATACTTCATTCTAATTCCTCGTTTCCGCCGAATTTCCTGCTTGCGCCGTTGCTTATAGCGTCCTGTCGCAAGCCCGGACTCGATATGGACCTTGGAGTGCTCCAGCTACAAACCAGATCAACATGACCGTGGAAACAAGCAGATGTTTGTGTTATCAGAGGCCTTGAAAGACGATCACTCTTATGTTTCTGGTCAAGATCAAGCCACAACAATGAATGTGAATGCTTCGATAGAAGCACATAACGAAGAACTTTCACCCAAAATACCTTTCCAGTAATGACGGTGCAGCACGGGTCACCAGCCGCGAGATGGCGATAGGAACGGGCTTCGACGCAAGCCACGTTAGCAGAGGAGCAAATGAGCGCTCTAGGCCGTCTGAGAGCAAAGCATGCGGCGTCGGAAGGAAAAAGCTATGGTCGCAGAGACGAAGGAGCAAAAGAGGGTGTTGCTGGAGAGTATCAAGGCCGTAGAGAGAAGAGATGGGGAGGATCAGAGAGGTGCGCAGATCATTGGTAGGGAAGCATCTGGAGGATGCGATTAAATACATTCGAATAATGTCTGACGGACCTGTGAATAGAAATAGGAACCCTTCTTTGTCGTTCAAGGGGAGAATTATGTGGGCCCCGATGTTAAAGCAGCACGATTTAGTGAGGCACTCTCTGCACGTGACATCCTCAAATCCACACTCGCCAAGGTGCCAAGATATGCTTTTCCAATTTCGGACAATTTACTTTTCGCACCCACAGCCGGACTTGAAATCTTTCACATTCGACCTGTACATTGATTGATATTCCCAGGTCCATGCTTTCCTTTATCCCAGCCGAGTCCTTTACTTAGTCAATCATGGTAAGTTAGAGACACCTCCACTATCTCTCACCGCATTGCGGTCTACACTATCGAGTTCTCTGCTGGAAACAGCGATCTCGATTTTGTGTAGGAAAACCTTCCGCCGACGCTTTTGAATTGGCGGTGATCACATCCTGAACTCTTCATTGAGACCTCAGCGTGACCACCACACTTTCCTCGTTGGTGATGACCCGGCTGGGGAAGAGAAAAGAGGAAGAGGAGCAGTTCTAGTATGATAGCTGCTGCTCCTCTTCTGTCTTTCATCCCCTTAGAGTCAAAAGAATGTGGATCAATGGAGCATGAACAGATGTGCTGATGATCTCTTCTTTTCTCAATGACAGCCACCCAAAGGAAAGAAACCCGCGCCCGCGCCTTTTCCACAAGGAAAGGCCGGTGCCAGCAAGAAGGCTGCGAAGGTAAGTTTCGCCGTCAAAGCGTTCTGGTTTTCTAATCCGATGGAAATGCGCTGACCGTGACCCAGAACCCTCTTCTCGAAAAGCGACCTCGAAACTTCGGCATCGGTCAAGATGTCCAGCCCAAGCGCAATCTGTCTCGTATGGTCAAGTACGTACGGACCCCTCGCTGTCCGTTCATTTTGAGTGTCTGGGAGGAAAACATCTGACAATTCAAAAGGTGGCCAGAGTACGTCCGTCTGCAACGGCAGAAGAAGATCCTGAACATGCGCCTCAAGGTGCCACCTGCGATTGCCCAGTTCCAAAACACCCTCGACCGAAACACCGCCGCCCAGACCTTCAAACTCCTCAACAAATATCGCCCCGAGACCAAGGCGCAGAAGAAAGAACGTCTGCATCAAGAAGCCACTGCCGTCGAGCAAGGCAAAAAGAAAGAGGATGTCTCCAAGGTAATGCCACCCCCACAAAAACCAGGAGACAATTTCGTGTACTTGTGGGATGAAACCACTCTGACAATTTCGTTCATTTTAGAAACCCTACACCGTCAAATACGGCCTCAACCACGTTGTCGGCCTGATTGAATCCAAGAAAGCCTCGTTGGTCCTGATCCCCAACGATGTGGACCCGATCGAACTCGTCGTTTTCCTCCCCGCTCTATGCCGCAAGATGGGCGTCCCCTACGCTATCATCAAGGGCAAAGCTCGCTTGGGAACCGTCGTGCACAAGAAAACTGCTGCCGTCTTGGCTCTGACGGAGGTGAAGGGTGAAGATAAAGCCGAGCTCAGCAAACTTGTATCGACGATCAATGAAGGCTACACGGCCAAGTATGAAGAGCATAGACGTCATTGGGGCGGTGGAATTATGGGCGCCAAGGCAGTCGCGAGGCAAGAGAAGAAGCGCAAGGCTATTGAAGGGGCGATTAAGATCTAAGTTCCAAGGTCTCTAAGCTCTTCTCAGGAGATGTGGTCTTGCATTGAAGAGGGTACCGGTGCTTGATTCAAGGGGCGACCAAAATGTTTGTTGATCGTGGAAGAGAGTCAGGCCAAGGATGAAGTCTCAATGACGATGATGGTGACGACAATGGTTGATACATCTCATTGTCCAATTGCCACAAGAACTTACCCATTTAGCTTGTTGAAGGGGGTTCAGATGCCGCATGTCATGCCAAGTCACGAAGGTGCAGATTCGTCCGACCGACTCTCAGATGCCAACTGGGTTGACCACGGTTGAGAGGCCAGGTCATGCCAGGTTGCAAAAAGAGAAATATGATAGCAAATTCCTTGACTTCAATTGGCTTTTCTCCATTTCCCCTTCTTCTTCATTTACTGTAGAAGCTGTATATTGGGCTGTCAAGCTGAAAGTATATTTAGGGGACAGAGTAAGTGAATAATGGGACAGGCTGTGGATGTTCAATTTTCTTCATTATCATTTCCAAATCCGCAATAACCAGTCTTCGTCTCGCCGACCTGGTGTTGTGCCTGTATTGATACCCGGTTGCCTATTTCCATTGCCTCCTGGGTTTCCGAGACATGTAATGAGGCTTGAGACCGGTTTCTCTCCCTTGAACATATTATCGCAAGTCTGTATTCCAGTTCCTCGGACCACGCCCCAAACAATACCGCACGAAGACGGGAGAACAAAAAGAGGTATCTAGAAAGAAGAAGCCTTCGCGTCAATGCAATACTAGGGAACAGATCCGGCCAGGCCATGCCCCCATCCATCCCCCCAATCCCAACATATGCTACCAAATTCCGACTTGTCCATGGTCAATACTGATAGAGCACCATGATCACTCCGAGTAGTCATCAAACAATCTTGGTGAGAAGGAAAAAAAAAGAGTAGGTATTGACCTCTGTACAAATCCAAGTCAGGGTTCCCGGATGCCAAACTTGGCAGGAAACACCGAGAATTTTTTCAAAACACATCGCTCGCTCGCCTTGCTTGTACAATCAATTCATCATCTTAACGTTAATGCCGAGTGAATCCTTGTCGAGCCTGTGAGATCATGTCGTTAGCCATCACATCAATATTCACTCATAAGCACACTGGAAACAAATCATACCTTCATCGCTTCAATTCTTGCCTTTAGCTGACTTGTCACCTCAGCAGCCCTCTTCCAGTTCTCTCCCGTCCCAGGTTCCTTAGACCCGGCGGCACCAACATCACTTGTTTCCCTGCTTGCAAAGTTCGGTCGCTGTGGACTACTTCTGCCACTTCCGTTTGCCATCCCACTCACGGGGGGACTGATTTTCCTCCTTGCAGAAAGTATATCAAGTCCATTGTTCTCCTTCTCCTCACTAGGGCTGAGATCAAGCCGATGGGGCGTGTACCCGCTTTGGGGTCTTGGTTTGGTATTTTGTGTCCGACTGCTCTGTGTACTTGCCGTGCTTCCAGTTCTCTGTAAGGAGCCGCTCGTAGGTCTCGGAGGGTGCATATTGCCATTCGTGGCGAATCGATTCGTGCTTTGGTCGTCGTAGATGGCGCCACCTTCACTTCCAAAATTTGATGCTTCATCCGCTGCTCGTCCACGCATCATGTCTTCCCGTTCGCGTCCGATACTTTCGCGGCCTAATCTTGACAATTCCCGCTTGTATCGTTCATTCTCCTTTCGTACACTCTCAATCTCACCCCTCAGGACGTCACATTCCCCTCTTGCTCTCACTAGTTGCGTCTCCTTGGCTTTGATCTGCAGTACATCTCGTGTGTGATCCTCTATCAGTTGTGCATTTTGGTTTTGAAGTTCTGATATCTCAGCGGTCAGCTTTGCATTACTGCTCCGAAGACTATCAGCCAGGGCGGATAGTCGCTCTTTTTCCGCACGCAACTCCTCGAGCTCCGCTCTCTCGGCTGCGGAGAGACCGTTGGAAACTGGTGCTGCTGCTGGTGGAGGAGATATAGGAGCAGCGGCGGGTCGGGACAAAGGGCGTCCTGCCAATCCACCGCGACCAATGCCAAATTTGGAGGGTGAAGGAGCAACAGCTTCCTCATCGCCATCTGTGCTCATTGGAGGTGAAATGACTCGTCTCTGCGGACTTCCAGTGCCACTCGAGAGACCGGGTGCGGCAGGCTTCTTGAGTCCACCCAATTTCAATGTTGACGGTTGCGCCAGACCGGGACGAGCCAGGCCCCCTGGCTTGGGGAGTGCTTTCGCCGTTGGCTTAGGTTGAAGAGGTGCTGGATCTTCCGCAGGAGGTGCGGCCGCTGGCATCGGCTTTTTCATGACCGGTTTCTTGGAACCTCCGACAACTTTCTTTCCAACGGCGGAAGTTGACTTGGCGGGAGGAGCGGTAGCCTTGGGTTTCTCCTTCGCTTTCACTTCGGCCACGTCAAAGTATTCTTTGATCTTGGTTTTCCGAATGTCGTCTAAACCGTCCAAGTAAGGACTCATTGCACGTTCGCCAATGATCTTCATCAACGTTCCCAGGATCTCTGCTCCGCCAGATCGGATGGCTTCGGTGGACTCGGTCAACAGTTTTATCGCTGAATCAGCAATCTGTTTCTGTTCTGCTTTGGACGGCACATCTCGAGTCGTCCGCAAACATCTGACCAGAAATTTGATAGTTTCAGCCTTGACTTGGGGATTTTTGTTGGGCAAGAAGCTCAAGATCTCTTCCAGGCATTCGGTCAGAGACGTAGCGCCAAACACGGCATCAAGCGCGGCGCCGAGCGCGTCCGCGACAGATTGTTTCCTCTCTTTGAGTCTTTCCATCATGGGCGAGATGATGGTCGATCGATACTTGGCAAAGCCTCTTCTCAGGCCCTGTGCTAATTTCTCGACGCAATTGGCCGCCACGGTCACCACAGCGATGTTCGCATCCCTCATACACTTTGCCAAAACTCGCACCAAGTCATCGAACGGTGCTTCCTTGATTCGTGGGGTGTTCAGAATATTGAATACCGCATCGAGCGCTTCTTTTCGCTCCTTCCACTTCGTCGAGCCCACCATTTCATGGAAATCAGACGAAATTTTGGAGTAGACGTCGACCGGTTCTGCAAGGTCGAACGCATTCATTTCGACCTCCACTTCTTCCTCGGCCACCATGTCTCCGTCGTCGGCAGCGCCGCCACTGACGGCAGGAGGTGCAGAAGCCAATGCAGCTTGTTGTGATCTCGTCAGACGTTCTTGTTTTGGCGGAGGCTCTTCCTTGACTTTTTCAAACAATTTGTCAAGATCCTGTTGCTGAACGGGCTTCAATTCACTCCAAAAGACCGCCTTCATCGCTTCTTTCAGCCACCGGTACAGTTCCACCGTGAGATTCTGCCCCTCCGCTCGAACATTCTTATCGGCGTGGCCAAATACCTTCGGTAATGACTTGAGCACTGGTTTCGGCTCCACAACCTTAATACCAAAATTATGGAAAATGGCCGTGAGTGCGGATAGCGTCGCGGCAATGACTTTGGGCTGTTTGTGGGAGAGCGCCGGCAGTAATTCCTCAATGACAGGTTCTGACTTGTCCAGCTCGATGTAAAGTAATATTGCCTCCAGGGAGCTGGCTTTCGCCTGTGGTCGTGTCGATGTTAAACCTTTCTCATACAGCGCTTGCAACGTGTGATTCCGTGATCTCGTCGCTGCATGTTGGCCTCCATATTTCAGAAACGCGCACAAAGCGGTCAGCCCTTCCTGCTGAGCCGCAACATTGGAATCTCCAGCGGCTGACTTCCAGAGTCCCGGATCATGCAAAAAGGGCCGGAAGGCGGGGTGTGATTCATCTGGCGTTCGTTCAAACTCTTTTGCGGCACTCTCGTACCCGTCCTTACGGACTTTCCAAAGTTTGTGCACAAATTTATCGGGTAACGGCAGCTGAGAGAAATCTTCTTCCTGGTCTGCCATGATCGTGGGAGAAGATACGGAATAGAGAGAGGAATTTCGCTGAGAGCTTCTTTCGAGAACGTCGTGCGAGTAGGCTATGGAAAAATATCAGTTTGAATATCTCTCTGGTCGAAGCCACAGTCCATAATTGAGGCCGGTGTAGATTAGATGGCAGAGTACAGCACAACAGAGATCAAGGCTCACCTTGGTTAAGATCTGGTCTTCATGCGGTAGGCACTCTGCAGAGACCAGAAGTATCAAGAGAAGATCAGGCGCGTATAGATATACAAACGCAGCGTGAATATGTCGGGAAGAAGGATGGCGGAATGGTTGTGTGGGTATGCGAATGCGATACGGTTAAAAGTGGGCGATGGTGGTGATGGGTGGTTGTCGGGACGTCTCGTGTCTCTTCCTAGTATAAACATTGCTGGTGAAATACGAAAACAACGGCCTGTCCGCCACCCTCATCGTCATCCCCGTCTTCTCGTGCTTGCAATCTCTCGTCCAAAATCTCTGATCTTTGCAAACGTCCTTCTCCAGATTCGATTGACTCGACTGAGTAGATAATATTGTCCTCCGCCCGCCTTGGTCCTTGTAGTCCTCCAAAAACTGCGCCATAGCAAACGAATCGGGGAATCCACATTCTCAAACCCTCCCTGTTTTGCGCAAGCCTGCACTGGATGCACGACTACTCAAAGCCACTAACCGCCTCCTATTTAACACCTTTTCTTCTCAGAAAGTCATATAATTGATCAGCTGTCAAGAAGAATATCTTCAAGAGTTGCATGAAAGTTTGGAAACGTCTCTGAGGGCTCACAGCCCAGCTAGCCAGAGATGAGCCAACTACTGACCTCTCGTCAAGCGGAGGAGCTGTAGGTCGCGTGCAGGGTGTTCCTTCACCATTCTAAGGCTGACTGCATTAGACACAAGTCCATGGTCGCTTATTTCCTTTCTGTGGGCATGACCGACACGGCTGCAGCCCTGCGGCGAGAATCCAACCTGGCGGACACCTTCGACGATGCCACTGCCAAAAAATATGAGACTTTGCTCGAGAAGAAGTGGACTTCAGTGGTCCGATTGCAGAAAAAGATCATGGATCTGGAGGCCAGAAACGCAGCTTTACAGCAGGAAATAGAGACCGCCACTCCGCTCTCATCAAGTCGCAAAATCGACCCTACGACGTGGTTACCCAAAGCTCCAGCCCGGCACACATTACAAGGCCACCGACTCCCGGTTACGTCGGTGGCATTTCATCCTATCTTCTCCTCGCTCGCATCCGCATCGGAAGATTCGACCATCAAAATCTGGGACTGGGAGCTGGGCGAGTTAGAAAGAACATTGAAGGGACACACCAAAGCAGTGCTCGATGTAGACTTTGGGGGGCCCAGAGGAGGCACGCTTCTTGCCAGTTGCAGCAGCGATCTCACCATTCGACTATGGGATCCAAGTGACGAATACAAGAACATCCGAACCTTGCCCGGCCACGACCATTCCGTCTCCTCGATCCGTTTTATCCCTTCGGGGGCAGCCGGCGCCCCTCTCTCTGGAAATACCTTGGTGTCGGCATCAAGGGATAAGACGCTCCGGATCTGGGACGTCACGACCGGGTACTGCCTAAAAACATTGAAGGGGCACACGGACTGGGTCAGAGCTGTAATGCCCTCGATTGACGGTCGATGGTTGTTGAGCGCGGGCAACGACCAAATACCGCGATTATGGGATGCGAGTTCCGGCGAGGTCAAGATCACATTTTTGGGACACGAACATGTGGTGGAATGTGTAGCTTTTGCACCGAGCTCGTCCTACGTCCATCTGGCTAGCATTGCTGGGTACAAGAAGCCTCCTCCGGCCAGCAGCAGTGGAGAGTTTTTGGCCACCGGAGGGAGAGATAAAATCATCAAGATCTGGGATAATCGGGGAACATGTCACAAAACACTGGTGGGCCATGATAATTGGGTGCGCGGCCTAGTCTTCCATCCAGCAGGTCGATATTTGATTTCGATCTCGGACGACAAAACCGTTCGATGTTGGGATTTATCACAAGAGTGCAAGTGTGTCAAAGTGGTAGACGAGGCTCATCAACACTTCATTAGCAGCATTCGATGGGCACCCGATGTTCCCATACAGCCCGCCACAAACGGAGAGAGCAATGGCCTGACGACCGCAGTGAAAAAAGAAGACAGCGGTGGAGGACGCAAAATTCGGTGTGTAGTTGCGACAGCCAGTGTCGACTTGAATGTTCGTGTCTTTGCCGGTTAGACAGAAGAGCCCCGGATGAGCGAGATGGCATTGAATTGTTTGGCGGATGCGTGATACCGGAACAATTGGATCGTAGATCCAAAAAAAAAAAAAAAAAGAAAAAAAATAGAAGGCCTCGGTGGATGATTTGTATGAGTATGATTGATGAATATACGACGTACTTGATACTTTGACCCTACCCACTTATATTCTCTCAAAGGACAATCCCTTAACTAACACAACACAACAGCCATTGCTGCCTCACAAACTAAAAATCAAGGCCCAGGTTTGTCTGGTGTATTAAATTCACGAAATACTGATATAGTCTTGGTTTGTGGATGAATCAAGGAAACCCCCCCCTCCCAACCGGGAAACCCGTCGGGTTGCCAGCATGAGCCGCCTCTCGTCCCATCAGGCCTCTAATGAACCCGCTCACTGTCAATCTATTTCAGACCAAAAGCTCCAGATAGACCGAACGACGGATCGGTTTTGATCAGCTTCGCCAGTGTCTGGTTCAATATGAAATGAAGGAATTGCTTGGAGAGGGCCGATTGAAGATGTACGTCTACAGTGGTTCCGAGTGCCATGAACGTCGCTCCACCTCGTGACACTACCATGAATCCCGCTCTTTGTCTACTCTGCATTCCTGTGACTATTATTTCGGATGCACGGTGATGGATTCCGCATTTTCCCGCATTAGGACCATCAGAGAACAAAGCAAACCAAGACAGCCCACTGACCCCAACCTCATCCGCTGGCTATCATCGCGGAATTGCTGCTCATGGTTGCCACAAAGAGACTCAGTCTGACGAGACAAAGCAGAAGCAAAGAAGGTCGTGCGAGGATGGTAAGTCTTCTTTTGCCTTACAAAGACCAAGTGTGGCCCTTCTGTGTCATTCGTCCAGTCCTCCCGTTCAAGAATTGGAATAGTTCAAGTCAAAGAATTCCTTTCTTTACGCTATGACTTCTTCTACTCATGAACCCCCTGCTCCAGCATGGTATCGTCGTCTCCCAAAGCCTCCCACTGAGGCCAATCCTGCTCTGCACCGTGCCTCGTTGCTATCACAGCATCACCTGTTTCATGATCGGCCTCTAGGTCCTGGTCTGGAGGATGATGCTCCTCGGAGAAACACGATTCATTTCCCTGAGAGCTCCAACTCCATTTCTAGCCGAGAAGAGGATGCAGGACGGCAGCGGCCAAGTGGAAATGGTGATTCTGAGACCGCATCGCCTCCAAAAGGAGGTCCTTCTTTGGATACGGCAGATATTCAGCCCGGGGGAGATATCTTGCCCAATACCCCGTATCTCAGAGAACATTTCTGTCTATGTCCCCCTGACCCCAAGATCCCTCGACCGCGAAACTGTGAGCTACCACTTCTAATAGCTCTAAAAATTAGCGATGTGAATACCTTCTGGTTCTGCATGGGGCTAACGTTGCGATAGCTTTCATTCTCTTTCGTCAGCATCAACAAGCCAGTATCATTGCGCAAAATCCCGGTATTCCGAATCCGGAGGTGTCAAAGATCATTGGGGAACAATGGAGACGTCTGTCCGCCGAGGCCAAAGAGGAATGGAATTTGCTTGCGGAAGTAAGTGAAAGGGTACTGGTTGACACTCACACCCCTTTGTTCTAACTTTCCCGTCATCAGGAAGAAAAAGCCCGACATCAACAGCAGTATCCAGGCTATCGCTATCATCCGCGTCGCAACGGCCGTGTTAGCAATCAATCCTCAGCATCTGGACCATCCTCTGCTGAGCCACAGGAGCCGTGCACCAAGTGTGGTGGAAGGCCGATGAACTATTACGGCAATCCTACTCCTGTATACACACCGCCTGTCTCCCACCCGCAGCAAGCAATGGGGATACAAATTCCAGCAAAACGTGCCTGTGTGGTAAGCGGTCCGCCTGGTCAAAGAATGCATGGGCAGCCTACTGTCTCATCCGAGCATTTGCCACATCAGAAGTCCCTCGTTGAGCCATATCCCTTTCAAAAGGTCGACCATCGATTGATATATGCCGTCCCTCCATCCCAGAATCTTCCTACCCCTCCGTCATCAGATTCTCAAGACGCAAAGAGACGGCGCTTCAATAGCAATGGAGTTGATTTGCCGGCTCGCGAAGCCTATCCCGATACGACATATTCTTACGCCCATTCTCCAACTACGGCCCACACATATACCCGCCCTGAAGTTTTACAGCAAATACAGGCCTCTCGGATGCCAGTCCAGCGTGTGCAAGGAGTTCAAGCCGCCAAACCTGCCATGGTATCTCCCCCTCGAGCAGGATACCCTCATCCCCCACAACTTCAGCCTGTTCGGCCTCCTCGCCCGCACCGGAGAGCTAGATCAAGTGTCGTGCTCCCGCCAATTGAAACGATGGTCTCGCAAACTCCAACAAAATCGTCCTCCACCCGATCGCAAAGCTCTGGTGTCGAGGCCATGGTTATGTCTATTCCGGTGCTTAACAAAACCAAGCTGCTCTCCCAAATATCTGGTCCACTTCCACCTCCAGGTCTTACGTCACCCAAGCCTGAAGTACGTGGTGCAATCATTGCTATTGAGGGGATGGATGCTACCACCGTGAATAGCATGACCCACTCTCTCGCTGAGCAACTGGAAAAGGAGGGTAATTTTGCGGTCAGAATCTTCAGTGGCCCAGATCCATACTGTATGATTCGTGAGGCACGAGGTGGTACGAATGGACATCGTGGTACCGTGACCACTGAGGCATACTTGAGCATGCTCGGCGAGTGGCACAAAATTAACAAGGAGATGGTTGAATATATTACTACAAGGCCTGGGAGTAAGGGAGGAAATGGAGGCTCAACGAGCTACGCGTCTAAGTCATCGCCGATTTCCATCGACATTTCTAGGAATGACCCTAACCATCCGATGTGCGGCATTGATAGCCCCCAGGCACTGGAGAAAACCGTGCGGATTCAGAGTGTACTGTCTGACTCTCTGCAATCTGTGACCAGCCCCAAGACCATCAGCAGCGCAGCTGAATTGTCCATGGTGTCACCACCAGGAAAGGCGACAAGCCAGCCCACTTTTGAACCATCAATGACTGAGCCTGTGAGTGACATTGTGACAAGCAGTGATGATGGTGGTCGACCACCACCATTGACTTTCCCACGACCATTGAACTCAACAAGAATTCCACCTCCGCCACCGACTCCGCGTCCGGCTACACCGCCGCCACCAGGAACAAATCTCTCATCCCGGGTTCCTTCCCTAAGGGGATCGCAATCGTCTTCACATGCTCTTCTCCCAGACACAGCCAACCAGAAGTCTCAGGATGCTCAGCTCTCAATCCGGCCAAACAACGCCGCCATTCCCGTCGCCTTAGTCCCCCACTATCAGCTCACCACCGTCGATGCATCTTCCATTTCTATACCCATCAGTGACGGATTCTCCCCACCTGCTCACTGGCAATGGTTCGCAACTCTCTGGCGAGGCAGCACCGGTCCGGACATCACTATCGTCATCAAAGGACTGGATGAGGATCACGAGGAAGACGAAGCTGCAAAGACATCTATGGGCCCTCAGGTGAGCACTTCAATCGGCAGACGAGATCAAAGTTCGAATGCAGGTATTGGGTCTACCGGCACGCTCTCAGGTGTCGAGATCAGATTGAGTGACTGCCGGGCCGTGGTTGTCAAGACTGGCATCGTTAGCTCATCGTTGAGTTCAATTTTGTCGCCAGTTGGAAGCAGTGTGGCAGTTGGTAAGGCTGTGAAGAGCTCGAATTCCACTCCCCTATATGCCGCGGATCAAGCGAAGGAGATGGAAAACTGGGAGAAAGCAAAGAGAAGAGTTGGATTTGAGGTCGACGAGTTTTTGAGGAGATGAGTCCAGCTTGAAATGGAAGGAGAACTCAATGCAAGTAGCCAGTGTACTCTGAGGTTCTGAGGATATTGTATTCATTTCAACGATGCGGAAGCGCGTCTTCATTTTACAACATATTTGGGAGGGATAGTCTGCATCGTGAATGGATTGGGAGATAATGGAGTATCATCGCCAGGCATCGCGTAGCACCGTAGGGTGTATTCTGATTCACCTGGATACGGGAGTTTCAAGGAATCACTAAAGAAAATGGGCTTCCGCCTTTGTCCACTGGAGCATCTGGTCAAGAGAACAGCTAGTTATCAATTCCCCAAAAAAGCTATCTGGCTGGGGCCATGGACAATCCTAGTCCTGCTCGATCAACTCCGAAGAAACATGCCACCAAGCCTGTTTGAGTATACGAGAGTTCTGCTGCGTAGGAGCCGACCTTTGTTGAGCACAGGACAAGCAATAGCTTTAAGTACGGAAATCGCTAGGGTATGGATCCAACATGCTGAAAGGTCGCCGATGAATCTCGCCGATGAGCCGGCAGAACCCTACCAGACTTGTTACCCAGTGTAGGGAAGGACGGCCTCTTTTCCGACTACGGACATCTCTCTTGCATCGAATGCGCCCCACGGTACGAGACCCGTCCTATCTGCAAGAGCAGCATCAAACAGGTCCCACGAAAGTTCAAGGCGTAGGATTCGGGACACAATCTTGATGGACTTGTTTGAGTGATTGATTATGAACCTGTCAAACAATCTGTGGGTGTACATTGATTGTTGTTAGTGCTCTGTCTGTTTGGCAACCGGTCCCGCTAGATTGCTAGTATATATACAGGGTTGGCTGACCCCTTTTCTACTCCTATTCCTACCCCTATATCCTGAATAGGAATGGCAACCCCTTTTCCAATAACGGGGGCTTGGCTACTTTTCAATAGGAACCTTATAATGGCGCTTGGCACGAATCCAGCCAATGCTCCTATTCTCCTCCAACGGTCAATGGAGAAGCCAACAATAGCTGGAACTCTGGTCCACAGATGTTGGCAAAGCCCAATCGACTTGTCGACCCAATTCAAGTTGAAGAATGGGATTTCCTCAATACGAACACTTGGAATTTCAATGTGCTGCAACTAGGCTCAACGACACTGCACCAATGTCTGCTCAAGTGCAAAAGGAAAGCCAATACGAAGACGATACCCGCTGGCGGATGGGATACAGAAGCAACCGGGCTTTCTTGTCCGCTATTGTCTGACCCACAGAAAATCCACATTTCTACTCTGTGTATTTTCTGATGTCCTCCTTGTCTTCCAGGCTGAGGGAGGCACAAATCCATACGCATACTCCGTCCGAGAGACACAAATGCGAATATATTGCGTTTTGTGTCTCTTTCGCAAAGGTGGAGGAACACGCATGCCGTGTGTGGGCAGTAATTTAGGAGGAGGAAGAAGAGGAGAAGAAGTGTCTCCGAAGGCCTGGAATAGCTTGTTGGGCATTGCCTCTTGCGTCTGCACGGGGAATTGTGCTTCTCTCCATCAGTCAAGCGTACGTCATTTTGTATTTGCCTAATTGCAACCATGACCTGATTGGCTCTGAGGTGGAGAGGGCAGAATCCAAGGCTGAATGCCAGCGCAGCCAGTTTTACCTTGAACCTCCTGATATATCTCTGAGTCCTTTGCCCTTTGTTTGAACTCGGTCTCTATCAAAAATGGACTCCAAACTTTACGCCACGGCTGAAGCCATTGTCATTACTGGTGTGGTAGCCGCAGCCATTCAATTCATCGACGTTGGATGCAGGTCTGTGGGATAAATTTCCGCACGAGCTTGTCGATTCAAAGAAACTCCTCGGAGCCTGAAAGGGCACATATTCAGATTCAATTACTTTTACAACTCGCCGAGTTGATCTCGAAGGAGAGATTGATTCAATCCACGACGACCTCCGCGATTGCTCCCACCATACCGACTCATTCAAGCTCAGAGCGACCAACGTCTTTACAGGAGGTCGCCTGGAGTCACTGTATACATCAAGCCCGCCTATTAAGTCAAGTCCTGGACCCTATGCTCTTAGAGACAGAGGATTCTAGTATCCAGAGAGTCTGGAAGAGAATTTCCTCTATACAAAGAGGAAAGGCCATTCACCAAATCGTGGACGAAATCGAATGTCAAAAGTCCATGTTAACTCTTTGGTACGGGCAAGAATGTTTACACGCCGTGAGAACGGAGGTAGGGGACTACGGAACGCAGCTACGCTGTCTGGTAGGAGATGAATCCTAGATCTCTCGTCATCCGATACTTACCTTTTAAGCATCTTGAGATGGGTCAACTTAGGTCCGAATTTAGGAAAATTTGCAACCGGCAAGCCTCGAGAACAATGGATTGCGGTGATGTTCGAGGGAAGAAAGCATTGTTGCAACAGTGGCCGCGACAGCAGAAGTACCGTGAATGCTTGTTAGAGACCAGAGCCAAAATACCTTATTCGTCGGCTCAGACCAGCGCGATCCCGCCGTGCTACGCAGCGAACCAGTCGTACAGAAACCAAGTGAAAGTTTGGCATGTAAACAAGCGGTTTTCAGGGTTTGGGACCCTTTCTCAGTACACAAAACATTACTCGCAGTCGTCATGCAATGTGCTCAGGCTGATCACCAGTGACAGGGACTGCAGTACTCTGTCAAACTTATATCAAAGCTGGAACAGGTATTGTGAAAATGATGTTCAAATGGACATCATCGATGCCTTCAATCGGAATCAGCCTAAAGGCAGAATTTCGGACTCAACAACTACGTCTGGCGTCATTCTTTGAAAAGCTCTATTGGACTCTTTTGTTCAAAAAGGAGACTATACCAGATAGAACATCTATCGATGAAGAAAAACAGGGGTATTTACTATCAATGGTCGAAAAGATGTTATTGGAAGCATTCAAGTCAGGACAAGCCTCCCCAGATCAACTGGATTCCAGGGGCCGAACTCTTCTTCATGTAAGTTACGATTACGGGTTTTATCTGAGACTCCAAACCTATACTAATGACAAAGACAGCTCCAAATTTTGTGTGTTCCTCAGTTCATTCAGTATTTCTTGCAAAAGTGGTCCGCCTTTTCCTATCCATGGGAGTCCCCCCTGACGTGGAGGACGACGATTTCCTGTCAGTTTTATGTCGCCGCCTACCCACAGACACCATTCAGAATTGACATGGTTAGGACTGCACAAGCATTGCTCTGTCGGAGTATATGTTGTGAGCTTCGCATAACAACGCCGCCAAAACTTGATGTCTCATGTTCTTCCTTAATCAATCGCTTCTTGATTGGACGCCGCATGTTATTCCACCAAGACTCGGGGCAATTGAAGTCCTAGATTGTGTCATACGATGGCCGGAGGCTGCAGAAGGTAAGCTCACTCCTTGTCCCACGGTGAACGCAGGAATATATGTGAAGCAAAGCATATATCGTGACGTCTCACGTTGAGTCGGCTTACTTGCTACGTGCATCCATACGGACCTTGAGCAGACCTCAGAAGGATTCCACCTTTAATTGCACAATATTAAAGAGCTTCAAAATGGTCTGACAGAGGCATAGATATGGCCTATTCCTGGATATGCAACATTATCTTGAGAAGATCGGCTTGCGACCTTGAAGATTATCTTCACGATGCGGCGAGTCTAGAACACAGCGCAGTTATGCGCATCACACCCTTGCACTTTGCTGCTGCAGCCTGCTGGTTCGAGGGCGCCGAAAAGCTTCTGGCTCACGGGTTGGGTAGATATGCAATAGACCCCGCCGGACGCCTGCCTTTGAGTATCGCTCTCTATCTGCAATGCGCTGAGCTTGTAGAACTTTTCCTGCGTGGGGATTGCACACCTTATTTCACTGATAGAGCTAGCTCGTGGAGCCAGACATCGCCTTCAAGCTTTTTAACAGCTATGGAAAGCAGTCATGAAGGAGTTCAAGATGCTGTGGCAGGCTTGCAAACAAATAAATCAAATCAAATCGAGCCTCGAATTTGATTTGGATTCGAAAAGGATCGATTTGATTTGAGGATAGCCCCACCTTTTTCCCAAGATGATCGGATCCAATCCGTGGATCATCTCGACGTCGGGGCTTGTCTGTTCACACGGTTACGAAAGCATGTCGAGTGTGATTAGTAGAGCTTGTCTAGGTGGTCCACAGACTGGATCCGATACGTGACCCATCTCGATATCGAGGTGTTGAACAATTGATGGCCTATCGTTCACGACTAACAGGGTTATTTTGTAACATTCGCTCACCAGACTGTATCACCATTGACAGGCAGCAATGATGACGTACACTCATTAGATAGATATATAGATAGGCTCAATGCCCCCCTCTAGTCGAGGAGAGACGGAGCATTCTCTCAATGAAGAGAAGTTTGACATGAGGATATCGACTTCTATCGAGTAGGGTGCCCTCCCGGCCACATGGTCCACGGATTGGATCCGGTGATGGTGCGGCAAGGCGGAGTGCCACTTGATCACGTGACAAAGCCAAGACATTAACCAACGTGATTGGCTGACATGACGGTCTTGGCGTCGCCCCCACACAACGCCAAGCCTTCACCATGCGATTCCAAAATTTTTTGGAAAAAAAAAAACCCCCAAAAAATCCAGGTTCATATTTTATTCCGCCAGAGACTGCTTCAAAATTGACACCAAATCGTGGTTTACCTATCAAGGACGTAACCGAGTGGTAAAACACTCGGCTTGCAGTCGAACCGATAGAATTGAGGGGCCTTACTAGTGTTCGATCATAGGTAAGGTAAGAGGGTTGTCCGGCCTAGCTCCATTGAGTCTAGGTGCCCTAGATGGGTAAACGTAATGCTCCAGCCAGTGATTGTTGATGTCGTCTTGTTGGAAGGTCACTGATTCTGCAGTTGAACTTGTGTGGCTGAAGCTTTCACTGGCTGCGGCGCCCCATCTATTAAATTCGTTAAAAATGGACTATAGGAGAGGGGCCTTTCTTTTTCCGCCTTAAGTCCTATATTGCTAGTATAGAGATGGAGAATCACGCGAGCCATAAACCTATTTCACAGATCTAGAAGACTACTGGATCTGTGAATTGAGGGCTAAATACGGTATATGCGATTTTCAGATTAATTGGGTAAATATTGCCGAATGTTGGCGAGCGCTGATTGGACAGAACTTTTATCCAAATACCCAAACTATCCAAATAAATCCAGCATCATGATTTGATTTGATTTGGATTTATCTGCATACGACTTATCTATTTGCAAGCCTGTGCGGTGGTGCAAGCTCTGGCACTACACCGATCACAGCTATAGTTTCTCAGACCGTACTAGGATTTGGCGCGGTACGAAAAAGCAAGCCAAGTTGCTAGAAGGCTATTTTCAGCTGGATTTTGCGATATCGAAATCTACGATGAAAAGGGCCGGACTCCCGTAATCTGCGCCTGCTATGAGCAAAACAAGACTATGAACACGTTTCTTTTCCAGAGAGCAGCTGATCCAACGAAGCCACACAGAGATGCTGAACTCAGGCCCGGCGATTTTCTTCTCTTCGATGCAGACCGAGATTTCAGTCCACGGAGATCGGCATGGTCTCGTGATTTTAGCTTCGAGAACAATGCAAAGCTGCTCAAAGCTGCGTTTGACGCAGCAACGTTCGTGGAATCAACATGTGGGTGCAGCCCCAACGGGTATAACCCGGTTCATTCTGCCTGCCGAGCTGACAAGGATCAGGGTTTTTTTGTAAGGATTCAGAACTTTATGAAAATGATTGAATACCTCAGTTTGGAAAAGGGGGAGCTAGAAAAGCAGTGGCGAAGCTTGGTCAGGGTGGAGATTTCTGATCGATTGGAGATGACTCATACATGTCTCTTAAGCATATATATCCTGAGGTCCGCTAATTTTCAGAGGATGAGCGCTTAGAGATTCTGGAAGAAGAGGAAGAATTGTATCAGCAACTGGAAAATTTTCTAGCTGATTACGATGATATGAAAAGGTCGTTCATCGGTCAAGCTGATGAGTTCAACATGATGTTCTTCGATCACTTGGACCAGATTCTGGAGCCACTACAGCCATGGAATCGGTTTGGGATATTAATGTGGGATAAAGGGGACCACGACATACTTGAGCCCGGCGAGATAATCGCATTGTATCACCGCAATTCCCAAGGCGAACCGATTGGAAAAGGGCACAGGGAGGGAATTCAAGAGAATGATATGCTCTCTCTTCTTTTTGGGTAGATTAGCTATATGTTTACACGACAGGGTCATACAATGCATTCCATGTGTGAGTGCGAAATGCATGTACGTCAGGGTATCTGAGTTCCTAACGAATATGCTGAGCCGGGGAGCTATCTGAGCTGTAGCAGTGCGGCCTGATCGAGGATGAGCCGAGATTGAGCTGATCCTGGTTCGACGTCTATAAGATGGCAGCGGCGGGTCCGAAGTGGAAATCGTGCTTGGTACAAGACTCTTCAAGACAGGGAGGGTGTAGAAAGAGAGATATCCTTTTGCTGAACCATGATAGTAAAAATTGGCTCAATTGTTCAATAAGAAACCAATATCGACATGCAGTTCAATTTTTCCCAGCATCTGCTTCAGCCCGATGTTCGCGAAGGGCCAAAAGGGTATTATGACAAGCCATGACCGCTGCCGGTGCTGACAATCCATCTCTGCAGGAAGGCTTTTGTGCAAGCAGCCGCCGTGGCGGCGGCGTAGTATTGCCACTTCTTGCTCTTGTGGCTGTCGGCATAGTCACATACGCCTTTGATGACCACACAAGGGAAATTCTCCCAGACCCCAGCACCTTCCATCTCAAAGGCAATGACATCTTCTTTTATTGCAATCTGGTCTCGATCTTCGCCAGATTTCATGACCATATTTCCAGAGGCAACCAGTCCAAAGTGCACGCTTGGCTGGGAAAGGAGATTTTGGCCGATGAGTCGCATCCGGGGCACCAGGTATTTACGGTCGCATCCGAGCCTTTCGCAGGAGTGCTGAAGAGCCTGCTCGCAGACCGGGTCGTGTTTCTGCCTGCAAACCCGGCAAATGGGGCAGACGGTGGGATCCTGATGCTTATGACGGTAGCTTGAGGTGAATAGTTTGTCTTCCGTTGCCCCAGGATATGCGGCCGAGCCATCAAGCTCTCGTTGCAGCACAGCCAGATACTCGGCCGCCTTGTCTTGGAGATTCTTGCGCTCCAGGCGACCTTTCAACTTGGCCAAGAAGGCACGGATCTCAGGATTGGGTCTTGCAAGGTTATCTCGCACGGTGTTTCGCCGCGACAAGCGATCCGGATACTGTCTGCCAAAATCATATGGGACTATTCCTTCGCTGATGACGACGTCTCCGAGCAATATTTCTTCACCATGGTTGAACGGGACCCCGCCACATATCCCAACTACAAGGGCAAGTTCGATCCCAGGAAAACTGAACCGGCAATTCGTAGCGACGATGGCGGCACTGAAATTTCCCATCCCGGGCATGTGAGCGAGCACTACATTGTGCTGGCCAATCCGACCCGTCGAGTATGTGTTGCGATCTCCTGGTAGCCGGCCGTAGCCATCGCCCTCATCGTCCCATCGCTCGTCGAAAATGGCTTCTACAGCATCGGCTTCCAGAGTCAGAGCACAGATGACGGCAATTCTGAAATCACGTCGATGCCGAGGCTTGACGGAAGGATATTCACGGTTGCTGTCCTTGCGAACTTTCTTCGGGGCGAGAACTCGAGTCAGCTGAGCCAAGGCTCGTGTAGGAAACGAAGCTGGTTCATGGGTCTGGTTCCCACCGCGAGCTTGCTTTGGCTTGATGAGATGTTGGGGCACCCCCAGCGGTTCCAACGCCACATCAGAATGAGCAGCTTCCAGCCTATTGACGAGGGGTTGAACGATATGTCTCACCACAGCAGCCCGACGTTTGAGGTGCTCATCAAGCGATGGATGCCTCATGGACTCGACGATGTTGTCGAAATCAAGGCATGAATTGATGATTTGCAGCATATAAGGATCGTCTACGTCGTCCTTCCAAAGGTGGAACACGCGCTGTAGCGCCATATAGGAAGGCGGTGAGAGTTCATCTGACTCGGCTGCGTCGTCTTCTGTCACGTCAATGAATGTATCCAGCTCCAGTTCCAACATCAGGAGGCCAAATGTGAAAACAAGCGAATGTGCATTCTCCAGATCAGCCAAGTCGTCCTCTGGTCGATCCGGATTTACCAATGAACATAGTAAGTATGGCTTTTGCAGGTTGGTCGATTCGCCCGTCTTCGAGTCAGGCCAAAAATGAAGATTGCGAGATGTCCATCCGGCACGCAACCACTTACTCCCGAAAAGCCTCAGCAGGAAGCCAGCCAGGATGACAGCGATGATTTTCTTGCTCTTCTTGGAGAGAAGAGGGGCGGACGTCGCCTTGGACAGTGGATCAGCCCGAGCCTCCAGCAGCTTGAGCAGAGTCACTTTTGCGCTTTCTCTGAGAACTGGGACCGTTTCGTCCGAGTTCTGCCATATCTCTGATTCGTTGCAGAGCAAATGTAAAAGCTTGTGTCGGCTACTTCGAAGGATGCCGCACAGGTCGGCCACCTGAGCCTTATTGTGGGCCTGGAGACCTTCCAGTGCGGGGGTCAATGGCGATTTCAATGCATGGGAGCGGCATCCATACCGCTCACCTGTGACAGCGCTACAAACGATCTGGTGCCAGGTCCTCTTCTCCGTACAGGATGATAGGATCAGATCGACTTTCGGATATAGTGTTATACTGATCATGGCAGTATGGGCTGTCGGACAAGCGCGAAGATTCTTGCAGAAACTTTCAAAGATCATGTCCAGACTCTGAGAAACCATCCATGCATCATGAAATGACCGAAGCTCTTCGTCGGTCCATTCAATGGCCTTGTGCTCGGGGAGGGGCTCATCGTGGCTGTTGGAAGACAGCCGGTTGACTGTGCGGTTGAAACGCTCAAGGCAAATGACAGTCATACTGAAACTGTCCATTGTCACTTCATGCCATACGAGGGATCGGATTCCTTGTGCATGGTCGATGGGCAGGCCACTTTGGGATTGACGTCGTGCCTCTAGCTCACGTTGCAAGGCTCGCAATTTGGGATAAGGCTTCGAAAGTCATTCCGACCAATTTCTTCTCTACCGAGGCTAGAGCATCCACGTACCTGATCATAAGCCCTCGAGGGTTCCAAGTGCGAAAATTGATGCATACCCAATGCCTTCGGATGCACGTGACCTTCCAGAGATTGAAGAAGAAAGGATAAGCAAGATGCGCATTCGCCTGGCGCGTCGACAAACAGACTCGATGTCTTCGCTTCCCGCAGAGCGTCCGGGAGCAGCCAACTCTCGAATTCGAAGACGGTTTCAAGATTGTCGAGTACATCGCGCTCATGCCGCCCCAGCCTGCCTAGTTTCGCGGAGGGTAACGTAGATGCGAAGATGGGATGAACAGCTGCGAGGAGCTGCCAGTCTGCCGATGCGTCGCCGGCGAGACCCATGGACTGCTTTATCTTTGCGACGTAAAATGCCCGGGGGGGAGCAGGTTTTTAGATGGATTGCCTGGTCCAGAGACGCCAAAGATGCGACTGCGCAAAGATTCACGGAGCGATTCACGTGAGGCAGCTAGAAATCATGGCGAATTTGTCTCGTTGCATGCCGCGTTGGTGTTTGGAGGGCCACCCCTCACACCCTGCTTGGTCAGCTCCCAACACCACCTACTGTACGGCTGGCGCTTCTAGGCGATCCTCAGAGCGATCGTGTCGACTCGCCTGTCACATTTGGTTTCGGAGGGCCAACAGCTACTTATCATGAATGTCTTCACCCCACGCTTCGGGACTCGCAAGGTGACGATGCTGGACCGCGACGAGATCTAGTTAGGACGACGAGAGGATCTCACTTGCCATCACGCTGCAGAATCGACATGCGCGGCGGAGGCCATGGCTACCGGCAGGCACTCGGAACGGATTGCCGACGTCGCAGCTTCGTGTTCTGCTGTGTTCTCAGAGTACCTGGCCTCGTCAACTCCAATGTCCAAGGATGGCGTTGAAGAGCTGCAAAGTCGATTCAACCTTTGGGCAGCCTACACTGGGGCTTTCGCCCCAGCCGGCACCTCTTTGGACGACCGATTGAGGTTTCATGAAGATGTCAAACGGATGGTTCTCAAGCTATTACACATGCTACATCGCAACGTTCAAAGCGGTCCGTATTCAGCTTGTCCCTTTGGCTGAAACGAGATTGCTTACCCCGATACCTAGCTCTTCAAGCGGACCGTAGAAACCTTTCCAACATGGCCAGCGGACTGTGGGCTTCAGGGTTCGGAAATTCCAATGAAGGCACTTTCCACGGTCTTGTGGCTGCGTCGGCGGCCCTGGATCGACTTCACAGACTCTCCATTGCAATCCGACGATCTTCCGCCGAAAATCGAAAGGACAAGCTGTTACAGAGCGAAGACTCCGAAAGAGACCTGTTTTTCAGGCAATGTATTCTCTTGTTCGTCCAAGAGCGGTTTCCGTCCGCTCGTTCCAGCCTGCAAGAACACTTAGCGGATGCGCTATGTTTTCAGCGCAAGCGCTTGATATATCAGCCACGCCACAATAAGAAGCTTGCTCACCAGGAAATCCAGCAGCTGGACACCGGACGGACTAATGCACAGCTCACAGAACGGACGTTGCACGATTTCCAGTTGCGGAACACAGATCGGATTCTCCATCCTCCAGCCGCAGCAACCGCTCCTATGGGAGCAATGTCAACCACTGACGCCTCGGTGCCGAATGCACAGGTTCGTCGAATGCTAATGAAGCCCAACAGGTTCGCTCCGACCGTGGTCAGTACCGGGTCAATCCTCCAAAAGGAACCTCTCAGTTACCCAGACCCCCCTCGACATCATCCAGGACAAAAGCTTCTCCCTTGTCCTTATTGCGCAGAACCATTGCTGACTGCCAATCTCGATTTCAAGCGTAGAGCCAATGTTGTCTTTTGGGAGTATGTTTGATATTTGACCTCCTTTATCGAGAGATTGAAGTTGAACTATGACAGGGCGCACGTCAGTCAGGACCTGGAGCCATACTTTTGCATATCAGAAGCATGCGAAAAACCTCTCCAGTCTTTTGCCCGGTTCCAGGATTGGTACGATCATATGAACTCGGTGCATACCCCAAAATGGCACCAGATAATTCACATGCTGAGTTGGTATTGTGACCTGGGACATGATGAGCGGATCCTGTTTGCTACCAGACAAGCATACGAAGCTCATATGCGCGAAGTGCATGGGGACCTTACTAGGGCACAATTCCTCGCCCGCACGAAGCGGAGCAAGTTCACGGCGCAACGAGAAATCCTGACCTGCCCCTTTTGTGACGCAGTTCCCGACAAGCTTCAGTTCATTGATGCTATGAAACGAGCAGATGAAGCCTTGGAAGTACTGGCAAAGCATGTCGCTATCCACATCAAAGCGCTGTCCCTTTTGACCTTTCGCTTACTCCCATCGAGTGATGATGATGTTGTCGGTGACAATGTCGAGAGTGAAGTCTCTCACATTCTTCAGTCAATCTCTAGGGAGCCATCAATTCCGTATCAAGATAACATCGAAGGCTCGGTAGACTTTGGAGATGACCCTCAGGATCTTCACCTCGCCAATTTTCAGAATAATGAAATGGAGGTAGGATCTCCTCCACGGGACACGCCGGAGCCGGAGTACTGGACATTCTTGCCTTCTTTCGAACATCTGAACAGGGACAACCCCGATATAGGACATCAACATCATAAAAGCAAGCCGTCTCCGTTATCGCTGCTACGAACTCCATCGGTGCCTTCGGATTCGGCAAACTCAAATGCTAGCTCGATTGATTTGGAGCGGCCCGTTGAAACGCCTGTCGATTCTAACGCACCCCGCACCTATTGGCTTCTTCCGCCGATCAAGCCTCATTTGAAGGGTCGAAAAACGCTGGTTTTGGACCTCGACGAAACACTTATCCATAGCAGCTTCAAGGTTTGTTATCTTGTGTTAATTTCGTGGCAAGGAGGGAGCACACATTACTAACAACGAGCAGATCGTGCACCAAGCTGATTTTGCGATACCGGTCGAGGTCAAAGGTCAATATCATAACGTCTATGTGATCAAACGGCCTGGAGTCGACGCATTCATGGCACGAGTTGGCCAGCTTTTCGAAATCGTCCTTTTCACGGAGTCCAAATCGCATGTAAGTCGGTCCGATCTTGACGAGACTCGTAGTTTTCTACTGACTCGGTTGACCTGTGCGTCTAGTATGCGGATCCGGTTCTAGACCAATTGGACATTCACCACGTCATCCATCATCGACTGTTCCGCGAGTCCTGTTACAATCATCAAGGCAACTACGTCAAAGACTTGTCTATGCTGGGGCGGGATCTGCAGTCCACAATCATCGTGGACAACTCGCCGGCAAGCTACATATTCCATCCTCAGCACGCTCTCCCGATCAGTTCATGGTTCTCCGATGCTCATGACACTGAGCTTCTAGACCTCATTCCGGTGTTGGAGGATCTCGCTGCCTCCAATGTGAGGGATATCAGTCTCGTTCTGGATATAGCTCTCTAGAAGTGTTACCTGATGCCATTGAGCCATATAAGAAAGATGGGGAGCAGACCTTTGGACTTTTCAGTTGGATATCAAAGATATCATATTGAGAGATTTATTTCAACTTGGTCGGTACTCGAGCGGGCGATCTCGTCGTCCACCAAACATATGCCCCCGCCGTCACGGTGACCAATCAGTGCGAGCAAACTTCACCATTTTTGGCGTCTCATACTTCGACCTAGTCGAAGTTATCACTCGTTGGTTCATGGTGTTTCTCTTCGAGATGTCCCCCGCTTTCTTTGTATGTAAACGACGTCGCTTCCACTGTAGCAGTCGAAGGCAAACTGCCCTTTGGGGAGGATTGTGACGGCAAACACGACGCCATCTCGAGAAAAAACACCCGGGGAGCTCGTATTCTATCCATTCTGCCCATAGCAACAGGAATAGCCAGGCCCGAGATTGCTATGCGGTGGCAACTGCAACCGCGGTCAATTTACGTACGTCGTAGAAACGGAGCACGACATTCTCATGTCATGGTTCGCTGAGGGCCTCGACATACTATCAGGACACTCATTACTGCACCCTGGATCATTCCCGGTTGGATCTGTAGAGCCAGACCAGAAATATGGCATCAGAGCATCTGATTTGCCGTATTGACGCAGAATCCGTTGCGGGAGCCAGTCAAATTACCGGGACAGCATTGTGCGAAACTTCTGTTAGTTGGGCCAGGAAAGAAATAGGATACTTCAACTGTGGCCATTCTAGAAATTTTTCTTTTGTTGATCTTTTGCTTCCCAAATGATTTTACTGCTCGCAAAGTGGTTTCGATCGAATCCGCTTAGGAACGAGAGGTCAAAGCTACAAAAGATATAGGCTAGGGGAACGAAGACCAAAAGATAATGGATATGGTCGTTCCATCAGAGTATCGATCGAGATCGTTCTTTATCATCCGAAGAGGAAGGAATTCGAGAGTATTTATTGAAAGGAAGAGAAATATCTGTATCCAGGAGGAAAACGGAAAATGTCTCAAGTCGTAATTTGGGCTAGCAAGGGGCAAGGAACGAAACAAGGAAGGGAGGGACAGGGCTCGACAAACTTTTTGTGACCTATGGCCATGAAATTTGATATGCTAAGCTGCAAAGAATGAGGAACCTTCCGTCTTAAATCCCGTGATCGGTCGGCACTGCATGGGCCCATCATTTGAAAACGACGGCAACCTTACACAGTACTTCATGTAGTGCTCCGTTGCAACAAGTCAGACCACTTCGAATACCCCTCCAAATAATAATTCCAGCGGGCATTCTTATCTCGGTCGACAGAGTATCTTACTTCTCGGTTGACTTCACCCTTACCCTGATACCTTTCGAGTCCAGCTTGACCGTGGGCACAAAGTAATCGTGAGCAAGGACTGTATCTGAAACATCGGTTTCGTACAATTCAAAAGAGAATTGTCTGAAGATGGCGGCGAGACCCATGTACAATTCTGCTTGCGCAAGACTGCCTACGTTAGCATCTGTGGAGAATCCGGGACAAAAGCGACATACTGCAACCCGATACACGACCTAGCGCCTTTACCAAAGCCGACAAAATATCTTTCCAGACTGTGACCGTTCTTGGAGGTCGGGTTACCAAGCCACCGCTCAGGGACGAACGAATGTGATTGCGGGAAAACTTCCTCGTCATGGTTCATGTCCACAATTGTCATCGAAACAGGTGTTCCAGCCGGAATCGTCCAGCCTTTGTACTTCAGGTCGGTCCGTGCGACACGTGGCAGACGAGAGGCAATCCCGTAAGCCAGGCGGATTCCTTCTTTGACACACCCATTCAGATATGGCAACTGTTGGAGATTCTGCCAATCCAGCTTCGTGTTCAAATCGGGTATGGCTTCTTCCAGCTCAATCCTCAATTTCCCAAAAATCTCCGGATTGTTGATGATGTGAAAGCTAGCCACTGCAGCCGCCCAGGACGTGGTCAAGATCGCCGCACCAATGATGACTTGCGCTTCTTGTACCATGCGGTTGACGGATTTCTCTTTCGGTGAGAGATCGCTGTTGAGCATCTCGTGGAAGAGTGTCGCATGGTCGACTAACTTGTGCGTCTCATCGTGATTTTCCTTCAATGCCGAAATGGTCCGCTCGAAGTCCTGAGAAGTTAGCACGGAAAGTCCATATCCAGAGTTACCGCATTTCCTACACGCTGCACCTGAATATGCATATGCATTTTCGGTTCGAGTTTAACTACTAGCCAGTCCGGCAAGCTGTTCATTATAGGCCACAGCCAGGGAAACTGCATAAGGATACTGGACGATTCGCATGCCGCATGCATCGCCTCGTGAAATGTCTCTTCGAAATCCGGTGAGTCAAGGTGGTTATATGCTTTCGCAAAGCAGAATTCAGTCACCACGTCACCGGTCAGTGCCGTCCAAGCACGATGAAGAGGTAGTATTCGGTCTGTCCCTACATATTCAGCAATCCTGGAGCACATTTTGTCTAACTTGTCCCGAATGACTGGTTGGAATTCCATGATCTTGCGCGCGGAGAAGAACGAGACAACCGAGTTGCGCAGACGGCGGTGATACTCATGCGAAGGCGCGGTGAAGAATGTGTCGTCGGTTCCAAATCGAGCGGAAAACGGAGCATATTTATCTAACTTGCCAGATTTGACGTAGAGTTCTTCGAAATAGTCGGAATCGAGAATATGTAGTTCATTTGGAGTGACTCGAACAATGGGGCCTATGGCCGTTAGTTAGTCATGGTCTGGCTCGGAGATTCCCGCCGAGAAAATACCATATTTCTTGTGAAGCTCTCGAATATGGAAGGTCATCTGTCCTTGCTGGACCAGCTCGTAGTAGAATTCGTACCATCTTGTCAATCCCGCGAGTTTTGGACCTGGGAAATGTGCAATGGGATGGAAATACAGGCGATAGATGGCGACGCCGAAAGCATAGATGATGCTTGAAGCGAAAGCGATTGTGAGAAGAGCGAGTGATGAGCTGGCCGGGAGTATTGTGTTTGGCGACTGGGCGCCCATCGTAGACACGGAGCCAGTAATTCAGAAAACACGAGTAAGAGAAATGAGTTCCTTCAATCAACTACGCCCCTCACAGGATGGAAGAAGCTTTCAATTGTACAACTTATCGATGACGGGGCAAAACGCAACGATCTGTAGGGATAAATACGATGTTTTATCTACAGAATCCTCCGCACCACGGGTATCATCTGAGCCGCCGCGGGGATCGACTTCGACGGAAACAAGGCACGAAGTGTCCTCTGAGCTAGACCAACGGTGTTGGGCACAATATCAGCTAGCTGTATGCCAACGGGCGGCTGGGATTTAGTGAGTCTCGATAAGGAATTGTGCGCCGGACGCCGTCGATTCCCCTGTAAATTAAGTGAGTTAGACCCTGTAGTAACTCTTGTTTTTAATTCGGGCTGTGAGCCCAGCACCTAAAGTAGAGCCGAAGTCACGGTGGAAAGATCTGGATCGCTACTGGCTCTCTTTTCTTCTCATGCGGTTCCCCGCCGAGCTAGGTACACTCGATCCCATCCCTCTTTGACTTTGCTTTCCCATCTCGTTTTCCATTCCTTGCTGGAAGAAAACAAAGACCTTTGTGGACCACCCCCTATCGCGGACAGTGCAGTCCGAGTCCTTTGTCTTTGTGGTAGATGTATATTGTGTAATCTCATCAGCAAACGATTGGTCAACCTCTTACCATGTGCGTGGAAGAGCCAGAGCAGCCGCCTGGAGGCCACCAACCGGCTCTCACACCTGATGTATGCATTTATACATTCTTTATCGTTGCCTGTCCCTGTTGGGAAACACTCACCTGGACTGACCACATTTGCAGTCCGATCAGAGCGACGCAGACTCTGCTTTTGGCGGCCCTATCGAAGGCTCATGGTCAGCCTCTCTGGCCAGCTCAGTTTTGAACTACAAGTACGAAAATGGCCGAAGATACCATGCGTACCGTGAAGGCCAGTATATCCTGCCGAATGATGAGGATGAGCAGGCTCGACTCGATATGCTTCACCACATCTACAAAATGATCATTGGAGGCGCTTTATATCGGGCTCCCCTTCTTCAGCCGCAGCGAGTGCTCGACTTGGGATGTGGCACTGGTATATATTGTATCGAGTTTGGCGACGACCACCCCGAATCAATTGTCATTGGCGTCGACCTTAGCCCTATCCAGCCGGAGTTTGTCCCTCCAAACGTCAAATTTTACGTCGACGATATCGAGAGCGAATGGGCATATCCGCGTTCGGAGCACTTCGATTTTATCCACGGACGAGCATTGTGTGGGAGTATCGCTGACTGGCCAAACTTATTCAAACAGGCGCTTGAGAACCTAAAGCCAGGTGGGTGGATGGAGATGCAGGAGTACCAGTGTCATGTCTGGTCCGATGATGGCACAGTGGATGAAGCAATCTACCTGAAAGACTGGGTCGAGCAAATGAACGAAGCTAGCAAGAGATTCGGAAAGGAGTTAAAGACGGCTGATGCCTTGAAGCGGACCATGCAGGACGTCGGCTTTGTGGACGTACATGAAGAGATATACAAGGTACCGATTGGCCCGTGGGCAAAAGACAAGAAGTTAAAAGAACTCGGGACATTTTATCGAGCTCAGTTTATCGACGCGGTTGAGCCGTTTACCTTAGCTTTGTTCACCCGAGTGCTTGGTTATTCCAATGATGAGGCGATGATTCACATTGCAAGGGTCAAAAAGGATTTGGTCAATCCGAGGTTACACATGTACGTGCACTTCCACTTTGTGTGGGGACGAAAAGCATCCGAACAACCAGCCAGCGAGGGCTAGGGTGTTTCGGAGACACCGAAAGCAGAAAGGTCACAAGCTCATTGCGCTGGCATGACGGTACGGCGACAAGCAGTGCGACCCAGACTCAATCAGCACGGAATCTGAGGATTTGAGCTCGATACTGCCGTGCCCAACGTAGATGTACTGAACCTCGTCAAGTCAATGGCAACCGCCAGAAGACTAGAACGTGAGCCTCCAGGTGATTCCAAGAAGCCATAGATTGTCTTGACCATATATATACCTTGCTCGACTAACACACAACACAGCATTGCCGGGAGACGATTCCCAAAAGAATCGATTCCTGAGAGTCGACTCTTCAACTCCCACTTCCAGATATCTCAATTGTGGACGCCAAGACTTGTCAAGAGCATCGTGTTAGAAACCACGTGATTCGTGACTGATTATCCGAAAAGTCTGGGCGCCGAGATGAGCTACCTAAATAGGGAAGGCTCATCGGCTACATTTCCAGAATAGAGTCGACTCAGGGGAGTCGCAGGAATCGTCTACAATGCTGACACAACACCCGGCAGAGTGGTTGCTGCGTGCGCGTAACCCAACATAGCCTTGAAATGCTTGCTCTCTAGCTTTCGGAACTCAATGCCATCGTGAACAGCCCATGCTAGAAGCAGTTCCCGGAATCGTTCGGCCGAAAAAGACGAGACGACCCCGTTTAGAGCTCGCTGTTCCGATACTCTGTTAGCGTCAAACTTATATATGTCTAATATAGTTAGCCGCTTGCTTTTCCGTGTAATAGAGCCGTCCTTGTCATGGTGATGAACTCGGATAATATGCTTCTGCTGATTCCACGTCCCTTCCGTAGCAAATATGGTGTTTTGTTTCTTGCGAATGTGGCAGATCTTGCAGAGCCAGAACTTCTTCCCTGATTCTTGGTTGTGGACATCAAACCCCCAGCCCCAGGTCCACCCGGTTCGGTTTTGAACGGTACAAGAGCTCTTCTCGACAAGAAGATACCCAGAAAGGCACGTCCAAACAATGCTGTGAGTATCTAGCTCCTGCCTCTCGCGGGAGGAAGCTGATCCCTCAAAGACGCATCAAGGTAAGAAGGTTCCGTGATACTCTCTCGCGTAGAAGAGAGCTCAGAGAAGTCTTCGAAGGCTGACGAGGGCGCGGCAGTAACGTCATAGTTCTCAAATATGGCGAGGACGTGGTGAGGACATGGAGTATTTACAGGTGGCGACAATAGTGATAGCAAGCCAATCAGAGTGCAGGTCATTTTGCACGACTCCGGAAACCAAAGGGTCAAAACTCTAATTGGCTGATGGCGTCGGAAATATGTTGATCCGTCATCGCGCAGTGTCCATGATTCATCCAGTGCTTCAGGTGGATTCGATCCAGGGGGTCGTACGGGCAAAGGACCCAGTTAACGATATGGATAGTCCAAGGGGTGTCGCGAGCGCAAAGGCGGCATTTCTACTCATTCCCGGATAGGCCATAGACTGGATCCGATGAGGGGTGTCGTACGGGCAAAGGGTCATAGTCAACGACATCGTCTACTCCATGGGCCATGGATTGGATCCGATGAGGTTGAATGCGCCGTACAGTGATTTTCAAAAATTTAGCCAATGAGGGTAAAGGATATGGGAATTGTCGGATTATGGATTTTCCGGATTACGGGTGCTAAGTTGCCGGAGGGAAATCACGTGAGACAGCGCTGTGATTTTACGGAGGACTGGTCCTATTTCGAAAGACCGTCAGACTATATACTTTCGAAGCGTGTACGAAGCGTACAACGCCTCCCAATGTCTTTACAAGCCTTGGCGTCGCCACATACACTCAGCAAGGGTAACTTTCGTTAGCCCTGAACAAGGAGCACGTGATCTGAGGCCGGCAGTTTCAGGCACTGGCCAAGTGGGCCCCCAAAATCTTAACTATTCGCGCTGCCTCAGTAAGAGGACAATAGGTAAGGTTAGAGCTAAGTAATCCCTAGAAATTAGTTAAGGCCAAGGCCCACTGACCCTATAACGGTAGGCTGCCGATAGCCACGTGATACAGCTTCCTGCCAACGAAATTTACCCTTGTCGGGTGTATCACAAACTTTGTCGTTCATTCTAGACCCACTCAAAGTCGCCAGGCACCTCATTCAGTTGGCAACTGGCAATCAACAGGTTGGAATGGTGGATTGACTTGCCACCCTGCTCACTGCACGTCTGCGACCTTCTCAACGTAGAAAGGTTCATCATGTCGAGCCCTGGTTATATATAATTCCGATCTTTCTTCACGATCCTTGAACAGACCAGATGTTTGCCCCAGCCTACCTAGATCATCGGCCGTATACCCTACACACCCATGGAAGTCTTTTTAGGGGAACATTCAAGTTGCGAGCCAATCTCGCCGCCGCCAGATTCCCCAAGTATTATAACGATCAGTTCCACTTCGTATCTTTTACGATCGGGATTCCCTTTTGACGGAAGACTCCTACACGCTAGTGTGGGACAAAGGGAATGGCATCACTTCACCACCGAAGTAGTCACCTGTGCCAAAAATCCCCCCAAGGACCGAATGATGGCGATCACATCTGGCCTCTTGGCTGGAGGAACATTCCTGTTCACGTTGGGTCCGCTGGCCCCGTTTTTAGGGTACGCCACCTGGCGATTTGCGAGGCGAGCGCTGGAGCGAGAGAACCTCCTTCAAAGCACAGACCTGGTTGCACCGCTGGAGCGTGTTTTGCATGACTGGAATGCCGGCTATTTTGCGCAAAGAAGTCTCTGCGTGAGACTTGAAGTTCCTGACAACAGGGAGGAGAAGAAGGAGGAGGATCGGTTGCTATTCTGGGGGCGTCGAAGGTCACCATCCATCAGTGAAAGCCAGAGAGTTACTCGGGAATTTGGATTGAGCATATACTGGGTCACGGGACTGGACAAACCTAGGCTGGTAGTGGCACATCTCAATGCGGGCCATAATCATGAGCCACTTCCTGTGGCCTGATCGGCCAGTCGATGTCGGTCGCTAGAGTTTCGACATGACCTTTCGCAGAGTGAAATAGGACGGCCAACCTCCTCTGGCAAGTCAAGCGTTGGGGCGCTGGACCGGATGCTAATTTTATAAGTTGGAGACGCCTGAAGAAGTTTTCAGTTCATCTGCGAACAGTCCCGTCTTTATTTCCGCAACTGGGGTCCGGTGTCTATCAGGCGGTTGCCATGGCCGACATACGTGCCAGGGATTTTGCAACAAAGACGTGGATTTGCTTCTCCAAGCCAATACTTGGTGGACGATTCGGTGCGGTTATTTTATGTTATTAAACACGGCCAGAGAAATCCTAGAGTTCTAGTAACCACGCATCGCTGAGCCGCTCATTCGACTCCGCCAGCCCGCCGTGGATAATGATGCCGGTATTCTCCACCACATCTGCATCAAACCATCCGCGCGGAAGAGGTTGCTCGCCTTCTGGATAGACCCTGCTCCACGTCTGCGATCCAATATCAAACACCCACACGTCTCCGAGCATCTTGCCTGCCCCTTGATGCCCCAGGCTACTCGGATCGCGCTCTCCAAACATGGTGACGAGACTCGACTTGTCGTCAACATATACCGACAGAAGGCAGCTCACACTTCGGGGGCCGGGGCCGGTCACTCCGTCTGGCTCAAATTTGATGGTATGCCACACATGGTGGGTGCAGTCAAACACATCCAGTGCACCGCCTTGCTCCGTCTTGCCATCGAAGCCGTTCATGCGGTAGAGCTTCCCATTGGCATATGCGATTGAAGGGCCTCCTCTTCTTGGCTCTGGAGCGGAAGGCAATTCTTGCCAGTGGCGGCTCGAGACGTTGAAAGCCCACAGATCGGACAGCCTTCCTTTCTCAGGGCAGCCCGCGTGGAGAAATATCGTGTCTTTGCCGTCATTCGTAAGAGCATGATAGCTGCGGCCTGCCGGGTACGAAAGTTGAGGGTTGTCCGGCGGCACTTGAGACCAGGCCTTGATGGCGGTGTCGAACACCCAGAACGATCCATTCTCTTCGATCGGAAGCATCGCAGCACCTCCGCGGCCGGAGAAAATGTAGATCTTTCCGTCTAGTGTTGTCGATGCGGCTCCTAGTCTTGGCGGGGGAGCGATGCTCCCGGTCGTGGATGCGACATTTCGGTCAGACTGATCTATTCGCCTGGTCAAATTCCTGTTCATTGAGGGGAAATTTCCAGAGCTCATGCGGTCACTCACTCAGCCTTGTGGATATTTGATACACGGATGAGTCTACGGGCTCACGAGGCCGTAGCTCTCCTCCGAAAATGTAGGCAGTACCGGCAACAACTGCCAGATTGTGCGACGATCTTTGAATGGTCGCAATGTCGAACAGCTTCGACCATCTCAACTGCGGCATGGCGAGACTTGCTGAGGAGTCGTAGAGGCTGGAGGAGGTAAAAATCGTAAGGAGCCCTAGAAATTACGGCGACTTATACAATTGCTCATCTGTGCTCTGAGGAATATACTCTCATTGCATTAACCCTATCCAACCCAAAAGGGCTTCTGGTTAGGCTTGACAAGGGGCTTGCATCCAGGGCGCCCGAAAATAGGGACTGATGATTGGCTAAATACCAATACCGTTTGTTGCCGGCGTAATTTTTACCTGTAATAGCATTGTTGTGGATGTCTCCACTGCGGAGGTGTCTTCACAATATTCCGATACCGGTTCGCATGGGCAGATTTCTTTTTCACGACTTTTTATTCATACCAAATGACGTCGCCAAGAGTCGCCGAAGACCAGAAAAGGCATTAATACGATGGTTTTCAAGCCATTGTTGCCGGACTCTCTATTAAGGTAGTGACATTTTTTCAATGAAGCACTTTCTCTGATGGTCGCGGCCATACATTATCATATCTAGACGTGAGGAAACGTCGAAGAGAACTGCTTTGGGGGTGTCCTCTGGTATGGCTGGTATCGCCAACAGGATTCTTCGACCATCTTGCCATTCTTCGGCCATGAGTGCAATGATTCTTTTGGCAAGATGAGTGGGCATGTGAGAGTTTTCAAAACCACGCCCCGATGCTTCTATTTGAGGCCAGATGCTATCCAAGATGCGATTGAAGACCATTTCTGATGAGAAAGAGTATAAAAGCTGAAGCAGGACCTCTGAGAGGCTAAAGGTGTATATATCGACCAAGTTCGAGAGTTGCAGATCAATGGCATCGATTACGCCGAGAGCCTCGTAGATCAAGGCGGGAGTGGATGTTTCACTGGGTTCTTGAAAAGATGACCCATCAAAAGGTGAGCGTGGAATGGCGGTGGTGTCTTCAAAAATTAGCCTGCAGAGAAGGTAGTACAAATAATTCATCCTATCTCGATGCTTGCCGAGTTTGTGTGGGACCAAGCTTGGTGATTCTCCCTCTACCACAGCAGCAGGGCCTTCCGAGGGTAATTGCCTTGGCGTGACCCTCGATCGCCAGACTTCCAGTCGTCGTTTTTGAATTTGCAACAGTTCGTGTAGGTGATCACCACGAGCAAAGCTGGAGGCAGCCTCGTTTTCTTCGTGCAATGAACACGGTCTGTTCATCATTGTGTTCAACAGTCTGTGGGCAAGACGGCCCAATTCTGGCGAGCGCTCAGGAACACTGAGAACTGAAGAAGTACAATGGAAAACCACCATCCTTGCTCTCAATTCCAAGGTCTTGATCAGGATATCGTATATTAGATCATCGGAGGACATTCCCAGGATGCATTTCAAATGCAGGTCCTCGTCGGCACCCGGCGAAGCAAGATTCGGACCAAATGAGCTCGGTCCTTCGCCCTCGATTAGAAGGGCTGGCGGTTTCGAAGGCCGATGTGATGTGCACAGGCGGTACCAGAGCTGCAGAGCTAGATAACCGGTGGACGACGCCATAATGTCACTCCGGTGCCTCCGAACAAAACGGACGGTCTCCCACACCGCCAGTCGGAATTGGAGATGATCGGTCGATGAGTGATGGTAATAAGCAAGCAATACCTTTGCAATAAGGACTAAAGATGTGTCGTGGACATTGTCCCCCATACAATGTTTCTGCACAAGATCATGATATCGCCGCGCATGGATACGGTGCAAGGGACTTATGGTCGGACTGGCGACTGATCTTCTGGAATTTCCAGCCAAAACGCGACAGGATAGAGGTGCATCAAGCGTTGACAAGTGAGATGCCGCCAGGCAAAGAATGGCATGACGAAGAAACGCGCAGTCCATGGACTGAAAATCGAGGTTCTGAATCGAAACCGGAAGACCCATCCGTACATGTCGCTCAAAGTGGTCAAAGTAGAGCATATCAGGTGGAAGGGTGAACCATTCCGAGCGAACAAGAGGCACGACTTTTTTTGAAGCTGCAGCGTCTTCTTGACACGCTGCAGAGTGGACACCGACGCTCAAAAGCTCTGGCCGCTCGGAGGGGGGGATGGCCTTCTCGCTGAAGGAGTTGGAGTTCTGGTGTCTGGGGTTGAAAAAGACGAATTCGGTGGAATAGAGACAATTCAATCCAAGCCGCTGACATGCCTTGCAAACGGGCTTGCCTTCATCACACTAGCAATGACCCTGCACGTTAGTGACATTACCTATTGGCGAAATGGGTCGCAACTAACCCGTTTTCCTCTTCGACGGCAAGTTGTACATCCTGTTCGGCCGCGACGAATCGACCCCGGTTTCAAGTTGCACGTAGAAGTAGTGTGTAGTGGCATTTGGTCCGCGGGCATTCGCTAAGATCCATTGAAGGATCAGACAATCAGGTACTAATAGGACAGCAGGTTCAGGAACTTTGAAGTTCCAAAAAAATTCACCAGTAGCAACAATGACCCGAAAGTCATCATCTATAAGCAACTATCGAGCAGGTCTTTACCTGTGTAGGTGCCGGAAGAGTCAGGGGGTTGCCGGCTAGGTGCCATGTAGTGGTAGAGGCCGCCTTATCTATCTGCAGAGTTCTCCGTCACGTGCCATGGGTCGACCATTCATGTGACAAAAAGGCTGAATTCGAACCAATTTGTTGGACCTTGGATATATAACCCCTCCGATCACGTTCAAATGTGTGTGAACGGCACGAAACATGACCAGGGTCGATTTCGATTCCAAAGGCATCGATACGAAATCGATACTAAGCGGTATCGATAAGGAATCACTAGAATCGATTCTTTCACTTGCACGTGACCAGAATCGATCCCTTGACCGACTTTTGAATTTATCATCTTCTTTTTCGTACGATGCTTTCCCTTATAACATGGTCTCCGAAACAGATTCATTCTCCGTTCACGCTCGGTTACGAACCATCTCGAGTGTGACTAGTAGAGCTTATTTGAGGTAGTCCATAGACTGGATCCGATGGAGGGTGGCGGATTCCTCCCTAAGCTAGACCGGAATCGATTCAGTATCGATAAGAATCGATACCTCGGCAACAAGAATCGATACCTCACCTCAGCGCCCAGGTTGAGGAGGCAGCGGCGAAAATGGACATCGACTTACTCCAGTCTCTCTTTGATAATCACGGCGTTCAAGGTTTACTGGATTCCGGTCTGTCGCTGGAAGAGGTCCTAGCCTACGCAACCCTTGCCGACCATGCACCGTCCATACGTGATTGTCTCAACGCTGGAGCCAAAATCACGTACGAAATCATGGAAAATGCGCATATAGGGGGTGGATATGAGACTTACCAACTCCTTGTTCCCGCAGGGCTGGATGTTAATCATTTTGGACATCCAGGGGGACCGTTGACGGAAGCAGTCATGGCTGGCGACGTGGCTTGGATCACATTCCTTCTTCAATCTGGCGCGAACCCGGATGTTGGACCCCTCGCTGGATCGGATGCTCTAGAAATCGCGATCAAGGAAAAGCTTCCTTTGACAGCTGGGGGCAAGCCCCCAAACCCCCAGGCCTCGCTGCGCTCGAGGGATCCGGAAACTACTAAATCCTTTACTCTGATTAGCTAGCTCCATCAGATCCAGTCCACAGGCCAAACCCCAGGCCCACGTAATTAGCCAACCCTCCCTACTCCGGAAAATCTATAATCCGAGTATTACGTAATACTGTGCTCTGATTGGCTGTCCCCATCGGATCCAATCCACGGCCCATCCAGGAATGAGTAGAGTGCCACCGTAGCCCGGAAAATCTATGATCCGACGATCACCTAGTCCTTTGCTCTGATTGGCTAACCCTATCGGATCCAATCCATGGCCCACCCAGGTATGGATCACGTGTGGACTGTCACGGGACTACGTGCCAAGGATTACGTGCCCAGGGGTTCTTCAGCACTGGCATTCTATCTTGACTCTCTTCGTGCTACGTCTTGTGCCTAGAACTAGATGTTAGCTGGAATACATTGATTAAATCCTCGCCCTAGAACTCTCACATGATCCATGGATTGGATCCGATGGTGAGTGGGTATTTCATCGGATCCAATCCATGGATAACGACAACAACACTAATATGCCCAGTCTTGACGCGAACATAGTAATTTGTATGGGAAGCTGCAAACCTTTGGATACCTGCAGCATCCATTTAACTTCGCCGTCGCCTGTCTGGTGTAGACAACCAGATTTCAACTTGAAGGTGAAATCCCTTTTTAGGTAATAAACTCAGCCTTACCGTTCAGCCTTGTGTGCCTCCTGCGATTCTGCTGTAGCCCCCTATGCCCTTGCCTCTTGGTATCGCTTCGAATGAACCCTCTTCCTCTTCTCCTTACCCAATTTTGGCGGTGCGGTGGACGCAGACGGTTCAAACGCAGCCGGCGGAGACTGCTGTAGCACATCGGGCATCAAGGCCCAGATACGCGGACGTTCCGCCTCTACCTTTGACTGGAAGACCTCGCCGGTGGCAGGCCGCAGCCTCCAGGCGGGAGGGGCATTATTGACGGCCCTTTCAAGAGGAACCTTATACTGCCAGGGGACCGTCAACTCCTTGAAAGAATGGGCACCATCGACCACACCAGCCCAAACACGGCGCCTGGAGGACATATGGGAGCAGCACAACATACCCAGAACCATCCTCCAAGTCAGATTCTATGGCAGACGCTCTGCCAGAGATGCCCAGCAGTCTCTACAGCGCCTATCCGTGCAAGAAGAGGAGTCAATCAAGCGCTGTATCACCACCATGAGATCCGAAGCTTGGCCAATCAACATCAGATACCTCAAGTCTCTTGCCGTGGACCTTCTACGCTGGTACGAGAATTTCCTGACCACACACCCTGATTTGAAGGCAGTGTGGTCCCGGAGCCCGGGCCAATCAAGTAGGATGCTACAGGCTACGTCGTACTGCAGGTTTGGTTCAACCTTACAAGAAGACCTGTACCGCTTTTTGCATCTCAGATGACGACCAGTACAACGTGGAAGAGAAAGGCTTCATGAGAGGCATTGGAGATGATGCGAAAGTGCTGGTTCCTGTCACAGAAGAGATTTCGTCAATACAGCCAGAGGCAATTTCACCGAAGAATGTCGCCAATGCTTAGAGAGCAGCTGGTTTAAAGCCATACAATCTTTCTCCCATTCTTCTGTAGTACAGACCCAAGACTTCTTCACTTGCCAGCTTCACGAATGAAGACGGAAGAAGAGTTGATATTCAGGTCCAGCCAGATATTGGCCAGAAGATTAATCAGGTTGTGACTCAGCTGTTGAGGGTGTGTCCCACATCGCACCGGTCTAAGGTAGACTTCATTCGAGACACAGCACTTGCAGACAGGAACCCTTCAGTTCATAAACGACGGCCTTGTCAGGAAGAGCAAAGAAGGCAGGCCGGAAGAAGACGAAGAAGCGCTTTGGTACTGCCGGGGTTCTCACGGTGGAAGAGGCTCTGAGGATGAAGGAAGACAGGGAGGTAAAGGAACAGCAGATTACGCAAGAGAAGGAAAGAGCTGCCGCTCTTAGGGGCAAGATAGGCTTTACAAAGACAGTCTGGTAGGCTGAACCTACGTTGTTTTGGGCAAAGAGCCGGCTCGAGCTGGTGGGTAATAAATACAGTATGTTCGTCTCGAATACACCTTTTTACACCCATCACTGACTGGTCTTTGCGCTGCTAAGTTGATCATCTGGATTCCTCCTAGTTTGTATCATCGGACTCGCTTTCCGTCAAATCCGTACTATCTGATGGGTCTTCCACCGCAGAATCCGTATCAAAGCTCTCTTCCGATTCTTCTGGGTCTTCCCCGGCATCGATCTTGTTCAACTGGTAGGTGCCACTTTGCTTCCCTTCGTCGCCGAGGCACTTATCGAAAACCGCCATGCAGTCTTTGAACAAGCGCTCCTCCATTGGGTCATCATCATCATCCTTCTTCTTGGGATTCGTTGGCCTCCTTGTCTTATGCCTCTTTCTATTATGCCTCAATACATTTTTGTCGTAAGTCCGCTCGTATAAGATGGTCTGAAGGTCCCATATGCAATCGATAAAGTCGTCATCTTCGCGATATGGCTCTTCCAAGTGATCAATTATCGACTCGTCGAAAGTATCTGGATTACTGAACAAAAGCAATTTAGTACCTGCAATAAGTTTGGTAGGGGACTTAGTATCGATCATAAGCTCAACTAGAGGCTTATTTTGAAAGGCGATTTCATCGTCATAGTCG